TAATAGTAAGCATATATGTACAACTACTCTGTATGGAGTACTCCATACTCTTTTCTCAGAATCCCCCAGAATAATAATCTCCACCACTTGTTAAATCCAGCCGGGGATGCCGGACGAAGGGCAAAATTACCAGATGATTGGTAATTACCGAGAGACAGAGTCACGAGCAAAAGACCCTGAGGACCCACTTTCTCCCCGAAAAGCCTTGGGAGGCTGATGGCGTTCAGTAGGAAAAAGAGAGAACAAAAAAGGAAGATGGAATGCGAAGAGGCAAAGTTGCATTTGGCGATCAATTTTATTTGCAGGAAACTGAATTGAAACTGGTTAAGAACCTGAAACTGGGGATACTGTATAAAGCTATGATGTATGGAGGAAAATCGTGAACTGGCAAGTCGATCTCGCAAACTCTACTTTGTCCCATCTGGCTCGAGGTACTTTTGCGTTCATTAGGAAAGAAGAAAGAGTCCTTCAGTATGTGCTGTATTATTTCTGTATTACGGCGGCAAATTTGGATTTGCCTTAGTCAATTGCCTACTGCTCTCTTCTGCCAATAAGATATGTAAATACTATTAGTGTCTGGCTGTCTGACAGACAAAAGATGAACGAGCAAGCCGGGTCCCCGGATGTGCCCCCACTTTTTCTTTAGGACCTTTCCCCGGGCTTCTGTTGCCATTTCTTGCCATTCCGCCCTCGTTTCATGGTTTCCTTAACTCCGTGACCAATTAGAATAAGTGGTCGTCCCCCCCCGTCCTGTACATCCTCTACGTCAGATACCAATCCCCTCGAGGCATGGTGTATTTTATACAAGCTAATTTTATTACATTACGAATTCACTGCCATTGATCATCGATTATTCAAGATTATTGCAGGAACACTTGGAGGAATAGTAAAATTAGGGAGACGGTAGTACAAAGTACGTGGTGTATATGTACGATGTAGTATGAGTGGCCAATGACCACTAAACAGCAATGTAGCCTAATATTGGATCTCGTCTGCAATGGCCTCTGCTCATTTCTCCCAACTAACTACTAATCCCTGTTCCACCATCCCGTCTTCTGTGACTCGGCTTCGTGATCCCATGCAACCAGGGGTCCTGGAACGCCAGCAAGGGAGATTGCCATTGAACAAAGCGCCATGCATTCTACCGTTAGTGGGCTAAATGTGTAGTTATATAGTTAGTAAGAGAGCCCAGTCCTTTTCGCTGACTGCATTTTGACCAGAAAACCAACCCGTTTTCCCTTCGTTCTTTCTCCAAAATTTCCTAGCATTTGATTTACTATTATTCCCAACTGTTTCCCTTCGTCCTCTCTTTTTTGTCCCCCAATTTTTCCTTACCTTGACTGTCGGAGTTTCCACTTTTTGCACTCTTCCTCTTCCAACTCAATTAACCTCCGTTAGCGTCGCTGCGTCAGTGGGACTGGTCCTGCGGCTGCACATCATTGCGATTTATTGAAACAACCCAAGTAAAGCGGGTAAGTTGTCCACTGGAAAGAACTCCACTTTTCCTCTTTTCTCTCAATTATTATTTTCCTTTTTTTTTTCCTTTCGTCCAACGAGGGTTCGTGTCCGGCTGAGCGGGTTAGTGACCCAGCTCCGAGGTCTACAGCCGAAAGAAAAAAAAAAACTGAGCCTTTTGGGACCCGTTCCCCGTTCCCCGTTTTCCCCCAATTCGCCTTTTGGGTAGTAAACTTGGAGACCGATTTGCAGTGATTATTATTCCCAGGCCAGACTCGCTCTGCTGGCTGCTGCTCGCTCCACGGATATAATACCTCCGGTTGCACCTCCCCTCCAGGTTCCTTCTCTTCTCCCCTCCTCTTCTTCATCCTCATCAAACCTATCCAGCAGTGCTGATTGGCTTTTGATTTGATCGCTTCTTTCTCCTTCCTCAACTCCCTTAGTATAACTGTGTTATACCCTTTCATTGTTCAGCGAGCTGAACTCCCCCTTTTGTGTTGTCATACCTGTTATTGAAAAGAAAAAACAACAAAAAACACATACCTAATTATCAATTGTCTTCGGTGATCCTAGTGATTCTCGATCAATATGTCTTCTACCGAAGTTACCACCAACAACGGAGCCCTTGAGAAGGACGTCAGCGCCACCGCTCCTGTGGCTGCGGCTCCCGTTCACCCACAGATGTCGGCCGAGGAGCACGAAGTTGCTCGCGCCGCTGCTCGCTTCGGCTATGGGCCTCTGGCTCATGTCAACACCGAGGACGCTCGCCTTCGCCCATTCGGGGGTGAGTTCCAGCCCGGTCTGTACAAGTCCGTTGAGAACCGCAAGTTTGCCAACCCGGCTCCTCTCGGCCTGTGCGCTTTCGCGCTCACCACTTTCGTCCTGAGTGCCATCAACATGGGTACTCGCGGTCTCACCGAACCCAACATTGTCGTCGGTCTCGCTTTCGGTTATGGTGGTCTCGTCCAGCTGCTCGCTGGTATGTGGTAAGTTTGTCGCAAAACTCCCGTTAAGAAATGGAGATTTGCCATTTCAAAACAATGAACCCAAACTTCGTGCGAATCAATGTTGACTCGGTTTCGCACTAGGGAAATGGCTGTCGGAAACACTTTCGGTGCCACTGCTCTGTCTTCGTATGGTGGTTTCTGGATCGCTTTCGCTATCGTCCTGACTCCTGGTGGCTTCGAGATCGTGTCTTCGCTCGAGTCGGCTGGCGGTGCCGACTTCTTCTATGATTCGATGGGTCTGTTCCTGATGGGCTGGTTCATCTTCACCACCATCCTGCTCTTCTGCACCCTCCGCTCGACCGTTGCCTTCTTCCTGCTCTTCTTCTTCCTGGACTTGACCTTCCTGCTGCTGGGTATTGCCTACCTGGTCCGCACCGATGGCGCCCCTACCGCCGCCATCACCAAGGCTGGTGGTTTCTTCGGTTTCCTCGCTGCGTTCGCCGCTTGGTACAACGCCCTGGCTGGTCTGGCTGATAACAGCAACAGCTTCTTCATCATCCCCGTTGCTCACTTCCCCTGGTCCCCCACTGGCCGTAGCCGCCGTGGCAAGACCGAGCGTGAGTTGGCGTAAATGGTTGACGTTGAATGTTGAGTATTGGAGATTGAGCGCGTTTTGGGTCGCGTGTAATGTGATGATATATACCCCCCCTCCATGCTTGTACTATCCTAGCCGCGGCGAGGAGGAGAGAAGTGCGTCGAGGCTTTGGTCTTGGATCGATGTTCTGCAAGTTCTGTTGACGCGTTCGTTCGTTGTCGGTGGTGCTCTGTTTTGACTGGTTGGCAGACAGGCCTTTGTCACCTTCTCTGTTCCTTGTCCATGGCTCGGAGTCTCTGTTTTCTCTCGGTTGATCTGGATTTGATCGGTCGGGTGGAGGCATTTGCACAAAACGGTTCGTATCTTCGTCGAGGCGACATTGGACGTTGCCTTGGCGATGATGTGGATTTATAAAGGGTGGTGGATCTTTGTTGGTCCTCCTGCCCTATTTCCTTGTTGTATTTAGTCTCCTTGCCTGTGAATTGCGTACTTTAGTTAATAATCCACTGATGTTATGATCATGATTCTTGTTCGATGTTGTGTTTGACGTACTTGGTAGTGCTCTGGTGCCTGATGCCTCATGGTTGTTTCACTTGCGCAACGCCGGAAGAGTCTGGTCGACGTCGAGAGGATCGCTGTTGGGTGCGTGGCGCAGGAACGTGTGTCGCGTGGTCAAGGTCGTGGAAGGAAGAGCGACGAATAAAGAGTGGCTGTATCCAAGTAAGTGTAAGCATGTCATTGCCGTTTCTTATATACGGACACGCATGATCTGATCTAAATAGTTAGTTGAAAACGTGATCTGTATACTCGGCAGTGGCTTGTAGCCAAGACTCAAGTATTCAGGCACGGAGGCAAACACAAGCCCATAATGACAGGTAGTGTCAACCAAAATCAACCTATGGCTTTGCAGGACCGGAGATATGAGCTCTGCCTTAGCTCTCAACCCCTGATAACATTGATCAGGCCGCTATGAGCATCATATATACCCCTCCAATCCCTGAAAAGACCATATTTTGGGGCTGCTCAGGCTCATCCAAGTGGAGGTCAAAGTCTATATTAATAGCATATGCCTCGGCGACTAAGGGTAATAGTCTGGCGATTTGCAAGTCCAGATCTCAAGGAATTAATTTCCCTAAGACGAAGAAAATTTTAATCATCTTTGTCTCTATTTTTCAGTCATGGAAAGGGGAGCACACGTAAATAGGAGCAGAGCGTACCTAAGTGGGCTACTAAGATTACCCGGGCCTTTCTTTCTAAATTTGGGTGGTGATTAGTGAAGAACTGGCACGATCTCATGTGAGATGTGAGATTGACAGCAAGGGCAAGAAGAAAATTCCATCGATGCAGACATTGAGAAAAAATAGGGGAACGGGGGGATTATTTAGGTCTCCCCAAGAAACTAGACTGAAACTGTTCGTCATTTAGTCTTATTGTTTGCTGCCCGAGGGATCACCGAGATCCACCCAAACTCGGGATACGCTCGGCCTACTGCAAGACAAGCCGGCGATTGCTCGGACTGCCGGGACAGCTGCTGCCGAGCGGAGCTGTCAGAGCTCGTGGGTGTTTGATTCGCTGCTTGTCATACTGCAATGGGTAGGTGGTGAAGTTGGAAAAGAATACGGGAGCTGCCCCTGACTATTATAACAAGAGAATTATGTGCGATATCGGTTGGGGACCGGACCAAAGGAGCTGTGTCCGGAATTTCCTGGGGTTGTTGGAGCGAAGTTAGAAGGACCCGGAACTGATTATACCCGCGATAGCTGTGTGCTTTTTCTTCAATCGGGAATTCCGAGACGCCTCGGGTTAGATTGAAAAGCTTATTTGAAGAGTAGCTATGAAGAAATATTGGGAATACGAATTTCCGAGGAGACTAGTGGATGTGGGTATGGAGAAGAAGACCCCTTAGGGGGCTTATGGTATACCGTTGTCTGAGTTCCCTCTTCCACGCGTATGATTTAAGAACAGAGCCGATATCAAATCGACTCTAACCCTCTAGCCACCGGTCAATCTCTGTCCGCAGATATTTCACTCCCTTCCTCGATCCTCTCAGCTTTTCTCTTGCCTTTCTCTTCCCGCTTGAATATAACGGCGATACTGATAAAGAGCGTCGCTGCCAGAAGAGAAAGTCCAAGGTATACTTTTGCGCCAATGCGCCAATGGGGTGCCTCCGAAGCAGGGAATGCAGCGATGGGCAGGAATGCGCTGAAGAGGTATGAGAAGAGAGTACCTGTTGCGAAGAGAACCGTTCGGACTTGAGGCTCTCTCTCGAGATGGGCTGCTGCCCAGGCGCAGAGGAGCATGGTAGATACACTGTATAGATTAGACTTTGGAAGCTCGTAATGTTGGGGGTTAGGTTACTCACGCGCCCATGTAGTTCATGTACCATCCAGCCATGTAGAGGTGCTCGTTGCTGGGACGAATGATCAGGATGATGAGAGATGTGACGTTGATGGCCTATTATTATCATTAGCTGAGCGTCTGGGAAGGCAAGTTGATTTTGGTTCACGACATACCGAATGAAGGAGCAAAAATGGCAGTCTAACACCCAAGTAGTCGCTAAAGCCGCTGAAGAGAAGCTCTGCGACAAGCTGGATAGCCTGACCCGCTATGGGCAGATAGTTGAGCATAGCGACCGAGCTTGAGGGAAGGTCAGCCTTTGGAATATGGTTTCGCTGCGGGTGATATATCTTACTATCTCTTCGTGCCGTCTGCATTTTTCAGCGACTTCAGCCAGAGATTGAAGTAATTGGAAGGCGTTTGGTTCGTGCCGATAGACCAGGCGACTATTCTATTAGTCATTGTCTCTTAAATGCGATAATTGGAATAGACTTACGCGCAAATATCCAAACGTGCCAGAACTTGAACGCGCGTAGGAATGTCCTCGGAGTGATGCCAACCTGGGGATCCCGGCCGATTCGTCTATTGCGCGCCCGTGCAATTTCTGATAGAAGAATTTCAGCACTGTTTGTCTATTCCTTGATAACAGTTACTTACCGATATCTCGTGGTCTGAGATAGAATTTCGAAAGTAGATTCTGGCGTTCAGGCTGAATATCTTGCATTAGCAGATATCACAATCATACCAGAGGTGCGATTCATACAAAACCTGGTAAGAGGATGAAAGCGACCAAGGCGACAAAGATGGTACAGATACCCTGGGTCATCAAATTGTAATTAGCATTGTGACGGCTGGGTGGGTAATGAATGAACTCACATTGATAATAAAGGCCCATCGCCAACCGCTCCGGCCGAGCGAACCCTCGAGGTTGGTTGAAAGAGCGCCTTGCATAGCACCGGAAAGCATGGCTCCCACAGGCTGGGCGATGTTATACAAACTCATTCGGAGAGCCATTTCATGAGGCATATACCATTGACTAACATGCTTGAGTAAACCAAATTTGCTATTCCAGTGGGGCTGAATGCGTACCTGATAATTGTAAAATAACCTGGCCAAGTTGCGCCCTCAAAGAAGCCGATAAGGAACCGGAGTCCGTAGACCTACACGTAGATCTGTTAGCAAGATTCAATAGTCGTTCTCCGAATACTAACCTGCTTGGCGTTGGTAACCGTGGATAAGCAGCAAGTCAATACCCCCCATAACACCTATTGTTGCCTTTAGTGGATTTTCTCGGAGTGTATATGTATTCAAGCAAAACCCACCTCGCAAGTAGGTAACCATCTGGATGGACCGATATGGGAGATGAGAACACACGAAGGGTACAACATGAGCATATATCCGATACTATCCGCATTAAGTCAGTGAAAGCCAAAGATGGAGGTATTGAGGTATTCGTATTGAGCAAACATACTTGAAGTAGGTAGTAAAGTAATTTAGCTCATTTCCGTACAATTTAAGGTCTGTTTGCATTCCAGAGACATAGGCATTGCTCTGAAAGTAGTGTTAGGATGTAGCTTGATCAGACACACCAATAATACTCACGATATTGGTCTGATCGAGGTACTTGAATGCATAACCCAAGAAACCGATAGTCAAGAAAAACAGATCCAGACGCCATACCTGAATTAAGATTAGGCCCATGACAAGCGAGAAGTTGTTGGGTGCAGGACTTACCAGGGCTCTTTCTTCTTTTGGGTCGATATCAATCTCCTCGACACGATCAACCGTGTTCCCTGGAACCTTGATGTCAACTTGCCCTTGCTTGCTCATCGTCCTAGTCGGTAATATTTTTTACTCTCAAGCAAGGCTATTTGAAGCTTCTGGGTAGCTGCATATAAGGTAAAATTGAAACGAAGACTAATATGTAGGTCTGATGGCATCAGCGGGGTTTTAAAAGGCGTGTACTCCTGCGGAGCTCATTCTAATTCCGATATACATGTATGTCAAATCAAGTGATCCTTCGTTCAAGCACTCAGCAAATTAATGCTAGCGAGAACTAAGAAGGTTAGGTAGATACTTGTATCTGCAAGTAAAAAAAGCACTGTCGCCACAGTGCAAAGTTCCAGAGCCAGGCACTTGATACCAAGCAAGCATATCCATGGATCACGCCATCATCGCTTGTATGGCAGTATGTCTGATAAGCCCGGGGACAGGTACTTTTAAACAATCTGAGCAATCGAGACCCACTATTGAGCCATTGAGACTACCTTATAGACCGGGTAGATCTCGGACACTGGCCGATCGCATCGAGGTGGTGCCGCGGGAAAAGCGGTTCTATCGCGTTACACACTACACGCCATACAAAGGATCAGAATGAATCCCTCGTAAATTAGCCTATATTCGTTCTACTGATTGTGTCGAGGATTTTCAAAGAGGTCATAGCCCCAATGACCTACTAAATTAATGAGAACTCGGAATTCCAACGTAATGGACTATCTCAACCACCTTAATAGGTACCGTCAACGATAGACAGTACTAAAACAGTGTTCAAATATATTTCAAAGTGAGAATTCTATGGTTCGGGCACTATATCCATTTGACATCCAGAGACCCTCGGAGTATTTCCACTGTTTGTGAAACCCAGCACATCATCATGAGAACGCTGGATACCGGAGCTTCAGACCTATCTTTGGGATCTGTATGGATGCAACAAGTCAGGGAACGGTCAAAAGTCATATATCCTAGGTTAATCTTCAAACGTCCGTGAGTTGAAGATGGCGACAAGAATAATCGCCGTGAGTTAGTTGGATACCACTTGGAGTATTTGGATCGCGACTGCCTGTGAAACTTGACTGTCTTGAGCAACGCCCGTTCTTTCCTCCATCAACTCCTCTCAACACACAACCATGAGCCAAAAAATTGCTATTGTCGGTGCTGGTCCTTCTGGTCTTGCCCTGGCCGGAATTCTCGAGCGGCAGGGGATCTCTTATGTCGTCTATGAGCGCAGTGCCGAGGACACCCCTCCTAGAGGAGGCTGCTTGGACATTCATCGCAGCAGTGGGCAAGATGCCCTGAAGGAAGCTAAGTGCTTTGACGAATTCCAGAAATATGCTAGGTATGGAGATGCTACCATACACTCAGTGTGGGACTGCAAAGGCAACAAGCTATTAACCTTCGGGGAAGGACGTGATTCTCCGGAGGTAGACCGAGCCCAATTGAAGCAGATACTCTTTTCAGTGATTCCCAATGAAAAAGTGCGTTGGTCGACAGCAGTGAAATCCGCCAAAAGGGACGAAGAAGGCAAAATTGTGTTAAGTTTGGCCAACGGGATAAACGTATCTGGGTTCGATCTTGTGGTGGGGGCAGATGGAGCTTGGAGCAAAATCCGGCATCTGGTATGCTAACCTAACCTCCTAGTAGGCTTTCCCCAGAGCATCAAGATACTAACATTTTCCAGGTAACAGCCTCGGAGCCGAAATACTCGGGTATCATTATTCTTCCGATTTTTATCCTACCGTCAAACGACTTCTACCCAACCTTACAAGGGATTGCGGGACAAGGCCCCATGATGATCTCTGGCCGAGAGAAGATGATCTGGGTTCAACGCCAGGGGGACGGCCACTATCGAGTGGACTTGGGATGGAAAGGGCCTGCCGATTTCCCCATTAGCGAAGAATTTGACTTGTCCGATGAGAATGCTGTGAAAAGATACCTTCTCAAAGATGAAAAATTCGGTGGCCATACTTCACAAGTCAAAGCGATGATCGAGGCAGCAACCGGGCCATTCCGTACGTGGCCATTACACTATTTCCCCCCAAAGGATCTCAATTGGACCTCTGCTCCCGATGTCACATTGATTGGGGATGCTGCGCATGTTACGCCACCGTTTGTCGGTGATGGTGTCAACTGTGCTATGCGTGATTCTCTAGTCCTATCACGGATGCTGAAAGAGTTCGGCGTCACCCAACAGGCTGTTGCAAAATACGAGGAAGACATGTTTCCATATGCGAGTGATGTGATCACAAGGAGTGTTCTTGCAGGAGACCTACACTTTCAGTGGGATAGTCCAAGAGGATTCATGGAGATGATGGCATCCGACAATCCATTGGTGAAGATGGCTCTCGACTACTAAACACGGGACATGTTGGAGAGATTAGGCTGCCTCGCTGACGTTTGATTCATCACCCTAATAAGTTTAACTTAAACTTTTTTTTCATTCTTGAGTCATCCACTGAATAATCCACAGTCAAATTTTCGAGGGCCTTTCTATCAACAATAGGATCTAATAGTTGAAGTTTGCACTATGACAAGTAAATATTTTGAGTGCCAGTAGCCTCGGCCTTGTAATCAAATATTTACTTCCTTGATTCACCGGGCCCGCTGGAGGAGGTTATTAAAGATAAGCTCGGCATTATCACATTTAATCAGACTACCCCAGGCCCATCTTTGGTGCGCATGGCATTTCAGCACTGGAGAAGGAGGCTATCTAACTCTAATGGGTGATGATCCTCCTCACGATCCACCTGAACTATTCCCTTCTAGGCATCCATTGCGAAGGCCCCACTGTATGATGACCTGCCTAAGTTTGGGTATAGTTACCCGAACATGTGGGAGAATTCAACATGATGAGAACACGAATTTATCAGCCTCGGTTTCAGTGATCTTGTGAAGATCTACATGATTTAGATAAAATGGTTCTTCGCCGCAAGTTATCATCACAGCCTTCAAAACATCATCTGGGGAGACAAATCAGCCCACCATGAGTACCCAACCGAATGCGAAAGAGTCAATGAAATCCACATGGCGTGGATGGGATCGAAGCCAGTGGAAATTACCCCATAAAATCTTCGAAAGCGCAAACGTCTATCATATCGACCTAGACCGAGAAGTCCCGGTTCACTCGAAGCAAGACAAAGTGCCCTATGTTTCCGACTGGTCGATGAACATTTGGGTCATCGTCCATGCAGGCATTCCACTACTCCTTCATCAACTATATGTGTACCTCGCGGGGCAAAACTTCGGACCTATAGTCGCTTTCGGTTTCTATTACTATGCCTCTCGAATATTCACGACTCGTGAGCTGCGCAACATGCGAGAGCTTGCACACAAACATGGATTCCTGGATGGCGATAAGCATGAGCGAGACGGTGTGCCCGACGAGGGCGTTTCTAAGGCCTTGACATCAGTCATGCTTGCGGGCTTCGTGCGCCCATTGATGACTGTTTATTTCACCTACCAGACGAGCAAGGCACCGATATCATTAAGCTGGAAATCGCTTCCTCTGGAGGTCAGCTTATATGGCATCGTTCTTGATTTTTGGTTCTACTGGTACCATCGTATCATGCACGACGTTAATGGATTGTGGAAGTATCACCGCACACACCACCTGACGAAGCATCCCAATCCTCTGCTCACGATCTATGCCGACTCGGAGCAAGAATTCTTCGATATTGCGGGGATTCCTATCATGACTTATCTGACGATGAAGTTTCTGGGATTCCCGATGGGCTTCTACGAATGGCACATTTGTCAACTCTATGTTATGTTTGCGGAGTTGGCAGGGCACAGTGGTCTCCGTCTTCATGCGTCGCCTCCAAACCCTCTCACTTGGCTGATGAGAATTTTCAACGCCGAACTCGTCATTGAAGATCATGACCTTCACCATCGCAAGGGTTGGCGGAAGAGCCATAATTATGGCAAGCAAACACGTGTCTGGGATCGGGTATTCGGCACCTGCAGTGATCGAATCGAGAGCGTGGACGAGAATGTTGACTACGAAAATACTCTTTGGATGTCACTCCTTTAGAAATGCCGGCTGTTGGATTTCAGCTTTGGAATTTAGAGTATGACCGGCAAAATGATAAATGATTAGATTAGCCACGAAAGCCTCATATAGGTCATGTGCTATGTTCACTATACCTCTCTGGTTATTTACAATAATGACGAACGATTGACCGAGTGTACCCTGCGGTTGCATCCTCTATTGTAAGCGGTGGATCCACCTTGGCTGAGAAGAAGCCTTGCATTAGTGTTTCCCCGCATTTTGGCGAAGGCTTACGGCTGAATTCTGCAACAACATCCTTCAGCCTTTATTATTGTTTAGGCAATTCGGCCCTGGCTAGTGCCACATAGCACCATTTACCCCAGATTAAAGTTCTTCAGGCGATTTTGGGTCGGAGGCATGCCCGTTTTGAGCCGGAAAGCATTGGTGGGACTCCTTTCCGCGCCGGTGTTTGAAATAGTGTCTCCGAGAATGGTGGAACTTCTAGTGTCGCACGTTTGCCCCGATGCGAAGGCTTGACACATCTGGTTATTTTAGCATAATAGGGTTCCGGTTAAATTAAATTAAGGGATAGTGAAGAGTTGACAACTGAACAGAATTTATCCCAAGTCGTGAATATAAACACTAAAGATCTCAGGGTCCCGGTGACATCCATCCTCCATCAAACTTTCTTCTTCACTAGCTTTCCATCAACCACAAACTGCTTCACAGAAGATCCATCATGGTGTCCTTTACCAACCTGTTCTTGGCTTGCTCCACCATTGTGGGCGCCTTCGCCGTCCCCGGCGACTGGAACAAGCGCCAGACTATCACCACCAGCCAGACTGGAACCAACAATGGCTACTATTACTCTTTCTGGACCAACGGCGGTGGTACCGTTGACTACACAAATGGCGCTGGTGGAGAGTACAGCGTCACCTGGCAAAACTGCGGTGACTTCACCTCCGGAAAGGGCTGGAGCACTGGAGCCGCCCGGTAAGATCTCTGGCCGCGATGTATCAGTTACTCCCTCTCTAACATACTACGATCTCGTTTTAAGGAATATCAACTTCTCCGGATCTTTCAATCCCTCGGGTAATGCTTACCTTGCCGTTTATGGCTGGACTACTAGCCCACTTGTCGAGTACTACATTCTGGAGGACTACGGCACCTACAACCCGGGCAGCAGCATGACCTACAAGGGTACCGTTACCAGCGATGGCGCGACCTACGATATCTATGAGCACCAGCAAGTCAACCAGCCCTCCATTTCTGGCACTGCGACCTTCAACCAGTACTGGTCCATCCGCCGCAGCAAGCGCTCCAGCGGTACCGTGACCACTGCCAACCACTTCAATGCTTGGGCTTCGTTGGGTATGAGCTTGGGTAGCCACAACTACCAGATTGTCTCTACTGAGGGTTATGAGAGCAGTGGCTCTTCCACCATCACTGTTTCGTGAGTATGATGCGTGATTGCGGTACTGGGGTTGATAGTTGTTACATGTGTTGAGTGAAACTCGAGCCTTCGAGGATCCTGTTCAATCTCAAGTACGGCCCAACACGATGGCACAGTGATATGTGGTTGTTTCCTGGTAAATAGGATATTGAGAGACATCGTTGGTGTATATGATGAAGCAAATCGCAATAGTGTCAGTAGTATCAGACAAAGATATTGATTATGGTTTGACACTTTATTACTGACATTTGAAAGATTCCGCCATTCAACGAACTAGATAGTCAAGAAAGCTAGTAGTATTATCATACTTTCACTATCCCAAGTCGAATCAAGCTTTCGCCAGTGGCAGCGACCGCATCGGCATTCGAGCGAGGGTTCCAGCCAAGCAACGTTTTAGCCTTCTCGTTCGACCCAGGACGAGGCTCGCTCAGAAACGGGACCACTAGGGCAATTCCGGAATCAAAAAGTCCAAGTAACCTCAGCACAAAATCCGGAATAGTCCGCGTTGGCACTTTCCTTGCTTTTGGCCCCAGCCTCTCGCGAAGAGTCAAAGCCATCTCCTTGATCGACATTGCGGGGGGTGCCATGCACAAAAATCGTTCTCCTTTGGCTTTTGGATGGGTCATAGCGAGCAGATGGAGATCAGCCACGTCTCGAACATCCACGATGCCGAACTCGATGTTTGGGCATCCTGGCACAGCACCGCTCAGCAGGCGGTTGGCGACTTCAATGGAAGTCGATATATCTGATCCGAGAACGGGTCCCATAACACTGGCCGGATTCACGACAGATAGCTCCAGATTGCCTCCTTCTTTCTCGATAAAATTCCATGCAGCGCGCTCGGCCAAAGTCTTACTCTTTTCATAAGCTCCGACTCCAGGCCCATCCACATCAGTCCAGTCTTGCTCGGTAAAGGATTTAGTCGGGTCCCGGTTGCGATGGCCATGGCCCATGGCAGCATAGGATGATGTCACAACAACACGCTTCACTCCAGCATCTCTAGCCGCTCGTAATACACGAAGCGTACCCTCGCGAGCGGGAATGATCAGGTCATTCTCATGTTTTGGGACCTCTGCGGGAAATGGAGACGCGACGTGGAGGACATAAGTGCAATCTTGGACAGCTTCTTTCCAGCCATCATCCTTGGTAAGGTCGGCTTCCACGAATGAGACACTTTCGGCATCCGGGGCGCCTGCAACCTGAAGCGTTTGGAGTACGGCCTCTTTACGCTTCAGCGACCGGACTGTCGTTTTCACTCGGTAACCTGCAGTTAAGCAGTGGATGATGCATTGGGTGCCGATAAAGCCCGACCCCCCTGTGACCAAGACGTAGTCTTTGTTGCTCGCCATGTGAGGCTGTTTGTAAAAAAAAAGAAGAGGTCAGCACTCTTTTCGTGGATTGGAGGTGTATTCTGGCAGCTACTGTTTGGAGCGGATTAGGGGACATTTATACCGTAGCTGGGGAAATAGCCCGTAAGATCTCGGATCTCTAGATTTGAAAATTTGATCTGCGCGGGCGCGTTTCTGGGACACTAACTGCTCAGCTGTGTTGGCGGGATAAACAGCTAAAGAGAGGAAGAAAAACAGCAGCCGCCAATGAGAAGACGTCTACAGAGTGCTGGCACTTGTAAAGGGATGTCTTAAAAAACATCGGTGTTTTCTTCCCCAGAAGGCTGAGAGTGACTAAACTTCCAAGAGGTGGCTAGCCGGTTTGGTCTTCAAATGCTCTCGGCTTATTCGCTTTCAGTTTTTGGCCCCCATTAGCATCCAAGCCACAATCAGAGAGTTTGTTAAAAAAGAGTGTGATGACTGGCCAGCTTGGCAAGGACTGGAGTGTTTAGAGTTTGCCCTTTGTGCTGAAGGTCCCGACCAGTGGCTTCTTGACGTTGAGAATTATACATGTTACCCTTACAAGTGCATCGAATGACTGACTGATTATCATTTCGTTGGATCAATATGATCTTGCCAGTGTTTACCCATTCTTTTTTCTGGAGGACTTTCATCAAGAAAGATGGTCTTTTCAAGAAAACTCTCTTGAATACGACTAAACTAGATGGCTCGCAGCAATCGCCAGCCATTAGTGTTAGGTACTGTCCCAACAGTACCTGGCTAGAACCTATTCTTTCTACATAGGAATAGCTAGAAACCTCTAATTTAGCCTCACTAATTCAATGTCGTGAGCCATTAGAGAGTTCCAATCATGATCGAAGAACATGAAACTTAGTTTGATTCTTTGTACAAGGTTGTTCTATATGTTTGTGCAACATTTCTACGCTTGTTTATCATCTCTTCACGGTCGGGCCTTAATTTATATTCGTGCAGAGTTGAGGACTGCTAACTGTCTTAGCTCAGTGACTTACTTGCGAACCTGTCTAATTTCTGGTATCAATCAAGTAGTGTAGCTTCAGAGAATACAATGGCATTGATGAAAAGTACAATTTAGAAACCTCCATCCCTGTCGACGGCACACAGTTTACTACCGGTCGGCCCCTACTGCATATGCCCAAAAGTACACCAAAACACCGGTACGCTAACTATGTACCTCTTAGCGCAATCATAATGTACGGACTCTTCGGAGTGACTTGATACGGAGAGATTCTCCGTTCATAAAGTGCTCATTGCATGGTCCACACTTGGCACGTGGCTCTGCTAAATGAACTAAGATATCGGTTGACAGCGGGTGACGAGCCCGGCCCGCCCCCCCTTAATAATCCAAGATATTTTCCACTATTGAGAAGGTTAGCAAGTGCGCCATTTTCTCCTCACTTCACTTCCGACCGTGGAACTCTCGCTCTGCACCCCACGATAGGTTTTGATCATGGCCGATCAACGCATCGATGTGGTAAGAGAACATCCTCCAGTTGGCTCTATGCTTTGTCTGACTTGTTCTACCAGGACCCGAATCTCCACATAGTGCAGGAACCCGAAGCTACTCAGGATTTCGAGTCGTGAGTGAGAAGTAGTTCCCGAGAGGCGCGATTGAATAGTTGCTAATGACCCACAAGCGACACAACATCCATTGCTTCGCAAATAGCCAAAGGTCGCATAGAAAATGGCCGCAGGTACGGATAGTCTACCACCCTAGTTGCATAAAATAGAGCTGAATGAGATAGAACAGATACCAAGCATTAAAAGATGATGTTTACTGGTAAGAAAGTGTCCAGGAAAACGATAGGAAGGTTCTTCAACTAATCCTGCCTCATAGGAGCCCTTCAGACGAGCAGCAATTCGAAGCCTTCGAACTTGGGTAAGAAGCATTCCACATCGGTTTATTAGCAAGAGTTGTCTGACATGCAGATCCAGTCACATGGTATGCATTATGCTTGACTACCATCGACCCAATCCTCTATTCTCTGCTCCGATTGGGGAGAAACCCAAGGTACGACCACGGCACTCATACTTCATGATAAATGTTTGACTAATCGATATCATAGCATATCCTCGACATTGGAACTGGCAAAGGAAGTTGGGCTATGTAGGACTCGCGGCTCCTCGATGGCAAGACTGTGCTAATACATGGACAGAGATGTCGCAGATCAATATCCCGATGGTGAGACTTACTCTGCTTCAAGATATCTGACAGGCTTGGAGATTGACAATCACAGCTACCGTTCGCGGGGTGGACCTCTTCCCTCCCCCAGTCACCTGGGTACCCCCAAACTGCATCTTTGAAGTTGATGATATTCAAAAAGAATGGACATGGAGAGAGCCATTCGATTTGATTCATTTGCGCCAGTTGCTTGGATCATTCACCCCTGAAGGATGGAAAGGATTATATCAGCAATGCTTCAAGTGAGTCTCGATTACATCGCCCCGTGTACGCCTATGATTTAACATCGAACGCTCTAAATAGTAACCTGGCACCCGGCGGCTGGATTGAGCAAATCGAGTTCGATGTCCGAGTGAGGAGTGATGACGGATCTCTGCCACAAGATAGCGTGCTGGCCGGCTGGGGTGATAACTTCATTGGCTGTGGTGAACGAGCTGGCCGGTCCTTGACAACCCAGGAGACAATGCGAGCTGCTATCGAGGAGGCTGGCTTTGTCGATGTGCATGAGCGCCTCTACAAGGTGCCCATGGGGCCTTGGGCAAAAGATAAGCTATTGAAGGAGGTTGGCCTCCTCAACCAGCAGCACTGGAAGTCTGGTCTGGAGGGGTACGCTATGTGGCTACTTACAAAGTTCGGTGCGCCGTCTCCATGGACGAAGGAGGAGGTTGAAATTTATTTGGTCAACGTGCGGAAGGAGCTGAAGGATACTCGTATCCATGCCTACGGATATGTGTAAGTTTGTCCGTGAATATCAGTGTCTATCCATATACTGACTGATTTTACACAGCCGGCGAGTTTGGGCAAGGAAGCCAAGAGATGACCATATGATCCAGACACTGGCCAAAGCTCAGGAGTCATCGTGATACTTCGAGTGTACGCAATAACGCAACGACAGCCTTTGAGAAGATATTTTCATTGTGTATTAGCGACCGAATGATATCACCTGAAACATAGTTCCAGCATAATTGAAGAATCCCGTTTTCTTTTGAACTTTGTCATTTTCCGTTTTGACATGATGCGTACTGAGAATTGCCGCATACAGTAGTTATGCCTACAGCTGAAGAGCAGAAGCGAAAGAAAAGCTGCGATATGGGTACGAAAGGATCAATCCACCCCCTCCGCCCCCCAGCTGAAAATGTTACCTTTGATACCGGGAAGCTGAGCCTCCAATTACGGGATCAGTCTCTACTAACATCAATTGCGAACGCCAGGATCTAGATACACACCCACTAAATACTTTGCTTGGGTTGGTCTCCAACATGACCCGGTAGAAGAGCGAACAGATTGCCCAATCAGATAATACATAATCTATGCCTCGAAATTCACCGGTAATATCTTATAATTTTCGTGCTCCAATCAATCTAGTAGATCACTAAGCAGACCCCGTTTATTTCACTGCAGCCTTTCCTACTCTTTTCCCCAGCACATTCTGCAATGATCCCCATTTATCAATGCACATACAGGTCGTCTGATATATTCAGGTACTATTACTCCAAAAAGATTTAGCGATCATACCACTCGATTGTACAAGTTGCAGCCAGGAGCCTGGGCCGGGGGAGAAAACCAAGACAGCAGGTTTAAATGCGAATGCGAAGACCCATTCAATGCAAATCATCCGCCAATCTTGACACGCATAATCTTTCAAGGATACCCTCGGCATCTGGAGAATGCAGATGGTGCCCATAATAAGATTCAGTGGCATCTTTCCCAATAAATTTCTGGATGAGGTCACGGCCTCCAGGATGTTCATCCATAAAACCTGCCACATCGTAGACAGCCCCACCTATAGAAACCAACAAATTCCCACACTTAGACCGGCTTCGATACTCGTCCCAAGTTATCCGAGGTAGCTGGGATAAGGATTGGGTGTTGTGTTCGTTATAATATAGACGTTGATAGATGCCGCCCCTCTTCTGAATAAGACGAGCCCGCTCGATCTCACGGGGGCTGACCGTCTTTAGATCGAACGCCAATCCAAGTTTTCCCCATAGCCAGATAACCCATCTCGAAACGTTAGGCTCCCGCCATTCAACCCCGCTCCGATAATCAACGGGGAAAGTATGATGGAAATTGTGGTTACCTTCCCCGAGATTAAGAAAGCTGAGGAAACGGACATTCCGGGCAGTTGTTTTCGTAGAATATGGTTGACTCCCCGCCCAGGACGCATGGGCCACTGAATTGTTCAAAAAGGTGATTTGTTGGGTCACGACGACCCGAGTCAGACCCCCGTATAGCAGTCCACCCTTCCAGTCATTCCAGCCGTAATAAGCAACCGTGGTGGGAAGAAGAAAGCCAACTACTACAAGAATAGGGTAATATAATCGCTGCTGCCAAATGACCACTGGATCATCCTCGAGGTCCGATACGTCGGCTGGGCCCCATGCAGCCTCGTTAAGTCCAAGCAGCCAACCAATGTGGGAGAACAGTAGGCCTCGCTTTGCATTAGATGGGTCTTGATCTGTGTCTGTGTACGTATGGTGGGCACGATGGTGCTTTACCCACCACAGGATGGGCCATTGAACCTCTCCCGCACCAAAAGCAGCGAGCAAAATTCTTATGCCAATACATGCCTGGAACGACCGGTGGGACCAAAGTCGATGATAGCCTACGGCCGGGTTAGATAAGGTTAGGTATTTGGGGCATAGAAGACTAAGGGTGTAATATTTTCACTAACCAATCGTGATACTGAAGCCTCCTACAATGGCATGGCCGATGGTCATGATGACCGTACTCCGCTGGCAGGGGACATGTGGTGCAGCAAAATATAAAGCAACAATTGGACCCAGAAGAAATACATGAAGAAACCAGTAGAAATTCTGTCGATACCACTCGAGTTCATATCTCCAGGTATAATGAGGGGTTGGATCTAGAGTGGGCCGGTTCATCTTCTTCGTTGTGTCTGTGGTCATTATGGCGAGATCCTGGGATCGTGGAATTTCGTGGCTTTCCTACATAACGAGCCAAGTGTCAGTTCCAAAAAGCGGGGGTGGCCCTCTTAATGAGAGAAATTCGGTTTCCAGGACCCAACAAAAACCCCTTTCCCTTACGTTGCCAACTGCATATGATGCAGGGGGACGGAATGTACCATATATTGCTTTTTATCCCCGAGAGACAGATCACCAGAGTGGAAAGACAATAACGGTTAATATACGGAGTATACGAGACGGCTATTGACTGAGAAAGAGGTTAATCGGCGATTTAGCGGCGCTGTACTAGATTTTTAGGATGGTGTTGAGAGATCTGGGTTGTTAGGAAGGTTCTGGAGCCCTAGTGGCCATTCGCTCTCTCCTTACCATTACCCACGGTCCCACTGCAACTTATTCCCACGCCTTACTTCATTGACCTATGAGAGCACACTCAAAGTGTCGGAGAACGGTTGTAGGTACCTTTATGATTTTATCTTATTCTCGAACTTCGATAGTGTTTATTTAGATAAATCGCAGGCCAGGTCGGCTGATAGTTATGGATTCTGACGAATGTATACTTTACTGCCTGAAAGTTTTGGCCTCAGTTCGACTCGGAAATTTTTACGGTCGCACAGCAGCCTCAATTCATTCGTTTTATCTCGAATGAGATCCCCTATATCCTTTCAAGGATATTATTGTCATTGCGATTCTCTCCGAAGAGTTATACTTTGGATTCGTGATGACTCGACCCTATTGACCTCGACTACTCGGTCGTTTGGTCATGCGTCCTCCCGTTTACACCTGCATAGATTGCTCTGCAGGTTTGATGGTTCTTTCCAGGACCAGCGCTTCTTTGTCTTGTAGACCTATTTAGGTCTTTCTCTTTTCCCTTTCCTTCTTCTTCTCTAGATCCATCTTCATCATCATGTCTAGATAGAGACAATCGATTCAGATCTCCTTTTCCTGCTTCCTTGCGCTGGTGTCGATGACACCATCAATTCGTGTTGGCTGAAACTCCCCACTGGCGAAGACGATTCCTTAGTGGTCTTTCTGATATAGTAAATCCGCACTATTACTATAGCTCACTATTTATTACGAGAATCTGCGTCTTCTAGCAGTAAAGATTGATGATATCTTATTGGAAAGATAGGTAGGAGAGAGAATAGTCAGTTGACGAGGGGAAACGTCGATCAAGCCAATCTCGTTCGCGGATCTAGTGGTGCATCTAGAATTTCAGCATTGACCACCCGCCAGCGGGTGGTCAATGCCACGGGTAAGCCTTCGGGGGTGGATGTGGTAAAAGGAACGTGGAGAACGTGGGATATACGGGTCAGAGAAATCAAGATAGGTCTACTTCATATAAACTGCTCTTAGGCCTCGGAATATCTTATATCCTACTCCGGGTATCCACCTTGTTAATTAGAATCCCCGCCCGCGCCCGCAAACCTCCGCAAACACCGAAAGCTTAACAACCTTCTCAACTTTCAAACGCATCATGACATCTCACGCTCTCGCTTCCTGTTTCTTCTGCCGCCGCAGTAAGCGACGCTGTGACAAGAGCCTTCCAGCATGCCAACTGTGTACCAAAAAGGGCTTAAAGTGCAGCTATCCCAACAGACGCGGTCAACGTTCCGCATCGCCTGCCCGCAGCATACATGGTACAGAATCTGGCACTGATTCCGATTTAGGCTATGCGGGGCCTGTTGTACCGTCCAGAAGTACTGACTCCCAGTTTCAGTCTGTCTCTTCTTCCACTTCTTCTTCATTTGCTGTGACCACCGCCATTAGTTTCCTCGCACCCGATCTCTTCCGTGAGGCTCGATTAGAGATTCCTCGTCTGGATGTAGGCATTCCAGACGAAGTTGCCTTTCACCTAGGTGATAGCCAGCAGATTCGGGAGACAGCCAGCAAGTTCTTCCAGATAACATGGATGCCTGTCGTCTGTCGGAAGCGGTATTTAGCCGCCGTACTTAATCCATTATCCCCATCCCGACGACCAACAGCTTTACTAGCTCTGTGCATGAAGCTATGCTGCTTGTCAGTCCATGATGATGAAGTCCCAGAAAAGGCCGCGCTATACCAATTAGTCAAGAAATTTTACTCCGAAGTGGAGAGTACACGAGACTTGTGTGTTCAAGTCTTACAAGCAGCTATACTCATTGCGGTTTTTGAGATTGGTGATGCAATCTACCCTGCCGCTTATTTGACAGTAGGAGCTTGTGCCCGTTATGGTATCGCCATGGGTCTAGACAGGATCAACAAAGATCGTATGGGTGGTGAGCATAATCGTACAGAATCCTGGATGGAGATTGAGGAGAGGCGCAGAGCTTGGTGGGCTGTCTTATCCTTAGACCGGTCCGTCACTTCCTGTTCAATTTTCCTTTACTGGCTGTTCCGATATAGGAAATCTGTGATCCTCAGCAGCATATAACATCCCGAATTAACTTTTTTTGAATACAGATTCTTGAACTTCGCGAATCCTTCTCGGGTCTTAGCGACGGAAGATCCCACATTTACAGATTTCCTCCCCGTCGACGATGATAAATTCTATGACGCGGTCAGGCACCTCTTTCTTTTTTACAGCAAGTCTGATCGTATAGGAACCTTGTCTGACTTGGAAATACATCTAGACCTCGCAGTCGGAGGACGCGGTTCCCATATGCCAGGGCTACGTGTTCAAAATCGGTCATTTCGGCAGACTAGCCCAGGCAACGCACCTAATCAGTCAAGCCCTCGCTATCATCAGATCTTTTTCTGTCGTGTCAACAAACCTCGAAGAGAGCATTTTAGCACCAGAAACAGCCCAACTATGTCGCACGCTCGAAGCCTTAGTTCGTGCTAATGAAATGGAAATCACGGTCCGCAGGTTGGCCTTTTGCTGTCAAAGCCTGTTTTCTTACAGGTAAGCACTTGAAGCTCGTCGTTTGGAAGGGGGAAACAAGACCTTACTGATTCATGGCAGCGGTGTCTTCCTCCTTCAGGAAAGTTGCTGGGGACAGTTAGAGGTGCGATCCAAGCAAGAGGTGCAGCAGTATACATTTATCGAGACTCGTAATGCCATTGACACGCTTTGCCGACTTGCATCTGCACTCCAGCAAGGCTCTAATATGGTGGACCTACGGCACGGTCAATGTACATTTTTCTTGGTGGGTGTTGTGTATCAAGGACTTTCGGCACTTATGACTATTGGGAAGGGAAACCCGTCGGCAGAAGTCAAAGAGAGAATAACTACGTTAAGGTGGTTACTGCGACATATACGAACCCGCTGGCCACTCTCTGGTAAGTTTCTTGATAAAATGGCCTGAAAGAACGAACCGCTAATGGCAAAGAAGGCGTCTATGAAAGTATTTTGGATGCAAAAGAAGCCCTGTTGGCCGCGGAGGCGATATAAAGACAGCTGTTGTACCATAGAAGGGCATAGAGTAGATTGGGGACAAAAAACCGGACTCGTTTCATGCATATATAGCTCTATTTGACCGCTGTTGGATTACTAAAGACCAAGTCTAAGTAATTATACATCCTGGCTCATTTACATACTACCTACGATGATGCATGGTACTGAATAATCGATCTTAATTTGATTTTTTCCCTCTATGGGCGCTTTCTTGGCAGTTTCTCAGTGATTAGTAAACATCTGCCTCGTCCAGGTTCCAATGCCGCCCGGTTTGGCGCCCCAAGGCACGTCTCGCGAACCTCAACGGAAGTTGATTGCAGAAGTCATCGGTCCTCGGTGCTACTTCATATGCCCGCTATTTCTGTTGACACATCATACCTCGCAGACTTTGAGAATTATTATTCATCTCGATAACGAAACTTGAAATCAAGCTTGGTCAGCCTATGGGAAATGCAGGGCGTCATTGCGGACTTTGCGGGCTTTGCGGGCTTTTTGCGGGCATCGGCCCTGTTGTCGAATCCCCCCCTTGCAAACCCATCTTTTCATCAATCTGGGTTGACTTAAATTCAGCATCATTTCCGCTCCCACAGGCCCTTTCTCTTCAACTACACTCACATCATTCAAGATATTGAATCCATTCCACCTATCTCTTTTAATCATCTTCCAAAGTCCATCAATCCAAAGTCATGTCTCCAGCAACCGATAAACGGTCCATCCTGATTACTGGGTATGTAAATCCACCCTTTTTACCTCCTATGTGTCCCTAGGCTTACTTTACAAAGATGCTCTGAAGGTGGCGCAGGTAATGCGTTGGCATTGGAGTTTGCGGCCCAGGGTCTAAGAGTATTCGCAACTGCTCGGTCTCTTAAGTCGATGAGCAATCTTTCAGAGAGTGGAATTGAGACTTTCGCCCTGGACGTTACCGCTCAGGAAAGCATTTCAGCTCTAAAAGACGAGATTGCCAAACGCACCGGCGGGACTCTCGACATTCTCTACAACAATGCGGGCTCTAGTAAGTCTCTTTCCTCGTACTCGCCCATCCAATCTAAGCTTGCTTTTCGGACAATAGCTAAATCATTACATAGTGTATGAGGCTCCCGCTATAGAAGCCGATCCCAGCCAAGTGAGGAAAATGTTCGACGCCAATGTATTCGGTCTGTTCGACGTGGTGTCGACCTTTTCACCTCTCTTGATCGCTGCTACAGCCCACAAGTCCAAGTCCATGCCAACAATCATCAACGTCGCATCGATCCTTGCACGACTTCCATTCCCCTTCGCATCCGCATACAACGCAACAAAAGCCGCAGTTTCCGTTTACTCCGATACCCTACGGTTGGAACTCGCCCCTCTGGGTATCAGAGTCGTTACGTTATTTATGGGCGAAGTCTCCACCAAACTTCGGTCAGCGGATACTGTCAGCTTTGGACCTGACAGTTTGTACGCCGACGTTGAAGGAAAGGTCAAGGAGAGGACTGAGGAAAGCGCCAGAGTGTCCATGACACCGGCCGCTTTGGCTAAGCAAGTTGTTCCCAAGGTCCTTGGTAACAATGATGTCAGCTACATCTGGAAAGGCACAAATGCTTTCATCGTCTGGCTGCTTAATGCTGTAGGACCTCGGAAGGTCTTCGACTCGACCATGATGGGGCCTGTCCAGTTTGACGATAAGAACATGGTGAAACGGATATATGAACGTGGGCAGCGGTTTGTTGGGCTGCTGTGAGCAGCTAGGGAGACTCGACGGGACTCACATAGACAATACTTTTCTTATATCATTAATGCGCTATTAATTAATCTCTTTGCTTGTTTAGCTGAAAATTGACTGGAATTCTATTTCTCGCATCTTCTATTATTCTATCTAATTTTCAGTAACATAGACACGTCTATCTAGCGAATTCTTATACAGAGATTGACTAGTAGAAATATGCTGGCCGAATAAATGCACAGAAAACAAAACCCTTACCACTAGATGAAGGGGCTCCTCAGCTAGTAATTGCCAACCTGTACTAGCGGCTAGCGAAGCCCCAGACGCTCGACGGGAGGACCGTACGCAGTGCCATCGCTGCCTTTCGGGCCCAGGAGATGGGGGTGAAGCCCAACACACAAGCCGTGTTCGAGGGCAGTAATGACAGATATACCCCCCGGAATACCAGGGTCGCAATATGGGTTTATAGACTCGATGATTTAATTCTGCAATTCGTATTATGTATCGCATTTCGCTACGTTCTTCATCGATGCCGGAATCAAGAGATCCGTTGTTGAAAGTTTCAACTGATTTATCTAATCTGCTCAGACTACAATCTTCAGACAGAGCTCAATGGTGTCTTCGGCCGGCGCGGGCCCGAGGTATAAAGCCATGTCGCGAATTAATATGGTCAATTTGACCCATTAAACAACATACTACAATCTAAGGTTCGATCTAAGTACTCGGAAAACTCTATGTATTAACCCCGAGGCTAATCATTTGTCACTCCTCTTTCCCTTAGCTCATGGAGATTTTTCAAGACAGACCGAGGTCGCCCATCGTAATTCTTCGCCCTCATCCAAGCCTCCAGACTAGGAATTCGAGAGCTATGAATACGATCAAGCAACGCCATATTGCGAGTGGCTCCTTTACCCTCGCTCCAATAGCGCCACCAAGCCGCGAAATTCTCACGCCAGGTCATGAACGACTCGTCGCGGGGCACGTCAGGGCTGATAGCCCAGTTTGAATAAGCTCCTGGATACGGCTCTGCCTTCACTAGATACCCTTCCAGAGGTACACGTCTGTGTATGCCTTGTTTACCAGTCACTCTGGTAAATGTGGCTGCAATCTCGGTAAAGCTGACTTGATCCGTCGCCACTTCAAGGTCGAGGCCAGCAGACTCAGAGGGATTGTCAAAAATCCAGAGGCTATAGGCTCCAACATCATCGAGGGCAATGAGTGGGATTTTACCATCCGCTACGCCAGGCCGGTTCATTAGTAACCCGTCCAACTGTACCTGGATGAGTGAAAAACTTACCTGCTGGATTCTCCCAAACAAACGATCCATCAGCTTGCTCTTCAGGAACAAACATCCCATCAAAGAGCATATCCATGTATGGGCCCGTGGTCAAAAGTGAAGTCTTCATGGTAGCTTGTCCATGACTCAAGATCAGATCACCAATTCGGCCCTTGGCATCATTATGTCCCCAGTGATACCTCTCATCCCACCCAGCCTTTCGAAGAGCGTAATCGGTATTTGCAAAAATGTAATGCTTGACACCATGGTGCCGGGCAATTTCATATGCTCGGACACTGTAGAATAATTCGCTCTTTTCGCCAATTGTAAACCCATCCAGGTTTACCCATGCTCCGTAGACACCAGTGAAGGCAGCGTGAAGGTCCTTCTGGTTGTCCTGTGAGCCTTGGAGGAGTGTCACATTCGGCAGAGCAGCTAGTTTTGTAGCTTGGCCCGAGGCTGAGTTTCGAGTCAATAATCGGACACCGTAGCGACCACTCTCGGAGAGTGCTATGAATCTGTTAGAATAAAATTAAGTTAAGACTCCTTGGTGAAGGACGTACCCTTGACGACAGGACTGCCTTGGGCACCTGTTCCTCCAATGACGAGAATCAACTTCCGATTTTCCATGTCGATATTGAAGGACCTAAGGCGGTGATATCCGAGTTGGTAAAAAGGGAAGTGTGTATGCTACCCGGCGTCCTCGTGTCCCAGCTGGGATATTTATATTCGCAGCCTACCTCACAGTGGAGGATATCCTTGTGTTCGCCGAGATAGAAAATGATTCGTAATCTCTAAGGGCTTCCGATGAAAGTAGCTACATTCCGTACCCTAGAATACGATCTGGACTGGTGGCTTTGTAAGATAGTTATTATTAGCTACAGAACTAGACGACGAGCGCGGATTTTCATCATCTCAGTCTCGTTTCCACATTCCATATGCAGGTAGAGTGCCTCAAACGGATTTTAGCACAGCCGTGGCGACAAGTGTTATCTTGATTTTCTGAACAACGGCGCTTGTAGACCAACGATAATTAAACTATGCATCATGCACTTAATCTAATCTGTCACCGGGTTGCGGGCATTGCGGGAATCTGCGGGCATTTTTGCGGGCATGCGGGCTTCGGCTTACTGTGCAGGAATGCGCCATAAGGGCCAATCAGAATAGCCGCTCGGTATTACATGGCTGCAAGTACAGCATGGGGAATATGCCAGTGCATATTCTCGCGTATATTATTAGAGCTTTACATTAAAAGTTCGTTATCTCCAGACAAGTATAAAATCCCCAACCGTACTCTGCCAGAGAATCTTCAATCCAAATCATTGAATCCAAATCATTGAAAACATTTCACCCTTCCAAACTCCTACTTTCAAGCTCTCCAAGCCCCCCGAAGTCCTCCACAATGTCCAAGCTGATAGTCGTCACTGGCGCGACTGGCATGCAGGGCTCAGGAGTCATTGATGCCCTTGCCGCAAACCCCGACTGGAAAATCCGAGGTCTTACACGCAATACCAACAGCGAAAAGGCCAAGGCCCTGATTAAACGTGGCATCGAGATGGTCACCGCCGACTTGGATGACGAAGATAGTCTCGTTAAGGCCTTCATTGGTGCCAACGCCATCTTCGCAGTCACCGATTTCTACGAGCCATTCGCGACAGGGATCGGCCCAGAGAAGGCGATGCATATCGAGTACGACCGAGGCGTGAATTTGGCCCGTGCTGCTGCTAAAACAACCACTCTCGAATACTACTTCTGGAGCACCCTGCCCGATGCGAGCGGCCTAACTAACGGCGAGGCCAAGGTCCCGCATTTCGATGCCAAGGGGGCTATCGATGCCTATATCAAGAATGATCCGGTCTTGAACTCTAAGACAATCTTTCTTTTGACGGGATTTTATGCGTCTAATTTTAACTATCCGCCTTTTACCCCTATTTACTCGGTATGGATTTCACCTTTCTCTTTCAACCTGCCAAAGTTGCCTATCAACTAATAATTGAAAATTATAGAAACCAACCGGTCAATACATCCTTGCCCTCCCAGCCAACTCCTCGTCTTATCTCCCCTCACTGGGCTCGGTGGATAACATCGGTATCACCGTCAGTGGTCTGCTCCAACACCCATATCCCAAGGAAGCAAGTGATACCAAGGGAGGTCGATATGTCCACGTCACAACGGGCAAGTACCAGATCCAGGACTATTTCTCGAAATGGGCGGAAATTGCGGGAAAGGGGAAGCTTCAGGTTCTATCAGTTCCATTCAAGCAATTTGAAGCGCTTCACGGTATGTGGGGGACTGAATTGGGTCTTATGGTGAAGTTCTGGGAAGTTGCTGGACCGCCCAAGATGTGGGGAACAGTCGGGGAGGGGGATGTTATGATTGATTCTCGTGAACTTGAGGGCGTTAAGAATCGTTTGGTCAGTGCTGAGGACACCTGGAGACAGGCCGACTGGAGCCGGTTTTGAAGTTCCTTATTAGATCATAATATCATAATATAACCAATACTACCAGTGTATTTACTATTGTTATAGAAAGGATTCTTACACCTACGAGATATGATTGATAAACTTTCTTAGTGTACCGAAGCAATATCTGCAGTCAAGGGGAGAAAAGAAGGAAACAAAAATGAGGCCGACCCTCTAGGCGGCTAGATAGTGTTATCGTTACATACCCCAAGGAGAGAATAGAGGAGCTTCAGGGCGTAGGGACGGAAGAGTAGAACCGCAAGGGCAGTCATACTAATGTAAAAAACATACAACAGCCAGGATTCGCATGTGGTCACCCACCATACTACTAACTGGCCGGCGTGTGGCTTAAGTACGGCTGAGCGGACGGGAAGCCCTGTTCTCCACACCCTATGGTCGTATGTGCTAGGAAAGGAATAAATATAATTTATATTCTTTAGGACTGCCCACTTCCAACGTACCTGTCGCGACTTTAGCGTCGCTCGGCTGTGAGTAGGATGAGGGTGAGAATCACCCTCCGTCCTAGAATCTGAATCGTGTTGAAGGTCCTCGATTAAGCTGCGGATCTACAAAGCTCCATTTCCAGCATTGGCGCACGCGATCTATTATGTATCCAGGGCGGAAAAGCTTTTTTGTACTCGGAGTACTCATTCAGATGAAGTAACCTCGTTTACATTAATGATAAACCTAGATCGTGACTGCCCATGTGAATCTTCCCTAAGAGAGCCGCGGCCATGAAAGTTTGCATCCCCAAGCATAACTGAGTAAGAGCGAGAGGTATAAGGCAGTCTCCAACTCCATCTGCTTCTTTTCCCTCCTGACATCGCTCTGTTCTTCACCAGCTCGTAGACTGTTCTCGTGGCCAACGATGATCAAAACTCATACGCAGCTATTGTATCACCAGCCCGAACGGGTCCTGGGCATATGATTGACAGAATGTTTCTGAGTCCACACCCCCAACTTTCCTTTACCCTTTCTTCCCTAATTGGCATGATGTTTTTTCGTCCCGATAGTGCTCACGGTATCATGTATTATATCAGAACAAGTAGCTTCTTAGCATCCAAACTCGTTCTCGCACTAGCTACATCACAAGGCACAAATCACTTCTTGTTCCTTAGATCATGAACTTTTCCCAAAAAAAAAAAAACTCTGAATAGCTTCAAAAAACATTTGAAGTCAATGTGCGTTTGACGTATGACCAGAGGAAATAGCATAACTTGTATTCAAGAAGCTCACATGGAATATGAAAATCGTGCTTCGATGCTTGTCTTAATGGCCGCCTCGAGATCTGTGCGCCCATAAAGAACAGGGCCACGGGGGTGGAGCATGTAATCTGTACCAAGCTTGCCATCGGCGAGGATACTCGTCGCCAATTCGATCCAATAATCGAGAATTGAGGGAGGGAAAATTTGTGCATAGAACTTGCGAAGTTGGTCTCTTTCCACTGGTCGCAACTTAACCTCTTTCCCGAGCGCCTTTGCAAATGCCGCCTGCACGTCAAGCGGACTATAATTCTGGGGACCATGCAGTTCAACTATATACGGTCTCTTTGCTAGAGTTGCTTTGTCAATCAGCTGTTCGGCAAGAGTAGTACCAATGTCCAAGACGGAAACCATCGAAATTTTATAGTCCACAGGCGTAATCGTCGAAAAAAAGAATGGATCTGGGCCCTTAAGGGTGGCGAGGTTCATAGTCCAGTTCTCCATGAAATAGGCACATCGGACAAACACAATGCTTTCAACTTTCGTTCGCCGCAGTACTTCTTCCGCTTTGTTATTTGTCTTGATTTCGCCCTGTCTTCGTGGTCAGCAAGATCATAAGATTCGAGATTATATACGTACAACACCCTCGCTAAATTCAGCCCCGCCGCTACTGAGCAGAACGAGTCTCTTAACATTTCCAGCTAGCTCGATTGCCGTTTTGATATTTGAAGATATCTTCTCCGCATGTTCGATCAGATCCCGACCGTCGAAGACTGGTGGTATAATGGCAAGAACGGCATCAGATCCCGTCAGATCAAGCGTACCCTCATCTGACGCATTGCCCTCTACGGCAGAGAAGTTGGCCTCGGCAGAAAATGCAGCTGGGACCTTGGAAAGATCTCTGTAGATCCCATGAACCTGCACAGGCTTGCTGAGTAGCGACCTGATGGTTGCTACACCTGACTTTGTGCTTGCTGGTACAACTGTAACCCGCATTGTGAGATTCCTCAATCTGATATGGAGTCTGAGACAATTCAAGAATAAGTTTGTGTAGAGGATATGAAAGCGTGCATGGTATGTTTTCAAGTTTTAGGCCACCTCGTATTATGCTGATGTCATACACATCTTGACCAGGCCATCATTGGGGAACAGGGTCGATTTGTTATCTAATGGGATTAATTAGCTATTATGGGAAGCTGCACGCAATAGAATCGCTAAACTCCTGCGTGTGAGCGAGATCAATTGCATTTATTAGCCATCTCCTTAGTTGTTCAACTGAAAATTGCTAGGGCATAATTAGTCTAAAGCATAAGGGTCTGCCTAACAAAAGAATTTGGTACTCGAGTAAAGCGATTTTGGATATTCTGGTAGAGGATCTTAAGTGGACTGAATATTTTGCTCCTCAATCAACCGTTCTCAAGCATGATCTCCTGTCTCCCCTGAGAACAGCAAAAGTGAGGGCCAAGCTAGGGGTAGAAAAAGGGCTATGTACAACGATGGGAAGACTGAATTAGGGGACCTCGTTACAGTAGTTCCTCACAGGTATTAGATAGTTCGGCTAAAGGATAGTGGGATTGGAAGAAGTGCGGCAAGGTATTTCTCTATCAAAAAAAAAAAACATACAACAGCCAAAAGTATGGCTGATCTCACCTAGCGCCCATTGTTCAGTCCTAGGCGCCTCGCCGCTTTACCTAGGCGGCTTCAGGCGGCAGTTCGCCCACTTGAATATTCTTCACCAGAAGACTGCGTAGGGTAAAAAGCCCATTTACCTATTTTGGCACAGAAGACTTCGCCAGCGGCAAGCATAGAGAACAACAATAGATAAATATGAGGAAACGCTAGGCGCGTCTAGCAATGGCCTCTCACTATCTGACCCCTATTAACCAATAGTAAGGATCAACCCGCTAATTTTATCTTCGTCGTGGATTACGATAACTATAGTTAGTATAATTTGCGGAGCGAAGCGGAGCCAGATAGACACTTTATTCGATATGGTTCCCTATTAGTACCACGTGACTCACGTGACGTTTGCTCTTTTTGAGAACTTCCACAGTACACCAACGCTTAAGGTTTATCGCTTATGAGCACCAGCAAATCAACATGTACTTGAAGGAATGAGTGGATTGTGCCATAGAAAGGTTTTTCTGGTACGTGGGGCTAATCAATGACATCATACTACGATAGATGTAGTGAAGGACTGACCACTATGACGTTATATTATAAACCGCAATGTAAATATCTAGAAGGCACGAAGTTCATAATGAACTTGTCAGAAGCACAATGAACTTAGCAGAAGATGGCAAGTTTTATAAGAAGATACTACTTTACGAAATCCTTATCCAACCTTTATTCATTACACCAAGCACAAATATTATATTCCACTATGCGCACAGCAAAATTTGTTAATGACAATATCACCGTATCGAGCGACTCCGACGTGAAGTTGACGCTCTTCGATGAGAACGATACCGATAACCCTTTAACTTTCCTTTGCCCTGGAGACACTAAAAAAAAATTCACCGGAAGAATTCTTAGTATTGAACCCTGTCAGACCTATTCTACTAGGTCCTGGCAGCTTTCAGAGGATACAGAATTCGATGCTAATAAGGATATTATTGTGACTAATGAGAGTGAGCAATTTATACCTAAAAATTGATTAATGAGTGACTACTAATAGCTAAATAAGCGATCGAACAAGGAAACAAGGTGGTTACGTTTAGTTAAGGAAGGGAGATCCTTAAAGAAAATTTGTTATCTAGTTTAGCTATATTACGGTTCTCGAATCGGGTTCATTAGTGCTCTATTTCTTAGCCCCACTGCTAAGACCTACGGTAGATCGTTTATTGAGTAGACTATACACTCAGTTAAGGGCCGCCGTAAATTGCGACGTAGATTGCATAGTGATTCATGGCCCAGGAATCAAAGCGCAGGCTATAATCTTACCATCGAATACGATACCACATAAGATACGTTTTACAACTGTTCTCAACGAAGTATGGTCTGCTCAATAAATTATCTGCGCTGAGGCCTATATCGCGGTGGGGGCCGAGAAAAAAATCTCAGTGTTTACTACTTCGTACAGTTCTTGACCGGTCTACTATGTCAGCGTTTAACGGTACCAGCTTTGAATCGACAACGACAATAAAATCCGCGATGAATAATTGTAGCCACCTGGAGACAAAGCATCTTTGCTTACCGAAGTTAGTTTTCTATGTAGATAATGCAGCCTTCTATTCGATGTCAAAGGGGTGTGAGCGAAGGCTGCGTGTGGTGAGGAGGCCAAAAACAAAGGCAAATGAAGTTGGGCGGGGAAGGTCTCGCTAGATTGATTATTAGGATCGACCCTGCTTGGTTTGTTTACATGAAAGATACTCTTAATTTCCAAGAAAAATTGCGGTATCATAACAGTTACAAGTTTCAGGGATGCTGTCGACAAGAATACTCCATTCTATATCGGAGAATGTGGTGAACGTAATTGCATCAGAGTCGACCCGGGCCAAAAGGTGGCTACTTTGATGGGCATATCAAGAGATATCGAAAATCCTGGCCTCTCAAAATACAATGGGTGTGATTCTCATGATATCACCTCGACAGAAAATGTTGAAGTTGCGTTCAGTGACATAGCTATTCTGGGAGTTTCTGGTAGTGTACCCGCTGCAGTGCCTAGTCCAATGCAGACAAGCCGAACGAAGGATTCGTCACCAACTCCCCCAGAAAGTGGCGAGGTCAGGATCCAGGGCGAGGAACTGAAAAGTCGAATCATGGGTTTTGGCTCAGGCGGATAGCGGGACTTTCCTATCCTTGGGGCATAAAGCAGGCTATATCTTCAATTACAGCGCCAGGGACATCCCGGGTCGGGAAGATATAGAGCATCTGCGCATTATAACCTCTGTTCTGTGAATATCTTTATTGATCAAAAGAAGCCTGGCGAGTCCAAATTGAAAACTACACATGAGGGATAATTCTAGAGGTCATCATTCATTGAGGCTATCCCGGAGTGTATACACCAACATCAACCATCACATTCACAGGAAGCACATACAAATTACATTATTTTGAATGGAGATTTTATATAAAAGGCGAGTATCAACACACTCACACACCAGCCGGCTCCAGCCGTCCCTGAACTTCCTGCCACACCTGCCGCAGCGTGACCAGATGGACCCGGTCCGCATGGAAGAATCCCAGCAGGATAGACCGACACTCCTGCCAGGAGGTCACGCCGTGCATTCTGGTGGCAGCAGCTAGTTCCGTGACGAAATATGTGCGTTCAGAAGGCATCACCTGGCTACAAGCTGCGCCGATGAAAAGCACCCAGATCAGGAGGTCGCGGCACAATGCGAACAGGCCCGTGGGAATGGTTGCTTCTAGCGCGGCGCGCAGGGCTAGAAGGGGCTTTGGCAGCAGGGGCGCAAGCATGGGGTAGAAGCTCCAGATGGCACTGTTGTGGAAGCAAAGACAGGCCAGGCGTGTACAGCCCTCGATCGAGTTGTCGCCCTTGATTTGGCCGGTGGGTGTGTATCGGTCTGCATGAAGGGAATACTCGACGTAGAGGACTTCAAAGTTGAAGTAATCTTCCGTCTCTTCATCGAATTCCTTGTAGCCGCTGCTACCTTTGATCCACTCGGCGTACCAGGAGAGCTCGAGCAGGTCGTAGATGATTTTAGAAAAGCTGTCGCTGAAGATGCCTGGGATTTTCATGAGGGGGAGAAGACGGGTTGCGCAGAGGGCAACGTCGTCGCTAGGCGGGAGGAGCGTCAAGCGTGGGGGCCGGGTGGACCGGACGAAGGGGAAGATGGGTTTGGTGAGGGCCATGCAGGCGACTCGGATGTCCGTCCTAGTGGGTGGTTAACACTATGGTCGTCACGACTCGAGAGAATCCCTTACCAATTAATTTGGAATCGGACGTCAGGAAGCACGTCGGCAAAGTTCTTGCGCATTCCAATCATTTGACGCAAGCCAGCCAGATGGATCTTGAGATAGTCGGGGTTACCCGAGGCGATCTAATCAAATCAGTTTTCAAGTTTCGCCGAGAATACCACGAGAGAATTTCCACTCACCTCGATGGTTAATAGTGTAGACACTGCAGCGATCAATTCATCACTAGAACACTTCACCGGGTCCGATAGCCCTTCATTCACCAATCTGATCGTCTCGCCTCGATGGTGGAATGTATCAACCACCAGGGCACTGCGATGCTGATTCGGATCTCGGATAGGCAACTCGCCCCTTTGCATGGCTGCGTTTGAAGTAGACATACAAATTGCCGCATGGAGAATGGCCGGGTCTCGCTGGATAAGAGCGGCCCAATGGGCCTGCAACTTTGGTTTATACCGTGTCTGCAATGGATGCGCTTCTTGGGTCAAATCCCACAGGACTGTTGATTGATGTTAGTCAATTAGATCACGAATCATACTGGAGCGTCAAGATTAAAGCGTACAGTTCTGTAAATGTCTCATCATACGGTCTGTGAGCTGGGTATGACCCGTATTAAACGGATCGTGTGCACCCGATCCCACATACGACCATGGAGAATAGCGTGATGATTTCGTAGGGTATCCCACGACACCATCATAGCTACTGTCATCCCAAGAATCATCGCTCCAGGTTTGCCCGACCCAAGTTGCCGTGTCAGCTGTGACGGGCGGATAGTAATCCACGGCGGTCGTAGTAGGCACTAATTCATGCTTTGATGGGGGCGACTCGCTAACATTTGAGCCCCAGCGACTGCTGCTAGACGAAGACGAGGGCGTGGATGCCGGGGGCCGGGGCGGACCCATGCCCCCCGGAATCGTCTCTGGTGGCTGAAAGGCCAAATGCTTCCAGGATTTGCCTTTATATTTCTTAGTGTTTTCCAATCGCTTTTTACGATTGTGTTCTGACATAACATGAGACCGAATGCGCTTCAGGGTTTCTTCTTTTGTTCCCGAGGCGGCAGAATCCGGGTCGGTATGGACCCAGAAGAGCGTGGACTTTCCCGCCGAAGCATTGGCCGCCTTACGGGGCTTGCGGACCTTGGAAGGGGCATTACGCTCCGTCGTGGTGGTAGCAGCAGCAGTGGTAGCCGGTTGAGCCGGCTGCTGGGTTGTCGCATTCGGCGCTGAAGCTAGCGCTGTGGTCTGGGATGGCGGTGCAGTCGTAGTTGGAGGGTGCGACAGCATGGATGTTGTATAGGGGTCCGTGTGCAGGTTCGGATCGGCTTCAGACCATGTTGACGGAGCGGATGCTGAAGGCCGAGTGAGCACGGGGAGACTCTGCTCGTACTCGTAGCCTCCGGGGAAGGATTGCTTGGCATCCATGGGACGAGCTTAATCGGACACCGTCCGATGGAGGGCGGAGAGAAGAAGAACGAGAGGCAGAGCTCGTGAGCACGGAAAAATTTGGCGGGGTAGAAGAAAGGGAGGTTGCTCGGAGAGGAAGAAGACGAAGGTACACCAGTGACTTGTGACTCCCGGGGAGATATCCCTGACTGTCCGCTTAGGAGAAGAATAATGAATTCTTCACGTTTATCATGGCATTCTCCGACGAATCATGAACTCCCGCTAAAGTCGCTAGTGAGGAGTCGGGGGGTCTGTACCGAGCACCAGGTGGAATCTCTGCAAGATCGCGTCGTTTTTTTTTTCTGCTCTTAGTCGAAACGAAGAGAGTGGAGATGGTACCCCCCGAGGGCCCAGAAGAATGTGCAGAAGAGAAGAAGAAAAGAGGAAGTTGGTGCTTATTTCTTTTGCGGCGGCGCCGAAACCCTAAAGCCGTTTAAGAAGAGTGTTTGCTAAGGGGAAGGGGGATTGTTCTTTAGCTTAATTAATTCCACCGGAGTAGACAAATGACAAATAATTCGACTACTTTGTACGTACATTAGCTCTGTCATTCTTTGACTATTCTTCTCTGTACGACTGATCACCTAACATTTCCCCCCTCCGCCTCTAACGATCCAACGCCCACCAGAGACCTTGACTGGAGACCCAACTTGAATGGGACGGAATGCAATTGGCACATCCAGACGAAATCATTGGATCTCGGCCCCACCGAGTCGAGACCCTCGAGACCCTCCACTTCAACTCCGAGCGACTAAACAGTATATTGTTACCACATCAATTCCCTTATTTCAAATCATCTCGTCCGATGGGTACAGAGAGCATTACAATTATCCGAGCATCCCGGCCCAAGGAGGCTGAGCCTAATATCAAATCCCGACCGGACTGTCGACGGTGCTAAAACGGTGCATGAGGCGGCTGCGTCTGAACCTTTCTGTCGGGTCCGTCCAGACACGCTAGTCGAAGATTGCACAAGGCGAAGGTTATACAGGCACTGCTCGGCTTTTTTGTTATCTGTTGTTTGAGAACTATCCCATGCAGAATTAGGCATTGACTGGCTTAGTTAATTAAAATGCAACATCCTTGTCGGTTCATACCGCTGATCAAATTCAGGAACATTTTAGATCGGTACTTTCGCCTCCTATGGCCATGATAGGATGACGAAAATCTCCCCGTCTAACGGTTTGGGGGCCAGATGAAAGTACCATGAGTACTCTCCACTCTATACCGATTACAACGTACATGCCTGTCAAGCTTACCAACAATAAATTTACCGAGTGTCGTCGGTAGCAATCATCTCGAGTGTATGAGGCATGTGGCGTATAAGGCTGATCCGATCTGATATAAGCACTACGACGGGATCTGCAACGACAATCTCCTTCCTCCTCAACGCCAATACAGTACACTCTATTACTCTTTGCCACTCAGCCGGATACCGGCAACTTGAAAATGAGACCAGCAACTCGCTAGATTATATGAACTTCATTGCCGGGGCTGAATGTAATTTTCTATCGATTGCGTCACGGCGCAGAGTGTCAGCGCAGTCACGGCTCAGCCGCAGAGCGACGTGCCAGCAGCCCGCTCGGCATGGGAGGGAAGAGAAGGTAAGGAGGCAATATTGAATGAGAAAAGAGGAATTGGAAAATACAACAAGAAAGAGAGAGGAAGGAAAGGGCCAAGTTGCAAAGAGGGTTTGCTACCATCAAAACTCCCCACGTTTCCCCCATGCCCTGGATCCTGATCCTTATGCCATGCCCGGTCGCGGGAAAACGGGGACTGTCTCCATCTGTTCAAGCCCGCCCATTGTACCATTTTGCCCGGTTTGCCACCCTTGACCAGTCTGCTGATTGATAAACTGACTCTGGCGGAAGGGGTTGGTACTTCCAGTCGGGTTAGGCCCCAGAGGAGCTGCAGCTGGAGGCTGCAGTCCCCCATTCTGAGGAGGCGGCACGGATGCGCTCCGAGCGAACGGGTTAGTTCCTGTGCGCTGGGGCTGCAGGGCTTGTGGCTGTGCTTGTGCTTGGGGGATCTGGGGAACCTGAGGTACGGGCTCGGGGGCTCCCTGATTATAGCTGGGCTGTGCCATGGAAAGACGCTTGGCAAATGGGTTTGTGTTCTGCCGTTGAAGAGGGGCGGCGGGTGCAGGGGGTGCACCACCCGTGGGGTTATTCAGCATCATAGATTGCCGGAATGGGTTGGTCCCAGTATGTTGCGGCTGCAACGCCTGTGGCTGTTGGAGCTGTTGTGGCTGTTGAGAGAATGAAGGAACCGCATTCTGCGGGATGGGAGCCAGCTGTGATTGATATCCATAGGATTGCTGTGGCTGCGCTGTATATCCACCAAATCCAGCACCGGTGGGCATCGACTGGAGTGGCTGCGGCTGCGGCTGCGGCTGTATTTGCTGTTGGCCGAAGGGGTTGCCAGTGTTTTGCTGGGGGAAACCTTGGCCATATGGGTTCTGCTGGCCAAACCCGGTGGCTTGAGGCTGCTGAGGGAAACCAGTCTGTTGAGGGTAAAATGCCTGTTGTGGCTGTTGCTGCTGCTGGAAGCCTGGTTGTTGATACGGCATTCCACCGGGCTGGGCCATTGACTGTTGGTTCTGCTCAATAGAGTCGAAGAAATCAATCAGATCCGTAGGGGCTTGCTTCTGCGTTTCAGGCTGCCTGGGCGGGTTTGACACGGGCTTGGGTTGATTGCTAGAGGAAGACTCCGCGAAGGCGGACTCGGCACCAGAAGTCGGTGCGCGCCCATCCTTCTTGATCCCTTTACCGGCCAAGTATTCTCGCCTGCGAAGGTCAAAGTCCGGATCATTCAAGTCATCTTCAAGAAGGCGCGCCAGGTCGGTGGAGGCATGTTTAAGCTTCGGAATCTCCAACCGGGTGGCGGACTGAAAGTGCCGCGCAACACCCAAGAACTGAACCACCTCCTCCGTCTGCTTCGTAAAGGTCTTGTATATTGCCAAGGCGCGTTCACTATCCGGCCTTGACATTTCAAAGTAATGCTCTATTCGAGGAAATCGTTAGAAACTGTGGCAGCACTCGGGGGCCGGAAATGGCTGGAATTACCCAAAACATTGATAGTTCCCTCGTTCATAACCGAGTACAGCGTCAAAAGATCGAGTGTAAGGAGGCGGAATGCAGTCAAACTGATCTCGTTCTCGGGTTCATCTGTCAACAGCTGCGTATTCTGTCAGTAGCTGCGTCGCAATCCAACTCCCGGGTGTTACCTACATCACATCGCAACAACGCACGGATTTGCTTCTGTACAACTTCCGTTTCTCTTAAAAGACCTTTATCCACGCTCAGTCGCTTTAGACGCCCGGGTCCGCTCCGCACGTAGTCGGTCTTGGTGGCATCGAACGCTTTGGCGCGCGTCATGAGATACTCGGCATATCGCCGGATGTTATGTCCCTGTGATTGCGCTACTCATATTATCAGTACGCAGTGTCCAAGCCGCATATGTTGTAATGATTCACCTTCGGAGAAGTTACTGGGCGCGATCTTCTTCGGGTTGTCCGAGAGATACGACAGCGCTGCATCCTGCTGACCCTCCCGGATCATGAGGTGAACGATGATCAGGGCCTTAAACACGATTGTCCATGCTGAGTCTCGGAGTCTATGCTGAAGCGTTCGGAAGATCTCTGCGACGCCCGCCTCGCCGGTGTGAGTCGCCACCAGAATGGTTTCAACGTATTTAGATTTAGGGGCCGCAAGCTGTGCGCAAAGATGTGTTATTACTTGAATACCTCAGGTCTCCATTGAGTAAGACCGATAACTCACCTTGAGCTTAGTAGCCCCCTTTACCGACTTCTCAAAGTTGGTCATTGCCGTCGGGGCTGCAGGTCAGGGCCCGCTCCTGTCAAGATCGATTGGGTTTGAGGAAAATGGAGTCTAGGTAGACAGGAACCGAGAAAGAGACTGAAGAGCCCGCTTCAGATGTTGCTGTGATTGAAACGTGCTTGTAGAGTCTCAATCATCACTGGTATCGCGTACGGGGGGGGGGGGGGGGGGGGTTGGCTCATTGGGCCATGGCGAGAGCCTGGGAAGAAGAGACGGCGGCGCTTTGCGGGGGAAAAGTACAGGGCAATCGGATTGACCGGGTTGTCAATTGGCAGTCAGGGCAAGCTCGCGAGCACGACGATAGGAATGCAGGATTAAGAATAGGGTCGAGAGGTCGTGATCTCAAGGAACAACTAAGGCTGGTGGGCGGAGCTTAGGCGTCGGGCTCGTAGCCCCCAATCGGGTATAGCGCCGTTCCCCAGCACGAGGATCGGCTGTATGTGCATGGCATTTGAAACCTAACGTTGTCATTAGATAGACTATGTACTTTCTGGAAGGACTTGGATTGTTATTTATTGTAATTGACTGCTATATTATAGTTCAAAGGCTTTCATCTTTGTCTTGTCTTATTTATTGGACTACTGGTAGGTTTATCAATGTGGGTAGATAACGTTTTGTAGAATATATATCGAGCCATACCTGGTAGGACGACAGTAGTAACCTTACTTACTTCTCGGCCAAATCAATCAATACTACCCGATATCCATTTGCTTACACCTCGAAGAGTCGCGATTTACAAGAGGAAGAGGGAATATTCATCATAATAACAGTGACTCGTGTGAAACTGCGATAAAGGACCTGCAGTCTAGGGGGATGGAACCAGCTTGAACATGTGGGGGTTGGATTACGTAGGGCCATTCTTGAAGTTCAGAACAAAATTATTTAGGTGGCTTCCATATAGCTTGTTACAGGTGCCTGCAATGCCCGAGTAGGACCAAAAGAGAGTCTGGGGAGGCCTATGGGTCCGGTTTATCCCTCAAAATGGATGGCCAAGTAACCTTGTGTATAAGTCTATCTATTTGGTGCTCGTGCGAAGACTTGAAACCCGACATTTTTAGGTACCCGGAGCCATCAAGACACAGTCCCCTGCATCTTCATACATCCATACACCTCGTTGGAATGGCTGGAATGGCTGGGCACCGGGCGGTAGTCATCTCCAAACTTAGCCTCTACTGTCGTCTACAAGCAGATATAAAACCAAGTCGAACAAGACGAAACATCCATATACCACAGAGATATGCAGAAACGGAAATGTCGATTCCTCCTATCGTATCAATGACAACGGATTAAGACTGGCTTGCGGCCCTGAGAACACTTTCATCCCAATGATTTCAGAGATAGCCCTCAATCAGGGCGGGTGTACGGTTTCCATGGCAGGAGGATCGATGAAATATTTTTGCTTTTTGTGTGGATACACATTCTTCAGCAAGGTATCTGGGACATGGAAACTCGTAAACTATCCCGACCCCCGTCCAAGAAATTCCTTTATATCCAGTTCAAACCGCTTCCTTCGCCGTATCGTCCATTCCGAGCACCCAGATCGATTCAACGCTTAGAACTTGCTGAAAGACTTGACGGCCTTGCCAGTGCGGGGCAGGACACGCAGGACGTTGAAGCGGACCTGTAGAGAAAAATTCGAGTTAGCCAGATATTCAGTAGAAAGATGTGATAGAGCCATGCGAGGCGGGGGATGTGTGCGGCCGAATGTTGAGACAAAGGTCGAAAATGACCAGCCAGTCACCACCAGAGCCACTGGTGGATAGGGATTTTTTTTTCGAGGTAGGAATTCGATATTTGCAACGTACAGTCTTGGAGAGGGGACGGCACTGGCCGACGGTGACCCAGTCACCCTCCTCAACACGGAAAGCGGGGGAGACGTGAGCAGCCAGGTTCTTGTGGCGCTTCTCGTAACGGTTGTACTTGGGGACGTAGTGGAGGTATTCACGGCGGATGACGATGGTGCGGTGCATCTTGGTGGACACAACACGGCCGGTCAGGATACGGCCACGGATGGAGACGAGACCGGTGAAGGGGCACTTCTTGTCTGTATGATCGAGTCCGTTAGTGGATTGATGGTTCCAAAGGGATATGGCGGGTCGAGCAAGATCTTCAATATCGTAGATCATGTTCTCGAGAGCGGAGGATGCGGTCTTCACAAGCGATTGAAAATAGAGGAGAAAGAGATCTGCTTCCACGAGTTCATCGCAAATGCCCGATTCCATTCACATCATAGTTCACGGGCCCCGTAACACTGCCCTGGCCGCTTGCTGTTCCCGATCTCCACCCTCATTGAAAATGACCCAAAAATGTCGTAGATCTCGCCGTTTTGCCATAAATTTCGTATCGCAGGTCGTGCATACCGATGTAGGTGCCCTCAATGGCGGTCTTGGGGGTACGGAAACCGAGACCGACATCCTTGTACCAGCGGCGGGTCTGACCAGCCTTCTTGGACTTGGCCTGAGACTTCGAGTTCTGGAAGATGTGAGGCTGCTTCTGGAAAGCGCGCTCGGACTGGACGGTCAACTCGGTCGCCATGGTTGCGGTGTGTGTCGACGGGGAAGCGTTGTCGAGCTGGGTGAAAAGTTGGCGTGTCGGGTATCGGGATAAGGACTGTCGAGGTTGAGAAAGATTCGCTAAAGGCGTGGATTCTTGTGTGTGTGACCGCTAGTCTATTTTGGGCCTAGTGCGGGTGCGGGTTAGGGCTTGCCGTTTGTTTACGTTTCGGGCTATCACGTGACACATTTCAACGCGCCGCGGATCCCGGGCGGGACGTGTAGCTGTGTATGAAGTATGATTGAGGGGGAATGCGACCAGCTTTAATCTTCGACCCACGCCCACCCTGTGCGTGTATCATGCTGGGCTGATTGCGATCTTTTGTGGATGCAGCCAGAATGTCTACTCGACCGGACTCCGCGGCTACGCGACCGCGCTCGCGCCGCTCTATTGCCCATGTTCCGCGATCTAAGATGACGTCTGGCCTGGATAAGGAGAATGCGACGACGGACATTGGAGCAATGGCGCCCTCTGGATCCAACACCAGGCCTGCCGGAAAGGATAAGAAATCCCGAAGCAAGAGTTTAGGACCTGGAGGACTGGATGCGCTGCAGCATTCTAATGGGAATCGTCGCAAGGTAGCTGTCGCCCAAAATTCTCCCCGCGCATATAGAAGACAGACCGAGCTAATTTGAATTCCTCTGCAGTCAACTGCCTCGTTTCCTCTCAAATCAATTCTCAAACCTACAGTCCCCGTATCACCAGTACGGAATATCCCATCATTCGAAGAGACTCGTCGGCGCACCCCTGCTCGCGACGCATCTTCTCAGAAAGCCAATGCCGCCGGCAACGAGGGGCTTCTGATCGACTTTGCAACGTCACCACAGCCCGCAGGTACAGGAAATGAGAAGTCAGACAACCCATTCGACACCTTCAATGCGACTTCTGCCATTCGCGACGAGATGGCTGCAACCAAAGAACGCGACGAGAAGGAGCGCCGGGAGCGGGAACGACAAACTATTCTGGAGAAGCGAGAAGCCCGACGAAAGTCCATGGGTATGTACACCATGAAATACAATCAAGTACGATTCATTGCTAACTTCAAATGTTAAAGCAAACCGCCGTGTCTCATTTGCCCCCGAGGCTACACTGCACACCTGGAACGTTGTCGAGATACCCGATGATGCAACTTCGTCATCTGCATCGAACTCTACTCGGCGGACATCGTCCCTTACGAACAACCATGGCCAACAACCCGCACCGACCCCCGCAAGGGAGGCGCCTTCGTCGCCGGATGATGCCGAGTCTGATTTCGGGTTCTCTCCTGTTCGCGAACAAGACTTGCAGCAAATGAGGGATCGTTCAGTCTCAGATGGCACAGAAGATAGTCATGCAGATCTTTCTTCAAGTCCTTTTAGCGGAAGCTCAGCTGCGAGCGAAGATACTGGCGCTCATAGTGTCGTTGAAGAGGAAGATGGTGGGGACTCCTCGGCATCTGACGATGGATTTGATGCTGAGAGCACTGCCATGAGCATGGATGACATGACAGGGCGTTCTTCTGCCACTGTCCGGTCAGACGTTTCTTCCAGCTCCAGCTCTAGCGCCAGACTCAACGACGCACTCCGTCAGGCCGCAAAGGAAGCGGGAACCCAAGCAATTGATGACACCGGTGAAATTTCAATGGAAATAGCGGACCAAGAAATCACCGGTGCATTTAAGCCATGGATTCAGAAGGGCCAGAGACAGAGTTTCGACTGGGACGACCTTAGTGCTCGCCATGATCAAGAGAATGTCGACCCCGCCAAGTCCGCCTCGACCCAGGACGTCCCCGCCTCGGATGAGATGGAAGAGGACGAGGATTTGAGTATGGATGTGACTAACGTTGTTGGCGGAATCTTGGGTAGAGCAACCGGACGCCGCCAGAGCGCTGTCAGTCGCAAATCCCTGGGCCAAGAAACCAACTACGGCGATCAGACCATGGAGATGACTGCCATGGTTGGCGGAATTGCGGCCACAGAGTCTCCTGTTAGGCCTTTTGACGAGGGGAATGAAGATGAAGAGATGACTATGGAGTTCACATCAGTCGTTGGTGGTGTTTTGAACAAGGTTCAACCACTCCAACCAGCTGCGGACACCAGCACGGAAGAACCAGGCTCCTACACCCCCAAGTCTGACCGCATGTCGCCTGATGGGGATGACGAATCCGATGGGGGCATGGAAATGGAGATTACTGGTGCTGTCGGTGGTATTTTGCCATCGGGATTAGAGACCCCAGATAAAGCTCAGGCCAAGAGGATCATGGAGCTTGAGACCGAGTCTGGCCAGCTGGGAAGCTCACCATTCCAAGCGGCTGTCCAGCAATCTCCTCCCAAGCCTCCTACAAAATCACCCCTCGCATTGCAGGTTGCTACTATTGCCGCGGAGAATGGCAGCCCCAGCTTGGCGAGCGTTCCTCCCAGACGCTCATCGCGACGTAGCTCCGTGCTGGAAGGATCAAGAACTCCTGAAACGGCCACTCGCCATCAATCGCTATTGGAAAAACCAACTACGCCATCGCAGCAGCTGACACCTCAGCCTCGACCGACAACGCCCAGCAAAACCCCGCCGTCTGCCAATGTTACATTCCGCAGTGCCTCTCCTAAGAAGCTATTCAAGCCCGACATCAAACAGTCGGCAGAGAAACAGAAGAACTCTCGTCTGAGCATCTTTGAGCAGGATATTTCTACTGGCCAGTCGACTCCTCGGATTGTTCTTCAGCCTCGCGAAGGGCGTCTCTCCTCCGGCTTAGGGATCGATAAGGAAGGTCTTGGATCTCCTCGTGTTGCGGCCCTTCTCGATAAACGACTATCGCTGGGTGAAAATACACCACAATTTGTTCCTCAAGAGCGGCCCCGTGTTGGTGGTGTGCGCTTTGAAGACCCATTGAAGATGCAGGCCGATGAGGATCGAGAGCGTGAGGAGGAGGAGCTCCGAGAAGATGGTCATTTTGCCTCACTTAACACTATGAGTCGAGATCCCACATCGAGTCTGAAAGACCTGATCTCACGTATGAGTCCCAAGAAGGGCAAGATCGGAAATCGCAAGAGTCTTCACGTCGGTGCTGCCCGTGGCATTCTTGGCAAGCGTCCCGCTGAGCTCGACTTGGATGAAGAAGAGGCAGAGAACTCACCCAAGAGACTGCGCGGCCACACTGTGAGTCCAGTCAAGGGTGTAAGGCTACCAGGCCCAAGCCATGAGAGTACCACTGGTCACCGGTCCATCCGATCTCCAGTGCGTAGAGCTCGCAGCTCATCCCCTCTAAAGGGTAGTACCACTCCTATGCAAGAGCCCAGGAATGTTTCTAATAACGGAACAACGCCTCTGAAGAAGGGAATCGATGCTCTGCATCTGGCTTCTGACCCCCAGCAGCCGGAGGAGGAAGAGGTAGAGGCTACCATCGAGGATCAAGCCGAGGAAGTTGAGCCTATCCAACTTCAAGATTTCCTTAACATGACCAATATCCACTTTATGGAGCTCACCACGACGAAGAGACGACACACCACCGCGCCTGGCAGTGCTACTAAGCGGCTGAGTAGGGTTTCTTTGGAGAACACAGCCAAACAGGGTGTGATCACTTTTGACGACTGTGTGGCCGCTGGCTTCTGCACGGTACCCATGCTAGAGTTGTATCAACACGTAAGTTATGCTCAGACGTATTTCATCAATGACGGAACTGCCTCGCTAATTCATGATAGTCTTGCCGTGAATTGAAGTCGTATATCTCGGAAGGCCGCCAAGTGATCCGGTCCATTGAAGCCGAGACGTACGAGGACAACCCTCCTCTCTTCCGTGAATATGTGACGGCCCCGCCAGACATCCGGGTGATCATGGACAATCAGTTCCGAAATGTGAAGACTCATGCACGCCTGCTTAGCAAGGCCACCTGGTACGAGTGGCGCATGAAGCTTCTTGAGGGTCTGAAGGAAGGACTTCACCGACATGTAAAGGACATGAAGGCAGATGATGAGCTGCTATCTAAAAGCGAGGCGCTTCTCGATAGCACCGTACCTCCGTTGGTCGAGAAGCACGCGTCTCTTCAGCAAGAGGCAACCAACCTGCAGCAACTGGTCGAAGAGATGGAAAGCTGTGACCAGGACGAACTGCGAGGCGCACGCGAAAAGCTTTTTAGCGTCGAGGAGGAGATCGAAGCCAGGAAACGAGAACTCGAGCAATTGCAAGTGGAGGCGCAAGAGAAGACCAACATCATCGAAGCCGGAGGTGAGCTGCGAGATGAGTTCCTTGCACAGATCCAAGAGGCGGAGCGTGTCAAGGAAGAGTGTCGAGGATGGAGCGCTCGGGATATTCGCGAGCTCAAGGTTTCTGTCCAGAAAATCGAGCACCAAACCGGCTGGTCGATTGTTTCAGCGTCGACCCCAGCGGAGTCGTCTGCTAGCCCGATGTTGACCATGTCATACCGTGGCCAGCTGCAAATCAAATTCCACCCTGGTGCATTCGCCACGAAGAATTCGTCTGCCGAGAAGAGCAACCTTCCTCTGGAGTTGACTTCTATCAAGGGCAAGTCGATTTCTCTCATCGCATCTCTGGTCTTGCAATCATTGCAGCAGCATCTCGCCACAATCCAGCAATCCAAGATCACTCCGAAGCAGCTTCTGCGCTTCATCTCAAGTGCCTGGGACCGCACCACCGGCCTCGAGAACGAGGCTCGTATGCTCGAGTTCTGCGGCCTAACCCGCCTCACCCTCTCGGATCCTAGTGACACTTCGCTCTCCCTGCGAGCTCGCTGCACTCTTCTCGGCAATGCCGCCGTATCCTCAACGCCTGGCCGTAAAGGTGCTGCGGCGAAGAACAATGGTGCCAAGCGCATCGACGTTGACTTTACCGTTCGCACGCGCATTGATACCGAGGTCAAAGATCTGAAGGAGATTGGGTCTCTTGACTTTGACATTGATGTTATCGCGACGAAAGTCTACGGTTTTGGTGCCGGTAATAAGTCGGGTCTTTCGGGCAAAGAGATGCAGAGTATCCTTGGCAAGGGGATGGTTCGGGACGAGGGACAGACTCTTGGAAATGGGGTCTGGTGCAAGGCTGTACAGATGCTAACCGGATCGGTGTTTTAACGGAGGATTTATGATATATTGTTATTTTACGTTTTAGGAGGCCTGGAATGGATGGAATTGGGATGGTTCTAGGGGTATGGGTCTCGAGCAACGGAGTTATGGTCGTGGTGGTTATGGATTGGTTACTGTATCCCTTGGGCTTGAGCGATTTATTATTTGAATGATTATGCATTTTCCCACCATTTTAACACCTGCATCTCGAAATCAATGTTCTCTGTAGATACTGAGTGGTAACATCTCTCGAAGAAAACACTCGCTTCATCCAACCCATGCAATTCAATGCAACTCAACGAATGGTTAGCAAATCATCGTAACCTAGGAGAGGAAACAGGTTATCCCATATACAAGCAGAAACACTGTACACACGCACAAATGAACCCAATGTACAAACGCTAAGCTCAACCCGCACTAAAACAACCCCAAAAACCCATTCGGCCAAATCATCTCCGCCGTATCCTGTCCCATCCCCTGATCCTGCACCCCCCTCGGCGGCATATAATTATTATACCCCATGCCCACTCCCGTATAACCCGTGTCGGCAGCACTCATATCTAGCTCCGCCTCGGGAGGGACATTCAAGAACGATTCCGCAGATAGAATGGGGAGTTGAACATTTTCTGCCTGTGCGGAGGCGGCGATGGTTTCGGCGGGAAAGAGACCGGACCAGATGTTATCGCCGAATTGCCAGTCTGCTGTTAGAGGCACTTGCCATGAGGCAGGGAACATGGTTGTGCCTGGTGTGGTGCTGCTCGTTGAGAAGGGGGATTGTGTGCCTTCTAGTGGGGAAGAATCGGTTGTCTGGGCCGCATTCTCTTGTCCTAGTTGCCAGGCGGGGAGGGTGTTGGATGGGAAGTCTGTAGTTGTGGTGCCGTTGAGGTCTTGCAGGCCCAGGCCGGTTGGGTAGTTTGCGGATGGGATTGTGGGTTGTGAGGGTATCGATGAAGGGAAGGAATTTGTCACGCTTGGGCTCAGTGGGACGACATAACCTTCTGAGTTGACGGGTGGCAAGCCCTCGATAGCTTCGGGGATACTCAGTGCGGACATGTGGGGGTAAGCTGCGGTCGACGCATTTGATACATGTGGAGCTGTGGAGGTGGAGTGGTGGTGGGACCGCGTGGAGTCGGTGGTTGTCGATGTGCGGAGGGTTGAGGGTTGATGACGGGTCTTTGCGTGTGATCTTGAGGATCGATGGTTATGCCGTTTTGCACCGGGCTGCTGGCTCTCCTGGTCACGGTCATCTGGGCTCCGGGCCCGTTTTTCTTCTTTCTCGATTGCCAGTTTGGCAATGCGTTCGAGATTGGCACTCATGCGGGTCATGAAGCCGGCATAATGGGCGGCCCCTTCGCCTGGATGGGACAGAGTTGCGAAGAAAGTTGCCGCCATGTTGAGGGATTGGAGGTCTTCTTGAATTTGAGCGCTGCGGGTGTCGCGGATGATATGTGAGAAGATGGTTGCAGCAGCTAGGAAGATGTAGTATAACAAGGACCTGCAAGATTTGTTAGTCCATCTAGAAAAAAAGTAGGAGCAGAATGAGTGTTTACATACCACACCCATGCAATGTCTCCCCATGGCATATTGTTAACCATCCGAAGAGTATCCCGCGCAGCAGTCACACAGATGACACTGGACTTGGCTGCATGTGCCTTGCTGAGTGCCTTTAGCTCCGACGGTTCCGCCCGTTCGTTAATAAGATAATTGAGTAGGAGGGGTATTCGGTGAATCATGATTAGAGCATTATAATAGACGAAATGGAGGCCAATAGCCGCAAATCCCATTAGAAAGTTGGGTTCAGCGACTTTCTGCCGGGGATTATCCTCAAAGGGATAGTCACGTCTCCACGCTCTGAGTTCCGCATCGAGTTCTTTGACTGATTGGTAAATCTCATGAGGTGACTTGAGCAGTGCCTTGGCGGAATATAGTTGACAGAAGATGCGACTTTTGATGAGAGACATGCGACATAGTTGGCGGAAGAAGGGGATATTGGTTGAAGAAGTGGAGTCGCGGTCGTCTTCGAGTTCTTCAGGCAGAGGCACATCAAAGTCCTCGGGGTGTTGAGAGGGAGCGTTACCGGCACGCAAGCATGTACTAGAGGCAGTTGTTAGACTTGGAATGTAACCGTAATACCTTGACAGAGGATTGCTTACCTCTGATCAACAGTAAAAGCCACCCAGAACACTCGCCGCCTCTGTTCTTGCTCGGCGAGGCTCAACTCTGGCCTTGGAAGATCTCGATGAAGTCCCATTCGCTGACATGACCGCATAGCTGCTGTAATAAACGGCAACGCGGATTGAGTACCAGAATTCCCACGCAAGAAGAAAGCCTATCGCGAAATGTCAGAACATTACCACGATCGAACTCAATGGAGGAGGGACTCACCATGCTCAGCAAAGCCTGCACACTCAAGAGATCCGTACGGCGCAAGGCCAGGTCCGTAAACACCGACATGGCATTCTTGAAGTATAGCCGGGCCTTTTCTCGATCCTTTTCCGGCTTCAAGCTATTCGAGAACCGAAACTCGTATGCCAGACAGATAACCATATTAATACTCGCCCATCGAGCGGCATCCTCACAGGTTTGCTGTGTATATTGCCACTCCACCATCTTCATAAAAGTGTCTTCATGATAAATGGGGAACAGCCGGTTAGCCGTATTAAAGTAGTCCTTTATAAGGGAGAAGACCTCCGACCTGGGTGGAAGGGGTTTGTAGACTTGGGAGGCGAACAGGTCGTGAAATACATCGGGGCGCCATTGAGTCCATGGATTGTCATGGATAGAGCCGGTATCTAAGATTTTCAGGAAGCTGACATCACCCGTCTTGCTCTTGATCCATTCGATCCCGCCTCGTGAAAGCAGTGATAATGAACATGAGCGTCCTGTGTCTCATAGTTAGTGACCCTCTGGCGAAAATACAGAACCAGGTAGCGTGACGAACCAAAATATCGGGAGTCGTCTCGCTCGTGAGACTTGAAAATGGGGGCACCCTCTACGTCGCCTACGCTAGGGAAGTAGTCCACCTCCCCAGATGACGCACGAGAGGCAAAGGAGACATGTGATGTTTGACCCGAAGATTGAGGGCGTTGGGAGAAATCCCCCTTTTCATCAGATGGATCATAGTCATCATCTGATAGCTCATCTGGACTGATGTCACCTTCATGCAAGACACCGGCTGCCTTCAGCAAGGTTTCGACCCTTGAGAGACGATCTTTCAAAGAAGCCACATATTCATCTCTGTAAGAACTTGTTAGCCTCGAGTCACATACCCTTTAAAACCGGGGGAAGCGTGATATAAAAATAGAAGAGAAAATGATATCCTGATACATACGTTTGGTCATCCTCGTTCGTCTCCGACACGGTAGGAAATACACAATTCGTCCGACGCCTTAGACACTGGACACAAATCGAGGCAGACCCCTCAACTTCACACCGAGTCTTCTTCCGATAACACATCTCACAAGCCTAACAAACCAAGTCAGCAGCGTTCACCCAGATAACATCACCCATCTGGGCCCATCGATCCGAACAAGCCCACATCCCAAACGAAAGCGGGACCCCACGGGAACATGGAGGCTCCCGACTCGAGAAAATCAGGGTGCACATCACATACCCTTTGACTTCGTCTCCGCCCAACCGACGGCATCGAGTTGGCCATTGCATGGGTGGAGTCGTGGTCGTCCACATTCAAGTCATCGCGGGGGGTTATGCCAACCGTTTGCCGCATTGCGTTGTGCATTTGCCCCCGCGGGAGTTCAACCGCGAATGTTCACGCCAAGACTTTTTTCTTCGCAGCGGGCGGCTGTGTTTATTGGCGGGTATGGGGGGACACTCCTAGCGCGGAGTAGACGCGTAAAACGTATGTCTTTTTTGGAGGTTCGTGGCTAAGATGGCTTTTGATTGAGGTGGTAATTCGCGAGCTTCCATGAGGTCGGAGTTGGTGACTCGGCGGCGGAGTTGGATGGGGTCCGTCGGGCACTCGGCAGTCCGGCACGTTGCTTTCCCGGCGTTGAGATGGTTGGAGGTGCTGGTACCTACATGGAACATTGTTTTACTGCGAGTGAAGCTGCTATCTAGAAGTATCTTGCTTGTACCTTCAAAGTGCTGCACAACTATGAACCCTCTGGGCTTGATGTCGGAGAATAAAGCCATTCAGAACAAGCCTTTGTGGCAACGGCCTCTAGGACGGTCTTGGAAAGGGCTGGCTCGATGCTTGCCATTTATTTGCTTTTTGTACAATACTCTATTCATGTTGTACATTGTGTACACAGTGCGCACAGTCTTGCCAGTGTGACCACCAGCTGGGCTGCCACTACATCACCAACAATACCTCAGTAGTGGACAGTGGACACAAGTAATTGGCCAGGTTTGCTAGTCGCACAGAATGGACGAACCTCAAGCTTATCAAAGATATCAAAGAGCGAATAAGCTTAACTATAGACTAAGATACCCCAAGATAACCTTCCCCAGCCCAGTTTATCTGCTCAGGCACCTCCAGTCTCGAGCTGACAAATGATCCCCGCACTGATCCCACCGTCTAACACTTTAGATAGGCCTTATGGAGACGACGCTGATGAAAGTACGGAGGTACATGACGCCAGTATCAGCCTGATAAGAGGTCTTGCGTGCTTGGCCAGATTCTTCTCCTGCTAAATAGGCGCCCATTCTCCCTAGTAGACCTACCCATCTACACTCCATAAACATCTACGACCATGCGGGCTGTAACCGTGGGAATCATCTCGATCGGAGATATGGGCCTGGGCATGGCCAAACTCCTCCAAGCCCACGACTACAGAGTCGTCACCGTCAGCGAGGGCCGAAGGTAACCTACACCTATCACCTATCACCTACCACCCATGTTCTTCTACAATTATACCCCTCCCTACAAAGCCATCCTCTCACCATCTCCCCACTAGCGAACACACCCTCTCCCGCGTCCACGCGGCCAACATCGAAACCCTCCCCTCAGACCAAGCTCTCGTCGCGCAGGCGGACTACATCTTATCCATCGTCCCACCACGTAACGCCTTAGCCACTGCCCAACGTATTGCGGGGGCATGCACACAACCCGATACAGTCCCCCAGCGGGACGCGATCGACGACGTCAACGGCCACCCGCATCGTAGCCCGCTCTACTTCCTCGAACTCAACGCGACCCCGCCCCGACTCGCGGAGGAGTTGGCAGCACTGTTTGCGGTGGACGAGTCCGCCACGTCAACCCCGTTCGTGCGGTGCCACTTTCTCGACGGCGGGATAATCGGGGGTCCTCCCGCTCTTGTATCTGCATCTACGCCTGCCACGCCTGCGACGCCGCTCGCAGACGCCAACCCCGGATCATGGAAAAGACCCAGCGTAGTCCTCTCCGGTCCGGAGGTGGACCACCTCCCGCCAACCTTCACACCGCTAGCAACCGCGCTGAACGCCAAATTCGTCTCCCCCGAATAGGCGCCGCGTCAACGCTAAAGCTCACCTTCGCCGCGCTGACAAAGGGCCTCACAGCGCTATCAATTCTATCCTTTTCAACCGCGCAGCGCGAAGAACTGCTCCCCGAGTTACTAGCCCATCTGGACGAGTACTCGCCCGCGACGGCGGGACTAGCGCGCAGAGGTGTGATCGCGATGAGTCCCAAGGCGTACCGGTGGGAGGAGGAGATGCGCGGGATTGGCGAGGCGTTGGATACGCAGGGTGAATGGGATGGAGTCGGGGCGAGTGTTTACGGCGGGTTCGCGGAGATATATCGTACTGTTGCGGAGGATACGGTGTTGGGGTTGGAACGGGTTGGGGCTCGTGTGCGTGGGACGAGTGTCGAGGATGCTGCGCTGGTTATTGCGAATCGAGGACGAGACGATGGGGAGGAGCCGAGGTCGTGATTTTTTGAGAAACAAGACTTTTTCAGTTGAGGGACTCCTCGATTGAGATCTAGAATTTGGAGATCTAGATTTTTCCGTTGAGATCTCTGTCCGGGTTCCGGATAGGGTTATAGAAGCGGTCGTGCATTAGTGGTTGTTAGTTAGCGAGGGTGGAATAAGTAGATGGTCCTTAGTCCATAGATCCATACGAGAAGTGGGACAAAAGTACCGGGAGAAGCTCCATTCTGCGGCCGAAGCTAAGCATGGTTTAAGCCTAGATGGGGGGTGTGAGCACGACATGGCTACTATGTCATTGGGGGAGGACTTTTGATATTGGGCAGCTTTTTTCTTTTCACAGCTCCGTTACTTTTTCTTTTGCTTTTTTTTTTGGCGTTCGTTGGAGACTATTCCGTCTGGACACATGGAAACCCGCCAAGCTTCGGAATTACGAGAGTGCAACGGGGCGGTTCAGACCGCGTCATCGGACTGGACGAAGTGGAGAGGGACGGAAGTGTGGTCGTGGATATCTAGTGGAGAGTCGTAAGTCGGTGATGATCCAGGAGAAGTCCCTGGTTAGACCGGTTGGAGAAACTCTGTCCGAGCGGAGATTTACAAACTATTAACTAGTTAGTTATGTTAGTTAGTTCTTACGTACTTACAGTATTGTCTTGACAGGATCACGCTGGAGCCCCCGATGGGCCCCCCGAATCTGGGGAAGCATTTTAGCCGCTCTGCAGCCTAGAATTGGCATTCCATTTTGATCATTCTTATATTTTATAATACTATAATATTCTAGAATTCAACTATACTATACAAGTTCTCAATTGTATATAGTAATACTTCCTCTCCCCCCCCCAAGCGGTGAAGACTCGGGGCTGGCCAAAACGGACCAACCAGAGGGCGCGATCACGACATTTCTCCATCTGATCAGATCATCAGCGATCTGCTGCGTGGCTTATCCTCTTCCAGTTACTTTCGAACTTGTTGCTGCTCTCCTAGATTAAACCGTTTCATTACCACTACATACCGAGGTTCCCTTCTCCTACTCTTCTCCTATTGATCCTCCTCCCTTCATTACCTCCGCCGTACCATCGTATCGTCATTCCTCCTCCTCCCAACTTTCCTCCCCGCTTAACTCCCCTTAACCACGGTCTTTTTTGTTGGATTATTTTTTCGCCTCTTCCGGCTGGTTGCTGCTTATGTTCCTTGTTCCCCCTTGTTCGAAACCTTTTTCACCTCGTGCCCCTTGACTCTGATTCGTGTTGTACGTGGCGCGTTATGCGACTGACGGTGGGGAGCTGATCGAGACCGCACGCTAAACAGGCCAACCCGCTCAATCTCTCACCACCACACATCTCCAATCCATCACCACCACCACCACTCTATCGGGTCCATTTCAATCTCATAGTTCCCTCGGTCTCTGGTCTCTACTCTTTTTTTCTTTCTTTCTCTCTGCTCATTTCTTTTTCCATTGGCTCATCCCGAGGATCGCCGGATTCCCATTGCATCCCAAGTCCGGGGTTCCAGTTGGAAAAGGACATTCATCCAGGTCAAAGCTCACCTTTGGAAGAAACATACCATCCCACGGCCATTGTCACTGGCCGTTGCGCACATCATCTTATTCCCCCCCCCTCCTCCGCCCTAAACGCTAGACGGTCTTCAGAGATCAGATTCCGGCTCTTTTTTTTTTCTCGTCTATTTCTATCATCTCGTTTCCCCTTTCTCCTTTCTCTCTCCTCCCCCTCCATCATGCCTGAGGAATTCCCACCTCGTCCCCCAGGTGCTGCCTTCGACAAGATCGAAAACTTCAACTTTCTTCTGTCGCGCACTGATCCCGCGGCCAAGGCTGCGCGCCACTATTCTTTTGACGCGGATACAGGGCTGGTCCCGTTCGCCAACGTGAACATGGATTACGATCAGACCGAAGGCATGGGTGGCCTCTCGGTCAGCTCCTACGATAGTATAGAGGATGAACGTGGTTCCCTCGATCTCCGAGGATATCCATATCATGGTACGTGCATATATTGATTTATTTTGGTTCTCATTTCTCCCCCCCCCCCCCCCCCTTGATACTCCAAGCTTTGACTTGGTGCGAGAGGTTGCATCTGTTGCGCCATCGCCGGGCCTTGTGGTTCGTGTGCTGGCGTCTGGGCGTGTACCCTTGACGGCTTTTGTCGATGAACCCTGCTGCGGGCAGCCGCCAGCAGCCGCATTGATGGGCGGTAGAGGATGAGGCCGAAGTTGAGCAGAATGAAGTGATTTGAGCTTTTAATCCCCCTTCTCCTATGCAACCCCTGTTTATGGTTTTTTTTGCTTTCTTATTTTTGAATTCCATTGTGATTTGCTCGTATGCGTTGCTTGCGTCCTACGGTGATTGGGAACTGCTCTTTCCCTTTCCGGGTATCTCCCAAGGACCGATTCATCCTCTGGAACTATTATCATCTTTGCGAGAGTCCGATGCCTCGAATTTGAGTTTCGAAAGCTCCTCCAGAAAAAGGATGATCGGTCCTGGAGTTGCTCGGAATGAGAATGAGATCACCCTCAAGCCCGTTCGATAGCGAGCACGCAATCCCGCAAGCAAATGACAACGCCAACCTGCAGGCCCAACCAGCCAATTTACGACCCCCAAACTGCATTCGCTCCGCCATGGCTGCCCGGGGCTACTCCATTTGCTCATAACGCCTGCGGTTGTGCTCATCTGCACACACCCCCCCCCCATTTTGCTTCCTGGCCCTTATTTGTTCTCCTCCCTATCCCCAATATGGACCCTTCTTTTCTTATTCCTGGGCTGCTCGGAGGAATGATCGTGTGTTCTTCGCCTCGACCCCAGCGAGGGAGGCGATCTGTCACTTTATCTGCTGAATTACCTCATTCTGCTCGGCTTTCTTCCTCTTTGCTGCCTCCCTTCTTGCAACCCTATCATTACCCCCCTAACTCTATATCAACCTACTCCCGGGTGATATAGCTAGGGTTTCACTTACCCTCTTCTTATCTTCTCCTTCTTCCTCTTCCTCCTGATATACTCCATACTACATCCATCTATAACCATGCCTCGCAAACTTGATCGCTTACTCCATCCCCCAGGCCCAACCGGCGACAAATCAATCAACTACTCTCTTCCCGACCACATCATGCCGTACTCGGCACACTCTATCTACCCTCCGGTCCCCTTTGCGCCCGATGACCTGGGCCATGCACCCGGAGCGATGACCCCCTCGGACGTCTCTTCGTCCATCTCCCCGCCCAACGGCCAAATGGGCAACACCAAGTACTCAACCTCCATCTCGGGAGACCGCATCGCGGCCGCCCTGAACCAGGAGGAAGGCGTGCGGGTTGCGGCCGAAGAAGATCGCCGGCGCCGCAACACCGCCGCCTCGGCTCGCTTCCGTCAGAAGAAGAAGCAGCGCGAGCAAGTCCTCGAGCGTACCGTGCGAGAGACGACCGAGAAGAATGCCTCTCTCGAGGCTCGCGTCGCGCAGCTGGAGATGGAGAATCGCTGGCTGAAGAACTTGCTTACTGAGAAGCACGAGGCGACGACCTCGCGGATGCCCCCTCCACCACAGGATAGCACACCTCTCGAGTCGAAAGCGAGCAGCACACGCTCCGGTCAAAAACATATTCAGCCTAAAAAGAAGGGCGTCGGCACTGATGAGTAGGCCTTAAATGGAAAGTTTGGCTCTGTGTGCTTTGCGCTTTTGCTTGATTTCTTTTTGCTGCCGTTGCGTTTTGGCCTGGGCTGTGTATCATCTCTCATCTTGCGGTCATCGACTCCGAATTTCCTCGAGAGACCTGTTATGCGTTTCGTTTACTCTGCCATGCCTGTTGTTTTGATTGAGTGTGATTCTACCTTCTCCCGTTATGACCGTCATTCATCTATATACATTAAACAAGGTGAATGACGGTGTCAGGATGGGCAAGAAAAGGTAGACACTCACCCCATGACGATGTCACGACCTTTCTCCTTCTCGTTTCTCCACGGCCCAACACTCCAGTCCGACCGTGGGCTTCTGCGATTCTCAGAGATGGTCTTTGCCTCTGTGGGTCTCTTTCTGCTTGGTTCTATTCCTTAGTTTCTTTGCTATCATCGTGATTCTCTACTCTCTTTATCGCTCATATATTGCTCTGTTATAGCCCGAGTTTTACCCTCGGGTCCTTGAGTCCTCTTTATTACTGGCTTTTATGCCAATCATTGCTCTGGATTAGGGTATATGCATGATATGTGGGTTCTGTGCTCCCTGGTGGGAGATGGATTGTTGTTGGACAGTGGTGTTGTTTGCCGTAGGACCCTTTCCTGGATTGGTCCTCGGATGGGTCTGATTTATCTGATGTTGTTGCTTTGGGATCTGGATTTCTTGTTTTTTAGTCATTCCTGGGCCTGAATGTGCGGCTTGCATATTACACTACATGCGTACTGGATGTTTCGTTCTGGCTGACTGGCTTTTGCTTTTCTATCCTCGTAATTGACTGTAGACCGGATTAAAAAAGATGCTAACCCTAATAAACACCTATTGAGTATACCGAGATAGTTACTGGTAGATATCCAGCTAGAGAGGGCTATATGTATGTTGGGTATTCAGAGTCATAACTTTAGATATACCCTCGACTTGCGTACCAACGGATCAATACGTAATTAGGAATCTGGAGGTAGAGTTTCCACTAGGTACTTTATCCAGCAACGGTAGACAACCCATTCCCCTTCCGACTAGGAAACCTTACTCTGCCCTACCTTGTACCTACCCAAATTGACACCCCTGCCGCCTCAGCCGCCTCGCCTCACCTTACTTTACTTTGCTCTTGAGATGGCACCTCTCTGAATATTCTCATCTCACTCAAACTCTAGAATAATATAATTATAAACACGGCGTCCGAAAGAAGTCAAAGTTCTTTTCCCGAGATGAGTCACTGTTAATCGGTTAATAACTAATTACGCGGGGTAAAACTCCGGTGACCTGAGAATACCCACTATAAATACCCCAGAGAAGTCAATATCTGGAGTAAGCTACTCCACGATATCAACATCACTCCAATCCATTCGATCCCATAATCCAATCTCCTCCAAACTCAACCACAATGTCCACCCAAATCAAAGTAGACATCAAAAAAGCCTACGACGCCATCGCCCCCAAATACCTAACCTGGACCGAACCAACCCACCACGTCCGCCTATCCTACCTAATAAAACTCCTCTCGAACCTAGCCATCCCCGAATCCCCATCCCCCTCTGCCCCCCCAACTACAATCCTCGAATTAGGCTGCGGCGCCGGCATCCCCGTAACACAGCACCTATCCACCCTCCCCAACACAACTGTCACAGCCAACGACATCTCCTCCACGCAGATCGGCCTTGCCCGCAACCGTCTGCCCGCCAGCGTCACGCTGCTGCAGGGCGATATGATGGAGTTGTCGTTCGCGCGGGAATCGTTTTCTGCTGTGCTGGCGATGTACTCGATTTTTCATCTCCCCCGGGACGAACAGGTGACCATGTTGGAGAGGGTGTACGGGTGGTTGAAGCCTGGGGGTTGGGTGTTGGTTAATTTTGCGGCGGGGAGGTTTGAGAGTGTGAGTGATGAGAAGTGGTTGGGTGGAGTCGAGGGGGTTATGCATTGGAGTGGGTGGGGGGTTGAGGGGACGAGGAAGGTGCTGCAGGATGTTGGGTTTGATATTCAAACTGGGGAGGTTGTTGCTGATGAGGAGGGGGAGGAGGATGGGAGTGTGAAGGAGGTGGAGTTTTATTGGGTTTTGGCGAGGAAGGGAGGTTGAGGTTGAGCTTGGAGGAGATGGTTGTTGGTAAAAGCAGATTTCATTAACACCTAATTGATTACCCTGGTCCCAATGACCATATCCTATCCTATCCTCATTCTGATTCATCCCCCGAACGAGGCTTCGACCAATATAAAACCCACGACGAAACGGAGAATAACGGGACAGCACAAGATGGTATTACATTAAGGAAACAAACAAACGAGGAAAGGGGAAGAAGAGGAGAAGATGCTCCGATCGTTTTCTTCGGCCGCGTAGGAGTTGCAGTTTCACCAGACTCATGCCCTAAAAAATGGAACCTGGGGAATCGGGTGATGAACCGACTGGAGCATGGGGCTCCACAAACTAGGACCAAGCAGGACAGAAAGAAAATCGGGGTAGCGGCAAGCACGACTAACGGGTGCCGTATCACGACATGTGGAGGAGAATCATCAGCTGGACTCAACTCAGGGATTCGTGGAATGATTTCGAGAAGTGATCGCACGGCATGAAAGGTTATTAATGACGCGACTGACATCCATCCTCCCGACTCGTCGAGTGAGAGGGCGGAAATATGATGAAATCTGCATGCAATGCCAGGACCATTCCCTTCTCAAGCCGAGTGGACCCCAACGCAAGACAGCGGAGACGCAGGAACGAGTGTGATATTTGGAGAATCGAGATGATGAAAGTCAAGGGGATCGAGGCGAAGGTCAAAGTCCGACACACCGAACTGGAATTCTTCTTTCGTGCCTTCCCTCCACACCCCCTCGATCCGGGCGAAAAAACGAAGCCGTCAAATTCGTGAACAAGGAGATAACAAAACACAATGAAAGTATAAATCATCGTATCACCATCGCTTAGGCGGCGATAGGCTCCCGCTCTTCCTCGCGGCCGCGTGTCTCACCATCCACGGCGCTGAGAATGTCCTCGCCGTCATCATCGTAGCTCGGGTGCTGGTCAGCAGGCAACCAAGAGTCACGGTCACCAGTCATGGGCTGGTCCTGGCCGGAGAGATCGACACCCTCGCGGTTCTTGCTGACGTTGCTACGGTGGCGCTGGGAGAGGGTACGCGAACGCTGGGACATGTTGGACTTGACAACCGCCTTGGAGGAAACCCAGTTGCTCAGGGCGTCCTCACAATCCTGGATGATGGCCTTGCTAGCCTCGTAGCCATCGTAGGCATGGCGAGTCTCACCGGGAGTGACGGGGGTGTCGTCGATCAGGTCGAGCAGGTGCTTGCCGTAGCCGGCGACGATGGCGACCTTCTCGCAGTGCTCGCGGAGTGCATCGAACTGGTACTGGAAGGCGGCCTTGACCTTCTCGCGGGTGATGTTGGACAACTGGGCCTCGGCGACGAGGGACTCGGCTTCGGCACGGACGAGTTCCTGCTCCAGCACGACGATGCGTGGAGAGTTGGGATCCTTGTATTTGAGCTTGGCGATCTCATCGGTGATCTTCTGCTTGCGGTCGCGGCTGGGCTGAACTGAGGCCTCGATATTGCGGATGCTCTTGATGGTCACGCGGTACTGGTCATAGCGGTCGACGAACAGATCTTCCAGCTCGCCAATCTCGTAGATCAGAACGCCCAGCTTGTCCGTCACATCGGAGACGTCCTCATCGGCGGCTTCACCCCAGAGAGAGAGTTGTTGCTGTTGGAAAAGTCGACGGTCAGTTTTGAACGACGATCTTTTTGGCCATTGCGTGGCGGCCTCATTGAATACGTACAGCGACCTCCATACGCTCCCGTGCAACCAATTCCATGCTGCGCATAACGTTCTTCTCCATCTTGACTAGCTGTGACAGCTTACGGGCGAGATCAGGACCAAAGGCACCGGCGGCATTTTTACGGAATGCATGACCTGTAGTCATGCGATGTTAGCGACCATTGTATGACCAGTGAATCCCCCGTTACCGGTTTCTTGCTTCTCGGTTGCTTATTGGGCATGTCCGAGGCGCCGGGAGTATGTCCGGTCAGGCAGCTTCGGGCTCCCCGGGACACCATTGAGAGCAACCGATCGTCAAGAACCGTCCAGCTCGGGATAATCACGGTTTTTGTAGTCTCCTACTCACCAATGCCACCCTTTCCGAGCCACCGGTTCGATTTGGTGGAGGACATTGGAGGCGGGGGGTTCTCGATCTGCGAGGCGGTCGGGGCGCGCGACTGGCGCATAGAATAGGTGCGATGCATGACGGCGGTGATGGGAGTCGATTAGGGGGAGGGTTAGGATTCGAGGAGGGATGAAGAGACAGGAGAGAGGACGATCGAGATTGAAGGGTACCTGCAGTTCAGCAGAGTTAGAAGTTAGGTGTGGGAAGAAAAGAAAAAAAAAAGGCGATGGTGCCTTGCGCAGTAGTGACGTGAGCTAAAAGAGGGGGGCCGGGGGCTTGGAGCTGTGAAGAACTGACGGGATGTGACGGAAGAGCACTGCAACCGGAGATCGACACAGGGGTAAAGGAATCAGGAGGTACAGGAGATGGCGTGGGAGATAGAGGAAGAGACGTGGTGTAGATTTCTTCGTGGAGAGAGCTTTTTCTGTAGCAGCAGAAGTCGGGGCTAATATCTCCAGTTGGCGATGGGTCTCCCCTGGTGACGTCGACAACTTTTTTATGGAGTGGGCAGCTTACTCGTTTCGGTGGAGACCGGGGGAAATTGGAGAAAGTCGAAGCCACAGACGACCAGGTGGATGCTGTGGATGATGCGGAAGGGGAAATCTTGCAGATCCAATCCAGGAATTGAGAACGATGGAGTCAACAGAGCTTGATGGGAATAGACTCCCAGCTTTCGGACGCTGGCGGATCCCTGGGACCACTGGGGAAGTTGCTGCGCCTCCCAGTTAGCATTGAGGATTAAGCAGGTCCGGCAAAGCATAAAGCGAGACACTCACAGCTCAATGGGGCATTAATTGATGTGGATCCAATAGTGCCGATTGTGTGTTGCATTTTTGAAGGAGAAAAGAAAAAAGTTGCGATCGCCGACGTCATCGTTCAGGTTCCCAAGGATACTGATGTCATCGCCCTGCAGGTTCAACATGTCATCAGTTGGATAGAGTTGCATTACGACTTTTTTCGGATTTCAGAAAATAGGAATAGATTCGGAAGAAGTAGAAGGGTAGAGAATAATAGCAAACCCAATTTAGATAGCTATACAGTTCTTGACTATCGTGGATCATGGCGGTTGATCGTCAGTGGGGGAGGAATGCTGGGACACTGCTTATTCGGTGGGGAGTCGCCTGCAAATTAATTAAGATAAGATGCTACTACTATAGAAAGCTTCGGTGGTACCACTAGGCACCGCCAGTCTGGTTCCTGTTGATCCATCATTTCCATTAGGGAAAAGCGCGACAACTTGCATGCATTCGTAGACTTCATGACTTCGCTGTGAAACTAAACAAATGAAAAGACTATCGATATACAAGACATGCCACTTTCTCTCCACCAGTTCATGCAGCCGACGAGTCCACCCGAGTCTTTCGCTTCTTACTGGCGCCTCCTTTGGTGGCTTTCCCACGTTTGCCCGAGCTCGAGCCCTCTTCGGGCCGATCATTTGTGGCTGTTTCCCCTGCCGAAGTTGCAGCTGCAGCCTCCTGGCTGGGTGAAGCCTCTCGCCCACCACGCGCCTCCTGCCGCAGTCGGCCAAAGGCCTTTTCCATTCGGCTGGGACCACCGCCGCGCACTCGTGGCGCAAATGCTCCCGCGCCTAGAGGGCCTGACATGAACTGTGTAATGTTCGACTGCGTGCCTTCCTGCGTCCGCCGGTTCATGTCTCGAATGACCGGCACTAGGACTTCATCGGTGCGCTCTTGACTCCAGCCGATCGTCGTCATGAGGAAATGCCGAAGACCATTCAGGTCGGGCACACCCCATTGGAATTGTGACGGGTCCGCATCGACTTCGGGCTCGAGGTAGGCGGTATCAACGTTGGTGTTGGGGAACGACGGTGGAAGGAAGATCTTGGAGGCTTGTTTGCGGAATTTCTTCCGAAAGGCTAGATGCGTATCATCTGGCTTGTTGACTCCGGTTTGGAGCTCTGTCCACCACTCCCGAAACTCTTCCAGGCTGGAGAACTCGGTGATGATCTCGAGGGCTTTGACGGGGCCAATACCCGGTATACCTTCAGTATAATCACTGCCGAGAAGATGTGCAAAGCTGATGAGCTTGCGCCGATGAAGCGCATACTCCTTCTCAAAGTCGGAGGATAGATAGCATTCCACAAATTTGCTCTGATTGAACATGTTCTTGTAGACGCGGGTGCCGCCAAAGAGGAACGTATCACTATCGTCGGTGACTATCCCATCTACAAGTCCCAAGGTGACGAGCTCCGCACACTGTGCCTCAGCCTCCATGGGTGCGGTGATATATGGCAGTCCAAAAAGTTGGAGAAGCTGCTGGCATTCGTTGATCATGATCTGAGTGACTTCGTCTGCATCTCGTCGATCTTTCCGCTGCTGGTTTCGCAACTGCTTGAGTTCTTTCTCATAGTCTTCCTGATTAAGTAGGACCTCCGAGTTGAGGGTTTGTGCAAATCGAACGTGCTCCTCCCCTTCGGCTGCTAGTTGTCGCATGAGATCTTCATCCTCGGGGTCACTGAATTCGCCGTCATCTTGGACGAGCAGCTCAGGAAGCGCAAGCGCCTCTTGCGGTTCGGGATGGCGATCGGTGGCGATAGTAATCTCAGGAGGAGGGCCTTGGCCTGGAATAGGAGCGGGAGATAGGGGCATGACATCTTCAAACTCGGGCTCGGGAGATGTCTCTTCCTGGGAAGACCGGCCTGGTGCACTAGCTTCTGTCGTGTCTTCGAGAGTCACTACGTGAGGTCCTCCCGTTGGAGCTTTGTCCTCGAACGAACTATCGATAATGTCACCTTCGGTAGACTCTGCAGTCGCAGATGGGTGAAGAGGAGATGCCGCCTTGATTGGCTCTGTGTCTACTGATGAGACAGCTTCAGTGGGCATCGGGACCTCGGGAACCTTTTGGTCCGACTCTGCCTCTAGATCGATCACTTCCTTAGTTTCTGGAGTGTCATCAACCACAATGATATCCGGTGATCGTCGGTTTGAAAGGAACAAGTGATCTTCGTGTGTGTCAATCTGATCCTTGCCCTCGTTCTCGAAGGTTGGCTCCTCAATAAATTCCTCACTCAACTTCTCCCCAAAAAACCACGGGGGAAGCGGTTCAGCCTTCTTCTTTTTACTTGTAGACTCCTTAAGGAAACCACCTGCATCTTCGTCTAGCTCAGGAGTTTCCTCGGGCTGTTTAGTGGCTTTGTTTAGTGAAATAGATTCGAAAGGGAGCGGCCCGGAGAAAGGATTCTCAATGAGAGATTTCTTCTCGGACACCTTTGTCTGGGCGACCGCAGCTGAAAAGTCCATGTCGTCGTCACTTTCATCAAAGTTCGGTTCTGGCAGCAAAGAATCGGGAGCAGCTACGGTCTGCAAAGGCCGGTTGATAGTAATATCGGGCATGTCTTCGTCTGCATCGTCATTAGGCTGCATTGACAGTGCGAGGGCTCTCGCGAGCTCGTCTTGGTCTTCATCTTCAAAGATGTCGGAATCTTGATACTGGGGTCGTGAGAGAATGTCCTGATCGCCTTGAACAAAAAGCGCATTCATATCGGCATTTTGGGCAAAAGTAGTTTGTTGACTTCTGCGGGACTCAAACAATGCTTTTTGCAAGTCTAAATCTTCTTGAGCCTGCTGCAGAGAGTTATCGAATACTCCCTCTTGAAGGAAGGGCAGCTTGGGTAGTCTGTTGATCCCTTCGATGGGCACATCCTCGAATTCGTCATCATCCGACACCTCGTCAGACTCCGAGACTGGGTCTGGCAGGCCATATTGGTCTACATCAATCGGCTTGTCTTCATGTCCAGCTTGCTTGTTCCCCACAACACCTAATACCCAGCCACCTTCGTTTTGGCTATCTTTGACCAGGACGTATTCTCGACCACGCTCGCCGGCAATTCGCTGTCCAGACTTGTAGAATGCCTCCTCTCCGTTCATGCCGTTGATATTCATTAGTCGTTGCGTTAAATCATTTCGTTCCGTAACTCGTTCAATCTGAAATCTTGAAAAGGCCATGCGGTCTGGAAACATGGTATCAAGTTGTTCTTTGGAATAACCCATTCTCAGTCGACTCCTGAGCCGGGCCGCATTCAGAATATTATATCGATCCGTGGCCGGGAGACTGAGGAAGAAGGGACTGTCAAAGTCTATTTTAGAAAAGTCGTAGAGGTTGATATCTTGGCCCTGGTGGAATTGACGTGCGTATTCTTCCAACTCTGCCTGTGACATGATTCGAGGGTCATTCGGGGCACCCATTTCTTCAAGCGAGACATCCAGGTTCGGCAGGTGGTATTGATCCTTTTTCTTGAACTTTCGATTCTTTTGTCTTTCCTGCTCGTTCATGAGAGCCTCGTCTGCGTAGACGGGGGCGTCAGGCACCACTCCCTCTTCGGCTTGGGGGCGTTTTTTATTCCGTCGTCGCGCTTCTGCTTCTTCCTCTGCGGTCCGCTGCATCTGCACAGCAAGCAACTTTCCCGCAGTCCTTGTCGCATTTTCCCTTCGACCCTCTCTTCTTTTCTTCCGCGCCGCGATCGTCTGTCGTTTCAAAACCGGTGCGCCGCCATCGAAGACGAATACTGGCTTGATTCCAAAGTATAAAAGCTTGCATATTCGCCGAAAGAATCCGACAACATGTGAATTGCGGAGCGCGTTACCTTCCTTATCGCGCACTGCTTTCAGGAATTGGTAAATCCAGATTGACGCGTCGACGGCCAGCCGTTTCTTGTTGAGTGTCTCGAGTTTAATGGGTCGGGCGCATGGCTGCAACACTGTCCAAAGACCGGTAACACCCATCGTGGTTCAGATAGTGGGTGATATTCGACTGGACTCGAGCGCTGTGAGCAGGCTCACTCGTGGCTCACCGAGGTGAGACTCATGAGGTCGAGTCACTGCGGGAATGTGAGTTACGTCAGTTTCTTGCTTCGCCGCGTTTAGGTGCGCGGTATCATGTGACCTAATACTTCTACTTTCGGATTAGTGCGGGCATCGAAATTATGTAAGCATTTGATTGTGGAAGGCACACTTCGACAATGTGCGCCTTCTTGAAATGAGATAAATTGACATTGGGTCAATAAGAAAGAGAGTGATTCAGCCCTATTCCATTACACAGTGGAGTCTGGGGAGATGCCCGTCTCTCTTAAGGTTAGTGCCCGTATATATGGAAATCTTTGATGCATCGGATATCTTGCTGACTCAAAAATGGCAGCATGTGGATGCATGTCTCCCAATATCAGCCTTGAAGGTGTTCCAGTGCCATGGACGTACCCTTATTTTTGAAGGACAGGGGCCATATCTTCGAGTGATCGATGAACAGTCCGGCAACGTCTCAGCTCAAGTCCAGGCATTCAAGCGCAATCATGTTCATGGCTTTATCACTTTCCTATGCACGCAGGACAGCCAAGATGGCGCGTACTGCGAGTCAATCATGGTCTGGGGTGGAAAATCGCTAAGAGTCATTGAATTCTCCATAGACCAAAATTATGGAGTTACTTTGGCCCTGTCTAGTGCCGAGTTTCTTACTCCGGATTGGCTTATGAGTGGGTGTGCTGCTGTTGCAGGAGAGCCCAATACAGTATTCCTAATCACTGCAAACAATGCTCTTCTAATGGCTAGAGTTGAAGATGGTGATTATGCCCATTACAGCAAGGCAATTTGCATTCACCAGCTCGCAACGAGTGTGAAGTGCATATTGTACGCTGCCGACCTTGTGGCTCTTTCCCCATCACATATCCTGATTGCCTCGGGAACTGCTTTTGGTGAGATTGTCGTTTGGTCTTGTTTCATAACTGAAAAGGATCCAAGTCAACTCAAGGCAGTGGGTTCCATTCACCATTACTTTACTGGTCACGATGGATCCGTATTTGGAGTGCGAATCTTCCCAAATATTTCGTCCTTGAACGGTGGTCTCTCGGGCAGGTTGCTGGCAAGCTGCAGTGATGATCGGACTGTCCGAATATGGGATATCACTGACTGCGAGTCCAAAACTCCCCAAGACCCATCTGCCTACTCTACAGATGGCTTCGAGCTCCGAAGTACTGGCTATGGAAGTGGCCTTGGATCCGAGTCATGTGTTGCGAAAGCTTTTGGTCATGCTGCTCGTATCTGGAGCGTGAACATATGCCCAGTGGAAGAGAATAGTCCAAACACCCTAGGTTTAGTGTCTCGTGGTGAAGATCGGGCCTGTGTAGTATGGGAACTCAGCTGGGAGACAATGTCTTCCGGTGCCACTCAATATCAGCTTCGGGAGATGTCTTCAGCTCAACCCCATTTGGGAAGGCATATCTGGGCTCTGGATCTCTGTGAGCAGGGCGAAGAGACGACCGTCTATACTGGCGGTGCTGATGGAGCTTTGAAAAGTTTCAAAGCCAAGAAGCATGTGTTTGCCCCGTCGAAGTACAATACCCCTGGCCAGAATAATCTTCTAGGCCAGAAAAGATCTTCAGACCCTGATGCGCCCAAAACATTTGATTTTGTCGCTTCGGACTATCTCATTGCTTGTTCTTTGCGCAGTGAGCTCCGTCTTGGACATGTCAGCCCGATAGACAACGCGAACGTTACATGGGAAACTCTTTGTACTGCAGAAGATCTCCGATCATACTCGCTGATTACCGGCATTCCTCGGCGAGGACTGGCTTTGATAGCTAACTCTGAAGGGTTGGTCAGGTTATACAATCACAACACCAGATCGATCACAGAATTGGTGAATTTAGGCAAACGCCCTCGAAGCATTCTGATTGCCCATGAGCAGGCACATTTTGATCGCATTTCGGTCCTTGTGAATTACTACGCTGGCGAGGAAGCCACTTTGTTGACTGTCACAGGGTGGAAAAGCGGTTGCCCACGAGCTGAGGCGACACCATTTAGTCTACCGAAAGCACCATACATCACAACTGCCGCTTGTTTGACGTTGAACAGCAAGCACTTGCTGCTTGGTTCTGAACTTGGAGGTGTGGCAGTCTACCAGGTTGCAGGCCTTGGTCTTTCTTCCAAGCCCTTGGTCGACGAAAGGCGAATCCATGGCCACGAAGGTACCACTTGTATCCGAGCTGTGAATCCGACCGCGGATGAACAGGAATACATATTGACATGTGGACGTGATGGCAATTACTGCTACCACGAATTGAAAGTGGAGGGAGAAAGTGACGTCGCCCTCGAAACACTCGATCGGACCTCTTCCGGTCTCGGCCAGGACCTTTGGGGTGCTTATCTGGAAGAGACAACTGGTGATCTTGTTGTATACGGGTTTCGATCGCAGAATTTCGTTTTGCGGAATGAGACAAGGCAGCAAGACATCATTTCCATCGCTTCAGGTGGCGCTAGAAGGATCTGGGCATACAAACCCAACACCGAATCCAGCAAGCCTCTGTTGGCTTGGCTAGAAAAGCCCAATCTGCAAGTCATGCGAATTCAGACCGATATCAACCGTTCCATTCGGGCCGGTGGGCATGGCCGAGAACTCAGGACTATGGACGGACTGGGTGCTATCAATGGAAGAGGATCGTTCTTTGCCACTGGAGCAGAGGACACCATCGTACGTATCTTTGCGGCTTCGAGCCAAGCAAGTGAAGGTCCCTGGGGTTCGTTCGAATGTTTGCGAATCCTAGACAAGCACAGATCTGGGATCCAGCAAGTAAGTTGGTCAAAGGACGGTCAATATCTCTTCACCTGTGCTGGGCAAGAGGAGCTTTTTGTGTGGGGAATTCGCTGGCTTCCTTCGTTTGACATATGCGTCAAAATGGTTGCAGAATGTCCAAAGAGCGACCCAGACTCCGAGATGCGGATCACAAGTTTCGACTTCGTGGATGTGGAAGAATCCAATGCTGAAAAGGGGTTCCTTCTCTGTTTGGCACTGTCCAATTCCACGATCAAGGTATGAGCCATCCCCTTTCGCTGAATACAGAATACTAAAAGGAACTAGGTATTCCACTTCTCACCCTCTGGACAATTCCGGTTTACTCTGCTGGCTCGGGGTAGATATATGACGAACTGCCTGACTCAAACAAAACTTTGGGTGAAGGACTCATCCGTGAGTCTGATAACAGCAGCAACTGATGGCTACTTCACTCTTTGGGATTTGACCGACAAACTCCAACCTTTCTATGACATCTCTTCATCAACCCTCAAAGCAAGACAGTCATTTGACGGTTCCTCTATCATACCCGAGGACATTGCCTGTGAGAGCAGGTATCAAGTTCACTCGAATAGTATCAAAGCAATGGAGCTGGTGCCTCTTTCTGAAACCGACGCCCTCATTGTGACTGCAAGTGATGACAGCTCAATAACTGCATCGCTCTTGAGAACCCGCTCTACGGATTCTGATATCAACGAGAGTGGTGTCAACGCGCACGTCTCAACCATCTCCGTCCCAGACGCTCATGCAGCATCAGCGACAGCTCTGAAAGTTCTTCGTCGAGAAGCGATCACAGCTGCTGGCTCCAGTTCACAAGTCTCAAAACTTACTTTGGTGACCTCTGGTAATGACCATCGCCTGAAGTTCTGGTCTATCACAGTGGATCCCACGAAACAGGGCACAGAAGGGATTATCGTGGAATTTTTGTTGGACAGATATAGTGCCGTGGCTGATATTGCCTCTCTAAGTTTCCTACCAGATCCCGTTTCACAGGGTCATTCTGACTGCATGTTGGGAGAGGAAAGACAAGGAAAGCTCCTTGTCGGCGGTGCTGGAATGGAAATGTCGGAGACCAGGTTGTAGTGAGGCTTGACTGCTTGATGACACATTATGATTCCTGTAAATAACAATCGCGCACCGCACTTTTTTCAGTTTTAGCATGAAGAACAGAAAGCAAAAAAACCATCGGTGTTATGGTGGCTGCCTCATTTGCAGATTCTTAATAAGCCTTTGCTCCTTGGAAGCTCTGGGCCATTAGACGTATCCCTTCCTCTATCACTAAGCTCCGTGCTTGAAGGGGTAGAAATCCCACATTGAGTAAAGTTGATGAAGGCTTGTTATCCTGATGAAAATTATGTCATTGGGACTACCCGATAAAGGGCGGAGGTTACCCCGAACATCATGAAGTCTAGAACCCCGCAGTTGCGGAGTAATTGCTTCCTTCCATTAAGAGTAATTAATACATAGTGCACAATAAAACCGAGCAACTCAAGCTCTGAAAAGCGGCCATTGCAGATATCTAATTGGCGGCGGACGGATGGAATACTGCATGCACATTTAGGAGCTTACTCCCTCGTGGCAGACAAACTTGCAAGCTCCGTTCCCTTTTGAGTCCTTACCCGACGCTGCTTTTAGGATTACAATAGTGAGGGGCAACTTCTGTAAAACTGAGCAAGTATTCATCATATCAACTACTGCATTTGAATTCATAACCAAGTGTATATAATCGAATTAGGGGTTCCTGGGCCGTGGAAAGAAGAATTATATCGTTGTTGCGCTAATGCTTGGCAGAGCACCACACTTTCACCTTGCAAAAGCACAGCAAGAACAATCTCCTTAACCATTGTGTCTTGTGGTTAGAAAGACAGAGGGGACTTGCTTCTTAGGCGATAAAAACAGCCACCAGTAATATGGTAACCAGGAATGGTCAAGGTCAAATGATTGCGCCGACGTCGGAGACTTGACATGCAAATGAGAGCTACCGTCTCTGAGTTCCAACATCTAAATTAGGACAGGAAATACCACCCGGGGATTATGGGTTGCGAGGAGATCAATGTGGAGCTTCAGCAACGGCTCTGATATCGCGATCGTTACCGAGAGGCACGCATCAGTTTAAGTGTTTATACTATGTGTGGTTGGTATCAAATGCGCTACTGGTCCGAAAGCATCACTAAACACTGTGATCCCTCCAGGAATAAACCATTCATGCGTCTCAAATAAGTGAGCTGAGTATTACTCAGTATTATTATGAATTACTGCAAGGCAAGGCAAGGATTCCCCGCAATTGTTTCTTCAGACAAGCCCCCTGGCCCGTAATAAAGCGGCGACACCTCCCGATTGGGAAAGGGCCCGTTACCTTTAGGTCCATATGAGTCTATACCTGTCATGTTCAGGAGGAGGTGACAGTACTGTATAATAATTTAAAAGGATAGCTTCCTCCACATTGGTTGGTGTCACGTTTGAACCACTTTTCGCCTACACAATGAAGCATTCCGTCTTCGCTCTGCTGATGGGTATCGCAGCAACAGCTGCGGTACCCACGCACCGGCGGTCATCGCCGACTTATTTCTTCACTTTGTAGGAGAACCAAGCCTGAGATAGGGTACTGAATTTGCCCAAGGGAAAATCATACTAACCAAAACCTCAAAGTGGTGACTCTTATTCGATGACGAGTTTCGATGTCGAAGGCACACAGCCATCAGCTTCAGATCCAATGGGAAACCCTGCGCTCGGTACGTTGATGTCATCGCTGTTGCAACGCCTGATCCGTTGTTCTGACGTTGAGCAACAGGGACTGGGGCTACTGGAGGTGGCATCAACTGGATCGGATACTTGACCACTGTAGACAACGCCTCTCTCGTTCTAAGCTACAACTTGGCTATTGGCGGTGCAACAATTGACAATGCTATCCTGAACTCCGGATATCCAGACATGACGAGTCAAGTTGCCACATTCCAAGGGAACTACAGCACCAAACCTGCTACAGCTCCTTGGGCTTCTACTGATACCGTCTTTGGTTTCTGGATTGGAGTCAACGAGTAAGACCTCTTGGAAACTTTGAAATAAGCCACACTAATCGATCGATTCTAGCGTCGGTTGGGGCTTCGGCGGCTACAATGCCAGCGTTCTCGTCCCAACGCTCATGGCCCAGTACAGGTCCCTCGTCGAGGAAATCTATGCAGATGGCGGGCGCAAATTCCTATTTCTGAATGTCCCTTCAGTGAGCCGGAGTCCATACATCCTCGACCAAGGGGAAAGTGTTTCAGAAAGTCACGCCGCGTGGACTACTGTGTATAATGACGGGCTCGCCACAATGCGCGCAGAATTCGTTGCTGCTCATAACGATGTGAGTATTACCTCAAGTACGGGTTCTGGTAGAAAACTAATTGGGTATAGGTCGAGACTGTTCTCTACGATTCCTGGAGTTTCATGACCAAGATCTTGGATAACCCCACGGCATACGGATATCCGAACGCCACTTGTATCAATGACGATGGGGAAAGCTGTGTCTGGTGGAATAACTATCACCCCGGGCAGAAGTACCACAGACTGCAGGCGGCTGATATGAAGCAATCCCTACATCTGTTCGGGGCGTGGTAGATTGATGTCATGGAAGTCGTATAGTAATCTGTAGGTGTTAGCAATGAAAAATTGGATTACTGCAATGATCTCTTTGGTAAGACGTCAGACGCTGTAAAAAAGTTGATCGCTGTTATGTCTCAGGAGAAATGCCCTTCGGTGGATATGGCCCCTGTTTCAGGTACAACGTCAGATATTTCCGTCAAGGTGTGGATTTGATAAATTCCAAACTTAATCTCAATCAAGTTCCACCGAGAGCTACTGCCATAGGCTCGTCTCTACTATGATTTGAGAATTGCAGGCTCAGTTTGAACAGAAAATCGGCCTGCTCCTTCATCGGGTAATGATATGCCACTTTTACTCCGCATCCGCGTGCCGATCGATTCCCGAAGCGCCACGGGCCCTCTAAACACGCCTTCGTGGAGCTAAATCATGGTGCCGAACTCAAGCCACCGGTGCCTGACGAATGTGGGGAAGATTCCGGCTATTCTGTGGGACTATTCCATGAGGTGGTATGTAGGGAGAGAGCGCCGGCTTTGCTCGTACTGGCTTTGGATCAATTCGTCGCTACAAATACGTCCATGATCGTCATGTTGGTCTGCGTGACTTGATGAAATCCGTTTCACAACTGAATTCAGCCATAGACGGGCCATCGCCATATGTAGTAGAAAAGTGGAGCTATCCTGGCTCCTCCCTTTGGTGGGGAATCTGGCCAGGGAGAAACTCCACGAAACGTCCTGGTTATGATAGACCCTTGATATTTCTGTTTTCTGTCTTGAGACAGGCCTGATGGACGGGTCGACGGGGTAGGCGCCGTTTGAACATTCCACACTCCGTGTCCGTTTCCTTCTACGACTCGGAAATTTGATGGAATCGGTTTCTCGATTTGGGGTAGCCTTTGGACAGGCGACTCTCATCTACGATATAAAATCATGGTGTCCCAGCTCGGTTGGGTCTTGTCCACTCTTTCATAGCCCATTTCAACTTGCGTTCCCGTCGCTCCCTACCTTTCCATCAGCATATCCAATATGAAGCTGAATAACTTTATCTTCTTGGCTGCTGCGGCAGGATCCGCGGTGGCAGCTCCTTTCAAAAACGCAAAGAGAGCCTCTTCTTTCGAATGTATGTTTAGCCATGTTTTGGGACCAATTCAAGGATGAATGACACTCATAAATTACAGGGTTCGGAACAAGTGAATCCGGGGCCGAATTTGGTGAGGGTAATCTACCCGGTGTCTGGGTGAGTAGACTCATTCATAGTTAATTATGCCTTACTTTAATTACTAATAGCGCTTGACCATCTTGCAGGGAACCGACTACATTTTCCCGGACACTAGTACCATCCAAACGCTGATCGATGGTGGCATGAACATCTTCCGAGTTCAGTTCTTGATGGAGCGACTGACGCCCAATGGCATGACTGGATCTTTCGACAGTGACTATTTGGCGAATCTGACAACTGTGAGAGCTACATATCATGCGACCGTTGATATTGATGTCTAATGAAAATAGGTGGTGAACTATATCACCGAAGCCGGTGCTCATGCTGTCATTGACCCCCACAACTATGGAAGATTGTATGACCTTCTTCCCAATTCCTCTGTCACGTCAAACATACTAACCACTTTGGCAGCAATGGCGCGATTATCACGAGTACCTCGGACTTCCAGACTTTCTGGACGAATGTTGCTGGGCAGTTTAAATCGAACAGTCTCGTGATCTTTGACACGAGTGAGTTCATATCCCGGACAATCATATTGGATTCGTTTCTAATCCATTTGATCTAGACAATGAGTACCATGACATGGATCAGACCCTGGTTCTCGATCTCAACCAAGCGGCCATCGATGGTATCCGTGCTGCCGGTGCCACATCGCAGTACATCTTCGTCGAGGGCAACTCGTATACGGGCGCCTGGACGTGGACTACGGTGAACGATAACCTCAAGGATTTGACAGACCCGCAAGACAAGATTGTCTACGAGATGCACCAGTACCTTGACTCTGACGGATCCGGCACCAGCGAGACATGCGTTTCAACCACGATCGGCCAAGAGCGAGTCGCTGACGCAACACAGTGGCTCATTGACAATGGCAAGGTCGGTGTTCTGGGCGAGTTTGCCGGCGGTGTAAATGATCAGTGCAAGACTGCTATCACTGGTATGCTGGACTATCTCGCGGAGAACTCAAGTGTATGGAAGGGCGCCCTGTGGTGGGCAGCTGGGCCTTGGTGGGGAACATATATCTACAGCATGGAACCTCCAAGTGGTGTCGCTTATACTGGCATGCTGTCGACTCTGGAATCGTATTTCCCGTGAGTGTGATACCTGAGGTATTGGTTAATGTTAAGTTGATATTCGTCTGGTTATACACCGGATAGAGGATGAAAGCAGATGTATATATCCCTGGCTGAATACTGGAGAATGTAAAGAAACATTGGACAAGAACCTAAGATTGAGTTCGAGAGGAAAACTTTTTAGGATAACGATATCAAGTAATTATCCATACTCAGATCAAGTTTGTTAGCTAATGTTTCCCACTACGAGGAAGCGATATTTTTCGTTTGAAGACAGCATGATGAGTAGAATGTGTGGACAGTGGAGCGACCGACACATCAAGTCTTGGCAACAACGCGCGCCCGGCAGGAATCTCCGTCATCGCCTGTGGCTAGTGCGTACGCACCACTCTAATTTCTACAAAGTTGACTGCACATATCCCTAGACACCAGGCACCGGCATTTCTATGGTCTGGACTGTTCACACTAGAAGTTTAGAACATTATCACCAGAGACCTAGCTCTCTAAGCCCCAGAAAACTTTATCTTAAAAAGTAAATATAGAAACCAGGGACGGTGGGAGTGGATAATCCTCGGATCACGAAGATGGAGACGGTGTATCATACATAGTGGGATTGAGCAATTGTAGATTAAGTCCGCGAAGGATATACAGAGTGGATACTACAGCGCCCGTTATGTGCAAAAAACTGCATCTATGCCAAGCCCGAAATGAGGAAGCCTGGGCCAGAGTACATACCTGGTTCAGATACGGGAATATGCAGCGCAGGGCTGAGGGCTGCTGACTGGGGTTATCTAGGTCGCTAGTACGAAATAGTTAATAAAGTAGCAGACATCAGAAAACTTAGACGGTCCACAGGGCTGGAGGATGACGAGGCTTGTACAGGGTGGGCTACTTGATTTGGGCGGGTGGTATGGCGATCGTGCGCTCGACCGTGGAACATGAATTTTCGGGTAAAGATTTTGATGAGAGTTCGGTCGGCCAGGGGGGATTTTCTAGGGGACAAACCTGGATGGGGGTTGGTTTCTTGCTCGTTGCGTTGTTGCGAATACTATGTGACAATAGTCAATTGCATCTTGCATGGGAATACTCTATATAAAATTCTTTCGTACGTACCAACAATCCGCATGGGGAAATTCGAGATAGATTAACACTTTGACTGCCTGATGACGATGATGTTGGGAGGGCAACCTCAATTACCTATTTGGGTTTAGCGTGTACATGAATAGAAACAAACGTGGCGTGGTCCAAGAGTGGGTCCGGTTATGCTTATTTTTGATTGGCTCGAATCAGTCCAGAAGGGGGTCGTATTCCTTCCCTGCGCCTCTTACCTAACGCACCAGGGAGGCTGGAGAGTCGTCGTTGCCAGTGTGGGTGTTGAACGAGGCTGTACACTGCCCAGTCGTCCGGTATTCACCGTCCTAAGTGCCGATCATGAAAAAAGGATAAAATCCACGCTCCTCCCCCAGTTCCAGCCTCTCTCTCCTTCATCCAATCCTCCTTCCGTCCCCCCCCCTTTTCGCCTATCTCTCTCTATTTGATACCCATCCATAATTGAGCCATAATGGGAAAAGCCGGCCGTGTCGCGTGTATCTTCACGCCTTATGTGCTTACGATCGCCTCGCTGATCTGTATTATCTTCGTCGGCCTGGGCTGTACCAAGTCCAGCTCTAACACCTTGAACAACCTTTACTTTATGCGGGTAAGTTTCTGAGTTATCTCTCGCAAGTGCCTTGCGACCGTGCCACTAACGATATGACGTTTATAGATCAATCTCCAAAATATCACTAGCGAAGGATCCGAAACAGTAACCGAAATCGAGAATCTCCTTGAAGAGTACGGAATCACCGACGTCAGTGCCCAGAATGTCTCCGATGTCCTCAGCAAACTCCAGGATGACAGCACTCTGGCGGACTTCTACCAGATCGGTCTCTGGGGCTACTGCGATGGTGATATTAGCAACAACAAGACCAACGTGACGGAATGCTCCAAGCCTAAGAGCGAGTTTTACTTCGACCCCTTCTCCGTCTGGGGCCTGGACTCCTCGGATATTAAGGACGAGCTGCCCAGCGGCTACAACAAGGTTATGAAGATCTACAAGGCGGTCTCCAAGTGGATGTTCATCGCCTACCTGGTCGCCTTCATCGCCACTATCGTCGAGATTGTGCTTGGTTTCTTCGCCATTTGCAGCCGCTGGGGCAGCTGTGTCACCACTATCTTTGCTCTGCTTGCCTTCCTCTTCACCGCCGCTGCCTCGATCACCTCGACCGTCCTCTTCTCCATTTTCAAGTCTAGCCTGGGCACAACTCTCAAGGCCTACGGAATTAGCCTGTCTATGGGCAAGAACATCTTCGCTGCTACTTGGTTGGCCGTTGCCTTCTCCCTCGCCGCTCTGATCTTCTGGACCTTCAGCGTTTGCTGCTGCTCCGGTCGCTCGCCATACGGCGACCGCAACAACAATGCCACTCGCGGCGTCACTGCCGAAAAGGCCCCCTACACCTACGAGCCTCTCGGTGCCGGTCAGGTCCCCTACGGCCACCAGCAGCCCACCTCGTACCCACCCCCCGCTGCTCACGGCGGCCAGTACCCCATGACCAACACCAACCAGCGATCAAACGCCTACGAGCCCTTCCGCCACTCCTAAGCTAAGCGCAAAGCGACTTGCTTCAAATCCTCCATCATGTCTTTTTGTATACAATCACTCGTGAAGCGTTCTTAGACTGGGATACTGCGGCGTTTTGTTGGTTATATGGGCTTGGTCTTTTGCTTGATGTTTTTTTTAACGACGACTTTCCTTTTTTCCCTCATGACTTGAACGCTTACCAGCGATATTGCTGATGGACACTGCATATGTTTTATATCGTGCCTTGCGAAAAATTACTTCCAAAATATACCATCCGATCAAGTTTCAAGATCTTCTCAACGTAAAAAATGTGAATAGCATAAACCCCAATGCCCTCGCTGAAGTTTAAGTTGGTAAATAATCTTCCGATACCCCATCATAGATCGACAAAGATTTCTTATAAAGTTCAATAGCTAGCAATAATTTGTCTAGGGCACCCGTTAGACCTCTTAGCTCCACAGTGGATCGCACTAATTTCACATCAACCGTGATGGTGGCTTGAATTCCGCTATGGCGCAGCTTTTACAATAGACATGCTACTAGCTTCATGGATTGCGGCACTATTGAAGGGACACGGCTCCCGTGACATGGAAGATAATATGGTAAATATACATGAAAAATAGGAATCCTGAACTTGATTCACCGCTTAGTCAAACTCCCGAGGTCTGTTCCTGATCCTAATAGCGTCGCCAGCGTCGCATTAAGGGCCATCGTGAGCCTTCTCGATGAACAGAGTTGAACGAGGGTCAATACGCCAAGGATTAATCAACGACGAGTTGGCCGGCGAATAACACCGTTCTCGTCCAGAAGGATCTTAGCTCCCCCGCGACGCCGTCGCTCGCTCAGCACATTCTGATCGGCCTCGGCCCAGATTTTGAATGGGGTTTTGGGGTCGTCGGACCAGACGGGCTTATCTCTGGACCGCATGTGCCGCAGCGAGACGAACCAATTCTCTCCTTCATCCTCGTCTTCGCATTCCGGCTGCGTTTCAGCAACTTCATCTGCGTGTGATTGAGGGGCCGCCGAGATAAAGGTGTCGTCACCGAGCTCAACACTGGCAGTCTCGTGACGGGTGTCGTCGGCGTCGAGCTCCTCCTCATCGTCCGTTTCTTCAACCTCGGCCATACTAACATCATCCTGTTCGTCTTGGACGTTGATTCTCTGGCTGTTCGCGATGTTCTGGCTCTTCGTGATGCTCTGACTGTCCGTGGGTTGACCCTCGGTAGTACCTGGTTGGGGGTTGTAGGGAGCGGAAGTATCGTTGAACGAACTCATGGGTGCTATTTGAGTACATAGGGCCTCATTTGGATCCAATTCGGAGCCTTCGAGCTTGATGAGTATTGATGACGAGCCCGTATCCATGGAAGATGTCGCATGACCATCTAACGCAGGGAGACCGGATTGGAACACAGGAAGACCGTTTCTGACAGGCTCTTCGAAAGAGTGGGCGTGAAAGTGGGAAAACCTGTCCACAAAGCTTGCTGCGAGTGAGGTGTTCATGTCTTCTTCTCGAGAAGTTTGAGAGAGGGGAGGATCCACCTGGGTGCTAGCCTGGGTAGGTGTCGCCTCAGGTCGGGCGAACTGGGATGCAACAACTTCAATAGTGTAACCCGACAGACTGCGTTTCCTATTCTCTGATTTAGAGACATTCGACATGAAATAATTCTCATAGTTCTGTGGCTGGGTAGACTGCTGGGTTGTGTAGCTGTCCAGATAGGAAGGGTACTGCTGAATGTGCATGATAATGAAATCATCCCACAGGTTAGACCGGAGTAGCAAGCCTTGGGCTCGAACAGCCTGTAGTTTTGAGCAAAGCTCAGTGAAATGGCCGTAATCACCGGTGTAGCCAGGGTAGTCGTTGCAGAACTTTTTGTATACTTCCTGCGCTTCGACTGACCTTTGTAAGTCACCGATGAAGCCCGACCGCCGAGCAACTAGTTCAGCACTCTGCGTGGCGAGGGTGGCTTGAATGTCTTGTTCGCAAGGATCTTGTTGTACCTCTTCCATAATTGCTGGTGGACTTTTGATCGGAGACTCATATGGGCTGGCAGCTGATGAATTGAACTGTCTGATTGAAGACATTTGCGGCGGACTTATTGATTCATTGAAAGAAAGCTGGGTCATGGGCTCATGTGTTTGATCGTGACGCTGTGAAGAAGTCGAGTCGACAGAGCTCATCAACAGTTCCGCAGAAGGGTTTGAATTCAGGGAAGGAACTTCGAGGTGTTGTTGGCTTGGCTCCGAAGACTCAAACACCACTTCATGCGGTGACGGATCATATGTGTCTTGTGATTGGGAGTTTATGCCGCTGGTCTGAGTCTGAGGCACAGCAACTTCCGCTCGAGACGCATCAAGTGCCGAACGAAGCGAGGATGACGTCGTTGGGTCATCAGATGACAGACTCTTCTCAAAGCTTCCCAGATAAGGATATGTGTTTGGGACTCGAGATTGCGAAGAATTTTTGTTGCTCTGAGAGGAGAACTGTGGCTGCGAAGAGTTCTTTGGATTGTTACCTAGATTCCCTTGTGGCCGATTGTCTACCGCCGAAGGAGTCACGGCGACTTGAACATGATCTCTGGTGACCTGAGAAAGAGGTTGAGTATAGCCTATGAGTTCTTGCTCGACCTGACTGGATTGTGTAGGCGGCAAGCTTTCACCGAGTGCATAAGGTACCGAGTTTTCCATCACTGACTCTTCGTCACTTGCATCATCGGATTGATCCTCATCCTCAGAGTTTTCGGCAGCAGATTCTGAGTTCTCCGAGTCTGTTGCCTCGTCTTCCTCGGAGATCAGCGTAGTAGAATTTAGGGGGTCGACACTCGAACAAGCTGGGGAGCGGTATGTCTCCCCGTCGCCAGAAGGTTCTGGATCTTTCACAATGTCTTCACCTGAGATCATTGGATTACCTGACCTCGATTTTTCAAGTTCATTTGGCAGAGGAACGTCAGCCGTTGATGTCTCAAGCGTCTTCTGGGGCGGCCCAGGAATTTGACCCAGAGATTGTGAGTTCCCTTTTGAGTCTGTCGTTCGGGGCGAATTATCAAGCGTCTCTTTCTCACTGTCTCCTTTGTGAGTTGCAACCCTTCGTAGTGGCATCGGCTGCCTTATTGGGCTGCTTTCTGGTGGCAAGTCTTGGGGACCTCTGAGAGGGGAGGTACTCCACTGCGAACAAAGCTCTTCATCAGACTCATCTTCAGAAGATGGACTGGTTTGTCGACTCGAAATGGGAGTTGCGGGATCTTCTTCAATTGGTGTTTTTCTGGCGTCTCCATGATTTATTTCATGTCTAAGCCAAGCAATATTGTTCCATTGCTTGAGAAGCCGAGCCGGCACATGTCCACAAGGTTGGGATTTGCCCGGAGCTGGCGGGATCCAGCAAAGGTCTCCATCAAGAAGTTCGAGCTGATCTTTAGGAATATTGACATCACACGCGCGGATTTGAGCGAGCCCTTGCCACGGGTTCCTTATAACCCGTGGGGGATCGATTGCAGTTTTAAGATTTTGCTCAACTCCTTTGTTCCTATCTAAGGGCGACACTTCAGTTACCCGCTGATCAGGGGAGACCATTGGTGACTTTTCCTGGATGGTCTCATTGACGCGCTGTCTTTTTCTCGACAGGGAATTGGCGTTAGCTCCTTGAGATGATCGAGGAGAGTCACGATCACCAAGGGCGAGGTCCGATTGGAGTTCCACACTCTCCCGGTGCCGTTTCCGCGAAGGCGAGCGACTGGCGACCTTAGAAGAGAGCCGAGCATCAGCCCGCTCGTCCGGATTCGGCAAGGGAGATGTTGTTCTTTGTCCGACACTTTGCGTATTAGGAACTTTTTCAGATAGAGGAGTGTCCACCTCTAGGGGCTCGTAGGTGTTCACTGTGCTATTTCGTGGCTGAGACGAGATTGAGTCCGCTCGACCAGAGCGATCATCGACTGGAGACGCTGAACGCCGGACACCGTTCGCAGAGGGTTCTCCATCAGCGAGGACATGAAGAGGACCCCTAGTCATCGTAGCCCTTGTTGTCTGCCCCTGAACCTGCATGGACGACCCTGCTGAGTTCCTTGAGCTTGGTCGAGATGATGGATCAAGATGTTGAAGAAGCTCATTGGCCCCATAGAGTAGCCGTCGATCCGTATCCAAAGCACGTTGCCCCACATCATAATTGCGGGAGGGGATTTGAGAGAACATTTGCTGTGATTGCGTGTCATGATGAGGGTGGCCTTGGGACTGGGGAGGATGCTGATCAAGAGGTCGAGGAGTTTGCGAGGGTAAGTTGCTTGCCTCGGTTGGCTTGGAAGCGAGTCCCTTGCTTTTTGCTTTCTGGAGGGCTTTGTCTAGTAGCACTTTGACAGCCAGATTCCTTCTCAGTATCTTTTTGGGCGTCAACCCTTTGATTATTCCTTCCTCCCAGTTGATGCGAAAGCGGGAAACGTTCAACCAAACGTCGGGTGTAGATGCCGAGTACGTGAAGACCAATTCGAAGTCCAGTAGCTGTATTCGATGCTTCTTAGGGTTCGTTTCTTTCGAGTGTGTATTCGGTGTTAAGAGGCTTGGATCTGACAAGCTGTGAGGAAACCTCGCGAGTACTTGGTTATCGGCATCGATCAACCGTGCGCCGTCATGCGAGGGTCCTATATCCCACTGATTCAGATCGACCGAACTGTCAGCTATGCCACATCTTGCTGTCCAAGTAATGAATATCATACTTCAAAAATAGCAGCCACAGACGTTATATCACGCCTCTTGAAGCACAATGTCGTTCCGTTGTCCTCCACTTCAATGCCATCGTGCGCAGACTGGCCTTGGTCGGCATAGGAGCCTAGGCATTGCTCCACGAGAGTGGCAAGCCATGGAGCAGGAAGACTCATTTTTTAAAACTGGGTTCGGTGTGATACAAGATGTAAGGCCACCAAAGTCATGTCTGGCAGGGAGACCCTGTCCAGGGCGTTGTCATCACGAATTTTCGCATATTCCAAGATGGTCAGGAGCGAACGGCCTCCGATAAGCGATAAGACGCGTTTCCAGCTTGGGGGACGCGATCCGATGACTCAGCACCCCACCACGTCATTGGGCGTCCATCCGCTCTGAATAGTAAGTAGTGAGCTGCGGAGAGCCTAGGCTTCTGCTCAGTTTCTCTTCTTGACAACCTCCTGGCCATCCTACCAGGCTGGGCGTCTTGCTTCTTCTCCGTCATTTTTCCTCGTTCCAGCCCCGCATGCTTCGCGACCAGCAGAACCCCGATTCGCATTCGGGCACCATCCAGAAGCTTTCGGCCTGACCACATCAACTACGGGATCATCCTCACCGATGGAGCAAAAGTCGCATGAAACCCCAAGCCCCTCCGCATCGTCCGGATTTCTTCCACTCGGACGGCGTGGGTCAAGGGGCTCCCTATCTACGACGCAAACAGATCGAGAAAATATGAACACGGCGCTCGACCAAATACACAATGCGGCTTACCAGTCCGATTCACTGACGCTTTTCAACGAGTTTACTAGCCCGCCTGCACCGGCGTCGGCATCGGACGATAAAGGTCTATCGGAGGAGCTGCAGGGGGGTCTCAGTGGGCTGTACAGTCGCTTCAGAACATCGGTTGGAGGAATGAGGGACATCGTCAGCGGTGGAGCGAAAGTCGCAGACAAGGGTGCTGTGGATAGCTCTGCGGTCAAGAGTCCTACCTCCGAGCGATCCATGACCAAGTCTATATCAGACCTTACGGTCAGCTCGGCTGACCACTTGCCGTCATACCCAAACTCCTCGCAAGGCTCGAGGCTGCATTCTCCAGTCGTGCCAAATTTTCATCCAAGTCAGGATCCTACACAGCAAACAGCCGCCGGCAAGAGCTCCAAACTCTCTTCGAAAAGCCCTAGCGTCACGTCCAAATCCTCCGTTTCTCCTGCTCCGACAGGGAAAGCCAACCTCGTCCCGCTGACAAAGCCTTCTGGCAACTCTGTTGTGGCAGACCCAGCAATCACTCATTCGCGAAGCAGCTCAGTCAACGTACCTTCTCAGGGGTTTCAAAATGCAGAAGCCTCCAGTATTGGTAGTAGGGACGCCCCTACGGATATGAGTGCTAGCCAAAATTCTTCTGTGCTGAATCCGAGTTACTCTCATTCACCAGTTCTGTCCACAAAAACCCATGGAAGCCTGCAAGAAGAATCTAGCTCACTGGAAGCGAGTGGGTCTATCGTTCCGACAAATCACCTGTTGGATAGCCGATCGCGAAAGTCTTCAAATGCGGACCAATCAAGGGCCCCAGACGACATATCTCAGTCTACTGCAACACGAAGCTCAAAGCATTCTGAGCTTACCCGGGACTCAAAAACACAGGCTCAGGAGAGCGGGTCAAGGTCGAGGTTGTCTGTTGGGGGACGTGATGAATCCATGGCACCGATCTCGCCTCCCAACAATCTTTCGATGATTCCACCTCAAGCTGGGGGTGCATATCCTGTTGACTCAGCGTCTGATAGCACAGTCCCGGCTCCTCGAGATGAAGTTACCGTCGGCGGATCAGCAAAGACTTCCATCCCTACATCTCCCACAGCTCTCGCTGGGAAAACGCATGCACCGGCTGCCAAGAACCGATTGCCAGGCTATGTAATGTCACGAGCATCTACAGCCGAAACGACCACCACCGTGTCTTCTTTACCCCCTTTAAACACAGCAGTTCCACGAATCATCACCCAAGACCTCACTAGCAACCGCATACAGCCTTCAAGTGACGGAGTTATATCTCAGCTGAGAAGTAGATTGCTGAGCAGGGATTTCTGGATGCGCGACGAAAATGCGAAGGACTGTTTCCACTGTGGAGAGACATTCACTACATTTCGCAGAAAACACCACTGTCGCACTTGTGGTCAGATTTTCGATTCCAAGTGCACACTTCTGGTCCCTGGCACAAGGTTTGGTCAACCTGGAACTATCCGTGTTTGCAAGCCTTGCGAAGGAATGATCAACGCACACGATGACGATTCATCTGAATATTCTGATAGTGAACAGAGCCCCATCATTGTGAATCCACGAGTCTCCGAACTCGGATGGGGCGGCAGCAGTGCTCGGCCTGTTGGCGAGGACGACGATGCATCCTCCATAGTGTCTCAATCTATCGACCATGTCCTTAGGACTCCTACAATGGCTATTCCAGCCACTCGACGCGCAGGCGAAGGCCACAATAGCCGCTCGGCAGTTCTTGAAATCAACTCCGACCGACCACTGACAAGACCTACCTCCTCGCGGTCATTGCGAGCGTCATTGGGAGTTCGACCGCATTCCATCAGTCACAAGCGACATCATTCGCGTCAGCAGTATATCCGAAGCTTCAAGCCATCTCACGATGACCGCGCCCCTTTCCAACGGCGCCACCCAGAGGATTCGATTGCCGAGTCGCGGCTCCCAGCCTTCCACAAAGACAATATCATCGACCCTGATTTGGCCCAGTATTTGTCAGATGATGCTTCCAGCGGCGATGAGCAGCCCAGCCTTCTCTCTGCAGTGTCTGAAGGCAACCTCTCTAAAAGTGGCGGTGACACGGAGAGAGCGGCGGGGCTTGGCGGATTCATTGCCGCCATGAAAAAGGGCCGGTCTGCATTCGGTGATCGAAGCGCCCCCAGCGTCAATCAATCAGGTCGAGATGCAGATGAGGCTAGCATCAGCAGCTCAAGAGCAGTCAACTTGCCGCGCTCTTCACGTCGTCGGAACCTGAGTGTTGCAAGCAGCATCCACGTGCGCAATTCACCACGGACGTCGAAAGAGAGCATGTTCCCTCATGACCCAACGTTCCCAGGGGTGCCTTTTATTCCTAGCGTCAAACAATCCGGCTTTAAGATGACCAGAAGCTCGTCAATGAGAGGGACTGGAGCACCACCAATCGAGCTCAACAAGGCCAGCCGGGAACATGTGCAAAAGCTTCTCCGTCAACTACTGGTAGAAGGATCTGTGCCCAGCAGCGAGAGCTGGGAGAGGGCCCTCATGCCAATTCTCCTGAAAGCAGCAGACGAAGTGGACCCAGATGTACAGCGCGGAGACGACATGGATATCCGGCATTACATTAAACTCAAGAAGATACCCGGCGGCAGACCAGGTGATACCTCTTACGTCTCGGGTCTTGTCTTCACCAAAAATCTGGCTCTTAAGAGCATGCCAAGAAGTATCCCGCGTCCGAACATCTTGATCATCACCTTTCCTCTTGAGTATGCCCGTCAACAGCAACAATTCATGAGTCTTGAACCAGTCATCCGGCAAGAGCGTGAGTTCCTCGAGAACCTTGTCAGTCGAATCGCAGCCTTGCATCCGAATTTGCTGCTCGTTGAAACAAATGTTTCCGGGCTGGCTCTTGCTCTCCTTGAGCAAGCAGGGATTGCCACTGCATATAATGTGAAGCCGTCTGTTCTTGAAGCCATTTCTAGATGTACTCAAACCAGAATCGTGACTTCTATGGACAAACTCTTGACAACTACACTGCACAGCGATTGCAGCAGCTTCGACGTCAAAACTTATGTGAATAGCGGTCGGAAGAAGACCTACATGTATATTTCTGGTTGTCCCAAGGAGCTTGGGTGTACCATCGTCCTACGAGGCGGCGACGAAGCAATTCTCGGCAAAGTGAAGCAAATCACTGAGTTCATGGTCTATGTTGTGTACAGCCTTCGACTTGAAACGTATCTGATGCGAGATGAGTTTGCCAAATTGCCAACAACCGCGGAAAATGACGCAAACCGACTCGTCTGTGCCGAAGAAAAGAATGAGATATCCCAGCCGGCAGCTCATCAGAACAGTTCCGGTGCCGCGGAATCTGAGGCTGCGGATGAGAAGCCCTCCGAGGATCCCGAACACGCAGTTTCGATGTCTACAGGGATTATTGAAGTACCGGATGATGTTCCGATGCCAACGTACCACGATGATATGGTCCATGATCACCAAACAAAGATCATATCCGCCTCACCTTTTGTCAAATTCGAACCTCCTTATCTACTCATGCGAACCAGAGAAATGGAACGTCGACTGGCCTATCTCAAACGTCTTCGTGATCAAGTTGAGTCTACCGAGGAAAGCTCGGATGAAAAGACAAAGGCTCAGAAGTTCATTCTCATCACACCTGAGATGGTCCATTCATCTCCACATGACGCTCCTCCCAAAGTCAAAGAGGTCCTGCGCGCAGCGCATGACGCAGAATATGATCGTGCACTTTACCACTATCAAACTCAGAAACGGCAGTGGGAGGCATATGTCTCAGGAAATTCCAACCTGTTTGATCCGTATGCTCACCAGAATATCGTTCTGCTTTACAGCCTGGTGTGCACCACAACATCAATACCCTGCTCTGGCCCTGATATCTTCGCTCTGGAGTTTTACAACGAACACGGAGACGATACAATCTTCGAGCCTGACTGTACGATTGGACAGTATGTTGAGGATCTCTGCCACACAGCTAACGCCGTCTGCAATATCAATGGTTGTGAAAAGCGCATGTCTGAGCATCATCGACAATACGTTCACGGCGACGCTCAAATCAGTGTGTTCGTCCAACCGTACCCTTCAAAGCTTCGAGGGATGCATGATACGGTGCTGATGTGGAGCACCTGTAAAATTTGCAACAACGAAACTCAGGTCACCGTGATGTCCGAAAATACGTGGAAATACTCTTTTGGCAAATACTTGGAAGTCTCTTTCTGGGGCCGGAACATGCATGCCCGTGCCGGGGTATGCCCGCATGACCTCCAGAGAGATCATCTCCGCTACTTTGGCTTCAAAGACGTTGCCATCCGCATTCAATATGATACAATTCATCTTCTTGAGATTGTTGTTCCACGCCCTCGTGTCACCTGGAAAGTGGATAACGACTTGAAGCTCAGGAACCAAATCTACTCTGACACTGCGGATCGGCTCAACAAATTTATGAGATCCGTTCATGTGCGATTGAAGGGCATCAACGTGGAAAGCGTTCTACCAGAACTCTTGGACGATTGTAAGAAGGAAATTGAGACTTTGATCAAGAAAGCTCAAGAGGACCATGCGGCTTTGAACAAGTGTTTGCAGGACAAGTATACCAGCTCGCGTTACTGGGAGGTCATTCCCTTGAATGAGGTCCTCCGAGCAGTCCAGGAGAAGGTGGTGGAATGGGACACTATCTTTGCAGACTTCGAGAGGAATTTCTTCCCATCGGAGAAGGATATCAAAAGATTGGCTACCTTGCAACTGAAAAAGATTTTCTTGGACAAGGATGCAACCTCGATGACTACCGAGGATGGGCTTCATACACCGACTGGCATGGACGAGGAGACAACTCCCACCGATGAGAAGCCAAGGATGATGCGACGGATGACACTCTCTCCTGAAAAGGCTCAGAACGTGCTAGTCTCGGTCGTTGAGGAGCACACTGGCAGAATGCCGCGAGATGCGCCACCCGATTCTACTGAGCTGACCCCATTGCCTACCCCAACTGGCGAATCGGTGCTCTTAGCTGATGTTGTCGATGTCCCGAGGTCTTCTCCACAAGATGAAGCCGTTTTGCAAGAAGAGGTTCGGCATCTTGACCTGGCTGTTCCCTCAAGTCAGTCTGAACGATCGCCGCCCAGCTCCAGCACGCCTCTCGATCAACCCCTATCGAAATTGGATGATCCAGTGGCTTTTACAGAAAGTGTGGCTTCACAGGATGTTAGGGATGTCTCGACGCCATCGCCTCCAGAAGCCGGTGATTCTTTCTCCGGAACAAAAAGCAAGGCCAATGAAGAGAGTCCGGCCACCGATGTTTCAAGTACGCCTCCGAATCGACCCTCTGCAATTCCAAGACTTGCCGAAGGTGCTTTCTCACGGCGCTCTGGGAAGACTCGTTCCCCTCCGCTGATACGTGCTCAATCACAACCCGCCCATCTGGTTAGGGAGAAGTCTTTTGGATTGAAACTAAGCCTCACAAATTCCAACGACTCTGGGACTTCTCGGGGAGATTCGACCAAGACATCAGAGAAGAAGTTTACTGAACGCCTTGGGCTGACTGCCTTGAAGAGTGGACGGTTTGCTCCGGGGCATTCGCTGATACCCCGTTCAACTCCCAAACGTGGCAGCTCTCGTGTGTCAAACCTCGCCAGACACTTTGAACAATTGAGCCGCGAGTTTGAAAAAGAAAGACAACGTGAAAGACGACAGCGAGCTGCACGAGGCGCTTATTCTCGTGCATTCCCTCTTGCATCCTCGAAGCCGATCGTTGAGGTTTATCGCAATGTGAAAGAGGCCGTTGAAGAACGAGAACCGCACGTTGACGGGGATTATTCTCAGCCCGCAGCTCCGCCGCGTACTTCAGAGGAAGCAGGACGGAAGAGTGACGACTCTATGAACCAGAGAGAGTCCGAGGAACTTGCTCCAAAGTCTCCAGCGCAAGTGAACTCCTCGCGATCATTCGAGCCTGGAGGCATTGTTCGTTCTGATTCTCAGCTCATGTCTGAGGGCGAGGCAGATGACGGACGGAGTGACGAAGAGCACAATACTGCCGACGATCTCCATCATGTGGACTCCCAAGACGATTCTAAAACGCTACCGGATGATGATTCGATCGATTTCAAAGATCTTCCAAAACACGAACGGACGACTCTATTGAAGATGCTTACCAACTTCTGGTCTGAACGATCCGCCAGCGGATGGACTGCTCTTGATTATCCTCTTAGCGCAGGAGACCACGTTTTCTCCGACTGCGATATTATTGTGCGCGAGGACGAGCCAAGTTCTCTTATCGCGTTTGCTCTAGACTCGTCCGACTACAAGGACAAACTGGCAAGCATTCAGGAACGGTACGATGAGATGGAGGATCAACCCCCAGAGTTTGACCACGATACAGAAGCCGCAAACGAAGCTCGACTGGAGCATGCTCTTTTGCGGCAAACCGGGACTCACCTCAAGTATCAGTTCCAGGAAGGCCAGGCAAAGATGCTCTGCAAAGTCTTCTATGCGGAGCAGTTCGAGGCACTCCGCAAAAAGTGTGGTGTCGCCGACCGTATTGTGGAGTCACTGTCACGTTGCTTGAAATGGGACTCCAAAGGCGGCAAAACAAAGTCAATTTTCCTCAAGACTCTAGATGACCGATTTGTGCTCAAGTCACTAGCACCCGTCGAGACCCAGGCCTTCCTCAAGTTCGCACCGGCGTACTTCCAGATCATGTCCGAAGCTCTCTTCCACGACCTGCCCTCAGCCATCGCCAAGATGTTTGGTTTCTACCAAATCATCATCAAGAACCCGGTGACTGGAATTGAGCAAAACTGGTTCCTGCTTCTGATGGAGAATCTGTTCTATGACCGTGCGCCCAATCGTCTCTTCGATTTGAAGGGATCGATGCGTAACCGCAAGGTAGAGAGCACCGGCGAGCAGGATGAAGTCCTACTGGATGAGAACATGGTGGACTTCATCTATGAGACCCCCTTGTTTGCCCGAGAGCATTCAAAGAAGCTTTTGAGTCAGAGCGTGTGGAATGATACCCTATTCCTCGGCCGTCAGAATGTCATGGACTACTCGTTGATGATAGCGATCGACGAGAAGCGCAGCGAGTTGGTGGTCGGAATCATCGACTGCATCCGCACGTACACATGGGACAAGAAACTCGAGTCTTGGATCAAGGATCGAGGCTTTGCTGGCGGCGGTCGCAATCGTCCAACAGTAACGAGTCCGAGGGAATACAAGAGTCGCTTCCGTGAGGCGATGGCAAGATATGTCCTGCAGGCCCCAAGGTATGTCTCACAGGTTCCTTCCGATTGACTGATGAATTCTGATCAAGTTAGTTGCTGGCACCAATTCCAACCAAGTGCCATGTACCGGTATCCACCAGGTGAACACCAGATTGCCAATGCAGCGGATCAGGACATCATCGATGGGACTGAAAATGGCGCTTTTCATTGACGAACACGATGCATAAACAACCTTACATATCCGTAATGATTGATGACTTGACGGCCGTACTTGATGCTTAAGAACTGTTTTTTCGAAAGTTGCAGAGGCATTGCACATATGCACTAAATTTCGTTTTCTCTTAGCGCGCGTGGTTGCAGACATGAATGGACGGAGTTTCAGAGACATGAGCAGGTGCATTCTTTAACCGGTATTTCTTTTGTTTATTATCTCATTTACGGTGACAATAGCTGTGCTTTTTTGATGTCTGATTGTTGTTGTTGTACTGCGCTTGTATCCAGAAAAACCTACTTGTTGTAAAGAGGTGTTCTGTGGTAGGATCATGGTGCCTGATGCCATGAGAGCGTTGATTTTCGATGTTACTATCAGCCACCATATGCTCCGCGTCCTCTTTAGATACCTGTAAAATAAGGCTCATACTCATGGCACTACCAGAAACTTTTGTGATACTACGACTACGACGCTAAGCCTAATTAGAATCGGATTTTACGAGTAGCACATAATACATTCAATAGCCCGTATTTACAGTGATAGTTCAAACCCTTGAAACAAGAACTAGAAAGAAAGGCCTCGGTAGATACCCTCTGACCTTCTTTATTTCTAAAGATCTTTCGGGATGTCTTTCTAATCATCTTTTCAGAGACCCTAGTAGGATATCTCGATTTATTTTTTGAAGAATAACTAATAAGATGATTTAGAAGATTAGTCAGGGGGTTTAACTGATGAGACTCCACGGTATATGCCTATACATACCCCCACTGCTCGACCCCTTTTGGTAGATTAGTCTGAATAGCTTCATGGGCCTTAGAGAGAAAGGGGTAAGGTCATATGACTAGATCCCTTGGCCCAGAGAGGGTAGTAGTATTATGTCAGGTGATTTGAATTAACTAGAAGTGCGTGTATGAATTAGTTAGTTAGTAGTTAGGTAGTGGCTATTAGGCAAAATACTACTGGCATGACGGGTGGCAGGAATTTAGGCCATCAGGCAGAAATCTAAGGGTCCAACGGGTGCAGCCGCGCTGTATTATATTTAGAACTGGGGCCAGTGGATTGATAAACCGTGTATGTAATATGTAAGAAAATGTCAAAATTGGCAGATTCGCTGTGGCGTAACCGTAACGGGGCAGTGTAGGTGGGTTGAAAGGCACAGATAAAGCGCCAACTCCAATCACAAGCCAGTACCTGCACAACCCTATGCGCCACCACCCCCTGTAATGGCCAGAGTAAGTAACTTTTAGCTAAAGTGATTTATCAGCGGGGGCTAGTAATCTTACGTCGAAGAGCCGAGAATAATCACTAATTCCTACGATGTTTTATTAGCGATGTTCCTCTAGCTGAACTTCATCCCGAGGTCTTTCGAGGATGGCTCTGCAAATGCTGCATACGTGCCTCCCCTGCGCAGCGAAGAAGAGAAAATGCGATAGAGTTTTTCCGAAATGTGGGAGGTGCTCTGGGTATGCTACATTAAGATTTTAGGACGTTACAATTGATTGACGACAGCAGGTTGAAAATAAACCAGGACTGCGTATACAGAGGCCGATTCGAGGATCAATTGTTGATTTTCAACAGCGGGCATGTAGCACATCTCTCTGTTAAAAGAAAAATGCTAACCTCAGTCTACCCGGTCAGACACCTTGTTAACAGTCCACGACCCTTCAAGTCCCCAGTTAGCTGTGAAAAATGCAGAGTGGGAAAGCGAGCGTGCAGTAGAGACCTGCCGAATTGCTCGCGATGTGAGAGGTAATTCTCCTCCTGCCCGAATACCACTGTGTCCTAATTCAATGGCAGACTCGACATTTCGTGCCACTATGAACTAAAAAAAGACCACTCCGCCAACCAGGATATGCGGGCGGAACCAGTTCAACCATTGCCTCTTCAAGATAGAACAGCAACTACCAGCCACAGTGCCACGGAGCGCCCCGGTGATATGAGCCAATTAATAATGCAGCGAACGACGGCCTCTCCGCTCGCACTTTTTGAGCTGCAGTTCAAACCAAAGTATCCGGTACCTGAACGCCATTATTTCGCGGGCTTAATCTATTTTTGTCAGTAGTCATTTCTGTCAGACCGAACTATGAAACCGCTAATCTACCTAGATACTGAGATTTGCTTTGTTCCGCCGCTCTATAGAGTGCAGAACAGCCTCACCACACATCTCAATAGTTTTTGGATGAGTCGAGCCCTCGCGGACCCATGTTTATTCATGGCAGTCCTTTTTTCTGCATCTGCTCACTGGGACGCTATCCAGGGGGTACCTCACTCTCCTCAAACATTATACCACCAGTCGCTGGCTTTAAAGATCCTGCGCGAGCAATTGAAGGACAGCAATGGAACTAGCTACGAGATGGCCAGCTCAGCGCTTACTTTGACTTTTTATAATGTACGGAAGCATTACGCGCACCGCTATACTTATGCCTACTAATATCACGTAGATGAGTGGATACAATACAGATTCGGCGCTGATTCATAGAAACGGCCTGCTGCAGATGCTTGCCAAAAATCAGAATCGAGGCCCGGAATTCGAGGCTCTAAACGCCATAGTGAACCTGTAAGTAGTCCATCCTTTTACACTCGGCCAGACTAACATATTTGTCTAGCATATTGCTAGGACTTTCTGTGGTTGTGGACCAGGAGCCACCATTTATCCCGCCTGTTAACACCTCAACACATATTAACCATTTCACACTCAAGTCTGACTGTCTGCCATCTAACCTACTTCGGAGGGCTATAGCACGAATTGCACAAAATCAGAATAGCCTACTTACTAGAGATACTGCGTCCGATCTACACAGCGTTCTCGATTTCATCATCGCTGCCGAGCAAGCCTCGATTCAAGAACTATATACCCTGCACGCCGCTTCCATAATGGATAGGGCCAGCGAAGAACTTTTCCCAGAGACAGGATCACAAACCATGCCTACCAACAAAACAAGCCAAATTGTAAATGAGTGCTTCCACCTAGCGATTCGCATATTCTGGTCCATCTTGCAGAACACACTGTGCCCTGATAGTACGTCCGTTGTCAGCGACCGGAGGACGATCTCCCGCATGGCCATTAGAATGCTTCGCTCTACTCTCTGCAAACTGGACATGGTTTCGTGGAAGAATCACGCTCCAACAGCATACCTCTGGATTTGCTTCACTGCGGCGGCGGCCTGTGATAAGCCTGCAAGTCGTGTTCCATTTGTGACAGTGGTGACACCCGTGTTAAGTGCGTCAGATACAACGGAGTTGAGCCTTGCAAGGGAGTGTTGGTGGTATTATAAGTGGCTTAGGGGTTTTCTGTGTTTGCCCGCTGGAGAAGGGAATGCATGTGAGAGTGTTGCTTTCGAAATATAATGATTCGATGATGTCCTTGATTATGCTTTAAGCCACATCATAGGATGAATTTGAATAGGTCCTCTCACTATCGTTGATGTAAGCTTTTTGCTTTTACTAAACATCCGGCTGAAGATGCCGTCTAGGGTTGCCTCTCCCCCCAACCCAATTCTACCCTACCTAATGGTGTCTGTGACACAAGCGCAAAGTAGCAAAGCGGAGAACGAAGTCAATTGGTCTATCTAGAGAGAGAGTAAGAAGAAGAAGAAGAAGAAGAAGAAGAAGAAGAAGAAGAAGAAGAAGAAGAAGAAGAAGAAGAAGGGAAAGGCCTAGGCCTGGTCCTGGCAACCACCAGCAACCCTACAGGGCAAACCGTGCAGGGGGGACAAGCAATCCTTGCATGACCAACCGGTCAAGGTCAGGTCAATGGAGGTCGAGTCATCACTACTTATTGAAGTTATCGACTGGTGCCTCATCTTTGACAATTTCCCAAACCCTCTCGATCCTCTCAACAACATACAGGGGCAACGGTCCATTCCGCAGGCCATCCAAGGTGGTCTGCAATTGCCTCTCGTTCCTCGAACCAAAAATAAGCCCATCCCTAAACGCCCCGTTCAAAACGGAATGATACGCCGCCCAGCGATACGCCAACTCCGCTTTGGGAATTCCTGCCTCCGCCGCAAGCTCTCCCCATAGCTTTAAGCCTTTTAGCATTGCCGGCTTCGTGTAAAGATCGTTGAAGATTCCTCCGGTTGGAGTCTTGGGATCCCAGCGTCCCGAGCCGCCGGCCACCAGAGCCTCGACATCTTTGGTTAGGAATCCACCGGCAATAGGCGAGTAGGCGTAGTAGGCAATGTTATGCTCCCGGAGAATAGGGACGAGAGCTGATTCCGAGTGTCGCGCGACGGCATTGTAGTTTCCCTGGTAAATGCTCGGTAGAACGTAGTTGTTTTCCTTGCAGATGTGAATAACTTCCTTGACTTCTTCGGCCAGGAAATTGGACAGGCCAAGGCGTTTGAACTTTCCAGACCTGTAGACGGCATCTATCCCGGCTAGCAGGTCTTGCAGTGAGACACGTCGATCCGGCGCGTGGATGTAGTAGACGTCGACCTGATTATATGTTAGTCATCTTTCTTACTTCACTAAGTGGTATGGATCTCAATCGTGGAGGGGGAGCAGCTTACCTGCTCCGTCTTCAAAGCCTTCAAACTCTCCTCTATACTCGCGATAACGCCCTCCTTACTCGACGCCGTCGGCGCAAAGCCTCCGGGATACTTTGTATGTATCGAAAAGCGGGCGGCGGCACCCGCCTGGCCCAGATATTCTTCACTGTCAGCGTAGAGTCGGGCTGTATCGATATTTTTCACGCCGCTGGCTTCAAGGAGATCCAAGGCGTGCTTTGAGGACTCAAGGGATCCGAACTCGGAACTCATGCTTGGGCCAAAGGAGGCACCACCGAATATTAATTGCACGGGTTGCGAGGACATGGTGCTTCGAATTGTTTTTGTTGAGGAATAAGAGATTTATTTGTATTGTGTTGTGTTTGTTCGTTCGTTTTTCTTTCTTTTTTGTTGTTTGGGATGGTCTGAATATGCAATGGTGATGATGGAGTCTAATCGATGGGGGTAGTTGAGGGCTTTTATATCTCTTAATCTCTTGCTCCATACCGCTTCCTGCCCTGCCATCATTCTGTGTTTCTCTGGACAAAGCAGACGGAGATTTCTCAGCAATGCACATGCGGGTTAGCCCGTAGGCAACATCGGGTTAATAATCAGAATACGCATAGGCTAATCTTGACTGGGAAACATTTTCCCGAATGCGAGGAATAGCTGATACTAGTACTAGGGGTAGCTGTCTATAGACTAAGGTCTGATTGTTTGCCGCGTGCGGGCTAGCAGCTTGTCGATAGCCTATAATATGCGACCCCGGAGACTTCCATCTGAGATCACGAAATTTTTGCAGCGAAGGTACAAGCGAATTGTGGCTGTCATCACTGGCGGGTCGGGCGCTAGCAGCTAGCGGAGCTTCCGCACCTGCGACTGCTGGCCCGGGAGTTCATATAAATTAGTTCCTTGGCTTAGAACGTCCCCGTACCGGTCTCGGGCCGCTAACTTCGCCCGTGGTCTAACGGGCGTTAAGTACTACTACTAATTTTAAACAGACGACTAGAATCGCGCAGTAAAATTTTCGTTTCTCGGACAATATCTGACTAAGAGGGAGTCGTTCACGGCTTTTGAACCCAGATCTGATTCTAAGCACCCGTATTTACCCCCAAGTCCGCATCTCCTTGGCCTAAAAGTGCAATGTGACACAGACATTGGGAAAGGGACACTGTCAATTACGGTTATAGATTCTGTCAGTCAAACATCAGTAATCACTACGGTGTACGATAGAGGGGACTTCCGCAGAACTCGTTACTACAGCGTTATCTATAGCACTTGGATTTACTAGTATTATACATACTAACGTGAGTGATTTGGGACATTAGCGATAAGATTCTAGGTCCTAAGATTAGTCTTGAGATTATGGATAATTTTAAATGCTAAGTAATCTTATTAGTTGGTTGATTTAAATCTATTTTAATCGGTTTCCTGTGGTAAAATCGCTTTTCTAGAAGGGATATAGGAAATGCATAGATTATATGTGACAAAGAATGGCTGATATCGAGATTCTGCCGGTTTAAAAATCGCTAACTAAGAGTCTTGGGGAAGGCCCCTCTATCGTCTACCGTAAATCACACAAGTTTGTAACTATCGACCGCCATAACCTTAACCTAGCAACCCCCCATGCTTCCTTACATCTCCAGTCTTTCCAAGAGTTGTCAAACCCCTCAACACCGCTTACCCCCTCGCTTCCATCATGCCTTACTGGTTTCGGAGAGGCTTCGACCCTGGCACTATCATCACCCTTGACCAGCCGGCTCCTTCACAGTGGTGAATCGTGCAAAAGCTGAGTGAGAATGATTGGCAGCTTACTGAAGCTGATCAGCGCCATAGGGATCGTATTATTTCCTCCGTTGTCGCTAAATTCCTGTGTCGCGACCCGAACGACCACACAAAGCTTACCTTAATGCGAATCTATCTCCAAGTCCCTAGCGTAGCTTGGTTGGTCACCTGATATTGTGTACTTTCATCATCTTCCATGGCCGCCAACCCCAACCCAATCTTTGCGCTAGCTTTAGATTTCCGCCGAACCGCCGAATAGCGGGACTCATAGTGGATCGGCGGTCGCGGAAGATTTACGTTGGCAAACTCGTTCCATTCCCTCAGCCGTCCTGACATTCTACCCAAATCAAGGCAAACGTGATAACGTGTGAGCACTTTCAGGGGCGAGGTGAAAATAGGTCTTGTATGAGAGGATTACCTCGCGTGTAACCGGGCAATAGGAATGAATAGATGACTCACCATTTTATAGCTTCCGCGATCCTGCGCAGTTCCTGGCTAGGCGCTTTCCCTTATTCTTCTTCCTAGCGGAAGCCGACCTCCTTGTTCTCCTATTTTCGCCCGCGGCATTTGCAATGCCTTCACCTTATCGGAGATCGTGCCGAGACTGCGTGAAAGCGAAACGCCGCTGTGACCTATCTTCCCCATGCTATCGCTGCCGTGTTCGATCCTTGCCGTGTACATATGAGAACCCGCGACACACGAGACCTATAGCGGTAGCTGAAGTTGCAGACGGTGAATATCCGATGTTGACAGTCTCGCCGCGAAGTGTGACCAGGATCGCTACGGGGATGCCGGATGTGAATACGGCCGTCGGACCTTTGGACGTATATAATAATGCTCCCGCGGGTCAGACTTTAACTGGATCGGCATTTCCCTGTTTTCCAGACTATGACCTGGACTGGCAGGATATCATGAAAGATATCGACAGCTTTGCGGTCCCGGACCAAGTTGGGGCGGATAATACGGCACCGACCCGAAGTGTCCTGGCAGGTGAGATATATCAAGAGCGAATTATTTCGGCCGTGAAGCAATTCAAGTCCTGGCCAGGTATGCTCGCAAGTCGTGGACATATCCCATTTATACACGCCCGGTTATATACACACCACCTACCATCGTCCATGCAAGAAGCTCTAGGAGTGTGCTCCCTTTATACCCAGAGAAATAGTTACAACGAACACTTGGTCAATCGGTGCATCAGCCAAGCGGCGCGACGACTAATAACGGAGCACTGCGAGTCAGATAATATGCCACCCACCGATCAATTAGCTTCGGTGCAGGCATTGTGCCTCTACCAGATCGTTCAACTATTCGATGGGGATATTACATTACGATCGCAGGCAGAAGCAGCGGGGCCTGTCCTGGATCGATGGCTTCGACAGCTCAAGTGCCATGCCAAGCCTGTGAGCGATGCATTGAGAAATGCGACTCACACAGGGTCTGGACACGATGCATGGCAGGCATGGGTATTTGATGAATGTGTACGACGAACCCTCATCGTCGGATTTTCCATTGAAGGGCTCTACTCGTTTCTCAAAAACGGTTGGGATGCTTCCCACCATGATTTTGCGGAACTTGGTTTCTATGCACAGCGGGCGCTCTGGACTGCACCATCCGAATACTTCTGGATGGCAGCTCTCCAAGACCACTTATTGCTTCCAGTGTGGTTTCGGACATGGGAGTCCGATACTGCTCAAGCCCAACCAGGAGACATGGAAGAACTCGGGATGATAATGATGGGATTCATAAAGGGAGTAGATTATTGCCGTCACTGGTTAGGAAAAGACGTACTCCATAAATTTGGTCTCACGTTAGACGAACTTGGCTCCTCCGCCTGACAAAAACAGTTTGACCTTCAAAACATTCATAAAGCTAAGGAAATCTCACTGATCTAGTATAATCTCCATCAGTTCATTCAACTGCTTCCCCCGATCACTACTCTCAATGACAGAAATGGTCAAGCTTGTCTGTGTGCGTTGAGTGCCTGTTTTCTTATCCTCCAATACAAAAGTTTGAATGTGCGCGACGGAACCAATGCCTTGATCCGTTACATCGGGTGAGGCCAGCAGCTCACGGCTACTTTGCACGCTGATGTTGTAGGTTCGTCGTGCCTCTGTTACCACCTGATCATACTCCTCCCTGGACACACGCTGACCATTGATACTGTATAGCATATTAGACTGATTAACGATCCATAGCAAGAAGTCATAGAAGGAAGAAATTACCAAACTTTCAACTGAGGGCTTATTTCTTCTTCCATCGTATTTTTGCATAGTCCGTCATCTGGCTGGTAAAACAACTTGTTGAAGAGGTCTTCAAGCCAATTTCCAAGAGGAGTGGGATGATGGTCCCGTTGGTCTCCCATAGTGCGTTGCGTGCTGTAACGGTTTATCGATGGTTCAAATTGAAAAGTTCCTTGGCAACTTGTAAATTAAGCAATGCGATGAATAGTGAAGATGAAGGCACATATAGATGATTGCTAACTAGTTTAAATACATCCTCTCGTTTCAGTTTCACCAAGCTTCCGCTAGCTTTCTACTCAGAGGCGGAAGCCTCTTATAGTCTTCCGCAACTCTTCCGCAAATCCTCCATGGCCGCGGAAGCCTGGCTTACACTAGAGGGACCAAAAAGCTAACTGTATGTGTCGATTTTTGCCCAAAGGGATTCCTCAACATAATCATGCCTATGAGATAACGGCAAAAAAGTTATCTTCTAGTGTATACACGCCTTAGGCGGAGTTAGAAGCGGGCTTAACCGTAAGAGCCCGCGCACCAACGCCGTTGGCCCGAAGGAATCCATATTGGCGCATAACAACCAACCAGCGGCCCCGGTTTCTGAGTTTCTGAGTAGGCCATCAGCTTCCACTCCTGTAGAATTTACCAGATGAAGTATCCCAGGTTTAAAATTGGCCGGGCCATTACGTCAAGACTAAACAATGGGAAAGTTTCAAGCAGCAGGCAGCAAGGTGGTCCGTGCGTTGGTTGATGGATGCCACAGTCCATGTTCCGCTGTGATATAAAAAAGTGGAAAGGATGCCCTTCAAAGATTTAAAATTCTCTTCATTCTGCTCACTATCTAATGACAACCTAATTTATTTCTCGAGCAGTCAACAAATATGCCGTCCGCGAACATCGATCACCTCACCATCTCTGCCCCGGAGGAGCATTTCGACCCTCTTGTCGAGTGGTATAAAAAGGCTCTCTCTCCACTAGGTTACAGGGAAATAATGCGGTTCCCTGGTTTCGTCGGACTGGGCAGCGAGTTTCCTGATTTTTGGATCGCTCAGAAGGAAATTCACATTCCGTCGGGGTTTCATTTTGCCTTTTCAGCTCCGAGTACGGTGTCCTCCTAGATATCTCTTATGGATACCCTTCTTGTTAGATGTCCAAGTTATATTTTCACTGACTGACCCATGGCAGACCAAGCTGCTGTTGATGCTTTCCACATGGCTGCCACCAACGCCGGGGGCACCTGCAACGGCAAGCCTGGGTTAAGACCAGAGTATCATGAGCATTATTACGCGGCGTATGTTTTGGATCCAATTGGAAATAATATGGAGATGGTAAGTACAGGTGCCTTGATTCCGCTAGTTTCCCAAGCTCATCCGGGCTTTACAGGTTACCCATTGTCCTGAGGGCCTGGAGAAGTAGTATGCTTTGACAGGGTTTGATATTGGAGGCACTGTAGACAAAATAAATTGAATAGTGATCGTTCATCCTTCCGTGAAAACCCCAATACACGTGGGAAAGGAACATTAGCTTTTAGCACGTCTACAATACTTATGCAATGCGGATTAGTGCTACCTCCTCTTTCGTCTTTCGTAAGATAACCTTCTTATTCACTGTAACCTTCCACTCTATCATATATCTGATGTAGCTTGGCAGGAGCTCATCATTTGGAATTTGGTCGTCCCACTCGGCGAGCTGAAGTGGCCTGGGATTTTGCAGGCGGTGTTGGTTAAAATCTCCCAGGCACATCTGAACAGAGGCGTGCGACCGAAGGATCCCAGAGTGAGGGCGTATTGCGAATCTTAGTCCGAGGATGCCTCCTTATAGAAGTAAAACCACTACCGTTGCAATACAGGTTAGAAGCCTGTTCTAACAGTTCTAACATTACTCATGCCGCATTGGCGTGGGCTGGAGTATGCATTTTCTTGCCGGTATATTCTCAAGACTTGATGAATCATTTGCGATAAAGTCTGACTCCATGCCTTAGCTTCTTCTAAATCCGTCAGAGCAAACAACAGCTGCTCATGGTGGTCTCGAGGCTGTTCCCTTTGCCGTGCGCAGACTGAGGGTCATGGAAAGGCTTATCAGACCGGGAAACACTGGGTTGACTGAGAGTGACTATCAACCCGACAGCCTACAGCTTGTTCGAGACTTCGAGGATACAGCTGTAGAACTGTACAAAACAATCCTTGTGTTTCAGATTCGACTCGTGAGACAGCATTCACGTAACTGGGCAAAACGATACGGGCGGGACGTTTTCAAAGCCGATGACTGGGCAGATCTAACAAGTCGGATCAAGACCCTTGAGGCAAAGTGCACCGAGATTGCTCAAGACTTGAGTCGTGAACGAATTGAAAGAGCTCTGCAAGATAGTGAGCATGACATGCAGAGTGGTCTGCAGAAGATTCAACAAGAGTTGGAGAAGACCACGCATGGCATTGAAAAGCAGACCATGATGCAATCGACCTGGCGTCAGACCGACGAGGAGCGCAATTGTGTACAGCTATTTCGACAATCGAATCCGTACGAGAATCAGAAAAACAGAACGCCAAAAAGGGTCTTGGAAACGGGAAATTGGTTTTTGGAGAATAAGAAATTCCTCGATTGGAGAGAGAGAGCGAAGGGCCCGATCTTCTATGGTTGTCTGCTAAGCCCGGTTCGGGAAAGTCTTTTCTAGCGAGAACCCTCATTGATGAAGGGCTGGTTACCCTTAGCCATCAGAAGCACTCTGCGGTCTGTTATTTCTTCTTCAAAGACATCTCTCCATACCAGAGAAGAGCACTCAGCGCCATGTCCGCGATCCTGCACCAACTATTCTCTGCTTTCCCATCTCTGGTGAAGCATGCTGTTTCTTCTTATAGCTTCAATGGGAAGGAACTACTCCACTTGTTCGACGAAATGTTTGAGATCCTCTGCCAGACAGCTACCGATCCCGCTGTCGGACAAGTTGTGTGCGTACTGGATGCTCTCGACAAATGCAGCGACGATGATCGAATTTTCCTAATTGAAACAATTACTTCATTCTACCACCGAGCCAAGAATGCTTCAAATGATGAAATTCAGCCCAGGTTGAAGTTCCTCTTGACCAGCCGCCCATATTCCCACATCCACTTGCAATTCCACGATCTCATGAAGGAGGCCCCTACTATACACTTGTCTGGAGACCATGAATCCGAAAAGATCAAAGATGAAATCGATCACGTTATCAATGTCGACATCCCAAGACTTGCAGCTCAAAAGGGATTCGACGAAGAGGCAACAGAATACTTGAGGAGTTACGTTCAGTCGACAACAGAACATATCTGTGGCTCAGCTTGATAATGGAAGAAATTCGCCTCAGCAAACGCCCGGCCAATAAGCGAGAACTGCATAAATTATCTCAAGTCTCCCTCGAAGTATGATTGATGCTTTTGATGCAATCCTAAAGCGATGCCGCGACCCAGAGCTTGCAAGGCAACTCCTGCATATCATCCTTGCGGCAAAAGAGCCTTTGGCGGTTGATGACATGAGAATAGCTACAGCTCTTGCCTGCGATCTTGAATATCGCTCATACGAAGAAATTGGGGTCGAAAGGTCCGACGTCTTTGAAATGAGAATCAAAAATATTTGCGGTCTTCTGGTCACTGTTGACGGTGGCTCAGTGTTTCTCATCCACCAAACAGCCAAGGAATTTTTGATCAACGAGGACAACATGAGTCGAGCCAGTGGAACTTGGAAATTTAGTTTTAATCCTCTAGACTCGGAAATGCTGATCGCAAAGATCTGCATCGCTCTGCTTTCTTTCACTTGCTTCTCCGAAACTCCACTCGTGGTTGAAAACGAGGATGCTGATGAAGCTGCCAAGCGAGTCTCTGAATATACTAAGGATCACGCATTCTTAGAGTATGCAGCGATAAATTGGATGGAACACAGCAAAGAGGCCAAATTCGATGACAACTCAAAATGGATGACATCAATCTTGTCTCTTTGCAGTGTGGATAGTCCGATGTTCAGGACATGGTACACAATTCACCAACGATCAGACAAAAGCTATCTCCCTTCAAAGACAACAAGCTTGAATCTCGCCACTGAATTCGATTTTCCGAATGTTCTTGCTTCTCTTCTAGAGCGTGGCGAGGACCCGAATGAGCCTGATGGCCACGGGGCAACGCTGCTCGCGCGATCTGTAGGACAATCTAAAAGGGCCTTCCAGCTCCTTATACAGGCCAAAGCAGACATCAACGGCCAAGAATGGTTGGAGCCGTGGCACAATGAAATTGACGATACAGGCAGCGAAATTGAAATCCGGCCTATTTCGGGTACCCCTCTTGTCATAGCTGCCCTTAAAGTTGATGCTGAAATGGTCAAACATCTCATCGATTGTGGAGCCACGATAGACTTTCCTCCATATGGCACCATGACGCCGCTTTATGCAGCGCTCGTCAGTTACACTGCTGATTCAGACTCTAAAGAGATTATCCACCTGCTGCTTCATCGTGGGGCGAATGTTTGTTTCGAAATGAAGGATGATACCCATCCGATGGTGAAAACAGCTCTTCATTGCGCGGCCACCATGATCGACCTGTCAATATTACAGGCGCTTCTTGGCTCGGAAACTGCAGATGTAAACTTTCAGCTTCGGGAATTACCGAGCGAGACTCAAGTGGAAGACCAAGATTCCTCTGAAAGCCGATTGGGTCATGACGAGCCAAACATCTCGAGAAATACGTGCAGTCTATCGCAAGACTCCAAGAGCAAAAGTAGCACCAGTGAGTGTAGTGGAAATGCACACTCGGATGCACACTCAGATGCAGATGGTGACAATAGTGATGACACCATTATATCTGAAAATGAGAGTTGCGACGATAATAACTCCCGCTCCAGATCCGGTCACTATAACGGTCGATCAGACTCATCTGATTCGGAGGACCGTTTTCGATTTATGATAGGGGCCACTCCTTTACATCTTGCAGCTAGGAAGGGACTCATGGATAATGTCAGGGTTCTGCTGGAGCACGGAGCTGATCCGCATATCAAAAATGCTGATGGCTATACAGCCTTGGACTTTGTTCTTGACTTACAGTCTGTTGGCGGCAGTTCTGACCCTGAGATCGTGGCTTCTGCCAAAAAGAAACTCATAGAACTGCTTGAACCATACGACGAGAGCCTTTCAGATGGTAAAAATCCAGTTCCTATAGTTACTTTTTCTGTTGATGGCTAATCTGTTTTTTTTTTCATAATTAGGAGACACTGCCAGTCATGTTTACGTCAGACTTAGACACATCTAACACAAATGAATGATCTCAGTCTTATATCAGGATCTCTCTTTCCGATTGCGATGGGACCTTTCATGGCTGAGGCCTTGAGGAGCTGTATATTTCAATAGCTGGCGAGAGCTAAACAGTTCTGAATAGCCTCAAAGATGTCCCAACATGCCACATTATGCATACCATTATAATGGAAATTGAATTGCAGGAATTATAGAATCACTTTCATGGACGGACTCAAAGTCTAGATACAGAGACCTAAGAAGAATTTACCTCTAGAGGTGGCGGGTAGAAGTCCTTGCCTTCACGCTTAGTGACTTCTATGGCTTCCAAATCAACCCCTTGGAGTAGGCGCACCTAAATTGATTCATGTTAGATCATGTGGCCTTCTTGCATGGATATACTTGTTCAAGTCTAGATCGCAACGGAATATAGTCATGATCGTCCAGTGAGATTCTATTTGACTTACATTGATAGCACATTTGCCATAGATGAACTTTGGGTTCACCGATCTGTTGTACACATTTGCACCACAGGTTCCGCAAAAGAAGATCTTTATAGAGTGCGAGCCAAATCCATATTCCTATAGAATTTTAGTCGTCTACCATTTTTTTAGAAGGTCATTTTTGGCAGCTCATTCATACCTTAAGGGACTGTGCTCCTTGATGGATTTCTATATCATCCGCAAACGCATGTAGACTGCCTGAGATGTGACAATAGCTGCCTATTTTTATTGTTAGCCCCAGCTGCTTTCAACTTTCGTTCTCGTATAATAATCAATAGGGAAGCAGGGTCGCATGAAGATTTTTCACTTACAGTTACAAGAAATTACTGGTAACTGTGATAACGGCGACGGCAGCTTCACAGAATAAAGCACAGCTTTGCAATGACAACCCCCTCGTAAGAAACACTTGTATCATGGTCGATAGGGCCTTCTGTCTCGGTACCCTTGGATGAAGTCATTGCTATAATCGAAAGTTTTCGGTTGTGAGTCCTGGCTTCTCTTGTCGTGACTTTGCGTTATTTGGGAATATGGAGTCAAATTGGATCGAAGACTGTGACGTTCCTGCGAGGAATTATATAGGTACATGAAGGGGTATAGAAACTAAGTTGAGTGGTGGTTGAGAACTCAATTCAAGTGGACTCCAGTGGAGCCGATATCGTTGGGTGTTGTGTATCGTCCGTTGGGGCTGAACCAGATTAACCCAAAGCAAGGGATTTATTCATCATCCCCGTAAAATTCTCATTTCAACATAATCAAAGGCCAAATATGTAGCTTCTGCCCCGTGTGCTCCTATTTCATGACGTGACTGACAATTGACCGTTAACGTGCATTCTAACGGTCTGCTAGAATCTCCAAAGATTAGTGGCGATTCTATTCTCTCTTCTCTTCATCTAAGTCGTCTCTACCAATATACTAAACATGCCATAGATTAATTATGATTGTCCCTGTAGATTAATTGGCTACCTCGTCTGCGCTAAGAGTAGACCAAAATGATCTTAGTATGGGAAAAGTCGCCTACCATTACCAGGCGTGCTCGCCAAGATCGACGGTGACAGGAATGCCGCGAAGCCGAAGATGGCCAGAAACTGGGGTATAATTTAGGACACATTTGATCTAAACTTATTCAACGTGACAACTCAACGAATCTCCCCAGACAATTGAATCGTGTACACAGTCGGCGAGATTATTCATCTTCAGTAGCGGTCTGACATCAGTGGGGAGATGTTCACTAATCCACCCCGAGGTGACATTTCAACTCTCACACTTATATAGACTGTGTATACTTTCATTCATCATTACTTTGTGCTGTATCTGAAGGTCTCATGACTGCCCATCCCGCCATTTAATTCCCAATGGCAGCCGATGTCCCAGCAACAGCGCCAGCGGCTGAATTTGCCATTCGCCTGCGCCGGTTGCCGTTACTCATATATTCTTCGTATTCTGTTTCGTAGCGTGCATATTCACGAAGATACTTTTCTTCGTTTTCCCCATATTTTTCTCTGTGGGGTGGTTTGGGTTTCACGGAGCTAAAACCGCCAAAACCGAAGCACATCGTGGATTGAAGGGGTAATTAAAGAAGAAATGTTTTGAAGACCGTGTTGAGGAAGACGAAGGATTTGAAGAGTTGAATTTGATTTGAGATAATCAATCGATATTGACTTCATGGGTTGAGCCTCAAAGAGGTTGTAGTCCTCTTTATAAAGCTCGGGTCATGTGTGACCGAGCCTAACTCACACTGTACGCAGCCACTACTGTGCCCATGCCAAGTCTTGACGTTCGTCATAGCTGGGGGCAGAGACTGGGCAGACTAATAAATGAGACAAGAAATTTTAGGGACGATCAAGCGATGAACAAGTTGTATTAATTCGATTGCCTCGAAATAAGAAATAGAACATAGTAGTTATGCTAGAGAACAGTGAAACAATCAACTCACAAATCTACAATATTCCTGCCTTGTAAACCAGGCTTGACATCCATCCCGTGTAGCTTCGGCGAAAATCGGGACTAAACGGGGCCGCACTCGGGAATTATCTTCTGCCATCGGGCACGATGGACTTTTTTTGATTTTCTTTTCTCTTTTCTCTTGATCTTCTTATTCAATTGACGAATTCCTGCCTCGCTGTGTTGCACGACTCTTCAATGAAGAGGGTTATCGCGACTATGGAGAGAGTATACATACTCTGTATACTTTCTCGGGTGCCTGCAGGACACATGCCTCGGCCTCGGAGTCGGGCAGCGCGTTTTCGTGTCCCCCCGCATTGAGGGAAGGCGTTTCCGCTTGACCGTCGGCTGTTCCTTTTTCTCCTTTTTCTCTTTTTCTCTCCCTCTTCTCTCTTCATTCTCGCGGTTTTGAAGCGATTGCATTGATTGTGCGACTGCGCTCGACTCTCCCTGTGAGAGTATACTTAACAAAAGACGTGCAAGGATGCGCGCAGAACTTCCCGTCGCTTCAAGAAGGACGGACAAGTACAATGCAAAACTAACAGGCTCACTAACCAGGAATTCTGACGGAAATCTTAGGCCCTTTTACTTTCCTCATTCCTTTTGAGAATCATCTAGGGTTACTCAAACAATGGACTCGGTCTAAAGACATCGAACTCGTTCTCATATACATCGGTAATGCATTAATTTCTTTTCAAGAAACAGCGATGGTCCAGACCAGCAGAAACGAGTTTAGGCTTGAAACAATGGCAAGAAACATTCTTGCAGTTTGACAAAATAAGGAAAAATAGGTATGTATCCAACCCCTCGCACCAGCGATAACCAGGGAAAAAAGATGAGAAATAACTAAAAGGGCAAAGATTGGAGCAATAGATTCGTGGCCTTCATCATATGGCACCATCAAAGATTTACTCCATGGCCAGACCAAGGTTCTCCTCGGCAGGGACCACACGAACGGTGTTGGTGTGGCCCATACCGCCACGCCATCCCTGAACGCAGACGATGGGGTCGCCCTTGTTGATGATGCCGAGCTTGAGACCGTGGTTGATACCCCACTTGAGGCGGCGGTCGACATCCTCCTGCCAGATCTTGACGTTGAAGTCGGGCTTGTTCTCGGGGAAGTAGAAGGGCCAGACACCACGGTACAGGTGAGAGTACTGAGAAGGGTTTTCGTTAGCTTGGAACGGCCTTGCGATACTGGGGATGCTACAAAACTTACCCGGGAAGCGGTGGCGTTACGAGTGACCATCAAGATGGGGCAGACGGGGCGGTACTTGGACAGCAGGCGGGCAGTCTTGCCGCTGGTGGTCAGGACGACGATGGCACCGGCGTTCAGCTCCAGACTGGCGCTGACGGCAGCCATGGCAATGGACTCGGAGGTCTCGGTGGGGCGAGGAGCCAGGTTGCGCAGCTCATCGAAGATCTGGAAGTGGGGGATGGTGACCTCGGCCAACAGACAGGTCTCGTGCATCATCTTGACGGCCTCGCAAGGGTAGTTACCCTTGGCGGTCTCACCCGACAGCATGACACAGTCGGCACCGTCGAGGACGGCGTTGGCAACGTCAGACACCTCAGCACGGGTCGGGCGAGGGTTATACGTCATGGACTCGAGCATCTGAGTGGCACAGATAACGGGCTTGCCCTTGATGTTGCACTTGGCGATCATCATCTTCTGGGCGATGAACACCTTAGGGGCGGGGATCTCGATACCGAGATCACCACGAGCAACCATGACACCGTCGGTGGCCTCCAGGATCTCGTCAAAGTTGTTGACACCCTGCTGGTTCTCAACCTTGGCGATGATCTGGATCTCCTTACCCTCCTCACCGAGAACCTCACGGATGCTCTGGATGTCGCTACCGCGGCGGATGAAGGAAGCGAAGATCATGTCGACCTTGTTCTTGACACCGAACTTCAAGTCGCTGATATCCTTCTCCGACAGAGCGGGGAGGTCTACGTCGGTACCGGGCAAGTTGACACCCTTGCGGGAGGAGATGTTACCGTTGTTCAAGCACTTGACGCGCAGGGTCTTGTCATCCACAACCTCGATCACCTCGAATGACAGAATGCCATCGTCGACATAGATGAGCTTTCCGGGGGAGATCACCTGGGTGATGTTCTTGTAGTCGAGGTACCTACAGTCCCGCACAGTCAGTCACTGCGACACCAGCTTCGTGCCGTCCCACGGTCGGCCGATCAATCAATCCCTGCCAATAGCTGGATGAGAATGCTTACATGTTCTTGTCGTCACTGGCGGTGGCATAAGCCTCATCGGTGGTGATATTGAGCTCGGTACCGGCAGCGATGGGGAAGTCCTTGTCACCGACGGTGTTACCGGTACGGATCTCGGGGCCCTTGGTGTCAAGGGCAATGGCCAGAGGACGGCCAGTCTGGATGCGAGCAGCCTCACGGGCGTTATCGATCACAGATTGGTGGTACTGATTGATGTTAGAGTCAACAGGGCACGTCTTAACCGCATGTTGGGGCCACCTAGGCTCTTACCTCATATGAACCGTGGGAGAAGTTCATGCGGACAACGTTAAGGCCGACTACAGTCGAGTTAGTCTATCTTCTCCGAGGGATAGTTCTATTAGATTGCTGTCCATACCAGAGCGGAGAGCGTTGATCTTCTCGACGGAGTTGGTCTTGGGACCTAAAGCGCAATTGACCGTTAGCAATTTTTTGGGCCTTCGACTATCAAATGACCATGCGCCAGCTCATTGAAATTGTGGTGCAAGCCAAAAGACATCTGGCAGTCGTGGACATGACATACCAATGGTACCGATGATGGAGGTGCGGCGGAAGTTCTTCGCGGGCACCATCTCGGTGTTGAGCTTGGAGTGCCACTCCAGCTTCATCCGGTTGGACAGGTGGTCGAGGGAGGTAGTGGCCGCCATTGTGAATGTGCTAGACAAAGCTAATGGAGGAAGGGAGATGGGGAGGGAAGAGATGGAGAATCAATTGAAAGAGGGTGGGATGGAGAAAAGAGAGGGGAGGAGAAAATGGGAGGAAGGTGAGGGGCGGGAGGGAAAATGTTGGTCGCCGATATGCTATCTCCGCCAACCGCCCACTGCTTTTTCTCAGGCACCCAAAACTAGTGACGGGTCTTGCCCCAGGTTACTCGCCGGTGTACACTGCTCCTACATTGCTCTGGTGGCTTGGCAATGCCATTTACAGTTTGTAAATTTTTACAGTAGAATAATCATTTATTTAGAACTTATTTACTATTCATTAAAAATGCTTTGAACTTGTTATTCTCCCCTTGATAAGTCTAGTAATTCTCCTTCCATTGTAAACTGCCTCTCCCACTTTGCCCCTCACCGAGAATCCCTTAACTAGCCAGGCCAATCGGCACCGGCGGCATCCGCTATGAAGGCAGAAGCATAGAAAAAATAAATTCAATACAAAAACCGCTTCTCAGCGGAGGGGCCCGTGCTGGTCTACGCGCCGTACATTGGATCCCTTTTATCAAGTAAACGTGACAAATAGCGACACCCAATTTGATGGCCGCCCCTCCAGGCGAAAATGGACTTTCGGTGGACTTTCAGCCTTATCGATAACCCGTCACCGTTTTGGGAGGTGGTGCTATATTACATAATCATAGAGCTCCCTCCACTTACCTCATCACACCAGCCACCGGGACCTTTGGGTACAGTGGCTGCCCAGCGTCATGTGAAAGCGACCCACGTGATACCTTTCCCCGTCTTCCGCCGTGGATCATCTGCAACCTCCATCTTATGAGCCCTACGTTTACATGCTCTTCACTCTGATAACCCTCTCCACCATGGTAAGAAGCTTCCGTTGCTTGTACTTGAAGACTGGGGAGAAGCATAAGAGTCAGGCTAACCTCTCTTCGCGGGACAGTTCGGGCGTCTCACTCACTACGCATTCGATGCGGTGCTCCGTAAGCTATCCCTAGCATACACCAAAGATCATACTCGGTCAAAACTAACAGACGATTTCTTCAACAGTCTCTGCCTTCCTGGCTGGTGTCAAGCGATCCACGGGCCTCACGTAAATATTCCCTTCGAACCCTCTCCCAGCCCCCTCCTCCACTCTCTTGCCTTGTTTACCTCGAGCCTGAGAAACTTCCAAAAGGTCTCTCCAAGAAGACAGTCCAGCTAACTCGGTTAACCCTCGCGCACACCCCATTTATCGGGTCGCGTGCGTGTGGGTTGTTTCCAGCCCCAGTCTCAACTCCGAACAGATCTCCGATAACAAGGAAGTGAAGCGCTGGATCGACAACTACCTCGGAGTCGGCGAGTGGGTGATGGATCAGTCCGTGGCCGTCATGGGCTCTTCGAGCTGGTTCGAGCGTCGACGATGATTCGTTGTCTCTTCTTTTTGAAGGACAGGCAAATGGCGATTTATGATTCCATCCCCATACTTTCCGACTTGACATTCAACTGAGGTGGTGTGACATGTGGGCACACATCATGGCTGGACTAACGTGTGACGACCTACTCCTCTCTCTCTCGCCTCCTTGGGTTCTCCACTTCTCCAGCCTCATCTTCAGAGTTACGGCGTCTTTGGCTCTTCTCGTTCTGTGCGATACCTATCAACTCTCTGTATCTATTCCATTACGCTCATACACAACTCCTATGCTCTCTGCTTGAGACTATCACATTATCAATGAAACCTGTTGAATGATGCATTTCCTTAACACAAGATGACTCTAATCAGAGAGTCACGAGACTAAAAAAGATGCTAGACCTTTCGCAAGCTCCAACAACTTATATTAAAGCAGACCTCCCGAACACCAAAACAACATTCTCGCGAATCAAGACTCCTCCTCTCCCGCTTCAATCTTGCACTGAATACACTGGCAGCCCGTTCCAACAGGCTTAAGCTTCGACCAAAGGTTAGCCAGATACCGATCACGCGGATACCTCCACAGCCCCTTCAGCAACCCTTTCCTAGTCATATTAATAGCAAACCCATCCGAACACTCAACATTCAACCCCTCAAGCGAAAGCCTCCCAATAGCCACACTCAGCATACCCAAGTTCTCGCTAAAATGAGCCGAAGGCTCAACCATAACATTCTGTCTCCCGCACTCCTTCTCAAGCTGCCTAGCCAACCCATAACAAGCCTCAACAATAGCCTGACGCCGTTCATCAAAGCAAGGACTAATATAACACCCACCCGCCCCCTTCAAGCTTGGCCGGAATCGCGACAACTTACTAGCGACGGCATGTTGAAGGAAATAAATGATTTGCTCGGATTCAATTCGAAAGTGGTTCTTGGAGAAATCTCTAACGTTAGTTTCGATCCACTGGCACTTTTGGGTCCATTCGTCCAGCTTGTTGGTTACGATTTCGCGCCAGGATTTGAAGGCTGGGACTGTTAGGTTTGGACTTTGGAGGACTTTGAGGACTTCGCCGGTCCACCATGACTCGGGGGACCATTTTACACCGCGGCGGGGGTCTTCGTTGAAGAGGGCTGGGAGGAGGAGCTTGTATGCTGGAGGGGTGTAGGAGTGATCCATGACTCAGAGATACTTAATGCTTAAAGATCAGATAGGTGCAGAGATAAGGTGAATGTGAGCTAGATTTGAGGTTTTAGGTTTAATGGAGAGAACAAGGTCTTTATAGTAAGAGGAACATTTCTCTTCGTTAGAGACAAGTTGCCTATCTAAATAATCTAGCTTGGTTGAGTGGGAGAAAGAGTTCCATTATATGGTCAGTTCTTTGGCTTGATCCTTTGATCTTGTTTGAGACATGATTGTTCTATTTCCGGACTATAACAGTCTTCTATAAAGTTCAAAGACTGATCATAATGGGATTCTCTTTCTTTGCGTCTATTTGCCAACTAATAGTGATCATGTAGTTCTAATTTCACCAAATTCTACCATGGTCTCATAGTCAAGATATTCTTATATTGATTCAGGAGTTAATGAGTAGCCCGCAAATGGCTTCACGCTTAGCTAGAAACTAATGGGGTATGAGAGAGAGAGAAGAGCATCAAGTTATGAAAAAGGCAGAAACAGTGGATCTCTAATCAGCATTTAGGTCTTCAAAAGCCCATCGATATCCACACGACGGAAGTACGAGATGTGACCCATCTCCTGCCAGTAGTGGGCGATGTAATCAGTGGAAACGAGAATGAGTTGAGATGCAATATAAGCATCTACGATGAGAAAGCGCGAATCAGTTAGCCCGAAATCGTTACAAGAGGGGGAAATGAAATAGCTTACCGTCACGGAAACCGATGCCCGCTACGTGTCCAAAGCTGTGGACTATACGGGCACCTACGAATGGCTCTTCATCTGCCACACGTACCAGGCCATTGGGCCCAATATCGTGGGCGACAAAGGTGACTTCCCCACGGGGAACATTTGGATCTCCTGTCAGCTTGACGGCTTTCAAAGTGTTCCATTGATAGGCCCCCTCGCGTCCGTCGGTTGGATTGAAACCGGAAGGTTGAGTCATTTGGTAGATGAGAAGAAATTCGCACCCATGGGCAGAATAATCTCCAACCCATATCCCTTGGTAAGGCTTCTCTTTTGTAGGAATGTACAGCTCCGGGTCGAGGGTCGCATAATTAGATATCGCTTCGTTATCAATCGGGGTCATCTGAAACCGAAAATTGGCCCATCGCTTGATGCGAAGCCCGATTGTGGATGCTTCCGATGCACGACTGGGCAGAAACGTATCTCTTGAAGTCGTGATCCGGGCTATTCGCTCCGAACTAGGAACCATTGCAGGCGGCCAGAGCCTAATCGAGGACATCGTCCTCTGATCTGGATACTCCTTGGGGCAAAGCATGAGCGAGCTGAATACTTGTTGAGAGTCTGCTGACATGGGCATCCGGCGATCGGCATTCCATGTCTGGCAAGCGGCGATCGGGTTCGATATCTCCGCGTCTTTGAGCAGTAAAACTGGGTCATCCAGCCACAAGCTGATCTTGGGGTCAAACGACTGAATCATAACGTCCGGATGGGCTTCCCAAACATGAAACTTTGGTGTGCGTCGATCTGCAACGACTCGGTATGCCTCTATTACCCCTCGTCGGTTGTCATACCGAGCAAGGATCAGACATCCGTGGGCTTCGACATCTGCAAACCAGATCTTATTTTGAGGAATGAACCAGTAAGGTAGATGGGCAAGATATAGTCGACGGAATGAGTTAAAGGGTCCTGGGTCGTGTATGTGGGAGTCAAGATGTGAATTGACGAGTTTGGCCCACAGGCGATCGTTAGAGCCATGTTCGGCTAGTATGCGGCAGGTGCTGGACACGCAAGCCAGGTCTTGCGCGGAGAGATGGGATAGGATCTGGTGAATAAGTTCGGCGGGAAGTTTATCGAAAATTGAGATATACCCAGCAGTCTCGGTCCACGACCTCTCATGAAGGATCTCATCGATGAGCTGCTTGTGTTCACGGAGGCCGCGGTCGCTCGGATGCTGCACAACGAATCAGTCAGTCCTCGTAAGATTCGGTCAAAGGCCACCCATTCTCACAGCCCGACCAGCTCCGATTTGGGATTTCATAGAGACGCACCTCAAGGAAAGAAGTTAATCCCGCCATCGCACCAGTGTTGCTTCTGGGTGGTTGAAGAAGGAAGGCCAAAACGGACGTGTACTGTTCGATATCCCTCGGTCACGCAATGACATCACTGAAAGGCGCGGTAGTGAGGACACATGGCTAGCCGGTACCTGTAAGGTAAAAGGGTAGATGCAGGAGAAGAAAGATTCGAACTGAACGAAGTCGCTCCCGGTGGACGGGCTCTAATGCCGGGCACAATGCACCGAGTTAGATAGAGGCGGCGGAGGGAGCTCTTTGAGTGGTGGGGTCTTTGTTGATAAGATACCACGGGCTGGAGTTGCCTCCACACACACTATCAACGAATCGATTCTTTCATAGGGAAAACTGGGCTGAAAGTGCCTTAGACTAGCGAGGACTTGAGGAAAGGACAGATTGGCATTTTCTTTCGTGGCTCAGTAGATTGGAAGGATAATGTATTGGATCAAGATTCAAGATCTGGATCGAAAAGTCAGATGACCAGCTTAGAAGCAAGGATTTAAGGTAGACAAGTTTGGCTAGGATCCACCGGTTTTGCGGGAGAGTTAAGTGGTTCGAGGAGATCAGCTGAAATGGATTTGCAGAGCAGTTCCATGGGCTGTATAGTAAGCTTTGAATTTTCTAACATTTTACAAGAATTCCATAGATGTTGATTCCTATTACCTTTAGAATTTACAAATGTCTTGTTAGTTGGGGAACTTAATTTTGTGCCTAAGGCTGTAAAGGCTTCACGTGATCGCCGGAAGAAGAAGCTTGTTTACATGTCCCAAATAGGAAAGCAGGGCCCCAGGCACGCGAGGCAGGCGCGAAGGGGCCTGTTGCCTGCAGGAGCCCCACTTTGTTTGTTTATGTTGTGATGTATAACGAAAGGTTCTCCTGTAGTTCAAAGTATTTAATACTTCTCTCCCTAGACTCTCAACTTTACAACACCAATCGGACTGCTTCATCTTTCTTTATTTTGCCATTCGCCAAATCCATCGACAATACCTTTGTCCCACTACTACAGATGCAATTATTGTAGTGCGCGAACTACTGTGTACATTTGTACATATCCTATATTTCCAACTCAGCTGCTGTGGAGCCCTACACATTGACGATGGAGACTCGACAGTCTGCCCGCAAGCGCAGAAGCAATTCCATATCCGATTCAAGAGGCACTTCACCAGTCTCGCACCGGACAAGAAGCGGGATAATCGCAGAAGCAATGCTTAACATGCACAAGCCTGCTGCGAGTACCCCAAAGAAGGCTAGGAAGCGGGTCCGTTTCTCGGATCCTGGTCCTCGGCTGCTTGATACTCCAGCTTACTCGACCGGCCTCACACCTGCCATGAAGCGTACCTCATTTATAGAGTCCGACATTGGCTGCTCGAGGTCTGGTAATGGCACGCCTAGTCGGCGACCCCACCGGCGCAGATCAGCTCCCATGCCGCGCTTCCAGAGGTCCTTTGACCCCATTGAAGCTTTCGATGAATCGAGCAACGGAAGGGTGATGCAGTTTACTCCTCTGCGTCAGATCTTGGATACTCGCACACAAAGAAGGATACGACGCTTTGGTCTAAGCGACGAGGTCAATAGTATTCAGCGTGAAAAGCGAGAGTCTGCGAATTTCGAAAAGACCCTTGAGGTTTTACGACAGGAACGAGATGCTCTTCAACTTGAACTCAATGTCTTGAAGCAAAGGAATGAAATTTCAGAAGACCAGCTGCCTTCATACGAGTCTTTCTGGATGTCCCCTCAGATTCGTGTTCGCGAACTCGAGCGTGAAACTAGTCGACTGCGAGATGAAATCTCGGTGGCTTCAAATCCCAGCCTGGATATGCAAGAGACATCAATCGACAACGAAGGTGATACATTCGTACTCAATGATAGTGCTGTTATCGTTTCCAACTCACCGGATCTCCGTGCTATGCACTCACCGGTGCCAGACAGCCTTACGATATTCGATCAAACGAATGCCGAGATCTCGACTCAAACAAACGTCGTTGAAACGACAGAGGACTCTGATATGCAAACTCTGACCCTTGATTTGGAGACCGCCAGAAATGAGAAGAGGGAGCTTTTCAATGCCTGTCGTATGCACCTTTCTACATTCGAGGCATCTGGCTTCGGTGATACTCTTCGTCAATCATCCCCACCTCCCGATTTCTTTGGTAACGTCATCAACATCTTGACGATGGCGCTCTCTCGTGCCTATGATGCCACTCAAGCACTAGAGGGTATTAGCCAAGAGTGTTCCAGCCTGGGATTTACCGGATCCAGCACAGACGAAGTAATCGATGATATGCGAACTCACTTCCGTGCTGCACGCCTTGAACTAGAGCGAGCTATTCCCGGTGAAACGGCGAACGTGAGCCTTGAGGATGGAAAGGCCACCCTCGGTGCGTTGGTACACCGAGTCAAGTCTCTTGCAACCGACTTGAGAGCTGAGCGCGACCACTATCAAGGCTCGCTTGGGCGTGAAAAGGCACTTCGAGGACAATTCGATAACCTCTTACACCGGTACGAAGCGGCAGCAAATAAGATCAGCAGCCTCGAGGACTCTATTGCATCATCTGCGAGTGATATGCTTCACACGAGAATTCGACTGCAAGATCTCGAAAACGAAGACCAGGAGAAAAGTATTGGGATTGACAGATTAAACGCCGCCCTCGACAAGTACCACGAAGATGTCAGAGGTCTGGAAGATATGGTGAGCCGTTTAGAGGATGAGAACACGGCCACCAAGGAAAGATACCGACAAAGAATTTCCGATTTGAAGGCTCAAGTCATCAGCGAGCGCAAGCAACGTTCTGCGATTGAAATTTCAACCTCGGAGAATGAGGCACGTATTCGCCAACTTGAAGAAACCATGGAGCAGAACCGAATTCGTGCTTGTGATCTTACGACGGAGATGGATATTCTCGAGAAAGAGCACCAGGCAGTACTTGAGCGTCTTGAGCAGACATCGAGTGAGAAGCAGCAACATTATGAAGAAGAGACCGGCACCCTCAACGTCCGTATCTCAGAACTCACAACATCGCTCGAAGGTGCACGGTCAGAGGCACAGCGTTTGCGACAAGTCAACAACGGTCTTGAAGAGCAATTACGGATGGAGATGGAAGCTCGCGATGAGCTACTCGATAAATGGGCAACCGAGCAAGCGCGCTCATTCGCATTCATGAAAGAGTCGGTAAATTCAGAGCGTCGCCGTGCCAAGGTGCGCGCTGCAAATTGGGAACTCAGATCAGATGACCTCATGTCAGACGGGACAACGATGATGGGCAGTGAGCCCATTACCCCCGTTAGCATGACTCGCTTTGTTGACGTGGAGATGGGGAGAGGCAAGAATCGCCATCGTATGGATAGTGGGATTGGGATTCTCTCTGAAGACGATCTTCTTGAAAATGAAGGTCTTGCGGATCTAAGACGTAGAGTTGACTCTGATATTGACTTGCCTGTTTCGGATTTTATTGATGCATAGATCTTTGATTCCCTTCGTTTTTAATATATTTCCTTTGTGACTTCTTTGGACTGTATACATATGCAGACACGCTACAAAGTCGGAAGCAACAGGACAGACGCTGTCGTTGTTTGCTTCCCTATTTGCTTGACCGTCAGGCTCGTTTTTCTTCTCCAGGATCTTCCACTATGTAATCTTCCACCTTGGTTAATCAAGGGTTGTATGAGAGAGAGGTGAAGAGAGCCAATAAGGTTCAAGGCGTTGAGTGGACCCAGAGTAAGCTTGAAATGATGTCATTGTCCGCCCAAAAGATGGCTGAAGGATGAGATAAGGATCACATTGACGTCCGTAGGCACTTCAGTCGAGCCGCAATATCACAATATAGAGTCTCGTAGTTATTGCATATACTAAAGTAAATCTCGTTAACTCTTATCAAAATCTACGTACCGATACCGGAAGTGCTAGTGTAAAGGGGAATTGCCAGGGTGCTTGGGGAGGAAAGTCTATTCCTTGATGCTAGAGCGACGTCAAAATACGTGGGAAACAATCTTGCTTGAGGCTCGAATCTAGACTATTTATCCACTCTCCACGCCCACATTTCCCTCGGCTTAACATCAACTCAATCCCCCATATTTGAAGCAGCCATGGTACAATCAGAAACGCCAAAGTATCGTCTAGCAGTGACTGCGGGGCTGGATTACGACCCCGCGACGCATCTTCCAGTCGAGGTAAACGGCAAAACGTTACGACTCGATGATAATCGCGCGACATTCGACCTAAATGTTCGCATCCAGGATTACACGGGTAATTTATGATGCATTTCGCGATTATAGAGGACAGGCACTAACAATAAGCAGGATACCCCGATTCTTCTCCAAAGACAAGTCCCTATTTCCAGCATCCGCTACATACGAACGACCAATACTCGATATGTTTCTCCTTCACACCAAAACAACCCATCAACGGCAATGAGCTACTCTTCGGAAACGATTTCGATAAACCCCTTCGCAGCCGTCTACCCCCGGGTTTCAATGCAGCCCTCCGCGTGGTAAAATGGACCATCGACCCGTCCCTCGATGGCGATGCCTACGCCGATAAACCCTATCTTTATAGCCCGGCTCTGGCAACATGGAACCAGTTCCGGATTGGTGACAAGAATAAGGAGCGTGATGCTCTTATGGAGAAGGATCACGTCGTTGAAGAGGGCGCTGATGGGGAAGGTGCGGAGCAACGCAGTCAACTTCAGATTCCTGAGACTGCAAATGAGCGTCGGAAGTTCTTCCAGAAGGAGGATCATCGTATCGAGTTTGAGTTTGAGAGTGGTAGAACCTACTTAGCTGATTTTGGTAATCAGTATCTATCATTTAGTGGTAAGTGGATGGTTTGCTTTTAATGGGAGCTTGCATATCGGGAATGAGAAATGCTAATCTGACAATTGAGTTGTATAGAAACCGCGATTCGTCTTCCAGGCATCCATATCCCGGTTGTGGGTATGGTTGATGAAGACAATCATGAACTACGATATGTCCTGAAAGATTCCAAGACGGGTCGCCCTTATCTAGTCGTATGCTTTATACTCGTTAAGCAGGATCAGAGTTCAGACGCTGGCAAGCAGGAAGAAACAAGTCAGAAATAGACTAGCTTAGGTCTCAGCTAGTTTCTTTTCACTGCTTAGGGAATGATACTCCACACAGGCATCTATTAATCAAGACCATTATTGGACACAAACACGAAATTTTTGATTCTCGCTACTATCCGCAAAGCTCATCTGCAGCCACCATAGTGTATATACAAATTATTTTTCTTACAGTCTCTTGAGGACGTCATCGAGGACCTCCTGGGTGGTAGCCTTGCCGCCCATATCGGGAGACAGGAACTTGGCCTCATCCAGGTTGGCGTCGACAGCAGTGTAGATCTTAGCAGCGGCGTTGGGCTCACCCAGGAACTCGAGCATCAGAGCAACGGAGCGCAGGGTAGCGATGGGGTTGGCAATACCCTTACCCTCGATATCGGGGGCAGAGCCGTGGCAGGGCTCACCAATGGCGAAGCCGTCACCAACGTTGGCGCTGGGAACAAGACCCAGGCTGCCGACAAGAGCGGCAGCACCATCGGACAGGATGTCACCGTACAAGTTGGGGGCAACAATGACATCGTAGTACTCGGGCTGGCGGAAGAGCTTGTAGACCATAGAGTCGACGATCTGCTCCTCGACGTGGATGGAGGAGAACTTCTCGGCGGCAAGGGCCTTGCGGGCGGTCTCACGGAACAGGCCGTCGGTCTGGGACAGGACGTTCGACTTGTGGGTGATGGTGACCATGGGCTGGCTGTGGGAAGAGGTACCGGGGGCAGCAGCGCGGATACCCTGGCGGCGCAGAGCGATCTCACCAGCAATGGTGGAGATGCGGTGGGAGGCACGCTCGGAGATGCGCTTGATGGCCTCGGCGACCTTGCCATTGGGGCCCTCCTCGGTGCGCTCCTCCTTCACGTACAGATCCTCGGTGTTCTCACGGACGATGACCAGGTCAATGGGCTTACCGTTGCTGCTACCGGCGGTGGTCTTGACGGGACGGACGTTGGCATACAGGTCGAGCTTCTTGCGGAGAGCAACGATGGGGGAGGAGTAGCCGGCGACCTTGGTGGAGGGAGAGCTGGTGGGTGAGACTAAAGTTAGCCGGTGAAGACTTCAGTATCAAGCGTTTCTATTGCTCACCTGACAGCACCGAACAGAGCACCATCGCACTCCTTCTTCAGGGTCTCGACGGTCTTGTCGGGCAGGGCAGTGCCAGTCTTCTGGAAGGTCTCAAAGCCAGCATCGAGGTTGACGAAGCTGAAGTTGAGGTTCAGAGAAGAGGGGAGAGCCTCGAGAATGCGACGACCGGCCTATACAAGGTCAATTGATTGTCCAATGCGGTGATTCTCAGTCCTGTCGTGGGAGCTACTTACCGGGATGACCTCCCGTCCGATGCCGTCTCCGGGGATGAGACCTGTGGAATTCCAATTAGCTCAATGTCAACTCAACGGGTAGCTTTCGACAAATTAGCAGATTATGCGTACCAATGCGGAGTGTCCGAGCAGCAGCAGCCATGATGATTTATTCGAGGGATGCTTCCTAACTTCGAATGACTCGCCGTCATCGGAGTCATTTCTTTTGTATACGGCGCAGGAAGATCATTGATCCGGCTTCACTCCGGGGTCCGGAGGAAAGCACGCGATTCGGAGTGACTCGAGCAGTAGCTTACCTATTATCAACTCTCAGCTCTCTAAATACAGGCATTATGACTACATTTTGGTATATCGCATAATGATATCTGACTCAGATTGCGGCTCATGCCATCCATGTGCCTATTCGAGACTTAAATGACGAGAGGGTGAAGGTTACAGCCCGATCGCCAGCAGACTACCCAGATTGGGACAGTTACCGCGAGCGACATTTCGGCTGACCCGACACGAGCCTCTTCTTCTATTTTGCGTACCCGTAACCAGTCCCACTCTTTCATTGCTCTCCAGTCGTCCTTTCTGTCCATTTCAAGCCTTCGGGTTAACTTGAACCAAACATATTTAAAGTTCTGGACATGGCTGAATATCCGCGCTAAACCTAAAATGGTCAGTAACCGCGATGTGTCTCTACAAGGCAAAGAAAGGTCTATACTAGAAGTAATGAGAATAAGAATTCGATGAGTGTCTTGTAGATTATTTAAGTAGAAACCAAATCTCCTTGTTGGGATAGTAAACAGCAAAGCTTTCATCAAGATCAACTTCAAATCACCATGTCGTCTGATACGCTTTCTCCCACCGAGACCTCGGTCTCGGTTAGCAAGCGCAACATTGCCATTGCCGAGCTCGTCATCTTCTCCCTTATTCACATTATTCAATTGTCCGTTCGATACATGCAAGAGTGGAAGTATTGGCATCACAATAAAAGGCAGAGTATACCTCGATGCCTCTTCTACTCCTGGTTCAGCATGATTGGACTCTTGTCGCAGAGTAAGTAGAACTACCTATTTCAAATTACTAGAACATGCTAACCTAAATCATTCATGCACAGTTCGAATTGCTAGCTCCGCCATGATAATCTCAACATCAAATCCGACCGAGTCAATGCTCATCGCCGAGTCGTCCCTGCAAAGTGTAGGCCTCTCGCCGCTGATGTTTGAAGTCAGCCTTGTTCTGCTGCGATCGTACGCGATATCCCCCATTCATAAGCGATATCAAGCAATACTGACATGCATGTTCCGGTATAGTGGCCAAGCTGGTGAACATGGACCAGGAAACTCAAAATATCCCAAATCACTGCGGATAATGATGCACGGCTTCCGGTTCCCCGTGGTATTCGCCATCGTTTTAGGAGTGGTAGGTAGTATCATCAAAATGCCTGCACTCGGCAAAGCCGGATCCATTCTTCTCATTGTCGTCTTTGCCTTTGTCTGTGGCTTGATATCTTGGCTTTTGGTCAAGTTTCGCACAACCCTGCCTCTGGCTGGCTACCGCGCAGTCCTGTTGACATCCTGCGCCTTGCCTTTCTTGCTAGTCCGGGTCATGTACTTCGTGCTTTTGGAGTTCGGACCTCCAAAGTTCAACCCGGTGTATGGCAATGTTGCTATCTTGGCTAGCATGGGGCTGTTGATGGAGATCATCGTCGTCTCCTGGCTTATGGCGGCTCGGGCCGTTGCTGAGCCAATCTCTGGGTTTATGGGTATGAAGCGCATCACATCTATTGACGAGGAGCAACCCGGAAATTGAGCTGGAACAGTCTGGTATTCTGATTTTCTTTTGGCAAAAAGAATCTTCGGTCGATCGGATGTTTGAAGAATATTGACTAGTCATGTTGATAATCAAGTATTTGATGGCAAAATTGGTTCATAATTCTTGGGTTCAGACGCAGCATAGACTTTCGAGAACTGAGCTAGACGAGCCAATATCCAAGATCTCGTCGTAGGGTCGGCAACCTCAATGGCGATTCGTAGAGGGAAGCCCAGTCGATAGGGGCCAAGGACACCAACACAGCTATATTCAACCGATCGACAGATTTGATCACGGAAGTATGTCACCATGTCCGCGTGTGGACCGGGATAGCCAAATGTTTTCAAAACTTCGTGAATGATGACCATATAGGCGTAGTAGCCGCAATAGATGGATGCATGGGTCATGTTGGAGTACGTCAAGATAATCGGATACAAGGGGTCGTCAGTGGAAGCGAGACTATCGACTGGAGGTGGAGCAATCTGGGAGAATTGCTCGTGCCATGGTGCAAGTTTACTTTGCAAGTCGAGGGCTTGTTCCAGTGTGGCTGATATAATTTGCAGGGCTTCTGGCGTGGTAATGTCGGTGTGCTTTAGATGGTAGAACTTGTGCACCAGACTCGGGGCGTAGGTAAAGTACGCGAAGAATTGCTCGATGGAATCATGGAGATCCAGCGAGATGTCCGGAGCACGCTGTTGTCGCATCATGTGATGCCAATCCTCGCTTGCGAGGAAGCAGGGCTCGCCAGAGAACATGGAGTGCATGACCTAGTATTGTCAAAAGTGGTCAAATGATACCTGGAGCGAGGCATAACTTACAATTAATCCACGTGAGATCTTGAGTAGAGTTATATCTAGGTCATTGCGATAACGCTCAGGCCCTCGAATCTTGACTAACTGGCCAAGTCCTTTTGCATGCTTCATCCAGGATTCAGGGTCCTCGGTATCCGTGAACAGCTTGAATGAGTCAGAAATTCCAGTTATGCTTCTTCACTAGCGGGCAGATTGGCCTTACCTCATACATGCATAACAAGACAACGGAGTAGAAGACATGCGAAGACAGACATTCCGAGGGGTCCTTTAAAGCCTTTCGGAGTCTGTATAAAGCTTCTCCGTAGGCAGAGCGAGCATAGGCAATCATCTGGTCATTTTGAAGGACTTTTCCAAAATGATGTGCTGTAAATGACTTGATCGAAGCATCCAGCGTCTGGCTAAGCCCGTAGACGGAAGGTAGGAAACCAAACCATTGGGAAGCGAGGTGCTTCTGAGTAAGTGAAGTTGGTTGTGAGAACTCCTGAACTAGGGCTTCTAAACTCTGCATAACATTGACATCTCCATACGTCAAAGACCATGGTTGGTCTTTCAAGACAACCGCCTGTAGGCCGGCCTGGGAACGATTGCCCGTAATTGGGCTCCCAGTCTTTGACCGCTCCTCACTTGATGAGCCAGTGTCTGACTTTGATTTTTGCCTTGGGGTACGATAGGGCTTTCCAGTAATGAACTTAAAGCCCCTATCATATCCTGGGCATGGCTTCCCGTATTTCTCGCATTTGGCGCAACCAGGTAGTCTTTCATCACACTGTAGCATCGTCAGTCCAGATGCTGCTTAGTTTCACGACACGGATGGCATACTTTGATGCGACGCTTTACACAGGTAGCACAGCCATTACTGTGGGGTACTCCAACCATCTTTTATCATTCATCAATGCTGGTAAGAGTGAGATTGACCCATCTCGTATAACTCGGGCACTACCTACCTCACCCCATCCTCCACAGCTGCTGACATAATATCGGTACTTTGTTATACCGGTCCGACGCAACCATGCAAGCAGCCATGGCCAACTGTCAACTCTACTGCATGTTTAGGATGAGTAGAAACTTATCATGGGTAGGGCATTTGCAAAAATATGTGTATAGAACCCGTGTATAGAGGCTGATATGTTCGGTAATTTTACTATTCATGCAGTCCTCCATGATGCATCGCTCGCAAAGGATCACCCGAAACATAGTGGAGATATATTCCCTCAAAAAATTCACACTAGGCAATCTTCTAGAACATGACTAGCATCTGATAATCACGGGGGAGGGACACATAATAAATTGTAGCTCAGAAGAAATACTCTTGAATTACCTGGCTAAGTTAGTTCCCGGACCATGGTTTCGCGGTCGGAGTTTGGGACGCGATCCATTGTTTACATTTGGAGGAAGCAGGGTTTTGTTTTCTTTGATGCGTTCCAGTAAGGAGGTGGCACTATTAGACCATGGGACCCGAAGCTAGATCTAATGGATGTGACCCATACATTTTCTTTTTCTGGACTGTTTTTGCTGGAAGCCACATGCACTAGGCCTAACTACAGTAGAACCACTAGTTAGCTCACAATAGCCATGCGAGATGAGACCATGTTTCCAGGAGCAAAGACCGGCATGAGATCATAAACCTACCGTTACAGACAGATGAACCCCGAGACCTGTGGCCCCTGAAAAAAGGAGGGGACCTGCTACTGTAAGGCGAGGTTGTTCCACCCCCATTGGACGCGCTAATATTCGCTAGCGCGCTAGTGGCCCGGATCGGCCTGTTCTTTAACCTTCCCTTTCTACTTCCCATACTGTTTACAACACCGTGTTCTCTCATTTATTATTGTCCTCTCTCACGGCTTCTACCCCAGGAGGGGGTTCCAGTGGGATTGATAATTGCATCCAGCCCCGTCCCGCAATCAGTGACGCGCTACCTGTGTTGTCGACGCGTCCTCCGATTTCCCCTCATATCCGACACCTTATGCCCCTGACCACTTGACGTTATATCGCCATTCCTCAAATATGTCCGACAACAACGCCCATCCTGGTGTTCGCAGCCTGCTGGCCAAGTTTGAGAACAGCCAGAGCCCTATTACCTCCCCGCCGTCTCGTGGTCGATCCCCCGTGGGCTCAGATACCCCGGGTTCGACCAGGCCACTGTCCAAAGTCCGTGCCAGCTTCGTGACCGTGGAGGGAGCCATCCAGTCAAGCCCGGGATCGCCATTGAGAAAGACAAGTGGTCGAAGTGACAGTCCTGGGATCTTTGGGCCTAAGATCAATGCGGAGGAGATCGAGTCGCGCCGTCAGAATAATGTGGTCTCTCCGACGCCTGGTGGTCATGAAAAGGCCCAAACGAGCATTCTGGATAGGGTGGTAGGTGAAGGTGAAAACCAGAAAGCTGCCATGGTGACGAAGGACCGGAAGATCAGTGGCAACCGAGAGGCTTCTGCGCTCGCAGAGAGTGTGGCTCCAACGGAGGCTGCGCCGGCGAAGAAGGAAAAGCCCCCTTCAAGTGCGCCAACAACTGCAGACACGGAAGCTTCACCCGAGAAAGAGAAAGCGGCACCCAAGACAGTCACCAAGCGACCCTCCAATGTTCACACTGCCAAACATGCCACCACCAAGCCTATCCCCCACACCACCGTTTCGACCTCATCAAGAACAACCAACAATAATGGAAGTACGAAACCTACCTCGGCCCGTGAAGTGGCCAAGGAACGAGCCAACGCTCTTGCCCATAAACCCAGTCGCCCTTCGCTCAACCCTGCAGCCAAGACCACCACCCGGATGACCCGAGGTTCAACTCCATCCGCAGATGCTCACAAGACATCTACCGGCAACACCAACAAACCTCGATCCAAATCACCCACGAGACCTGTTCGCCTGCCAAGTTCGATGACCGCACAAACCCAATCGTCGAATGCCAAGCATGGAAGCACTGGGCCTGCAACGGGACGGACCGAAAAGCCCGCGGCAACTCTCACGAGAAAGCCATCCACACTCAAGAGTGCCGCAGCTCCTGCAGGGGCTGTCCGCCGGCAACCGTCTCGACCTTCCCTCCCGGCCCAGTCTGGCCCTGAACGTCCCAGCTCTCGGGTTAGTGACATTGGCGCAAGACCCGTCAATGAAGGCTTTCTCGCCCGGATGATGCGTCCGACTGCCAGCTCCGCTAGCAAGACCCATGAGAAGACTGAGACTAAGGCTCCTGTTAAGCCTACAGTCTCCAAAGCTCCTCGTCCTTCAATGGGGCGTGCTGCAGAGCGAGGTTTGACTCAGACAAAGGCAAAGCCTGCGGCTCTGAAGCCACAGAATGAGAAGTCTCAGGCTGTCAGCAAGGAGGTCTCATCTAAGAAGGAAGAAGTGGTTCTCCTTCAAAAGAACGAGGAGAGTGAGAAGGAGAACATTGAGGAAGTCGCTACTGCGATTCCTGAAGAGCCTTCATTCACTGAGACCGACGATGCCATTGTTGAGGAGCCCGAGCCGGAGGTCCCTTCCGAGACTGGTGTGGAGGATGTTGCAGAGAAGCCAGTTGAGCAAGCAATCACGGAGGCTGAATCTGAGGCCTCTCCAGAGCCGATTGTGAAGCCCGCTGAGCCAACTGCCACGGAAACCGCAGTCGAGGTTTCTGAAGACCTCGTCGCCACGAATGCCCCAGAGACATCTTCCGCACAGGAGGAGACAACCGAGGATGTTGAGGTCCCTGCAGAGGTTTCTGCTCATGAGACCACGCATGAATCTAGTGAGCAGGAGAATGAGCCTGATGTGAAGGAAGTGGAAGAAGTGTCTGCCGAAACCGCCACTGAGTCGAATGAAGAGAAGGTGTCTTTGGAGTCGCTCCCAGAACCAGAGGCGCCCAAGGAGGACGTTTCTGAGGCTATTGACGAACCCATCGAGCCCATCATCACCAAGGATGTCACCATCACTGAAGCAAAGGAGGCTCCTTCAGCGGAGTCCGAGCTCCCTCAGCAGACCGAGACTACCGCCTCAGATTCTGTTGATGATGCACCCGAGATCACAGAGGATGTGAACGAAGTTCAGTCGTCCGAGAAGATTCAGGAGCCCAAGGAGTCGATTCCAGTCGTGGAGTCTGCAGCCCCAGCCAAGTCGGACACGGTCGACATTGACTTTGCCAGTCTGGCTCTGAGCTAATCGTCGTCCTTTCTCACTTTCATCTTTACTTTCTGGGACGAACACTGTAATCTTCTGTGCTTCTACCCTTGGGCCTTCTACTTCACGGAGCTTCGGGCTCCTTTCTTCCATACCCTTTGGGTTTTGTATGATGTACTGTTCCTATGGGCATGCAGCTTCATTTCGCCAAGGGTCCCTTTTTGTTTCTGTGTGTCCTTCAGGTTCCTTGAACTAGATGTCCACCCCCATGGTATCTAGATTTGGAGTTTCCTGTGCGGATTTTACATTCTTCGAGTTGATATCGAGAGCATATGGTTTTATTGAGCGATTAAGTTTGCATTCTTCGGTTGAGCATATTTCACTCTGTTTACATACTGTTGTTTTTTTTTACCGAGAGAGCGTGCTTGGTCTTTGTGTATTGATAGGTCAATGCTATTTTCTCAGGATTTGAACATCTTCTGTAGTCGCTCTTCGGAAAGAGGGTTATAGAATCATCACGACATGTTATGGTTTCTTGAATGTGTTAATTTCCCATTCATCATATCTCAACTACAGCCGCCCGAGGCAAAGAATATAGATACGAAAAAGCTAGGAAACGCCGAGATGCAATGAAATAACATCAAAAGCCCAGAGCAGAGCAATCACAAAATGTCAAAAAGAATCTTCAGTCTGGTCCCGTCAGTTCCCCATCACAACTTCTTCTCCAATTTCTTCAAGAACCGATTTACCCCACTCTCCAACTTCATCGCGTTATCTTCCAATTTCCTTGGCCGCTGTCCAGGTGCCTTCATCGCCTTCTGCGCATACTTCTGTCCATGTCCACCCGCCTCCGCTTCCGTCGGCCGGTACAACTGACTATGAATGTTGTACTCGGAAGAACCGGCCTGCTGCGGCTGCGCTTGCGCATACGAGTAATTCGAGTACCCACCAATCGTGACAGCCTGTGGAACCTGTTGAGGCGGCGACTGAGGGGTTCCGTATACTTGCTGGGCGTAGAGGTGTGCGTTTGGATCTTGTGGTGGAGGTGCAAAGGACATTGTGCCCTGGCCCGGAGTGCTTGGCCACGTTTGGCCTGCGTGGAAGGGCTGTGAGTAGCCTGGGATGGTTCCGGGGGTTTGGACGGGTTGTTGAGTTGGGAATGAGTTTGTATGGGTTAGACCGGCGCTCGGTGGTGGTGAGGCATAGCCTGTTGGTGCGATGGCTGGTGCGCCGGAGTATGGTACGCCTTGGGCGGATGTTGGTGGGGGTGCAAATGAGCTGAGTCCCGGGGTATTGCCCATTTGGTGCGGAGGAGTATATGGGATGCCTTGGTCGGCTGCGAGGGCGGCTGCGAGGCCAGTTCCCTCGGTGCCATCATCTGGAGGAGGGGGAGTCTTCTCGCGATGCTTGATTGGTTCTGGTGCTGCGGGAGCTGCTGGGTTGTACGGCAATGGCGCGAAGCTGGCCGAATCTCGCTTGTCTTCTGGAGAGGCCTGGGATCCGGAATGGACAGATTGCTGGTCGGCTGCTGGTCCGCTCGGAGGTGGAGGAGGGAAGCTCATGGTTTGTGGAGGGCCTTGTGTAGGCAGAGCTGTCACTGCGGTGGGCTCAGATCGGGAATTGCGAGTCTGTCCATTCTGGTAGGCCGGGTCGGAGATAGCCACGTTCTCAAGCTGTTGAACCACTGAGCTCATCGGCTGTTCTAGTTGAGCATTTGGTCGATCCGTCTCAAGTTGGGAGATAGGCAGCACACGGCCGATCGTGTCCAAGAAGTCGTTGGCGTCATCTAATGTCCAGAAATAGATATCAAGTGTGTGTAACCGATGCAGCTCATGGTGGCCACTGCGCGAGTCTGCACTTGGAAGTCGCCAGTCGTATTGAGAGACCTGCTGTTGAGCCGACCCTGCAATTCCATCCACGGTCAAGGTACAGTAAGTTGGGAAGTGCGTCGAGTGTCGTATATGTACGTTATTCAAGACCCCGTAAAATGCATCCTGGTCTGGCGTTCCGGGATTGTTGGCAATCTCGATCCGGGCCCTATTCTGGGACGCATCGTGATATACATATAAATAAGATCCCTTCTCAAATCGGTGGTGCAGAGGCTTCGGAGTAGGAGCAGTGAAATAGTAATGGATGTCGGCGAAGCTAAAGCATTCGTGCTGTTAGAGCTCGTCCAACAACCACGTATTGCGTATTGCGGGGGAGGACCTGCGGGGACTGTTAGCTCGACTCACGTAGTTACGAGGCGCTCCTCGCCCGGTTGTGGAGGCATGTTTGCCTTGTATATAATGGAAGATGCGGAGATGGGGAGGGGGAAAAGTATATGTATGTATACGAGAAAATCAATCGAAAGATTGGAGACTTACGATCTGCAGCTACCTTTATAATGAGGGGTCGAATGGTCGCAGCCTGTGAGGTGCAGCAGCCGCCGAGCTGGACTTGGGCGCTTAGAGAGTGTGATGTGATAGGAAGTGGGGGGACGAAGTAAACAGCAAGTCCCAAGTACTGATCACACGCATATTCCCCACGGGTGGGGAAGAGGTCCCGAATACTTCTGTAGGGACCAAGGGGGCCAAGGGGCGGCGGGTTTGAACCAACTGGCGAGTGCTCGGCCGGAAGCTCGGTTTCTCCGAAAATTTCCATCGCGAAGAGCTGCGGTTTCGCGATTTGGATCACCTCCGACCAGTTCAGCCTCACTCAATTCCGTGATCGTTGCCAGCCTGCGGTGGCTTTAATTCTCAATACTCCTCGGACCATCCGTGTGACTCGTTTGATCCTGAATTCGAGTGCTATTCGGCTAGTGTCTACTCTCCGCACTTTCCTCCTTCCCCGTACAACCGCCCCGGAAGATCCAATTGCTCGCAACAACCTCTCAAGATGTCTCTCGTCAACCTTGCCTCCGTGTGCGCCCACCTGAACAACGCCACCAAAGCCCGCCTGGGTCTTACATCGATCCCCAACAGCAATCTCCACCTGAAGCTGTGCCAGGCCCTCCAGAACTCCGGCTACATCTCCTCCGTCGTGCGCGGAGGCCCGACACCTCCTCCTACGCATCCTATCCTCGGCCACCCCACTGCAAACGATGAAGTTGAGGGTGTTGAGCCTATTACTCGGGACAATGTCGCCTCCCGTCGCCTCTGGCTGGGTCTCAAGTACTGGCAGAACGAGTCCGTCCTGGGCAAGGTGAAGATGGTCAGCAAGCCCACCCGCCGGGTTCATCTCAATGTCGAGGAATTGCGCCGAGTCGTTCGTGGTGAAGAGGCCGGCTACGTGGCTGGACTTCGATCGCCCGGTGAGAGTCTCTACCTGTCGACAGACCGAGGAGTCTTGGAGGCTCGCGAGTGTGTGGAGAAGAAGCTCGGTGGCCTGGTTCTCTGCCGGGTGCTATAAGCTTGTTTGATGTTGGAAAAAATACCGGTCCCTCTTCGCTTTCTGCTGGAGGGATAGTTTTAGGGTCCCTTTGTTCTCTGGTCTTTTGCATTTACCCTGGAGTTTTGTCGGGTTCGTCGCAGCGGGGTCTCCTCTTGGGATCTGTTTTCTTTTTGCGACTGTTGGAATAATTGCCTCGATGTAGGATCTGTATATTAGATGTTTGCGTGTATCGCATTTCCCATACTCTGCCTGGAGTGGTTGCAGAGTTACCGTGTTATCACGGCGCCGTGTATAGATTACGATTTGAAAACATGTCCAGATTCTCTGCTTTCCATGGTGCTTGTTTAGATATCCTCTCTAGATTTCTACGCTTTTCCCAGATCTCTCGTTCGGTGCCTATTGACTGAATGGTCGCACATCACGTCGCAGTCACGCGCCCTGGCCAATCCCTGGTTCGCCCATCCCACCCCTTGCCAGTATGAGCGCTTCGACTAACCCGTCTGCTTGCGACCTTCAAATATTCGATTATGTCCGAAGGCAATGTATTAGCATCAAAGAAAGTCCTCGTCTCGGGGGGCACAGGGTTTGTGGGCGCTGCCACAGTGCGCAGCCTGACAGAGAAACACCCGGGTTGTGCCATCACCATCCTTGATCAAAGTCCGCCTCGGGCCCAACATGCCCTGCCAGAGAAAGTCGATTTCATACAAGTCGATGTCAGCTCGAGGACCGAAGTCAGCAAGGCACTCCAAACAATTAAACCGGATGTCGTCATTCATGCTGCAGGGGTCGTTCCAGCTCTTGCCGACCGGTTTGGGCGGCGACTGGAGCGCGAAGTATGGAGAGTCAATGTCCAAGGCACAAAGAACATGCTCGATGCAGCTGTCGAATGTGGTGTTGAGGCGTTCATCTACACCAGCAGCTGCTGTGTGACAACTGATGACATGAGATTTCCTTATCCCAATATTAACGAGGCATGGCCAACATCGCCAACATCCCTGATATATGGCGAGTCTAAGGTCGTTGCCCAGTGTCTATTGTGCATTGAACCTTGTACTTTCGGATCGCTATGGAGATCGAAAATAAGCTAACGATTACAAAATAGGCTGCTGCAGAGGCTCTTGTCCTGCAGGCATCCAGCGGTAAGATGGTGACCTGCGCCCTTCGACCCTCGGTACTCTTCGGACCCGGAGACTACCAGCTGATTCCATCCATCCACGCATGCATTGCCAAATATGAGACTCCCTTCATAATTGGAGATGGATTGAACCTGTGGGATGTCACCCACGTGAGCAACGTTGCCGATGCCCATGTCCTTGCGGCGGAAAACTTGATGACGTCGCGTACAGCGGCGGGCGAGGCATTCTTCATTCAGAATAATGAACCGATCACCTTTCGCGATTTCTGTCTGGCCATCTGGGCGCATTTCGGGCATGTTCCGCCCTTCGAGGTTCATATCCCGGAAGGACTGGCGTATGTGGCAGGGTTGGTGTGTGAATTGGCCACTTGGGCGACGAGATCTTCCACTACCCTAAGTCGAGGAAGCGTCCGGGATGCATGCGCCATGCGATATGCTAGCGGTGATAAGGCCAGTACCATCCTGGGGTACGAGCCCCGGATTGGTATTGAAGAAGGTATCCGATTGAGCTGTGAAGTAAGCAAAGACCGAGAGGCCCCTCTTTTTGCCCCTTCCCCCTCTCCTTCCAACGTTCCGTTTGACGTCAACTGGTGATGAAAGTTAGCAGCTGACTCGAGACGCGGTAGGAGTATGCCCATCGCATCGGAGTCAAACTACCACTGCGACGACCATAAAGAATTGAGGTGGTACGCCCAGTGATAAACCCTTCGAGATAAACTTTCTTGCCGTCCTGGGCTGAGGAGTAATGGGTACCCTGTACATAAACCCCGATGGCTATGGTTTCCACCGAGACAACGCCGGCTCCATTTGACTTAAGAGGCGTTTTTTAGCGCAGTCTCCATAATTGCCACTTGATTTGTATATTCGCAAATCCCTCCATTCTCCACCCAAGAGGTCGAGACTCGAAGGTATCTAGAAACCCAGGTCCTGGGTTCCCCTGTTTCCAATGTAAGACATTGGGCGGACCATTGGGCTGCAAGACCCCCCTCTCGACTGGGAATGGCTCCAGGAGGCTCTCCACAATGTAGTTTGGGGCCCAGTCGATCCCGGTTGAGATATACAAATGGTCCATGCGTTGATTGGGCCTCAACGGCCGTGCATGCCCAATCGCATAGTCTCCGTTCCGATCGAAGCTCGTGGAGATGTGGGATATACCACTAAAAGACCATAGAAATGTTGTGAAGAGCAGCCAAAAAGCAAGCAGCGCGGCCTTCGACGTCACGGGAGCGGCATGTGCTTCGCCTCCACCGTCAGGCTCATCTCGCTCTCTTCGCTCTTCCTTCAATCCTCCATGCAACTTGATGCAGATCTTCCACCTGCGCAGTCAGGTCGTCATCATCCAACAATATGCGAGGCCTGATAATTCCACATGTCCTTCTACCCAACTTGCTGCCCAAGCTTGTGGCCCGGGTCCATTGTCACACCAGATTCAAGTGGCACTGGCTTGCCGTTGGTCTTTACGACCCCCCTAATCAATAAAGATCAGAACTTCTGGATGGCAAGCCCATGACCCATTATTTGATCCGCAGTGGATACATTCCCCCTTTCTCCCCAGTATCCAAGAGCCGCCACAACCCGTCCCAAGACCCGTCGAATCATTGCATCTTATCCACCGGAGTCGAACTTGATCGATCGAGATCTAATCCAAGTGCACCCATTTCTAGCACAGAAGTCCTACCGGGTAGTTCCCTGTCCGATTGACACAATTGGATGCTACCGAGGAGCAGTATCCAGCCCTTGAGTGCGTTATTTGCCAAATTACTTACTCCACTCTTTGCTTTTGAAAGTCTTCTAGCGCGGCTCTTCATCCACTTGCGGACTCGGGTTTACCAGTCCAGGAGGAGGCGTCAGGCACACCTACCAAAACGCTTGACCCGGGCTCTCCTGGCCATATATTACTCGGGATGTGACCAGCCAGCGCTTCTTCGCCAAAGCGGATTCGTTTATACTATCCATCCTCGCTGTTTTACCCTTAAAAATAGACCTGACACCCCCTCTGTTGGCTTCCTCCCCCTCCTCCTCTTCTATTTCTATTTGATACCGTAATCAGCCGGTCATTTTCATCCTTTCTTCATGGTTCCTGCCCTATCTCCCCCTTATACTGCTGTTCCAGTGGGCTTCCAGCCGCTATCTGCAACGCAAGTAACCCTCGGTTCTCGAGTGGGCTCGAAAAGCAGCAAACTGGATATCCTGTCTCGCCCTAGGTTAGCACAAGTCAAAATACCCCATCCCTCAATTCTCATTCTCCCCGGCTCTTTCCTCTCTCCTGCTTCTCTCTTTTCGAAAATCCTCTAATGCTATACGCATACTCACATTTCATTACAGCGCCATGGCTCAGCATCCTATGTATGCTCCATCGGGAAGCTCACCCGTTATCCATCGACCAAGGTATTTTCACACTATATATTCCGACCTTTCTCATCCCAAATCCGACGGAAAAAGAACATGAAATCTCGTCCATTACATTTGCTAAGTGGCAAAAGGGCGCCTTCGGCACCTCGAGCCTACATCAGGGACAACCGCCAACTCGTACCACTGGGAACTATAGATTTCGAAGCTCGCGCCCAGTACCATGGATACTCAGCCCCTTTGGATAGCCACGGCCACATAATTCATCAGCCCACTGGAAGATTGTCCTACCCTCCGGCCGGACAACCAATTACCCCGGCCCCAATGTACTCTGACTGGAACCCATCCCTGCACATGTCGCATGAGCCACCGCGTCATGATATTAGGCCACTGAATCCATCGGAAAGCCCGGAGTACATCGTGGAGAGAAATAGCCGACGATCCTCTGATGCAAGCCGTGGAGCAACCCAGTACATTTCCCAGAGACGGTCCTCAAACCGTGATGAATTTGATGGCCCGCACCAAATTCTGGAAGCGCCTTCCACCAGGAACCTCCCTTCCAGGGAGGAGGAGCTGCCCCAGCTCCCTACTAATCTTGATGCCGCAGAACAAGACCGAATCTTGCACCAGGTCAACGACCGCCTATCTCAGTGCGCGTTTGACTTTTTTGCGAGATACCAGTTCCCTATTCCCATTGAACAGGATAAGAGGCGGGTTCAGGTCCCCTCGGACCGGGAGTGGAATGAGTGGGTGCACCTGCTGAAGAGACTGGCAACTCGCCGGCGTATCCCTCGCCATGCCTTGCACAATGGCCAAATCAAGCAGCTCATTACCGTGCTGGAAAACTCCCTGGAGATGCGCCACGCTGCCAAGCATAGCTCTCGACCCGTCAAGGATGACCGTAATGTGCTGCAGCTTGTTTCTGCAGGCACGCAGGTTGCCAAGATCCTCAAGGACTCTAGCGCGATGCAGTTCTTCGATTGTCTTTATGTGGACACGGAGAAGCTCATCAATGAACGCCGCCGCAGGGTGAGATTTGCGGACCACTGAATTCGCTGGATGGACGCCCGTCCTTAGCCCTGATTAAAATGTGGCCGTACCTTTCTTTCTTTTCCTGGATTATCCTGCCTTGGACTATCTAGCCTTTTGATATCTTCCGGGTATTTCCACTGATCGCATCTTTTTTTCCCTTGGTTATTCATTCGGAAGACCGCCGAGGAACTTCCCTATCACCGCTTCCAATTCTTTCTACTATCCCAGGACTTGATCCAACCCTCCTGGCTATCCACAGCCTTGGATCCCAACACATGATTGAGGCATGGGCCCTTGAACATCACTCGAAACACAAACCCCCCACATTCACTCCTGCCCGATGTGACCTTGGGTGAACCACCTTCCACTTGAGATGGGCCGTGGACCGTGGGGTCCTATTTTGGTATACGACTCATCGGCAGTAACAAGGAAATGGCCAGCCATATGAAGTATGACATAATACTCTTCTTTTCTTTTATTTTCGGATTTTGAATATGTCTTGATTATGCTATGTTTGTTGGAGTCCTGTACCTTGTTTTTGACCGGGTTGGCTGTGTCTTATACTTTTATTGTTTGTTTTGATTTTATGTATTATCTGATTGGCATGACTATTGTGAACGATTTACGGAATAATGCTGGCCACCAATCTGTCGAGAGATAGGTCAACGAAATCTCACTTTATCGTTCTGCTTGCTTTGCAGACTACCTGTTGTCTTCCATCACATTGACGGAAGGATAAAGATGGGTCTAGTTTCCCAGACCGGCTCTGACTGCGAATGAACGCGCTTCCTTCGGATGATTTCTGGCATACTTTTAATTGATGTTTGCTTTGTTATGCAAAATGAGTAAGCGGTCAGCATGGATATATGGTGACCAGCCGGTAAGTCAGATTGGGAAAAGTTATCAATCTACAATAGGAACGTGTGGTTGCCAGCTGACGAGGTATTCTATCTGTGAAGAAACCAAGTACGGCGAAGGGAGAAGAAGACTTTAGGCCCAGACAAACTAATTTTTCAACTGCAAGGCCGAAAATGTAAAACAAGAAGAATCGCACGCCTAATCTTTTCCCTCCACATGTCTTGCTCCGAGTAAGGTATCCGGGCTCTCAGCTTTCCGCTTGTCTAACTAACCCACCACGTTGAGTCAAGACGACATGAAGCTGCAAGTCCCAGTAAACTCTAAGGTCCATCAGACTGCAACTTCGCATGAAAATCCCTCCTCCACATCTCTACATAGAATCAAAGTTCTTCAATCAAGATTGCCGAGGCTCTCTCCTCCGAATGACGCCACGTGCCAGAATCAGTTGCGCTCAACTGGAACAGATTGAAAGATCCTTCCCCAGTCCCGGTATGGATGTAATTCACAGCCTTGCATTTGTGATAATAGGCGCATTCGTCAACACATCGTGCGAATGTCTTCGAATTGTATTTCTTGATAGACGCAAAGTTGCCGACTAAGAGATATTAGTGATGTTTGCCATTGGTTCTGAAACGAGGACTCGCCTTGTTTGCAATCAATCTTGAATGTCTTGCCATTGGGCGATGTAAACTGGGTGCCGTGACTCTCGGGGCCTAAAGGGCAGTAAGTATGTTGTGTTGACTGATAAATCGGATTTAGTAGAGTCCCAGATAGCTCACATTTCGGGAGGCCAGAGCCGCTAGCAGATCCAGATCCACCGGTGCGTTGGTTCGACTACAGTTCCTCCTTGTCTTTGAGGCATTGCGTCAGCTCCTTCTGCAAATCTGCTTGTGTTTGCTTGCACTCCTCGAGCTGAGCGTTGGTCTGCTCCAAGGCTTCGCAAATATTGCATACAGCAGCCCCTCCTGCCTGAGCACCTCCTCCCTGAGAGCCTCTTCCCTGGGAACTCCCTCCTGCGGTATCTCCTTCCTGACCCTCACCCTCTTGGGGGTCCTCGGTGGCTGGAGGCGGCGGCGGAGTCAAATTTTTCATGTAAAGAGTCCATTTTTGGTCTTTGGCCTCGGTATCACCGGAACCTGTTCCAATCTAACAAGTACTGGGCTTGACTTCCCATGAGCTTCCAACGCATCCAGGGCGACCCTGGCATAGCATGGCACACTCTTCGGCGCTATTTATATCCGGCACCTGATGAACGTTGTGAGGGCCAATTAGTTGGCAGAAATATTGAACCTTGTATCCGGGGAGGATTTCGTCTTCCTCTTGATCCTTTTCGCCACAGAGGTCTTCATAGCTATCTTCACTTGAGCGCTGGGCAAGGACACCAGTCACGAGTAGTGACAATAAGACCTCCCTAATCTTCATTTTTCTTAACATTGCAATGTACTTGCCAGGAGTCGGTTTAAGAGAAAAAGATCAGTGGATGGCTGTAGAGAAAGATGCAAACCCCAATTGATAATGAATCTACCTTGATTACCGAGTAGACTTTTATACGCTTCCAAAGTGCCTATTTTGGCCTCTATATCCGCGTTCATAACGGGAGTAAGGGGCTAGGTTTATGCAGTAGAATTCCATCCTCCATTGGAAGCTGTGCAACCTTGACCCTTGCACAGGTCATACAGTTCTGCTGTTTATTGCCTACATCAACCTGAGACAGAATAGCATTATGCACTTTTGCCTACAGAATTTGCACCGAAAAGATTGGTTCGTCGTATCTTTGACTCTAGGCTAGGTAGGGTGTGTACTCCATGTATCTACAGTATGACAAAAGCTTGACCTTGCACATGATTAGGCGAGTCGATGCTCCTATTCACAACATGGATATTGATGGAGTCGAACTTGTTTTACAACCGCTTGCATGATGCATGATTATGGGGGTTTACTCAAATAATTTGCTAGCTAAATTCACAGGCAAGTCGCCTTGGTTATGTAAAAGCAAAATCTATTTCACACAGAACCTCTGCAGCCCTCTGCGCTCGTAACAAATATAACAAGATTTTTTCATACTATTATGGTATCAGTAGTGAAAGTTGACAAAGATATAAATTTTATCTGCAGCTTTTACTCATCATTGACTCAGAAATAGGCTATTAGCAGAAACTTGGACCACGCTGCGTTATGTGCTTGAACTGAAGTCTCAAAATTTTAGACCAAGAAAGTTCTGTTGTCACCTATTCAACAGGTTAAATCACTTGTATATCTTAGGGGAGAGCCATATGCATAGAAAATCTCGGGGAATAGACGATGGCTCCGAGGCCTACGCGACACAAAGCCCAGCAAGTAACTCAAGATGTTTCGATATTTTGCTTAGGCTGCTTATATTACAGCTTTCACTATGATGCATGTAGTTCCTCTCATATCAAAGGCAGATACAGTCCTGGTGTGGTTGATAGTAGCTTAATTTTTGAGTCTGTAGGGTTAGAGCCTGGTCCGAGGAGTGAGCCTTCTCGGTTAATCGGGTCTATCACACACCATGACGTATTTTCCTCTTGATTTTCACTACTGTTTGTCATTACTTTTTTCCCTTCATACTGCTCATGCAATACTACGTCTCGCTACTTCCAAGCTTTTTCCGATCTTATTTGAGTAGCTATTGCTTGAATAAGTCGGTGAAGACTCGATTTCTGCAAAATTTCGCATTCCCAATGTTGGTAGGAAAAGTTTTAGTATAATGAGACTACTGCACTTAGAAAGAACAGACCTGTTAGACATTCTGGTAACACTATGCCTGGGTCTGTTTTCTACGCAAGATTCACAACGGATGATAGTAATAGAGTATGAACGTCAATTTTTCCTTAGCGTACAGGAAAAGGAATAAGTTCTAGGATAATAGAGTCATATTTTCGAAGGTTAGTTCCTGAATTAAATGTGGGGACGACTAAGGGGTCCAGTAGTCAGGTATGTGCATGCTGCTGTGTAACGTGCATAATTGTGGCCAAGCTCTCGCTGAACATTCTGAAAAAAGGGGCATCTTGCGCTCATATATTGAGCTAAGAACATTAATTTAGAACTTGACAGATTGGTTAACAGTAAAAGATATTGATTTGCATGGGCTACCCCCGCCTCTACTGATGGTTAAGCTATGGGTGACTTAATGGGGCACATAGTTTATTAGTTAGTTAGTTAATTGGTTAAGATAAGCGGCGAATCAGCTACAGAATATGCGAGCCTGTACATCTTCCTAGCAAAAGAATAGCGACCCTATCTAGAGTCTACTGTATGAGGGCTACCAAAGGTATCCCCAGTACCAACATACTCTTGACTGCTGGCTATTGTGGAGTAGTTCATGCCCTGGAGCTGCGAAGCGCAGGTCACACAACATAGGCATCTAAATTAAGGGGAGACAAGACAAAGTGATGAAATACTCACTACAGTAGATGCATCTACTCAGTACGAGAGCCTGCGTTTATAGGGTTAGCTAAAGTTATAAAAGCTGCCCGGACACCGTGTAATCCCATGCCCATATCCTAACGCAGCCCATTATCTGCACACTTTCCCTCCATTTTGACTTGGCCGGCAATCCTTCCGTTCTAAGCACTATGAAGCTCACAAAGCTCTCTATGTGCCTGTTGGCGACAGGTGCCCTTGCAAAGATCTCAAACAAAAACGAGTATGAGGATCACTGCGCCGAATTTGGAGATGGGACGAAAGAAGAAATTCACCCTGGATAATGGGTCGAGCACTATTGTCAGACTTATTGTCAGACTCTGAATTCGGACTCTCGTGTGCCTCGTGTGCCGGATGTCGCTAGCGCAGGAGATTGTGCCAAACTATGCCAGGATCGATCTGGATGTACTGGCAGCTCTTGGTCACTCAATTTCACACTTGTTTCTTAGGAACTGGAGAGGGCGACAGTGAATCCAAGACCCGATCTTGGACTATATACATGAAGAATGTGACTCCGGCTCCAACACCCGAGCATCCTGTGGACGGAGGAAGCCAGTCAGGAGCTTCGGTCTGCCAAAGACTCTATGATCAATGTCTGCAGGATATGCAGAGCTCTGCTTGCAGCTGCAGTGGAGGAAACGGCAACGGCAATGGCAATGGCAATGGCAATGGCAATGGCAATGGCAATGGCAATGGCAATGGTGGTGGTGGTGGTGGTAATAACGGTGGTGGAAATAGTGGTGGAAACAACCAGAACGGCGATAGTTCTGGTAATCCTGACGTTCAATGTGAGTTCAGATATTGTCTAACAATAAGCCATGTCGTTGTTCCCTTGACTTTACGAACGACACCCTATGGTACTGCGATATTGACTGTCAGGCTTAGGTGGTTTCAATGACCGCGTGAAAATCACTAGAGATGGTAAACAGTACACCGTGTACTGTAAAAAGCGTGAGTAATCTATTTTCTTCCCTATTTAATACTCTTCGGTCTAAATCTGACCACGGTGCAGGCAGCCTCAAACAGGGCTCCAGGAGATACTGCTATCTTCGAAATTGGACCAACGTACTGTTCGTGGGAACCAAGGACAGCGGTTCTTGGAGCGGTGCCCATGTGCACGACGAGAAGTGCTCCTACTAGAAAGGAGAGTCTGGACGAGCATGAACTTCCGTCGAGGATCACGGAGGTGAAACATACACTCGATAATTGTTTGTTTTTTTAAGTTTGGGATTCTGACACTTCAAAGATGAGATTTGGTCAACCCTAGCTCAACTTACATATGCGATAACGCTCTAACAGCTCTTAAGTGTTTGCTCCTTTAAGTCTGTTCTTCAATTCTAGCCAATTCATCTCTCTTTAATGGCTCCCTTGGTCAATTAGCCCTTCTTATGTACGCATGGCATACTGTAAGATTCTGCTTCTCCGGCTTGGAATCTTCACGAGAATTGCATGTTGGGGCTGACCTGATTCTTGCATGATCCTGGGCACTGCATTTAGATAATCTCTTGATCCTAGAAAAACCTTTCAAGAGAGCGGCAGTTGCAGCATATCCAGCTAGGCTTTTTTGGTAGCTATATTTAGAATTTTTGATGTAGACAGGGATGAAATCATTGGAATTGGATTTAGTTTATCATGCCGCTTGATCTTTCGTCTTGCCACCAGATCTCATCAATTCCAGATATCATCAGCAGCCCGGCTCATGTAGCATGGATCTCGCCCAACATACATCAATTGGCCGGATGGTGTAGTTGGTTATCACGTATCGTTAACACCGATAAGGTCCTGGGATCGAACCCCAGTCTGGTCATATTTTTTGACTCAATCCAATAGTCATTGGATCCATACATGTTCAACCTTCATGGTGGGTTCGAAGAATTTTTGAGGTGGGTCTCAAGGAAAGTTTAGGTTATGACAGGGTCACGTGCCCGCCACCTCATGCACGGCTAATGCCAGTGGAATCTGTTAGATAAGCATAGCTATTTAGTTAACTGGAAGGTAGAGTAATTATTGAGTTAAGATTGGAGCCAAAAAAGTATTGCAGTGCTGGCTGCCATGATCTGGCTATGATAATCCACTCATTCGATCGGTTTTTTGAACACATGCAGCGTATAGTCATTTAAGGGATGGTGGGACACCGTGCAAGACCTTGCAATAGTTCACACTACTTTACTTGCTTACCTACGGTTACGGCGACGGGTTGAAATGCCATTGTGTTAAAGGCACATGAAGTAGACATGTCTATTTTATGCGCAATTGCTCCAATCACAACACTTTTGTAGGGCGACTCTAGTCTCCTGTCCAGTGAGTAAAAAAAGCGGGTATCGGGCTTGCTGGCAAGCCAAAAAAATATGAGGCGAGAGAGAATCGAACTCCCAATCTTCTGGAATCTCCATTACTGGAATCAGACGCGTTACCTGATGAGGCGGATTAGTCAAATGCTTATTGGTGGTATCGTGGCTGGAACTTTAGCTTACCATTGCGCCATCACCCCGTGTGATTGACGAAATCGGCAACATTAGCCTACAGAAGGCCGCAATCAATGTTCAGCTAATGATTGGCCGAATGCATAACTATGACCCAGTCCTGCATGGCTAGGGTCTTATAGAACGCTTACAGGTAATTTAATTCTCTATCATCTGGGCTGTCTACTTAACAGTATTTGTTTTCTCTACAATCTTAGCAAGTCTGGCAATCAATCTCCTCCTTAGGTTGATTTCATGGTATTGATCTTGCCGTATGTCCGGGGTCCGGGGTTTGCTGACCCATTCTAAAGCTGAGTGGATATCGAGCGTTTCTGCTAAAATTCGGTGCTATTCTAATACCTAGTAAATATTACGATATTAATTGGCATTTATTAACCCAGGAAAAGGCCGTGTGCATAGTATACTACACACATACATACTTTATCATGCAGGCTTATGCGTCACGTGACCTTGTCATAACCTAAACTTTGGCCGAGATCCACCTACTACAAAAAATCTTCATTCCCACCCTGAATATGGGTCCACTGATTATCGGATTGAGCCAAAAAAATATGACCAGACTGGGGTTCGATCCCAGGACCTTATCGGTGTTAACGATACGTGATAACCAACTACACCATCCGGCCAATTGATGTATGTTTGCTGAGATTCATACTACATGAACCGGGTTTATTATCAATTAGGAATCTCAGCATGTTCTAACCAAATTACGTTAGGAATCAAGCTAATGGAGTTGTATAGCAAGGATTACTTCTCCGTTTTGGGTGGTAGGCCAGGTTTGAACTGATCTAAGGTTATGGTAGCAGATTGAGCATTGGTGTGTGTCAATGGTATGGATGTGATATTCGGGACGTTGGGCCGCGATATATAGTTGCAATTCCAGGTGTAACTTATATGTTCCGGTAGGTACCAGACATAATACTTCTTTCTCATTCCCGAGTATGAGTGTTAGTTAAATAGATCCTACGTTGCAATAATGATTTCATCTTCGCATGCAACATGACTCGAGTTATCGGCCTCTAGAACAAGAACAGAGTAGTCCCCACTATCAAGGTACTGAAAGATATAGCCATAAATATCTACAACATCGTCGTCGACAGCGTAGATTTTTCGGGCGAACCTTTGTAATAACTAATAACACCGGAGGCTTTGGATTATCCCGCTAGACGCAGCGAATTTCTTCCTGTTAGGGCCAACCTCCAGGTATACGAAGAGGGCCGGGGGGGGGGGGGGGGGGGGGGGGGGGGATAAAATAACTAACTGGATGTTTTTTAGATAACACCTCCAGAAGAAGGAAAGATTACTTACTCTGGCCGTGCTTGAATCATAGTGAAAATTCTCTTCGTTTCTATCATTCAAAATCAAGGTATCATTACATACAGGAGCATCGAAGAGAGCAGTATAATTTTTTCAATAATTGATCACTAGCCAATAAGGACGTGTCGCTATTTTGCAGCTACTCCAATATGATGAACTGGCATTAGTTGACACGGTCCCAATAGCGAAAGCGGTCGGCGGTCCAAAGGGCACGGATACAAGGGTATTTTTTCGAAGTTGAACTTGAACCTAAGACCTCGGGGGCGTTTGGGCATCTGGAAACCTTGGAACTATGCCATTCACACAACTTCCCCCAGAAATACTCCTTCAAATTGCGTCCTGGATTGACAGTGAATCTGATCTTGCATTTCTTGCTCAAGTCAACCGTGATGTATACAACACACTTATCACAGAACTTTACCTGCGTAATTCAAAGAATCCGGAAAAATCAGCTATCGTTATCGCAGCTCAATCAGGAAATTATTTAGCATTGAAGAGAGCCCTTCAAGCCTGGACAGTTACTAGAGGTCCCTCCAAATTGCCGACTTCAGGTGGCTCCTCAAAATATACGCCTCTATTGTCAGCAGCGATAAGAGGACACCCAGAGGCAGTAAAGATACTTTTGGAGTATAGAGTCGATCTAAATAAATAGGACCGATCCATACGTACACCACTTAATGCGGCGAGCATACGTGGGTATACTGTAGTAGTTGAGGCACTCCTAGCTTAACCGAATATAAAAGTGAACGCGTACGATACGGACAAACTAACTCTAATATATAGAGCTACACGAAATAGCCATATAGAAATTATGCAGATATTACTATTAGCTAGGGCTTACGCCGGTTTTTTGCGTAAAACAGGAGGGCAGACCCCTCTTTATTCTACTATCCTACGTAAATAGGTAGAGCTAGTTAGTTTATCTGCTTATTAACCGGGACGATATTAATCCGAATGCACTTAGTTGAAATAGCACCCTATTAGAGGTCGCAGTCAAGGCGAACGAAGAGGACTTAGTGGAAATTCTACTTATAGATAAGCGGATAGATCCGGACCTAACAACTTGTTCGATGTTTCAGACACCGTTATTAGAGGCTGCGTTAAAAAACAATGACGCCATGGCTCGCCTCTTACTCGAGGCCGGTGCAAACAAAGAGATCTAGGATTCTACATCTCTCTCACCTACCATATTACTTAATGCGCCTAGTGCAGAGGCTCGCTATCAACTCATTTAAGATCGATTGTTAACGGTCTCGAAGGATCATAACATATCTATATTACAGATGCTTTCAAATCACGATTTATCTGAAAATTGACACGCAGAGGAGCATCTCTCGATGCCTTCTTTGGGAAGGATCGATAACACTCTGCTTTTTCTCTTACATCATTCCTCACTTTTTAATTATCGTTCCAAGAGCACTAAGCAGAAGTCATCAATGTTTCGTTTAGCATATAAGGAATACTAAATTTCGTAAACTGCTTCTAATATACTTCATATAACCTCTTCCTCTCTCCGCGTGCCGATAGATCTAGATACCAATCGATATCCATCGGATCACTGTCCTCCTCATACCCATTAAAATATTCGTCTACGCAAAGCTGGATGATATTAGTGGCCTGTATCATAAGGCCCGAACAAAGCTCCGTAATCAGCGTTGCATAAACTATGTCCTCTGTTGCCTTGGCTTTAGCTATAATCGCTAGGGCCCAAGTGTTGATGAATGTTTTTGACTTTGTTGACAGACTCCACTCCACGTATAAATAAACTGAAAATGAAAATGTCGCTCATAAAGCATTTTCAGCTTATAAGGTTATACGTGGAGCGAAGCCTCTCAACATAGTTCAAAATGGGGGGGGGGGGGGGGGTACGGCGGGATAGGCAGAAGAACGTCAGCACTGTAGTACTGTGCGTGAATAAACGAATATATTGAGCGATGGCGCCACGATGGGGGTTATACTGAATGGCCCACTTTCCTAAGTGTATTGTATTTTAAGTTAGATTCCTTAGTATTGCGATTGTCATTCTAGCATATATCCCCTGTTTTACCATATGTAGGTAGCAAGGACGACAAGGATAATTAGATACCCAAACAACTAGGTACTGGACCAGAAGTGACAGGCACCACCTAGGTATCACCAGGTGCTAATCTACAAGCACCTTAATCTAGAAGAGTCATGGATCATTAGGTATTCGAGACAAATAATTTACATGGATATCTGACATAAAAGGCATCTGACGACTCTAGTAGCCGCTCAGATCAGAAACTTCTTAAAAGCTAGCCATCTCAATCCAGCTCGCCACGAAGCCCAGGCGGCGGCCCTTATCCGCTGCCATTTGACGTGAGAACTCTTCGAAATTGAGCTTGGCTCCACCGCCACGTTCCTTAGTCTCACGCTCAACTTGATTGAGATATGCCCACCGGGCGAGGGTCTCCGGTGTGGGTTGACGTGGCATGACAGGCTCACGTGGCGCACTCGCTGCTCTAGGTGGAGGCGGGAGTGGTTGCATTGGGGAAGGCGGGGGTTTTGGTGCCGTTTCCTCGGCCTCTGGGGAGGTTGAATGGGGCGAGGAGGGTGCAGGGAGAGAGGTGGTGCTATTTGGTTCCAGGCGAAGTCGGCCTGGGAGATCAGGTGATGACAAGGTACTGTCTTCCTCGCCTGTCATAACCGTGGGTTCGTCACGGAAAGAGAGATGCGGACGGGTCGTATCCGATTCAGGACGGAATTGTGGGAGAGTGGGATCGTAGTCCGCAATAAATGCCTCGAAGCTCGACCCGGGTTCAGTGTCGAATGTCTCCTCGAACGAGGCGTACTCGGAGTATCGGATCTGGTCTTCCGTGTTGAATGAGCTGGTGGCCGAGGCTGTTTCATCGTCATCGTCATCACCATCGTCATAATCATCGTCCTCCGCGAATGGCTGATCCTGGCCAAGCCCATCCTCATGATCGGGGTCGACAAGATGAGTTGGTCGCACATCGTCATCTGGTGACATGCCACCAGGCAACGGTGGGGCCAAGACTGGTTGAGCATCCACAGGCTCCAAAGTAGGACTGTGCACTGCGTATCCAGCATGACTCAAGAGATCATCCAGCGATCTGTTGTCTGTGATCTCCTGAAGATGTTCCTCATTGCTTGGAAATACGACACCATCTTTGGGAGTCGGGGACGCCTGCTGAGTTCGTGAGTTCTCGTATTGTTCAATCTCATGGGCCCAGATTCTACGATCAGCTCGAGTCCGGTGAACTTCCATCATCAAGTCTTCCTTTGCCTTGAACAAAACGTCGAGAAGCTCATTGAAGCCCTGTTGAGTGACCTGGTACAGAACCTCCTTGCCGACATCTCTCTCAACCTCGGGAATTTCAAAGCCACCCCAGCGCTCACCAACGGGGATGCTGCGAGAGGAGGTCGAAGGGTTGGATCGAACATCATAATCATCTGCGATATCATCCTCGAATCGAACCTTGGAAGAAGACCGGGAGCGGGGGGATGGCGGGTGCGATTCGGATTGTTCGTCCATGGAGGTATCATCAGTTAGCTCATCATCGAAAGTGGGGTCAGGTTGGTAGCCGTCGGGAATTGTAGCACCATCCTCCTCGTCGGTATAGAATGCCCTACGCCGCCAGCGTTCGTCGATACCATTGCGGCGTGTCTCCTCCATCCGTCTTCGGTCGTCATCACGTAGTCTGTTGTAAGCTGTTGTTATGAAACGAGCCCTGACGACTGGGTCGGTTACTTGCTCAGGGGTCACGTACGATCCGATAGCCTCAATTATGTCATCCGCATGAAGTTGCTCCGTCAATGGCCAGTTGGCACTGGAGCCTGATGAACTAGATCCGTCGGAGCCACTCGCGTCATCCTCGTCGTCGTTATCATGCTCATGCTCACCGCCCTGTGCAGTATCGGGCTGCTGAAGCTCAGTCGCAGTGTCCGGAAGGCGTAACCTGGACGGGAACAATGGTCTGGTACGACCAAATTGCTGCCTGACAGAAGCTTCGCCGATTACGGAGTGTCGATTCCCAGTATCGGTACCGTCCTGGCGAAGGATTCCTCCATTGTCGACAATCTCCATATCACCCTCTGGGTTGATGCGCTTCCCTTCGCCGGTTCGTGAAACTGCACCCGAAGAAATAGTGCCGGGGAATGCAGAGCTGATAGGCTGGCTCCCGAGAACAACGTCACGAGCACCACCTTCGAGAAAATCGTCCTCCATCCCTGCGACCATATCACGGGTGAGCTCTCGACTCAGGGTATAATACGCCCTGAATACTCGAAGGAAATCCTTCCGTTCCACATATCCATCACCATCGATGTCGTAGCCGCGGAAGACGCGACGTAACCTTTCGTCGTTGCTTTTGTTGTTCAAACTAGCTAGGCCTTTTAGGAACTCCTCAAACCCAATCAGGTTATCCCCATTAATGTCGTAGAAAGCAAACATGCGGTCGTAGATGAGACTAGGAGGAGGTGGACGAAGAGAAGTGTTAGGGACGAAACATCGGTCGAACGTCTTGCGATCGATCGCCATGTGCAGTTTGTTTGGATCATCAGGCCACTCGTAGTTTGCCAGGCAGCGGAACTGATCCCAGAGAGCATCGAGTTCGGTATTTTCAAAGTTGGTCTCGCGCATGAGGCGTTTTGCCAGAGGCCGGGGAAGGCTGCGCGGCAGCATTGCTGGCTTTCCAGGGTACCAGACGGGCTGAGATTGTCGCGGGTTTCCTAGGAATGGGGCCGGGATGCGGACTTTGTAGAACAGATGGGTCTTGATATGCACCTGCATTGACTCGCAAGTCTCGCAGAGATCGTAATCGATGCAATTGGCGCAGCGATAACGGATACCCTGTATGGGCATGGCGCCGCAGCTATTGCAAGTCACTCCCCGGTGGATATAGCCATCCCGCCGGGCTTGATCCTCTGCGATATGGTAAAGCAAGTTGAGCAGGTTCTGACCCTCCCTTGTAGGGGACGAATCGTTATTCCCATCCCTCCAAGAGAAAACGCTCTGATCATCAGCTGCCGGTTCCCCATCCTCCAGGTCCTGAGTCTCGGGCGGTGCGGCGGCGTTGTCCGGGAAAGTCGAAGTAGAGAGAGTCACGCGTTCACCATTCTGGCGTCGACGTCGCAGTTCATCGCCGTAGTTCTCATCGGCGTTGAATCGGGTCAGGGCCCTCTCAATGCCCGCACGTGAGATTCCTCTTCTTTGCAACTGCTCCGTCAGATATGTCCGTTCGGCGCTACCCACGGGTAGAGTATGCGAGGAGGGAAAATCAAGTGCGAGAAAAGATTCGAGAAAGGTGTCCTCCATCATTTCGCGCATCCGTTCCGCGTGGTCCGCGGGGACCCCGACCTCCTCCATCAGCTGGTCGCGAGTCGCGAGCAGTGAGGGTAGAAGTCCACTTTCCACCCGTCGTCCATCTTCCGTCTCGATGCGAAAGGTCCCGTACATCCCATTCTGGCGCTCCAGAAGCTCCAAATGGGTTATAGCCCGGTAAGATGGCGAGTCCGCGAGTCCGAGCTCCCCAGCATCGGATGGTCTGGGGCGGCGCAGGGCGTTTCGGCGTCGGAGTGGGGCATGCGAGGAGGGTTGCGACGAAAGGAGATTGTTGCGAATGTACAGGAGGGCATAGGTAGCGGCGACACCGGTGAAGAGGTAGAGGATGGGCCGATATCGTGTCAACGATAACGGCCCCGAGCCTGGCTCGGCCATGGCGAAAGCCGAGCTATGGAGAGCTGGTCGGATGATCTCACGCAAATAAATCAAAGGGTTTGATGTGGTAAAATATGAGGTGGTTATTGCTGGTCAGCTGGAGGGCGGTGAAGAGGTTTCGATGTTGTGGTAGTGGGATGTGAAAGTTGCGATGGATGAAGGTTCACGAGGTGAGAGCTTAGTTGTCACGGGTGCGAACCCCAGAATTTCCAGGTGTCACCCGCCGCCACTTAACAAACTTCCGCCCTGATTGTCAAGCGCGTGGGTTTTTGGGGACGCCTCGACTCTTTTTGGAATTAGCGGTTTTTCGTTTCATCTGATTTTGTTTATAATAATTATACTAAATCCTTATATTTTAAATGCTCGTTATTATGCTTAATCTTGACAATCTTTGATCTCCTTTTTTATCGCCAGCGGAGGCTGGCGCATCTGTATCTTCAATCTACTTCCACGACTTCCTATGCAATTTTTTGTCGTACTCTCATCAACCATGCGGCATAAGCATCATGCAGCGTAATATTTCGTCTTCATTCCCAAGACCACCACCAAAACAGCCACTTTTAAAAGCCAATTAGCGAGTGAGCTTGGCTTCCCGCATGAAAAAGGCGCTGAACAATGCAAAAAACACAATGACGACCATGAATGCGAAGCCCTTATTGACGGATGATCCGTAGCAGCCGCGCACGATACTCGCAATTTCAGGATCCAGCTTCTTGATGTAGTCGAGACTCTCTCGTACTCCGTTGACGATCTGGTCAATATCCTTGCTGTCACGCAAGCCCTCTCTTAATCCCTCTCGCAATAGCTGCTGAACAACAGTTGACGACAGAGATAGCCCAATGACAGATCCGAGAGACCGGAAGAGATAAGAACAAGCAGTTACGACTGCTTGATCCTCATAAGTTGCATTTGATACTGGACAAAGGATTAGCTATTTGGGTGGAGGCAACTGGGCCACACAGAAAGGAAAGACTCACTCAATCCAATCAAAGTCGTCGTGACACCGATGCCATTGCCGAATGCCGACATGACCGTACCGAGGATCATGGGAACCACGCTGGCCACAACGCCGCCCGAGAACATGTATATGGTAAAGCAACCGGTTGTCAGGAGGGAATAAGCAAAAATCGTCAACCAATAATACTTCCCGGTCGACCTCATAATAAACCCAGACAAAAGCGAGCCGGAAACACCGGACAAGATGCATGGTAGGAGGCGCAGACCGGCGGTAGTGGCTGAGACCCCATCGACAGCCTGGAAATAGAGTGGAATATAGAACAATGCCGCAAGCCACCCTCCAAAACTGAAGAAATTGCAGCCGTAGAGGGCAAAGAATGTCCTGTTGAAGATAATGTGGCCTGGGGCGAAAGGCTCGGCTGCGAGGTAGACCTCGACGAAGATGAAAGCAATGAAAAGGACCACCGAAATACTCAGCGAAGCAATTGTCAGAGGTAGAGTCCATGAGACATTGCTTCCGCGGTCCAGACCAAGCAAAAAGCCAAGTACTGCACCGACGAGGACAATTGCACCGAGGAAATCAATGCGGCGAAGCTTGTCTTTCCAGTGCGAGTTCTCCCGAGGTGGCAGCTTGAGCATGAATGAGACGGCAATAAAAGCAAGGATACACATGGGGAACTGCGCAAGGAATGCCCTAGAAGCCATGTTAGTATTGCTAATGTTCTTTGAATTCATAGATAACTCATACCAGCGCCAACCGATATAATCGGCCAAGATTCCACCAAGAGGTGCACCCGTTCCAGACCCAGTGGCATAGATGATATTGATAATGCCTTGCCAGAGGCCTCGATCTCGCAAGGGTACGATATCACTCATCAATATACTGACAACCGTAGTCATACCTCCGCCACCAATGCCTTGGAAGACCTATTGAATTGTTAATTGTGAATTTCCCCAAAAATGCTAGAGCAGACCCGCAAGAGAGACATACACGTGCAGCAATCAGCTCGTTAATATTACGAGCCAGACCGCAGAACAGGCATCCAATTCCAAAAATGGCATACGCGAAAAGCAGGCAGGGCTTCCGACCAAAGATATCGCTTAGCTTTCCATACAAAGGCTGGAACGAAGTCAAAGTCAAAAAGTACGAAGTCGCAATCCAACTGGTCAAATTGAGAGCCTTGAGATCACTTCCGATCTGACCATAACTGGCCATAATAATAGTCTGGTCCGCTGCAGATAGGAAAATCTACAAGCCATGCATTAGCCGAGGTGTTTGAACATCTTGCGAGGTCAACATGGTAATTGTAACCTGCAAGAAAGTATAGTCGAAATAGAAAAAAAAGACCAATTCATACACCTATCGAGATAGCAGGAACAATATACTTGAGCTGCTTCTTTGCATCGGGAAACGGTTCCTTCCCCTGCTCCTCCACCGACTGTCTCGGCTCCCCCGACTCCGCATCGCGGTCGACAATCGCCCCGTTCGACACAGTACCGTGCCCGTTGCTCTCGCCCAACAACGGGGACGTCTCCATGGGAGTCCGCTTTGGCGCCATCGAAAACGAACGTCTCTCACCGGCCAGGGTCACCCCGAGAATTTAGCCTTCAAGAACTGAAAAGAAAGTTGAAATGACTCAAGTGGCCGAGGAAAAACCGCGACTTACTCTTTTCGGGACCCCGGAGGCGGTCACGTGCTGATAAGCATTAAGTTCCCCCTCTCTGACAAATCCATCGACCGGCAGACGGGCGAATCATCGTGGGCGATTGTGCTTTTTGTTCTGCGCTGCCCCGTTCTCGGGCCCTCATGCCTCCCCCTCGGCAATCTGTTGCCGAAGTTGATAAGGGAGACCTAGGCATATAACACTGTAATACTTTGGCAATGGAGCTTTCGGAGATTTTTGTTGTGTGCTAAGATCAATCGAGATACTTCCGAGAAAGAGCTCATAGGGGCTATAATTGCGTGATGGAAGTGGATTAGAGTAAATGTTTCAGAGCGGTCGGAGTGCCAAGCTTAAATAGAAGGTGTTTATAGATCTGAAACAGAAACAGAAGTTCCGCAAGCCTAGATTTGACAATACATTAATGAATGAAAGCTGCTACTGTAGTTTCGGGGTTGCAATTCAAGCATCCGAAGACAGTAACCAATCAAAACACGCCAGGGTGCGGTATTTATCGACCTTGGTGGCCATGCAGGGCCTTTTAAAAGAGGGGGCCTATCCCTCCGAGCAATCCGAAATCCAGATCAATCATTCATTGAAGCATCAAAGCAAATTCAGATTCAAGCGCCTGACCAATGAAGCCCGCTACTAACCTCCCCAATCACCTAGGTCCATATAGATATGTACATGCCAAACCCCAAGGTTATTCCAAAACTGGGTACGAACTGTTGAAAGAAAATACATGTCGTCGTGTCACATCATCAAAGGTTTCCCGTCGCTGTTGAATATTCGAGAAACCATTACAAGCCACCGCATGGGATTAAATCCCAACGCATCTAGGCCTCGCCCCAGATCTCATCGGCAATCTGCCGAACAAGACCCAGCTTCTTTTTCTCATCCTCGAGGCTGAGAGGGTATCCGCTCTCGTGGGTGCTGAAGCCGCACTGAGGGCTGACGCAGATACGCTTGAGAGCCTCCTCGCGGGTCTCGCCGCTACCAGAGGCAACGAAGTCGGCGGCCTTGTAAATGCGCTCCTTCATCACCTCCTTGTCCTCCAGCTCACGCAGCTTGGTGCTGATGACGCCGACAACGACGTTCTTGTTCTTGGGCAGGAACTTGAGAGGCTCGAAACCGCCGGCGCGCTCAGTGTCGTACTCGAGGTAGAAAGTGTTGACGTTGAGGTTCTCGAACAGCTTCTTGGCGATGATGTCGTATGAACCCTCGGCGAAGTGGCGGCCGCCGATGAAGTTACCGCGGCACAGGTGAATACCGGTGTGCATATCGGCGGGGATCTTGGCAAGACAATCGTTGTACAGCTTGACATAGGCATCGAACAGATCATCGACAGTGCCAGTGTTGTCCTTGTCCTCCTCCCAGCCCTGGCGGAAGGACTTGGAGCAGAAGTATGCCATGCCAGGGTCGTCGAACTGGACGTTACGCAGACCGGCCTTGTACAGAGCATCCAACTCAGCCTGGTAGACCTGGGCAACGCCCGCGAAGTACTCCTCGTCGTTGGCATAGGCCTCGGGGGTATACGCCTTGCCCTGCTTGTACCGCATGTGGAACCAAGCGGGAGTGATCATGGTGAGCTTGATGTTGCCCCACTCACTCTTGGGCAAAGAAGCCTGAACGAGCTTCAGCTCGTGCAGGTTCGACACGGACTTCTCGGCACTCCAGGTGAGCTTGGAGCCGGCAATGACCGAGTCACCGGGCATGACCTTGCGGTCCTTCTCGATCAGACTGACGACATCGGGGTGGTACAGTCTGAACATGGAGGCCTCGGCGTCCTGGAGACGGATGGTTCCTGACCATGATTCTTTAGTATATGTGTTCTCAACAAGCCATTGCAGCTCTAATTGGACATACCTTGGAACTCATCCCACATCAGACCCCAGAAACGGGTCCGGTTGAACTCGCCGGAGGAAACAGCCTTGTAACCAAGGTCGCGCTGGAGCTGAACAACATTCTTAACCGCCACCTCCTCAACGGCGTGCAGACCGGCAGCCTCATCCGAGATACCGGTGTCACGGATCTTAGCGCGAACCTCAAGCAGGTCGTCAGGACGCAGCAGCGAGCCCATGTGCTCGGCCCGGAAGGGCGGTGCGCTGTGAAGCTGGTTGGCCATGTTGGTTTGGGGAATTCCCGATTGTACGAGAAGCAACTATTGGATTAGATAGGATATATGTCCCGCCAGACGATTGTGGGACGAAGATATCGAGAACAGGTATCTTCCTCACTGATAAGAAAGGAACAGCTATCAAAAACAAGAAGAAAAAAGTGAAGAAGGGTGAGACGAGCTGAGCACGAATAATGTGGTGCTCATGTGGAGAAGGTTAAGGCGAGCCATAGGTGGGGCTGCCATGACAGCCGAGAAAACCGGCATTGCTTTTGCTGCTGTGGAGACATATAAAACTGCAATTGGCTAACGTTCACTCGCATATTATTGGCAGAATCATGTTTGATCTGGATTGAGGGTCGAGTTTACCTCATTTAACCTCATATCAACTATAGATCTGGCGTTGCGAGGCGTGAGATCTATAGTTCGATCTATAGAGTGAGCCCCACATTAGCTTGACGCCAGAAGGTTCAACATCTATCTTATTCTAATCCAACAGATATTCAGAAGAAAATGCTTGGAAAGAAAGAGCTTGATGTAGTTGCAACATTTTATCATCTCTGGGTGCCGTCTGTACACCGAATAGTCACGTCTCCGGACTGCTATAGGACTCGCATTGTGCGTATACTTCGGAGCTGCACAGCCTGGAGAATGTCGGCGAATCAAACAGTAAGCCGGTATTTTGTTAAACGCTGGCTTGGGCAATGATAGCCATGTAAGACTTGGGAAACGAATCTCGGCTATGATAGCGATGTGCAAAGCTGAGTGTCGACCCGGATACAGAAAGCTTCAGCAACTTCCACTCTAGTTTGATAGGTTGACTGCCTCGGCCATAATCAGAGCTAGAAACATCCCACAAGCTCCATGCAGTGTATTGATTTGTATGAAACTTATTTCAAGTTCAATCTACGGGTTGAATTACTTTGTACTGCATAACTCCATTCTTCTCGAGGGTTAAGACTCTTTGTCGTGGCCCCACATTGGGTTTTATAGAGCCGAACACACCCTATTTGAAGACATCGACACCCGCTCCAGATGATTCATATGGTTCATAGTGATAAAGTGGTACTGAGTAAACACTATTTCTACTTTGTTATAGGCAGCAGCACAAATCAGGTTAAGATGATGGGCATTGACAGGTCGTTATATTTTGCTTCAAGATAGGTAGAGGTATCTGAACGTAGATGCAAAATCCCAAGAGTATGCTTAGTTTCCATTCTCCACCACAGGCATAGGAACAGGACCACCCGGCGAGTCAGGAAGACGAGCAGTCAAAACCTCCACGCCATCCTCCGTCACCAGCATAGTGTGCTCGAACTGCGCCGACAAAGAGCCATCGGCAGTAGTGCTGGTCCAGTCATCCGGCCATGTACGGTCACGGTGAGTACCAATGTTAATCATAGGCTCGATGGTGAAGCACATGCCGGGCTTGGCCGTGCCGACAGCCTTGTTCTTGCCGTAGTGGGGGACGTTGGGGGCGCAGTGGAAGAGCTGGTTGATGCCGTGGCCGCAGTAGGTCTTGACGACGCTGCAGTTGCGGGACTTGGCGTGCTTCTCGATCACGTTTCCGGGGTCGCGGAAGAGCATGCCCGGCTTGACTAGTTCGATTGACTTTTCCAGACACTCGCGCGAGGTCTCGACGACTCGGACGGCGTCGGGGTTGGCGAGGGCCTTGTCGCCGACATAGTAGGTTTCGTTGATATCGCCGTGGAAGCCCTTGTGGTACAGGGTAACGTCGATGTTGACAATGTCACCGTCCTCCAGGGGTCTTTGATCGGGAATACCGTGGCAGATGGTCTCGTTGACCGATGTGCAGACGGACTTGGGGAAGTGCATATAGTTAAGTGGCGAGGGATAAGACTGCAGACAGAGAAAAGAGCCGAAAGTTAGCATGTAAATACCCCATTTTTATGAAGGATATATCTTACGTCGCGCTCCACGCAAGCCTTGTGAACAATCTCATCAATATAGTCGGTGGTCACGCCGGGCTTCAAGGCACGAGCCGCGATATCCAGAACCTCACGAGCCAGACGGCAAACTACACGCATACCCTCCTGCTCCTCCTTGTTCAGGATCTTAATCTTATGCTGGCCCCATAGCTTCTGCTCGGAGATCGGAATACCACCCTTGGCGTAGTCGGGGTGGGGGATGGACTGAGGAACGGTGCGCATGGGCGACAGTGGGTAGAGGGGTCGGAGGGGACCGGTGAATTGGAACGAAGGGAATGGGTTGAAGTGACCGGTAGCTGGATCAGGTTCAGAAACTACCTTCGGAGGAAAGAGGTTGGTGAGGATATTACTCTTCTTATGGATGGTCTTGTGCTCGCTCTAGATACGGAAGTATATTAGCCATGGCATATTCTGATAGAAAATGGGGTAGATCGCACAATCCCCTAGTTGAGACCAATCTAGTGCTTCAAATCACTTACCCAGCTTCGCTTGAAACAGTCTTGCGAGCAAAAGAAACTGTCGGTGCCCATCTTTAGGCAGGTCGGACATTGGAGCGTGCCTGCGTCCTTGGCGCAGTCCACGCCGATACATTTCCGAGTTGCGACGGCGGCCATGGTGACGTTGACTCTGTAAATGGCCTACCAAACGGCTAACTTCACGAATCTCGAATCTGGTGCTTGCTCCAGAGAAAAGTTCCTAAAAAAGAAATTCAAGTCCCCGCGGCCGCGGGCTCGCAGTTACCGACTAGTCCTAGATGGGACTAGCGTATATAGGCGATCCCAGTTGGTGATTCAGGCCATCAGGCCATAAGGCATCAAGGAATCAGGCTGCAAGGCACAAAGGTACTGAACATGGCATCATCGCGGATAATTTCCCACGAGCCGATTACTCAGCAAATTCCCGGTCGATCCTTTTGGAAATATTTCCCAATTAGGAAACGGCCGATGTCGGTTCACGTGACAGAGTCTAATCGACTCATCCGGGGAAAGGGTCTCTCTCCACGTTGAGATTATATTTCTCTCGATTCTGCTCTCATCCAGTTTGGCCTCTGAATCATGGCTGCTGCGACTCCCAGGCAAAAAGTGGTGGTGGTGGGTGCCGGCCCCGTGGGAGCCCTGGCCGCGTTGTACGCTGCATCCCGCGGCGATGAAGTCGAAGTATATGAGTTGCGTGGAGGTACGTTCTAGTTCTCGATATGACTCCGATGCATTTCCTCTCTTTTATCCCCACGCGACCAGAAAGAAAGAAGAGAAAAGAGATCAATGCATGGAATATGCATGGACCGTCCTGCGGTGCAATGATCTCCGAAGAGCGAGTAAATTTTATACCATGCCACCCTACACAGTCGCACAAGGTCCCCTGCACGCATTCGAAACACAATATTTGGAGATTGATTGACTCGATTTTCAACTGATTTCCAATCATCCACCACTTCCCCTGCGCCCGCTCAATTCTCCGCGTTGCGAAATTTCCCGGAAGCAAAAGTCAAATAATAATTTTCGTGCATCCGTAGATCTCCGCGATCCCACCACCGTGCCGCTTAACTTTACCAAGTCGATCAACTTGGCCATTTCAGAGCGTGGTCTCACTTCTCTTCGACATTCTCAGCGATCTGGTTTGATCGAAAATGTCCTCCGTCAGACTATCCCCATGTATGGGCGGATGATCCACGGCCGAGACCGAGGGCAGTTATGGGAGGCTGCTCAAGCTTATGACGTTCATGGTCAGGTAAGGTACCTGACAGGTCCCAACGAGTGTGATCCATGTCACATAGTACCTGCATCTGCATGCCACAGCGCATCAGCCCTGCTTTTTTAATTTCGACAGCGGAATTGAGGCTAATAATTGCAATCTAGGCCATCAATGCCGTGGATCGCAGTGCATTGAACAATGCCCTCCTCGACGAGTTGGAGCGTGCTCCCAATGTCAAGCTCTTCTTCAACTACAAGCTCACCGGTGCGGACTTCCGTACCAACAAAGCCTGGTTCGAGCGACGCATCCCCGGCGAAACACCCCAGCCAGATAACCTAGGTGTTGCCGGTCGAGTACCGGAAATCGAAGTCTCATACGACTACCTCATCGGCGCGGATGGCGCACACTCGGCCACCCGATTCCACATGATGAAATTCGCCCGCGTCGACTACCAACAAGAATATATCGACACGCTATGGTGCGAGTTCCGCATTCCACCCTCGCAGGATGGAAACTTCCGCATCTCCCCAAATCACTTGCACATCTGGCCGGGCCGCGAGTTCATGTTCATCGCGTTGCCGTCGGCTGATAAATCTTTTACTTGTACATTATTCGCGCCCTCGGTGCACTATACCGCCCTCGAGAACTCGCCGCAGGATCTACATGCGTTCTTCGATGAACATTTCCCCGGCGTGTGTCCGGAACTCATCGAGCCCGAGGCTCTGAGCGAGCAATTCGCCGTGAACCCGCATCTCCCCTTGATCAGTATTAAATGCAAGCCGCACCACTTTAGCTCGAGCGTGGCTATACTCGGTGATGCGGCACATGCCGTACTCCCCTTCTACGGACAGGGACTTAATGCAGGTCTGGAAGACGTCCGTGTTCTCTTCGAGCACCTCGATGAACACGGCGTCTACGATCAAGACGTTAGCGTCTACACCCGGAGCGTGAGACGCCAAGCCGCCTTCCAAGCGTACACTAATCAGCGCTGCGAGGATACCTATGCTATCAACGACCTATCAAAGGAGAATTACCTCGAGATGCGGTGGGGTGTCAAGTCCCCGCTCTACAAGCTACGCAAGTCCGTCGAGGAAACCCTTGATCGTCATCTTCCATCTCTGGGGTGGAGGACACAGTATGCTCGTGTGAGTTTCAGCAACCAGCGGTATTCGGAGGTCGTTCGTGCTGTGGCCCGGCAGGGCGAATTGCTCGGTAGGGGTCTGAGTGCTGCACTGGTCGTTACTGTTGGTGCGGCGTCGATATTGATGTGGAGGTATCCGCGGTACTTTTCGCCGGTGCGGTTCTTCCGTGCTTCTCTGCGGTACCTGTCTAGCATTTGGTAGTATTAAAAAGGGAGTGGGGGGAGTATGTGCGACGAAAAACGCTTCGAAGCGCTGCATTTTGAAAGTTTCAGTGTTTTTGCATTGCGTCTTGAAGCTCTCCCATCTTGTTTGTATAGATCACATTTTGGATATCCTTGTTGCGAAATGAAGACTCGAGTTTTTGAGAAAGTGGTAAAAAGAGGATTACCATAGATATCTGGTACCCAAGCATTCATATCTAACGCCTGAAAAAAAGGGAGAAGGGCCGGTATAAACATCCGCAAAACCCCAAGCTTGCGTAAACCGTACAAAAAGCCCTTAATCCCAGTACTTGATAACGCCCTCCAAACCACCCGTAACAACCTTACTCGTCTCCTGTGGATGCCAGTCCAGACATGTGATAGCACCACCCTCCTTTCCACCCGCCAAAATCTTATGATACATCTTGCCAGTCTTCCAGTCCCAGAAGCAAACGTAGCCGCCACTGTCACCGGAGACGAGGAATTGACCATCGGGCGAGATTTTAATGTCAATTCCGTATCCGGCGTTATTATGTCCGCGGAAGCTCTTCTTGCGGTTCTGTCGGAACTTGTCCGTGGCGCCGTAGACCACGATCTGGTTATCGCCGGACTGGAAGGCGACGTACTTGCCGTTGGGATGGGGAGTGGCGCGCGTGAGAGCGAACATGTAGGGCTCGGCGATGAACTTGATAGGAACGGGGATACCATACTCCCAAGCGCGTAGCGACTTGTCGTCTGATGTCGAGATGAAGCGTCGGTTATCGTCGACAAAGGTGATAGTGTTGATGGCTGCCAGGTGGTGGTCGTATTCTTGGACCAACTCGCCAGATCGTGTGTCGAATTGAACAATCTTCTTGTCCGACATACCAGCCAGGAACTCGTGCCCGTGTTCCGCACCGGGGTTGAAGCGCACGACGTGCGGTGTCTTACCGGTGGAGAACCGTCCCAGACACTTTCCGTATTCCGTATCCCAGAGCTTGATTTGTCGGTCGTAGGAACCAGTCAGGAAAGTCTTTCCGGTAGGATCGAAATCCGTGTCGGTGATGGCCTTGGAATGACCAGAGAACGTGCGAAGCAACTCCCGAGAATGATACACATCCCAGATCTTAGCCTTTCCGTCCGCGGCAGACGAAAGCAGCAAGTGACCGGACGTAGGGAAGAAGCGAAGCGAAGTAATAGGCTTGGTGTGAGACTTCCAAGTTTGTACCAGCTTCTTGGGCACGTAGTTCTTGATACTGCCCACTTCCTTGCGCAGGTCGATATCCAGGTCTTGAGGAACATGCATATATGTCCGGCCCTGGTAGTCGAACTGCTCGGAGCCGTGGAACTCGGTCGTCTCCACCTTTGATGTATCCCCCTGGTACTCGGTAGCTTCCTTGCTCATGGCCGGCATGGGCGCCGCGGGAGCCAAAGTCTCATCCTCCTCCGCCCATTCCTCATCACTTGCAAGCTCGCGCTCTTCACCCGAACCGACCTCGATTTCCTCGTATTGCTGCTCATTCTGATATTTCGCCCAAGGTCCCAGGTACGCGCCATCGCCCTCCACGATACTGGAGTCACCCTTCTTTTGTCGCTTTGCACGCCATGCAGCAGACGCCTCCTTGGTAGGCTTCATCTGCACGACATCCCGTCCTCCAAACTGCGCGACTTTGTCCATATTTCCAACGAACTGGTCCGGCAAGGTTGGATTACGGGTATATCCCAGACTCTGGAACGTGCGATGTTGCGCGGCGAACGTCGCCTCGCTGATGGCTGCCTCCTCTGCGAATCCGGTCGGAACATTCTTCCGCTTGACTCCATTTCCGGGGCCTGCTGGTTTGAAAGGGTTTGCGGGACCCTGCGAGGGCCGCGTTAGATCATCGTATGTGGCGTTGTAGGTGAGGGCTTGCGACGAGGTGTTGGCGAGGGTCATCTGCATATGCGCTTGGTCCTGTAGGGGAGTTAGTCTTATCTGGTCGTCCCGATATGGAGCGAGTGGTAAAGGAAGCGGTATGGGAAAGGGTTAGGGCAGCATATGGGGGACCAAACCTCTGTATTGACCTCTGGTGCAGCAACGATCTTGGTTGCGGTCGTTACTGAAGGGTTGAGCACGGTGGCGTCATCGTCGCTCGAGTCGTAGCCTGCGCCCAATAGAGACGCCATATTGGACAAAGTCGACGAATGTACTTATTGAAATTAACGCCCACCCAGCGAGAGAGTGATGGGATGGGTTGGAGGGTGGTTTGGCAGTTGAGCGGATGGGAATTTTACGGCCGTCGGGAGACCCGCGAAGTGAACAAGTGAAGAGCTGAGCTCTGCCCGCTGCGGCAAATGGCTCGCAGATCCGCATCGAGACTCCTCACCCCGCAAATGTCTTGCAAGGTTTATGGGAATTCGCTTGGATATTCCTATTTGATTTCATTCTGCTATTTACTCTTGTTTCATCTTTTACGAAAGATGGGAAGAAAGACTTGGGTATCGTACGCTCTTCATTGCCAAACCGCATGGGAGGTATATACAGCTCACAGGCCGAAAGACAGGGCAAGATCAACATAGAAAAGACAGTAAGAAATAAAACATAAGAAGAACAAATCTGAGCAACCAGTCAGAAAGAGATTTCATAAGCCTCTTCTAACAAGAATTACCCAGAGCCATCAAACCCCACCACCGCAGAAACATCCCGAAGATACTCTCTATTACGCACCGCCGCGTCCAATCACCAGCCAATCTAAAATCAAGGATACGAAAAAAAGTATCCTCACACGTTAATCCGTCAATTCGTATCCATCAACCCTGGACAACCCAAGCAAGGTGGAGACACCGCGATATATGGCAAGGCGGCTGCTCGGGGAAGACGCACTCATAACCGATAAGTATAAGCCGAAGAAGCGAGAAACCGATCGAGGACAGATGATGCATACGTCCCGAAGAGCATTTGGGGAATGTAACGGCGTCCTTGAGCTAGTTGGGAGGGCCATGGCGCATTACATGTTCCACCTCTTCGCGAAGTCAGTGGCCTTCGTCGCGGATGAGGGCGACAATCATGCTGTACAGGTAGAAGAAGAACATCAGGAGGTGGAAGCCCAGCTTGATGAAAGATTCCTAAAATTGGCACACAGACGCGTCAGCTACAAAGCTCATTGCGGAAGATCCTGCGATTCGGGGACACCAAGCGATAACAAACCTTCTTGTGCACATTCAGCTTGCGGAAAATCTCGGTCGCATCCAACAGGTGCTGGTTGTCGTAGATCCTATAGTACCAGAAAAAAAACAACCTCAGATTAGCCTTTTGCTGCCGGGATTGGGGAATGCGGAGGCCGGCATCGGCGAAGGGTGGCGGGACGTACTTCTTCGCATTGAATGCCAGGAGAGGCAGGTTCAGGAAGATCGCAAGCCAGTAGCCGTTGATAACGAAGAGGAAGGTCAGGAAAGCGTGAACGGCGGCCTCGGGGATGATGTAGGCGTTCAGGCGGTTGCAAAGGTCGATGGGGTTGATGTAGTCACTGTGCAGGAAAAGGGGAGGCGCAAGTTAGCTATACTCCTGCGATCCGCGGCGCGGCCTGTAGGACTTCAGCCTGTAGGCTATCCAGGAGAGAATGAAGCTTACCACTCGAGATCGCTGTACATGATGGTGAAGAAAACCTGGAGGAACAGGTTGACCGCATTGATCAACACTGCCAACAGGTACAGCCATGCTTCGCCGGACATCATGGGCAAGGTATCGACTCCTCCGGAGGAATGAGCTAGGGTTCAATGACTGGACGCAGGGTTTCCAGATGGTTAGCTGGGTGGTGATTGACAAGGGGAGGTGGAGATGCGGGTTTGAGGGGAGGGGAGAGGTTTAAGCCGTGGTGCGGACCGTGAGGCCGGAATTGGAGACGGCTTTTGTGGGGTCCGAGAGCACCAAGGAAGACGGAGGAACCACGAAGACTCTTTGAGGAGCGTAGAGGGAGGGAGGGAGGGAGGGAGGTAACGGAAGTTGTTACTCACATTAGGGCCTGTGTAATGACACGGTGGAGATGGAGAGGATCGGGAGAGAGCGCAGAGAAAGCGAGGAGACAAGCAAGAGACCTTCTGGGGGGGGGGAGGTTGGGGCGAGTTTAGTTAGCGAACCTCGCCAACCTGAACGGGTCGGCGGTGGGCGACTGCGACTGCGGAAAGTTAGCGCGTCATCCGCCGAGGAAGGTGGGTACTAAACAGTTGTGTACACAAACTAGAATAAATCGAAGAGCAAGAAGAACAGTGTTAAAGAAATGTATTTTTCAGAGAGATCTTGTTGAATAGAAATGGATCAGGCGTAAGACTCTTATCAGGCGGAGACAGCAAAAAAGCAAAAAGTCTTTCAGCCGCAAAGGATGACGGCCAACACGTGCTCTACATTCCAGATGGCTGCTGATGATTAGCCCATATTTATGAACACCGTGGATAATTAATAGAGGACACTATTCTACTAGGATCGGTTTTGAGGCTACTCAGGTCATCAATAATCAAAATGTATGGTCGTAGAGCATGGTCTATATACACAAGTCGAGTCGTGCTCTCTGGCCACACTGGGGAGGCCTCCCTCGACGCATATGATTTGATACAAGGGGGCTTCCCAGTGCACTCTAAGACCAAGAGAAATTGACAATGAAACACAACGCAAATATAACGCCATTCAACCAAGGTACAGAATAATGGACTGCAAAAAACGGAGAGTGCTAACGAACAAACCGGAAATTCCCCTAGTCGTGCTAGGAGGGATCGGAGCAGGCCTATCGCTTCTCGATAAGCAGGAAATGCATCGCTCCGTATGCAATGATGATAAAGGCCCCAGAAATCACAGCGAGGCCGACCACATCATGCCAGTAAGCAAGGGTGTTGAAGCCAAATGCGCTCAGGATGGACGCTCCGGGAACCTCGATGTCTAGACCATACTTGTGGTCAATCAAGGTGAGGAAGGTGACCTCGTTAACGATAAGAGCTTCGAAGCCATAATGGAAGATGGACAGCTAGAAATGAGTTAGTATAACATAATAGAAGTCAGGCTTGAAGGAAATAGACTTACGCTTTGCAACCACAAAGCAGAGGCGGGAATCGCATCGTGGTTGAGCAAAAGACCAGCAAAGAGCAAGCTGAAAAGCATGACAAGACTGCCAATCAGATTTGCCACGCCGCCATCTCGGAAGATAATACCAATAAACAGGCAGATGCAAGCAGCGGCAAGGTTGAATAGGACCAGAACTAGCATGAAGCGCAGGAACTCGGGCCATGCGGGGATCAATCCAGTCATGGGGTAGACAATGATACCCATGATGATGGGTGGGATGAGCCGGAGCGGTACTATATCAAATACAACCTTGGCGGCAAAGTAGGTGACCGGGTGGTAGTAGCCATTGGCTCGCTCGCGGACGAATAACAGTCGCTCGGTGGAGAAGACCGTCAGACTCGTGAGGGTACTGAAGCCGAACAAAGCCAGAATGAAGAAGAAAAGACCCAGTCGGTTCTGGAAACCCTTAATATCGTCCGTCAACCCGTAGAATAGGTATCCGGAGAGAACGGCAAGCAGAATGGCGATAGCATAGTGAGTGAGCATGAGCATCGGATTACGGTAGAGATTACGCCATGTGCGCTGCGACAGGATCAGGAACTGCCGAGCCAGACTGACCCGAGCATAGCTCATCTGCCCGATCCCGGAACCATTCGTCAGATGCGAGTTGTTGGAGCCATTCGCACTCTGTGCGGACTGAACGGCAGACACAATCTCGTCTTGGACTGAGCGGGAGACGTCAGAACTAGCGTAGCTGGCAACCAGAATATCGAGATCAGTTTGACCAGGTGCTGGGGGAGGCAGCTGGTCAGGATCGTCGAGAATCTGCGGGGGAACATGGCCTTGTTGGCGATGCAGACGAAGCCATTGTTGGGTGTTCTCCGCCACATCAAGGGTAGCATCCTCCTCATCGGTCTTTGGTGTAAGGGGACGTTGTTCTTGATCCTTTCGCCGGGAGTAAAGCTGACGGTCTTGCTGCTGCTTGACAGACACACGCCGGCCACTCTTCGGTCTCCTTGTTGGTTCTGCTGCTGTACTCAAGTTGTCATCAATGCTTACATTGGACGCACTGGCGACGGACTTGACCGCTCGGAGGCTGCTTGAAGCAGTCTTGGGCGGGCCGTTTTGTCCATCCACTGCAGATCCGATTTCGTCAGAGTAAGAGTTCGCCACGCTTGCATGCATCGTCAGATCGACGAGATAGTCCGCAATATTGAACCCAGGCGGGCAAGAATATCCAATATGATCAAAGTATTGCTGGCACGTGGAGAAAGGACCGGAATAGACTGTGCGGCCACCCGCAAGAAGGATGAGTCGGTCAAAGAGAGCAACGATGTTGGAGCGCGGTTGATGAATGGTGAAAATGACGGTGCGGTTGTAGGTCTTGGCCAAAGTGACCAGGCATTCGACCACATTGAATGCGTTGTATGCATCCTAGAAATTCTTTAGCATCAGGAGGAGTATGTAGTCATGTTGCTGTATCATACCAATCCGCTAGTAGGCTCATCCAAGAAAAGAATGCTGGGACTGGTGACCAGCTCGCAAGCAATACCGACGCGGCGTTTCTCACCACCGGAGATACCACGACCCTTGCCTTCTTCCGAGCCAATCAACTGATCCCTGATGTGGTAAATTCCAAGCTGCTTCTCCACCTCTAGGACTTTCTGCTCCTTGGCGGCTCGACTCATATCCCGTGGAAGTCTGAGAAGAGCACTTGTCAAAATAGTTTCGTGAACGGTCAAAGTTGGCAGCATCGTGTCTTCTTGGTCAACGAAGCCCACCATGCTCTTGAATTCGCTGTCGTCCAATTTCTCGCCATTCACATAGAAGTTTCCGTGCACGGCGCCGCGCTTGTTCTTCCGGGCTAGCAGGTCTAGGAAAGTGGTCTTGCCTGCACCAGATGCACCCATGATCGCAGTGATCTGTCCTGGTCCCGATGCACCATGGATGCCAGAGAGAATCTCTTTGCCGTTGAGGTAGTAAGACACATTATCCCAGTAGAGTGCCGCAGGTCGGTGCTCAGCAAGAAGCTTAGCTGATTCGTCATCAGAATCGTCGGATAGAGACAGACGAAGGTAGCCCCGGCGAGCAGCACGACGGGACAGATACCAGACGAGTAAGATCACGGCAACAACGAAGAGTGAGCAACCCGCAATCACGCTAGCAATCAGAGGAGTGTTGATCTTCTTGATTGGTCGCTCATAGCCTGGTTCATCGGTCTTATACAGACACTCGCCAGAGTTGCAGGATAAGAAGATGCTTGGGTCACCAAAGACACCACTGATCAGGTTGTTCATCTCGGGTTCTGAGAAGATGCTCTTGGAGCCTTGTGCAGTAGACACGGTAGAGAAAGTGGCGGGGCCTTTAATGACCTGGTCAAGGAAGACACTGAGATCGATAGACCCATTTTCACCACATAGGAACCGGTCCTTGATGCAGCTGCAATGGGCATTCTCACACTTGTAGTTTGTAGTGTTTGTATCGTAACCATTCTCCATGCCCCACTCGCAGGTGTCGAGGCCACAGTAGAACGATTCCTTTTGGCCTACCCAGAATTGGAAGTTGCAGGTTTTATCCTCCTCCTTACAAGAGAAGGTCACTTGCGGTTTCCGGCCATCAAGCTGGTCCACGATCTTGCGATTTGTTACATCACACATCTGGAAGTTCTCCTTGACGGTGACACCTTGCTTGTAGCACCTGCCGCCCTCGCCTTCGGGCATCATGGCATTGCAGGCATTGTCCGACTCGCAGACGTTGCAGTTGATACCGGTCCAGCCGTCTTTGCAGCTACAGGTGTCACCTTCGCGCCTCGGGCGGTTTTCGCCATCGGCCAGGGAGCCACACACGGGAGTCGAGCAGTCATCTCCTCCAAAGCCCGGCGGACAAGAGCATTTGCCATTGTACTTGTTGCAGGGCGCGAAGTGGGTACAGTTGTAAGAGTCGAGCTGGCAGTTGAAGCAGGGCGGACACTCGGGGGGCCTGTCGTCCAGGAGAGGATAAGGGGATCGAGGAACGAGAGTTACATCGTAGACATCGCTCCAGGCTGCTGCCGAGAGAAAGCAGCAGACCAGAGCGATTACCGTGAGAAGGAATGCGGATGCCGACCGCATATTGCGCAGGGGTGGCTGGGCCCTGATCAAGCGCAGTTACCAGCAACTGAAGCGGGATTGCGAACGCTAATCGCAGGATAGCTCAAAGCTGGTAGTGAGCTTTAAACATCCGTATAGCTTGTCGGGGGGATTGCTGGAAAGAGGGTGGTTGAGTGGTTGAGACGGAGATCCCCAGAAGCGGAGAGGAGATGGCCCCAGACGATGACGCGGGCGGAGAACAAGTGGCTGTGTCTTTATGGGTGGGCCAGGAACCCGCAGCGACTGGTGACACGGCAACGTAGGAAAGTAAGCGGGGTTGACAGCTAAACGACCACAATAGTGCGTGGCTTTAGGCGATGAGACCGTGGTCTTTCTGACTTGCTTTCGCCAGTTAAATATGACGCTGCCTGGATTCCAAACAAGGCAGGTGTAAATAAGAGATGGCTTTATCTGGCTAAACCTGGAAGTATACAGATATCTGTCACTCACACAGCCGATTGGAGCTTAGAGTGCTGAAAGAGCTGAACGACTATGTTTCCAAGGTTATGGTGAATTCCACGTTCGAGTCGGGCAGTAGAACTATATTGGAATGCTATGATGCTGTGACCCAGTAGACTTTGTTCGGAATATTGAAATTCAAGCTATCAAGGCCCCAAACTAGATAAAAAGCAGAACGGGTGCAGGCTATGGCTCACCATATGGTAAGAAGCGGGTCTGAACCATTACAGATGGCCCTTGGGTGAGGTTGGTCTACCTAACCTAGTAACCGTACACAGTATACTCAATGATTCCGCCAAAATATGTCGCCTCGTTACCGTTGTGGGTGTTGATAATGTGGGTGACATTGACCTGAATGTATCGGTAGGACTCTGGGTCGCTGATGAAAACGGGGATATAGCCAACTTGAGTGTTCTTCGACGCATCACCAATGGTCTCATAGTTGATGCCATCGGTTGAGCCCAAGACGGTGAATTGATAATAAGTCTCGCTTCCCTGAATCATCCTTGTTGTCAAATCCACCTGTGTAATATTGCTGCTTTCACCCAGGTCAACCGTCAGGGTAAAGGGATATCCCGATGGAACAAAATACGCGGCGGAATCATCGTAAACGCCATCATTGACATCAGCAATAGAGGTCCCCCCAGCGGGATTCACAGTGACTGGCTTTCCAACAGATAAGATCTTTCCACTCTGAATTCCAAAAACCCCAGTTTGGTCGCCAGTGGAAGAGCTTGATTGCCGATATCCCGTCTTCTGGTAGAAGTTGTAGTACGCAAAGCCTTCGCCGTCCGATGAAAAGGAAATGGGAAGCATATATTCTCGGTTCGCGCCATCCACAGGGGACCAGTTCGCTCCCCACCGGTCTGACAGCATTGCGGAAGAGGTACCAAATGTTGTGATGCCTCCGGATTGAGAGGAGTAGGTTGCAGGATCTGCTGGTGCACGGCCATCGCTCCAGGTTGATGCAATCGACTTAGTCGTTATGTAGAGTGGCTGCGATGGATACCAACCCGCAGCACGCGAAGTGAACAAGTAGTAAATGCCATCGACTTTGACCATGGCAGGGGCCTCTCGGTATTGCTTAATATAAACCGTGTTGACAAGCTTGTCTACCGCGGTCCAGTTAGAAGTTAACTGCATAATTGTCATGTTGGTGTTGACCCCAACCGCAGAAATCAAATAAGCTGAATGTTCCGAGTCATCATCCACGAAGACTGTCATGTCACGGGAATCGTAACCTAGTGGTCTATAGGTTCCGTGAAAGGTCCAGGCACCTCCCGGCTGGCCACTTGCGCAGGCGACCTGGGCCAGGTTGTAGTTGAGTGTGTTTTCCAAATGCCCCCACATAACAATCTCACCGGTCTTCGGATGCTGCTGAAAGGTAACACGCTCCAGGTGACATAAATCATTGTCTATTGAAGCACAGATAGTTTGCGAAGTCATTACTGTTCGGCCACCCGTGAATTCGTAACCATCCTTGGAGGATTGTTCTTGAATATAGAATATACCAGTACCATTCTCAACGTAGTTGTACTGGTAATATAGACCATGCTCCTGTATGTCCGACTTTCGGAGATAGGAAGACACTTGAGTGTTGTCATAAGTTCCGTAATCAGCTGCCTTCGGAGAGAAGGTCGCTACCTGGACATCATTCGATATGCCCTCAGCGGAGGACACTCGGTAGGTGAACTTTGACAGAGGAAGCTCGTAGTCGTCGTAGGTATTGCCAGTAACGGTAGCGATAGTTGAATATGATCGTGACCCATTTGGCTTTCGTTGCACTTGGTATGTGCTTGCATTGGAGTTTGCAGTATTCCAACTTAATTTGACGTTATTGACATCAGGAGAATTGCTCAAGCGAAAGGGCTCGGCCACCAGCCCTTGCTGGGCCGCCACAGAAGAGAGGAACAGTAAAAAGCAGGTGAGCATACTGACGCCGGGGCGAGCTATGAAAAATCTGGTTGTCTTGTGTCAATGAGAGCTGAAACAAGCGGGGAGGGTGATTGCCTTTATACCAATAAGCAATGCAAGGTCCCTCGATCACGGGCTTAAATCAACCGGCCTACCTAACTAAGGTCAATAGAAGATATTACCCCACACAAAAGTCCGGTCTTTGCGGTGTCCGGAGTTGAATTAGGAAAGCTTCACCACTTGGTCTTGAACCGTACTCCATGGCCCTATAGGTCGAATTTGGGTCGAGTTGAGAAGAAAGTTTACCCACTCATTGTACCATTGTATCTAGGCTTCACTTTCCGACATACTGGCCTTTGGCGGTTATCATTTTCCAGTTTTGTTGTGTATTTTATCTTGTATCTTAGAAAATCTAGCCCAAAAGTAGGAGACGAAGCAGCAGTGATTAAAAAAACCGAACGACAGACGAAGAGAAGACACGAAGTTCGGAGCTACGCACAGTTGCCTACGAAGTCACACCAATATTTCGAATATATTTTCAAATGCGTGTTGCCGATTTCGAAATCACAACACACTTAGGCTCTATGCCTCATTCAAATTTCTTAGTTTGTTAACTATTCATTACTCAGACTTTAATTAGGCGCATCTAACATTGAGCCTGCATCGGCCTCCGGGAGATCTGGCCCCCGGCACATTTCCCCGCAAACCGACTACTTTATATGATATGGAGGTCTAGCGTGTGGCTGAATCCAACCGATTGAGAAAACCGGTAGAAAGCTGCGGTTCTAATTTCGATCAAGAAATGTCTTTGACTAGGGCCTGGGTTCTCCGCACTGCTCGGGGATATCCATCCCGGTGCGGAACAAAAGACTTTCCAAAGTTCGACGTTCCTGCAGGATATGGACCTCGGGGCAGTCGGTAGATCTGACAAACCAGTTCAGAGAAGCCTTGCCTCAACCCAGTGTAGATTATTGTAGTACCCTCCTTTTGAAACAAACGGGGTTGCGTCTTCAATAACAACCTCCTACCCGACTAGGCTGATTGCCATGCCCTACTTCGAAAATTCAGATACCCCCAGTGGAATCTAGGATGGGAATCCATCTAAGGTTACCCCTATGACTTAGGGTTTTAGTATGCTGTAGGTCTATGAAATTATATGAATTCAATAACTATTCGCTCTGAGAACAACATCAGGTGGATCTCCATAAATATCTGTCAGAAGATAGATCTCCAGTAAGTGCTAGTAATGTCGGGTTTCGATTGTAAGACAATTATTACAAAGTCTTGGAACTTGCGGTATTTGCCAAATATCCTTATATTCGCTTATGCCTTTCAAACGACTGATCCATGCCTAAGGTTTGAGTTCCTCGGGGTGTCGGTCCCGATTGTGGTAGTTAGTGCCTTGGCCAATCTTTAGGCCCTCCATGAACTAACAGGGCTCTGATGATACTCTCACGGATCACCACTTCCTATGAATTGTGGGGATGGGACAGGGTTTTCCTATCCGCTTGCCCCGCGTACTACCTCATGAAGACTGCGGAGAGCGCATGGCATTCTATCTCGACGTCGGGATAAAGGCGGCCGAAAGCTACACCGGCCTTGCGGTTCCTAAAGTTGGCACCTCCCTAGTAGATGGCCGGATAAGTAAAAGCTCAGAACATTATGTATTCCAGGCTTGCTCTCCGTAGGCAGGACTAGGTACTCAGCATTTCTTCCCGTCTGGAAATCAAATATTCCAGTTGATGAGAACTAACTATCTAGACCGCTCATATGCTTGTCAAATATGTCTGTGATACTGTGAACTTTCCCATTAGCCATATTTTAAAAGATTGGGAATTTCGCTGTTCAAAATTTTATTTCTCTTGTATCAGTCTTACTCTTTTGAACGGATTTCTGATTAAAAAAAAAGCAGATGCAAATTCCCGATTAAGCTATTAATGTAGCATTGTCCTTTGCTAGGAAGCCCCACAGCTTCAGTGCGGGGGCAGGATACCACGTGATTTGGAGATTTGGCGGGCCTCGGAGGAACAGCGACATGTCTCTTTGCGCACCGAACAGGCTCTGATATTGGTGTCTAGCGAGAGTCGAGAAAGTTTTCGTTTATGTTGAAAAAATAGTCCCGTTTTTTACGCCATAGTTCGACACAATGGTGAAACTAGAGACGTTCGCAGTCGAGCAGGTAATCTCCCCGCATTTGCGCACGATTCAGTCGTTTGTGGGCTGCGTGTGATGGACCGAGACTATACAATGACGCTAACAAGATTATAGTGGATGGACAAGTATGAGACGACTGCCAAATACAATACCGCCGAGACCTGCTGCGCATCCATTTCCATTGACGACCTCCGCGAGCTCTCCGAGGACAAGGACGTCAACCCATTGACCGCACTGCAGTCGACTAAGCTCACATACGGAGCCATCCGAGGCTCTGATAAGCTGCGGGGGACACTTAGCAACCTCTACTCGGTGAAAACTCCAGGTTTGGTCCCAAAGGACAATATTTTGATCACGGGAGGTGCCATTCAGGCCAATTTCTTGTTGCTGTATACTCTCGTTGGGCCTGGTGACCATGTTATCTGCCACTACCCTACATACCAGCAGCTTTACTCGGTCCCTGAATCGCTGGGGGCTGAAGTTAGCTTGTGGAAGTCTAAGGAGGCTAATGACTGGCAACTGGATATCGAGGAGCTAAAGAGCCTCATTCGCCCGAACACCAAGTTGATCATCATCAAGTACGTTGGAATTCCCGTTTGAATGACTAGGGATTGTTTGAATACTAACCATATATTAACTTATAATAGCAACCCTCAGAACCCGACAGGTGCCATTATCCCCCGCGACACGCTCCAGAGTCTCGTTGAAATTGCCCGCGAGTCTTCGATTACCCTCTTCGCCGATGAGGTTTACCGTCCTCTTTTCCACAACATCAGCCCCATGGACTCCCAATTCCCCCCATCTCTTCTTTCCTTCGGCTACGAACACAGCGTGGTGACTGGGTCGGTTTCCAAAGCATACAGTCTAGCCGGTCTTCGAGTGGGTTGGATTGCATCTCTCAGTGAAACCATCATCGAAGCTTGTGCCAACTCTCGCGATTACACTACTATCTCTGTCGGTCAAATCGATGACGCAGTTGCTAGCTTTGCGCTTGCCCCGGAGTGCATCCATAACCTCTTGAAGCGCAATATCGAGCTGGCACGGACGAATCTCGCAATTCTGGAGAAGTTCATTGAATCTCATCGCTGGGCGTGTGACTGGATCAAGCCCCGCGCGGGTACCACGGCATTTGTCCGTTTCAATAAGATGGGCAAGCCAGTGAATGATGTCGTTTTCTGTGAGATGCTTCAAGAGGGGAAGGGCGTGATGTTTGTGCCGGGTAGCCTTTGTTTCGGAGGAGGCGAGGACTTCAAGGGATATGTTCGCGTAGGATATGCCTGCGAGACCGAAGTATTGGAGAAGGGTCTCGAGGCACTCCGGGAATTCATGGAAGATGATTATGATGAAGTCCCTGCATTGAAGAAGGCTAAGGCAGCCCAATAGACACAGATAAGATGCATTTAAAACAAAAGTGAACAATATACATTGTCTAAATTTTCAAGCTAAATGCCAGACGTTTAAAACTGCAGATAAGGGGCATGATTGGAACCTCGAAGTATTACTAAATCCAAGGATAGGATAGGATTGTCGATTGTCGATAGAGTTATTTAGACTCGCCTTCCAAGATTTACTGGAAGAATAACAATGTCGTTAAAGTCTCTCCTCTACAATTATATTCTAACCCCACTCCGAAGTGCATACCCGGGGTGGAATCTGGAGAATAGGCCGCTGGCCAAGAAGCTAAAAGCCTTATTGGGGGCGATCGCCGTTGGCTAGGCTTACGTTCAGACCCTCCGACGCACCTCGCGAGCCTAACCACGTGGGGTAAAAAGAACGACCGAGTCGTTGGCTAAGTATCTCATGCGTGTAGCTCATTAATATTATTCTGACCTGGAAATGAGCCGAGCCGGTGGCCATGTGAAGGTGATGCAAGATTTGGTTTACTCCGAGATGCCGCAGGTTGAAATGTTAGGATGTAGAGGCAGTGGAATGCAATCTGTACAAAATTGAAATAGAATAATGTATTAGCTAACATATATTAATTAACACACTACAAATAGAAAGACAGATTAATACCCACTGATAGAGTACGCGAGCAACTAAAGGCTGAGTGGGGTGATAGGTGGTGACGCGGTGTAGCCACCGCGCCGAATGCATTCAACGCATAAACGGGACTTGCGATCAGCGCCGTGCCGAGGCAACTCTGTACCCTTCATCTAACGCAATCCTGGCTCTCCCCCTTTTGCCATTTATTTCCCCAGCCTCGAGCTCTTATACTAGCTTCATTGAATCAAAGCCTTCTCCTCCACAGTCTCTATACATTCTGGGCTACATCCGCATTGACGTAGCTACTCTGGCCCGATCGCGTTTAGCCACGATAAGACCAGTCGAACGATTGCGCCTTTGGTGTCAATTGCCCTCTCTAGCAATACCCTTGGTTTTTGCCGTCGACATTCAAGATGTCTTCTTGGCCAGGTAAGGCATTCTGTATATATGCTACTTGAGTGAGCTGTGCTGATAGCTTCCCTCATGGTGAAGACATTCCCCTACGCTATGCTCTCCCGGCCGCCGCAGCCACGGCGGCATATCTCAACGCACGATGGTCCCTCTCCTACGATCTCGGTCTTATCAAGTCTCTCCTAAAGATGACCCTCAAATCACGCCATGCCGAACGAGGTGACAAACTGAACCTCTTCTATGCCCTCGAGAACGCTGCACTTTCTCCCGCGACCGCCGACCAGGAATTCATTGTATACGACGGCAAGGCGTGGACATTCCATGAAACATATCTCATGGCCCTTCGCTACGGTGCCTGGTTCAAGAAGGTCCAGGGGGTTCGTCGGAAAGATATTGTAGCAATGGACTTTATGAATTCCTCGACTTTCCTGTTCATGGTCCTTGGCCTCTGGAGCATTGGCGCGGTCCCCGCTTTCATCAACTATAACTTGGCTGGCAAGCCACTTACCCACTCCGTGCGGACCTCCACCGCGAAACTTCTGATCGTGGACGAGGAAGTTCGCAACTGCTTCCCTCCGGAACAATTGGAGACCTTTGCGTCTCCGAGTTTCCGCGATGGAAAAGGTCCCGTGAAGGTGGTCTTCTTCACTCCCGATGTCGAGTCTCAAATTTTGGATATGGAGCCTTCTCGCGAAGATGACAAGTTGCGCGGTGGTTTGATTCCACGCGATATGGCGATCTTGATTTACACCAGTGGTACTACGGGTCTGCCCAAACCCGCTATCGTCAGTTGGAAGAAGTGCTGGTCCGGTAGCTTATTCGTCGGCGACTGGATGCGCATCGGCTCTTCAGATCGTTTCTTCACCTGCATGCCACTGTATCACTCTTCTGCCGCGGTTTTGGGTTTCGTAACGTGTTTGATGAACGGGTCAACGATCATTATTGGACGCAAGTTCTCTGCTCGCAACTTCATGAAGGAGGCTCGCGAAACCAATGCAACCGTTATCCAGTATGTGGGCGAGACACTGCGTTACATCTTGGGTGTGCCTCCCGAGGTCGATGCCGTTACGGGCGAGGATTTGGACAAGAAGCATAATATTCGACTCGCCTTTGGCAACGGCCTGCGTCCGGATATCTGGAACCGCTTCAAGGATCGCTTCAATATTCCTACGATTGCCGAATTCTACGCTGCTACCGAAGGTACCTCTGGTCAATGGAACATTTCGTCTAATGACTTCTCCGCCGGTGCTATCGGTCGCAATGGTGCTCTGGGAAACATCATTCTTGGTCGTGGCTCGGCCATTGTGGACGTGGACCACGAGACTCAGGAGCCGTGGCGTGACCCCAAGACTGGTTTGTGCAAGAAGGTTCCTCGCGGTGACCCGGGCGAGCTTCTCTTTGCTATTGATCCTGCGGATCCCAGCGCTACTTTCCAGGGTTACTTCCAAAATTCCAAGGCGACCGAGGGTAAGATCATTCGCGACGTGCTGAAGAAGGGCGACGCCTTCTTCCGCACGGGCGATATGGTTCGATGGGATACAGACGGCCGCTGGTTCTTCTCCGATCGCATTGGCGATACTTACCGCTGGAAGAGCGAGAACGTGTCTACCAACGAGGTTTCCGAGGTACTCGGTGTCCATCCGGACGTGCATGAAGCCAACGTTTACGGCGTGGCCCTTCCCAACCACGACGGTCGTGCTGGATGCGCTGCTATCGTGTTCAACCAGCAGATCGCCATCGGAAACACATCAGGTCCGGCTTTGGAGCCCTCATCTGCGACGCTTCACAGCTTGGCAGTTCACACCCTGAAGAATCTGCCGCGATTCGCTGCGCCTCTCTTCATCCGCGTGATGCCCGAGATGGTGTCCACTGGAAACAACAAGCAGCAGAAGCATGTACTGCGCACGGAGGGAGTCGATGTGTCACAGGTCTCTCAAAACGACCGCCTGTACTGGCTACAGGGTGATACTTATGTTCCCTTTGCGCAGAAGGACTGGGATCGTTTGAACGGTGGTCAGGTTCGTCTGTAAGCGGATGAACCTGCGATATATGGCTCATTTGTCCTGTCTTCCGTACCTTCGACCTCCTGCTTTAAGAAGCGCCGTGTGATTCGCCTACTACCTTAACCCCCAGATACCCACCACTGTCTTTGAATCACGATTCTAGTCTACTATATCTACTGTGTGAATTCCAGCTTAACCTCGATTCAAACCATGCCATATATACCAAATTCCTCCTATATACGTAAAGTGCTAGGAATCCTACGCCTAGCCATAATGCTGAGCTATATGGATAGCAACAATAATCAACTCTACAATAGTTTATATTTATCCATTCATCCTTATTAACTACTCGGGCGCTGCTTCCACTCCTTCGAGTAAGCTTCCATGAAAGGGACGGCCCCCACTTGGACAGGCCGGAGATAAAGAAAGCGGAGTCCGACCTCCCACCTTAATCCCTCCACTTTCTGTTCGCGACCTCCTCTCCCATCGGATTTCTTGAAGCACACCCCCACCGGATCGAGGTGGCCCTGAATGCGCGACTATCATTCTACCCCAACTCGGTTTTCTTAGGTGTGCGCTTATACCATTTCCCGCCCATGTCCGACCTTCCTGTCAATTCGCTGGACCCGCTTGGCGCGGATCTCTCAACCCCAGCGCCTAAGAAGAGAACGAGGGTCCAGTTCTCGTGCACAGCATGTAGATTTCGAAAGTACGCTAGGCTTTTTATATCATCCTTTGATCGCTTGGCATGAACAGCCAACCCTCCCATTCCGTTCTGTTTTGCAAGCCTAAAGACTAACCACCTGCAGATTAAAATGCGATCGCTCATACCCTTGCACCAACTGCAAGAAGCGTGGGGAGGCTGGCACGTGTACATATGTCGGCCGTGGTCCTCGAGGGAAAGCCCAGCATGGGCGCTCGAGCCCTACCCTGGTGCAGGATCGTCTTCAGCATTTGGAGAATCTGGTCATGTCTTTGTCTCAGAAGAAGAGGCCTAGCGAGTCGGTGATTGATTTCAATACGGGCTCGTCTGATGCAACCGCATATGACACGCCGCCTTCAGTGGGCGATCGCGAGACAAAGTCTTCTCCCACTGATACGGGCACGCTGGTCGTAAAAGACGAAGGAATCAGTTACATTGACAGTGCTGACTGGCGTGCGGTTCTGGAAGAGGTCTGTATTGACTATATCGGTCTATTGTATAGCAAGATATCAGGGCTAATCTTGGTTCAATCCTCTAGATCAACGGTGTGAAAGAGTATATTGCCGAACATGAGAACTCAGACGAGGAAGACTTTGAAGATGTACTTGGCGAGGGTCCATCTCCAGCTTTGCTGTTGGGAATGTCCAGGCCAGTCACCAAGGAGGAAGTACTCGTCGACATTCCCCCACGACCAATAGCTGATCGTTTGGTGTCCCGCTTCCTCAAGACAACGGAGCCAGCATTGGGTAGGCTGATCGTAACGCTTTACAAGTGACAGTGTTCTAACACTCAGCCAGTTGCCATTCACATCCCGACATTCCAAAGAGAGTACGACCAGTTTTGGAACAACCCATATAGCATGTCATTTACTTGGATTGCTCTTCTTTACGATATTCTGGCCTTATCGGTATCCTGGTATCGCCGATGCGAGCAAGCTCTGCCATCTGACATGCTGGACCCGACGATTGCTTGGGACATCTTCCGCAAAAGAGCGGCGCAGTGTCTCGTGCAAGCAAATTATCTCACACCGGGCCGTTACAAGTGCGAGGCACTATTTACGTACGCAATATGTGAGTTTTATCGGAGCCAGGACGCCCAGGTCGGGGTTAATTGGCTCCTCACCATGACCATTCGCCTAGCTATGCGCATGGGCTACCACCGTGATGCGAGACATTATCCTAATCTCTCTGCATTGGATGGTGAGATGCGTCGTCGTCTCTGGTCTTTACTGTGTCAGCTTGATATTCTGATATCCTTCCAAGTTGGACTGCCGCGGACCATTCAACCTTGGCAGTTTGACACGGAATTACCCTCTAATCTGCACGACACGGAGTTTGATGAAAATACAATTCAATTACCCCAGGGACGAAGTGATGAAGGGGAGGTAACAGCCTGCACATACTCCAGAGCCAAGTCACGCATCATGACTGTTTTTGGTCAAGCTGTAGACCTGGCCTATTCACGAGAAACAGCGCTTTATGACGAGATCCTTGCGATTGACCGTCGCCTAGAGGAAGCACACAACTTGCTACCCACCACATTCCGCATCCAGCCCATCGCCCAATGTATCGCGTTACCGACCAGCCTGATCATGCGACGATACTCGTTGGAACTGCTCTACCAGAAGTCGCGCGTGGTGCTGCACCGCCGTTACATGGCTGAGCCAGGAAACAAATATGCCTATTCGCGATCTGTTTGCCTTACTGCTGCTACGGAGACACTACGGCATCATTCTGATATCTGGAACGAGTCCTTACCAGGTGGCCAGCTGTACGCGGAGCGCTTCTTTGTCAACTCATTCCAAAACACCGACTTTGTACTTTCCGCTATGATTCTCTGCTTGGAGTTGTCTCAGGATAATGAACGAGGCAGTGCTTCTCGCTTGGGAGCGCAGGAGCGCACGGATCTGATCTCACTTCTGGAGACCACGCATCGAATTTTCAAGGAAGCACGACGTCGATCTGTGGACACTCAGCGGGCGTTTGCCGCTTTGACTATCATGCTCAGCCAGGTACATGGCACGAGTGTTGACAGTTTGGTAGCGGAGACCGAGGAGCAGAAGATCCCAATGGAAGGTAGGATTTCCTAATATGATTGGATGGTAACGAGACTGACGACGAGTGCAGACCAAGTGACATTCCAACTGGCCTCGACCACGATGGATCAGGAGCCATACCCAATACATACCACGGCAAGCGCCGATGACATGCAAGCTGCAATGTACAATACCGACTCGACACCCTCATACTCACCCCTCGACGTGATTGGAGATATGCTGAGCACGCCAGCTCAAATTGATTGGGTAAGATAATAATTCCCCTCGCAGACTACTCGTGCTATGAATAGAACTAACTCTGGAGTATTTAGCGTCTGTACGACAGTCGTGTATCTGGGTATGCTGCAGCGAACAATCAGGATAATTCTTGGTTCCTGGAAGCCCAAGGGTTGCCATCAGATATGGATTTCATGGCATATCCTCATGGTGACTTCTCGACGCATATAAATAGCTAAATCCTGTTGGTCGAGTGGAAAATCTATGCTTATTAGAGAGATGAACTTTCTGAAGTCATGATGAATGAAAAGAATTCAATTCTTAAAATACCTCTACTTTGTAAACCTTAGTTCATTTGCACTGGTTTGTTGTTATACTTTTGCTGTGCCTGATATAGTTCGTCCTCAGGAACGAGATCCAATGGGGCCTCGGCCGGGCCGATCACCGCGGACTTGCGGGCCTTTTTTCGCGGAACTACTCTCTTCACCTCGAACTCCAACCACAGCACACTCGTTCCTGCTCGTACGCTTCACCTCAACTATGCGACCAGCCTGCCACCCGCGACTATCATGTCGCAATCTCCTCTCTTCAACTCGGGTGCAATCTCTGCCCTCACGCTCATTACCCCGAAGCCTTAGCACAGCAACACGGCCACACACCCGTATACAACCAAAAGCCTCAAACCCTCTCTACACAACCAAACGATCCTTCGGCCTCCCATCACTCTCCTCCTTCCTCCCCTCCTCACCAAACGGCAACAACAGCTCTCCCAAGCGCGTCCTAACAGCAACCCGCACACTCCCCTACTCACCCGCCCTCCTCTTCAAAGTGATCTCCTCCGTCGAATCCTACTCCCAATTCCTCCCCTTCCTCAACGAATCCACCGTGACAGCCCGCGATCCGGAAACGGGGTATCCCACACAAGCCTATCTTACCGTTGGCTACGGACCTCTCAGCGAGACGTTTACTTCGCGCGTGGACTGTGATCCGGTCAATTGGATCGTTGAGGCGCGGAGCGGAGCGAAATATGGGAAACCGGATGGCAGCAGCAGCAGTGCCGGCGGCGCGTCGTCTGGATTGAGTGGGTTCTTCCCTGGTGCTTCGGAGGGCATCTTTGAGTATCTCTCTACTAAGTGGGAACTTGTGCCTGCGGCTCCTGTTGAGGCACAGGGTGGACCGCAGACCAAGGTTAATCTGGAGGTGCGGTTTGAGTTTCGCAATCAGTTGCATGCGACTGTTATGGGGGCTGTGGAGGGGCAGATGGCTAGTATTATGATTGAGGCTTTTGAGAAGCGCATTCGGGAGAGTCATACTCGGGGACAATAGAGGTCAGGGCTAGGATAGACTTGGTTGCCCTGGGGGTATAGATTTTGTATATTATTGGTGGTTTGGATGGCTGATATAGATGCATGTACAATATAGAGACTATCTACTATAGAAGAACACGGTTCATGATTGTAGAGTTCAATTCTATATCAAACAATATCTGCTGTACAGCCTCCAAGACCGGAAGAGTCAAGTCAAAACGAAGAAAAAGAAAATGTGATAGTATATATAGTACAGATTATCCAAACAAAAAAGGCTTTTCCCGCTTAAAGCATGCTCAGACTCCGGTCCCGGTTAGCCGTGCTCCGCGCGCCCTTGACGGAGCTAATAGCATTGTAGTTGTCAAACACAACGTCCCAGTTAATCCGATCCCACCACCGCTCCAGGTACTCCTCCTTGCCGGCAATACCGTAGTCCATCATCCACGCGTGCTCCCAGGTGTTGACACACAGAATGGGCTGCACGTCAATGGCGCCGGGGGCAAGGCTCTTCTGGTTCTGGGCGTGAGCGCCCATTGAGCCGGCGAATTGGTTGCCGAGGGGTGCGTCGGGAGAGTGTGTGGCCATGTCGACGGGCTGGCGACGGGAGTGGGCGGCCGGGTAGGGGGAACCGGCGTTGTAGGTGCAGAAGATTTGCATCAGGCCCTCGCGCTCGAGGTTCTTGGCGAGCCAGACGAAACCGGGGCCGAACATGGCGTTGGCGGTGGCGAGGAAGTCCATCTTCAGGGACTCGACGGAGGAGCAGGTGTCGACGATGTCCTTGGCGAACTTTTCGGGGATCTTGGTGGTGGTGGGGGACTGCAAAGTAGCGTATTAGTAAAGAAGATTATATCTATCAGCTCATGTCAAGACAGGTACTGACCAGGCAGTTGAAGAAGAAGTGGTTGTTGTGAGCCATGGAGGCATAGTTGAAGACCGAGGCCATCTCCGGGCGCTTGGAGTACTTGACCAGCAATTCTCCGGGCTTAGCATCCGCATCGACGGTGTCTGTTAGAAACCAATCAGTACATAGTCCTCATTTCTGTGTGATAGCCAAATGGCATCTTTGCGGAATCAAAGACAATTCGGCCGGGCGAGTCGGGTCTGACCTTGCGTCAACAGGTTAAGCTTGTCCACGAGTAGAGTCTGATACTGGGTCCAGGAGAAGTCAAAGGCCTCCGGAGACATAAACTCCGGAACACCATTCTCCTTGTAATAGGCGTCATGCTGCAATTGAGGGATGCGGTGCAGGGCACGGGTCTGGGAGCGCAGGGCGGAGGTAGGTGTCTGGGATGGGAAGACAACACGATCAGTCTCTGCGGAGCAGGCAATGGGGCCACTGAGAATCTCAGAAACCAGAGGCATACCTGGAATGACGCCGCGCGCAGAGCGCCCGGCCTAACGAGTCGGCTGAACATGATATGGGCGTTGTGAAGTGACTTGGCGTGGATTGGAGCTTCCGCGAAATCGAAGAATTTCCACTCCCGACGCATTTCCCAATCGGGGATAGCCCTGCTGACATAACCCAACCAATCAGCGGCTCTCCAAGTACTTCGACCCTTCTTGACTCTCGCTTTCTCTAAGCGCCCATCATCGGTCGATCTGCTCTTCTCATCCTGTGACCCTGACCAGGTTGGCTGATTCTGCAACGGGCAATTTGGTTTAGCGCCCGCTAGATTGCATATTTAGATCATGCAGCTCATGCTGAAACTCGCCGGTGGTCCCTCATTGGGACCCCGGGCGCGTGCCATGAATAGAAGCATACAAAGAAGGCTTCCTGAATGAATGGCTTTGCCACTCTTTATTATTGCCTGACTGCCTAATATTAGCTCCTATATGTTTCAGCCTATTGCTGACCATCTCTGCCTATTGGCATTTACCTCTTATTCTTTCGTCTGACTTCTCCTTCTCGACATCTCCCTAATCCCTCTCTGCTTCGTTTCGGCTTTGGCTAGGATAACTTCCTTTCTACAACTTCTGCGACACCAGAGCTCCTCAAGGCTATTCTAACGCTTCAGAAATATTGACTACTACGTTCAAAACCGCCAATATGGCGAGATCGTCCGTGCCCGTTATCGCCAAACGGTCTACTGTCCTCCTGCTCTTGAGCTTGATGGCCAAAATTCAACCAAGTTATGCCTCTGCATTTGATCATTTGAACCTGCTTTCTAGAAGCTCAGGATCCTGTCCCAGCTCTTACGACTCCTGTGGTAGTAGTCTACCAGACGACTTCTGCTGTCCTTCTACCTCAACCTGCATCAGCCTCGACAACGCCAGCTCTGCCATCTGCTGTCCATCCGGAGCTAGCTGTGACTATATCTCGCCAATCGTCTGCGATGTACAAGAGCAGAATGCAACTGCACACCCCAAGAATTCAGTCAAGACCACCAAGCTCGATTCCTCCCTTCCCACATGCGGAAGCGCTTGCTGCCCCTTCGGGTATACATGCCAAGGGAACAGCACCTGTGCCTTGAACACGAAGACTTCAAGCACAGTAACTTCTTCAAACTCCACATCAACATCTACCTCTACCACAGCAGACACAACCGGCGCTACATTCACACCAGTAGCCTCACCTTCCTCAACCTCCGAGGCCAAGTCCACCTCAACCGTCTCATCAACATGTCCCTCCTTCCCCACCAAAGCCGTGCTAGCAGGATTCTTCCCCGGCGCAATCTTCGGCGCCATCCTCGCCATCCTAATAACAATCTGTATCCGCCGCCGAACCCAAAAGAAAACCCTACACAACGATCCCAAAACAGGCCACCACTGGTCCCAACGCTCCTCCTCCGGCGCAGTAATGGGAATCTCCGGCCCCATCGCCAGCGAAGACAACTCCTACCGAACAGACTTCCTCCTCCGCTCCTCCGCCGAGCGACGCTCCTCAATGGGTGGCCGATCAATGCTATCTCGCACCGGGTCAAGAGTCAGAAGTCTTTTCTCCGGCCAACAAAGACCGAACAAGGACGTTCCCCCCGTCCCGGAGGTGCAGGTTCAATATCCCGTCACGCCACCGCGCCAGCGTCAGCCGAGCACTGAGAGTATCAAGGTGTACTCGCCGCCCGGCGCGTTCTCGCAGTCGAGGAAGTTTTTGGGGCCTGAGCCGTATCCGGGGACTATTTCGAGGCCGGATACCACGTTTACGGATTTGGTGCAGGCGGTTGGGTTTAATGATTCCAAGGGAAATCCTTCGTACAAACTTACCGAGTTGCAGGGGAAGGAGTTGAAGCTGTGATTGCTTCGTCGTCCTGGTGATACTTTTTTCTTTATTTTTTGACTATCAGCGTTTGACTATGTCTACTCTCTTTCAGCATTTGTCTGGTGTATACTTGCATTATTTGGGTTGATATCGTCTCATTCGTTTAAGATACCTGGCTCTGGCTTTGTGCCACGCATTTTTTTTCTTTGATCTTTCTGGTGGATGATTTAATAAGGGCTGATTCGCAGTGGAGAAATTCATATCGAGTAGAAGACTTCAAAATGCAAAATGATTATCAATTCTCAAACGTTTATATGGATAACTCCTAGAATACAAAGAAATAACCGGAATTGACGGGGTTATGCTGTGGATCGCCTTCGTGCTTTCCACCCTGCCACAAGGCGTTTCAATTCCTTCATCAGGCTAACCAGCAATGGGACCCCAATAGGGCCCAACAAAGGTAGATAGACGGCAACCTTGTGCTCATCCGGGAAGTATACCTGGCCAACCATACTCTTCTCGAAGAAGCTGCGCTCAGCTTCGGTCTCTGCGATCCGAGCACTGGTGAGAGCAGCACCGAAACGGCCTTCGCGGAGATGAGAGCAGGTGGAAGAGAGTTGGGCAAGGGTCGTAGAGACGGAAGATGCCACGGTAGCTGGGATGGGGATAGCTGCCAGAGATTCGGTGAGGCGGGCTAGAGAACCCATGGTAGATGAAGCAGATAGGAGGAGAGTTGCGGCACGAACGCGAATAAGTGATTGAAGGCGCAGCGGGAGAGAAGCCGGGGTAGTAGGGGTGCCAAGGAGGGTCAATAGCTGATGGGAAAAGGTCATGAATGCTGGCCGCAATGACTCTTGTGTGATATGGCCTGGGTTGGTTTGGCTACCACTTTGCCCTGCCTGTTCAAGAGGCGGATTAAGAAGGAAAACGCCGCCCCATTGCGGGACAATCCAACTGGACGCACGGTTTTCCTTGACGACCATCGGGGATTGGGAAGGATCCGGGACATAGAGAATGAAGTTCAAAGTAGGACCGTTGCCAATGCTAGGGTTGAGTGGCCATTCAGCGGCATTGATAAAGGCGCTAAGATCTTCCTTCTTCAAGGTCCATGCTGACTCGGTCTCATCATATACCGGTGGCGGAGCCATGGGCGAAAAGGTTGCATAGAGCTGAACCTGAGTGTCGATGGTGAAGTTGCTAATAGGACCGAATGCGTGGAGGAGGGGAGACAGGTACTCCTGTACCGCGGCTTCAATGTCCCATGAGGATGGGGCAGAGCCGGGCGTAAACAAGGAAAATGAAAGGTGGTATGTATCAGCGTACTTCATTGACCGGCGCAATCGTCGACTGATGCTCTCCGAGTCACGACCGGCCGCGCCGCCAGAAAGAATGTAGGCAATAGTAGCCTTTTCTTCGCTGTATAAGCGCTGCAGCTCCTCTGCGATGAAGACTGAGAGCGGTGGATTTGAAGATGAGGGAATGGGCACCTGACTCGGTGGGTAGAAGATGTCGAGCTGGGTTGTGTCTGCGCGTAGTTCAGACCTGGGGGTAGCCAGACCCTCTTGGGCCACCACACGAACGGTCAATGCAGTGTCCGGGGCATCGTCCATCATGCTTCCAGTAATGGGAGTGTTATCAATGCCTTGCGCAGTAGAAGTCTCGGTGTCGTTTGTCAACTTGAGCCGAAGGTGGTGGGCGGCGAATTCATTGAGATCGTCGAGGGCATGCTGAGTCGTCCGAACGAGATGTTGCGACTCGGGAAGTTGCATAGTTGGCGCTGCAACGTGAATTTCAAGCGGGAAAACCGGGCGACATGTCTGTAATGATCATGATCAGCAATGAAGCTCACGAGAAGGCGCGTTCTCCTTCCGCGAGAGCAGAGACCTACCTTGCCATCGGCCCAATCGGCCATCTCTTGAATTGGCAAATGCGCCCGGTAGATGGAAGTAGTCTTCCACCATATTGGGAATCCCAGGAATATAATCACGGCCCAAAAGGCAGCAATGACTCGGAATCGCGTTTGGATAGCTTCCGGGGTCTCGGGGGGTGGGACGCGCTGAGCGCTGGGTTTGGGATCAGCTTTCAATGTGGACGAGGTCTGGGGAGACCCATGGTCTCCATTTTTGCTCGTCATGATTGGGACATGCTTTGTGCCCTGGAGACCGCCAGAGCCAGGGTGTTTACTCAAGTTGCTGGCGCGGAGTTGGGGAGGGCTGAGGGCGGAGAAGGGGGGAACAGGTGGCACCGCCGAGCTCCGCTCTGAAGTATACGGCGAGATGCTACCCTGACGGATGGAATTGATGCGCAATGATGTATATTTCTTGATCATTAAAATACGATATCAATCTTACAAGGATATTTGCCAATTCTATGACATTTACACTCTTAAAACTACGATTCAGCGCATTCAGAGACTGTTCGTAGTCTCCCCATTAGCCTGGCAGGTTACGAAATCACCTCTCAATCTCGAAAGACGAGGATTTGAGAAATATACGAAGAGTATATGCAAAGCTTCCCATTAAATCCAGTAGGGTATCTATTATGTCCAATATAACGCCAGCCCAATGTAGTCGCCAAAAGGTGTAGAAGCCTTTTGATCTCGCAGCATGTCCAAGCACAGTATTCCCCTCAGTATTCCTTTTCGAAGATCTTTTGAATTGGTTTGGCCGCCTAAAGTCGTAGGAATCAATTAGTAAAAATTCATGTCGGTCATCAACGGGCAGACAAGTAAGGAGAAAGGCACGCACATCGATGAACTTCTCTAAATCCTGATCCAGATTAGCCAAATCATCCTTGCGTTTCTTATTTTCTGCGATCAACGCTTGCTTGCGCTTCAGGAGCTCTTGACGAGCCTGCTCGAGTTTCTCCCGTTCGGCATGTTCGTGGTTGATACGCGCGATCATGAGGTCGTGTTCATTGGATTCGCGATGCTCGGGGAACAGTTCCAGAAATTCATCCACGGGGATCAGAGGCAGCGAAAGATATTTGTGGCTGTCACACAAAAGAAATTCATTAGTGAGGCCCAAGAGTTGCCATGCAAGGTACTTCAAAATTCCACTCACTCATAAGACTCGCAGGCAGCGATCTCGCCTGTAAGGTGCTTCTGCTCGTAGTACAAGTTCTGCAGTTGTAGATGCAGTCGGTCGATCTCCTGGCGAGCCTCCGCAGTGGCATATTTTGTGTCACGGACGCGAAAGATGGCATCTCGGTTCTGGCCGCGGAGTTGAGCAAGTCGAGCAAAGAGAATCTTCTGCTGCTTGGACACGGCCAAGGACAGCTCTTTGAGACCCGCGGGATCGGACGGGCTGTTGTCGGGATTCAACAATGCGATCAGCTGCTGGCATTGAGCCAAAGTCTCTGCGCTGGTGCCGAGCACGGGCAGCAGCGACTCGTCAGAGACGATTTCACCGATAGCCATGACTTCAGAGGAGCAGGTGGCGAAAGGAAAGGGTGAGGATGGAAGGGGAGAAGATCGAAGGTTTGGAGCCGAAGTGGAGCCTGTAAAAGATGTGGACGGATCAATCAGGCGCGGCTCCCGCAGTCCGTTCGGTCCATGTGAATGCTGGGCGGCCGATGGTTGGGGGCAAGACCGTCAAGACTTCAGCCCGTTCTTCTTCTGGCCTTTTGCATCTTTAATCCCTCTTCCTTTTCCCAAACCCCCACTTTCTTCTTCCCCCCCCTCGATGTTGTGTACATAGCAGTCTGTTCTTCCTGGTTTCAACAGACTCGTCTTCCCCCGGTGGTGTTTGACTTCCTCCCTCGCCGCTCATTCTATCAGTTGCCGCATCCTCAACACTCAACACCCAACCCCCGGACTTGCCCGACCCACCGGCCTTGGAACACAAAATTAACGAAACTGGGGTTGTAACCAGCCTGCAATTGCACGGCTAAACCTCCGCTGTTCAACAATGCCCTGCTCGACGTCCTCAGTGACCATGCAGTCCTATGCAGAGGGCTTCTCGTCTTCCGCCGCAACTCCCGGCGAGGACACTGGTCTCTTACGAGACCGGCGACGTCGGCATTCTTATCACGCCCCGCGGAAGCTTTCCTGTGACTACCAGGACGCTGATACCGTCTTCATTCGAGTGAGCCTCACTCTCCAGAATTTTTCCGGCCGTCAGTTCCGTTCTAACCCGTACCCTAGGTCGAACTCTTCCTTGCCGAACTCGAGCGCCGAATGTCATGGATCGAACAATACCGGAAATCTCACATGGACCAAATCGATTCTAGTCTCCGACGCGGATATACTACCCTGGAAGCCGTGAGAGATCAGTGCTCACTCGCATCCGGTGAACTTATGGGAAGTGGCAAGAAACGGGCCAAGATCCTCGTGGAGACGCTGGAAGAGGGTTACAACGAGGCTCTGGCAACCAAGGAGACTCTTGAACAGAAAGCGCAAGCTGGACTGCGCCTGATGGAGTCTTTTCTGACTGAACTCGAGTCTCGGGCACACGCCATCCACGACCGTGGCATTTACGGCACCTTGGATGATGGCTGGAAGGCTATGGACTCCAAACTCGTCCACGCCCGAGAGGTGGTTGACGAGGGAATGGAGCGTGCTCGCCGAGCCCGTGATGCTCTCCGGGAGAACATCGACGAGGCCATCCGTCTTGCACAGGAGAAGCGCTTGATTACCTATGCCGATCTGCCGGACCCCTGGAGGGTAAACCCGCACATTCTGAATGGTTATCGTTTCACCACCTCCAAGGTGGAGTGTATCCATTCGGTCTTCTCGTTCTCAAACGAGTTTGTCAACATTTGGTCTCACATCATTGGGTTGATCGTCGTCCTTGCTATCGCTTTCTACTTCTACCCGCTCCACACCAATTTCCACCTGAGCACCAAGGCGGACATCATGATTGCCGCCGTGTTCTTCTTTGCTGCATGCAAGTGTCTGGTCTGCAGCACCATCTGGCACACCATGAACAGCATCGCCTCTCAATCTCTTATGGAGCGGTTCGCCTGTGTTGATTACACGGGCATTTCTTTGCTGGTGGCCGCGTCGATCGTGTCCACCGAGTATACTGCATTCTACTGCGAGCCTACCTCTCGCTGGACATACATTCTTCTTACCATGTGCCTCGGTATTGGTGGCATCATCCTCCCCTGGCACCCAACCTTCAACCGCCACGACATGGCTTGGGCCCGCGTGGCTTTCTACGTCACCCTTGCTCTCACTGGATTCGCCCCTCTTGCACAGCTCTCCTATACTCGTGGCTTCGAATGGTGCATGTACTTTTACGCCCCCGTTGTGAAGAGCATCATGGTCTACTTCGTCGGCGCTTGCGTGTATGCCTCCAAGGTCCCCGAGCGCTGGAAGCCTGGTCTTTTTGACTACTTTGGTGGTAGCCACAACATCTGGCATTTGGCCGTGTTGGGAGGCATTCTCTTCCACTATTGTGCTATGCAGGATCTCTTCACGAATGCTTTCCAGCGTGCCCAGGGCGAGTGCCCCAATTTGACGTCGTGAAGCTAGTGGCTCATCGCTACTACTTAGCATGACAGTTTTACGTCTGCCTTCGCTTTCTTATGATAAAACGAAGTTGAGAGAGTATGACCAGACTTTATCTCCTTCTCTTCCTTTTTAGAATTTTTCAAAATTTTCGGTCTTTCTATGTGACTATGTTCTTCTTCTGAGATCTCATAGACATTGTTCTTCTGTGTGCCAATTGGCTGTTTTTATCTGGAGCATGGATGGAGTTTTTGTTTCTTGGTGATTCATGTCGATTCTTTTTTTTCTCTTCTTGACAAGCTTTTCGTTTTCGAAGGCTTGTCGGTCCCGCTGGCATTGAGCTGATAACACTCATTTGCGGTTGGGGTTTGCATACATTTTTGCCTCTTTATTGTATCTAATTTCGTGTTGCATATGTTGCGCTTTTGATTTGGATCGTTGCTTTGATTGGGTTTATTCCAATACTGCCTTGCTAGAATTGCTAGAGCATGCACAAAATTTCAATCAAAATTCTAGCCTGCAGTCACTTTAATATCTGTCCTAAGAACTTGAGACGGGACATTCATCGAAACATTTCTAATCATGACTGGAATGCGTATTTATATTCGTAGCTCTATGAAAGAATCTATGCAAACGTTTCTATCATCGTCGTGCAGGCCGTCATGGCATGATTCGTAGAACCCATTAAGGCTAACTGGTCCCAGTCCACGATATCCCAATGGGAACAGTAATGGCATGGTCCAATATAGCCGGTTTAACCAAGCGAAGGAGGTTTTTGAACATCAGGGCAGCGTGAAAACCCTCGTCTGGTCGTTTGTTTCTTGCCCTAGAGTTAGACGGCTGGAATTGGGCATATCGATCCGACGCAAGCGGGACGTAGTGCCACGGGACAACAAAACATCCTGTCGCAGGAAATGGCATTATGCGAGAAAGGATAATATGGATGTTGACGCCTTGCCAAAGAAGTGTGCTGTCATACTGGAGACACCAGACGCCAAAGGTATGGGTTAGGCGAGAATTTATATTCACTCGCCGTTCTGAACACCGTTCTCGGTACTGGGCTCTGCTGTAGCGGTATCATCGCGCTTTTGGAAATTACCCTGCATCCAGCAGCGGTACATCTTCAACTTGGTCTGGCGGTTGACAATAAGCCGGCGGTCAACACCCATGTGCTTGATCTCGAATGGCGCAGCAGGCTCGGCAGCCACAGACTCGGCCTCGGTTTCGAGATCAATCTGCACGCCCTTCTCCGGGGTCCAGCGACTCCACATCTGTTGCAGCTCCTCCATATCAAAGAAGTAGACACGGGTACCGTCACCACGGATATAGAAGTTCTCCGACATGTACCGGCCCTTCTTGAAGCGCACCTGCGCGAGATCTCCACGGCCATAGTCACGGAACAGAACACGACCGCCCGGCTTCAGGACACGCCAGATATTGTGGAGTGCGCGATTCCACTGATCCGGGTTGAGGGCAGAGAAAATGAAGATGAGAACGACCACGTCCACAGAGCCCTCGCCCAGACCGGGGGGCAAGGAATCTTCGCTCTCGGTGGGCTCTGCAGCGACATCCCACACATCGGCGACCATGTATTTCGTATTGTACTCCTCACTCTCACGCATGACCTGAACCGCGTACTTTGAGAAATCGCACGCATGAACCTTCAAATGCTCATTCTCATTGTTCCTGATCAAGGGGAAGGCAGTATTTCCCGCACCAGCGCCAACTTCGAGGACAACCTTAGGCCCGGCCTCTTTCTGAGTGACATCAGCCAAGATAGGGAATTCCTGACGCAGCCACTTGCGATCCTTGAAGAAATTGGCCGTATTGTTCTTGTAGAAATTGTTCCACCACTTGGCGGGGTCATTGTTGAAGCGGGTTTGATCGAACTCGGAAACGGGTGCCGCACGCTGCTTTTCGTACTGGGTCTCGGCGAAAGCCTTGAACTCGTCGTCTGGCTCGACGTGATCCCAGGCGTTGAATTCGAAGACGTCGTCGCCTTGCTCGAGGTATCGGGATCCGAATTTGAAGGGGTCGGAACGCTTCATGTTGTTTGAGGGGTCGTGCGACCGGTGGGGAGCAATCTGCGCCGGTTGCGCATTGCGAACGGCTTCGTGGACTTCGTTGTCGTAAGCCATGGTGGTGGGATTTTTTTTCGACAATAGGAGTAATGAAGACCAACTGCGCGTGGCCAAAAATTAACTCAAAAAAAAAAAACTTCGAGATCGGCGGGGGTACCTGATTATGTCAGGCCTTATCGATACGGCCAGGTGGCGGGGAGTCTTATCTCTTATCGATAAGAATGTCGGGGTTGAAGTATCCCCCGGCGAATACTGTGGCCTGACTGTAGACCGATGATCTCGTCCAATTATGTGTTCATTGCTTGTCGTATTTTAGCTGACAGAGTTTGTATCAGGGAATGGACAAATGTCAAACATTAGAAAGACGGTGCCAAAGCTAACAGGCATGCACTTAGGACTGAAATGATATCAAAGCGCCCATAATTCATACCTAGCGCCAATAGAGAAACAAGCATCCTGTACGATAATACGAATACTGGTTTCCAAGTCAAGGAAGTAGCTCTGCCCTGTATAACTTCGAGTGGCCGAGTATAGTGGCCACGATGGTCCCCGCGTGATAGCGCCTCTAGTTGCACTTTATCGGATGGATTCCATTCCATGAGAGTTCGACATCGGCAAGCAAGTACGTAACCCGCAACTAAGAGTCTCCAATCCATAGGAGAAAGCCCACAAGTCTAAATGTGAATTGGCAAATGAATCGAGGCCGCTTCAACCAAGACCCACGGATGCAACTGATAAGTATGTTGCCTCAGGCGTGCGTGCTGACATCAGCGACCAATCACGGGCCCACAGAATCTGGATGCCTGCGCCCTGCGGCAGCCGTCCGCAGTCCAGTCCCCTCCATCTGTTCTCTTCCCCCCATCTTCCTTCTTTCTCATCTTGTTTCTGTGTTTTCAAAGTCTCCTACTTTGTGGACCATTCGCTGTCCATTTTCGTTACTCCTGCCCCAGGGTTATAACGACTTGAGTGGGGAGAGCATCCCCCACCCGTCACTTATCGTGCTGATCTGATCTCGATTGCGGCTCTAAGAACTCCGGGCGTTCGTCGGAGATGCAATAGGTTCTTTCGTCAAGGACCTTTCTTTCTTTGGATAATTTCCTAAGAAATTGTCGAGCTTGCCTTGTTTTACTGTTGTTTCTTTCATTCAAGGTCAATTCTTGAATTCTCAAACAGCTAGAACCCTATCCGCCCGCGCTCTACATTACTACCATGTCCTTCCTTGCCGGGCTCTGCGGGTGCTTCACCCGCAGCGATGTGTCGCCCGAACACTCGTCGAAGCCCGAGATGCAGACCACCACGTCTCAAACTCACACTCGAGGTGGTGTTCAAACGGGCAGTTTCATCCTCACTGACGAGGGCGAAATCATCCGCGCAGACGGTCCTCCAGGTGGGAGCCCCGGGCACGGGCCCCCACCCAGTGACTCGGACATTGGGGGCTATGCCAGCGTGGTCCCGCTTCCGCAATACACTCCACGCCCGATGAGCATTCACGAGAAGACTCTCGAGGCTCATTTGCGTGATCCACCAGTGTCTTCGGACTCCAGTTCTCTTTATCAAGATGAGAAACGCCGTCACATGTACGATGAAGACGTGACATCTGACAGCTCGTCGACCATCTCCTATCCGAGCAGCTATGGTAATACCTCGACTGCGACGAGAGAGACGCCGCCACCTCCATACTCGCCTCGACATTCGGTAATGTTGAGTCGATCCCGCGCTACCTCCATTTCTTCTGCGATGGCTGTTACCATCAATCCCCCGCCTATGGCACGGCTGAATGGTGCCCGTACGGGACCTCCTCCCTCCGATGCTGATGATCGATCGATTCGGCGTCACCGGAGAGCCTCCTGGGAGAGCCGTTAATAGAGTTCAACTCAACTTGGCTCTGATACATTTTATTTACCGTCATTTTCAGTGGATGTCTTCCATTGCCATACTTCCCTTTGAACATTGGCTTGTTGATCTACGATGATACTCGATCTGGAATCGAGTACTATGAGTTCTGTGAACTTGCTCCTGCTGCATTACTTTTCATTGCTGTTTTGTTTTTGTGTTTCATGCAATGCATATGACGCGATGACCTGGCGACACTTTTGGATTTATTTTATTTTGCATTGCAATGTTCGGATTGGATATCTTGGGATACTTAATAATCAGGGCGATTGGATATATGGACACATCGGATATACTTGTTATAGGGCGAGACGCAACTGAGTATTACAAACAGTGCGGACCACGCCATACAGAAAAATACAATTCAGAAACTTGAATCGATCTCCCGTAAACCTGACTTGATCAGAATTCTGAATCGCATGCCGCCTTAATTCACCTTTATAGACCTGCCTCTATTGACAACCCCAGCGGCATATCATCCAAAAGCTCAAGCGCAGTCCTCTCCTGCACATGCCGTAACAGAAACCCACAAGACTCAGCCGGAAACTCCAACAACTTCAGCACCAACGGATCCAGACTATCCTCCAACATCATACAAATAGCGGTACACTCGGAACGAGCCCGATTCTCCATCCACCACTCATCAACATGACAAATAAGCGCCAACCACCAAGCAAGCAGCACCAACGCCGGCGGATCCTTCGCCAACAAACAATCATAATACTCCGGCTCCAACCGGCCCATCCACATATTATACGTCTGCGAACTCTTCGGCGACATTTCCAGAATAAGCAACCACGTCAACATCCGCAACGGCCAGAGATACGGATTATTCTCCACGGTAGAGTCCTCGTTGATTCCGCATAGATCTGCGAAATCGGGATCTAAACCTACCCGTCCGGGCCGGTCATCTTCAAAGTCTATTTGCGGAGTCCGCGAGTCCATGAATGTAGAGTACCATATACTTTCTGACATCCAGGGTCGCGTGCGTTCGAGGAGGTAGCGTAGTCCTGATTGGAGGAGGAGCCAGTTTAGGGCCGTGGGGTCGTTGGAGAAGACGAAGGAGGTGCGTGGGTTGAATGTGTCTAGCATGAAGGAGTGGACTGTGAGGAGGATGCAGGTTGAGTAGAGTTTGTCCATGTTTTCCTTGTTTATGCCTGTGGATACTTCGGTCGAGTATTGGCGGATGGCTTGGGCCCAGTGGTGGGCTTCTGTTATTCGGTATTGGCTGTTATCTGGGATGACGCTGCACAGGTGGGTGGTTGCGGTACCGATGATGGCGTGCATTAGGAATGGTGTCTGGATATAGTACTTTAGATGGAATACTTTCATGGATATTGATTGTATGGGGGACTTACCTCGAAAGCAAGTTGAGTCATCTTTATTCTCATTGTATCCATTTTCGAGGGACTCTTCTGAGAAGAGTAATTCGCCACTGTGGTTAGATTAAAGTGCTGGAGAGCTTCTAAGAGACGACCCGTTGACTGCGAGCCTGGACGGGATTTAAGACCGGGCCCGGAAGCAGCTGAACTGAGTTGGAGCACTTCAATGAGTTTCTCTGCTACAAGTACCAGGGACATAGATGAAGATAGAGATTCTCGGGACATCAGATCCGGACATGTTATGAAGAATTGAGAAATCATATCATGCTGGGCTTTAGAGCGGACGAGTGGAGTCGTGTAATCGCAATCGAGTTTTTGTTTTTGACAACGTAGACATTGGGGTTTCGTTTCGTCACACTAAACCATGCGTATTAGCCTAGTTTTTCTTTCCAAACTTGGCATTATCGTACTAAGGAGTTCTGTCGATGTACTTACTTTAACCCTCCGCTGCTTGCAATTGCCACACCCACCACGAGACTTCCGATGGGACCGACGAGAATGATAGGCCCGCTCAGCCGGCTGTTCCGTAGACCCATGCGGTAGCGCTGTCTTTGATTTGTAGTTTGGGATCCGGAAGACAATCTTTTGCCCCTGCATAGGCGCAGGCGGGTCCTGGCGGCTCTCGGACTGGCGCATACTTGGACTTTTCGGGAAATCCGTTTCGCTTTCACAATTTTATAGCCCAGTATATCAAAGTGGTAAAGGGACGTTTTAAGGGAAGAGATAGAAAGGTCTGTCCTTCTCATAGGAACTGATATAAGTTACCCCACGCCAGGCAGACATATGGCGATGATACCTGATACTCGTGTTCTAGTCACAGCCTCCGCCCGACTGAGAAGTACTGGTGACGGTGAGGATAGGCAAGCCAATCAGAATGATAGGGGTCTGAAGGGTCTCGGCCCACTGATCTGATCATTAAATCGGCTATTCAATAGGGAAGAAATGAGAGGAGAGAATGATGCAGTCAATGAGATCGTCTTCGTTGGGTTACGGACGCGCTAATCCTAGATAGGCAGTTCTCGTATTCATCCTCATCGGGCAACTTGGCAGACCTTTCATTTGCTATCTATAGTACTGCATGGCTGGTAGTGTATAAGTACTCTGGGAGTGTAGCAAATAGTACATAGGCGGGACACGAGGAAATATGGCTGACTCTTCGCTTGTAAGCTAGTCATGGCGTGTAATAGCAAGATCGCCCGTTGAAAATGGCTGTATAGTTCATCATTCATTGTTCGGGGCAATTGACAGCCCTTGATGCATAACTCATACTTCATACATGATATGATTTTGGAAAAGAACATGGCGATCGACTTTCAAGTCTACACAGAGCTTTAACCCATCTTTGCGTTGGAGAAATCCATCTCTGCCATAGAGTTAGCCACAGTCCACAAAGGCCGTCCCGACCAACAGCTCCCTTCTAGAGAACGATATCAGGGAAAAGTCTACTATGATAACTTACCAGGATGCTGCTCCTGGAACTTCTTCAGCAGATCCATCTTCTTCTGCTCGTCGCTGGTAGGACCACCCATCTCCTTTTGACGCTGGTCGTACATCATCTTCTCAACCATGGCACGAGTCTCGCCGTCGAGATCACTCAAGCTGGAGTTCTCGGGAGTGATCTTGGTCACGTCGATCTTGGGCGCAGACTTGACAACGTGCGGCCACCATTCCACCTTGTTCACCTTGTCGAGGTGGATGCTGACCTCCTTGCCCGGGGGCTTTGATGTAGTCTCGAGAGTCCAGGATGATTCATCGACGAGGATGGGATGGGGGAAATCGCCCTAAATCGAGGAAGTCATGGTTAGTCTAATGGGTTCAATAGCCTGAGCTCTCCCACCTAGCGGGGTACGCTTGATACGATCAAAGCTCATACCTCGATAATCGGCTCCTGTCCCTTGATCGCCACGCTAATCTTGGTCTTGGTAAGAGTCACTACCATATCGCGACCCTTGATGTTGCTAGGAATCGGCGCCGTGACGTCCACATCGCGAATGGTTTGAGTCCATTTGTAAGGAAGCTGTGCCTGCTCCGCCTCCTCATGAGCCTTGCGATCCTTCTCGGCCTGATCGCGCTGAGCCAACTCAGCAGGGGAGAGGTCTTGTTCCAGACCGGCGGCAGACATGGTGGAGGTGTGCGGGGGGAGGGGGAAGATGTGTAGAATGTTTATCGCCAAGTGACGAAAGTGCGGCAAAACGACCAGCAAACGCGGTGGGGAAAAGGAACCAGCCCACTTTGGAGAGCTTCGGTGGAGCATCCTCATTGGCTCTTCGACACCCATCACAAACTACTGAATCTACTCCATGCAGCTCACTCTAAATGTGTTTTCTCTGCTAGCGTCAGAATTCATCCGAAAAGTCCTGTCGGTAGATGTGTAATCTTCCCCGACGATTTCGACCTGTCTGGACGAGTCGATCGGGAAACTAAATCCTACTACCCGCGCTATACGCGTAATTTCCCTTTTGTCTTTGACCTCCTTGCATGGCCATCGAACCACCGGAGTTATGACAGATCCTTCCAGAGAGCATTGGCCAGTCTATTTACGTCGATTCGCTTCACCGTCCTTCGATTAAAAGGGGCAATGGCTTCCGACCGCCACCCCCGATGCGACTGATCGACAACGGTGTGGAATGCTGTCAAAGATTTAACTGCAGGGAGGATGATCGCGGGTCGATCACAGCGCGACACAGAGGATACACGCAGGTTACGAACGGGAGCTCTGCCTGACAGGACTCGGATTTCCTCGGAGCTATTCACAGGATCGAAACATGCTTAGCCACCATACTACATGCTACTAACAAAGTCTATAGGTGTCCCGGACGGGTTCAGGTTGTATATGCTCGTGCAACACGAAACATACACCGCTCAGTCACAAGCAATTCCATCGCCATGTAACTGATGAGCTGACCAGCTGAACCGGTTGGGCCGACATTGCGTGGGCGAATAGCGATACAACCGGTCGATCGACGGTCCCTTTCCGGCGCCGTTGACCTGCTTCGTTCTCGTATGCACGCCATGAAAGCCAGATGGGGATGACTAAAATGTCGATCTGAACACATCGGGGGCCAACTGAATCATCCGGGTCCCTCACTGTGGCATGCCTGTCGGACAATGCCGTCGATACACATACACGACACGGCCAGACGGGACGTGGAATGCTTAACGCCTCCCGAGTCCACACCAACAATGAAACGGATCAGCGAATCAACATACACGACAAAACGGTCGCAATCGTGATGAATCATGAACAATGATAATCATCAATATAGTATTGAAAGAAGAAAGAGTCTTTCCCCAGTACTGTAGTGAGAATTCGAAACCAGGCCAGGGCTAGAGGAAGATCAACCAGGGATATTTCCCCTTGAGCGATGCAAGTCCTCGCCAATCACCCACTTTCTAGAAGATCGCTCATTGGTACATGCAGTGACGAGAACAAAATAAAATGCTGGAAATAGTCATCAACCACCAAGGGCTAAAATCCAAGGCTCTTGGTGGCGGTGCTGAAATGCCATTGCTTCCCATGCCGCCTCTCTAAAACTGAATAACGCCAACAAAAGAAACAGAAAATAAAAGCGAGTGTGCCCAGAGGGTCAGCTTTTGATCATGAAACTCGTCGCTGGCTGAACCTCCCATGCAAAAAAAAGTATAGTCAAGAAGAGGAAACCAGTCACAAGAAACACATCCAAAAGAAGTAAAAAGTAAAAAAAAAGTGACGAAGAGAAAAAAAAAAAAAAAAGGAAAAAAGAAAAAGTGCAAAATCCCAAATTAAACTCCGACCAAGTGCGTAGAACAAGAATCAAGAATGGATCAACGACGAGTTTAAAGCCGCAGGGCTTTTCTCAACCGTTCGCGCAAGGGCGCGCGGATATCATCGATTCGAGGCCGGGCTGGACTTCCGGGCTTGTTCTTCATCTAAACATGGGAGGAAACTGTCAGCTTTTTTCGATGCTCCCTGCATATGATATATCAGACGTCAGGGTTTCGGGAGGATCGGGTTTGCGCACCTCGAATCTTTTGGATCTGCTTGGCTGTGTCGTCCATGAGTTGTGCCCATCGACGTTGGTATTCTTCGACGCTGGTCATGGGTTTGGTGTCTTTGGAAGTTTGGGGGACGTCTTTGGCTTTGACGGAGTCCATTGCGATAGTATTGGCCGGGGTATATAGAAGACCGAGTGTAGGTATAGTTGTATGGCTGTATAGTATAGAAGGTGGTAGTGTGTTGAATCTCGATGAGAATAAGCCGGAGGTAAATAGATCGTCTAATATTCACAAGCAATACGAGACCGTTGGTGCAAAGTCCGAATGAATAGAATTATCGTCGCCGAAAAAGCTAAACTCGACAGCGATCACGACCCAAGGCCCCTTTATATAGACCAGCACTTGGAAATCCCAACCCGAAGAATATTCTATAAAACAGAAATTTAAAATTAAGAAAGTGAATCCACCATGCAAGATGTGGAAGATGCCTAAAATAAAAAAAGAAATCCACTTTAGTATTTAATTTGAATTTCTTTTTTCTGATCCAACCAACGCATTGTTGAAAATGTTTGCTTCTCGACAATGAATCACTAGAGAAAAGAAAACCGGTCACGAGCCGCAGAGTCCAGTGACTTCCATCCTTTTGAATGACTTCTCCCCAATCATTCAATTTCTTCTGCTCTGGAAATATCATCAGCACCACATCCACCAATCACTCTCAAGGCTGTCGCGTCTGCAGCTGATGTTTGGCTTCACCGACTCTCTTCCGGCCCCCTGGATTCATTCGAGTCCCTCTAACCGACTAGCGAATGGTCCGCCTGAACCAATTCCAACGAGACCCGGGTAAATCCCGGCATATGCAGGTAGTCCAGGATTCGAGATATATACAAAGTATCCCATTGGATCTACCGTCACTTCGACTCTAGTACTGACACTAGAGCCAACAGGTAGACGATTTACTCGTTCCGCCAGGGTTTGAAGCCGGATCGTGAAATTTGGCGCCAGTTGGTCTCCACTAACATCGCGTCCCCCCACTTGAACCACCCCACCTCCCTCCTTCCCCCTGGGCCCTGGGCTGAATATGGACGAAAAAAGCAAAATGGAAAAAAAAGAGACAGTACCGACGGTGATGTCAGTCCGCGGCAGACTAGTGACCCCAAGTGTCCAACTCCCCCGAAATCCTGATCGCGCTCCACCTGGCACCCACCGGCCCCAGTCCGACTGTCTTCCCCCCCCATCCCCCTTCCCTTTTTTCCCCCCTTGGGACCTTGGGGGGCGATGGTCCCTCACTGGCTAATGGGATGTCTTCCAGACGAGACCCAAAGAAGGCCCCGTACCAATCGGGGGGTTCGATGTCTGCATCCGCGCCAGCCGATCTGATATCTGATTCGAGTACTGTACGGTGCCCCTTTCACTGCCGCCTGACGAGAAGGTGGGCTGGAGGGGTTAAGGTATATGTGTAGGGGGGACACTGGACACAGCGTGAGTGGGCGGGTAAAGAAGGACAAGACATGTCGTGTACGCTGTACCTGTCGCTGTCCCTGTACTGTACCTCTACCTGTCCACCGGATCAGGCCCGACGGCTGGACATGTACTCCATACGGAGTACATACATCCACTAAACACCCAAGCCCCGGGGCGCCGGGTTGGGTTGATCTTGAGGATCGGCACGCCCGATCCACACCCGATCTCTGCGCTCGGCCATGCAACAACTGACAGCAAAAACCACCGAAGAAAAGGGCGTTTCTGCCTACCCTAAGCCCCTGCACCGGGCAGGACCTTCCTACCCGACATACCCAAGCTCTTATTGGGCCCTCCCAATCCGCCAGACTCATCCTCACCGCCGATAAGACATACCAAGCTGCAGAGTCCGTCGCGGGACGTTGCATCTTCCAATCCCACGTGGTACACGGCCGCATGATGACCGTTGCCCTGGCGCTCATCTCTCGTCTTATTGACCTGCTTTCTTGACCGCATCGTCGCGCGTCCAAGTACGTGAAGACACGTAATTGGACTGACGTCGGGTTTGCAACGCGAGCTCCCCCTACTTGCCCCTCTACTGACCACTTACCCCTCCATGACTATCAGATGACCGATGACCGACGCTCGGCCATTTCACTAGCTGCTGCTTGATGATGCTGTGCCGTGACAGCAGAATGACGCTGAAGGAATGCTAGAATCAATAATGACGATTTCGGCACTTTGAGTGCATTGCGTCGGCGTAGGAGATTGTCACTTGTCCATGGCACGATACTTGCGTCGGACCTTCAGCGCGACATTCGGAGGAATTAAGGTTCTACCAGGATGGTGGTATGACGGTTTACCGCCGAGTCTTGATCCAGTAAACGGTGCAGGTGTTGGAGGGGACAAGTGACGGTGGCTTAACAGACGGTGGCTTAGCAACATAGTTGTCAAGTCCTACCGAGGATTCGTATCGTCTTCTCAGCTCTTGATAGTGACTGGATCTATATTGGCGGATCGAATATGACTTCATAATACTTGAACTGAGACTAGATGATACCGTATACTTGATTAGGAAAGCTCTCCGCCACAACCTTCTACGACCTATACTATGTTGCCCAGTGCCAAAGATTAGAACTATAGACTAATCGCGGAATTGCCTGTTTTGTGTTTCCTTATAGCAACTTGACCAATAAGCGGAGAATAACACTGATCACGACTAGTCTACCCCGGCTAGATACCCTTGTAGCACTAAACATTGACAATAGGCCAGGGCATGTCTGCCTGATCTCCAACTTCAGCTATGAGTCATTGCCACAATATTTGGAAATTTAATAAACAGAAATCGACATACTTGTCATCAAGTTGATGAACAATAAGAATGCAACAAAATAAGTAATCCTGAAGCCTACGAGTAATACAACCCTCCCCTTCTGTGCTATAGACATGGAGGTACTAACTATACGAATCAACTCTACCATAACAAGCTAAACCCAAACAACCAGAACAAGCACTCAAGATCTCCACTTTCAGTATATACAGTAGTACCTCCCCACTCCCCCATCACCCGACGCAACGGACTTATCCAAAAACCACACTGTTCCATTCTCCTGGGTACCCCTACTATACACATCAACCCGGCAACTACGGTAAGCTAGCTGGCAACCGGCCCACCCACACCAACCCTCGGAAAAGCCCAACGATCGACCCAAAGTACAGTAGTGTACGGAGTACTCCGTACTTTAGTCCCAATCCACAATTCACCCTCACCTCCTCCGCGAGTCCCGCGAATCCGCGACGGGGAAACGGGGAAATGGGCGGAGCACAAGCCAGCGCAAAGATACTGACGTGGCCAAAAATACCTAGCTGAATCGGGCTAAAGGGGGTACTTTGGACACGTCAACTTTGTCCATGCTCTACCTAGTGTAGATATGGAGTACAAAAATACCGTAGGCGAGGAGGCTAGGGTGGATCGTGGAATTTCTGTGGAAGGAGATGCATACGGGGTTTTAACTAGTGGGACTGTACTTGGTGCTTTTTGAGCTTCGATCGCGATGTCCCGATTTGGACTTTTGGGGCCGGTCAGGGCGAAATATGGAAATTATGTTGTTATGTACGGAGTATGGAGTGCATTACTTGTTTTTCGCTCTTAGCGGCTGTAGGAGATGGGCATCTGGAGGCTATGATTACGATGTCTGGTAGGAGTCATGGAGCGATTGACAAGGTGTAGTGTCATTGCTCCTACGTCAGTTCGAAAGAGGAAATTGCTAGCTCCGTGATGATTAGGGTACCGTGGGGTGGCGATCGATTAATTGCGAGGTTTTGCCGAGGGAGTACAGTACCAGCGGTCTGGTGAGGACCGGTCCGTGAGAGTAGATTTGTCGTGGGCAAATGAGATCTACGAGAAATAGGCTTTGTTAGGCTTAAAGACTTGTTGATAGTGGTTTTAATACACCACGTCACGAGTCACGACTATCGTCTTTTTGATATTGATCGCCTCGGATAGGACTCTATGTATGGATGATGTACTCCGTATCGCCATCGAAGAAGAGAAGAGATGGAACGGGCAGTTCAGGCAGCGGTGGATATACAACTGGAATAGTAAACCAATCGGACGGGGAGATGTCGATGGGTCCTTTTGCTTATCCCCACAAGCCGGAGTTCCGCCAACACTATGGAGCCAGAGGTACTTATTTCCCGAAACCGACGGAGAAATGCGACATTCTTTGGAGCTTTACAGAGAAGATACATATACACCAGACCTTTTGACCTCGTGGACGACGATCCACTAAAAATTGGGGGGTAATATTGGGTCACGAGAACTAAAAAAGATATATGGAAAAAAAATGAACCGAAGGATGCTGCACGGCCCATCATGATCGTAAGAATAAGTCCAGCCGAGGGCCATGTCATGCCCATCCTTCACCTAATCACGCGCTGGATCAACCAGCCTGGCAACCGAGGAAAAAACTAAGAGAATAGAAATAAAATAATGATGAGTGTACCGGGCTCGGTGCCTGCATCCATTGGCCAGCCATGTTGTCAGACCGGTTTGTGTTCCTGCAAATCCGGTTGCCGAAGAAGCAAAACGGGGCACAGGGCCCCTGTCTCTGCTGTCTGCAGCTTCGGTCTGAATTGAAAGATTTTCGTTGAAAGGGAGGGGTAGAACAAAGGGTAGGTGAAGAAAAGAGTGCCGGATATGCCGTTAGTATGCGCCCCTCATGCCGCTAAACGCCCAGGTTGAAGTAGCATGTATTTCGCTTCGCGCCCCCGCCATGCATAGATCGCTTCGGAAAACAGATCCCCTGCAGAAAGATTCGTGGATGATGTGATGGGATGGGATAAATGCCAGGAAATGGGTATGAGAGTCTCCCCGTTGACGCCGTGGTATGAAGAAAAGATCGCTAAAGGGGAGAAAACAAGCAAGTAGAGAAGCCCGAGAATAGTCGAAGTAGATAATGATGTAGATGCGGTGAATGAGATGATGGCTTCTTTCATTGGACGGGAATGACGCTTATTCCGACTCGTCAGGTGCACCCGTAGAGCTGGCCTCGAAGAACATAGTACTCGATCCAACGCCGGGTGTCAGGCTCGAGGGTGCCATCGGCGATTCATCGGCCTGGGGTGCCTCGGACTCGGTGTCATCCAGGAGACAGCTGGTGACGATGGCGCCTCCAGAGTCAAGGTCGACGAGGTCAAAGAACTGGCCAGCAAATTCGGCAACTTCGTTGGCAACCTTGAGCTCCAAGATGCCTTCGAGCACCTGCATGTCCTTTTTCCATTTCCGCTCCCTCCGCGCCTTCTCTTCTTCTCGACGGCGGCACGTGCCGTCACGAGCACGGACTTTCATGCAGTTCGGGCACAGATAGTTTTCCTCGCAGTAGGAGCACTTGCAAGGTGGGTGCGCTTGTACGCAGTCCTGGCAGACATACACTGCACAGGCCTTGCATTCCCGGAGGTAGCTAGGGCACCGTTGACGTTGATCCCCGACAGCACGGTACTGGGGGCAGAAGAAGGATTGGCATCCTTGCCACCGTGGCGCTTCGAAGGGGGTCTCGGAGGATACGGATGTTGGTGAGGATGATCCGGAGTGGTTGGACGGTGGGGCGGAGAAGGACCGAGTGGCATTGCGAGAGAAGAGCGGATGAGTTGATCCGTCACCATTCGGCGTGTAGGATTCGGTATCATCTGCAATGATATCGCCCTGCGGGTCCTCAATAAAGCTGCTGTTGGCGGAATCAAGAATTCGCGATGTGCGGAATGGGAGGATGTAGTTAGAAAGTTGTGCGCTACGGGGAAACCGTTGGCTGAAAGTCGGCTCAGGTGATAACTGTGCTGCAGATCGGGTTTGAATGGTCATTTTCTCGAATGCAAGGTCCCTGTAGCCACAGATGCGCAGGCGAAGCCCGCGGAGGTCGTGTTCGATGCAGAGAGGCTTGGAGCAGCTCTTGCAATGTACTTTCCACTGTGGCGAGTCGTAGCACTCCTGACATAGGTTACGCGGGCATGGCGATACCTGTCGGTTGGGAGGTCCAAGCAACCACTTCATCATGGCAAGATGCCCGGTCTCCAGTGAGTAGTCCGGCTTACTCGGATCGCCATAGGCGTATTTTGGGAAGGTCTTGCTCCACTCGCTGACGGTGTACTCGAGGTCTTCCCAGCCTCGACCACGGGGCAACGGAACAGCTCGCACTTGATCGACGTCGCGACTGGGAGTGCCGATGCTGATACCCCCTCCTCCGGAGAAGATGGGTTCCGTGCAGCACCAGTGGAACTTGAGAGCAGGAAGTGACGTCGGCGCACCTCCATGGACCTGAGTGTTATCCATTGGGTTTGGGACCGGGTCTTGCATCGAGCTAGGCGAGAGGGTTGCCCCGGGAGCCCACCACAAAGAAGTTGAACTGTTCGAGTCGTTACTGCTGCTGATCCCAGGGTCGAGAGCTGATTTACCCCGGTGAAGGTATGGTCGTTCATAGGCACAGCTTGCACACAGGGTTCTCCGACACCCTACACAATGCATCAAGATGCTGCACTGCTCGCACCGTTCTGAGATATCATCGAAACAGTTGTCGCATTTCACGTTCTCCACAAACTGTGTATGACTCTGACGTAAATGTGCCGGTGTCATTTTCCCCTCGCCGACATCTGGCCCTTCGCCAGTTCCCAGGGCTTCACCCTGACATCCCGTGTCGCAGTTCTCCCACAGCTTCCCATCGGGCACACGCGGCCGCTCAGTTTTGGAGTCCACAGGGCCGATCCAGTTCTTGCATCGCCATAGCCGGTCGAATACCACCCAAACCTCCGGAGAACCTTGCGGAACCCGCATCGAGACATATCCGCGTCTGCGGAAACATCTCCCAGCTGGAGTCGTGCACCAGGCAGTGTCGGTCCATATCCCTAGTTTGTGACAAAGATTGACTAAATCATGAGTCGGCTCCGAGTCAGAGTCCTTCCGCAACAGCGACGCAGCTAGGTACGGCCGACGACGGTGGTGGCGGCATCGATACACGTAGAGGCTCTTCAGCGCAAGCCGTTGGGTGGCCGGAGAACTGCCGATATTCCTTTCCATATCCACATCGTATTGCAACCCGAACATGGTCAAATACGGGATAATGTGGTACTTGAGAGATACATTCTTGCAGCCCCGAACTGACAGGTGCTCCAGTGATTCTCGACGCGCATGCAACACGGTCGAGATCAGAATCTGACCCGAGACGGCTGTGTTGTCCAGTTCCAAGCTCCTGAGGCATCCACTGAACGGGATGACCACGTTCATCAGTAGCTGATCTAAAGCATATGGTCGTGATTGGCGTTGGGTTTCCGGGTCCGACATGCCCGGGATAATAATCCGCGTTGACGGCAGGGTGCCCGACGGGCAGAGAAGTCGAAACGAAAGGGATTTCCATGCGGTCGGATACGACTGGAGGAATGTACGGAGGTAATGGGAGGTGTGGTAGAGCGCGAGGATGGTGTCGGTCGGGACCTGGAGGAGTAGGGACTCGAGGATCGGAGCATTGGTGGTGATGACCCGTTCGAAGAGGGAGAGCATCCGCTGTGCGGGGATGGCGCTGTTTTGCAAGGCATTTTCAACGAGCTGTTGCGGTTCTTGCTCAGAGCCCGCGAGTTCTTGCGCCATAGTGGTTCGTGTTGCGGGCGATTTGACGCCGGGCCCGCGTGACTAGATACCGATACCGATCTTGACGCTTGCTCAACTCAACTCACGCTTAGTTTAGGTGGAGAGATGGGACGACGCGAGATCGCGAAGAGGTTGAGTCAAGATGCAGCTCATGATAAGGTGGGCTGGAGTTGGGCAATAGGCAATCACATCTCCAGACAAGCCACCATGCAAGGCCGTCAAGCGTTGAACTGGGTTCGGTAATCGATAAGACGTGGATCGCAAGGGCTGGGGCGGATCGGCTATCCGAAGGGGGGAGCGAGGGAGGAGAGGGGGAAATTTTACGAAGAGAGAGAGGGAGAGAGAGAAAAATAGAGATACGAAAGAAGTCAAAAAGGAGGAGAAAATTGAGAGGTCTCACGGGATTATGCACCAGCCTCAAAAAAAAGGAAGATCGAAAGAGTCCAGTTGTGCCGGATGCGCCCGTTAGAGACAACAGCGTCATGTGATACTAAGTATTCATTCAGAGACCAGGGTCCTAGGAGGAGAGAATATGGATTCTTCACCAGTTCAATAAGACGAATCTATTGAAAGGTCCGCAGTCACAGAAATAAGTTGATCGACGAATTATTTGCATTCTATCGCTTGGATGTACAAATAGACTGTGATGGTCTCTGGTTGTTTTCTATAGGGCGCTCGGCCGCCGTTTCCCAAGGGCCCAAAGCGGCGCTAAACTAATGTTTCTCGCTCGATTCGCCCACAGTGTACCCCCTCGCAATACCCTTGCGCCCTTCCTTGACAAGCGTACTGTCCGATGGATCCTCTTCCTCCTCATCATACCGAATATCGAAGTCACTTCCCAACCCCTTCCATGTCCGTTGGGACTGTAAGAACTCCGCCCCTGGCGAGACGGCGCCGCCGATCATCGCTAAGTCGCCCTTAGCTCGTCGGGCCAGAGCCCTAGCAGCGGATGGGCCGGCCGCGGTCGACCCGTCGATCTGGGAAGAAGCGCGGGGTGCGGGATCTCGCATCGGACGGGAATGCGAGACGTATCGTCCTGTACGTAAATCGAACTCGGGCGGTGCACTCTCGGGTTCCGACATGTCCTCCTCCTCGTCGACGTTGTCAGTTCCGCCATTTGAGGTTTCCTGCTCGTCTTCCTTGGATTCCTCCTCGGCAGGCTTGTCCAGGATGGCCTGGAAGTTGCTATGCCACGATCCGGTCCAAACTCGCTCGGCATCGCTCTTCAGAGCCAGTTCCAACTCGAATGGAGTGATGACGGGCTTCCAGAAGTCCCTGCTGTCCACCAGCGAGCTCTCCCAGCAACCAATAACCACCCAGCCGCCAATCTCACTAAAGTTGGCGACCTTGGCGGCATTGAGTTTGCCCACGACGAACATATAGCTCTTCTTGCCTGCAGCGGCAATCTGCTCCTTCACATGCTCCACAATGTGCAGATAGTTCTTGACACTAAGAGTGTTGATCAGAATGCCCCAGATAGGAACAGTGTTCAAGGAAGTCAAAATCGCATAGCGACGGCGTAAGGCGGCCGAAGTAGAAGCGGGAAGTGGCTTGATATTAGTGTTGCTTGGGTTACTCGTGGGGTAGATATGAATGGCGGCAACGCGCGAAGCAAGGGTCAAGAGCAGGGCAGTAGGTGGATCAGAGATGTGGAACAGCTGCCAGTCTGACAGTGTCTCCGGAGCTTCTCGAATTGTCTCGGGCACAGTGCGATTGGGAATGGGCGAGGAGGGCTCGTGAGCAACCTCGGTAGCAAACAAATTGCTGTAGCCATCCTGCACCAGGCGAGCGTAGAGTTCGGGGACATGACCGGAGAAAGTCACGTCGGCTGCAATGATGACCTTGGTCGACAAGTCCGGATAGGTCGTCTTGAACGCCTCCACGACGGGCTCCAAAGGCAAGGCCTTGTGTGTGAAGACGTAGATCACGGGTAGTCTGGCACTCGGCGACAGACAAGATCTTCCGTAATGCACCACGACGTCGGCGTCCACATGCTCCGCAGCTACCTCGTCCACGCAACAGGTACCGTACGAGGTGTCGGCCAGAATGTAGAGACGAGGAGACCACTTCTCAGTCTCACCAGCGACAGACAGCCGAGACACCGAGTCAGTTATGCTTCCTTCCGCATCCGTTGCGCCACCATTTGTCTGGCCGGTTGTCTGAGTCCCATTCGCACTGGCAACGTCCTCGGAGTTGAGGCCACGGCTGAGTAGTTGGAAAACCCGTGGAGCATCTGGGAGCATATCATCGGGGAACTGAAGGGCAATGCGCTTGTACCGCGCCTGGCGGATCTCTTGCAGCGTGCGCTCGATGTCGTAGGTGATGGAAAGTTCATCGTCGGACAGCGGCTGCTTCGCATCGTTGGCGACGACGGGCTCGGTGGCCTCGAGGATTCGATCGTCCGGGGTTGACAGCACGGGAGCTGCCTCCATTTCGGAACCCATTTGAGAAAGTATATACTGGTAGGTGGGTGTTGGAGGGGTAAATGGGCGATATGGTGGAGGGACCTGAAATTTTTGGAGAAAAAAATAATTCCCCCACCTTCCCCCGCCGATAACAAAAATTGCGGATCAGCCCATTGGCAGAGGCCCAACCCTAACATTGTCCCTAGGAAACTTGATAATGCAGATACTAATGTTAAGAAAATCATGAAGTATAGGCTTGATTTGATCATTTCATAAGTTTTAAGTAAGGGTTGAGGCTGAATATTCTATCTACAAATTCGCCTTAGCTGGCTCACCCGCCCAAACTCGGCGAATCAACTCGCGAATAGGAGCCCGCTCGATCGCACGAGGATTCCAGTAAGGATTAGAGACCGCAATATCAGCAGCCTTGTCAATATCCTCTTCCTTCATACCAAAGTCCTTGAGGCCACGCTTGACCTTCAGCTTTTCAAGCAGCACATTAAGACCGTGGATAGCATCGCCATTGCTATCCGGCAAAGCATCAGCTAATTGCTTGATGGCCTCTGGAATATTTGGAGCATTGTATGAAATGGCATGGGGCAAGACTGCAGTGTGGGTCTCCGCGTGGGGGAGGTTGAAACTGCCGCCCAGAGTGTGGCAGAGCTTGTGGTGGATGGACATGCCCACGCTGCCCAGGCAAGTACCGCACAGCCAGGCGCCGTAGAGGGCCTTGGACCGGGCTGATTGAGAAGAAGGGTTCTCCACGATTTCGGGGAGGGCGGATGCGAGGGCCCTGGTGCCTTCAATGGCCATCATGTTAATGATAGGGTTGGTGTTGCGGGCGTAGAGAGCCTCGACTGGTTAGTTCAGAGAGAGTTAGTCAGATGTACTTGGAGAGGAGATTCGAGTCATCGAGATGTATAGTCACTAACCAGCATGGGCAATCGCATTGACACCGCTGGTAGCACTCATAGCTGCCGGCAGGGTCATCGTCAAGTCCACATCGTATATCACCGTGCCAGGCAGGATCTTAGGATCAGAGCGAGTCTTCTTCAATCCATCGGCCGTCTCGCCCAGGATAGGAGTCATCTCACTGCCTGCATACGTCGTCGGGATGCAAATATGCGGCAGTCCAGTGCGAATGCTAATCGCCTTGCCGAGTCCAATCGTGCTTCCACCTCCAATCGAAATGACCGAGTCGGCACCCTGCGCCCTGGCATATTCCAATGCCTTCTCGGTGATATGAGTCGGGGTGTGCATGGTAGCCTCGCTGAAGATGCCGGCCACCTGGCCCTTCAAGACATTCTTGACACTCTCGGCCTGGCTGACCTGCTGCGGTGTTGAGAGGACCAATGGCGCCTTGACTTGCAGCCGGGTGATTTCCTCAGGGAGCTTCTGCAGGGTGCCGCTGCCGAAGACGACGCGGCCGGGGTTGGGATTGTACTCGAAGGCGTCCATGATGCTGGCTATTAGGGTATCCTGTAGTTAATTTCTCGTCCTGCGATAGGGGATTAATGCAGTCTTATAATTGAACTTCCCCCCACACCCCACCGTGATCCGAGGAACGTCATGGGCTACAGCCGTGGGGCCGTGGGGTCGACAGTCGGCAGTTCGATTGAGCTTGGTTCCGATGTGCACTTGATCCGCTGGCTCAGGGACGGAAGTTTTAGTTTCTGGTTTGCATTGGATGATTATATGACAGTATAGCATACTCTCGGTACTATCGTCTACCATGTCTAGCCATGAGAATTGGCCCAATGCCTCTGCAAAGTCACAGTCTAGTTGTCCTTCAACGCATCGCGGAAATCCCCCGGGCTTAGTTCAGCATGAATAAGCCGTTCCGTAGATGTTAAATTAGGTTAGAACTAGAACTAATCCTCGGATATACTTCTTCCTTTTGGACCCTCTCGGATGTGAACATACCCTTAGGGAATTAACCATAAATTTCGATATACTCAAACGCCGTTGGAACACTACTCATGTGGATAAGAATATCATTTCTTTGTAGTCCTTAAACATACAATATGGGTATCAGATAAATGCGGCTAAGAATAGGCCGTCCTCTTTTCGTGTTTTTAGTCCATGTCAAAAGCGATGACATCCGGTCCAGTACCACGGCCCGACTTGCCCTTCTTACGCTTCTTGCGCTCGTTCGTATTCGTGTTCCGTCGCTCCTCTGCATCGCTGTCGTCGGAGTCATCACCACTGTCGTCGCTATCACCCATCATGTGCTTTCCTCCCGCCAGGTTGTCGCCACCCGAACCATTCACAGCTTCATGCCAGACCTTGACGATCTGACCACCACCAGAGACCAGCCGACCCTCGACATCGAAGCCAAGGCCAACCACACCCTCGGTTTCATCGTGGACAATCTCGGACGACACCTTGTTCTGGCCGATGCGAACGAATTTGATCAATCCATTGCCGAGACCGGCTGCCAAGATCTTGCCCCGGCCCAGCTCATCTGGCACGGTGACCAGCGTCTCAATTGCCTCTGCGCCACCGGCGTCGCGCTGAACGTAGATTCGCTCGTCTTGATCATCCCACGCGCCTTTCTCCCAGAGCGTGATGACGCCGTTGGATCCACCTACAGCCACCTTCTCACCACGGCTGGTGCCGCTGCTGGCAAGTCCGCCGATGAAGGCAGTGCTGACCAATTCTTCCTCTTGATCCTCGCTGCGTACTAGGACGCCGCGGCGCAGATCAGTCACAGCAAGGGTAGTGCCACCAGTCGTGACCCATTGCTTGCTGAAGCCGGAGGTGCTGGTGTCGGAGGCAGGGAGGGGAGTCAGAGAGGAGATGTAGTCGTCGTGGGGGTGGTGCGACTGCTCGGGTCGTGCAGAGACCTTGGAGTAGGGAATGCGGAGATCGTAGAGGTGCAATGCGCTCGAGTCTGTCGCAAGCAAAAGAGTCTGAGGGGAGAGGGCGTGAATGACGGTAGGCGCATCGATTGACCTGCAGGGCAGAGGAAGGAAATGTTAGCCAGAGATATTCCAGCTGATGCGCTGAGACATTGTATACGAGGAAAAATCATACCCATTCTTCTCGAGAGGAATTGCAATCTTGTTCTCCACCTGTCCACTCTCTGCCTTGGCCATCTTCACCAAACCGTCCGTGCCAGCGGAGTACAGCATTTCTCCATCAACGCTGAATGCCAAGCACCGACAGCTGCCCTTGTGTCGCCGTGTCCTCCACATGGTGTCAATGTGGCCCTTGCCATTGCGCGAAGACGAAGTCGAGGCATCATCATCGCTGTCGCTCTCTTCCGACGGCAATCGGAAGGTTTGAACGTGGCCCGCAGCCAGACCAACCGATACCACAGGCTCCTTGGGGTGGATAGCTTGGGTGAACAGGTCTGAGGACAGCGGAAGCGTGCAGACCGTGTCGAACATGATGGTGCAGGAGCTGAGCGAGTTGCTGCTCGGGCGAGACAGAGGTAATTGTCAATTGGATTTTGTAGTTTCTCAACGACGATTCTACTGAGCGGAGAGCTCTGGGAGCTGCCCGTTTTTTTTCGCGGGCCGGGAATCTTCCGTGTTGACCGCCTTTTGGTTACTTTAAAGTGGGACTGGGTGATAGATGACATCACTGATCTAAGGTACAATCTATATCAGCCCTGGTGTGCTAATAATACATTAACACAGGGTGGAAACTGTGCACGAGAGCAATTGAAATCATGATATTTTAAAATGAGCAGATTGATTTCAAGAACAGTCGCTATCCAACCATATTTGCCTATAATTTCCTATGAACAAATCATCAAAACTCATTAAGGGAACAGGTATATGCTCCGACATGTTCTTCTTGAACCCTCCCATCGATATGTCGCTGTACTATTTGCCGGTAACGAAGCTAGAAGCACAGTATTTCAGAAAACATCACAAATTGTTGTTCATTCCTCCACTTGCATGTGCCAGTCCACCAACAACACAAAGATAAGCCAGTTCCAGTTTCATGCCAAGGGAGTGGATTCAGGAACCCTTCTGCCAGTTCCCAAAAGGCCTCAATCAGGAAATCGTGCTCCTATTCCTCCATAACCTCAACACCATCTCTCAACGGGTCATTTTTCGAATTTCCATGTGTTGAAAGACTCTACGAAGCAGTTGGGATCTTCGGCACTCTTAATATTTGGTGGATCATGGGCCGGGAAAGCGAAATCGGCACACGAGTATGTTGGACCCCTTTATCTTCGGTATACAATATGCATTGCACTTATGGGTCTGGATGCGGCTGACGAGGCGAGCGAGGAATTCGGGGTATTCTCGATCTGGTCACTATCCGCCTGCATGGGTGGCATTTCACCCTCCATAGGAGGTATGTTCCAGGAAAAGTAGGAACCAGCGCTCGAACCAACACACAACGATAAGATGGTCGTCGCGAATAGCCGCCCACGCGACTGTATACAGTTATTCATTACCACCCTGTTGCCATTGATCGAAATCCGGTTGATGGCGTATAAGGTCGGCCTAATGTAGATCCGCCACAGATAGAGTCAGGAAGATATGTGTATTCCTAAGCTGATTCAGTATTGCGTTAGCTCTGCGCACTTACTACCCCAGAACGGATGTGTGCCATTTATCACCTGTGCATCCTGACGATTGGAGAGACCAATCTCGCTGCTTCGGGATCATCCGAGTCTTGGAGGAAGGCCGCGCCATGTTTGCGAGAAGTCAAGACCCCCCGATGATAGCTGTAGACTACCTCAGCGCTCAGCCTGCCCTGTAGCCTGGATGGACTGCATCGTGGTCGGTGACATCATCTTTCTTAAGTCTTTGTGGTGAATGAACATAAATACCGGTTGAGTGTGTGGTCTCGGAATAATCAATAGGGCATTCTGGTTCGAGCAGCCCAACACGATAGCCCTGCTTGATCTCCTGTATATCAAGGGGGATATACAACATGCGGCAGAATGTCAAGATTAAAGTCTATGGCATCTTAAACTGAGGATCACTCCGTAAATCAGTGGATAAATTTAAATCATTACGAAAGACACAGATGAAGGTATGATATATACGAGAGATGCGTAGAAGAGAGGAAGCGAGAGGGAGAGAATGAGGGTTTAAATAGGTAAGATCGGACATACACATCCAGGGTCCTAAGGCACCAAAGCTTCATGGACAGCAATTAGCACGCGAATTTAGAATTATAGCACGTACGCAGCAGCCAGACCAAGGGTGAGTGAATTCATTGTGTCTGATGACCACAGACCCCAATCCCTCACGGAGAACTAGTATCTAGAAATCTTCAAGAGATTATGAAAGAATCTGTAGAAAGGCCCCAAAGGAAATTTCAAATAAGGTTTTAAAGGCTTGCGCCGTAAACTTCAAATGCTATAATTGTGTAAGGACCCCTTACCTCTCTGATCAGGAATATCAAGGGGTTAGGTACTAGCCAAGGGGCTTTTTATCGGGCATCTAATGATAATAAATTCAGAATACTATATTCCTTTAGTATTCTTGCTTCTCGGAGCGCGTTTCTCAGCGAGGCTACTAATGGACGGGAGTACAGTGATGGAGTGTGAGATCTAGATATGCTGAAATTCAATAATGCATTTGCACAAAGTAAAGTTCACGAATAGAAACAAGAGCATAGCTCTCTCTAAAGAAACGAATGGAAAAGAATATACAAAGACAATCACAAAATCGCTGTTCAACAGCTTTCAACACACTCCTCTTTCAATCCTCCACTTTCCGTTGATCTTGTCGAGTTTACAAAATCCTGAATGTAACACAAGAAATCCTCGATACTACCGGCTCAAAATTTAAGCAGAGTAGGTAGAGCCAATGGGGCCAACCTTAATGTTGGAGAAGACAACATTGGCAGAGGCAGAGGCAGACTCGACATCGGAAGGCTCGCCAGAATCAGTGCTGCAAGTACCACGAGCAACACCAGGGTCGGTGGCGGTGGCATCAGTGGGGTAGTTGCTGTCGAGCCAGAGCATGTTGGCGTAGTGGTCATCCCACAAGCTCATCACCAGAACCATGCCATCAGCCAGAGCATCGCCCATACCAGAGAGACCACCGTGCTGGGAGAAGACATCCTCATCGCCGAAAGCAGTCTTCTGGGCAGTGCAGAAGTCCGAGGTGATAGAGCTACCAGTGACACCGCTGACATCCGAGGCCGAGTTAGCGATAACCTTGCCGTTCTGCACGTAGATACGCTTGATTTCCGAGAGGGTACCGGTGGCGGTGTTGTCGCTGGTGATGAACTGGGTGACGACGGTCATCTTGGAGTTAGTGTCGACGGTCATGCCAGGGCCGAAGAAGGTCTCGTTGCCCATGCGGTAAGGGTTGAAGTCGCAGCCATCGGGATCGCAGGTACCGCCGTAACGGTCGGAGGAGTAGGTACCACCGCAGGCGTCAGTCTCGCACATAGTCTGGCTAGCGGTATCACAGGGGTGGGGGGTCACAGCGGTGGAGATGCTGTTGGCCTCCCAGATATCCATCTCAGCACAGCAAGAGCCGTGGTTACCAATACCAGAGTTCACGTCGTTGTCGGACGGGGTCCATCCTTCGACATTGCCCTAGAATTAATCAATTAGTCTCGGTCCCGGTGAAACGACAGTATAAGTTTGTGCAATTACTAACCTGACCGTTGATGAACTTCAGGTCACGAGGGCACTGGGAGTCACAGTAACCAGTACCGTACTTGGCGCCGGCCTTGTTGGTGTCGTATTTGGCCATACCGCCATCGGCATCCATGGAGACGAAGTATAGAGCTCCGTTCAAGCCGCAGGGCAGGTTGGAGACATCGACGTCAAAGGTGAACTCCTGGTTCAGCAGCTTGAAGATCTGGTAGGTGCTATCGTCCTCCATGAGATACAGGCGGGAACCGACGTTTGAGCCGGTGACAAAGTTCAAAGTCAGGGCATCACCGGAGGTAGTAGCACCGTAGGTGCCCGCATAGTCCGCACCATCGAGGGCGCAGTTAGTAGCGCAGGTGGCATCGTCGGGGCAAAGAGTGGCATCCCACTATTTAGAGCAAATTGCAATGGTTAGATATCAGGATTCTCGAGAAATAGGATGTCAAACATACAGTGTTGCCAGTGTAGCAGTTGGTGGTGCTATCAACGTCGTGAACCCAACGCCAATTGGCGTCAATGACGACAGAGCCCGATTTATCCGTGCAACCGGAAGAGGTGCACTCTTGCCAGGTAAGAGACGGGTGGGTTTCTGCTGTCTGCGTGCCGGCCTGCTGGGCTCTAACACCTGCCATCAAGGCAGAGAAAAGGAGGGCGCGTTGATGCATCTTGGGGAGAATCGAAGGAATGAATAGTTTGTCGGTTGATTTGTCTTTTATTTTTGCTCTTCTTCACACTGGCCTGCAGTTGCTGAACAAAACCAAGACCGAAGACGCGGCGTCAGGGTCCTTATATAGCTCTTCTTGCTTCATCTGGCATCCACTCGCTGTGTCATGCAAAGCTCGAAACAAGTTCTCCCACGGCTCCATGCCCGGCGTAGCGGACCGTGACGCCGTCGCCAAATTGGTATGGGCAATGAGACAGAGAGCAGTATAGACCCTTCATCAAAATCACGGGGGCTGCCAGATTAGGTGACGGCCGGCGTCGTGCATTGATTTGAAAGTGGACCCGACTCCACGATCAACAGGGAAAGATCGTCATGAGAATTCGACAGAATGGATCTCGGCAGGGTCCTGAGTTGGAGTCTTGAGCGGTTAGGTAGCGACTAGTGTTTTCAATATCCATCAGAACGGAGGATTCTCCGATCTAGTTTCGTCGATGGCAACGAAAGCAGCCGAGTCTTGATTCAGAAAGCCATACCAATAGGCTCGAGTACTGATATGCCCAGTGAATTATGAAAGGACGCGCGGATTTCTGTCTGTCTGTTGCAATTAAGGTACCACCAACGAATTCCGTATATGCTTCTCCAGAGTCATGAGACACTGTGGAGGTGGCTGAATCCGCCAAGGTCGCCACTGTGCACCATGGCTGATGCATGGCTTGAGTAGTGAACATATCGCTGCGAACGAAGTAGTGTCTGATCGGAAGAGGCGTTCTGGGACACGGTAGAACTCCCATTTGCGTTCTGCACGCCCGTTTGGGCATGGGGCGTTTCAGATCGGCGACAAGACCCCCTCCCCGGTAATATTCCCCAGGCACAGCGGATAAACAGAACAAAATATCCTTCAATGAGGAGAGAGTGGTTTGGCACCCCGTATTCGTTTCGAGCGATCGTACCTGGTTATCTTATAACTCGAAACAGAATAGTCAAACAGGAGTTCGGTGGAAAGACGTGTACCCCGTACTCCAGCATGACAGTCCTTGAACATCACACACGCCACGATTAATAGGATGGCAGAAAGTCTGGCACCAGTATATGCCAGCCTGGAATATTTGTGTACGGTCAAGCTTATCACCGCGATGGATACCCATATTGAAAGCTTGGGCCGGATAAAATGCGACCGTTGTTCCATGTCGTCCCAGTACTTCCAGAGCCGAGACGAAACTTCTAGTTGACCCACCAAGGACGGTTAGGGCTCCTATTCCGGGGCGGGGAGACACCCTGTCGCTCATTGGGTAGACAGGTGATTCAATCTGAAGCGTTGATATGAAAAGGGAATGAGGAGAGTATGAAGGACGACCCAAGCGGGCTTGGCGGGTGGTGTCGATCTCATTGCGGGGTGGCAGCCACTGGCTTGACGCCTCTCGGTATATGCCCCATGCCTTTAATTGTACTGTAGATTCCACAAATGGTAGTAGTATGGCTTAGGCTCGCTTCCATCTGGCTTGCTCCGTTTCCTCCATGGCTAAGCCGGAAGTGATCTACATGTTAGTACGAGGCCTCGAGAATGACTAGAAAAGTCTAGGGACGTATCATAGCGTAATGAGCCTACAGGATGGAGGATGGATAAACGCAGCCTCGGACAGGGATTTCCCCACATTATCAAAGGTTCTGCAAGCCTTGCGTTTGAGGCGATTGAAGTCATGACGAACGCTAGAGGGCATACCTCACGATGAAACATCGATGGCAGATCTAGATAGCTAAGATAACATTCAACATAAGCCAGCTAATATGTCAAACAATTCATTATTTTCTGCTTATGTTTCTTTGTTCTCATAATATGCAGCGCTTATCCTCGTTGCTGTCTCCTTGTTTCTTCGTATCTATGCTCATCTCATTGACTCTCAAGAGACCATGCTGTGAATGACACGCAAGTCAATGCATTAATCGATAAATTCCACCACAGAAAATAACTCATATTTCCAAAAGCGACACGGTTGTACCATTGCATTAGTCGAGATCCAATGAAGGTAGCATACGTAGTCTTGGATCCTTAGCGGTTCGTCTGTTCACTGAGGCGTAGATAGCAGACTTCCAGAAAAGATCAATATTCTCTGTCCGAAGAGACATAAAACAGATCTAGGCATCTTAGCTGCAGATAAACCGTAAGCGACCAGCCCAAAACTCTCCATGAAAGAGTGGGCTTTGGTGGCTTCGCGAGACTTTTTCTAAATCCAACGTCGATCTTTGCCTTCTGGGAATCAAAAATTCTGGTTATTTATTCAACTATCTCATCCGGCAGAGATTATTAGGCTGAATATACAATCGTCAGGTGTTTGAGTGCGGAGTAAACCTCCGTCTTGGTTGATTAGGCATCGGTCGTCGGCGATAAACATTCCTCAAGGAGAACTTCCAGTTCTTGACAAAGACTTTGATGATTCCCATTCCCCACCAAAAGAGCCCAGAATCATAGATCTCTTCCTTCTTTGCAATTTCTTTCGATGTTCTCATCCTTCACTCTCAAAGACATGTCAGATGTATAGAATCACACAGCGTGAACCAGCCCGATGACGTCTGGTCGTGGCTTATCGCACTCGGGCTTATCGGCCACATGGGGCCTCGGTCCCCTCTTGCCGGAGGCTCCCAACGAGTCCTTTTCTCTCCTTCTCACCATCTCCCAACAGACTCGCGCGCGCAATCCCATCTAGATCCTGCATTCTAGACGCTCATCCGATTGTTTCATCCGTCGAAACTGCTACATCCCCTTCGATCCAGGGGTATCCGGGAGCAACCATGGCGCTGTACAACCAAACCGTGGATTTCCTCTCCGAATCCTGGGCCAACCAGCGAACACAACTTCCCCTGTTGGCCGTAACGGGCGCATCTTTCACGCTCGGTCTCCTGCTTCGATCAATTTTCAGAGGCGATGTGCATAAACAGACTATCCTCATCTCGCCCCGCTCAACGACTGGTTCTACCCTGTCGGAGGAAGAGAATCGCAAACTGCCAGTCCCAGATGACGTGCTTCCCGGCGCGCGCGATGTCGCGAGCCCGTATGGGTCGATCCGAGTGTATGAATGGGGTCGAGAGGATGGACCGAAGGTTTTGCTCGTGCATGGCATCACAACGCCATGCATCGCGCTCGGCGGGGTGGCCCATGCGCTCGTCGATCGGGGTTGCCGTGTAATGCTGTTTGACTTGTGAGTGCTGCTTCAAAATCTATGCCAATGAGGGCGCATTGACTGATAGAGATTGTTTAGATTTGGGAGAGGATACTCCGACTGTCCGTCGGATCTTCCCCAGGATGAGCGGCTTTTCGCTACCCAGATTATGCTCGCGTTGACTTCATCACCTATCTCCTGGACGGGAGCTGGATCGGGCAAATTCTGCCTGGTTGGGTACTCCCTGGGTGGTGGAATTGCTGCAGCATTCGCATCTTTCTTCCCCAAACTCTTGTCTTCGCTCGTCCTTCTTGCACCCTCTGGTCTTGTCCGCGATTCTCAGATTAGCTTCCAAAGTCGCCTTCTGTATGAGCGTGGCCTCATGCCAGAGTCTCTCTTGTCATATCTCGTTGGTCGCCGTCTGAGAGCTGGCCCTCTGGTCTCACCTAAGAAGAATAAGAATGAGAAGCTCAACGCCGCGGATGCTCTTACCGAGGAGTTGCCGTCGCAAAGCGCGGCGGAGATTCAAGTCCTGTCTCGCGAGTATCCTCATATCGACGTTCCCTCAGCTGTGGCGTGGCAAGTAAACAGCCATTCTGGCTTCGTTCATGCGTTCATGTCTAGTATGCGTCACGGTCCTATCTTGGGTCAACGGCAATGGGGTACCTGGGCACGCCTGGGCGAGTATCTGAGTGCACAGAACAGCACTGTATCGGATGAGAAGACCGAGAAGGGATTGCCAAGTGACAAGGTTCACATCCTCTGCGGTAACACCGATGCCATCATCATCAAGGATGAGCTTGTGAGCGATGCTACCGCTGTCCTTGGTGGAAACGCAGTCTTCAAGTTCTACGAGGCTGGTCACGAGTTCCCCAGCACTAGATACGACGAGGTTGCAACTTACATTGCGAAGTTGCTTTAATCGGAATAACCGTGGGATTGGAAGGTCTGGCTTTTAGTTATTGAGCGTGTTTTGTGTTTGATATACACATCCTTTTTCCCGCAGAGTAACTTCATTCGGTACAAATAGAAATACATAGACAAGGACAAACATTCTATGATACATTTTTAGGTCTTGCATAATTTACAAATCTCGCAATCCTGACCTAAACTTTTTGACTCTTTGCTGACGAAGGCTGGTCATTATTTGGACTTCAGGATATCATCCACCGCATTGACCTGGTTTGAGAGGCCGTTCATGTGCGTGGATCGCTCTCCCATTCGTGCTCCAGCGTAGTAGGGACCGTCAGAGGCTGGTGCCCGGGCAAAGCGGTTGACGCTATTTTGGCTGGACCGTGGAACTTGGCTGACATTGTTCTGGCTGAGAGAACCGGCAGCATTGCGGGAGCTGGTGAATGAAATATATTAGTACTTGACCAAAGAATGGGGGTCTATACATCGAATAGCTTACCTAGAGGAGGAAGGCTCAGGGATAGACATGGTTGAAGAGTGTTGAGGATTGCCGGAAGAGTTGTTGACTGGAGATTCCTGTTCTCGTCGATGTGCTGAATCCGCTCCAAAGATGGAGAATAGAAGAGGGCAGATGAAAGTAGCCACAATGATAGATGGAAGCCGGTGATAGATTGAAGCTTGAAGCAAACCCGTTTGCCTCTTTTGATATTGTAGATGATGATAGAATGGAATGTGGTTTGAATCGAATGATAGTCCTGAAACAGCAGGGATGACAGCTCTATATATGCAAGAGAAAATGAGCTACTCGGGCTATGCTAAAGCATAGACATGCCCTTGACAGGCACGCGAGCCTTCGACAGGAGCTTACACTTCCCGGCCCACATGGGCAGATTAGGAGCTAAGCAAAGAAGGGGAATGGAGGGTAAAAGATCATCAGTTCGCATGAAGTGCCCATGACGGTACATCTCCACCAAAAAGAGCCTGTGGTACCCCCCCCATTCCACCAACTTGGACGCGCCAGGCGACGAGCAGTGTCCGCATGAACCATATCTGGGTGGGCCTGGAATTCGAATCGAGAAGGCGCTAACCAGAGTTAGGTGTAGTGGGAAGAGCATAATCCCAAACAGGCGACCAGCTCGACGGGATTGGTCCCAAGGGGGGTTGGTGGATGTACATTGAATTGGGGGCCGCGGAGGGAGGCAGGGAATCGAATCGGATGCAGATGTGCCCGTTGGGCCCATGAGTGGTGGAGATGTGGAGGTTCCACTTTCACGATGCACTGACGAAAAGAAATGATACTAACTATACTAGGAGTACTGGTTTCCAGGGGAGTTGCCATGCCTCCATGCCAGGGACCAGTTTAGCACATGGCCAACCACATGTTTCTTACTATAGGCAGAAAAAAACCAGATCTGCAATCTGCGTTTCGTGGAATGAGCCAAGGGATGGAGTTCAGTAGTTTACGTGCAGGTATAATACGCATGTTCAACGTTGGATCTTGAGAGATCGATCAAGGGTCATGGAAGGGGAAGAGCGTCATGGCGCATGGCCTAGAACGTATAGCGCTTAGACCGGCTGTGTTAAGGCAGGACTAGGGGTCAATAAGGAGGATCTGAATGGATCAATCAGAGTGGCCGATTCTTCGGGCGGTAAATGCGCACATTGCGCGGAATTCTCGCGTGGTTGCTCGAGAGAAGCTTCAAGGGTGAAACAATGTCGTGGGCCCAACGTGGTCCATCACATGGAAGATCACGCATTGGTCCAGGGGAAGCCCTCCACTTTGCGAACCTCCTCGCTTCTGACCTTCTGCCCCCACGCCAGACTCTGAACATCACCAAGAGAATAAAAAAGGTTTCACTGGCGAGGCGGCATTTCCCCGGCCACGCGCGGAAGTATATTTCTCTCCGTTTTTCTTTTTCCCACTCTACCGGTGCTTCTTTGCTGATCTCTCTCTCTCCGAAGACGTGGCCTAGGTCAACCTTGACCCTTGTCTGGCTCATTATGCGGCGTCCGGCAGTTGAACTCATTCCAACTAGAGTACGCCTCGCTGCTAAGCCTTACGATCCAGCCATTCTCCATAGTGGCATGGCCATAATACCGCTCCTGGAATGTTGATAACCCCGGACCTAATCCGGAGAGAGATCCTCGGAGATGCAGAAACTCTTTTGAGCCACTCTGAAACAAGGCGTTTCGCGTGTCCTACTGTAAGAAAGGGATGGCACGTGGGCTGCCTTGTCTAGCATTCGCTGAATCGCTGCAGATACTGGCGTTGTATGACCAGTCCAGCGCCAATGTCGAACTGACCGAATCTGGCAGGCATCAGCCAGATGCATCTCGCCCTTTACGCCACGAAAGTGGCGCCTGGTGCTCCTCGTACTGGTGTTCCGGGAGGTACAAACAGTCACTGGATAGAAAGTACTTGTTTACGAGACAAAAGAAAATAAAAGGAAAACGTGGAGTGTCTCCCAAAAGGACAACCCCCGCTCGACTCGAAGTGGCTTGCGGTCCGCTCTATCCGTGAAAGGCGGCGGGAGTTTCCCTCCTCTCGGAGTCTCCGAGCCTCGTGCGCTGCCGAGTTATGCTGTGTAATATGCTGTTCATCAACTGACTGATCTCAACCATTCTGTGAATTGTGAATGGTTGGCCTAGAATAGCCCTAGACGTGCCCTCTTCTCCGCCTTGCACGCTTCACAGCCACGATGCCCATATGGAGCCGTTTCAGATAATAAGGTTTTATTTTCCCACGCGTGTTTGTTCCCTGAGCGGATCATTCCAGCCTCGAGAGAGAGCAATGTTTAACGACGTTGCGGGTCCACTGGATGCAAGGCACGCCTGGTCTGAGCGCCGGAATCCCAGCAACCTTATCTCCTTTCGGTGCTAATTGTCGATCTCCATCCTCGAGATTCCCACTCGCAGGTTGATCACATGATGAATGATGAGCCTTCCGGCGTTAGTGAGCCGCTCGTCCGTCCGCTGCAGCCGATCGGTCAAGCTGTTCGGTTGTATCTTGCTTATTTCGATCATATGTTGGTTGGGATTATTCTGTACGACTCGAGACAAGTCCCGCGCTCACCGATTAGTCTAGGCGCCGCCCCAACTGGTTAACATATGCCCTATTTTTGGCCTTTCAAGAACATTAAAGGGAGGCTCCCTAAAAAAGAAACCTGGCAGAGTTCAGAGTTGACCAACCATTGCCCCCTTAATTTTCTTCGATATTCTACCTATCACACGCATGAGTCCAGTGCTTGGAAGCAATTAATGATTCTGCCAAGGGGCAGTTCACTTTAGTTCTCCCATACACTCCCCAAAAACAGCAGGGATCTACCGGCTGATCATCCCTTGAGGGGTCAACGTTTGCTCAACTTACGAATCACGCAGAACGCCTCAGTCTGAAACGCGAGATCATGCTTGAACTGTGCCTCTGTGCCCAGCGGGTGTAGGCCGACTGGGATGCTGAAAGCACCAAAGGCGTTTCCGTTGCCATCGCAACTATTCTGAAACAAGCCATACCACGAGGGACTATGTCACTATACGAAGTTATTCATCCTTGGCGGTTCGGGACTCGACCCTGTTGTGAAAAACTGGGGGTGAGTGCCGTGATTCCACAAAACGCCTTTCGTACTTATTGAGCAAAACAATGCGATCTAAGCGTTCCCAGACCCTGAAACCATTGCTTATGCGGTTTCTTGCCCCGGATCACCCCCGGAGTAAGTAAAGTCTTCAACCCAGCCCCGAACCCCCGGGACCGAGTCCGTAAAGGTTATCCTTGAATAGCCGATCCAGTGTAACAACTCCTTACCTTCATTTGTGATAAAAGTATGAAGATACTCTTGCAGAGCATACGAGGTATCACCTTCCAAACAGGGCACACCGAGGATCGTAATATCCCAACAGTTCCGCCTCGTCCAGCTGGTCAGGTCATTTCCGTTACAATATCCATCAGAAGCATCACCTCCATTAGCTAATAGATATCTGGCCCACCACGAATCAACAAAGTACTACAGTGCCCGAGCTGGGCGCCGTAGACGGTTGATCTTCGGCTGGTCTCTTTCTCAGAGCCAACCAATGCGCATCTTCGAGTTGGTCGTCGTTCGCCTCATTGCTTTTTTCATCACTTTTTCTCGAAGGCAGTCTTGTGATTTGCAGGACTACAAACAAATAGTCTAGCGCCAAACCAAACTGCCGGGACGGGGATGGCGGACACGCTCTCCGGACAAGTCGACAACTCGAAACATTAGCTCAAAACTTATTCGTGGTTTTGGGGGGTGCGGAGGAGTGACATATCATCTTTTTGGTTCGTTTTTGGCAGTTGTTCTGTTTAATTATGACGTTGTCCTCCTGCCTATTGTGGGCCTCGTGATGGGATAGCCCATGAGGCGGGGGTCCTTCCATCGACACTGTCAGGTGTTAACAATTTTCTGCGGCAACTTGAGTCATGAGTTGGTGGAAAAAGCAAATCTTCTTCGAAATCAGATTTGATGATCGAATTAGGGGAAAAAAACGAAATGGGGCTTGGCGCGAGAATCAACGGCGGATATTTCTATCCGCGGAGTTCCAAGAAAATACCGTCTCGATAGTTGGGTTAGTGGACGTTGCGGTGGAGAAAAAAGAAGTTCTAGAAACAAGTATCCACTGTCTTGTATCCACCGTCTTGTATGCCCAACTTCGATGTGGCAATCAAGACAGGAATTAACGCGGCGTTTTCGCTAAGGGGTAATTCGGTGCAGAGATTTCAAGAGATATGTTTGCTTCGTTGATTATTCTTCTATTGGCTTCTGATCTAGGCGCTGTAAGCGCAGACTTCATATAGGGTGAACGGGACTTAAGGCATCTTTGATTGATTGGGTTTGAATGTCTAACTACTCGGGAAATTTTCAAAACATCAAGTGACCTGATTGACTATGATGACCTCCCTTGTAAAAGCCTTCTTGTCTTGGGATCATTTTGTGGGGGCGTTTCCCACCTTGTCTAGATGCAGGTTCATGATCACTCGGGCGGGTACAACGAGTTTCTTTATCTTCTGACATGCTCGGATATGGGTGAAAAGATGGGATAGTGTAAAAAGACTAATCATATACTCAAAATCGTTTCGATTTGTCAATGAAGAAAAAAAAACCACCAAAGATTAGAGAAAGCCACTAGAGACAGCGATGTTGTATCCCGGCCGTAGTGACCGGGTTCCATTTTGCCATCAGAAGCATAGCAATTAAAATTCGAGTAGAGACTATACAAAGGTAAAGACTTTGACTCTCCAGAGGCCCACCTGAAGTAGCTCATAGGTAAGTGCGATATGTCGCGCCGTAGATTTTATAACATGGCAAGCTTCGGGGACGCTGAAGAACCGAATGGCCTATACCGATCACTTTTTTGCTTCAAATTTGAAGCAAAGCATAGTTTTGACATATACCTAGGCGTAAATATCATTTTCAGAGGACTTGACGCTCGGAGAGATGAGCCTAGGTCTGAGGAGGTGACGCCTAGTGCCTACTATTGGCTCCACTGCACAAGATATATATCGAGAAAGTTACGGGGAAACCTGTATACTTTAAACTGCTGAACTTTTTAAGAAAGGTGGATATTACTTCACAAGCAGTCTTGTGCTCTCTTATAGCAAAGTAAGATTGATCCGTGGTATATTTCTACTACGCGGTATAAGTGATTGCCGAATCAGTGGAAACGGGACGAGTCCTGGGACCATCGACGAAAATAGCTCTCGTCCCCGGAAATAGTCACTCAAAATAACAACAAATTTAATCTCACCGTTGATCTCACGTAATTATCTGCAGCTAGACTCATTAAAGCCTCACAATAGAAGGTAAATTTTGATCACGTAGGTCGCATTGAGAAGGGGGTGCTCTTGGCACCCAATCACTAGCATGACGTAGCCGCTAGTTGATACACAAAACCTGTATGATGCATCATGGAATGCTGTCATTCAATTTCTTTTCACTCTGGTATGTACCGAAGGGGTGTTCTAGCCCCAATTTTTCAAATCTTGTTAAATTAGACATAGGCCACATTTCCTGTCCCATGTGCGCCGAAGGCAACCATTACCCGGAATAGGCCCAGCTACTCGTTAAAGCGATGGGTCTAATCTACATTTATCACAAATCGATTGCGATTTTCCTTCGAGGCCTTGTTCGCTATAGACTAGATCTTCATCCGAAACCAGATGAGATAATATCTATCCCATCGCGGGATACTGGTCGGACCATCAAAGCCCATGTCTACAAACCAGTCGGGGAGAAACGGAAGCATCCCAGTCCCGTACTGATCAACTTTTGTGGAAGCGGCTTCGTCCTACGCACCTTTGGCTCCGATGATGAATATTGTCGATTTATCGCTGACAACACGGACTATACTGTGATCGATGTACAATATCGACTTGCGCCCGAAGACCCATTTCCTGCGGCTTTCAATGATGCCGAAGACGTTGTGACATGGGTGCGATCCTTGCCAGAACAGTTCGATATCTCCCGTGTCTCACTGTCAGGTTTCAGTGCAGGAGGGAATATAGCTCTGGCAGTGTCTTGTTCATCCTCGCTCTTCCAATCAGAAAACAGTCTAAATGTATTCCGCACAGTCATGGCGTTTTATGCCCCGGTTGACATGGATCTTCCAACACCACAAAAGCCAATGGCAGATCAATCAAATTTTATCATGCGAAGAATTTTCCCAACCTTCTCCCACTTGTGTCATAAATGTCTGAATTTTGCCGGTGCGGATCCAAGGGACCATCGATTGTCACCGTTGTTCGCCGATCCAAGCAAATTTCCCCCGAATGTGTTGATTGTCACTGCTGCTCAGTGCTCTTTTGCAATTGAGGCGGAGAAAATGGCGGGAAATATTCGTAATGTTGATGGCAAATACGTTGTCTGCGAGAGAATGGACAGTTGTGCCCATGGCTGGGATAAGGAAGCTATTCGAGGCACACCACAGTGCGACGCGAAAGACAAGGCATACGAAATGGCTGCAGATATGCTGCGAAAAAGAGGAAAGCGGAGCTGAAAAGCCTCCGATGACAGTGTTGTGAAATTTGATACCCATACATGTTGAGAAATGGCCTAAGTTTCCTGCTCTTTGGCGACCTTGTATTTTAGGGCGATGGGAGTATATCTATGACACGCCCCATAAACCCAGGGGATCTGGACTGCCAGACTGGCTTCTCTGGGCCTGTAAACTTTTCACGCGCTTCACGAGAGTTCCAACACAGATAGGACCAATGATAGTGCACAGTGTAATCGCCCATACAACTACCAAGTAGATTTCCGAATTACCGTTGTTGGTGTCTTTATCGGGTTGAGCGAACAATCCACCTGTTTCGGCCACAGAAGCAATCAGATATCCTATCTCGCCTCTTGCGATCATCGCCAGTCCGACGATGGAGGCTGGATACAAAGAGCGGGTCTGTTTTCCTGGTGCATTGTTCTCGGATAGGGTTGAAGGGCGGACTTCGGCCCCTGAGGGTTGCTGAGATGTCTGCGTGCTTGTAGAGCCGCGGGATGGGTCGGTAGTTTTCTTTCCTTTCTTGCTTCGACCAGGAACTTGTCTCTCGTGTTCTTGTCTGCGATGTGACGCGCACCAGGTAATCGGAATTTTTACTGCCCGTTTCAGTTTCATCATGCCTGATACTGGGCTGATGGTGATTGGTAAAAGCCAGATACCGGTGACGATTTTCGCAAGTGCCATAAGTATGGTGTACACAATACCTCGCCAGACCACCTGGCCCTGAAACATCTGCGTTATCGGAATAGCAAAGCCAATTGAGGCCTGCTCAGTCAGCACGGTGTCTATTAAGGGTGGAGAGGAAGGCCAAGTCACTCACGAAGAAGAAAGGGCATAGGATAAAATGAAGTGGTTGCTTGCAATACATATCAAAAGTCTGTTGGCCCGAAGCCATTGGAGGTTTCTTCTCATTGACAAGGTTTGCAGATGAATCTGAATTCGATGCACTGCTCTCTTGAGTATTCGACACAGCTCGATCATTCCTGTCTGGGGTTCGGGGATTCATCTCAATAGAAGATTGCGAGCTCTCATTGAAAGAAACGATGAGATCACCAAACCAGGAGATACAAGCACCAGCAAGATATGCTGCAAAGAGACCCGAAGTACCCGCATATGAAGCTCCAGTCACGAAGCCAATCAAAATAGCCATATATAGAACGAATGCTACCTGAGGTTCTTTGCCTTTGCGTAAAAGGCTCATGTTTGCTGCTCTTAACCTTCGCACAGCTGGTTTAAGAGCGAAGCCACAGAGAAGGACAATTCCAACGGCAAAGCCAATAGCCACACAAATTGGACGGACGACTGTCACTGTGCTGAATGACTCAGTAGTGGAACTGCCCAGGTTCGATATGATCTGAACCATGACAAGGCCTGCCACATCATCCATCATTGCAGCACCGCTGAGTACAGTTCCTAGTCTCGATTTGTCCAGACCGGTTGTGGAAAGAATTGTAAAGGTAGTCCCAATGCTTGTTGAACACAGCGCTGCTCCAGCGCCAAATGCTTGAAGGGGTGTTGCGTCCACAAGCCGCATCAGTACAAACGACAGGCCCATTGGAGTTGCCACGCCCGTGAAAGCGGCAATTGCTGATAGGTGAAGATTGGCCTTTAGTTGCTTAAATGATGTTGAAAGACCGCCTGCCTCAAATGTTAGCTAAAAGTCTATAGCCAAAGCATCGGTGTGCAAAAAGAAAATCCAAAACAGAAACAAAAACATACAACAGCCAGGATTCGCATGTGGTCACCCACCATACTACTAACTGGCCGGCGTGTGGCCTATGTGCGGCAGATAGTCGGGTGGCTGCCGCCCGGGTGAGTTTAGGGTGAGCGCCGCTTTACGGTCGCGCGACCAGGGTGAGAGAGGGTGAGTGCGCAATAGACAGGGTGAGAAGCTGGGTGAGAGCGGGTGATTCTCACCCTCCGTCGCGCGACCATCGCACTGACCCTCTCAGCTGAACTCAAGTAATAATATCATTGGTTCACATCGGTCTCACTGAAACCGTAGTCTCTTGGCACTTGCAATGCAATCAAATACCAACCCAGGATTCGCCGAATCAACTGCAAGGCTGACATGCAAGGTCGCCTTGGGCCGGAGTTGCGTGCTTAGTGCCCAGAAGATAGCATAACTAAATCCGCGAGGTGACCAGACCACATCACGTGGCACCAACCACATCGCATACCTGCGTCCAGTCCCTGAGGACCTCGGTCTATCGGTTTGTCCGATCCCCGAACTCGGCCCCGAAAATATCACCGCTGCAATACTTTTTATTTAAAGAGCTTCGTAGATCAATCAAAGCAGTTCACCCAATTACAAAGAACACTTAGTGTACTCTCCTTCTTTGCAAATCCAGCTCTGGACATTAGAGAACGGCAATGTGTTAACATGATTCCACTTTCAGCTTTTGCAAATTACTTCAATAGCCTGTCTTCTCATATCCCTGTCGCTCTGCGTTGATTTCCAGGTACGATTCTGTGTGGCAAAAACCGATTCGCTGGCATCCTATCTACAATCCCCTGCACTTCATACTCTACTATGAATTCGAGAGGAATCATGGAGCCTTCCTCTCAGGCGCACAATAGATTTGTCTAGGTGGTACAGTAAGGTGAATATGGCTTCAATAAGGATCGATCAACTCTCATCCCGGAATTGGGGTAATTCCGGCGCCCGCACCCCGAAACGATCCTTTATTCAGCATCAACTGAAACACCAAGTAACGTAATTCCCGGTTGTGCCGTACACCCGGTTGTGCCGTACACTTTCCCCTAGTGGAACACTTCAAATCGATTATCTCAACCAGCACCGATCAATTTAACTAGATATAGCGATTTTTACATGTATTAATCCTGTGGCCAATCTCCCTGCACCCACTACACCTAGGTGGTGCCCTCTTTGCTGGCATAATTGGCTGACTAGGCAATTCAACCTCTGCATGCGAATCTACCCCATCATCTTCCTCTGGCTGGTCTAGCTGCTCAGCTAGCTGTATAGCCTCTTCAATGGTTAAACCCTCTGTGCAGGGTATCCTCTTAGTTGACCGATTGCGCTTTTTGATCATCTTCTCATTCGCTATACGCAGATTCGCATTGTCCTCTGCTAGTAAAGCACCGCTATGTAGCGCTAGCTGGAACCCCTTGATCATCTGGTCTAGGATCTCTTTTGATGGGCTCGGAGGGCTATTTGACCGCCGTTTTAGTAGATCTTTTAACATAGAAGCTTGCTTGAATAGCTGAGCAGCGGTTCTAGGCGTTTGTGGTGTGAATTGGCTAGATCTGCTGCTTGGACGGCTGCTTGGTGGTGTTGGTGTTCGTAGAGAGATATTAAGCTTGTTAAGCACTCTCTCGGCATCTAATGGTACTAGACCACTAGCTGCGAAGCTATTCTTGATAGTGGGATTGGCTGATTGGAAGGCTTCTTGCCGTGCGTGTTGGTAATCCACTAAGAAATCGTGCTTGTCGATATGGTTATATCCTCTACGCGCAAGATCGCTAACGAAGCGACCGTACGCGCGCTTAACCACTGCAAAACACCCAACATCTAGTGGTTGTAGTAGATGCGATGAATGCGCAGGCATACACAGAGGTATAATGTCGTTTTCTGTGCAGATTTGGTCGAATTGGGGTGTGAGATGGCTACCATGGCCATCAAGAATCAATAGTCGAAATCGCCCACGTATACGCGAATTCGTATGTGGGATAAAGTGCTTTTGTAACCAGCGTAGACCAATCTCATCGGTAGTCCAGCCATTCTTTGAGACCTCGATTCGCCAGTCTTTCGGTAGATTTTCGTTAAACCATCCTGCAATAGCCACTTTACCTTTGAAGACTATGCATGGCGGTAGTGAATAGCCATCTGCGCAGATTGCTTCGATCGCAGTAACCCATTCGCGATTTCCTGGTTGTAGAAGAGATCTCCGACCGTAGTATTCGGCCCTTGTGACTACTTTCTGCGAAGATATAAGGCCCATTGCAAAGCCTGTCTCATCGAAGTTATAGATATCCTCTGGTTGTATACCGTTCTCGTCAATCACACTTTGTACGGTCGCGAACCACTGCCGAATCGATTTCGGATCTTCGTTTAGTGCGCGCTGGTAGTCATAACGTCTCGAGAAGCGTGTACGAAGCTCATCGCGTCGTTTAATGAAGGTTGATGGCCAATTCTTTCCAACGGTAGGCGGAGGGGAGCTATCGCGCGCAGCTAGTAGGATATTGGCCATTACTCCCACAGTAGCCGGTCTAGGGGATGCACCGCGTGAATCCATAGAGAGTATCCATTCAGTAAGCGAATCCTCTTCAAATTGTGTTAATTTCAGGCGAGATGGGCGAGATTCAACGCGTGCAAGTACACCTTTCGCGCGGTCGGCTAAGGTTGTGTGAGGTATTTCGTATAGCTTCGCTACAGCGCGGATAGATTTGACGCGGCCATTTTTAATATCAGAAAGGGCTAATAGGATCTTGCCTTCCTGCTGGGCCAGTTTTTGCGAAGATTCAGAGCGAATTGGCGGCATGGTAGGTGGTTGAAGGTGGTGTATCAGTAGGAAGACGCGATTTTCGATGGGGTGTACGGCACAACCGGGAATTACGTTAACGTAATTCCCGCTTATTCGGAACACCCGGTTGATCGGAACACCCCATCCAAAATCGCGTCTTTCTACCCACCTACCCACTTCAACCACCTACCATGCCACTAATTCGCACTGAATCTAGCCATAAACTGGCTAATCAAGAGGGCAAGATCTTATTAGCCCTTTCCGATTTGAAGGAGAACCGTATTAGGTCTCTCCGCGCTGCAGCAAAGCTATACGAAATACCGCTCACAACACTACATTCGCGCTTACACGGTCAATCCTCACGCGAAAATAAACGCCACCCTCGCTATAAATTGACTGAATACGAAGAGGATTCGCTTGTTGAATGGATTATCTCTATGGATACGCGTGGAGCAGCCCCTAGGCCAGCTACTGTAGCCGAAATGGCTAATATCCTACTGGCTACGCGTGGAAACCAACCACCAACTACCGTTGGTAAGAATTGGTCATCAACCTTCGTTAACCGTCGCCCTGAGCTTCGTATACGCTTCTCACGAAGATACGATTACCAAAGAGCCCTAAACGAAGATCCGAAATCGCTTCGGGAGTGGTTTACGACCGTATAACGTATAATCGATGAGAAGGGTATACAACCAGAGGATATCTATAACTTTGATGAGACCGGCTTTGCAATAGGCCTTATATCTTCGCAGAAGGTAGTTACCAGAGCAGAATACTACGGTCGGAGATCTCTTCTACAACCAGGTAATCGTGAGTAGGTTACTGCGATCGAAGCTATCTACGCAGATAGCTATTCGCTTCCGCCATGTATAATCTTCCAAGCTAAGGTTTATATAGCCGGTTAGTTTAATAACCTACCAAAAGACTGGCGATTTAAGGTCTCTACCAACGGTTGGACTACCGATGAGATAGGGCTACGGTAGCTACAGAAGGTCTTTATCCCACACACGAATTCGCGCGTACGAGGTCGCTTTCGGCTATTAATTCTTGATAGCTATAGTAGCCATCTTACGCCCTAATTCGACCGAATCTACACAGAAAACGATATTATACCACTCTGTATGCCTTCACACTCATCGCATATCCTACAACCTCTTGATGTTGGATGCTTTACGTTATTAAAGCGCGCGTACGGTCGCTTTATAAGCGATCTTGCCCGTGTTAGATATAACCATATCGACAAGCTTAATTTCCTAGAGGACTACCAACGCGCGCGATTAGAAGCCTTTTAACTAGGTACTATTCAAAATAGCTTTGTGGCTACTAGTATAGTACCACCAATCGATACAGAAAAGGTCCTTTCAAAGCTGAATATCTCTCTACGAACCCCTACACCACCAAGCAGCAGACCAAGCAGCAGATCTAGTCAATTCACACCAAAAACGCCTAGAACTGTTACTTAGCTATTCAAGCAAGCTTCTCTATTAAAGAATCTACTAGACCGACGGTCGTAAACCCCACCTAGCCCAATCAAGACCGTGGTAGATCAGATAATCAAGGGTAGTTATCTATCCTTACATAGCGCTACATTACTCGCGCAAGAGAACGCCAATCTACGCGCAGCGAATGAGAAGAAGCGCCAGAAACGCAATCGGTCGCATAGACTGATACCCCATGAGGGTGGGCTATCGGTTGAAGAAGGTCTACAACTAGTAGAGCAGCTAAATTAGCAGGAAGAAGCTGATGGGGTAGTATCGCATGCACAGGGCGAATTGCCTAGTCAGGCAGATCCACCACGTACTAGGGCACCTCCTACGTGTAGTGGGTGTGGAGTAATTGGGCATAGGATCAATCAATGTAAGAACCGTTAATAATAGGAAATTATATCGGTGTTGATAGAAATAATCGATTTTGAAATTTTCTAATGGGTATGGGTGTTCCGATCAACTGGGTGTTCCGAATAAGCGGGAATTACGTTAAATGTACACGAATTACCTCCTGCTTACTCACTATTTAGAACGCACTTTTTGGCATTGTAGAAATTTCAGCACAGGTACATAGTTTTCTGAACAGAGGTGTCGAATAAGGTTGTCCTTAACCTGGAAGCTGAAATCACACACACGCACACACACACCACACACACATATTAATGCTCCCAATAGGGACAATAATACAGTAAATTCATAAGGTGATGTACAGTATGTATCTGGCCTGTCTTATGGCTAGACTTTCGCGTCGTGCGATTTCAGACAGTCACACCTTTTGTCCCCTTTTTCTTACATCTCGTCATTCAACTACAGTAGCGACCGCTATCGCCTTCCATGTTACTGCAGAACAACACAGAAGCTTTTTCAAACCCTAACCTCGTGTGACACTAACTCCAAAGTACTATAGTTATTTTGTACTTCGAGAGCGGTTCCGGGATTGAATGGTATATTACGAACAAGACAAGCGTATGGTGTACGGTTACGTGTTGTCGCAGGCCCAAAATAGACCACCCCGCTCGATACAGGCTCAAATCTCTAGCATTCTCACCCAGCACTCACAAATATCCCAGTCTCCCTCATACCTGCGGCTCTCAACTCTCTAACGAGGCCTACTTGCAACAACTGCTGCAAAATGTCGCAACCCACCACCATCCGCGATCTTCCAACTGAGATCCTACACATAATAGCCCATCATCTCGATGCGTTCAGTCTTATCTGGCTGCAACGTTCGTGCCGGCTCTTTCGTGAATTAATACCGTCTCCTTCTCATACGGAGTTGATAGAAGCGGAGATCACTGAATTCGGTACCCAGAACGACTTATACGCCTGTCGGGATTGCCTAAGATTACGACCAAGAGCAAAATTTGCGGATAATATGGTGAGAAGGAAAAAGGCTAAGTGGATGGACAACCGTTGGGATCGGTGGTGTGTGGACTGTGGCATCAACCCGCGCCCAGGCACTAATCGGTACACCGCTGGCAATATCATCGTAGTCCTAGGTGAACCATATGTTATCTGCCTAGAGTGTCGGGAATTCAGAGCGGCCGCTTCAGAAAACGGGAAGCCGTTGTCTGTATGCCAAGTCTGTCGTCGATTTACAAGAGCAATCGAAGATCGAAATGAGGCTCACAGAGCACGGCAAGAAAGGGCCCGTCTGCGAGCTGAGCAGGCTGAACGAAGAGCCAGAAGACGTGAGACGTGGGGCTCAGCTTCTGACAGCGACGACGTATTCCCGCCGAGTCCTACATCTAGTGAAGAGTACATGGATATGATCCAGGCCGAAGCCGCCACATACATGAACAGCCCCGGGCCTGGGTCTGATTGAACATCCCTCGATAAGATCGACAGCTTTTGTGGAGAGTATTGAGAGAGAGAGAGCCATACTGTCGAGGCTTACCTGTCAACCTGATTGTGGGTGGATGCGCAGGACAGCGGCAGGCTCCGAGTGAATCAAAGACGAGAGAAATACTGACAACTTGCTTGTGCTCAATTTATTATTCAATACATGGCCTGTTTAGTGCAGTCAGTACCTCCCCTTAACTTGTACTGCCCTGGAGGATACTTTGTACAATCTAGTGATGGTGAATTACGCAAAAGGGGTTAGCGTGCTATTTCGGGTTTAGCGCATCCCTGCGCGTTACTCTCGCCGTGGTTTCTGAGAAGTCCCCTCCATCGCCGCTTCAACTCCTCGCTGCTTTTCGCTACTCTTCTCCTCCCTTTCCTCCCGTCCTCTTGTGAACCTTGAGAGTGAGGCAGTTTTGACATTGATCCGGATCACCCACACTAGGTCGTGTGCTCTGGCTCAAGCACTTCGGCGATAGCAATTACGAACAGCGGCGCATTATTGATCCAGCATTGATCAACCAGTAAGACACTGGAAGCATGTCCACTTAGTAAGATGTCGAAAAGCTGCAGATATAGGTGGATACTCGGAAAGGAGAATGTATCGTAGTCCGAAGTCTTCGCGTAATACGGAGGATTTAGGTTTATTCAATCATTTGTGTCTCAGAGACTGTGTCTATACCAGTCAAAGGTAAACCCAATTTGCTCAGGCTCACCCGAACAAAGTAGACGAAGAAGTCCACGCCTCTCCAAGTCCAGGCAGACTCCTCTTTTGGAAAGAAATTCCTCCTCCAGGTTTCTATCCACGTCATCAGGGTTGTCGTCTTGAGCTCGCTCAGTGATTGCTACCTTGCCCTTGGTCCTGTGTGATAACGACGTCCACAACTTAACAAGGCCATGCTATACCCCGTGAATTAGGCGGCCCATAACCATACGCCACCAGACGATGAAAGATAATTTGACGGGGGATTTCAATCCATTGTTTCCTTCCTCTCTGTTTCCTTCTCCGTTACTTCCTGCCGGATCGGTTCTTTCATGCAAAAGCCTTTTTGTGTGCGCGGCTAATTCTGAAACCGTGACATATTTGTGATGCCAGCACTTCTCGATGACACTGTCAATTAATGGATCGCCATCCAATTTTGGAAACTCCATGTTCTGTAGTAAGTCCACGACCTTAGGACTATGCTCGTAGGGATCCTCTGTAAGACATCGATCCCCATAGACTTCAAAGCCATAGTTTATGAGATAGAACAAAGAACCGAGCGCGAACTGCTCTGTTCGAGGGCTCAGGAAACCGAAAGTTCCACACTCTCCTTGGTCCACGTCATTACTATTAAGTATCCTGCTATATAGAGCCATGCATGCTTCGTAATTTGTTCCGATTTTAGCCGCGCAATCAAAATCCGATAGCTTTAATCGGTTACGATCAAGTAGGATGTTTTCCGGTCGTAGGTCGCCGTGAGCGAGGTTAAGTGATTCCAGGAAAGCGATAGCTTCAGCGAGGTCGTTCATCCATTCCTTGCGCAAGGACAGAGGTTCCAACTTTTCCACTTTCGTAACCACCATGGTTTCCTAGTCTCGAATATGGTTTTTCTGCATTCTAGAAGAAAGTGACATATCTATTAGAGTAATTAGTGGCTAAGCTTGTTTGTTATCAAAAGGGGGTCGTACCTCTTATGTACTCGAGGAAGATGCCGTTGTCCGAAAAGAGGAAACATTGCACGATAGACGGACAAGGCCGTTTTTGTGCGAATATTCGATATATCTCTAGCTCTTTATAGAATTGCTCTCTCTCAAACTCTCCAGATTTCGGGACCTTTACCACAATTAAAGGATGGACCTCGTAAACAAAAGAAATTCCTCCCCCCTAAATCCAATGCATAGTAGGGAATTGGCGTTGAATATCCATAAGATATGCTAGTTGGGAAGAGACGGTTAATAAGTAAGACCAGGGGCAGGTTTTCTCTGTTGAGAGAACGGAGGATCGAGGAAACAAGGAGGTTGAGTAAAAGGGACACAAGTGTCGCGGTCGCCTAGAGTAACTTCTAATTAGTTCAAATAAGGTTGTGTTATTGCCCTTTTTTTCAGGCTACAAAGGCTAACTATGTTGCACTGTGATTGAGAAGCGTTGCTGAAACATCCTGAGAGACAGACTGTGCAGCAAACTAAAGAGTTATCTGCTCGTCCCTGTCTTCAAGCTCAACTTCCGCACAACTTTCGAGAACTCTTCCCAAGTGTCCCGTAAACCAGCCTGTGCGGCAAGGTGAAGAGGTGTCCGACCGTTTTTGTCTTGACGATTGAAGTCTGCCTCACGCCCGAGAAGTCTCGAAGTCTCCGATTGCAGTTTAATCTAACTCAATTTTACAGAACAGAAGAGAGTTAAACTAGCTCATCGTATCAATCGGAAGAATTCTTGGGCTTCCGGCGCTTATCGCGTACGTAAATTCCTTTTGGTTTACCTTTCCGAGGAGGATATCGGATGACATCAAATTGTGGCAAGGCAGAGAGTAAATCGCTGATTTTGGAATACCCGTAGGTTCGAGAGTCGAACTCGGGGTGTTTTTTTGTCAGCAAATTGCCAATATTGGAGAGCTCAGCCCATCCATCATCGTCGGAGGCGGTTTCTATCGTCGTATGTAGCAGATTTATGAAATCGACGTCTCCTTCTGCTTGTCGCACTGGAACATGATTTCTCGGCATCATAATCCTGTCAGGATGGGGTACAAGTTCCTTGTTGTAAATAAGATTTTCGATATAAATAAACTTGTCACAGGCAGCGACGAAGGGCTTCGGTGTTTTGTGTTCCCCAAACCCATATACAGTTAATCCAGATTCGCGAATACGAGCGGCCAGCCGTGTGAAATCGCTATCACTTGAGACGAGACAGAAACCATCAAAACGACCAAGATACAGGAGGTCCATCGCATCTATGATCATCGCTGAGTCAGTTGCATTTTTTCCGTGAGTGTAAGCGAATTGCTGTATTGGCTGAATAGACTGTCTGAGGAGCTCCTCCTTCCACCCACTCAAGTTGGTACTAGTCCAATCCCCGTAAGCCCGCTTTACATGAGCTGTGCCATATTTTGCCACTTCCGCCAGTAAAAGCCTCGCCATAGATGGCTGAGCGTTGTCAGAATCAATCAGAACTGCCAGTTTCTGAGTGGTGTTGCCGGCCATGATCATGTATATGGATGACGTGAGTGTGGTTTTATTGTTTTACGCTTTGCCCTTCTGTCCTTAGACGTAATTCTTGATAAACTTACGTGCAAGTATTCAGCAAGCAATGACGTCGACTACGAACGAGCTGCTCGGTGACCGAGTTTATCCGATATAGAGCCACTTGGTTTTAGCAATCCCGCCTCGGATGATAATTGGTCCCGAGTTTGGTGGATTCGTACCGACATGCTTAGCCAGCTACCACTCCACGCAGCAAGATACCATACACAGGGATCCACCCGAACAGACTTAGATAGAGTCATGTCGTCGTATGCGTCGTCCATCGAGTCATTAATCTCTAGCTACTTGCATAGCCTGTACTTCTTCCAAGTGTAACTGATGAGCTTGTTGTAAAACCCCTCGTCCTTGTGTAGAATCTGTGCTACTGAGACTTGCCTGTTCCACTAATTGTGTAGGGAATCTGAAATACTGCTGGCGATGGGTACTCGCCATTTGTATTTTGGAGCTGAAGTGCCTCTTGTGGATTATCCTTACTCTGTACACTCAAACAGGAGTGATCTGCTATTGTTATCATGGCGAAGAGTTTGAGCAATTGGATTAAATGGTATCAATGAGAATATTTGCTTTCCTCCCTCAGTCTACCGTCCTTCAAAGTCATGCTATAATGTCTTTTCAGGATCAGGCAATTGAAATAGCTCAGTAACTTCCAAGGTTATGCGAAACTGCGCATCGAACTTCTACCCAAACTTCATTTTCTGCTCTCTCCTAGACGCAGCCGAAACATACTCAAGCTACAACATCCATTACGTCCTCTCACCCGTTTCAAGCCGTATGTTTGACACCTAGATTAGTGAAAAAATCTACCTACTAACCAGATGATTTAGGAATTGGTGCATAGCTATGTGCTGGGAACAATGGTATACCTATGTCAACTGTGATAATAAAAAAGTGTTCGGGGGTTTGATCTGTCTTCGGCCTGGCTGTAGCAATGCTGATAAGAGAAACCAGTTTCTTGGTCAGGATTGCGATGACTGTGACATCTGTAAAGATAGAAAGCTGAAGCAAAGAGATCTTCACCGAAGCAAGATTGATGCTGCTGAATAGAGGGATATGACTAAAGCAGAAGGGGTAACACATCGTTAATTAGGAATTTGATTCTGGAGAATCTATGCGCAGACAGCAATCTCTGGTACTATTCAAATAGGATCCCCCGCCCTAGCAGGATTGGGCAAATTTTCTATATATCAGATAGTTTCCAATCCTCTTTCCTTCATACATTCCTTCGCAGACAGGTTCACCATTATTTTGTGGTTAACTCCAACTACTCAATTGCACTATGTCTGATAAACACCCGGGCAAGTCCTAGAGAAGAGCGATACTAAAGCAGTGCTAAGTTGGGAAAAGAGGGATGGGTGATTCAACTTCACATCGAGCCACCTATCTTCGTTCACCAGTCTCTCCTGGATGACTGGGTGAATGCCTACGGGAAACAAGATTTAACCACAACAGTCCCACAGATAGAAAAAGCGATTAAGGATATCGAAACCTGTCAGACAGCAGGACCGTTGGACTCGGATAAGATAAGGGGAATTTTCCGCAGGCATGTAGGCAACAGCAACTTCTTCGAAACGGGACTCGGCAAATATATTCAAATCGCGGTACTTGTGGGCCATGAAATTGACCCAAAAAATATCTGAAAGGGTCACATGCAATATGGGACGAGAAGTCTCGGGCAAAGTTGGAAGTTATTGCTTTGCGTGGCAAGGATTATTCTAAGGGGCACCATATGATCCAGGCTAAAGTGGACTACCTGGGATACAATGCTGGTGTGGTCAAGAGTATTGCAGGACTGTACAAGCTGTTGTACTAGAAGATTTGTTACTCCGTTACTTGTTTGCTATCCTGTCTGTGCTTGGAGGTTTAACTAATGTACCTAGATCTTTTCCCGTACTACGTGCCACCCACATTCATAATCCTTTATTTGAGAAAATCACAGTAACCAAAAGATATCACGGCTTTTCCAACTTAATCTGCACTATGTCTGATTACCACTACCATAAAGGCAAGTTCTGAAGGAGAGCGATATTCAAAGCAGTGACTGACTTACGACAAGATGGATTGGTGCTTAAACGCCACAAGGAGCGTGATATATTCATCCCAGCGTTTCTAGTGGACAGCTGGGTGAATGCCCACGGAGGAAAACTCTCGGGGGTATCGTGTAATCCAGGCAAAATTATCCTATCAGGGTTTAACGCTTGTGTGTTCAAGAGTATTGCAGAACTGCACCAACTACTGTACTAGAAACAATTTTCATTTAGCCGGAGTTTAACGAATGTAAGCTTAGTTACTTACAATGACTACGTCGTGATCAAACAGCGGAGCCATCACCCTGGTAGGAGACGATTATTCTTGTAAGGCAGTGAAAATTCATATAAGCAGAGCATACCTCGCTCGTGGCATGAGGATAGTGAAACTGTGTTAATCTCAATGCACAGGGCGGGTTGCTCTCTTCTCAATTGTCTTTTCCGAATTGCCAAATACTTATTACTCCTGCCAGACATATGCGTCATGTTATTGACGCAGGGACACCGATCGCAGCACGAGGCTGGGACTTAAGTGGAGGTAGTTGGGGGCCATTGTTCCGCACGTTTGACCGAATCATTCTCCTCGAACCTGCGTTTGGGTTTGGCCCCCAACTGCTCCAGTCCTGTCGGGCTGCATCAGGCTCGCTACGGTTTCAGTCAGATCGATGTGAACCAATAATGTTCCCGCGCTAATTGAATCCTTCTGAGAGACGTAAACGAAAATTTAAATTCCGGCACTGCTCATAATCTGTAAAAACCACAAAAGCCCTTATAAACTCCTATTAACAATTTTCGCATTGGACCATCGACTTGCAGCTTAAGAACTAGTATCTGCCATAAGGTGAGAAAAGGGATAAACGCGACTTTCGCCGGGCTGTGCTTAGAAGCGCCACCACAATATCGCAAACGTTGCACTGACCCCTTAGGCTGAAATGGAATGCGGCTGGCTATCGGGGGTTAGGCTCTCACCTAGAGCCGCCTGCTCTTTCCATAAATGTCAGCATAGACCCTATGGTAGCCTCCAAATCCCTGACCTTCATCTATCAGATGAAATTCCTTCGAGGCCACTAATTATTATTCTACATGAGCGATCCATTTTCTGTGGCTGGGAGCGCGGTAGGCGTTATCTCGCTTGGCCTCGCAGCCTGTCAGGGCTTACTGGCTTACTATGGGCCATTCAAAGCGTATGATGAACAGATCAACGACGTTTCAAACCGCATAAGAAGTTTCGACAGTACGTTGAAGGCGTTACAAGATGTTCTCGCTAACGGGCAAGCTTTTTCTTCTCTGACGGCTCGATCAGCAGCAGTCACACTCGACTCCATCTTTAATTGCCAAGAAGGACTAGAAAGATTAAGCAAGATGCTGGATAAATGCAAAAGCACGAACACGACATTTTTGGGGTCCAAGATCCCAATCAATAGAATCCTGTATCCTTTCAAACGCGATACACTGATAGCACTTTTGGAGACAGTGAGCTGGCTGCAAGCTCATCTCAATACCTCATTGCAAATACTGAATATGTGAGTCTAAATCGGAAGAAGAAAGTATTTCATCGCTGATTGAAAACTTCAAGGGCTATGGTGGCTGTTTCTCAGAAGCAAACAGACATGGCCCTCACGTACTCAGCATCGAGCGCCCTTGATACCAGTCAGATGTTACTCGTGGCTCAAAGGTCTGATCAGCGCGGCATTAGCATTGAGCACAGGCTAGAAATACTTGAAGATCATCTTCAAAAGATGGTATAGCTTCCCCCCGATCAAAATCTCCAATAATTCCATCCTGGAGCTGCCACTTACGATTTTATTTAAACCTAGAATTATGACAACTCCCGCAAGACAGCTCGGCCAGCTGTAACGCCAGGCCTACTCCAATCGGCATTAGAGCACCAACGAATACTAGACGAAGAATCGCATAATCAGGGATCTATTCTTGTTTCTCAGAATCGCCGCCGAACAATATGCTCATGTGGCACGACATACTCCGTAAGAGCGCACAACGCCGGTTCAGCTTATACTAGCGGGTGTGAGCTTCACACAGAAAGTAAAACCATCATTACTTTACTCAGTCGCCGAATATTCTGCAGATGGGCCCTAAGAATCTCCCTTGAGACATCATTCCAAAGTACAATCGGAGCAGGAGGCTTCTCGATCAGCCCAAAACTTGAATTTCGTGCCATTGTGCCAGAAAATTCCGAGATATTCAGCGTACTTCATGGTGCAGAAAAGAGTTTCAGGTCTCAAGATGTCTCTACTGTGATACATAATACCCGGAAAGCTCTATTTGAAGTGTTTCGTGAAGGCAAAGCATCAAAGTCGGATGCTCTTCGAAGCGGCGATACTATTCTACATGTGAGTATCAGATGCTTTAAGCGTCCTCCCATTAAAAATAATCTGGCGCTGGAATTTCTTAGCCTTGTATTTGAATTCCTTTTATTAACCACAACTATAGGTAGTCACTAGTTGGCAGAAATATAGTTCTCGCTGGGATACACGTTCACGGCTTACCTGGCGTTCGTTTATCAAAAACCTCTTACAAGCGGGCCTCTCTCCGGACCGCACGAATTACCGCGGTCAGACTCCTGCTGACAGCATGATCGATTATTTTGGTCATGAAGGCAGCGATCTGGAAAAGCAGCAGATAACGATTGATATCTGCTCAGACCTACTTGGAGCCGGGGGATATATGACCCGAGAAGCCCTTGATTGGAGGCATAAAGAGAACTATTATAACCCTTTTTACGATATGTCGCTAGGAGATGGACGAAGACATGATGACTTGTTCGAAGACTTTAGCTTTCGCCTTATTTGGAGAATCGCAGATGAGAGGGGGCTCGAAGGTAAGCACACTTCAAAAGGTAATCTGAAAGAATGTGACGCTGAATTAAATCTAGATATTAATCTCCCAGAAGAGCTACAGCCTCTTATATATAAGTCAAGAAAGCTTTTGACCGCACAATTAAGAAGAGGGATCGATTTCCATCGATGGATTGAAGCGTACACCCGTTGGGGGGATGGTTTAGACCTGATTCTTCAATCTGGTCATGCGCCAATTAAACGCGCCCTAAGAGCGGCATGCGAAGCAAATTGCGATGAGAGCGTCAAGATATTAGTGAATGATCATAAGTGCTTCATTGGAAATGAAGACCTCATAATCGCCAGTTTTCATCCTAACCAGACTATTGTTGATCTAGTCATTAGCGAATTCATTGATCGCAGAAAGCGGTTACAGGCTCTTGCAGAGGCACACTTACCGAGAATTGTCCAAGATCAATTACGCATCGAACCACAAAGCCTACTGAATGTCCATGCTTATGAAGCATATACACTACTTGCTGCGACTTCTGTGGATTTGGAAGGTCTCCTGGAGCGTCATAGATGGTCAGTCTTTGATTGTGTCGGTGTCAATCTTGATTTGGCAGACCGGTTATGGAGTGCTGGCTTCCGAGGCGTGGATGATATCGATGACGATAACCAGACATGTCTGACAAAAGCTTGGAGAAACACACCACCCTGTGATTTGGAAGACTTCCTGAAAAAGACTCATTGGTTGATCAGTAAAGGTGCTGATGTCTATCACCAGAAATCATCTGGATCGGCCTTGCATGACATAGGAAATAGCGTGGGATCAATTCTATACTTGATGAAAGAAGAGGAAGACTTTTCTTCAAAGATTCATTCGCTGAGTGAACCTTCAAAGGCCTTATTGAGAACCGTTCTTTCCGACAATACTCGAGATGATTGCGAATGTGCCTGCTCTCTGAATGGATGCTCTCCACTAACGACCCTTTTGAGCGGACTTTTGCCCACACGAACTGACCATGAGACTGTGGCCAAGCTTATTCATCTCTTTGCTGAATTATTGAAAGTTGTTCTCTTTCACTCGAAATCCGAGCCCGAGCCTGATGAACGCTTCAAGAGCCATTTGAGTATTGGCATACTTCGCTTCATCACGTTCAAAAGCCTGAACATCACTCACACTTGCTTGCACGAGTACAGACAGATCGAGCCAGAAGAGATAGAAGAGATTCAAGCTGAAGAGAGACCGATGATATTAGATCTCCAGAGGCTTTTGACACAATTTCTCGAAGAATCTAAGGTTCATGGCTTGCAACTTTCGAGCTATATAACAGGACAGTGGCAGGACAACATGGCTTCATTTCTATCAACACCTAGACCTCATAGTGTACACGAAATTACTCAAATTCTTGAGTTGGGAGTCATCCTTGATGGTCAAGAGACACAATGGGGAAAGGTTTCTGCATCCTAGCACCGGCCGAGGATCGTTAGGAATACAATAATTGTGCTGCTAGAAGTAGATCAGAGCAGAATCTCATCGATTAAAAATACGTGTCGGAAGAATCCCGGATCAGAGGGTAGCTAGGAATAGTCGGCTTTGGAATAGGAACATGTCGAGTAATGTGGGGTAGTAAAAATACACCCGAAATATTTTAGCCTCATTTATACTGCGATTCTTTTATCTGTACTAGGGGTTTCTCGATACTCCAAGAATCGGGACTTTCAACCGCCCTTTTCAAACTCATGCAGGCAAAGGGCACCCTATCCGTAGCAAGGACTACTGACCGCCGAAAGGGGGTCAGTAGTCCTTGTTAAGATCTCGCATCTTCCGCTCTTTTCATCCTCTCTTCAATTCAATTCATCCTATCTGGATGCATTGGTCCCCCTTAGTAGATTACCTCCATTCTTGCATACAATGCCGTACTGTATCAGCTTGCTGTGACAGAAGATTTTGGTGACTGAGAGATATACGTGCTTAATTAAGAGTAGATACTAAAAGGATCTTCCATCCTCTTTCTTGATCTACTCCCTTAGCTACACACTAACTAGTCAAACAGGGTACGCGTATAGTTGCTCTCTGTACGGGGCAGGACGACTTATCCAATTTCCCAGTTATCGAAGTCGCTTGGATTTACCATGTTACAGGTGTTAGTCAGCAGTGGGACTTTTTTTCTTCATGTTGCCTTAGACTTAAATCAAGAGGGAAACGGCAAAGGGATAGGAGTGAAGAGGAATGGAAGTCGAAAAGGTAAGAAAAATATTGTGAGGTTCTGCAGTGGACCTCCGGTCTCTTCGGTCAGAGATCTTTTAGACGGCTTTGGATGGACTGTCTTGATTGGCGGAATGTAGATTGTCACGAAATGAAGATATGCTTGGCTCAGGTTTCGAACTTTAGGATTCGGTCCAATATCGATATCAGAAGGACCCTTATCTTCAGTAAAGATGCGGGTGCGATATTGGGGGAATCTTGTAAACACAGCTTCTGCAAACTAATGAACGCAAATATAAGTCGGAAGCGGGGCAGGTTTCTGGGGCATTTGGATTAGGATATCACTACTTACCTAAATCTATTCCGAGAGATAGTTAGTATGGTCAAAAACTGGCAAAATGGATAATCTATAAAATTGGTAAATCGACATTAAGTGTGCCCCTTGAAGAATGACCATCCATGGTATAAGGAGGATGATCGCGCGGTGAAGAGCTGAAAATTGGGGTCTCGTTATGGATTATGATTACTGCGATTCGCTTCGTCCTAAGCCCAGACCTATAGTGATCCATATTGGTGTACCCATATGGGACAGTGGCTTAATTAGAAAATAGATACAAGAAATATCATAATGAAAGACGAAAATCCCTTAACATCGATAACGCCGTTTTTCCCACAATCATAGTAAATGCTGTTAGGCCCTAAAGGCACCAATAATAGCCGCAATCGGCCGATGGCCCGTGGCACTTCTGGCAGTAGCCAGGAAGTGAGTGGTATATGGTTGAGCGATTAGAGATGAGAAGGGTAGAGACAGGCTAGTCCCTTGAAACGTCCTATCATTTACCGCCGACCATTCCCTTTATCTTATATACCGGAGTTTTGGAGTTGAGTTTGACCCCTAGCCCCACTGTTTCCTTGGATGACGAATCGATTGTGTCATATAACTGTTAGTCAGTTGATCGCCTCATAACTAGTTAGTTAACTAGTTAGAGCCTTAGGCAAGTCTGCATACCTAACGTTGCAGTATTTTGCCGCCCGGGATGAAAATATTAAATAGCGACTTCCTCGAGTATTCCACCCGCCTACATCGTTCCGATTTCCACTCTCACATAATTGGCATATAGTTGTCTCCATTTTCTTTCTAATTATCATGAGGACTTAGTATATTCCTCGTTGCCTCTTGCCAGACTTTACGTGGCAAGAAAACAACGCTTTGCCGATCGCAACCGAAATACTACCCACGCCTCGACCGACACACCCCTTACTGCGCCGACTCTAGGGCTTTTTGCATAATTATATGCGACAATTCTCTCGGTCCTATTATAGCTAGGTTGGGATCGCTTACGATAACTAAATTGCTCAGCTTCCGTTTGGCTTAATTTTGAAATGGTCTGACGGCACGAGGCTAGAAGAAGTATTAGCTATGTAGGTAGCTAGGGTAGCTAGTTTCCCGGTTCCAAAAGTGATTTACTATAGAGACCATCCAGATACTCCATATGCTCCCGTCCTAATATTAATAACTCGCCTACCTGGCAAAGAATTGGGCTAAGTGTATGAAACACTAAGCAGCGAAGATAAGGAGTCAGTCTTAAAAGAGCTCAAAAACTACCTAGAGGCGATGCGTGGATGGATAAACCCGTGGGGTGGAAAGAGAATCTGCTCTTTGTTAGGTACTCAAATTAGGAGCGTTCGTATTCCTAACCACTTTGCTGGCCCATTTAAGTCCGAGGAAGAATTCAACGAATATCTTATCCGACTATCTTAGTCTAGTGATTTCTCCTCCGAATCAGCGTACAATGATGCACTCAGTGTCGTTAAATGTATGGATAAGATATCACACCGTATTGTTTTTACCCACGGCGATCTTAAACCACATAATATCCTTGTCAGGGCGGGCCGGATCATAGGCTTTCTGGACTGGGAATCGGCAGGTTAGTACCCTTACTATTGGGATTTCACCATAGCATTGAGATTCACGCGGGAGGAATTTTGGTGGTACAGCTTTGTGATTGTCCTTAGGGGTGGCACGTATTTAGCGGAGTTAGAATATGAACGCGTATTGACTTCTTTAACAAGTGCTTTATATTACTGGTGATTCTCCACTAGGCTCTTAGTTTGATTGGATTCCTGTTTCCTCTTGTGCTGTTTTAGCACAAATAATTGCGTAACTTATTACTATCAATTATATTGCTTAAGAGATGTTATGTAGGTCTACGTTTCAGATAGGCTAGAGCCACCGCCGAGAAAGGGGTCTTTGCTACCTATAGTTGTAAACTGATTAAAACCCACCTGGAAACAATTCTTACCTTCGTGGGGTAAGCATTTATTAACCTGGGTCTGCGGTGCTTACCACACGCGTGGTACTATTAAGAATATTACTTAACTACTAAACGTGATTAAGCCACAGAATACAGCTCGATCCTCTGGCTGAGAATTGGCGCCTATTGTAGGGCGATCATTGGCTAGGAATAGCCGATGATGATACCTTGGTTTGGGTATAAGCCGTCAGAATCATCTTCTAGGCGCGCGCCAAGAATTGGGCCTATTTCCGGGTCCTGACCATAAGTTTAGCTAGCTGCCTTTCAGGTATGGTAGGGTTACGACGTAATGTAGTCATTACGAAACGTAGAGTCTGACTATACTGTAGCGCCCTCCGTAGAAGCGCGCGCGAAAATGCTAAGTTTAAGAATTTATTATTGCCTCTTTTGCTTATACACGCGATCTTTCTGTTGTTGGTCGCTAATGAAACGCAAAGGGAAGAGTTAATCTCAGCATTAAGTAGTCATAAAACAGTCTAGAGCATTGTCGACATTCCATAACATAATTTGAACCAACGGTCGCTGCTCAGTTGTTGAATCATAGATTATGTAGTACAAGTACAAGTATTAATTTTTAAATGGCCAACCACCGCTGGCAGCTGATCGTGACGGCCGACTATCCGAAAAGCATTCATCAACAGTACCGGAAGCTGCGAGCCGAGAACCCGGACAAGTTCTACACGACGGCCAACGTCGCGCCAGCCAAGCTCGATGACCTGCTTGACGGTCGCGATATCGGGTATCGCATGGACGACGGCATCCCGGCTCCCGGTACCAAGCCGCTGGCCAAGTTTAAGTTGGCCAACCTGCACGTCGTCGTCAAGGAGTCCAAAAGTACCTCACTATGTGGCAAGCTTTGAACCTGCCAGACCAACCATGATAGCTCCTCGGGAGCTGCAGAGCGCAGGGTAGCAGCCAGTTGAAAAAGAGCAGTGTGAAATTTCGATAGCCCGGCTGTGTACTCCTTGCGCCTACGATCACTATTCTCATCATATAGACACTGTTGCGCACTGGTTGCACATTTTGTACACGGCGTTGTTCCAGAACACTGTTCCAGCTTATGATGTTAGCCCCGTCGTCAAACTCAGCAGTTGTTTTTATGGGATTCGACCTTAGTCTTCCTTCTCTGACACTCTGTGCAAGCAAGAGAAACGTTGCGTCGCATCTCTTTCCCCGAACCTGCTTCCGAGGACTGCATTGTGCGCTTATCTTCCGCCGGGAGGAGCGTACGTAAGGTCTTGATCTTCCCCATTGTAGATCGAGCTCTGTGTCAAATAAAGACTAAGTGAAGGTTGCGACTGGGCTAGGTCTGAGAAAAATTGTTGCAAGATCAAGGAGTGTCAAGAACTCAGGGGCAAAGCAAAGTAGAACTTTTCGGTTTCCTCATGCTCGACGATTTCTTTGTTGCTTGATAAAGTACCGCACCCCATATAGCAAACAAAGAACGAACCATGGAGACCCACTGTGGCTCCAATTACCTGCCAGTCCCTAGTCTAATATGGAATCGAGGGAAACCAAGGAGCCTTCCACTCAGGTGAACATTCGAATCCTTCACACACGGAGCGACCTCCATAATGCATCATCAAGCCACGGCGCCAAGGTGAAACTGACTAGGTTTCTAGCAATGGTGGACACTGCCTCATCGAGACTGGCTATCTTGTCGACTCGACGGTCCATACTATTCTCTTCATTTCCAGCGGCTGCCTCGACAACCTAATCAATGATAGCTATCGGTCTCCTTAAAATAGTGCCATCACTTTGACCTAAATGTACCGAGAAATGATAGGCGTAATGGAGATGATGGGCTTGTCTTGTCCACGGTCCAGAAGCGAAGTCGTCACCTCTTTGCCATTCCCTCAGATTCCAGACAGCCCTGACTAGCTCTTCTGCTTGTGTCCTGGCCTTCTCAATATCCCAAAAGCAGGGCTATCGTCTCCTTGCATTTGTTTCTAGCAGTAAGTAGCCTTGGCACTTAATTAATGCGATACAGAAGAGCATTTCACTAAACGATTATGCGGATTTTACCTGAGTGAGAATCAAGTCATCTTCTGAATCGTTACAGACTGATGGCTCCGGCCCATTTGTTGGTCCAAGCACAAGGTTTGCTAGCCTCCCTACGAATACGGGCATGATTACTTTGATATTAACAATCAAATACAGTGGCTGATCGTAGCAACTTTATTGAAGCGCACGCGAAAAATGCCGAGTTCAATGACCTGTCATAATTTGTTCAAGCGGGTTCATTGGAGCCCAATTCTAATGAAATAAGATCTATGTTTAGACCAGGGGTACAGTACCCCAAACACGATCGCATGTAGCCCAAGCGCTATGCCTGAGGTGAGATCCCTAGCTGCATATTAAGCGCCACAATGAACTCCAGAGGTCTGTCAATGAGGTAGCCATCAGACTGTGAAAACGCTAAACGAAGCGCTAGTCAAAACGTCTGAGCACGGTCCTGTAGCTCTGGTAGACCCCAAGATCTATTGGGCACCCCAGTGCAATGTCGAGTTTGAGAAAGGGCGGTTCTCATGCACTCACTTAACAAGCCACGGCGTCAATTTTCAAAAATTGCTATTTAACGATATTTGAACTGGGTAAGAATCTTCTAATCTACTTAAATAGCCCCAGAAATACCAGAAACAACTACAGTTTCGCAATACTCCTCTGAAAGCACTACCTACCTTCACTACCAAACATGTATGAAATCATGAGAAAAGCAAATTGGGGCCTACACTAATACGGAAATGAACAGATACTGTACTGCAACCAGAAAGTTTGTGCAAAACTCAAAATGACCGCGAGTTCCGGCCAAACTGGGGCTTGTTCAAATTCGAGGTGTGGCCATTTTAACAACGAACATAACACCTTTAAGTGCAAGGAAGCAAAGTGTCGCAAAAGATGGAAGATCTGCCAAACCGGAGATCATGGTGCCACAGGAGTATATGCTATCTGTGCAAAATGCCGCGACCACCCAGCAGGCGGTCCAGACGGTTTCCATGAATACATCGACCTCACTGTCTGATTTGATTTGAGGGCTATCCGATGCTTTCGAGCCAGCTTTCGACTTGTTTTCTCTTTGGACTCTCTTGTTCTTCCAGATCCGATTCTAAATCATCGCATACTTCTTCATCATCACTGCCTTCCAAGTCAAACCAAGAATGTTCGTATATGGGTCTTTCGTTGCGAGGATACCCAGTCGATCTTAGCCATTCGAATATCCCCCGTGTGGTTCCTTCCGAAAGCGATTGAGAATAGAAATCAAAGTTGAAATCATCAAGCCTAGCCAAAGGTCTGTTGACTTGGTAATCCGATGCTTTGATGTGAGGCAAGGTTAACTCTGTTCCGGAATCTCGAAGTGAATTGTTTTTGGTCAAAATCCATTCCCAGTATTCATACTCTAAACAATGTGCAGCACATTGAGCATGTTGTTGGACTGGAAGCTCTGTATCGCAAAGCTTTGTGAATCCAAAGGGCTTCCATGGCCAGACTGGAGGCCGTTCATGGCCTTCAGAAGCCGTAATAAAAAGCAACCGGCATTCATCATCACGACGTATTGATTCACAATGATTATTACCCATCCTTAAAGTCAAAAACGTCTGAATTGTTCCAGTCCAGGCAGAGGCTGGAAGATCCAGAGCCATCATACCTGTACGTATGTCCCGTAAGATAGGGGTTGCCAGGTCTACAAGGCTTGCACCAAGCCAAAGTATCCCAAGGCGAGGCTGTCGATTTGCTAACAAAACGGCCACTGCGGACTTCCTCGAGGCGATCGAATCAATAACCGCAAAAGCGGGGTTCAACCAAGCACTGACAAGGTTACAGTCGATATCTGGATTGAAAAAGGTACTGCATAAAAGAGAGCGCAGACCCCATGTATTGGAGCTGAGGGTCATGTATCTAGGGAGCAATTCGCTGAGGTCGTTGATAAGCTCCGCGATAGAAACAGAACCATTTTCTAAAACGAGCTCTCGTTCCTGTCGACGAGTTTGTTTTGGGACTGGAAGAAATAACGTCCTCCGGGGCAAAAGTGGGATATAGAGTACTCCAGCAAGGGCGACTGAACACTGCGCATAAAGGCCATGGTGCGTGCAAAACCGAGAAAGATAGCTGAGAGCGGTCAACGATGATGGTGGCTTTGGCTCAGCACCCTTTAGTGCATTTGTGACGGTCAACCCGGTATGTTTTGCTGATAACGACCACGGCGACAAATAAACATGGCCATTGTACTTGGTGCTCGCATTCCAACCGTCGTTAGAAAACAAGACAGTGCGCCACCAGAAAACTTCTTCCACACAAGCATCCTCGCCAATGTCTATTTGGATCGTCGATTGCTCATTGGTTGGTGAAGAATTGTTCGCTGCTTGCACATTGTATCCCATATGACAATCGTGATCCGCGGAACGACTAAGAGCCTCAACCCATCGAGCGGATAGAATATAGGCCCAAGCGAAGTAAAGGACCGATATGTAATTCCCCCTATCGTAATCAGAAAGCCCTTGGACACCGGGCCAACTTGAAAAGGGTGAGTGTTCTGAGAGCCTGACACTCAGACGACTACTACCTGCAAGAAGAAGTTGCTTTCGCAGAACCCTCGGCTGAAGGGTACAGGTTCCTTCTGAAGTTCGCCATGTGGACTGCCCATTTATAACAAGGCTACCTATTCCATGTGAAGATGGTTTCTCCTCACAGGAGAACGACATTTCCTCGCTGGAGACAAAGCCATCGCCAAGGAAAGGTGGGGTCCGGACAATGAGGCTCTTCAAGTCTACCGCATGCCGGGGGAATAGGTCACCTTCGCTTTCAGAGCCCAAATAAGAAGTCCATGTAATAAGGCTCTCCTGCAGGACTTGTGAGAATTCATCATCACTTGGACGTGCGGCATCAGCCATCCTCGCGTAGGTCGAATGCAGATGTTGAGCGTTCAACCCCTTATTTGAAACAAATTGTAGAACTGATGTGGAGCAGAGAGTCAACGATGCCTCTGAGGCATTGGTCAAAACTATTGAAGTAGTTGCAGGTTTCTTGTCGACTTCAAATGATATCTCGAGTTATGGTGTCTTGGGACTACGAGAGCGAGACGGGGAAGGACCTGTTAGTACAATCCGCTGCTGTGAGGAGTACACGTGACTATGTGCGTTCCAACTTCCAACCACCATCATCCATGCCCTCCGCTCTCCCGTTTCCTGCTTCTCACATAGAAGCAGGAAATGTATAGGTATCTAATGAAACGACCAGCCTTGTTCAACTCTGATTTTATCAAATGGATGCTTGGTTCGAAATTCAGGCCATGGCACCTAGCCTAGGTGGGGCTGGGTTCCCAAAAAGGATTTCCTAAACGAGAATAGCCCCTACGTGCGTCGGTCCGTCAGTTTGTCCGAACTCCGAACCTGGCCCCACCCCTTCGCAACTTCAACGGGATCAAGCTGAAAACATAACCGCTGCAATACTTTGTTTGAAGAGCTCCATGGATCAAAGCAGTTCACCCAATTACAAAGAACTTTTTGAGAGAGAATCCAAGTTGCGGAGACAGGCCGAGGAAGAGAGACGACAGGCCGAGGAAGAGAGACGACACGCCGAGGAAGAGAGACAACAGGCCGAGAAACAAAACAGGCAGTTCACTCGAAAGACTTCCCTAATAGAATATCTTCGAACCTGCCATAACTTGCTCTCCCGCCCTTTGCGTGTGAGAACCCCGTCTCGTTCCACGAAAGGAAAAATACCAGCTCCTCAAGGGAAATTTTGCCCCGCTCGCCTTCTTCCATGGACAGATTGTGCAGCTGCGCAGCAGGAAATATACGATTCAGTTTGTAGCTACCTCCAAACAACGAGTGACCGCCCTCCCCGGTTATTTTCGACAGTTGCGCGCCTTGAAGGCCTCGCCGACTCGTTGGATCGTCCGCTGAGCAGTGAACGGGACCTTGAAACGTATGAAAGACTTGCCGTTGAAAATCACGTACGAGATATCATATCCGAACTCTGCAAAATACCCGAGGCCCAGCAACGATTTCGTCTTGGCGATGGTGTCTGGTTCGAAAGCCATACCAACAGCCTAGAAGGTGATGCAGCTCAGAGTGATAGCACTCTCGACGAAGTAGACCAGTCGTCAACACAATGCCGACCAAGGCCTGACCAGTTCTGCATCCACCGAGCTGACGACAAACATTCTCTGCTTATGACTGTGGAATACAAGCCCCCTCATAAACTGACCGTTGAAAATCTGCGAGTGGGTCTTCAACCAAGGATGGATTTCTGGAACGATGTGGTGCGACGGAACGAAATACCAACCGATGAAGCTGAGAAGTTGAAATATAATGCAGAGCAGATTGTTGGATCGGTTCTCACCCAGGAATATCATGCTATGCTCTGGGAAGGCCTTGAGACCTCCTATGTGACCATCGGCCTTGCTCTGGTGCTTCTCCGAATACCTCGGGATGACCCGGGCACGCTACTTTATTTCCTTTGCGAGCCAAATATGGAAATTGATGGGAATGATGATGACAGCTATCGACAACCAAAGACAGCTATTGCTCGGGTGCTTTGTCTTTCTTTGATGAGTTCTCTTTCAGCCATCCGCGACCATGCTTGGCGAACTAAAGCAATGGGTCAGCTGAATACTTGGGCGACTAGCTTTGACCTTGTACGATCCCGAATACCTGATGACGAGCTGCAGCAAGCTCCGCCTGGCTCTGAATATACAGGATCTCCTCATGCTAGTACCGAAGGCACTGGTTCTGAATGGCTGCCATCGTCACCCATGCCATCGCCCACACCACAAGGCCATGCACAAACTCGATCTTGTTGTGCACCCTCGCAAGCTGTTCCTTGTCCAGACCAGTCTTCAGACGACTCGGATTCAAATGAAACATCGCCTGAGGCTAACCGAAAGCGAAATCTCAGCCAGGTCGCATCTTCCCCATCCAATCAGTCACCAAGGCCCAGAGGCTTTGGTAATCATGGAAGTGGCACCAGCAGTCAACACACCACGCAATTTTGCACGCAACGCTGCTTACTTGGGCTTCAAAAGGACGACTTGTTGGATGAGAATTGCCCAAATGTGGACTTGCATAGAAAATGTCGAAATGACGAACGGCATCCCATTACAGCGGAGGCCTTAGTCCAACAACTGAATCAGCAATTGAATAAAGACCTTGATCATTATTGCACCCCTTTGGGTGGCTGTGGGGCTTGGACGTCTGGGGCACCTTTCAAGATTGTTTGTGCACGATATGGCTACACGATCATTGGAAAGGGAACAACCGAGCGACTCTGGAAAGATGTCTCCAATGAAGCACTGATTTATCGTATCCTCCGAAAAGCGCAAGGATCCGCCATCCCGGTTTTCCTAGGGACAATCGACCTGGCTATGACTTATTTCCTCCATGGCGCGGGTGAGATTCGACACATGCTGCTTATGGCTTGGGGCGGCGAGAAAATAAATGGATTGGAGCTTTCGGTGAAGCTGAATCGTGATCATGAGCTTCGACGGTCTAGGAAAGAAATTCACTCGCTCGGGGTGGTGCATGGCGACCTTAGTGACGGAAACATACTGTGGAATTCAGAGTTGAAGCGAATACTCATCATTGATTTCCATGACGTGGCACTGAGCCCTAGTCTGAAACGGAGGCAATCGAGAGGGATAAAGAGGAAATTGCTCGAACCGCAGCATCAAGAACGAAAACGCCTTTGCATCTCTCTGACATAAGACAAATGTACGCAGATGTTATCCAACAGGGACAGGGTCGAAGTGTAACCATGGTCAAGCTCTGGACTGTTACGTTGTGGGTTTCCAAAAGGGAAACTTATGTTCTTTTGCAAGAAATACAGGGATACCTCGTATCATCACGCTCAGATAACGTGAATAACATTGTAGTTCTGAGGTCCCTGCATACAGTATATATCTCAAGACCCCGATGAGTATACTGTGGCCTTTAGCCAACAATTGAAGAGACAGAAGAAGCAGATCAAGCACATACTAGCCATAAGGACGGGAACAACGAGGTGGAGAACAAGGGCAATGAGACTGGAATCTCAGGTATCTCTGGAGACACATGAAATAAGTGTAACTTAGATTTACTTGCAGTGTACTCCAATTGACTCGATGATATTAAAAGTCAAATGGTTACCCTCTCAGGATTGAACTAGAACAGGCATGTTCACTGGAAGCATCGGTCGCGGAGGAAAAGAGAAAATAAATGCAGGCCTCGAGGGAGCAATTTGCAGCTCTACCGGAATTCGGAGTCCTCCAGCAGAAATTCAATGAAAGGCTAGACAAAATTCTTCGTCACAATATTTCATTAGGACTAGCGCAGAGAAAACTCCCTGTTCATCCCTTTCCGAATGAAAGCAACCTTCTTACCTTATCGGATTCGTCAACAACTGTGAATGTACCGGAGCTCCTTTCAAAAACACCAGAAGAAAGAATATCTTCGATCGACTCGTCAGAAGATTCCCCCAGATACGGCCCATCATTAGCACTCAGCCAAGATTCAAGCTCCCGGTCTCCTTTACGGAGTTCCGTTGAGACCGTTTGCTTGATTTACTTGACTGAGGGGGAACTGATCAATGACTTTGTGAATTTCAACAGACCTTTCCGTCTTTATATCACAGAATAGCTTGAAGTACATCTCGGAGTCAAGGATGAACCAATTGAGGGTACTGGAAAAGATTCCATGGGCTATTGTATCAAAAGATTTACAGCTGACAAGCTCCAATACTTTAGGGAGAAATGTCCTGTTGATGATGTACATCAGCTCGATGGTAAAGTCTTATGTCAGTTGTCTGAAGATCATGCGTTCTGCCTTGCCGCTGGGAATGTGGTATTGAAGATTAATACCCAGGGGTGGAATGAGAATGAATAGGAAGCACGTCGTTACTCTCTATGTCCTGCTTCTGTAAAGAGCCAAAGATACATTCAGGAGGTGAGGCTGGTTCTTTGAGCCCTTTGAAGATTTTTGGACGGGAGAAGGGAGCAGGATGCTTGCAGACTTCTCTTCGCAGCGGTTATATCGCTCTCTGTATACTTTCCAATATATTCAACCCTCTCTCGCCCATTTGAAGGCTCTTTTAACCCCAGAATAGAATACGTTGACATATTGTGGAATGGAAATCATGTATAGGCTCATTTTGTTGGATACCTTCAGTACGATTATCAAACTGGAGAGAGGATGGTCGCCTGAAGATGGAGTGCCTCAGTCGTTGCGTGAGGCGTTGCAACGCCATCAAACTTGGGCTGTGTAGGGTTGTGCAGGCAGGGCAGTTTTGGGAAGGGTTCGGGCTGAGCAGGAAAGGTGGGGTACAGTTCAGTCACGTGATGCGGAACGGAAGGATCTTGACTTAATAATAAGCGCACCGAAATCGGCCTCGCAGGATTATAGTTTATCCGAAGAGCTATGCTGAATGTTACGACATGGTATTCCACTAGGTGTGATCACGCACATGTTTTCCCTTTCCGTGCTTTATCAGGGGTAGCAGAGGGGTTACTTTGTTTTTGTTGCCCCGCCAATTTCAATCTCCGCCGTCGAGGTTGCTAGAATACAATAAGCCTTTTCTGGCTAAGCCGTTGCGAACACATTGCCGGCATCTGCCCATTGCGAACAAATGACACGTACGACTTCCCCAGCAGCACCAGAAATAGAGTCGCAAAAACGGCCGTACCATATGCTGCTGAATTATATAGAAGGACAAAACAAGAAGGAAAAATGTGAAGGATATTCGAGATCAAATATCTCTGGCTCTAACAATGGCAAGTCCAGTCATTTGTTTTGGCACCACTTCGCCTCGCGATTATTAACCCGCAGCCATGGAGTGCTATCCATTCCGCGTTCCGAGGCATGCGTCGGATAAGCTGCAAGGGAGAAATTCGATCGAGTTATATCACTTAATATTACACGTTAACAAGGAAGCGATGAGCAAAAAAAGGGAAGGCGAAATTGACTGGTGACTCACTTATCGTATGTCATTTTCCTTTCCCACCACAACTTCCGCAGATGAAGCCGTTTTGTAACCCAGATCCTTTGCAGTCACCACAATATGAGTCCTGAGGCATCTTGTAATCAGGCGAGTTGTTTGTGTGTTAAGAGTAGTGTGGAGAGAGAGGGAGGGAGAAGCAGCGGTTGTTGCGCTATATCCTGTCTGCCCAAGTCCGTGACCAGGTCCTCTGAGATGTGTTGCCCGATATTCTGCCGCAGTTTACCGCTAAGCTAGTGGGATCTATTATTAGCGGAAACAGTGAGGGGCGGGCGGCTTTCAGATCACTTCTTCAGACCACCATTTTCGCAATTCGTTTTATGAACGTCAGCGAAATGGTAGCGGGCGACTTCATTTCACATAGGCAGTGTCAAACCTGCTTGGCTGTCTTCCAAAGCCATGATGAACTGTACTCTCATCTTGAAATATTCAGAGTTAGTTCCATACAATCGCTGCTTGTTTGCCTTTCGCTGTCTGACGTGCCTGGCACTTTCAGGCGGGAGAACGAACCCTCGCTCTGGAATTAGAAAAGTGTCGAGCACATACAGCCCAAGTTTATGATCCTAATAAGCTTTGTGAGGGTTGTCAACTTAACGCGTCCTTACTTTTGCCCCCAAGCAACCCTAATAACGAACATGAAGAGCACGATGCCGACGCACAAAATGCCACCGGCCCTCGTACTGAGTCTTTCAGACCGAATGCTCCTTTCCGGAAATGTCCTTTTCGTGGTTGCGAGAAGCAGTTCAAAGTCAAAAAGGCCCTCCTAAATCATTTCGAACTACGTAAAATTTGCCTGTTTTCTGCTTGGTGTGTCGCTCGCTAACTGACTATATCCTGGGAGCCAGATGTCGACTGCAACGAAGTATGTGTTGAGTGTTTCCGGCGGTTTACTCATGTGAGCGCTTTGATGAAACACGTCAAAACCCACACATATTCGTCTGATAGGAAAAGAAATTTCATGCTGGGCTTGTGCGATGACCTACGTGATAGAGCCATCTCCGAGTTGAACCAAATGGTCAGAACGCTGCAAGACTCTACGGTCGATGCTAATTGGACGACTGCGAAAAGAAACCTCAGGTTATTAGAGCGTTGCGAAGCGCAGAACTCTTCAAAAAGAGTCAAATCAGGCGAGAGTGAATCAGGCGCATTGAATGCCAATTTTGACCAACCACCACAAGGTATTGACCTGTATTACTACTCCTTTACTAGTCTCATTTTAACTTGGAAGAAAGCCCAGCTACTATGCCCTTCGTTGCCCCCCGAATGCTTCGGATTACCGCAAGAGTTCGATGAGGACATGTTTGCACCTCTCTTATTCCATGACTACTCTAAGTCCTTTCTGAATGATTTCGATCCTCCCTTTTTCTTGGGAACCTCATCACTTCAGCACGGGACTCGATTAGGTAGAGACGATATCGGAAGGCATGCTGATATGGCCGATCCAGTTTTCGACTCTGGATCTCAACTTGCGCGCGAAGATGGGTCGGCGGGAATGGGAGGCCCTAGTCTAGAACATTTATCAGCCAATGACGAACACCATTGAATGGCAAGTGTAAAATGGCCGTTTCTTAAGGTCATACTCAAAGTGATATCCAATCCGTGGGCTTTCCCTTTGTAGCTCGGCAATCTTTTCTGAGATCTGCGGGCTGCCGGGGAGAACCACTTTCGCCCATCTTGTGATAACATCACGTGTCGCAAACACAGTCGCGATCGGAGTGCCCTTTTTTATTTCAAACGCTACACGGGCGTCCTGTATAGTTCTACATAGACAGTCAGGTATGAACTCCTGGAATGTCAATAGAGTCGACTCACAAGCCGCCGTTCTCAAACTTAATTTCCGAGCCCTCACCACAGCCAGACATTTCCAAGGCGGCAAAGGGTATTTCCCACAAGCCGTTAGAGGCGTGAACACCCGGAAGCTCATATGTGTGAGAACGTTCAAAAAATGTAACTTGCGATCCATTACCCCACAACTGTATGACCAGAACCTGTCGGCCCGCCTTCTCTCCTCCGCCTCTGAACTGAAAAATGTGCCCTGCATCGCTGTGGAATTTCCGGTACCTGGCAAGACTACACCAAGGAAAGAAGTAATCCAGAATTGCTCTTGTACGCTGTAGAGGGTTAGTAAACATCTTCAGCGTAGGAGATACGTGCAGACCTTGTCTTTAAGAACATGACGCCTGAAGAACTCTAACCCTTCTGCAGACAAACAGCTCTGCAGCCCCATTTCTGTCAAAGGCGTCTCCAAATCCGGGTCCATTTCATAATAGAAGCCGGTATCCCTGATCGCTTTGATCGCATGGTCAAGTGAGAATCTTGTTGATGCCATAACAGAAGATTCTGGTGACGAATGCCAGCGTATGATGTAGTTGAACGTTTGTTGATCGAAATAGCCCCTCACTTCTCGGATAAAGTATTTTCAGAGGGCCGATATTTTTGTCAAGGGGTACCGCCCACGCGCTTAGGCCCTTTTTGCATGGATCACCGTTCAGAACCCTGGCAAGATTCCCGTTCAGACCCCTAGCAAATTTTATAAAAAAATAAATTCGCTCGAATGAATGTGGTTGAATTTCGAATCTTTAGGGTATGCTCACCTGTGCCCCTATTAAGACTTTTTGTCGATATCCCCGCGAAACGATACTTCAGTCGCAGTCACCCAGCAGTCAGAGAGTACGATAAACCTACCAGAGAATTTGGATTAGAGCTGCATGAAAAATATATGGTAGATCACAAAAGTTTTCACGTAGTCAAGTCCTGTAACAAGGCTGATGACAGTTTGAACGATGAAAGAGTCGGCTTCACATTCGGTGTAGACCGATCGAAAGTTTGCGTAGACCGGAATGATGCACTGGCTGAGCAGCATGTAGACTGCCACCCTGCAGCCTGCATTTGCTAAACGATTTGATTCGTAAACAAAGACGTCGAGCTCCTGCGAGTTACCTGGGTCCCCGTTCGGAACCCTGTCAGCCTGCTAAATGAGCGCCTCGAAAAGAGAGACTGCTATTGGATAAAGCATGAGTTGGCCTTCTATGCTGTTTCTCCTCTTCGTTTACAAATAGATCAAACCAATGCATTGAGACGCATCTCTCCCCTGTCCGGTTTTTCTTAAAAGGTCTCAATTGAATCTCTAGTAGGTCAGGAGATAGAGACAGAGTCGACTTCTCGTGAGAAAATACTTCCCGAGAGATCTTGGTCCTCCACAGTCAGACAAGTCTTTGGATCGTATATGAGCACTATTAATCAAGTCGACAGGGACGGAATATTCTCCCACTAGAGTTTGCCCATCGCAATGAGCCCACATACAATCACAATGGGCCTTACGGAAAGTAAATTGGTGATAGACGTCCTTTCCGAAGCGTACAATGAAGCCAAGCGATCTGGAAATTCCAACGTCGAGGTAAAGCTCTCCAACGCGAAGGTTAGTTTATGAACAATCAATCTGTTACTATAGACTAATATCTGGAAGTTCATCAAATCAGTCCAACAATTATGGGCTTATATTGCTACAGAATCTACCGATGGGACTCAGGGTGTGGAAGATCAACTACCGGAAAATGATCGCGCAGGAGAAAGTTCAAAGACCGCAAGACTTACGCAGTCAAAGTATGTTGTTCTCCCAGGAATTATGAAGAAAGTGTCTCGCTGGAAGGAGATCCCTCTTTCTTTCTTTGATGAAGAAGAGTCTCACCTTAGCTTGGCGGAGTACCCTCTTGCTAAAACCTACGAGTATTTGAGAAAGCTTGTAAAGCGTTCTGCCCTGGATAAAATTCGGAAGAGGCTCTTGAGGATACTTTTCAATCGTCTGAGGGAAAGATTAGGCGTGAACCGACTACTCCCCAGGCATGTTGAGAACATTGTGCAAATAATATCCCGATCCGGCGTTGTCAAAGATTGTGACAGAAGAACTATCAAGAAATGGGTAGACGAAGGAAGTAGGATTGACGCATTATGCCGAGACATTGGAAGTATCACTGGGACTGGGTACGCTCACCTCAGGAATCTATTTTACTTGAATGATATCTCTGATACGAGGTAAGTTTTTACCGGGCGCTTCATCTACGAACCTTATGCTTCCCAGATGCTGACTTTAAGTGATTTCAGAATGATAAGAATGCATACAGATGGCAAAGACCGCACCAAGGAGATTCAGCAAATCAAGTTAAACTTGGTTTACAATAATAATGAAGCACTGCAGCTTGAAGAACTGGCAAATTTGTTGATGGAAGAAATATGGAAGCCGATGGAAGATTTGATCCCTCAACTTCGCTCAGGTTAGTGACCTTGGTTGACCTTCTGTGGTGTGTTGTTAATTTCATGTCTAGAAGTGCAGCAGACGCAGCAAATCCCAATCCTCCAAGTCCGAGGTGCCTATTCTCTGGCTCAAGACACTCAAATCCCAACCTCTTTCAGGGATATACAAGAATACAGTCTCGAAGATTCTGATGCGTCAGTCTCTTCAACGCAAGGTGCACACCAAATTACTTGCCATGGTACTTCCAACTATGGGGACTTTCACTCCGGAACTCGTCAAAGCGGGTGCGGAGATAGACTTATTCTAGACCAAGATGGGAATAATATTATCACGGGTACTTCTGGTTTCATTGCGGGGTTCTTTGATTCATTAGACGTCGCAGATGTCGCAGATACGGATTGTGAGGGAAGTTTGGTCCCGAGCATTGCTGATGCTGGACTAATACCGCCACTGTCCTACCCCGGGGCCACATCAAGTGAGCTTGATACATATTGGTGTACTAATATGGCGATGGATGATATTTGAACCGTCGCCGATCTTCGACCCTCCCATAATAGGTGAGAGGATCTGTTAAATATGAACGACAAAGTGGCATATCAGCTTGTGAAGAATTGTGCCGAGATGTCTATCTTTATTATCATTGGGGATTTGGACTAGTCTCTCTGGGGATCATCGATTTGGAGTGAATATTTGGAACATCGGCAAACCAAAGAGAACAGTAGCCTCTGTCAAGAGAAGGAGCAAATTACGATACGATACAAAAAGCTACGCGGGACAAATTAATCAGAGCGAAAAGCCAGCATCTGGTGGTAAGCATGGGGACGTCGAGACCGCCAAGTCACCATGCATTTACGCATCAATATCGCTTACTCATCGCAGAAACCAGTCAGTTAACCAGTCACCGAGTTGATTTTTCCTCTTCGGCTGACTCTAATAAACACTGCAGCTTCCCTTCAACGACTACCTTACGCAGTGTCCGTTCGCGTTGCGAGAAGTCTTTTACTTCGCTTCCAGGTCATTCTTTTGAGCTAGATCGACATCACGTATTCGAATTTAACATGTTTTTCAATCAAGGGAATGGAGGGCTGGACATCTCCCGTCAAACTCGAGGACGTGGATTTGCTCGTGCGGAAAGTCGAATTTCCTCCTGACTATATTCCAAATTCGGCTTCAGAGCAGTTGGTGTTGTCGAATCGAAGCATGGAAATTTCACTAGCATGCTAGGGAATTTGAGCTATATTTACAAATTTTGGGGGATTGAAAGAAATTTATGTGTCCCATTCATGCAGAGGTTGCACTCACGAGCCAGATTGTAATAAAAATGTTGTAGGCCAGATCATGTCACCGAGGCTGAGCGGAGTCTGGGCACCCTTCTGTTGCCGATGCGATGCTTTGGGCCAATCTAACAGGAAAGCAGCTTCACGAAGCTTCCGCCTACGCAACGCTAAAGGCCAGCGCTTCTACGAACGCGCATAAATCAATTCATCCACGATGAAAATGAAAGCATTGAAGCTCGAGGAACTCAATTAGGGCTAGATACTCGTTCTACATTGGGCGATAGACTTGTCCGGATCGGACCGCCAAGTCACGTGCATTACCGTGTGCTCCCGGAATTTTAGTCGCTCTGAGAAGGGTGAGCAGGGGTCAGCATGGAAAAAAAGTCCCCTCAGGGTGAATAAGCACCATTTTCGTGAATAACATTGAAAGAACCTTCTAATATGATCATTGTCGTAGATGATCACATTTAATACACAACATGTTAACCAGAAAGAAGTCAAACTAGCTGGCTTAATGCCCGCAGGAACTATTTTCCGTGTCTGCTGTCAGCTGGCTGGGATAAATACCTTGCAATATCCCCCACAGAGGCGACTTCCGTAGAATTTGTTCACGATACCGGAAACCTCTTACACCTGGCCATTCTATAGGGTTACAATGACATTACGGATCATGTCCTCAACCATATTCTGTTTTGCCAATCAACAAACGTTATGCTCGGTATCGCCCGTCGAGGTTGAGGACGTGGATTCGCTCGTGCGAAAAGTCGAATTTCCTGCACATCAAGATGGCCCACTCTACCACTTCATGTTTCCGCATACAGGGGAGCGACAGTGGGAGCAGAGAGAAGACGAAATCAGATGGACGATTGATGGCCTTCTTGAGACCATTCATCAAGAAGACGAATCTCTTTACAAGGCGTGTGGAGAAGATGGATCACCTGTCGGGCTGATAGGCTGGAATAGCCCAGGATCATCCATGATGGGCGTGAAAAAACGAGACTTGGTTCATGATCACTCAGTCGCTACATCTAGAGGAAGGCAAGGGGCAGAGTTGACGAACAGGAGCAGCTTTAGCCCTCCCTCTTTGGATGTAACTTCGTGGCTTAGTATCTCGAAAAGGCTCAGAGAGGAGAGGGAAAGAGTTCTTCAGAGCTATCAATACAATGGAATATGCCGTAAGCTTTCGGTCGACTTAGGAGTTTCTCGGGCCTTACTCACCTATCTCCATTAGGAATTACTTTTATGGCGGTGGATCCAAATCATCAACGTCAAGGTGTTGGGTCTATGCTCATGAAGATTTTCTGTGATTATATTGATGAAAATTCACTAGATGCCTTTGTGTTGTCCTCGCCTGCTGGTATTCGACTATACTCTAACTACGGATTCAAAGCAGTTGGAGTTGTCGAGACAAAGCATGGAAACTTTACTAGCATGTTGAGGACTTCAGACCTTAATCTTTAGGGAAGACCTCTAATTCGCTCTTTGAAAAGGAATGCAAAATGGGTTTTGGGATTTCCTAGATTTTTGACAGTCTGGTGAATGTAGCAATTATGGATATTACACTTTCGCTCAGATGAAGAATAATCAAGGTGGACCATCCTATAGATAGCTTCAGGAACATCCATGGTCATTGAGATGCTTTCCCTCCGAGTCCTGGAAGCAGTACTCTCTGCAATGGCACCGATCCTCATCATCAGTGCTAAAAACCCAAAGAGCCTCGATGAGCTCATTCTCATTGACCGAACCACGTTCCATCATGATGTTGGTTTTGCCCTCGGTGACCTCCACAGATATGTCTGGGTCATGTCTATCTAGACAACGCACGCCAAGCACGTTTTCTAAGCCACACTGGTGGAGAAGGACCGAAACTGCGGCAAAGAACTCTAAATTGCGACCGCAATCTTCATCTGACAAGCACGGCGAATAACCGAATTCAACTGGAGACATAACTCCGGCTACAACCCTGAACGTGCGAGGAGTGATGAAGCCTTCATATTTGGGTACCACAGCATCACTGCTATTGACAGTCCACGGTAAAGAAATGTTTCGGAGGTCCACAAGCCGCTGATTTGTCTTCATCGGAAAATGCTTGTGCAGAAGGCTAACTCCATACCTTTCCTGCATTCCGGAGTCGAGAAAGAGCTGTCTTATGGGACCAAGCAAGGACTTCCTTGCTTGCGTATCCTCGAATAGGACCGCAGCCTCCCGAAGGGACGGCATCGATTCGTAAGCTTCCGGGATATAGGAGGTCCTACAAACAGTTAAACAAAGCTTGACTTGCCGAAATGAAGGAGGAGTGGTTACATTTTTATTTGGAGTAAGGAATATTGACAGGCTGAGATACTGGCTTATAATGGCTGGATGTGGTGCAAGATTTATCGAGGGTATTTGAGCCATATTTATATTGTGAGAGTCGCTCTATCCAAGCCTTGCAACCCCGAGCTAGACGGTGCGTATGCTGGGAAAAAATCTTTACCTGTTCAAACCAAGCCGCCCAAAGCCACGAGCAATCAGCGGTAGGCTGGCTCTTCTGATCTGTTCCCAGTTCGTTTTTCCACGTGCAGGAACCTTGAGTCAGGGCATGTGTCCATGTACATGAGTCTTACTGATAGATGCATGGCTCAAAGAGGACAAGATGATCTGACCCCCTTCGAGGCTGTTCCCTTTTCGGTGATAGTCTTGCGCTGGCAACTCTATCGCCCAAAGGGGACAAGAGGATCTGCCGAGATTGTTCCCTTTTCGGCGATAGTATTGCACTGACAAGTCTATCGCCCAAAGGGGAATTATCTTGCTGTCCTTCCTGTACAGGATAGCCTAGGATAATTGATAGGTTATTTATTGATTATTCTGCCTGCTCTTAGTTTTCACGCGATTCATGGTCTGTATCTCTGGAGTCGAGATAATGAACTGAAAGACCAGGGTAATAAAGCAGGCACTAGGAACCCCTGAGAAACCTATTTTCGATACGTCACATTCTTTTCATATGGACAAAACAAAAAAAAAAATCAGATAGCAAATCCATCTCTGACGAGATTCAAGTAATCGAAAAATATATTGATCCGCGATACAAACGAAGCACTAAAGCTCGAGGAAGTCAGTAGGGGTTACATACTTTCTGCTTTGGGCGATATACTTGGCAGGGGGGAAGACAGGGAAAAATTAGTCTTCGGGGACAGGGGCTGGAAACTCAGTATCCTGTGTGAGGAAATGAAGAGTTCCTTCCTTGGAATCCCATCTCTGCTCCACCGTGGCGAAACTTCTGGTGCATACTTTTGCACACTCTACAATATTGCCGTGATAGGAATTGGCAACCGATATCTGGCAGCAATGGATTGCGGGTGGTCGAGGGGTCTCTGAAAGGGGAATTATGGTTCTGTAAGTTGAAACGTGGGGATTAACGTGGCAAAAGTCCATTCACCCTCCTGGAGACAACATTGGAAGAAAGCAAATAAAAATATTTAGTTGCGCTGATAAATAGTTTAGTACTCCTTGACCTGTCAATCAATCAACTTGAGATAGCGGTTCACACTCTTCTTTACTCATACTCTTCTTTACTCATACTCTTCTTTACTCATACTCTTCTTTACTCGTGTTCTTCTTTACTCGTGCTCTCAACTTTCTCACTCGCCATGAAACCGACCAAGAAACGTCGCATACTAAGCTGTGAACCTTGCCGGGCCCGAAAAGCGCGCTGTACCCGTGATGGTCGTCCCTGTAAGCAATGCAGGGACCGTGATATTAGTGCAAGTGACTGCATTTATCTGGGACAAGCACGGAAAGATACCATCCACACGGAGCTCCTCGCCAAGATCCAAAGATTAGAGTCTTGTCTCTGGGAACGGACGGGCACTCAATTAAGCAACGTCAGTGACAGAACTATCCCATCTCTAAGTACACTCATGGCCTCTGGGGGTTTCCCTGAGGCCACGGTAAATGAGTACCTTGGTGATTCAACACTAGACAATGCAGGGTCGCTGCAAAAATCATCGACGGGTTCTGTGCGTTATTTTTCACCAGCCTCATGGGAGTCAATTGTTGCGAATAGCCCTGCTGCAGAGTGGTTGCAGAGCTTTGGCCTTGATACCGCCGGCGAGGATGATCCACAGATCCCGCTGGTGTCGAATGCAGATATCTCGCACGCGGAGCTCTTGGGACTGCTCCCTCCAAAGCCGTATTGCGATTCACTCACGAAGACATATTTTCAGAATATCACACCCGTAAGTCTAATCCATCCACAGCACTCGTGCTCCACAAAGATGGGCTAGAAGGCTTCTTCATGGCATTGATAAATCTCAGATGTTTCACATTCTTCATACCCAGACCTTCGAGGCCGAATATCAGCAATTTTGCTATGACCCCGGTCGTATGCCAATGTCTTGGCTAGCTTTACTGTTTGCTATACTAGCAATTTCAATCAGCGCCTTGAATGATGACAACCCTCTTCTTTTCGATCTGGGCCGCGAACGCACGGTGGGAAGGAATATCAAGATACTCTTTACGCGTTACCGGTCCGCTGCACTTCGCTGTCTTGCTCTAGACAATGTTATGAGCCGGCATTCCATGACCTCCCTCCAGGCGCTAGTTCTAATCATCTATGCCTGTTTGAACCGCGCCCTCCCGTGCTGGACACTGCTAGGGCTCACTCACCATGTTGCTATCTCAATGGCCTGCCACATCGACCCAGAACGGTTCAACCTCGGCATAGTCGAATGCGAAGAGCGCCGCCGCGTTTGGGCTGGACTCATGATACTCTACACCCTTCAGAATACTTTGTTCGGTAACCTGAACCAGCAAATTACAACACAAGAAGTGAAGTTGCCCGCCGAAGTTGATGATGTTGACATTTTAACGGGCATAAACACTCACCTCCTCTCTGATAAGTGTTCCTCGCCCTACACCGCCCACTTGACCCAGATGACATATATGTGCCTCGCCTGCCACTTGCACCGAACAGCAAATCTTGTTTCCGAGTATATATCTTCTTACACGTCTCCACGGTCCCTTACCTCCACGCTTGAGGCTGAGATCAACGCTCTCCGTGAGCGCTGCGATGCCCGCTACACCCAAGACCGCTCCCAAGAACCTTCACCTACCTACCATTTCGCCAATAAGAATATTCTTCATGCCCAGATTCAACAGCAACTCCTACTGCTGCATCGACCGGCTCTTATTCGATTTCTACGTGGCGAGATTAACCCGGAGACCCGTGCAGCTCGTGAAAAGTGTATTGCCTCGGCGAATGAGGCCCTGTCTTTGTTTGGTGATCTCCTAGAGGATCCCCAGTGCATTCCTTACAGATGGTACATGAGCGGTTTAGGCAGCTTCTACGCTTTCCATGCCGTTGTTGTTTTGGCCGTTCTGTTGTACCACTCGGAGAGCACCGCAGAGTTGGAGAGTACTAAGGAGGCCATCAGCAAAGGTTTAAATAAATTCACGTCACTGTCAGGGCGAAGTATTTTCTGCAGCAAGGCTATTCCCACTATGCGCCAGTTCATGTTCGTCACTATATCCCTTCAATCTTTAACACTTCCAACTAAATTCCATTGATATAGCAACCTTGCACCAGCTTCCTTGACCCATCTACGACACGAAGAACAACAGAGCCAACAAAGTCCAAAGCTCCAGTCCCAGGTTCCGCTTCAGAACCGGGAGTTCACGTTCGTATCACACTGCGCGCCTTGCGTTCCGATGGCAAATAGCTCTATGGTGAACTCTATGATGAACCCGCAGTACGAATTCTTCATGCCCACTGTCTTATCCTCCATGAGCAGCCTCAGTACGAACTCCAATTTTGAACTTCAACTGCACGAGCAGAATTTGCCGAATGAAGTGAACCAAACTATGTACTTCCACTAAGCTGAAATATTTGATTGAGAAATATCAAGGGCGGACCTTTGTCTGTCCTCCGACAGAGATTTCTCCATGCTGCCACCCCCACATTTCATACCAAAACTTATCATAAAGACCTCAGTTTCTCCTGTACACTATGCGAATGGGGCTTTGTTCTCCTGGAATTTACCCATTGGGGTTTCACGGAATTGTTTGATTATGATCTCAGACATCAACATCAATGATTCCCACGGACGTCTTCGAATTGGACAGCTGGGTCAATGCGCACGGAAAGGATGATCTATCTACTACAGTTCCACAGATAACCAAGGCGATCCAGGCTATTGAAACTTGCTCGGTGACAGGGTTGTCAAAGTCGAAGCAGATACAGGAGATATTCCGTAAATAAATACCGACCAGAGCGTTCTTGGCAGCTGAGCTCGGTAAATACGTTCAGATTGTGGTGCTGGTGGGCCATGAAACCGACCCCAACAAGTATCTGAACGGGTCAGGTGCAATCTGGGATGAGCGGTCCCTTATGACGCTGATGGATATTGGTTTGTCTACGGAGGAAAACTCTCGGGGGTATCGTGTAATCCAGGCAAAAGTATCCTATCAGGGTTTAACGCTTGTGTGTTCAAGAATATTGCAGAACTGCACAAACTACTGTACTAGAAACAATTTTTGTTTAGCCGGAGTTTAACGAATGTAAGCTTAGTTACTTACAATGACTACTTCGTGATCAAACAGCGGAGCCATCCCCCTGGTAGCAGACGATTATTCTTGTAAGGCAGTGAAAATTCATATAAGCAGAGCATACCTTGCTCGTGGCATGAGGATAGTGAAGCTATATAGAGCATCAGCACCAAGCATCAGTTATAATGGACCCATTTTACCTTTCCTTCTCCGATCGAAGTGACCGTGAGCCAAATATTCAGTTTCTATATGGAGTTGCTAATAACTATCCTAGTGATCACTGTGGAGGGAAACATTAGCCGCGCATGCCAAGCAAAGTTTGGCCATTCTGACGATACAAAGTCATTTCCGCCTGAGCAGGTATACGTGGTGATGATGGATGTATGCCCACTTTGGGTTCATGGGCGTATTTTTGGACGGAGATTATACTGCGTTTTATGGAATAGGATGTCGGATAATTGGTTCGGGAGCACCGAACGAGGCCTTTTTACCTGGCTTGCCCTTGCATTGAAACAAGAAGTTTATGTCTCTTATCACATGCATCAACTTCTGCCGGCAGAAGTGCATGCTCCAACGCATTCCACAATCCTGGATAGCATTGACCCTATTTACGACGGAAGCTCAGGTCAGATCCTATGGAAAGCCAAATTCTGTTTGGAAAGCTTTGACGTGATATCAGTAGCTGGGTCCATTTCGGACCTCGTTCCGTACTTCTCAAACCCTTGTCCAATGCGTGTTGACTACTTGGACCGCACCCGCAGGCTGGCCAGCAAAGTCCCAAGTGCTCAGTACTAGGTCCAGAATTATACAACCTCATGGAGAGCCAACAGACGCTTATGAGGTTCAAAGAATGCTAGTGCTTGATCTTGAGTGTTGATTCACTCAAATTACCTGTTTGAACAAATGAATATCCTAGCTTTAAGTTGAACGAGCTTTATCCTGTGGATTCATTCATAAATGAAACCAAGCTCATCTTAAATTAACCGGTACCTTAATCTAAAACACACCGGCAGAACTTTACTGCCTTTATTAATTAATTGGGTTGACAATGTATATATAGTCGGATTGAATCCACCATATTTGCTTATCCACAAACCACTCTCGACACCTACTCCTAAATGACTAGGAGGATATTCATTGTTGCCCTGGTGTTTGGTTCGGCGCTATACTATTTGCATCGGGAAACTACCCGCCGATTAGTTACTACACAGTGAAGGAATTGCTATTTGCAGAATTGGACGCCGTGAGTCAACGTTTGGCAAGTGAAGCTGTATTTTGGAAGCGCTGACAATATAGGTACATGGCCCGGGAACAGAGAAACGTGATAGAATTAGAGACAGTGAGCGGCGTCGCTGAAATCAAAGGGGTTATTATCGATTGGTGTACGTACTGCTACTCTCATGTAAAGGCACTCAAACTGATTCGGCCTTAAAAGTTTCTCAGAAGGAGGAGCCAATCTTTCAAATCAAAGTTCAGGATATCGAACACTACACCACAGCAAGCATATCTGCATTTGGCGCAGAGAGTGTGAAAGAAGAGCTATGTGAGACACTAGATGCAAGCTTGTTAGATGCCCCTAACAGTATCGTTGAAAAGATTATGGTGGGGAACAATGACCATAGCTTCAACGCGATCTTTGTCATTGTGACGCTTCTTTTAAATGGATTCCTGCCACCTCCTGGGTTATCTACCTCTATACTTGGAATATTCCTGGAAAAGGACGGAAATGATTTAACCAATCATCTATTAGAATCCCAGACGATTGGAAGTACTTTCGGGAAGATTCTGCCAAAACTCGCCGCTAAGGCTGACCGTGACCAATCACTGGCGAAATAATGGAGAGATATGTCGTTGAAAAAGATGAATTTTTGATTCTGAGTCGGGCTATCAATTTGTAATTAGATATTGTTAGAATTTGTTATCAGAAGAAAAGTTGAGATGACCCAACCAATTTGAGCGAAATGAGACTAAAGAAATTTTAAGAAAAATTATTTATTGACCGACTGCCATAAGTCCAAATGATCACCCAGTTAACAAATAATTTGCTCGGAAGCGTATTCTATGACAAACTTCTAAGATTTGCATGATACCTGTGTCCGATCTGCACGACTACACTACTCAGTTTGCTAGAAGGTATATCCCACGAACGGGAATCGGGCTAACTGTTTCACATTTTGGGTTAAGTCCCGGAATTCATTTCCAGCAATAATTTAAAGTAGATCATATTACAAGTTCTTCCCTGATAACCGAGCTAGCTGGATAAATTGTGGATGGGAAGGTGGATCCATAGCTATATTTTCGGATTGTAGCTAGTGTCAATTGAATTCCTGTTCTTCCCATAATGCCTATACATCGTTGCCCTTTTAGAGACACTACGAAGCGGAGTGATCCTCTTCTTAAAGGGCTGGGTTTCCTAAGGAACGAATAATTGAGTGCTAGTTACAACTGTCTACACACCACTATTCCTGTGGTATAATTGCTCTTTTACTATTTACGTGACTTTCATCAGTAATATGTTTGATCGCCATAAAGGTAAGCCCCAATGAATAGTGATACTCCAAGAGGTAGCTAACCGTGGAAAGAGGGATTCAAGATCAAACGTGACAAAGAGCCAGACATATTTCTTCCAAGGTCCTTAGTGTATGACTGGGTCACATGCTCTACAGCAAAGGATGTAGATACCACAGTTCCACAGGTACTTCACGCCATTGAGGCTTTGGAAATTTGTCGTAAGGCAGGACTATCGCACTCGGATGATATAATGCAGGTATTCCATCGGTATGTGCGAAACGACATGTTTTTCGCCACCGACCTTGCCAAATACCTTCAAATTGCGGTACTTGTGGGATATGACGTGGACGCCGAGAAATTTTTTGAAGGGGTAGAAGTTTTTTGGAACTCTGAGTGTCCTGTAAAGCTAGTGGATATTACTTTGATCGAGAAAGATCCTGACGGGTGTCACATGTTTTGTGTTGAAGTATTCTACTGCGATATGAAAATTAGTGTGGTGAAGAATGTTGTAGAGCTTCAGCGGCTTTTTTACTGAACGGCTTTTTGCGACTCTTACTTCAAGAAACACATATTTGCTTAACTTATTCAATTATTTACCAAAATCCAAAAAGGGTTAGGAGGTCCAGAATCATGCAGTAGTCGCTGTTGTAAGAGATCTAGAGATTCACACAGCTTCAATTACCTACATCGGCCTATCAAAATCCGCAGACAAGGGGCTCATCTTATCCCTCCCAAGGGGATGCACGAGCTCGAAGAAGCCAAACTTGACCGTTTGCTTCCTTATCATCACATGGGCCGCAGTTATCCGGGATACTACCAAATGGATGTCCTAGCTATAAGTTGAACCAGCTTTATCCTGTGGATTTATTCAAAATGAAACTAAGCTCATCTTAAAAAAATATGCTGAGCTCGATTAGAATTTCTATCTGGATAGGGACCCTCCAAACTAATGCTAGAGGAAACCCTCATAAATATCGTAAATATTACCACGACTTTTTTTTACAAAAGATGTATATGCCCAATGAGCCCAATCCTAGACGCCTCGATACATACAATGAGCGTGAAGATAAAAATTGTATTTCCCCATTGGATCACAGCTGGTATAATTCCTCAACCGATGGCTATGCTCAATGGCTGATGATGATAGTGCGGACTTCGATTACAGTGAGATTCGCATTTGATGGCAGACTGGACTGGAGGGTGGAGCAACAGAGAGATGGACGGATGGAAGTTCGCACAAATCCCCTGACGGTGCCGTTCCTCGAGGGCGAAGTTTATTTGACATCCACAGAGATCGTGGTCGTTGAAGAAGGCCCGGCCATAAACACGGACGATTCTTGGTAATGGAAAAGCTTCGGACGCATTGATTGTCAATTAAGTACTTTGAGAATGGAGATCCCCATCTCAAATCTACTATAAAGCCGTGTTTCTCGAATGCTCTTCCCCTTCTTCTTGGTAACAATTCAATTCGTTTCAGCAGTCCCTGTACGCCCTGTTATATCAACATGTCTTCTAATGAAGAGAGTCTCCGATGCCGTTATTTCTTGAACGATATTAAGGGGCTGAGTGAGATGAAGCAAGCAATCGCATCGGAACTCTTCCCTATACCGCAGGACCTACACGCTGCCCTTCATTCCCTCTTCGAAAACCTGCGTGATGAGCACACACCTCCTTTAGTCAAACAGGAAATTGAGAACACATTCAGAAATACTTCACTGCAACAAAAGATCGAAGGCTCCTGCAAACTTTCCCGCAGTCACCACGACGAAAACTCCCATCAACATATGATGGACGACGACGCCCCCCATGATCTGGCATCGTGGTCTTTCAAACATTGCTCTTTGTGCTCCAATGGACTCTTGGACCATAAAATGATTCAGCCTTCTTCGTACCTCTTTTGGATTGCCTTCAGAAGTGAAAGGACTAACTTATCGCACCGACTTCTGTCTTTGGTTGAACCCGAGGATCTTCTGGTTCCTTTTGCGACGGGTATACTACACGGTGTTGAATACACCATGTTCCAAGTGGCTACGTGGAAGCCGGAATGGTTTCAAATCTGCTGGAAACGGCTTCAACCATTACGAAGCAAGGCTATTGCTTCACTAGGGTCAAATGAAAAGCGAGCAATGTTGCAGTGGGCTGACGTCGAACTTGTCGATTGCTTATTCAAAGACGGCCTAGATATCGGGAATCTTGATCCCGATCATCCCTCCCTGGTTTGGCTGGAGACAATGAGTCGAGGGAACCCAGAACCAATGTTGGAGTGGCTTCTGAACCGCGGCATCCAACGCCCTGAAAAGCTCTTGGTGCACGCCACAAGATTCAACTACATTGGTGCGGCACGCTGGATGATGGGTCATAACAAGTACTCCCAGGACTGGCGTGAGGCTGCTGTAGGAGCTGCAAAGAGTACCGACTACGGAAGTGCGGAATTAATGGCAATCATTTTAGAGGGCTCTGTTACGAAGTTAGCAGAAAATCCTGAAGTGTCGCAAAACCTGGTGATAACTGTTGTTGAAAGGGCGTGCTTAGAGGTTAACAAGGCGCGGTCGGATGAAATATCAGGAGATGAGATACTGCGGCGAATCACGGAGAAGGAACTGCTTGCCGTTAGAAAAATTGAAGCTCTGGGTAGGTTAGCCGGAGCAGTTGATGTTGTTGGTACCAAAGTTATGGCCAGTGAGGCTAAGCTGGATGGCCTTTTACAGGCCTTGGAGAATATGGAATTGTATTGATGACAAGCTAGTGTAATCACCAGAGAAAACCCACCTGCGTAATGTCACTTTAACAATGACCCTGATGTACTCTTTTCTAATTCAAGTATCCCATTATTTGAAATACTTAAATCTTTTATTATGAGTATGTCTTAATGACCGAATCATGTTCCTTTAAGAGTAAAACCCCCGTACGATTAGACTAGAGTACAAGGCTATCGAACACTAATCCTGAAGTAGGCTTACCGGAACCGTAGCTCCAACCAGGCATCTCTTGGAGTACTGTTCGTACGCTTTTTGCTAGCTCTGACATGTTTGTATTGATGATGGCCCAATGTAAGGAAAGGGGCGAAATTCTCGAGAGCATGAACGGTGTTGGAGCAAGCTAAAACGTTATGCGGCAGAGCGAATGGAATGTATTCGGGGCGATGGTTTAACCTCGGAAATAGGGGTTACATAAAGTTGATCCGCAATGTTGACTGTGGATCCGAGTGTTTGTCTTCCTGTCGGAGCGTATGTAAGGTCTTGATCTTCCCCATTGAAAATCGAGCTCTGTGACGGTTACGACTGGCCAGTTCCGAGAAAAATTGTTAGAGAGATCAAAGAATGTCTTAAAATTAGGGGTAAAGCAAAGCAAAACTTTTCGGTTTCCTCCTTATGCTCAAGCTTGCGTTGTTCGCTTGATAAAGTACCGCACCCTTCGTAGCAAACAAAGAATGAACCAATCCTTAACTCCCTCCGCTAGAAAGCGCACGGGCAATGTGATACGTAGCGCGGTACCATAGATATATCCCCTTCCTGAGACTTAAATAAAGCTGTGGCTATGTCTTCCTCATAGAACCCTACATGTAGCTCGACAGATTGTGTTTGCCGCCTGTCTCCTCCCTCCCAATCCACTGCAACCAAAGAAGAATGTGCACATTATGACAGACCATGACAAAGCTTTTTATTTTGGATCTGAGCTTTTCAGATGGATCAAGTCGCAGATTCGAATTCCAAAGGGGATTGCAAGTTGCTGGTTTCCAGCGGACGATTCAGGTAATCGATTAAGTTAAACCCGCCGGGAAAACGATCATGCTAATCGCCCTTCAATGACAGAATCTCACACGCGATCACACCGAAGCACGTCCATAATGAGCGGAAGTGTCATTATCTTGGACGAACTGGAAGCTCCCAAGTTATTGAATTATCCGGTCAGGGTATGACCATACCAGACACTTTTCAACTCATACCGTTACATTACTGACATATACTAGACATAGGAATTGTTACAAAATACTCGTCTACTGGGACTATATCCATCCCCATATAACGGCAGCTTTTCTGCTTGCACACGATTGTATCGCAGGAATAAATCTGGTGGCATCGTGTATTAGCCGGGGAAAAGGCAGATATCAATGAGCTAGAAGTGTAGCTGATAGATCATTTTCCCGTAGTGAACAGGGGGGAATTACCCAGCTTGTGCGCAGTTATAAACAATACTACTGGATGCAAATTTCGCTTGCCTTGAGTGGTGAGGTCATAAAACGAGGGGAATCCCGAAGATCTCCTAGACTTGTCTGGATCGAGTATCAGTTGAATCCACCCTGTGGAGAATGGCTGATATCATTTGAAAGGCTAGTCACCCAGATGCGTGCTTAGGACAGAGTGGGTGTGCCCCTTACTGCCGAGAAAAGGATAAAAAGACGTCTCGGCCCCTCTACAGTCTTTCTGCCCCTCCACAATCTCCCTTCACTGCCGATGCAAGTATCTCTATAGTATGTTTTTAGCCAGCTCCCAGACTGAAGCAACTTTTGCTGTCACCTCACGGTTTTCGTTTCCCCAACTGCTCCTCTTAACATGTTATGTCGCTCTCCAGTCTTCCTTGCCAGCAAGACTTCGCGATAATCGGGAACTCCGTGACCTGTACTCTCGCAATGAGGACGAGTGGTATCCACGAATCGGGGAAGAGGGATTTTCTGATATGAAAACAAAGATCTGGACCGCAACGAGCCTGGAAACTCGTAAAGATTGGGAGTGGGTTCGTGATTACCTATTGCAGGAGAACCTAATCTATGGGGTGTCAGTGTCGCCCCAGGATCTCCGAGAATACTTGTGTGGACTCCTTCGCCAGATCGAGCAAGTATCCTCGGAAAGCGTTATCGCACTGTTGACCCCAAGAACCGCCCCAACTCCGCCATTATCCAATCTCAAGGAGCGGGCTAGCTTGGTGTTAGTCTGCCTGAGCCTTGGTGTGACGTTGACCCCAGGTGATCCAACGCCACTGGGTTCATTGCTTACCCACCCCAATGACTATCAACGTATCGGGACCATGATTGCCCAATTGCAACAGTCGCCCTTGTTCATCGATGACATACAACCACAACAACTATGGGCATCGTTAAGCTCCTTGCACATGATTTTGGGCTACCATGAGGAGGTCGTGGGCTGTAGGTCTGCATTCGACCGCTCTTCCTACGATTATATATGGACCGTGGAAACCCAGGAACATGAAATTCAAACCTCGAAGTACACTTCCTTCAAGACAAAGCGTGCATCTTCCTCGGTTCAACATTATCAAAAGAGGCAGAAACGAAACACTCAATCCCCAGTGGACCCGGCGGCCAGGAGTCGAAAGCAGCTATCTGGGGCTCAAGCGTCACCATGACGACGCGGCCGCCAGTCGGACAAGATGACAAGAGGGCCTGAGCTCATACGCCTACACAAGGGAAGCACACAAGAGCTCGGAATTTTGGTTTATATCTCTCGGTTTATTTGCTTTTGATAATGGATGATCAGTTGATTAAATCGATCAATTTCCTTTGCATACCAATCCGCAAGTGGCTCGTCCCCGCACAGCAGGGTAGCATCCCGTTCATCGCAGTACCGCCGGTGCATGTCTTTCAGCGCCCGGAAGGCCGTTTTGGCATAGGAAACATTGCCTTCAATGGCGAATAGTGGGTCACTACTCAATAGTCGCAGTGCACTAAGACTAGTGAAGCACCGGTTGACTCGATCTATCCCATCCGGGACCACAGCCAGATCGACCTGGTTCTTGCCCAGAGGGATGGCAGCACGGACGACATCCTCTAGACCGGCATATATGTATGTCGTCGGATCGCATTTGATGCGGACTGTCTGTAAAGAGGGATTAAATGGCGAACGGACGATTGGTCTAGCAAGTTGCACAACACTGACCACTAGCGCCATCACAATTCCTGCACGTAGAGTCGGGATGTAGCGGAGTTCTAGTGTTCAGGAATACGAACTGACTATAAATGGACGGTTTTGCCGACAGCCTCCACATTCCAGATGACATGAGGTGATGATGGCGCAGAATAAACCTCGCAGTAGAGTAGAGTAAGGTAGCAAATTATGTCTCGAAACAATAAAAGAAAAGCGAACCGTGGACGGCGACATACTTCGGAATTTACCAGCCATTTTTGACTACAAGCATCCTGCAAAGAAGCTCATGGCGGCCAGGCGCTAGCCGGTTGTGTGCGTGCCCGGTACGGTAGTAGGATGGTTTGGGTTATGATTGTGTTCCCTAGCCAGCTTGCGGGTATGTCCGTAAAGGGAATGTCATCGATGACATTCCCTTTACGGACGTGTAGAAGAGATAAAAAGGATCTCACACACAATCCATACTGACCACCATCACACTTCTCGTTTGTCACAATGGGGAAGGACAGAGTGTTTCCCTTCAAAGGACCCGATCGAGCTTATATCGATTATCTCGAGCGTCGTCTGGTGACTGCTCTGTCAAGCCTGAGACTTGACCAGGGCGGACTTTCAGCGCCCGCGCCCTATGCTTCTCACGCTCACAACCTGTCCACAGGTGGCTATCAGTTTATTGAGTGTAATCCACAGGCTGCTAAGCAGGCGCAACCAGACAAACCCGCAACACCCGCAACATGGAGCAAACAGTTTCATAACTTCCTCAAAGCCCTTCCCACCGAAGCCGGGTGGCTCGAAGCACGAAGAAGGGCGGGCGTTGATACACCGGTCCGGAATCAGAATGCCTTGAAATCAATATTAGGCAATGCCGGCGTGGTCATTTTCCATGGCCAATACCCAAGCCCCGGATACCAAATCCCCTCCCTCCCCTCAAGGCTACCTACAGATTCCGAGATGTTGGTCGTAAGGGGTTATCAGTATGGAAACTTCGTCTCTCACTGCGGCCAAGACCGAGATTTTGCCGAAACTGTGGCCACGTTTCAGGACCTAGTCTTTTGCTCCTACTGCGAGGTCATGATTAAAGCCGGTGTTTCCCTTCAAGTAACCAACGACACTATGAGGCAATATACGGGCGCCGATAAAAGTGACCTGACTTTAGAGCGGTATCGTCGAGGGGCCGTCTGGGCCAATCGCTGTATGGCAGCACTGTTCGAAAATGGATGGGGACATCGGAGCTGGGAGCTTTTCCTTCTCGGTATGTTCTTGCGGCAGTCTTGCTGCAGTCTTTGTATCGCCCTTGCTAACGGAAGCTACGTTAGGGGGTCAAACGTCGTCGCAGCTCGCCGCGTTTCCCACGCACAATGCCAGCAGTTTTAAGCTTGTGGCAACACATATGGGACGTACACGTGTTCCTCCATGGGAAAACGGTTGGATACCATACTGCCTCCCTTGCATCGTGCACCATATCACGGGCTATTTAGTTCCGTAAGATCCCCTATACACCCTTTGGGACCTCTACTAAGAGACATTCCAGCCTGGATAGGATTTGCGGCATTCTCGGCTACGGATCAATATGGTGTTCCCTGCAGCCCATATCCCATTATTTTCAAACATGCGTGGTATCCCTTTTTGGGGACGTGCGAGGTCAGGTTGCGGTTGACGAACAGCACCACACGCAACCAAACATTATCCACCCGCTATCTTTAAGCGACCAGCCTACCGGTTCTCTTCCAATCTCGTTTCCAACACCAGATAGTCTATTTCCGGGCTGATTAGGACATCTCCGGACAGTTTAAAATACCATCCCACCAGCAGTGTTACGGGGGCGTTGGTGGCCAGGTCACGAATATGAGGATTAGAATGAATAATATTGATGGGTATTGCGTAGACTGGATGGTTGATATCGGCATGGATGAACTTGAGGTTTGCGGCCCGATACATGGTGTATGTATGTCCCTGATTGAATAAGCACAGTTTGCAAGCGAATCGAATCTGCCCTTCATTCCTTACCGTCAGGTTCATCGCTAGCAGAAGTGGCGTCGCCCAAGGCTGTAAGCGTTCCGTTCGATACATTCGATGGCCATCGTTATCAACTAGGTAGTCTGTCGATAGAGTAGCTTGCTGATCGGCCCACACGGCCAATTGACGTCGGGCATCATTGGCGGCTTCGTTGAGGAGAAAAGGGCTTGCAATCCCATTCCTTGGGGCTGGTAAACTGTAATTTCCCATCTGTAAGCGTAGGCAGAACGCATATTAGCTTGGCCTTTCTTGGTCTAAGGTTAATGATGCTTACCATAGTGACAATATGATGCCTGCTTTCTCTGAATTCATCTCTGTGGCCACGAGCGGGGCTGGATGTGGTCTCAGTCACGTGTGATTTATCATTGGCGCGGGGTTCGTTCCGCCATGTGATCCAGATTTCAGCCTGATACCTTTTGACAAAAAGGGCAGGTGATTAATGAACGTCCTGAATAGCGCGCATATCATCTAGACGGGCACAGTGGGGAATAACTGGGATGAGAGGATGCCATCAATATGATTTAAATTGTCCATTTCCCTCATCATCCCCTAAGCCCTAAGCTTGCCGAAGTGGTTCTCTTTCCCGTAAAAGAAACCAGTCCTCATTGATCCTGCTTCCAAACTTCGGTAGACTCAACATTACCATGGACATAGACATAAACCTATTGGTGGTAAGCCTCCAGAGATAATGCAGAATTGTTTCGCACACTGATCACTGAAGACTTTGAGAGTACTCATTCCTGATACCCACCGAGATATCGACGAATATATTAAGGCGAAAGGCCTTGGTAATGCTATTCTCGCAACCGTCCAACTTGAAGAGACTGCTAGCCGCTCTGATCGGCGGACCCTGGTAGATCTGGCAGTGGTCGGGGAAGAGCTTCCTCGGGTAGAGCGTTGCCTTTGTTGTATCACATCACCACTGGATGATATAAGCATGGTCTTCGTTCCTAGTCGCTTCATTACCGATGGTTTGGCAGACCCCGAGGCGCAAAAATGGTTCAGATGGACTTGGGTCCATAACAAGTACCTGGAAGCACACATAAAGCAGAATGAGACTGCTTCATCTGTACTTAAATGGTATCAAATGCGTTTTGATGAAATGAATACGACCATAACGCAACTCCGCAGAAAGGAAAACTTGACCCTGGACCGAGCGCCATCGATCTCTTGAGTTCTAGGATCTAGGGGTCATTATTTCCATAACGAGACGAGTGAATCCCCCGTTTAAATTATGATCTACACATAACTCTACCGGAAATGTCACTCTGCAGGATCAGCAAATTGTCTCGTACTTTTTTCGATGTTTCGAAGGCTTTTCGCCCTCAGAATATCTGTTACCGATGAAATGAATCTCTTGAGCCTCAGATCCTGCCCATTGGTTAAAGCATATGCACGATTCTTGTGACCTGTAAAGGGACAAACGCGGTCCTGAGCTATTCGATATAAGATAGGCGAAGCACTGTGCTCTTAATTTTTGCACCCCCCACGACTGGACGCTTACCTATCTCTTGGGGGATTCTCTCTGATTTCTGATTATGGTTGACCCATCGTGGCCGGTTAGGCTCCCACCTATACAACCAGATATACAACCAGATACGAAGTTTACTTTGAAATCGATTCACACACTCGTCCGTATCCCCAAAGAGCTCGTCGATCTCTCCAAAAAGAGGGAATATCAAAGTTCCACCCTCCCGCCCGATGCCGATACGCACAATACCGACCTTGGTACATTGGGTTGTGATCCCATACCCCAGCCAGCATTTGATTTGCAAAGAAATTCAAGTACACTACACAGCCAGCTTCCCGTACACGGTGGGGGCGTCCTGGGTAGCTCAAGACGGAGAAAATACGCAATAAGGCAAAAAGACGCCAATCTCGCTCCAGAGTCAACTACGACAGTGACTAGGAGTCAGAGATGCGAGTATCCTGGGTGTAAATCCTCATTCTCGGGTCTATATTTACTCAAGTGAGTGGAGGAGAACAATATGATTACCAGATCATGCTAACCCCGGTATACGAAAAGGTCCCATATGATTGTACACTCTCCCGATCGGCCCTACTACTGCTCTAAGGAAGGTTGTGAATACAAAAGGGGGTTCAAGCGAAGAAATGAACTGAAACGTCACGAGCGGAAACATGGCAATCTACGCTACGAATGTCCTTTCTGCCAAAAGACCTATCCTCGAACTGACAATCTGCAACGGTAAGTTGACCCTCTATACCTATCAAGAGCTATCTTTATATACTAATTAGACTCTTGCAAGACATGTCCGGATAAGCCACAATGTTAAAAGCCTTGAGGATCCTGCTCTCCGAAAAATTCTCGATCAAGGGTGCCGGGGAAGAAAACGACTAAGGGGGCTGAAATAGTCTCATCCCCAGAAAGTCTGAAGGAGAGACATGCAGTTTTCGTGATTGTGAATGCTATAGTATCCAACAGAGGCTCAGAGGCTCATCCTACCACATATGTTGAGGCTCAAACCATAACCGGCCATCCTAAAGTAGAGGGCATCTATTTGATGAAACTCCAAGGTTCTGCCTGGCTTGTTGGTTTCGCTCCGCCATGTGATCCAGATTTCAGCCTGATACCTTTTTGACAAAAAGGGCTGGTGATTAATGAACCTCCTGAATGGCGCGCATATCATCTAGACGGGCACAATAGAAGCACAATATCTGAAGTCCCTCTCGCGGAACCATTTGCGAGCCTTACTATTATGTCATTTATGACGAATAACTTGCACAATACATGCAGAGTATAAAGGGTCCCCAAAAGATTATTGAGCATTATTGCAGAGTACACCAGCATTATTTGTGACAGGCTGAGGGCAAATGTGCTCTAACATGGCCTTTGAATTCGCGAGCAATGTCTCGGGGGGGGGGGGGGGGGGGGTAGCAAGGCATAGGGATGCGCGAAAGGCAAATCAAGCTTTCCACATATAAAAGCATATATTCTCCCTCCGATAATACTGAATGGTCAATTTCATGTCCTCAGAAAACCCCATCTCTAAGCTCAGAACACAGGAGTATGTAGCCTTCCAATTTCCCTTGGCTGCAGACACTTAAAGCCCGGATAGAATCCCTTATCACTCCGCAGGCCACAGATATGAAGCTGGAAGCATGGGTATTCAAGTACCCAATACCCCGAACATACCGCAACATACTCGCTTCTCTATTCGAATCCATTACAACAAATAGCGACTACTACGAACTCTCCGACATGTTGCTGAGTGGGCTGACAGCAAGTGAAATTGCCCTGATAGTGCACTTTCTCGGAATCACGGAGCAGTTTCTTTACGCCAACAAGTATTTAAATCCTCTCAGAGATCTCGACCCATCCATGGCTGCTTTCGAATCATTCATCGAGGAGGGCTGTCGGATATTAATTCTAGGCGACGATATCCTGGACTTGATGAAGAGGATTCAACTTCCGGGGACTTACTGGAGCGGTCGGATTGCCGAGGTGGAGGCCAACGACGGAATCATACTCCCGCCTAAGATATGGATCCTGTCAATTCCCCCAGATCGACGTCAACATGAGAGGGTAGCAAGTTTTGAGAGAGCCGAGGAGTTGTTTGATCCTTTGATTCAGCTTCAGAAGGGCGACGACCGTCGTCGGGCGACTGAGGCGGGCGAGGCAGCCATGCGGTCAATGGGGGTGGCAGACTTGACACTTCAAACTTATCAATTTCAGCGGGACACTCAGTGGTCCAAGTATATGTGCACTATGGGGAAATTCTCACTTGAGGTCGGCTGGGACGACTCGTACAGAGACATCCAGTCCAACTGCGCACTTCCGTACATGGATATCAATGAGGACCCGCATACGATCAGCTTCTCGGAGAACGACACCACAATGGAATACAAGTGGGATACACACTGTGGAGGTCGCTCAATAGTTTTGTGGAAGAAGAAGTACAGTCTCTTGCGGAACATGTTGTATACTGGGGGAGCAATAGGAGAGAACGGAAGAGACATCTTAGATGAGGTGGATCTAGCTTTCAAATTCCCTTTTGAAGGCCGACCCAACTGATGACGGCATCATTGTTTCAATTCAGCCTTTTGCCGATTATTGAGACAAGGGGTAGAGGAGGAAGCCGCAGCCATTTGTAAAGAGAAGGAAATAATGGACATAACAAAGTTCGTCTTACGCTTTTGTCTTCGTTATGTTATCTAGACGAGGAGTCTTAAGAAGCAACGTGCCCCTCATAGCCAACGTGAGTCCGTGAGTGACTGGGCTTCAGTGAGTCCCAGATGCTCCTGACAAAGACTAGCTCGCCAAAAAATAAGGTAATCTACGCCTTGAAAATGCAAACAGTGATGGTAAGGAAAATTGAGTGAAATTGTGGTCCGCTTTGTTCTCAACGAAGAATTGAGCGATAGCCTCAACCTGGTTAACAGGGTTTGGGGTATTGATGGAAAGGATTTGTACCTGAAAGTTAAAACCCCTGTACAGATGACAGATGGCTGCCTGTTTGGGCACCCCTGAGACATTGCATAGTGGATTCCACAACCCGGGTGAACAACGAGCAACTTTTAAATGACCGCTTCACCCCGGAGATTCCACAGAGCAGAAGTGTTCCAGTACTAAGCCACCCCAGTACCATCATCAGCCACTACAGCATTCATAAGGCGTCTCTTGTTGCCCCCGCCCCCAGGCACCTAGGACCAGCGATCATTTCCATGAATTCATTCCGTCAGGTAGACCTGCTATGTCAGAGGGTCAATAAGACCGAGGCTACACAAAAATGGTTCGTTCCTGTTCCTAATACCCCCAGCATACCCCCAGCTTGTGATTCACACCCTTCTGCTTTGTTGTACGCTGATTACTCCTTTTTGACTTTCTCATTCCTTATGCCGCTACCCATCTGGCAAACAGCTAGAGCCATAGAAATCCACATAACTGATTAACTAACCCGAATCCCAAGGTTAAACGATACGGTTACGGAATATACGAAAGGATTCGCTACGCTGAATGAATTTCTTGCGGCTGAACTGGTGTTCAATCAACCAAAAACAGATAATAACGATGAGCCACTCACTGCATATAAATCAGGAAGTGAGTCCGATCATGAGTGTGATGGCTCATACTCAGCCAGTTCCTCGAAGAAGCTATTCGCGGCGCCACAGTACTTGGACGCACTGGGCATATTTGAACGGCCACGACCAACCGAAGTTACAGAAGACCAGGTCATAGCGCAGTTCCGGGTTATTTATGCTCAGTTGGTCATGGTGGAAAAAGTATGCATTAATGTCGACAAGCAACATACTGGATCTAAAATCAAATTATCATCCAACCTGTGGAAACAATTGACATCTTTCCATCGAACACTACTTTACATGCATTACGACTTCCTTCTTGCATCCCAAAGTCCCATCTCCGGTTCCGAGTTGCGGGAAATTCCTGGGAATTACCAAATGCCCGCACGAATGTGGAGATACGGTATTCATTTGTTCCTAGATCTTCTTCTAGAAAATCTCCCGGACTCCTTGGATTTTCTGATTGAGTTCACCCAACTTGCGTACTCGATGATGACTCTATGTCTCGAAAGCTTTGAAGTGTTTTGTGATATTTGGATGGAGTGTCTTGGAGACTTAGCACGATGTCGCATGGTCATTGAAGACCGAGACCAAGATATTTGGGCTGAAGTCGCGCGATATTGGTATAACCAAAGCGCTAATTTCAGTCCCGGCGAGGGCCGTATACAGCACCATCTTGGAGTTCTCGCTTACCCAGACACTCTTCAAAAGCTCTGTCACTATACAAGAGCGCTGGTCAGTATCCGTCCTTTTCTCCATACACAAAAGAGTATAGGGTTCGTTTTCAGCCCGTATCATGAACATCGAATGGATCTCGGTGGGCATACAATGACCACTGCGTTTATTGCCACCCATTATACCTTATACTACAGACGGCCGGTTGATGAATTTTCTGCTTTGGCAACTTGCTTCTTAGATCTCTTGCGAAAAGAGGCTGTCCAGGACCAAACAGCACTTTATATCATGTCGTGTAATTTCGCGTCAGTACTTCAATACGGAGACATTGAAGCTATTGTGGCTTTGGAAATGGCTCAGAAAGACAATAAGACAGCTACAGAGCCATGCCTTTCTTCACCCATCTCAATGTCAGCCTTGGATCTAGCAACTCAGATCAAGGACGCTCGCGGTCTAACGCCCGCTAACTTCCATGTCCCTCCAATGGCCCTACAAGGCGCTATTCTCTCTTTCCACACACTCTCCATACTAATCGACTCTTTTAATGAGTCTAGTGTATGTGCAAGTGTGCATATCTCATTGTCATTTATCTGGTGTCTAGCCCTACGTCCAAACGCCATACAACGACTAGAGAAACTCATCCCATGGACCGATATCGCGAGGTTCCTCAACACCCTCATTAACTCCGACATAGTCTTCGAAAAAATTGAAGACAGAGCATTCCCACGGTACGAGGGCGTGGCTCGTTATTTACCGGAAGACTTTCTCATTCGTGGCCAGACCTGGAGCCAACTCTATTACCCCCACGACTTTTTCCAAGACACAGCTTCGAAGGAGGAGATTTCAGTGATTGAAGATCCTTCCATCGGTATCCCTCGAAGGCACAGGTGCCTGTGGTTAGGTGTCCGTATAGCAACAGCAACCGTTAGTATCAACCTCCTCCGTTCCTTGTATCGGATCATTGTTTTCACACATAGGAACGATGCTAACAGACTTGACATGTAGTTCGGTCGCTGGTTTGCATACAACGATAGGAATTTCGACATCACTCAGCGTGCGCTGAGGAATGTATCGATGCCTCCATAACAGCAGCACCTAGCCCCTTATCTGCAGATTGAGGGATCTCAGCGAGTGACGATGCCGCACGACGTATTTGCCACATAGGATCCTGCCATGCTAGGTGTCCCTAATCAATGAATTTTCCTACCATTTCTTTCATACTGAGATCTTGTGGCCGACATTGATTTCACCCCAATGCACAAATCTCACTTCCGATGGCTCGCCGGTCAAGTGGAAATCTCACATAGTAAGTGCTTGGGCATACACGAAAAGGTCTTTCAGGTGGATATCAACGCGTCAATAGAGATCCATTTGGGAACCGAACCAACAAGGTCTCGAAAGTGAAGCAGTTAGTCGAGCGTCTCCTACGGGAATTGAACCGAGAAGTATGTAATGGGTGATGAAACGAAAGTCGTGTTAACGAGAGTATGGAGCGCGGGTACAAATGTATGGGTCTTCTATTAACAAACTGGTTTATGCGTTCCATGAAGCCGCTCTCATCCCTACCAGCGCAGTGGCTGGCCTTCCACAAATCGTAGACTGAAACTTGATCTTCAAATTCACAGGGGAGATAGTAAGCATTTGGATGGTGTAGAAAATTACGGAGGAAGCAATGAAATGAGAACCTCTCTAACTAATTCGCCTCTCGAATCACAGATTCTCACAAGCAATCAAATCGAAGCACATCTGGTGTCGGCGGGGACACGATCATTCCCCCTCCCACTTCTCCAGGAGCCGTTTATGGAAGTCCTCTATAGCGTTCACGAAGTGGTTGCGATTTGATGTAAGGTGGTTGTGGTTGATAGCTCTCGACTCCAGTCGTTTGAGAACTCTGGACTGTTGATCGTTCGCGCAATTGGAGCGATTGCCGCATCCATTTTTTTCGTAACAGCATTGACAAAGATGCCGCATCTAAGCCATCCAGAAACAGAGAGGAAGAGCTTAGCAGGTGTCCGATTAATCCTCTGAGCAAGGATACGTTCGGGGGCGGTTCACAAATTAGCCCGACTCCACATTCCTCCACTAAGGATACGTTCGGGGCCGGGTCACAAATTTGTCCGATTTCTCCATATGAATGTGATCCGATCAGGTGTTACCCAAAGACCTCCATCATCCCATGAGACCACACTGGAAAAGCTAGATTGACTAAAGGGAGATCTAGTCTCAATTCGAAAGGTCCACTGAAGCATAATGCTAAGATCACATGCTATTTTAAGTGCTTATGCAGTTTTCTCGAACATACTTCTCAAGCACAAAGCTTATGCCACAAACGAACCAACGATCATCAGTAGGCGATGAAGGTTGTATGACAAGAAGTCTAGTGTTATAAGTCTTCAGTACAGTTTATGCACGGTGTTCTAGATGTCGTCCCTCGTTCCTGAGAGTGACGGACCTGTGACAGAGTTCCTCCGAAGATTTTAGAGCACCTCGGTAAATACTACTTCTTTCCAATGATATATCTTCCCCTACTTGTATGAATATCATCCATTTGCACATTCTATAATTCTTCTCAGGTATTCCGTCACGTCAAACCCACATTCGCCATGTCGGAAACCATGAAGGCGTGGCAGTACGTCTCGCCAGGCGGCACCATCTCTACCCACATCGCACTCGCCACCACCTCTAAACCTCTCCCCTCCTCTCTCAAGGGCTCTGACATCCTCGTCAAAGTAGCCGCCGCAGCTATCAATCCCGCCGACTACAAGTTTCCGCAGATAGGCTTCCTCTCACGCACCATCCTCTGCTACCCCATGAAACTCGGCATGGACGGCTCCGGCACCGTCTCAGCAGTTGGCCCAGACGCTGACGTTGCGATTGGCGATCACGTCACCTTCCACATCGATCTGCGAGATTCTACCGCTGGGGCACTGTCGGAATATATCGTGGCTAAAAAGGAAGGCTACGCGCATATTAGCAGGACCACGGACCTGATTCAGGCGGCTAGTCTTGGCACGGCAGCCCTGACGGCGTACCAGACGATACAGCCAAACGTGGAAAGGGGCGATAGCGTCTTTATCAACGGAGGGGCGGGTGGCGTGGGCACGTTTGCCATCCAGATGGGCAAGATCCTGGGGTGCTATGTCACAACTACGTGCTCAGGGGCAAAAGCAGAGATACTCAAGGGACTAGGCGCGGACGAGGTGATTGATTACAGGACGCAAGATGTCGTAGAGACGCTCAAGAGTTCGGGGAGGAAGTATAACCTGGTGCTGGATCGCCTAATAGACTATGGGCAAGTGCGTCGGATTTTCTAGACGAAGGGGGACTATACATGCTCGGGACGCTGGATACGAATTTCAAGGGCGTGAGGAATGCGGCGAAGGCGCTGTTTTTGCCGAGATGGTTGGGGGGGGGGCGAGACACAGAGTGCAGACGTATCTGACGTATAACTCACGTGAGGATTTGGCGCAGATTGCGGCGTGGTTGGACGAAGGGAAGCTGAGGGGGGTGATTGACAAGGTGTTTGAGTTTGGAGACGTGGTGGAGGCGTTTGAGTACTTGAAGACGGGAAGGACGACGGGAAAGATTGTTATTCATGTACCGTAGTGTGTGGAGGATAATTATCTCAATTGTGACAGTCGCAAGGCCCTGCTTTCCGTTACACAGTCAAAAACGCACCGCGCATAAGATAGTCGCGTGATGCGCTGTGAGTATAGTGAATACGAAGCTAGTCAGCGAAAGTCCTTGTGATGGAGAAAGAACAAGCTTACATCTCTGGTTGTTCGTCTGTTTGCGAAACGCTTCTGGATGCTTTAGGCTTTGGGGGTTAGACCTCATACACTCATCTCATAGAAAAGTGAAAAGCCGTACCTGACCTGTCTAGGTAGTTAACCTGCAATGATCATGAGCTGGAAAGTGTTTGGAGAGCCGACGTCGACGAGGTATCTATAGGGGCAAGACTTGCCCAATCCTGGTGGTCTCTGACAGTATTAGCAGTTTTGAGTAGGTTGATGGCAAAGTGCACTGGTAGAATCAAGCATCCCCGCAGAAAATATACCAAAAACAGAGGAAAGAATCACACACATCCAAAAAAGACCTTCCTTAACATCACTTGAACCTTGTGTAGATACCCCATAGGTAGCATTAGATGCCTCATATTTTAATATTCTTACCCTCATTCTTCGCTACGGGATTCCTGCGAAAAAGATCCTCCATTCCGTTCAAGTGAGACGCCAGCTACGTGAACTCGCATACCTTATCCCTAGCCACTCTTTAAATCGCACCTTTATTGGCATTGTAGATATACCAGCACGTGTACATAATATTCTTAACGGGGATATCTTTTATTTGGTAGATGAGCCTATCTCCTCTTCCCGAAGATCCATCAACCTCAAAGAATTGTGCTAATTTGCTTCTCATCATATGCCTCAAAATTTCCCCGATCCATTGACTATATCGTCCCACCGTTGACTACCGTTTGCTAACGCTTAATTAAAGCCACGACAGGCCTCATCTTTTGATATGCCGACTTCAACGCTCAGCTTCACCGAACCAGTTGTGTTCCGATTTAGTAGTGTTTAAGTGGCCCTGCGTTAGCGGTGATCTGTTCTCCACCAGAGCAGTCCTTGTAGGACTGGCCGTCATGGTAGACCGCGCAGTCGCGTTGTTTAGCATCAAGCCCGCGTATTCTTGGGTAGATTGGTCCATTTTGGGCTTGGAGTCCCGAATCTCCACTAGCCCCACTGATCACCACCAAAAAGGTTAAATGACGTCATTTCTCTAACTCTTTCCCAACGTACGTTGATATTCTAGCGTGCTTCAGAGAGGGGTCTGGTGGGAATGAAGCTCAAATTAACATCACTCTCAATAGATGCTAGCCTGCTGTATAGGAGTACAGAAATCTTCCACATTCTCAAAGAAGCTTCGAAGAATATTATAGAAGTCTGCTTGAATGTCTTCGTTACACATATTAGGATAATCTTCCTGAAGCCTAAGCCCACGGAGTGTTGAACTAAGATGTGCGGCCGTATAGAAGTGGCCACCAACAGCAAGGCAGTCATCTGGAGTGAACACTGCGTGAGGGCAGCTAGGAGGCATGACTCTAAGTGAAATATAAGCTAGGTGCTTTGATACTATGTGATAATACTCAGAAAAGATCTCCAGCGCATAGCTCCACCTTTGCCCAGCCTGCTTCATAACCTCGACACCACTGAGAGCCTGCAAGAGCGAGTAATCGGATAGCGTCGTCTGTCACTTGACGTGGAAAATACCAAATTTTCCGGCCTTCAAGGACCAGAATCCAGGTTAACTGAGCTCCATTGTCAACGTGGATAGAGGATATCGGGTTTGCTCCGCTAAGGAGGAAGAATTCTTGTCGACTGCTTGTCCATTGAGAATTAGTCTTTCCAACGTTATCGGGCAATACGCGAGATAGTTTGCAGAAAAGATCGTGATCGATGATTTCGGTCGGGCAAAAATCCCCGATCCTGTTCTCGATATCTATTAAATTGATAGCGTGGCGTTTGTGTGCAGGAAGCCTCCAATGTGATAGAACGTCTCGGACAGTCATTCTTCGTGTCCTTGAAGCAGGATCTATCATAGAGTAGTCATAAACATCAATCATCTTGTCAGGCTGCTCATACAGATGCGTCCAGACAGCATCTAAGCTTAGTTGTCGACTCGAGAGAGAATTACCGGATAGGGAGGCTCGATGAAGTAGCGGCTTTTCGAAGGTTTTGCCAAGGTATTCATTCAGCGTCCGTGAATCGTTCAAGAGAAAAAAATCCCCGTCTGCGGTTTCGAAGATTGAGGGTATCGACGTAATTATGTCGAGTAGACTCCTGAGTTTACGTAAAGGTCTTATTAAATCTGCGACAACTTCGTCCCTTGATTTTGCCTATTCTGCTTTATCATCTAGCTCATATATAAAACTCTTGAGCTCTATGATACCGTCGTTGCCAAAGTCCGGAATATCCAGACTGTGTAGACCCTATTGAATAGACTCCGGGATATGAAGGTTCTTCTGTCGCCTTTCGTGCTTCCGCTTATATTATCTTCTGCGTTTTCGGCGGTTCTCGTCCGATACATCTTGAAATGCTTGTAAAGGCGTCATTTGGAAAAATCGAATCTGAGAGGCCCTCGGAGGAGATATTGAGGGGTTTTATAAAAAGATATGATGAGTGAATAGAGATTTGGGCGATGAGGAGGGTATGATTTTCTAGCGGAAGAAGGCGGTTGTTATGATACTCAATGAGGCCATCTCTATATTGATATTGGAGCCTTAGGCACCCACGTCCGTGGATTCTGTCAAGGCGGCGGCTAACCAGCGGTCAGCCAGTGACCCGGCGATAACGATTCGAAAACAGTTACACTGCATACAACCTGCGGCCACTGCATGGGCGATGCGCTGGCTATACGGTGGCCTATCGTCGAGGTTTCCTCCCCAAATCGTGTTTGATTCTTGTTTGCACAAAAATGATGTATTTAAATCGATGCTTAAGGAAGTGGGATTTTCCTTCCTTAAGAAACAGTCTCTGTGACAATCTGACTTGGTGCTTCGCTCTCCTACCTAGTTGACAGGTTAACTACCCTGCAAGTAGTTCATTCATAACAGCGTAATATATAGGGGGGGGGAACTTTCCTAGACAGGAGGGAACTTCCCTAGGCAGTAAGTCTCACGCGCGTGTCGGATAAATTATAGCCCGTTAATGCTAATGTCGGCATTGATGATTGCGTCTTCACTCGTTCTTAGGCCCAGCCTTATACAACCCAAGGTCGATGTGGCAACGCCTCACGCAGCGACCGAAGCTTTAAGTCATGATATAGGGCTAGAAAAAGACTGAGACGAATCAAGTGCCGCTGGGAGCCAATCTCTCAGTCTCGCCTCGCCTGACACCGAAAGACCCCTCACCCAGGTCAGAGTGGGATCCCGAGGAACTCTCACAACCTAAGGGCTTGCTTGCATGGGTGGGCACCCTGCAACCGGGGGGCTTTGGTGGCTGCGGGGGCGGCGAAACCCCCTTCCTTTGTTTGGCCTGTTTCCTTTGTTTTGTCTGTTTGGCTTTGTTTGCCGCGTTTGCACCCCCACTCTTCCCCCACGTGTGGGTGGCAGGGCTGGACGGCCTGATCTCTGAGGCCCGCTTCACCCACCGTGGCTTGGCTAACTGGCCAGCTGTGTGGCCCGAAATCTTGGCCGGAGGCCTTAGGCACTAGGCCCCAGCGCAGATCTCACCGCCTAGCAGCCACCACCTCTCGCCGATGGTTTGGTTAGCAGGTTCTACCTCCATCTTTCTCCCGTCTGCCGCTGGAAAGGCAAGATTACAAATCCCGCATAAAACCTGTATATAAAGCATGTTAGATAGAATCTATGAATATTGATTGATTGATTGATATACAGTATTTGGTGGAAAAGTGGAGACGCACATTTTAAATACGCACGAGTATAGATTCCGATAGTTCTCACTCGTTCCAATGCATACTCGCCAATACCCATTCAACCAGTTTTGAAAGTGCGTTATTTGTCACTGTCACATACCTATCAAATTACCGACCCGATCAGAATGATCTGCACTGAAGTCTTAGCAGTGGGGCCAAGAACGAGTTTCCTAGTGCATACTGATCTACCTATAACCCAACTAAGAATTTTCACCAACGTTGTTCTTTCATTAAATGAACAACATCGAGTATACTGCTATAAGCTAGTCTTTGCATCTATGACCTGAGTTGTAGCCATTTTGCTAGGTGAGATACCATTTGAATTTGAATGATAAACAATCTGATATTTGGAAATGAGACCAGCTCATATACAGACGCGTGAATAGAGAAAATCAAACTTTCGACCTCAGCATATCAACATAGGAGACAAGGAGCGACTTCGATATGCAAGCCGACAAGGGAACATTCAGCGGTTGGAAAACCAGTCAACCTTACTGTCACGTCATCAGTCTTCAACGCTTGCCCTGCGGCCTTCGTCTGTCTTCACCAGATATCGACGTTCCTATCTTCAGTCTCTCAATCTCCTTTTCGAGTTTCCTAATCATTGCCCTATCTTGTTCCCGCTCCGATCCCTTCCTCCCCCTAAGCCGGCTTGGACGATAATCAGACTCACTGCGATGTCTAGTGTACCCGCTGTTACGTGGCCGGGCGACATCCTCACTTTCAGAGCCACTGCTTTCACTAGTTCCATGGCGGAAGCGATTTCTAGCCTTCATGTTGACCTGCTTCGAGTAACGTGTAGGCTTACTTCGGTATCTTCTTCCGCGACCGAAGCTTGCATCGCTGTCCTCATCGTAGTCGTCGTCGACGAAGGATTCTAGCCCGGCTTTCTTGCGGTAAGCCGTCTCAAGCTCCTTAGCTTTCTGATATATCACTCGGTCACCGTCTAGGGTCGAGCCAGTAGTGATACGCCGAATGAATGGACGTCCTTCTAATGTAATCACACCATCTGTCCATTCCACGAGAGTGCGTGTTTGTGGATAGTATGCACCCTTTGCGGGCTGCAGTAGATCGAGTGGATTGAGGCCCTCCTCATCATCATCTTCGATCTTCCAACCAACTCCAAGGATATTCGCCACATGTTCGCGCTTGTATTTCCAAAATTCCTCTGGTATGCCATTTCGAGTCCTAGTTCCTTTGGCGTTGCCACGTGTTTTTGTGGTTAGCACACGTTCAACCATATGAGGACTGTAGCTCTCGTGAGATCCCGCCCTAATACGATAAATCGGTGTCGTATTATCTCCATATTGCACAAAAGTTTGAGACCCAGTACCTTTAGGCCACCAGTATAAGACTTTTGCAGATGTCAGTCGGCGTTGCTGCTTCATGGTTCTCGCTTCCAAGGCGTCAAGGCCCGTGCCGCCATTGTCATCGGAGTTCATATCGGTAGAGTTCATATCGATGTCTTCATTGTCCCTTTTGCTCGTTGCGGGCTGACCAGCCAGGATGGATTGACCGTCGTCACTCGACCCGGATTCTGTTTCAGCTCTCGGGTTCGGTGTCCCAATACGTTTCTCTGCCCATTCTTTGCTGATATTCCAGGCTCGTGGAAGATGATACCTTTTGTTGAAAATTTTCAGAACATCGCGGGTTTCATTAAAGGCAGACCAGAAGTTCTCCGGAGATTGATCTGCAATAGCTTTTTTGCCCGCTTCCTGCCAAGCCTGGCATAAGCCATTATAACCGGTTGCAGGAATGATACCAACATCAATATCTGTGACATTGTGCTGCTCATTGGCACCTCTGATAAGCTGATTAAGCCTATCAAAGAACGCTTCGCAGGCGGCGTAATCTGGATTGTCGGTCGTAAAAAAGCTTTCGACCATTTTTTCTGACTGTTCTAATGTTTGACTTCTAATAATGTCCTTCACCCAAGAGCTAAGAGGGTCTGGCTGCTCCTCGCTTGGCCCATCCTGGTCGGAAGCATCGTACAATTCCGGATCTGTTGCGTCACCTGAATCATAGCCGCTTGCATTTGATGCAAAGTCTCCCTCTCGAGTTGGGCTCCTCGTTATATCGACCTTCTTGCCTCTTTTATTATGACTAGATTCAGCTGCGTATAGTTATGAATTAGAAAGGTAAATTGAATAGGCAATAGGCACATACCTCTGTGGTCCGTTATCTGCTTTGGTTCTGCCCTTTCAGAGTTCTCTCTGTCGGAAAAAGGTGTTTGGATGTCTCGTGCATTTCTCTTGGCCTTTGGGGCCTTTTTGCTTTTTTTCTTGGGCATGATTGATTGGGTTCTTAAATCTGGAGGTTTGAGAGGAATATAATATGATTTGTGGGACTAAAGGACTGTTATAATTGTTTATTCGGAATTCCTAGGATATAGCCCTTTCCGCGTAGCCTTAGAAGAGTGATACAGGACCAAAAGGATGTTGCAGGACCAAAAGGATGTCGCAGGACCAAAAGGATGTCGCAGGACCAAAAGGATGTCGCAGGACCAAAAGGATGTCGCAGGACCAAAAGGACGTCGCAGGATCAAAAGGATGTCGCAGGACCAAAAGGATGTCGCAGGACCAAAAGGATGTTGCAGGACCCAAAGAATGTCGCAGGACCAAAAAGGTATCAGTCAACACTACTCCATCATCGAAATTGTTAGATCTATAGATGTATATGGCTATTCTCGAAATCGTCTTGACCGGTGCACACTGATGGTGGTCGCTACAGAGACGTTTGGCTTAGTACGTACTGGTCAAGGCGATCTCGAGAATACCTGTAATAAAGCTATACTGTAGATAGTGTGCGCTATCAAGCCCTGAGAAAATTTGCTTCATTGTTATTCTCCTGCCTCTCAATAAACGCCCGCGGGGAAGCTAAATATCTCCTTGGCCTTGAGTAGGAGGCCAAGTACCAATCTCTGACGTAGGATCCGTAGTACCTTGCAAAAATGCCATCATCTGGCCCAGCACGCTAGAGCACTGGAGACACTTGGACTGGTACCATTCACAAAGAGACCTCAAATCCAACATGTCCTGCTCGTGGCGGTGTAAAGCAACCTTGGCTTTCTCTATTATAGACCGTTGAGAGTTGATCTCATCTTTTGCCTCTACCACAGCCAGCTCGTTTTCATGGGCTTTTTCTTCGGCTAGTCTTAATTTTTCAGCGAGACCAAAATTCTCAACTTGTAGTTTTGCAATAAGATCCAGCTCTTCCTGCTTTTTCACGATCTGGGATGTTTAGCCCTTCCGAATTGCAGTATAAACGATGATTAAATACCTTCTCCGGTCGGACCGCATGGAAGGTCTGGCCCACCCTCCTGTGAAGCAGCATGTAAGTCCCAACTGAATGTTTGCTTAGATGCTTTTGGAACAATGGCTCAAGAGCCGGATCGTCTATCTGCCATTTGTAGGGCATGTCTTCTTCTGGTTTTAATCGCACATCAGATGGTTGCACTTCGATATCAAGCGTTTCCACTAGATTCGGCGTCAGAGAGGAAATCAAGCGGAGTTGAGAAGGGTAAATAACAAATATGCTGAGAAAGACGCTCCCTGCAAGTAGCCCTCCAATCAGCCCGCTTCTTATTTCCGAATGATGAATTTTGTCTGTCCATATTGTTTGTAAGTGAGAGTAGCGAAAGGGTTACTGGCTATATATATATGGTTGGAAACCAGCCCATCGGTCGTTTTAGGTCTAGTCCAATTTTCTCAGTCGACAGTCTTGTCACTTTCCTGAAAAAGAATACGACTAGCTTTAATGCTATTGATATTTCCATGTAAAATAGGACAGATACTGTACCCTCAGGCTAGTAATATAATTTACATTAAATTGGTGTCATCACGAGGCTTTCCACCTTAACAGTATTTCCGGTCTCGGTGACAAGTTCCCAAAATGTTCTTGCACAACTTGATGAGCGAGTGCCTGGGGTGAATCTTTCATAGAACAGGTTTATTCTATAGAACTCCACATGCTGCACAATCCCATCATGAGCTTCTAGGAACCGAATTAACTTAGAGCCCAGGAGCCAACAGTCTGTGATTTCAAATCTCTGTAGGCACGGCAAAGTCACAGCAGACATCAAATCCAATAAGCCCGGGCTGTTCACTAACTTGAAGTTTCTGACGAGAGCCAGCCCTTGTTCCGCAATCTCCAAAATATTCGAAGATTCATGGGCTGATCTGAAAGGCATCCCATGTATCTCCAAAGACTGAATAGTCAGCCCATTCCACTTCGCTGATATCATACCTCTCAGAACTGCTTCAAAGTGGACAGCAAAGGAGTGCCAGCTGTCAACAAATAATCGATTTGAAAACCAAAGTAGCTGATTCTCGTGCTCCCCAGTAAATGACAACTTGATGCACTTTAGGTCCATGAGGCGTGGAAGGCTTTCCATAAATGCGTGGATATCTTTTCTTTCCTCCATGATAGCCTGCTGATCGGCAATCAGGCGTTGAAAATAGGTGTAAATTGCTTTATAAGCAAAGCCGTTGCCTCTGAGATTCCAACAAAAGTCTGTATAGTCTTTTGCATACTCCTGTGGCGTATATACGCAAGAGGTAAAATAATCCCAATCCTGGATGACTGTGGATGTTAGCATGAAAGACAGGCTTCATTTCGCGTATGTGTCACATACCGGGATCAAATAGCTCCGAGACATCATAATGGAGGATCTTCACGTATGCTGCTAGAGGAGACTTTGATAATTCCTCTAGCATATTGAAGTCAAACTCCGAGTATGTAATCTTGATTGTTCGGAAAATTTCGGGTTCGCTCACTGCTCTGCATTTCTTACTTACCAGGGAGAATGACTTGATTGTGAATTCGCTCAAATTAGATGCAATGAGCTCTAAGATTTCAAATGGGAGGTCTGTTAGAGTCGTCATTTCATTTGATGGTTGTCCGGATTCCCTTTGCTATTTGCTACTCAAAGGGTTTGAAGTCAGATATTTATCTCTTGTATATTATATATCACCTCCAGTTGTATTCTGGGTGTGCTTAATAGCTAGCGGATAATACAGTCGAAATGATCGCGCCCCCACCTGTGCGACTATGTCTCAGAATCCTAGAGCACGCTAGTCCCTATAGAGACCTAGTTGCTATGCATATATTCAGGCCATTCTTATTGTACTTCAACACCATCCTTCCATCTCACTCTTGCTGCATTCAAAGTACCCTACAGTCCATTTCAATAAACACTGTGAAGGTGAGTCGCAAAACGATGTGGAGATTGGCAAGGGATATCTAATAAAGCTTAGAATGAAGGGAAGGGTATTCTGGTCATGTGCCTCATGCACAATCTCTGGGAACCAGAAGTTGAACATCAAATTTGTCCCCTATGATCCGGGATCTTCTTTTATAATCATGTGGTCTCACATTCTTCCTGCTAAGCGACACATCAACATATACACATTCTGTCAGTCTTGTTTGGTAATCATGGGATGCACCTCGTTCGAAGAGGAGATGAGTCTGGTTCTCCAAGTCAAGGATCTGCAGGTTTTTCTCGATAGGAAGACCTCCTGGATTAAGAAGGAATGGAACTTCTGGGTCCACAACCGTGAGTTCCAGAAAATCCATAGAGTCGTGAGCGATACCCAAGAGATATATCTCCATCTCGCTGGCAGTGCCGCATTACCACTTGCAAGTTACTGAAGGATAGGAGGTTAGGGACAAGGACGGGATCGAAAGTTAGATGTACGAGACATAATCTGTTGGCGGATCAAGGAGCCCCTATTTAGTTACCTACAAATCTTTATGTCGTTTTTGTTGGATCAGTAGTATTTGCAGTAGAGGAATAAGCACGACTGTACGGTAATCAAACAATGACTTGTGAATCCTGTGGGCAAAGGAAGAGAATATTTGTGTTTTTGAAATCAATTAATAGCTATATGCATTTTCAGATCGTAGAAACAACACCCCGGAAGTCAGATTTTCAACTTGGTCTGGAGTGTCGGCGCGATTATAGGCCACTAGATAAGATCGGAGTAATTTCTCAATCCAGAAAAGCGAGCGATAGTATATAACCCATAGAAAGCAACACCATCGAAGCTAAAATACGATATAACGCTTGAGACAAAACATTTATAGAGGGTCCAATGTTTTCGGCGGTTGGCTCCTGCATGGCGGTTGGACGGGGGACCGATGACATGTCTGTGGTTATTCTGCTCGCTATCCCAGTTGGTAAAGATGAAGGAGCAAATATAGTCTCCTCGGTCGTTGAGATGACCGGTATATCCATCCAATTCAGGTCTTTCGGTGCTAACGTAGCCTGTACAGAGATTGTTTGGCGTGCATGGCAGGATGCGTAGGTTGTTCCATCAATTTCGCAGGATAAAGATGCGGTGCTATAGCAGCCATATTCATTAGAAACCGCCTACAGATTGGTGAAGAAGATCTCTCACTTGTTGACGTTATTTGAATGCCTCAACTCTGCGAATGTCGGCGCAGCGATGACAGTCATGCCCTCCCCGGGTATGCCACACTCCGATGGTCTTATAGTCTTCGGGCAGACCACAATATAAGTTGTAATATTTAGATTCTTATAACTTTAGTGTGTTCCCACAAATTTAATCAATAAGAGCCTTCCGTATACATACCCTCTCTTTGATACTAGCTTCAAGTGAACGCCCTTGAAAACCTGGCAGTAATAAATTCGCCATCTGCGACGCGCCGATAGTCGCCAAACAAAACCAGGTAGTGAGAAACATTGTGATCTGGAATGTTCGGGTAATTCTTGTTCCTCTCAGCAATATTAGAGAAACAGAGGCCCATCTTAACTTTGTACAGTATGGGCCTGAAGCAGAGAGGTATAGCTGGATAAAGGGGAGCCGAATGTGGTAGTCCCGCGTATGACTCATCCACGTAGTCTCTATCTGATATCAGAGACACTCTCTGAAAAAAAAGTACCTTTACTATTTCAAGTGCGACACCGTTTTGGTGCTGCGACACCGTTTTGGTGCTGCGACACCGTTTTGGTGCTGCGACGCCGTTTTGGTGCTGCGACACCGTTTTGGTGTCTCTGCCAAATTATAGATGATCATACACACGGACGCTTACAGGTGTTAACTTCCTGAGGTGGGTTGCGCATTGTGTCTTTTGAGATTTCAAAGGCAGTTCCGGCATTACTGCTCGATATCTGTAATGTAGTATTGTCGGAGCAAGCTGAGACAGTAGTGACTAGTAATACTAGTAAGCGAATGAGATCGTGGATAGAGATCAAGCAGAACCAGTCTTTGATGCAAAGGTTGATTGATTGAAAAGAAAACAAATGTACTGAGGCAGGTTCAACTACCTAGGAATGGTGCTAGTACTCGGTGTTACGATGACCGAAATGCCATAGATACCAAATTACTATACGATACATAAATAAAAGTGGGTCACTGGGTATAACCCTTGTCTCGGTGGCAAGTTACCACACCATATTCCGACAAGTATTCATTACAGGTATGCCCTTCGGACTTCAAGTAGCTTCCGAGGCTCTTCCCTGTATTAAACTTCTCATAATGCTCCCTCAGAAATAGAACAGCCGACTTCGGATAAGAATGTGTTTTGCACCAAAATTTCCAATCAAGCATGACTCCGAAATATCACTTCGTGGACTAGAGAGCCATCCTGCGGGGGCCAATGTCGGCTGAGTATTAGGCGCTGTTGGTGATGGAGCATCTTGGAAATTCAGCAAGCTAAGTGATTGGAGGTAGCTGGCCTAAGTTTTCGGGACGGCCCAGCAATGGTTCCTTTGAACTCTAATACGCTCGGAGTTATTTTAATTGTATCAGGCGCCTAGGGAATTCTCGGGGAGAAGGGAACGTGGGGCTTAACCATGACGCGCATACGTAGTAAGAACCTAAAGGACAGCCAAGCCAAGTAAAACGGACGTCACAATAGTGCGAAATGAAAGTAACCCAACTGCAAAAGGATCGTTAAACGACCCATTTCAAAGGCGATTTAGTCACCAACGGTAAGGCCGGAACCACCGGAAGGCACATGACAAATAACCACATGGTGAACTCCATTAAATTCCTACAACTAGCGGTATTGGCCATCCAATTTCTCCTAGCAGGGGTCAAGTGAGCCACATTGAGTTAAAAGTGGAACCCGAAAGTCAAGTAGTTCATGTGATCTTCCTATCCTATCGTGCGGCGAACTAACCGATCGCACTAACCGGAGCACAGTCAAATTATCACAAGCGCCTGAGCGGACGTGCCGATCTTATGCTGGCGCTGTTCCCAAGGAGAATAGAACTCTTCCCTGAGCCGACGGTTTCGGGGAGCGGGGGAAGTGGGGCAGTGCACTCTCTGTCTAGGATCCTGCAACCTAATTTGGAGCTACAGTTGGACCTGGACCTATCGACTGCGTAGCCAAATCTCTAAAGTCGGGTCGCCAAGCCTATAAAGTGATTCACTTGCGTGGTCTAAGCGTTACTGCCGATCTGTTTAAGATAGATTGTGCAAAATTATTTAAGTGATAACCGAGTCGTTGTGGCCACTAAAAGGTCCATACATTCCTGCTGCTTAATATCCTTCAGTAATTCCTGTAAATGAAAGGAAACCTCCTTGTAGTACATATACTGCAAACACTATGTACAAGATTCTCTCGCTTCTTCACTAAAGGAAAGAGGATTTCCTGTGAGGATCTCAACGCTTGACTCTTCCGATGCACTGCCAGCTAACACGTCTGGAACCAGTCGATCTGGCTGATGCTGGTTATAACTCGTCAATTGAAAAGCTTGTATCGCCTCTTGAGGCCTGGATTTAAGCTCTCGTATCGCTTCCTCGCGCTCCTGGAGGCTGGATTCCAGGCTGAAGATCAGTTCTCGCTGGCGTTGATTTTCAAGGAGCAGGTGACCATTCGCCCCTTCATTATTCAGCTGCTGGCGGTTGTGCTCTCCGGGGGCCAAGTACTGCAACAGAGATTCAACACTTGGGTATAATTCGGCGAGACGAGATTCGAGCTCCTGCACTTTAGACTTTTCAAGCCCCAAATCTCGGGCCATAACCCTGCAGGCCTCTGCCATGTGGGCTAATGAGGTCTCAAGCTGCGATCTTTGGTACTGCAGTCCACAAACCACCCTCTGTAACTGCAAGGTATGGGCACGTAAGCGCTGGAATTCTGCCGCATCGCTATTGATCTTGGATTCCAATTGGTCTTGGTAGAGCTTTAATTGCCGCTCCTGGAGTAGGAGAGCTTGGATGCAGTTAAAAACATTTTGGCCAGTGTCCGCAGTTTGTGTTGTCATCTGAAATACAATATTAGATTATTAGTAGCCGAGAATATGCTGGATTCCGACTTTACCTGTTGAGCCCCTTCTTCGGATGGCGACACTCGTGAAAAAGTCTGGAAAGACATATCCACCTGTAAACACCTAATATGATTAATTTCTTTGTATTCATCAAGTGGAGAGGATGTGGCGAGATCCATATATCCAGCATCCAAACGTCTCCTGGCCCTACGGCTCATAGGGACCAGGGTACCATTTGGGTGTCGCAGCACTATCTTGACTCACGGTGCACGTTTGCTACAGAGAAACGAATTTTAATATACTAAACCGTCGCGTCGTTACCGAAATAGTGTCACAGCTTGCTTGGGCGCCCAACAAACGGCCCCAAATTCCTCCAAAATCCCTGGGTGCCAGGGGTTTTTTGGGGTGTGGAAGGAAAAGGGGGGGCGGGGGTGGCTGTTCTTTGGTTCTTTTTATTTTCCCTTTTTTTTCCAATAACAGACGCGAAAAGTGTAGATCCCAACAGTTGTTCTTGTTCTCCGTTGCTTTTCTATGTACCGACGTCTTTCAGTATTTGTCAGTGTACCTTTTGTAAGGTAAACGCCACCAAGGCAAACATACACAGCGACCATTCTTTAGTATTTGATCTAGAATATAACAGGCCCGCCTACAGGCAGAAAGATAAGTGGTACAGATGCCCAATGAGCGCTGACTGCAGTCAATCCCCATTTGCTGATAGCCATGGTTGTTGTAATGGCTCCATTTCGGACTACAATTTCGGTAGCCCTTTTCCATAGCTCGTGCTCACCTTCACTTGCGTCATCGAGTGAGAAGAAAAATGCCCCATAGCATCCAATGTAATACAATACAAACTCCTTCTCGCGTTGTATGTCTCTAGGACAAATTCCCAAGCGTTTCACCAATCCAAGTAAACCTCATTCTCCGCCTATTACAATGAGTCGGTATCCAAACGGTCGCCTTGAGCCTATTTCTGAGGATATCACACCTACAGACCATCAAGTTCTATGCCTTGGGGGGACTTCATCCAATCTCGAGAGACTACCTTCCCGCTTGCAGCGCGCGAAGAGATCTTCCCCCGATCTGAAGACCAAAATGGAGGAGGTCGCCTATGAAATGAGCTATCTCAAGGCCGAGCTTCAATGGCACAAAGAGACCAAACAAATTTTATTGCAGCTTCAAGAACGGATGTATGCTGTTTTCAATTCGCTGGAAGACGCTCTTTCGGAGGCTACAGCACGACTGCATGAATCAGAGCAGCAATACTTGGACCTCTGGCAGTCAGAGACCGGGCAAGTACAGGAGGGTTACCTCTAAAGAATGTGGGCCATCAAACTCCTCCTGTTAGGACGGAATCTGGCTAGTTGAACAACCTGATAAACTGTGGGAGATATTACGATAACTTTAGTAATGCTGTCATTTCAGCCATATCAGATGAACACGTCTCGAGCGATATAGCATGTATCGATTGATGGACAGCTATTTCCTAGCAAGATCGCAAAATTCTCTCATCATATCCTTCTCGCGCTTCACTATTTCGAACAAGTAACCATCTAAAGTTTTGAGCTTGAGGTCCAGGCTCATTATCTTCTCGTTCATATCACCAAGTTGATGATTCATGCCAACTAGCATACCACCTAGTATGCCACCTAGCTGGCTTTCCATATTGTCCATGCGATGCGCTATAGCGTTCACATGCTGTTCAATGCGACCAATGGATTTGGTACATGCATTTATCTTTGACTCCAATCTGTTCGCTGAATTGCCGTATTGGTGAATCGTGGATGTGAAATTCCCCATCTGGAGAAGTAGACGTTCGGCCGTTTGGGAAAAATTGGTTTCTGTTTCATTTAGGACGGGCATGGGGATTGAAGAGTAACTTGCGGTAACCCACGGTTAGAACGACAGTCCTCAGCAATCAGAGGGTAAATGTTGACTCTGCCTACCTGCTTGGTTGAAGGGGTTCGACTAGATTTTTGTCGGGATCCCCTGCCATGTAGGCCTCTACTGACGGGTCCTGATGCGTAGGAGATGCGGTATCAAGAAGTTGCAGGTCGCCATCTTGGAGGAGATCGTGAATATTCATCATGGAGCTGTCTATAGCTGCACTTTCATTCTCATCAAGAGGTGGGAAACACGAAAGGATTTGACTGGTTGTCAGTATTTCATGCATAGAAGCACAAGACATCGGGGCCTCATAGGGGCCTGTGCCACCGGAAAAAGACATGATTGAAAAATATAAAAGCTCTCTCTGGTTGCAAAGGCATTTAATATATCATATCCTTTGAACCCACTCTTTGCCAACAGGTGCCTCTGTTGGAAGTCCATTTCATTTGATTGGCCGCATAAGTCCAACCAAGCCCTGGATTCAAGCAGGTACTGTGGCAGGGGTTTTGCGGTTGTTATTTGCCACCCCAATATTTCTATCTTTCCATAGCAAAAGTACGTTGGAGTAGGACAGGCGGGGACTGGGTGAGAAATGGTGAGAATAAGGTGAGCGTAGGGTGAGTAGGATGTAGTAGTGTCAGGGGGTTGAGAATGATCAACGTTTTCGGGTTGTCTACGGCTGCGATATCGCGAGTCCAGATTCAATTATCACCCCAGCTATGAAACAATCCGTAAGATAAAAGGGGTAAGTCGGAGCTTAAATACTTTGGCCAGAACTCTCATTAGAGAAGAAAAACAGATTTCCGTTCCATATATCTCACACAATGCAGAATACGATAGATATCGGCTGGTTTGATATTGGAGTCAGAGAGGATTCCAGCCTTGCTGTCCTAGATCACGGTCGCCTACTACATGTGATCAACCAGTTTCCAGACCCCCAAAGCCAGTACCCATCGCTATGCGTTTTTCTAGGCAGGAAAACTAAGGATCACGCCCTTCAGCAGTTGTATACCCAGAACAATATCAAGAGACACATCTCAAAATCAAAGATACAGCTTAGATATGATGTTGCCTCCCTCGAAAGTCGAGACCCGGTACTTCTGGCTGACGGTGACATTATGGAGGCGGAATACTTCCGTCCCATATTGAAACTCGACGCTGGAATGGGTCAACCCGTGTTGTGGGACGACTGTTCTGCAGACAAACTGCTGCAAGTATTGTGGTCACGGCTTATCCTTCTGTTTGCGGACGTGGTATGCATATTCATTGACGACATTTCCAATATGAGAAAGGTCATTGAGTTCTTGGTTAAGTGCATGGAACTTGGTTCGGCATCTTCCTTATCTCGGACACTCTTGCCGCGGTTGATTTTTATATATGGGACTGGAGTCACAGACAAGGATGCTGAACGACCATTCAACAGCGTGTTCTACGAATATCTTCAGGAAAAAGGGTACAAAGACTTGTCTGTACTATTTTCCAATGTTTCCTTCCTTGATCTACACAAGGGCGGTTTGTCAGAAACAGCGAACTATCAGAGGCTCAAAGCCTTTATCACCGACGAAGTAACCGCAATGTCTTTTCTTCGACAGATACATCACGCTCGTCCGAATGCTATCCACTTTCGAGCTCTGTTCCAATCAGCTTTTCGTCATACTCTCAGTGATTCGTGGATTGCGTTCGACGTCGTGAAAGCCACGCGAAGGGATCGCCCCGTAAGTCCGAGCGCGGAATCAAACCTCGTACATTACCTTGGGATCGCCGATCGCGCGCGCTTGTGTCCGGATGACTTAGCCCCATCTATTGCATCGGCTCTCTTTATGGATCATTACGTACCGGGGATGTTCGGTATGTTAGAAATACACTGTCTACGTTAATGAACCTAACAATTATAGCAACAAATCCTCGTGATGTTTTCAGAACCCTGTACCGGAAGATCGTGATTCAGGCGTATGGCAAAGCTCAAGGCAAAGCTCAAGAACCATGGTTAGGCTTATTTCCGGAAGAACAGGCAAATCTTATTGATCGGCATTTCTCTGAACAGTTTGAGCCTTTCTCGGGTGGCGTAATCAATGCAGCAGACCTACGGAGAAAACAACTTGAATCTCAGAGCGGTCGACTGAGTTGTTTACGGAGTAATCTCATCTGCCTGTTCTGCATTCTAAATACCGCTCAGCACGTTCTAGACTGCGGTCATACATTATGCGATCGCTGTGCCCAGGTCTATGGGGAACCGGCGACCGGGTTAGAGTACCAGTTTACGGTCACAGGCTGTCTCTACTGTCTCTACCGAAAGCCCCTCATTGTGGATGTTCTTCCACCCACCATGAGTCCTTCTATCCTCGCACTTGATGGGGGAGGAGTTAGAGGTGTTATTCCTTTGGAATTCCTTCTCCTGATGGAGGAGCATTTGCGGCCTTGTACTATTCACGATGTGGTGGACCTCGCTATCGGCACAAGCTCAGGTCAGTTGAAATCAAATTTTCTACAACGTCTGTATATAGACATAAAAAGCCTGATTATTGTGTGATGATAGGAGGGCTCATTGCTCTGGGTTTATTTGCAATGTTGTGGGATGTCGCAGAATGCTCCGAGCGCTTCAATACACTAGCGAGCCAGATTTTCAGGGAAAGACGAAGGTCGATTTTCCCCCTGCTTCAGGTTTCAGGCTACAAGTCGCTCCTTGGTGAAGTGACCAAATGGTTTCAATGGCTTGTCCACGACAGCTGTTATGACTCGCAAGTCTTTGATGCCGCTCTGAAGGGCGCTTTCGGAGAAGATCGCCGACTTTTCGGTGCCACACGTGAACGTTCTCCGGGAAATAGACGGTCCGGCCGGAAGGTGGGAGTGATCGCAACCAGCATTTCTAGGAGCACGAGTGCATTTGTCATCGGAAACTTCAACGCATCTGAGGACTCGAAGAACAAATATGGCAAGTTATACGCGACTATGTTTCGTGCTTTAACTAACACTCCTAGGGCACCGTATCATGCGCCCCGGCGAAATAGGAAACGAGCCTAGCGTGTACAAAGCGTACGGTTTCCCCCCATTACGTGATTGGAGGCGTGCCTCGCTAACTGGCAGAACATAGTGGCCGTGCCACAGCAGCCGCCCCTTTGTAAGTTGATCCCATGCATTAGCTTCCCTTAAGTCACTAAATGATTGGTTCGCAAGTTATTTTACCCCTGTAGATTTCGAGGGAGTTGGTTCCTTTCAGGATGGTGGATTGAAACACAACTTTGCTGGTGAGATTGCGAGTCAGGTTTGCAACCAGATCTGGCCCCTGTTCATAGGGTCCATTCGGATGGTGTCCATGGGAACCGGAAAATCACCTCCAAACGAGCAGATCCCCCATTTTCGCCACATCCTTCGCGACAGTTTTCTTCGCCGAGGGTTTGACGCATGGATGTCTACCATGGACACAGACACTGAGTGGAAGAATTGGAAAGGTAGCCTGAGCGAGTCAGTCCGAGGTGACTGTCACCGTCTAGATGTCTCATTGGCAGATACACCACAAACGATTGACGCGGTGGGGGCCATGAACGATTATCGCGATCTTGTACTTCTCCAGCCTGGAAGTGCACGGATGGCCCGGGACGCGGCAACCACATTGCTGATCTCTAGATTCTTTTTCCAGGTTAGCTCTTTACCAGAGCAAACATCCGTGCCATTTTGGTGCTCTGGATTAGTACGTTGTAAAGGTCCAGCCCGAGAGATCATCCTGGCTTTGGAAAATCTTTACCCCGATGGCCTTAGCTATGTCTCAGACAGCGGTTTAATTGATGGATTCGGAGGCCTGGACAGTCTATGCCCTTCATGTGGGTGTTACAACCATCCAATTTCGTTCTTGACTCGCCATTTGGACTACACTGTTGATGTCTACATCCAGTCAAAGACAAAAAGAAAATGGAGAATATCTGGCTTCCCCGAGAGTGTTGCTACGATTGCTTCCAGACAAGGTTTGCAGTCATCATTCGGCCATGGGGACCATGACTCTCCTTCTCGCAACCCATGCCTGGGCTGTGACGTCAAGAAAGGTATCATTAGAAATAAGAGGAAGATCGCCGAATCGTGGGAGTCTAGAGACCCCATTTCACGGAAACGCCCCCAGGATTAAGTCACGAATCAGATTGGCATTCTATCGTCCCCAACGCTCCAGGAAATAGACTCTTAAGTAGTCCCTAGACTATAAATAATTGCTACTTCCCTTTCTGCACCTTTAGATCTGTTCAAATCTCTACAGCCTAAGTCACCCCTTGGGGCACATTCTTATCAAATTTTAGGCTCATTCAGCCAAGACCTAACTATGGGTGGCCCTGACGCCCAGAGAAACACCCGAGTTACATTCCAAAAGAGATGCGACACCCTGAAGAAGAAAGCTCATCAGCTTTCTGAGATTTGTGGTGCAAATGTTTACCTTCTTATCGTTCACGACAGAGAAAATTATGTCTACAATTCCTCCTACGACCCTTCGTGGCCACCTCCGGATGAAACGCTCGTGAGTTTTTCGGGAAATCCGTTTTAGAGAGGTTTACTGAATGATTTACAGGAATTGCATTACACTGTTCCCAAGCTCGTGCGCAAAACGTTCAACGACATGAAAGGCACACATACCCCCCCCCTCACGACCCCCAAAGGTTTAACGAGTACTTTGCCGCAAGGTTTGAACTATATGGGATGCTTGAGAACCTGCACAAGACGGTGGAACCGACCTTTTTCGATATTCAGGACGAGACAGATTGCAGTAGCGAGGCAGAAAAATAAAGTTTATTGCATTTAGTTTACGGTGTATCGAGTAACATAGTCAGGTATAATATAGCACATGAACCTTCTCGACGTATGATTACTCCAATGGAATGACTAGAGTCATTTGATACGTGCGTAAAGCAGGCCATTTTGAGACAGACGTCAGTTGTATAGTCTAGACTGGCTAGGCACCTGAAATAAAGGTCTTGGCAGGAGATATAAAAGGTATGAAGTACCTGCTAATACTGTATCCTGTCTCACATAGTAGTAAACTTCTTGCCATGGCTTCTAATTTCTCTCCCCAGGTTGGCCATCAACAAGACAGATCATCATATGAGCCCCTGGAGACATGCTACGTTCGAATGATCCTGGAGGCTGACAAGATACCATGGCAACATAATTTGCTGGCAAGTGGAGCTCATTGGGTTTTGCTTGCGGGTTATCTGGTAGTCCCTGGCACGTTCACATCCCTTCAAGCATCAGCTACCCTCCACAACAGCTTGTCAGATAATGAAGCGGGAGAAGTTATCCTCAATCGCATCCAAAACCCCCCACTGCTTGCCCTGGCGTGCGTTTTCTTTGTCGTGGGATTAATGCTCATTGGTTGGCTTTACCATGAGTATAGAAGCAACTATATATGGCTCATCAATCGTATATTCATGTGGGTAATGAAGTTCATCTGCCCTTTCCTCTGTGAACCCATCCTATGAGAATCGTTACTGATATTCCTAGGCCGACTCTGCTTAATTCATCAGCTGGTCTTCTAACCACCATGATCAGCCTTTATACTGGGCATGGAGGTGACTGGTCAATCATGGCTCTTCTAACTGTGATTGCCTCCGGCCTTTCTGTTGCATCTTCATCCATTCTGTTGATAATATACAAGTTTATTAAGCTTGAAAAGGTGAAACGGCAACATGATCAACTTCAAAGTGCACGTGATCATTTCAGCCATTGCTAGAAGTTACAATGTGTCCTGGATGGAGATACTGTATGGCACAATTTAGTTTTGGATAGCACTGTTTATGTCCATAAAATATGCTAAGAATAATCAGTCTCTATGGATATGCTGTTCGTGAACTACAGACAAGTGCAAAACCAGCTTCACCATGTTCCACTCACTCGTTCTTTCTGGGCCCCACTGCCAAGCCGCTAGTTCAGGAATTGGGTATATGTAAATGGTCCTGGGTACATTACGTCATGAGCAACCTGCTGAATACGACGATGGATAGTGGAGTACCAATGGCTTGCAGTCCTTATGGGTAAAGTGGACGAACATAACTCGGCTCCACGGCTCAATATATCTACAAAGGATATCTTAGCATCCACACGCTCTTCTATGTTACCCCGTACACGAATCTCATAATAATGAAGCTTTCTTGAGCTGTATATTCAAAGAATTGCTAGGACTCTTCGACATTTATATCTGGTCTGATTCCTCTTCAACCACAACGTTCGCATGCCGGAAATGACCTTCCGCACTTTCTCTTTTCGCACCGACGACATCCAGACTCCATTGAAGAAATTCTTTGAAATCTTGATCTGTGTGATGCTGCCAATTCCGCCTTACGAATGCTTTGAGTTCCGCGAAGAATTCCTCGATCGGATTTAAGTCAGGCGAGTACGGTGGTAAGTACAACAACTTCACACCAGCATTTGAACATAGTTCTGCTATTCGTTCAGTATGGTGGAAAGACGCGTTGTCCATGATGAGAACAGATTTTGGCTCCGGCCATCTACCACAATGATGGAGAAGCTGTTCAATAAAGTCCTCAAATATGCTGGCGTCTGTCGATCCTTGGAAGACTCGCGATATCAAGATGCCATCTTGGCAATATGCTGGGAGGATTTGATACCGCTGGCCGCGCTGGAAACGGGAAACCTGGACAGGTGTCACCCCGCGTGGGGACCAGCCGGTCCTCCTGAAGCCAGCCCGTTTATCACAGCCTGATTCGTCTATGAAGACTAGGTGATACGAGCGAAAATCTGAGAGCTGATGCAAATAGTGATCTCTTAGATCCGCATTTCGTTCTTGTGCTATTCGTCGTGCTACCTTTTTGGTCCAACCCTGCGATCGAAGGGCTCGGCTAACAGTGTATGTGGACACGAGTAGTCCGAATTCGTCATATAAGAAGTCTGCCATTTCGTCCAGGTATAAATTCGGTTTCTCGATCAAGTGGTCGCATAGCGCTTCAAGCATAAACGGTGTGATCATACGAGGCCGGCCACTAGGGATCAGGGGTGCTCGAACATCGCCGAACATTCGGAGGTTGTTACTGATAGTTATGATCGAACGTTTGCTGCAGCCAGCCGCTTCGGCCATTTCTGAGGTAGTCAGCGATCTGCTGTCAATCATATCACGAATCATCACAAGCTGGGAGGGGGCAAGTCGAGGCGCCATGATGGTCTTTGTCGCGCTGTCGCCCAAAGTTGATGAGGTGCGCAAGGCAACAAGATGGGTCTGGGTCGGTTCGGGCCGACAGTCCAGCCGAACTCCTACTAAGCCTTTGCACCAATAGAAACGCGTCTTAAAATCAGCCGCACTTCCGATGGCGAATGCCCCGCAGACAGAACACAACACCGGAAGACTTCAGATCGGCCGCAACACCAGCCGGGCGACCGCAGCACCAAATGTGCTACTATATCACAAAATGGCGGATCCAAAAGTCTACACTGTCGGCTGGATCTGCGCTATTACTACTGAATATGTTGCGGCCCAAGCCTTCCTCGATGAACAGCATGCGGGCCCGGAGTCCTTACCGCCTCAAAATAAAAACGACTACACCTTAGGGAGAATGGGAAGACACAATGTGGTGATTTGCGTTTTGCCACTAGGAGAATACGGTACCTCTTCAGCGGCCCGAGTTGCCGAGGACATGTTACACAGCTTCCCTAATGTTCGGATCGGTCTGATGGTCGGCATCGGCGGCGGAGCTCCAAGCCCTCAGCATGACATTCGCCTTGGTGATGTGGTAGTAGGCATTCCTCACAACGGCCGGAGTGGAGTTATCCAGTACGACTTCGGTAAAATGATACAAGGTCAAGGCTTTTGTCCGACAGGCTTCCTCGATCAGCCCCCTACCCTTCTCCGCGCAGCGGTCAACGGCCTTCAAGCCCAGTATGAGATGGAGGGCCATCAACTTAAAGAGTCCATCCATCACGCTCTTGAGAAGAAGCCACGACTGCGGAAAAAGTATCAAAGGCCAGATCTCGAAAGTGACCGGCTTTATCGAAGCCATATCGTCCACACAACGGATAGCAGATCGGATTGTAAGATGGTTTGTGGCGATGATTCGACCCGCTTAGTTTCACGCCATCTACGCTCTGAGGATGAAGATAACCCGGCAATTCACTACGGGTTGATCGCATCAGCTACTCAGCTGATGAAGGATGCTCTCATCCGTGACAGACTTACAGCAGAACTGGATGTTTTGTGTTTTGAAATGGAAGCTGCTGGGCTGATGAATCACTTCCCATGCCTTGTGATCCGCGGTATCTGCGACTACTCAGATTCACACAAGAATAAAGAATGGCAAGGTTATGCGGCAATGGTCGCCGCAGCGTATGCCAAAGACCTACTATGCCGAATCGTTCCTGGGCAAGTGGAAAGAGAAGAGCGGATTCTGGGTATTATCAAGCCAGCTATTGAGCATATGGCTCGAACCATAGATCGCATAGACCATGCTTCCATACTGGATAAGCTGCCCGATGCGACTAACGCCAGGTTTGACGCGTTCGACGATCGAGACGCAGTGGAATGTCTCCAAGGCACTCGGACCGAGCTCCTCCAGCAGATAATGGAATGGGCTATGTCGCCGTCCCAAAAATGCATTTTCTGGTTAAAGGGAATGGCTGGGACAGGAAAATCCACAATATCTCGGACTGTGGCAAGGTCGCTCAAGGATACCAACCATTTAGGTGCTAGCTTCTTCTTTAAGAGGGGCGAAGGGGACCGAGGGAACGCGAAGAAGTTTTTCCCGACATTAACAAGGCAACTGATGCTCATGATTCCTGTGTTGAGGTCTGGCGTGCACAAGGCACTCCACGATGACCCTGACATTGTGTCAAAATCGCTTCGGGAGCAGTTTGAGAAACTACTCCTTCACCCGCTGCTCGATCTTGACCAACACGGCCGACAACCTCAAGCCGCTGTGATAGTGATCGACGCTTTGGACGAATGCGAACATGACCAAGATGTCCGAAACATCATTCGATTACTGCCTCTTCTACAGAAAGCAAAATCGGTTCGTCTTCGGATCTTCTTGACTAGCAGACCCGAACTCCCAATCAGTATCGGCTTTTCAGAGATCGCGAATCATGGGTATCAGGACCTAGCTCTTCATGAGATACCCGAAAAGGTGACAGAACGTGACATACATTTATTCCTGCAGGACCGATTTGCGAAAATCAAACAGGACAGAAATATTTCCCAAGACTGGCCCGGCGATAATGTTATCCAGAAATTGGTTACGGTGTCCGTTCCCCTATTTATTTCGGCTGCCACCGTGTGCCGTTATATCGAAAATACAATATGGGAACCTAAATTACGCCTTACAGAACTTCTAACGGACCAAGCCAAATATGTATCGAAAATGGATAAGACATACCTGCCAATTCTGATGCGACTACTGGACGATCGAGAGAGTGATGAATCGGAGCAGCAGCAGCTCCTGCAAGAGTTCCAGGACATAGTTGGTGTCATCATCCTTCTCGCTGATCCGCTTTCTATAAATGCGCTGTCACTGTTTCTTGGAATAGGAGCGGACCGGATCGGCAATCGATTAAATTCGTTCCGCTCTGTTTTGAGCATTCCCGGTAACCGAGATCAGTCTGTAAGGATTCTACATCTATCGTTTCGGGATTTTTTGGTCCAGTCTGGAACCAAATTTCACGTGGATGAGCCAAAAAAGCACAAGAAAATTGCTCACTTATGTCTCAAAACGATGCAAAATCATCTACGGAAAGATATCTGCGATCTAGAAAGCTCTGGAACGTATAGGACAGACGTCGGCCCTCAATATATCCGCCAATATCTACCGCTGGAACTACAGTACTCTTGTCGCTACTGGATACACCATCTCGAGCAAAGTCAGGATCTATCTTCCGGGATAGAAGATGTGCTACTTTTCCTCCAGAAGCATTTTCTGCACTGGTTAGAGGCGATGAGTCTACTGGGTCTTATATCGGAGGTGGTGGGTATGCTTGATCTCCTCCGCACGGTTGTACTAGTAAGTAACATAGAAAACAGCCATTTACGACTTACACTAATAGAGATAGGGCGACAGCAATTCTGTAATATCGGAATTTCTGCATGATGGAACGCGCTTTGTTCTGAAAAATCGCCAGATAGCCGACGAAGCACCACTTCAGATTTATTACGCAGGGCTAGTGTTTGCACCTCGAACGTCAGTAATTCGTAGAGAGTTCAAGTCGGAGCTTCCAACTTGGATATGCCAGTTCCCACAAGTTGAGGAAAAATGGAGCGCAGAATTACAGGCTATCGAGGGCCACTCAAAATGGGTTAACTCGGTGGCCTTCTCGCCCGACGGCCGGCTGCTGGCGTCCGGCTCTGACGATAAGACAGTGCGGCTCTGGGACACGGCGACGGGCGGCCTGCAGCAAACTCTCGAGGGCCATTCGGGCTGGGTTCGCTCGGTGGCCTTCTCGCCCGACGGTCGGCTGCTAGCGTCCGGCTCTAGCGATAACACCGTGCGGCTCTGGGACACGGCGACGGGCGGCCTGCAGCAGACTCTCGAAGGCCATTCGGGCTCGGTTCGGTCGGTGGCCTTCTCGCGCGACGGCCGGCTGCTGGCGTCCGGCTCTTACGATGAGACAGTGCGGCTCTGGGACACGGCGACGGGCGGCCTGCAAGAGACCTTGAAGACCAATGGAATCGTCAACAAACTCGACTTTTCTCAAGAGGGTTCATATCTAATCACTAACTTGGGCACCCTCGACATTCAATCTGGGCACGAAAATTTTGCTTCTACTTCAACCCATAAGAATCCGGCGATCTTCATTGAGCAAGGACGGTGGATAAACATGAATGGCAAAAGTGTACTATGGCTTCCTCCTGACTTTCGGCCTAGCTGTTCCGCGATTAATGGGGATTTACTTGCGTTGGGACACGCATCAGGGCGGGTTTCTTTCCTACGGTTTCATCTATAGCAGTCGTCCATAAATTTCATTTTCATTCCTTCCTCTATTTTCTAATCTCTTTGTAAAAGAAGGGCCTGGGAGAAAGGTAGAATTTATATGGCCCTTTCGTGCTAATGGAATGTACCATTAAGTTCCACGAGGCTCCAGATCTGTTTGCCACAATTAGATGGCTGAGTCAGTGACAAGTTCTGGAAGGTTCTACGCCAGGGGGAAATGAAGAGTACATACCATACCCCACTAAACAGCACTCAAATTCCAGGCTAGAGTCTTATCAGTGGGGCTGAGGAATTAAGAAAAGTGTGGAAATTGGTGAAGCTGGTTTTGCAGTTCTCTGTAGCCTCGAATTAAGCCAATGATGTTCAAATGGCATGCGGATCGCAGCCTGCGGCTACGGTACCTTTCTAGCCTTGATTAGGACGGTAGAATAGCCAAAGTAATTGCCAAGACTCAGCCAACCCGAGCCTGCGTGGTTGATTTTGCAATGAAGGGAGCTAACCTCGAAAGGATGTCCAAGACGAGCAAGCCCATGTCTTCTGGATATTCATAAGGAGCCAAGGTCGATGATCCTAAACACGGATTGAACATGCCCGAAGGGAAGATACTCGTAATTCTTTCTGTGCAGACTGATTCCAGTGTTTTCTAAAGTGTAAAGAAAGGAAGGCTAAGAAGATTCAAAGTCTTTAGATTCTATCTGTGTCGTAATTGGGCAGGTTTACTAGCCCCAAAACGTGCAATCGGTGTGGAGAGATAACGATTCACTACGCCGCAGCACCTTTACTGGTGAGCGCAGCAATGAGAACGGATCCTTGCGACACCAAAAAGGATCCCTGCGACACCAAAAAGGATCCCTGCGACACCAAAAAGGATCCCTGCGACACCAAAAAGGATCCCTGCAACAGTCGGAATGGAGCTTGCGACAACAAAATCGACCCCTACTGACCAATTTTGGGGATTCACGTAGCTGCCAGAACCGGTCTTAATCCACGGTCCAATAGGTCTTTGTCTTACGACCATCAAAACGGTTGACTGCCCAGAATTGATGGAGGCAGCCATTTTGAGTATAAGCTTCTTAAAGGTTTCAGCTTCCTTGATGAGGTCCATTTGCATTATTAAAGTTTTACTGTTTCAGGCCAATTACTGCCTTTTTCTTGGTATATGAGAATCATACCAATTTCAACATGAATTTTCCTTCACTACCGACAACACCAGAAACCATATACGGCTCAGTCATTGCTTTTGCTATATTATTCTTTCTGTTATACAATCTTATTATGCGTATTTTCTCGCTTCTTCTGTCATCATCAGCTTTACGTTCCCATATTCGACCATTTATTCTGAACCACATAATTTATGCAAGATCATATTATCACTTCCTCGGTCTAGGGGGTATCTCAAGGGCTCATCTCATTTTGACGGCATTTTATTACATCGGCACCGGCATCTGCAATTGCATTGGAGTCCGAACTATTCAAGATGCCGGACAAAGGGCTGCGAGACTCTCGCTCGTTAATCTGATTCCGATGTTCCTGGGAAGTGGCTACGAGTTTGGTGCCCTGCTACTAGGGATCTCCCTCAGATCCTATGGGTTCATTCATTGTTTATTTGCGTCTGTGGCTTTTCTAGAGGCTACTGTACATGTCATCCTGCAGGTTCAGGCAGGAGCGCTTTCGTTGAAAAATCAGGCTCAGACTTACGGAATCCTGGTAAGCATGAAGACATCGACCAATTGGCTTCTATTAAACTTTACACAGGCAGCGAGTACATTACTTGCGCTTTTTTTGCTTCCACTTGTCAAAAAGCGAGTGTACGAGGTATTCCATATCACGCACATAGCTTGTGGATCCATATTGGTCTATGCAATCTGGCAACACTGCCGCACTACAGAGGGGACATTCTGGGCATTTCCCTTGGCATATACATGTTTATTCACTCTGATCGGAGCATTGCAGCTGATTCGAATTATATATAGAAACGTGGTTATAGGGAGGAGCTACGTTCGACTAAATACCCAGCCTTACGTGGGTGATACCGCATTGATGACCCTATCTTTACCAAAGCCATGGACAGTGCATGCAGGTCAACGGATTCTTCTAGCAGTTCCCGAAGTCGGAATATTTTATATTTTCCAACCCCACCAGTTCGCAATCAGTTGGTGGGAGAATGATTGCAAAGGACACGCAATCTCCATCTCGATAATATTTCGGCCCCGCTCAGGTTTCACGCGAAGACTCCTCGACCATGTCAAGCCAGATAGAGGATACGGAGCTTGGATTGACGGGCCATTCGGCCCCTCGTCCGTGGGTTGGAAGCTTAATGGCAGATTTGGGAACTACGGACACGTCTTTATGGTTGCCACTGGTATTGGCATTGCCGCACAATTGCCTTACATCAAGGAGCTGCTAGATGGACATGATAAGGCAGAAGTACCAACACAAAGGATATCACTAGTTTGGCAGTTGGACCAAACCGGTGATTGGGAGAGTGCACGTGATTTGCTACAAATGCTAATCAGGCAAGACAATGGATATGTAATTGCACTTTTGGTATTTGCTCTTAATCACCGTTAACTTATTCTTATGCAGATGCTTCGTGTGCTTGTATACGACACCTTGCAAACACAGGAAGAGAGCGAGGTTCAGCACATTGGGGACAGAGGGTTGATCACTGTGCATTATAGCGGTCAGGTAGACTGGGAAGAGCAGCTAGACCGGGAGATGGGAGACCATGTAGGGAAGCTGCTGGTGTCAGGTTGGTCTTTATCATTACCCACCCCAACATACAATCTGGCAATGTACTGATTAAATTCAAGTATCTGCCCAGGATGGGGTGCGGCAAAAGATCCGTAATCTAGTGAGGTCCCGGGTGTACAGAGGAGTGGAGCTATTCGAGACAGAGTTTCAACCGTGGAGTCAAAATGGAGGTCTAAGAGCTTTCCCGAAGCCATAAATAGCATATTATACATGTTTTCATGCACAGTTAATTGCCTGGTCTATTATTCTATTATTTCCCAACCCTGAGATAATTCGCCACGTTCGCTTAGAATCAATATCTGAAACAGTGCCAACATGGTCAAGCAATATAAAGAAGTAACCCATCTTGCTGTCCATACAAGATCTGGCCGGACTGACGACTCTGGCCGGAATGACGACTCTGGCCGGACTGGTGACTCTGGCCGGACTGGTGACTCTGGCCGGAATGACGACTCTGGCCGGAATGACGACTCTGGCCGGACTGGAGACTCTGGCTGGACTGGTGACTCTGGCCGGACTGGTGACTCTGGCCGGACTGGAGACTCTGGCTGGACTGGTGACTCTGGCCGGACTGGAGACTCTGGCCGGACTGGAGACTCTGGCCGGACAGGGGACTCTGGCCGGACTGACGATTCTGGCCGGACTGGAGACTCTGGCCGGACAGGGGACTCTGGCCGGACTGACGATTCTGGCCGGACTGGTGACTCTGGCCGGACTGGTGACTCTGGCCGGACTGACGATTCTGGCCGGACTGGTGACTCTGGCTGGACTGACGGTTCTGGCCGGACTGGAGACTCTGGCCGGACTGACGACTCTGGCCGGACTGGAGACTCTGGCCGGAATGACGATTCTGGCCGGACTGGAGACTCTGGCCGGACTGACGATTCTGGCCGGACTGGTGACTCTGGCCGGACTGGTGACTCTGGCCGGACTGGTGACTCTGGCCGGAATGACGACTCTGGCCGGAATGACGACTCTGGCCGGACTGGAGACTCTGGCTGGACTGGTGACTCTGGCCGGACTGGTGACTCTGGCCGGACTGGAGACTCTGGCTGGACTGGTGACTCTGGCCGGACTGGAGACTCTGGCCGGACTGGAGACTCTGGCCGGACAGGGGACTCTGGCCGGACTGACGATTCTGGCCGGACTGGTGACTCTGGCCGGACTGGTGACTCTGGCCGGACTGGTGACTCTGGCCGGACTGGAGACTCTGGCCGGACAGGGGACCCCGGCCAGGACAGGGGCCCCTCTGGACCTGTTGCCTGCGACACTATTTTGGTCCCTGAATATGTTAAATACCGCCTTTCCCGACTTCTCATTTGGCTGGGCCCAAATTACCTAAACATGGATACTTCTGACAACCGATTCGGTCACCTGACGAATGAACTCGCATCACAAAGACTTCATTTCTACCAAGGATGCGCTATCATTGAGTTCCATAATCTGAGATTCGAAGTAAGAACTGTTCCTGGGAGCAGAGATGTCGACGAACGAAATTTGCAAAGACTTCTTAGAGTCTTCGAGATTGAAGGTTGCGGCAATCTTGAGCCGGAGCATAGAGTCGCCGCGCTCATCGATCAAGAAACATTGTTCAGGGCTCTTTCAAAATCTAACCTTACACGGGAGTCTCTCTTGGACCCAACGAGTCAACCGGAGCTATCATTGGAAAGCGATGTTCGGCTGATGTGTGTCTATGGGAAACACCGTTTAAAGGCGGCCGAATCATTTGGAGAAACAAGATGGCTAGTTGATCTCTATCTAGACAGTGGGTAGTTTCAATTCTGTGTTGAAACAAGTTTGACAGATTTTGCAGATATTCCTTTGGACGCCCTCACTCAACTTAGAGAAGAATCGGCGAAAAGTCTCGAGTTTACCGACGGCGAGATATATCGTACGCTTAGAATATACCAACTTTCGGGGAACAGAGCGCAGGAAAACAAGTGGAGGGCGAGACTGAGTTCTGAGGGTCGACGTCAAGATATACGACGCCTACAACAGAATGATCTTTTTCTCAATGGCCTAGATAAACTATTGCTATTTGTAGGTATGTGGAAACCTTTGAAGGCGTCTCAGATCGAGCGAATGCTAGCCTTAAAATCTCCAGAGGTACGGTAGCTCTCCAGTTTCCACTGCCTTGCTTACAGATGATATTAGTTGATTCATTCCTACTTGACGAAAATTCATAAATGCTGGTCGCGCAGCTTTGAGCACCGAGCCGCATCATGCGTGGATTTCAGTTCTGTGCAGTTAGTTGAAGGTTTGATGCCTCAGTCATCGCTGGTGGATCGGAGACGCATCGCCGAACTATTGGACTCAGGCCAAATATTTCCCCTTATTACGGGGGCTGGAGAAAGGGCGGCCTTGCGAGACTCTCTACAATCTACACCAGGAAGAATTATCTCTCTTAACACACTTGTCAAAGACACATTATTTCTTGAGGAACCGGCAAAAGCCCTACGTTGTCTATGCCCATCGCGCTTCAAGGGAAGCTTTAAACGGACCATGCTCCGTCAGTGGAAGATGGCTGGGACTGAAAAATCAATTGAAATTCAGCAATCTGAGCATCACTTCGCAACTGTAAAGCGGAACGCAAATTCATTTCCACTTTGTATCATGCAACTTTGGCTCTTCGCACTCAGACATTTTGTCTATCAAAAGGGGGGCTCGAAGCGCAATTTGCATCATTTTGGATGGTCTACAGAAGATTTGAGTCTGACTCACCTAGCAGCTTTAGCTGAACGATTGGGCTTTCGCTCGAACCAAATCACATCCCTCCGAAGTGAAAATTTAAACCAAGAGATTGCGAGAGGCTTCATGGAGTCTTTCTGCAGGGAGGATTTCTACAGAATCGACGAACGCAGAGTGCAATCAATGTCAAACCAACTGCGAATAATTCTTCGTAACCCGCCAACTTATCCAGAGGAAGATGTGAGGGTGATTCAATTCACAACAGACAGCCCAGAGGCAGCGGCGAGTCACAGATACAATAGACCGACACAACAACAATATGATGAGCAGCGGAAATACCTCTTTTTCGAACCGCTCTTTGGTCCGGATCATACCCCTGCGGAATATCCCACTTCCTTGGGGGTGACAAGGGAAATACTACTTTGCTTTTTTGGAGATGAAATTCAAGGAATAGTCTCTACTCAACTGCAGGATGTATCGGAAGAACCCATAAGGCCAACTGATGCACCTAGTCAGGCCATTAGCCACCAATATGAAGGTTCTACGGGAGCAACTGGATCAATTTCCCACCCTGTGGAAACAAACCCAATGCAAACTGAATCGATATCTGCGGATCGGGATTCGAGTCGCTATTCTCGAAGCCCTGGCGAGCCAACTGTTGAAGGAAATAGTCCAAGCGACCCGGTTGATATGGAACCTTATCCAAGCGGAACACCCGATCCTCCTCCACCCCTGGCCGCGGGATTTGAAGATCCATCCTGCAATTGTCCACTGGAAAGAAAAAACTACATCTCTGTACGTCGAAAGGTACCTGAAATTCTCGAGATGTGGTATCAGTCACAACGAGAGGTGATAGTTATTTTCCTTTTCGAATCTCGCATTTATTACAAGTTCAACATGACTGGAGGTTTTAATCTACGATCACTTTTACGGGATCTCTCCAGAGAACACATTTTTATAGTCATCAATGACTTTGGCATCGGCGCACCAGACATAAACAAGACTTATGAGGAGACATTGAAGGAGCGATTACTGCTAGTTGGAAAAAGAGACAATCCTGCCCAAGGAAAGAATGAGGTTGGGATGATCTCATTGGATAAGCTTCGAGAATACGTGTTGAACTATGACGTCCATTTGGGAAAGAGAAAGGCTGATACAGATAATCGATCCACAAAACGCCCTGCAGGCTCAAGGAGGGAACCATCTGAGGAGTATTAATTTGTCATGCCATACTCAATATTAAAAGTCTTAAGCTGTTCCTACCTAATCCCTCTACCTAGCATATATACTTGCGTAGCCGCTTTGCTTTGTTGAGATTGTTGAGATGAGGGATAGGACCTAGGAGGAGCTATAGCATATACCAGCAGAATTGAGTAATATTGAAGATGTCCTAGACTGAGATAACCCCTGAGCGGGAGCGTGCTAATCTAAACCCACTCACTTAAGCTGAGCGTTTTATGTTCCAAACTTGCTTCCAATGCGAATCCCTAAAGGCAAAGTCTCAAAATAGTGACGCTTTAAGCTCCACGTTCCGCCGGGATTAGCGAGGTGCAAAAATTCGTCCTTCCTGCAAGTTAGTAAGGCTACATCGGAGTAATTAAGCCAACTTACTCTCATCAGATGCTCAACACTTGTTTCTCTGTCGGTTCTCTGCACAAATTTGGTGGCAAGCGACGAAAGAGGTGGCAATTCTTCGTTTGCCTCACGCAGCGGTGCGGTATGATCGCTCAAGAGCTCTACGATCGAGCCGACACCTTTCAAATCCTTTGAAACAACTCCCAGCGGGTGTTCCAATAATAAGCTATCGCCAATATTTGCTACAACAATTAGCTGTCTTTGAATTATAAATGCAGAGAGCATACTGTACCAAGTTTAACTTCTCCTTGCCAAGTAATAAGGATATTGCTGGGATCTAGCAATCCGTATGTAATTCTTAGAACCGTATGAACATATTTCAGGCCATCAAGAACTTCTTTACAGATTGTTGCTATATCGGCTTCGCTGCATGAGACGGCAGCTGCCACACAACCGAGACTAATGGCCATGTGCTCATACTCATAAATCAATTGGATCTCATTGTCAGATTGGAAGTGATCAATGAGGGCGACAAGGTTCTTATGGCTGGCGAATTGCAGTTTCAAGGGTGACCGTTTTTGAGGCTGACAATACTTTATAAGGCAAATGGGTAATTTCTCGGTGTCTTTCAAGGCGATCACTCCAAGCCCAGCCTGATCGATAAAATAAGATTTGTGATACCTGCTCGGTGAACTGGGAACAGGATGGTCCGATCTCTTTTCGAACTTGCTTGGCTCGATAGGGCCTACGAGATAATATGCGGGGTTTTGTTTTAAAGATTTTGTTTGTATCATTGGTTGCTCTTCATGTATGCCATCCCCTTTGCCGAGAAATGGTTGCAATTGATGTGGTAGCACAGTAACTCGTTTCGGGTCAGAGGCCATCTCGAATGCTCTGAAGTCTAGTTGATCAAAGTCTGTCTATGTTAGCGTTTTCTGTCATGGGCCATAGGATTTTCTCGATGTCTTCAGATGAAGCAGAAATGAGAATAAAGCACTAGTGTTTTGAGTGGCTGCGCTTTAACAAATATTGCTTCTGAGAGCTCCCCCATTTCCTAGATTCCTACGGAGTGCGGGGGGGTTGGTTCCTTGCAAGGGTCTCCCACCCATAACCCAAAACAGCAACTTCAGACTTGTATTCGGTGGGTTCTTTCTTCATTTACTCCACACTCCCACATTGGCTTGCGGTTTCTATTCCTAAGGGATAGTTTGAATGTTTTTCCGTTTTGGTGGCAGCAGGGATCCGTTTTGGTGGCAGCAGGGATCTGTTTTGGTGGCAGCAGGGATCTGTTTTGGTGGTAGCAGGGATCTGTTTTGGTTGTCCATTTTTGTCGCGTAGAAATCTCCACACCGCTTATACAGTATCGCCAGGGTATTGAAGAAGAACAAAACTTCATACAATACAAGAAGACCGGACCTGAAAAAGCAAGTACGGCCAAAGCGAGGATCTTACCTCAAGTGGAGTGATGAGGAGAGGAAGATACTGTACTCCGTGATATGATGTCACGAAAAGTTTATCGGTCTTGGCCGCAAGTGCGACGAGATTTCAATGGAAGATCTACCAAAAGGAGAACCATGAATTCAATTAGAGGCCAATGCAATAAATTGGGCCTCCGCATTATTAGGACAACTACTCGATCATTTGCAACGTTGCTGGAGAGGCAAATGACCGTCCCACGCATTTACTCAAACAGAGCTTCTCTATAGCCACACCTACAGCCAGCCACGTCTTGAATGAATTGTAATTACCATTTATGGCAAATCCTGATCTAGGAATGTACTGTATCTTATTCCAGTACTGTAATAATATGTACACAGTAAATTTTTGCGAACTTGAGGCGGGGGGCGGTGGTTGTTTTGATTCAAGGACATATTCATCCTATGCATGTCTCCCAGCGCTAACAAAAAGTGAGAACAAAGCGCAGCCACGCTGTGCTCATAAGTTGCTTTTTAAATTGGCTACTCCATAAGAAAGACTCGTTCTCAGAGCTAATTCATCACTACACCTAAATTTTATGGAGCGTAATGTGTTCCCAATCAATGGCCCACCCGTGATCCAAGACTACAAATACAAATTGAGCCTTTTCTGCAGTGGCTTCTTTCTACATGTCCTTGGCCCTTCTCAATTGGCTTACACTTCCTGCCTCGAGACGAACGAAGGGACCATTCAGGTGTCGCAGGGATTCATCTTTGTAGTCGCAGGGATTCTTTTTGTAGTCGCAGGGATTCTTTTTGATAATCGCAGGCAAATTGAGCAAAGACTCCTTTCTAGGTTGAGTGTTTCTGGTCACATAGGATCTATTCAGGAGTTAAGAACAGAATTGTAGCTTTCTTATCTCACACAGCTGGACTAACTATAAAGAGCTACGTGACCCCTATCATCATCTACTATTTTTTCAAGCTCTCCCAGTCAAACCAACCGAAATGCATCTTCCGGTACCAGCAGTTCTCATTGGAGTTTTAATTCGCACCGCTTTGGGGGCCTCCCTCGGAGTCATCGACCAGGATCGCCAATGTCTGATATGGTCTAACGATAACCATGCATGTACAGGTTACTCTGAACCTTTTGCAGAGATTAATGGAACCGACTGTTCAGGTATCAACTCTAATCATTTGAACTTGAGTACTCTATATTGACGGTTTCGCAGAACTGAGCGAGCTCGTAAACGGCACGCGCAAGGATTTCTCTACAGTCAGTGTAGGAGCGTGTGGGACTGAAGATGGCAAGGATGTCGCTTGGATAACGATCACCCACACCGGTGAAGTCACTTTCTTCAATCAGAATGGTGACAAGTCAGGATGTACTTTGAATAATGGACTTCGAGTTGGTAGTTGGTGCAGTGCATATGATTATGAGTTATTGACCGCGACTGGCTCATCTTCTGTGACGATGATCTCAACAACGGCAACAGTCTCATCTTCGAGCACCGGCTCTTCCTCGAGCACCGTCTCTTCCTCGAGCACTGTCTCTTCTTCGGGTGCAGTCTTTCCATCGGCTACAGTACAGTAGGTTGCGAAACCGGTGCAACCGCTTCTACTCTTCGAGTGTTTCTCTAGGCCCACCGCCGAGGTACACTAGAGCACATTAGGAATAGCCCCGGACTATCAATATTCCGCACGCAATCTTCAATACAATCATTTACTCTCGTTAAATACGGAGCCTTGTCTCGTAATTGTATTGGCAATTCCAGAGCAGTTGCAAACAGGTCAAACACCAGAGCGGGTTCTGTCTCGCGAATCTGGTGAATCTCCTCCAATGCTGTCTCTGTCGAGCTACGAATGTCCCACACTGAACAGAAGGTCAGCCACGAGCGATAAAATAGTTATTTATTGGCTTAAGATTTGATAGTGCGCTACATCTGCCTATATCTCTTTCACATCTTCTATAGTCTGGGGTTTTTAGAGAACACGCACGCTTGTTCCTTATAGGTCTGGATGTTCAATCGTTCGAGCTTAACAACTGGGGAGGAGGTATACATAAAATCTGGATACGCAACCTCCCGCACTGTTCTGTTTAAGTAATTCTCAAGCCTCACCGCCAATACACATCAGTCTCCATTACGACTTATCCCGGAATATTAATATTCCAGTACAGTATCAGACCTAAACCACAATTTACTCTCATCAATACGGAGTATACGGTGCTTTGTCTCGTATCAATATTTGGGATCCAAGGAGCCCCAACTTTGCTTAGTAGGCAAATGTTCAAACGCACGGAGAGAATGGCTAGCCGTCATCTTCCCCTGCCACATCTCCGGTAAGTCTCCAATTCATCGGGTTCTCGTCTTTCTTCCATCTTAAAAAAAACGATTCTCGGACATATCCTTTTCTTGTTGCGCTATCCTACGGAGACCATATATGGCGGCTAACTCATTGTACGCTCTGAAAATCTAAGTATCGTCTGTTTGCACCGGTCCATCTTTCTCTTTTTTTCTATTCCCAATTATCGCCGCACGTGTGGTCCTGGTTATTTCAAAGGATTGACATCCGAGAACTGCAGCAGCAGAACGCGACCAGAGTGACAGCCAACGCCAATAAAGTTCTTTCCAACCGTGGATATATTTGATTGGTACTCTGTCGGCAACCTCAGAATGGGTTCGTTTGAGTATGTAATCCACTCGTACTGATCGTCAAAGTCGTAGTTGCCCGCAGCTGTTGGTATAGAAAGGCTTCCGTGAGTATCAGGAGCATAATCACATATCTCCAGGAGGGCTCGCAGGTGGACCAGGGTTTTGTGAGATTGCCATGCACCGGAGTTTGCAAAGACGTCGAGCTGGTCGAAGGAAGCCACGCAGTTTCGTGTGCTTGCATCCCAGATCTTGACTCGTCCGAATCGCGACCCTAGGCCAATGCGACATCCATCCTGTGACCATGCTAAAGCCCAATGCCAGGCCCCAGGAAGTTCGTCTTTAATTGTGAATAAACATTGGTAAGCTATTGAGTCCCAGACAGTGATTGTGCCATCTAATGACGCCGTGGCTAGACGAGAATTGTCCGGTGACCAGGCTACTTCATTGAGCATCTTGTTATCGCATTTGAGGGTTGATATACACTCAGCTGTCGTTGTGCTCCAAATTTTGAGACAGCCATCCCATGAGGCCGATGCGATCTCATTTCCATTGGGTGACCAGGCTAGTGAAGAAACTTCGTTAGTGTGGCCGCTTAGAGTTAATGTCACATTCCCCGTAGACAAGTCCCATATCTTGATATAGGTGTCCACTGAAGCGGATGCGAGCTTTACTTCATCTGGAGACATAACCAAGGCCGTGATCCGTTCGGAATGATCCTCAATGTTTGAAGATTTCTGCTGGTCTACCCCTGGTTCCCAGATCTTGATTGTTCTATCCTGCGAACCTGACGCGAGCCATGCACCATCGTGTGACCAAGCCACTGAACCAATCCCAGCACCGTGGCCGTAAAGTGTTGATATGCACTGGTAATTGTTCGTGTTCCAGATTTTGATATGATCTGATGAGGATGACGCTAGCCGGCTTCCATCTTGCGACCAATGCAATGAATACACCATATAATTGTCGTACCTTCGCCGGGCTGATATGCATATGCTCCGGTCGGTCTCCCAATCCCAAACCAATATTGCTCCAATAGCTGAGCCTGATGCAAGCAGTTTACCATCTGGAGACCAGGCTACTGAGGTGATCCCAGCGCTATGGTCACTGAAAGTCGATGTACACTGCCACGTTACGACGTCCCAGATCTTGACCGTACAATCTTCTGAACCCGAAGCAAGCAGTCTCTCATTTGGTGCCCAGGCTAACGCATTGACATTGTCGCTATGGCCACTTAGTGTCGAGATACACTGGCCGGTCGTAGTATTCCAGATCTGAATAGAGCCATCTTTCAAGCCGGTTGCGATTAGGCTATGATGTTGTGACCATGATATCGAAGCTTCATACAACGAATGGTTCTTATGCCCCATTAATGTCGATATACATTCGCCCGTCGTTAGGTTCCAGATATTTAGCAGCCCATCTTGTTCTCCATAACCGAAAGGTGTATCATTGGACCAAGTGACGTAGCAGCTGCGAAACCCGGTCACAGCATTGATGGGGACCACAGGCCGAGATATGCATTGGCTTGTCACTGGGTCCCAGATCTTGAAACCGCTAATGTATGACGCCGATGCAATCCGTGTTCCATCCGGTGACCAGCATACTGATGACACATCACATTCTTCCAGTGATTGCACACAAGAACTCCAACTGTCTTGCACTTGAGGCTTTCTCCAAAACCATTCTGGTTCTTCATGCGTATATGAATCCCTTGTTAAGCTCTTGACCGGGCTAAATGTCAAAGCTGACACGTAAAGCTGAAGAGGATATTTCGCTATCAGCCCATTGTGATATCGCGTGAATCGACATGCATCGCGAACACGGTCGCTTAGCTGTGAAGATCCTGCCATTTCCTGGTGTTTTGTTAATACTGGTCTTCAACTTCAAGTCCGGGTGCTCACCTGAACCAAAGTCTCAAGTCTTAATATTGATGTAACTCCCCGTGGAAGAGCCCCAAGAAGACAAAGACTTTCAAGCCAGTGAAGAAAGTCTCGTTGCAAGAACCTATCGACTATACCACCCTCACAGAAGTCATCGCTTTCTCTATTCATGGGGTCACAGGATACCAAGTGATCCGCCCAAAAAACACATGCATAACGTGCTGGGGCTAATGGATCGGGATCTGGCGGGCTAAGATCCTCGATACAACGACCTAGGGCTCCCAAGCCGTAGATATCTCGTCGCAAAGTAAGTGCCATTGTATGAAGTGACCTCAGGAATATTTTATGATTAAAATCCTCGGGACCCCGAGGGAAGATCTCGGCTGATGCATTTTCGAGCAAGAAGTCCTTTGCTGATTGGTGAATGAAGGATACTGTGTGTTGTTGGAGAGCCAGAAAAGAGCCACAGAGGCCCACAACTTCTTCAAGAGCTTTACGGTTTCTCGAGATTCGCGGTGGCATTTCCACCAGAGACGTCAATTCCGCCAGCGTGATTGGCCGGTGCACAAGAAGGAGAACGGCCAATATGTCTCTGCACAGGCTGGCATGTCTTGAGCTTCGGATTTGTCCCAGCATGCGCTCATAGAGATCATCAAGCCCGGGTGGAAAGACATTGAGAAGCTCTTCAGCTTCCCATCCTGAGATATTGGCGAGTTCTTTGCAAATCAACGCCACCCAGAGAAAAGTTCCGTTCGCATTTACCTGCAGGTATTGCTGAACAGCTCCCCGTGTCTCTTCATCGTAGTCATTCCGCTGTGCCAACCAGTTGATCTTGGTCCGAATATATGAGTCCACCGCCCCAGAGACTGACTCCTCGTTGAGCTCGATACAAAGCCTTCGTTGCTGTGTTGACTTAAGACCCTTTTCGATGTTCGGCCAATTACGACTCGAGGTAATCCATTTCACTTTCGCGTAGGACGATGATATCTCCACAATGAAACTGAGAAGCAGATCAAGATCGGTGTAGCACTCATCTAGCGCATCGACGATCAGATATGTGTCCTGTAGCTCCGCATCTTCGAGCATGTCAATCAAGACTTTAGACAATGCCACCCATGCGTTTGGCCCTTCAAAATGCCGATCGCCGTCGGCACTCAAAGTTTCGCGCAGGTACTTTATGAGCGAGGGTTGTTCCTTCACAAGCATGTAGATAAGGCCTCGTAGAACAGCTACCGCACTGTTGATACGATCATCGGTCGCTTGAAAGAAGAAGTAACAGATATTGCAACAGATATTGCTACGATCAGTCGTCTCGCGCAACTTTGACAGTTCATCAATTATACCGCAGATCAGCATGGTTTTGCCCTTGCCAGGGTCACCTGTGAGCCAGAGCAGCCGGCTAGCTGGATCATTGCGCCATTCTTGGAACTCATTAGTCTCAAGTACCCAGCGATACGAGTCCCGAAGAAGTTGATCCTTCTTCAGCAGAATGCGCTCCTTGTCGAGGACGGGATCGGTTGCTTGTAAAGCCCGTTGGCAACGCCTGTTATCTTCCTGAGATAAACGCTGTTCTCCCTTTTCCATGATCTTTGTTTGATCACGAGAAAGGTCGATCAGCTTATCGAACTTGCTCAGCATATCATCCAAACTTTTTCGCGACTCTTTGGCTTCGAGGGCGAGGTTCTTTAATTGCTGTAGACTCTCGCCTGATATGGCTCTCTCGAACATCTTGTCGAGTGAAGTTTCCAATTCTTTGATTCGCGACAGTTTCTCCTCCCAGCTATCGTAATTGATTGTATCCCGGAAGTAGTTCTTGGTTCGACTGCGGTAAAACCTGATCACACTCTCGACCTGGAACTCTATTATAAGCATGTACAGGTCAGCGACACCATTCGTTAGAGAGCTTTTCAGTCCCACTGCCAAATCCGGGGGAAGTCGAAGTGATTCCATCTCAACGTAGCAACGCATTTGTGATGTCACGTAGGTAAATCCTTCTCGGTTGGCAGTCTCAACAGCAACCGGGGTTTTCAACAGAGGAAGAATCAGCGAGACGCCTGCCATAACGATAGAAGCATAAGGCAAGTCTTTGACCGCGGCTTTCACATAGTCTTCAGCCCATTCGACGCCCCCTGCGACACTGGCCATGGCGCGATTGAGAACAATATCATGCCCAAGGACTGTTACTGTGACTTCTTTGTCTTCCATATGCTTAAGACCGAGCTCTGTGATCTTCTTCAGCATCTCGCGACGTGCCATCGCGTCATTCTGGGGTATTTGATTATCCAAGGTTTTGGTTTCTATAACTGAAGATGTACTTTTCTCCCCTTTATTGATCATGAGTCTTGTTGATACGTTGATTGGGAGTTTTTATGGGCCGTACCGTTTACGAACGCCTGAGACAAAATGACCTCATACGCAACGATCAACTCTCGTCGCTCCTCTCGCAGAGCATCGTAGGCAATATCCCAAAGCGAAACAGACACTTCGGTTTGATTTCGATTTGCCACATGGATAGTCCCTACCTCAGGAATTTCGGTGGGACCAGGGAGCGAGCTTGAAATGTTCTTTGGGGGCGACTGGACTACCCTGTGAGCCATATCCAATCTCGAAGGGCGATCATCTTTATTGTTGTCAATGAGAGCTTTTTCTGCGCGACGTCAGTTAAAGTCTGAACTGATGATTCGAACCTTCCGGTATTTTCTCTCAACATACCAGTGGTTTTATTTCCCCCGATGCCTAGGAGCTTTTGCTCTGCTGAAGCGGCCCCAACAAAGCGCTTCAGACGAGACTTCAGAACCCCCATGACACTTTTTTGGCGATGAATAGGTCAATCCTCAGTTCAAAAAAAAATTTCAGGTGAATTCATCGAATGCTTAACAAGAAGAAGTTTTCGCGAACTTGCGAAGGGGTCAACAATGATGCGGGGTCGTCATGATATTGGGGGCCAATTGTCCCACTAAAAGACAGCCGAAGGGTAGGCGCCTGATTAGGCATCATCAATGTACAGTATTGTAGAAATGTCCTTGGCCAACCATCATTCTCTATAGAAGTCACAATCCAATCAAATTTCACTCCACTTGATTTATCCCCGGCCTTTTTCCGAGCCATCTTTCGTACCGTCCCTTGTATACAGTAGCAATGTTGGATTAGCCTAAGGGTTTGTCACGCAGGACTTGGGAATATTCAAAAATGGGAATTCAGGCGAAGGAACTGAAAGGGCGTAGGCAACAAGGGAAAGGCGGTACAGATGGCTTATTAAAACGCCACTTGCCATGCTAACAATGGTAATTTACATAGTACTCCCCCAAAAGATTGAGCATCAAGTACACAGCTCAACGTTATGACTGACGGGTGGATACGTCGGATACAGGAAGAACGAGGGGCAAGAACGAGTAGGGGAGGCAGTAAGGCAGTCAGTAGGCTGGGCGATCATGCCAGATCGCCATAGCTCCCTAAAGCTTCTACGCCGTTCCATTCTGCATTACAGTATTATTACGATGACTCATCTGCGATGTAAAGCCATTACTATCGCTGTTTTGCCAGAGTTATAGAACGGTAAGGTAAAGAAGGTTAGCGTGATTCGGATTTATTTTCCGGGAATGAAGTTCAAGAGTGTAAAGGTATAACTGATTTCGAAAACTACTGTAAAAGCGGAGCTCTCATCATGGTCCATTAGCTGCCTGCCGAAGTTTTCCAGCTGTTTTGCTAAGTGGTTGCACTGAGATGCGGTCCAGATGTGGACCGTGCTAACTGATTATTATGCCGGCAGAAGACGGGAGCTGCGTCGAAGGAGGGGCAACAAGGTGTACAGTGACTACGCAAAAGTCTTAACACCCCTCGAGACCCACCCCTCATCACACCGCCCATATTAAGGTCCTACCGCCTACCAGATTGCGTACTAAGCCATAACATAATGAGCTCGAAGTGTTTGAAAAATCTGTAGAAATGGCGCTGTGAGATATGGGCATTGATTTCAGAGTAAGCAAGGAAGATTTTTCTATGGAAAGTATGCGATAATAGCCACATGAAGAAACTTAGTTCGTTATTTTGAACGGCAGAATATTAGGTAATAAAGGGGTGTGGGGCTGGGGTGTTAAAACTTATGCGTAGTCACTGTAAGATGTATTGGATTACAAGTGAATACATTCCTGAGATTAACATGTATACTACATACGTATTAATACAGGCGCACTTACCGGAATAATTCTAAATATGGACTAGTGTGTCTTGGTGTGAGGGACAGAAAAGTCATTGAGAGAGTGGAGTTGTTGCACCGGTTTCGCGACGTACTGTATCAGATAGATCCGCAACTTTCGCGTCGACTAGCGCCTGTCATTAAAGATGGAAAGGAAGTCTATCCAATGTGGGAGTAGACAAGTTTATTCTAGTCTGAGATTTTTCTTGCTTCAAGCCTTTTATTCGCTCCTTTTCTTTCTAGCTAATTTCACGTTAAGAGTAAATGTTGTGAATCCTTTATGAAGCATTTCAGCCATTATTAATTCGTAACTCACCATACTTTACATACAGTCATTCTCGAAATCGCCTTGACCAATATACACTGACACTCTCCTTCCCGGTCCCACCGCCAAGACCTTAGCGCAGATAATTTATTGAGCTGGCCGCATCAAACTGAGGGGCTCAGTAAAATGCGTCATGTATGTTACAGTATTATTTGACATAAGATTACATTACGTGTATGAAAGAAAAAAAAAAAAAAAAAGGGGGGGTTGTGGAAATTCCATGGAACTTCTGGGGGTCTCTGCAAATCATATGGGGAAGGCCACCTGGCACCAAGTAACTTGATGATCGACTGGGAGGCCTCTTCTCTTTCTCTTTCTTTTTCTCCTGTTGTGCCGTGTGTGCTAGTCATCAACTTGCGAGGTGTCTCTTTGGCCCAGAGAACCTCAACAAGTGATATAGGCGGCCAACGACCATCATGACTAGTTGGTGGTTGTTTGCAGGTGGGCAATGCCTACCCTCACGGCACCTGATGGTGGAAGACTCAACTAATTACTGTATCACCCACCCTTAGTCTGTCGTTACCGTAGGCCCAAGAACCCAGTTCTCTGATAGCCATGATGTTTATGGTGTTCAACAAAGCATGGCGCTTCATCCGTGGGCCGATACATCACAATGTGCACTGAGAGTTGGCTCCGTTCAAGCTCATACCGTATAAACGGATTGTTATACGGTAGGGGCGGACCGAGCCGCCTTGACTTTATGACACATCCTTGAAGTTTAATGCCAGCAGGACAGTGCCACGTGTGGACGAAAGGAAGCACTGGCTCCTCTTAATTCTTCCATGATAATGCTAAAGGCACTTGCACTCAGCTGGCAACCCGGGTGTCCAGCCTCAGCTCACCCCCGCCTTCTCCTAACAATCTCCTGACATTGTTCCCACGACCTTCGCTTTACCATATTATTCTTTCTCTCATGTTACAGTGCTTACAAATTGACAGGTCAGAAATCATAACGCCCAATCCGATCGTAGCAGATTCAATCCACGATGGATCCCCGCACCCGATCCCACGACGATTATACGGTCGGGTGGATATGCGCCTTGCCGGTGGAGACAGCGGCTGCGAAGCTGATGTTGAACGAAATACACCCGCCTTTGCCTCGCCTGCCGATGGACCAGAATTCATACATTCTTGGAAGCATCGGGGAACACAATATCGTTATTGCTAGCTTACCGACTGGCGCATATGGCACTACATCAGCCGCAACGGTCGGGATGCAGTTGCTGTCTAGTTTTCACACCATCCGCTTCGGTTTTATGGTTGGTATCGGCGGTGGAGTACCAAGCAGTAATGCAGACATTCGACTCGGGGATATTGTAGTAAGCCAGCCGGCGGAGACTTCTGGAGGTGTGATTCAGTACGATTTCGGTAAAGCGCTAAGAGGCGGCCAATTCAAGCGAACCGGAATGCTTAATCGGCCTCCCAAGGTTCTGTTGACCGCTCTCGCGACTCTCCAAGCACATCACCTCACGGAAGATAGCCGTATCGTCGAATTTGTTTCCGACCTGCAATCTAAACTGGCACCTCACAAAGCTACCAGGTTCACGCGACCGCCGCAAGAGGACTGTCTATTCCAAGCAGAATATGATCATGTCGCATCCGATACATGTGTGGATTGTGATCGATCTAAACTAGTTCCACGACCCCCACGAGAGCACCAAGAACCAGTAATTCACTACGGACTCATCGGATCTGCAAATCAGGTTGTAAAGGATGGCAGGCTACGAGATCAGCTAGCTCGGGACTTGGGGATATATTGCGTGGAGATGGAAGCGGCAGGCCTTATGAATGACTTCCCGTGTCTGGTCATTCGGGGCATCTGCGACTACGCCGACTCACACAAGGATAAGGAATGGCAAGGGTATGCGGCCACGGCGGCGGCGGCCTATGCGAAAGAGCTTCTCTTGGTGGTTGCGATCGATCAGATCAACAGCACACCAACTGCACGAGACGCACTCGCAGACTCCGGTGAGAGGATGTCAATAGTATTCCTTAAGTAATTCAAATCGATTGCTAAATATTATTTCATATATATAGTTCACCACTTTAATGTCCCATTAGACCTGACGGCTGTGCCAGTCATTGAAAATTTCGTGGGACGGCAAGGCGAGCTAGACCAACTGTGGCAGTATTTACGGCCCACTGATTCCCAGTCACGAAAGGTTGCAATTATCCATGGGCTTGGGGGCATGGGAAAGACGCAACTAGCGATTCGGTTCGCACGAGACCACAGAGATGATTTCACTGCCGTCTTCTGGCTGAGTGGGAAGGACCGGGGCACGCTATTACAATCTTTGAGCTCTATCTTGCCCCGATTGCCAGGACAGTCACATGCTGACGGGGCAATGAATGACGAGGAGGTGGAGCAACGTGCTAGAGATGTGTTAAAGTGGCTAGCAATAGAGGGAAACTCACGCTGGCTGATCATTTTCGACAACATCGACCAATACTCCCCTTTCAATAGCCCCATTGGTGATGCATATGATATTGCTGAATTCTTCCCTGGAGCCGACCATGGCTCTATTCTCATTACCTCTCGGCTGCAGGGATTGACAGAGCTGGGAAAGTCATTTCCTATCCATAGGCTTGACTCGAAGGACGCGATTCAACTGCTCTTACAAAGCAGCCGTCTACCAATGGAGCATACAGCTAAGGAGCTTGAGAGCAATCCAGGTATTGAGGGAATCAATACGCAAGTCTTATTTACGATACTAATACATATAGATACCGTTGCTCTTGCGAGCCGTCTAGATGGACTTCCATTGGCAATCGTCATCGCCGGGGCGTTTATGCGCGAAACTGGAACCAGCATTACTGAATACTTACAGTATTACCAAGCTTCTTGGTCCGACCTACAGCTGCAATCAAATCCTGAACGCCAGTACCAGCAAGGCAACATGCTGCAAACATGGATGATCTCATATCGTGAGATTCAAAGGCGGGACGCGAACGCAGCGGAACTGCTGCTGTTTCTTGCTCGTTTCGATAATCGAGATATCTGGTTTGAACTGATAAAGAGTAGCTGTCATAGCTCGAATCTCCCAACCTGGCTCGAAAGAAGTATATCAAGCGGAATCGCGTTCAAAATCGGTGTCAAGGCTCTCATCGGGTTCTCTCTACTCGAGATTAAGGAACAAGAAGGAGGCTACGCTATGCACCCTGTAGTACAAGACTGGTGCATTCACCTTGCCAGCGCAGACGAAACCGTGAATTCAATCCTGCTCAACGAACTGGCACTGGTATCTGTTGGGTACAATGTCCCTAGTGTAAGTGTCAGGAATTATTCCGAGCTTCAGCAACGGCTTATGCCACACGCAAACTATGTACGTCATAGGGATTGCCCAGGCCATGATGTGGCAGTGTGGGGCGCATTCAGTGGTTTAGGAGGCCTCTACTCTGACCAGGGGAAGCTGCAGGAGGCAGAGGAGATGTACCATCGAGCTCTGGCAGGCAAGGAGAAGGCCCTCGGGCCTGACCATTCGTCCACTCTCAGTACAGTCAACAGCCTTGGGAATCTCTACTCTAATCAGGGGAAGCTGCGAGAGGCAGAGGAGATGTACCAGCGAGCACTGGAAGGCTGGGAGAAGGCCCTAGTGCCTGATAATACGTCCACTCTTAATACTGTCAACAACCTTGGGTCTCTCTACTCTGATCAGGGGAAGCTGCAGGAGGCAGAGGAGATGTACCATCGAGCTCTGGCAGGCAAGGAGAAGGCCCTCGGGCCTGACCACACGTCCACTCTCAGTACAGTCAACAATCTTGGGAATCTCTACAAAGATCAGGGGAAGCTGCGACAAGCAGAGGAGATGTACCAGCGAGCACTGGCAGGTAGGGAGAACGCCCTCGGTCCAGATCATACGTCCACTCTCGATACAGTCAACAACCTTGGGACTCTCTACAAAGATCAGGGGAAGCTGCAGGAGGCAGAGGAGATGTACCATAGAGCACTGGCAGGCTACGAGAACGCCCTCGGGCCTGATCATACGTCCACTCTCGATACAGTCAACAACCTTGGGATTCTCTACAAAGATCAGGGGAAGCTGCGACAAGCAGAGGAGATGTACCAGCGAGCACTGGCAGGTAGGGAGAACGCCCTCGGTCCAGATCATACGTCCACTCTCGATACAGTCAACAACCTTGGGATTCTCTACAAAGATCAGGGGAAGCTGCAGGAGGCAGAGGAGATGTACCATAGAGCACTGGCAGGCTACGAGAACGCCCTCGGGCCTGATCATATATCCACTTTCACGACAGTCAACAACCTTGGGACTCTCTACTCTGATCAGGGGAAGCTGCAGGAGGCAGAGAAAATGTACCATCGAGCTCTGGTAGGCAAGGAGAAGGCCCTCGGGCCTGATCATATATCCACTTTCACGACAGTCAACAACCTTGGTCTTCTCTACTATAATCAAGGGAAGCTGAAGGATGCCGAGGAGATGTACCATCGAGCACTGGAAGGTAAGGGGAAGGCCCTCGGTCCCGATCATACGTCCACTCTCAATACAGTCAACAACATTGGGACTCTCTACAAAGATCAAGGGAAGCTGCAGAAGGCAGAGGAGATGTACCAGCGAGCACTGGAAGGCTGGGAGAACGCCCTCGGGCCTGATCATACGTCCACTCTCAATACAGTCAATAACCTTGGGGTTCTCTACTTTGATCAAGGAAAGCTGAAGGATGCCGAGGAGATGTACCATCGAGCACTGGCAGGCTACGAGAACGCCCTCGGGCCTGATCATACGTCCACTCTCAATACAGTCCACAACCTTGCTCTTCTCTACTCTGATCAGGAGAAGCTGCAGGAGGCAGAGGAGATGTACCAGCGAGCACTGGCAGGATATGAGAAGGCCCTGGGCCCTGATCACAGTAGGACCCGTTTGGTTGTAGAGAAATTAAATGCGTTAAGGGCTGTGGATAGATATTAGCCGATAATCCTCCCGGACATGAAGGAATAATTATTCTATTCTGTTACGTTCTTTGGTCATGGCAGAAAGTCATTTCGATTCTGGCGGTGCGGAAAGTATCCAACAGATCCAAATTTTGTAATTTCCAATATCCTTTTCGAATTGATGGCCAAGCAAATTCCGGGGGAAATTTGATATTGCTGCCGTTAGGCAGCATCCACTAACAGGTTCCAAAGAATTCCATGCCATGTGGGTACGCAACAGGTAATAATACGGTTTGATATAACGTACCATACAAGATGCATCTTTCAACGGCCCTCAATTAAATGTGGCGTGTCCTATAATTTACTTGCGCTAAGGTCTTGGTAGTGGGGCCAATAGAGAGAGTCTCACTGTGTACTGGTCAAGCCGATTTCGAGAATGACTGTACTATGAGCAAACTAATGTTACCGACTTTGTTCGTTCCCTTGGAAAAATCAACCTTCAAAATCACACCTGAAATCTTATGCCGCCGAAATGGTAACGAACGTAACAAAATGATTCGTGCTCTAAGTCGACACTTATGCAATCACAACATTCTATGTAACTCTGAAGTACCGTATACTCGACTAGGAAGCAGTGCCACAAGGCAAGCGCTAGCCCATTCCCCAGGAATTGTTAACCAATATGTTACATACAGTACTATAATCCGAGGTATATGAATTTACTGTAGTTCTACATGAAGTCCCTTGGGTGGAGCATACCTCGTCAGCCCATTCCAGTGGGTAACTTTGAGGATAGAAAGTAATATTGGAGTATTTTGCACTAATTTCCAGCTATTCTTGTCACACTTGAACAAGTATATCAAAGTCTAGCAAGGGGTTTCTTCAGCGAGCTTTCCGTTTCTGTCACGTGCGAATCTGCCGGTAATTCTGGAATGGCTAGCAGGCCCATGGGAGAGGCGCTCCATCTCGCTTGATAGAGAATGCATTTCGTTCTTCGGCGAGAACAAACGCCTGCCGCTGGAAATTTGGTGGGATCCCTTGAGTGTTTTCTGTGATACAAGGGAGATCGACGGCCGTAGCAGATCGTACACCGAAGCGCGGCAATTGGCGGCCCTTGCGGTCCATTAAGTTGATCATCCCGGGGAGAAACAAATGTCGGAGCGCACTCATTCGAGTACGGTGGTGGTTGTCCCCTCGCCGCTTTCAATCTGTGTTTGTTAGAAAAAACAGTGCATAGTATATTTAAACAGCGAACAAGACTTGACGGCACCTGGCATTGATCCACATAGTCGTACCTAGAAACCAACGCATAGCGGTTGCAAAAGTAGAAAGTGGTATTGCAATATATTGTTGTTTACTGTATCTATGTGAGTGTTCGTGTTTAGCTTAGTGAAACTTTTAAATGAAATGGGACTGAGAATTCATCCTGCTTGAGATCAAAACCGCTGTTTTCCGTACTGTAGACCTGCCTGGGATCCCGGGTTGTTAGTTCTGAAATCATAGGAGATCCGTGCGAGTGGAAGCAGTTCCTGAGATCGATCTCCCTCATGTTACCATCAGGTCGCAGGGGTTCATTATGGTGGTGGCAGGGATCCGTTTTGGTGGTGGCAGGGATCCGTTTTGGTGGTTGCAGGGGTCCGGTTTGGTGGTTGCAGGGGTCCAGTTTGGTGGTGGTAGCGCAGGCCGCTGACATGAGCTATTTCCAATATAAGGACTGGTGTCTGACTGGCATCTGATGTAACTGAAGCATATTGATTCAATACCGAGGTAATATACGGCTCAATCCTTATCGTTGCCATATTGCTATTTCTACTGTGCAACAAGCAACGGGATACGCGTAAGAATAAAGCTCCTAGGGAAGTATGACTCGGCTCAAGTGTTAATAAAATATTCGCCCCTTGCCTGTTTCTTAAGCGTAGCGAAACACTAGTTCCCGGAGTCACCACGAAAACCACCAAGTCTAATCTATGCTCCCTATCGATCAAGGTCGCTCCGTCAGAAAGAACACTTGTACGGACGTTTCGGTTGCTACGGATTCCGCTATACGACCTGCTTAAGAAACATCATGTCTCATACAGTTGAATGTCCCATTGACCCGCCGCCTTACACCAGACACGGTTCGTTGTTGTTGCTCCTAGCAGGTATATTCTTATCTAAATTATCACAGACTGGATAAGTGCACTTGATTATTGGTCGACTTTTGAGTCTTGGTCCATCTTAAGAAAGTTGAAGGAGAACTGGCGTTTTTCCAAAGCGATCCTGAAGACCGCGGACTGGAACTCGGCCAAAAACGCCTTACGGGCTCGCGGGGAAATTGTCAAGGCTTTTCAGCAAGCTAGATATTTGCGTGATCGGGTAGAAAAAGGGACACCGCTGGAAAGGAGAGAGGCGGATCAGAGGGTGAAAACTGTCTTTGGACAATTCGCTGACTCAATGAACAAAGTGGAGCTTTGGACAGGTGAGAAAAATCTAGCCTAAATGCATACATACTATGGGCTGACCGAGTGTAGACTATCGGTTTGCGGCTGCGATGGACTTTCTCGACAAGAGTTGCGTGGAAGTGTAGTCTCACAGGCAAACATCGACGAAAGACATGTTTCGCTCACAAGCAGGTGCCATCGAGCGCGATACAACATTCGAGAAGTTTAATACATGGAAGAGCCTCGGAAGCTACCCGAAGTCCGAAGGGCATACCTGTAATGAATACTTGTCGAGATATGGTGTGGTAACTTACCACTTAGACAGAGGTTCTTCGTAGGACGGTAGCGTGGAAGTCTAAGAGATTGGTTTTATAGTTGTGTGTAGTTCAGATGCCACTGTACCTACTTTAGTTACGTTTTTTCATCCACTCTATATCCTGCCTTTGAGTCTCATTATATAGTTACAAGTCAATGAGTTACAGTATTCATCTTTTCATCTTGTATGCAGTAGCCAGCAGTCGGATGATGATGCTGGATCGCAGACTATGTAAATTAAATGGGACTGAGAATGCATCCTGCTTGAGATCAAAGCCCTATTTCCGTACTGTAGACCTGCCTGGGATCTTGGATTGTTAGTTCTGAAATCATAGGAGGTCCGTGCGAGTGGAACCAGGTCCTGAGATCGATCATACCATCATGCCGCAGGGATTCTTTATGGTAGTGGCAGGGATCCGTTTTGGTGGTCGCAGCGCAGGGCCCGCTTTGGTAGTCACATGCAGAACGGCTTACGGCATTGCAAAGGATCCCTGCAACTACAAAAAGGATCCCTGTAACTAGAGAAACGGATCCCTGCAGCTACTAAAATGGACCCCCACGACAACCAAATGATCTTTCCAGGGCAGTAACTGTAAGCTAATACAGAGGGCCTAGAAAATTAGAAACAAACTGCCTAGTAAAAGCTCCGAGTTGTATTTTGGGTTCCAGTACTATTATGATTGATAGTGGGTTATCTCTAGGTTCTGTAGACGTTCTTCGTGTTCCTGAAATGGACCACACGATTTCTGGACCACATGAGGGGTATATAATGAATGCAATTCCCTTGGACCAAGAAATATTAAGATTTACTTTGACCAACCCATTTTATAATTATTTGGAAATTATCATGGGGAGATTCCTCAAGGTTCTCATGCGTGAGTAATGCTCTAATGATCTTAACATATTTCTAGTCATCCCATCGTATTTAACGGTTACCACTAGGTCGGGATAAAAGATCTCAGCAGAAATATAGAGAAAAGTTTGAGCTTAAAGACGTCCCGGTGTCGACACCTCAGTCGGCACTTGACGAACGGATTTTTGATTCCAAATGGAAGCCTAAACCAGAGTGGGAGCTGGAGAGAGGAAAGGATTTCCTTGGAAAATCCTCGTGGATATTCACAAGTAAGGAGAATCCTGAGTTGAGATTTGATGAGATGAAGTTGAGGATCTACCGAGCCTGTTCATTTAGGCGTGTGGGTAGTTGGGACAACATGAGATGGGTGCGCGAGAAAGAAGATCCTCCGCTTAAATTCCTTAACGATGAGCATCAGTTGCGCCTAATCTTGAGGGATTTTGTAGGATGGTAGCTTGGAAGTCTAAGAGAATGGTTCTACAGTTGTGTGTTGTTTAGATGCTACTGTACCTATTTTAGTTACGTTTTGTCATCCACTCTATATCCTGACTTTGAGTCTCATTATATACAAGTCAATAAGTTACTCATCTTTCCATCTTGCATGCAGTAGCCATCAGTTGGATGGTGATGCTGGATCGTAGACTACAAGGGGCCCAGTGCATTAGCGAATACTCTGTAATTGGGGCCTAAATTCAGAGTTGAATGACTGAAAATAAATTAACAAAGACAACGGAGCTAAAATATTATGGACAAGGAGGATAATTGGGGAATTTAATAGTTCTAGACAGGTATAACGTTCTCACTGCGTAGTATAAATCCAGGGGGAATTCTCCGTATGTAAAATTTTCTCTGAAGGTTCTCTCATTGAAGACGTAGCGTCTTGGGTGCTATTTCAAACAGACTAGAAACAGTTGCATCTTGGCGGTGTTGCAAAGCACTAACTGAAAATCCCCACCATCACCCCTGGACTACACACCCGTAAAGGAGATTTCCGTACTCAATTTGTTATAAAGCGAATGTTTCGTTTACTCACACGTAACCAACCGTTTTTCCATAGCCCTATTAGCAGAGAGCAGAATAGATGCTGTCTGTCTATCGTGGATTTTGTTGACGAAGTCGGCTCTTAGTTGGAAGGAAATCCAGCCTTCAGGTTGTCATAAGGGGAGGACGGGTACCCCAGTTCGTTCTCGACTTGCTCTAGAGCACCGACACCGCCAAATTTTGTAATAACCTAAGGGTAAGGATGTTCGGTTAGAGAATTATTTGGCCAACAATAAACACGCGGAGACAACTTGACTAGGATACATACCGTTGTGATCAAGCTATCAGATCCTTTCTTGTCACCGCTGCTCTCCCACCACATTCCACCACCCAGACCTTTTGACATAATATACTCTGCCTTCTTTTCCGCAACTTGAGGGGTGTCATAGCTTATCATCATCTCTTGCGACGCATCATAGCTATAGCTAGCGATAGGTTGGTCAAGGTAGCTGACATTTGCCTCAGCCCGTGGCAGCGCCTTATAGTCCCAGACGCCATTCTCCCAGCTACCGCTGCCAACACCGCTATAAAGCGTACCAGGCCCATTCGTATTCAAAAACGAGCGCCCGTAAAGTGGCATACCCATGTTAATCTTGCCGGATGTCACTCCTTGTGAGATGTAGTAGTCAATGGCTTGGTCAGTGTTAAAGGGCGTGCTAGAGGGGTTGCTGGTTGAGGGGTAGATATTGGCGTCATGGCCAGCAGCGGTGTCCCAGGTACCAGAGTAATCATAAGCCATCAGGTTCCAGAAATCAAGGTACTTGTCCATGGCTGATATATGGAGGTTTTGGTAATTTGCTGGTCCTGTATATTGGATGAGAAACGAAATAACAAATCCAGGAGGCCCGGAGGACCATACCGGCTGGGCATGCAACGCTAATCAAAAAGTGGTAGTTACTTGCTTCTGCGGCGCTATACGTATCCAGGCTCTTACTAATGTGTTAGTTTATGCCTGATAAAGAATGGGAGTAATACTTTGGCATACCAAGCGTAATTGTTGAAGCGTTGAAACCATATTATCGGCCTGGGTGCTATCCGCAGGATACTAGGTATTTGTTAGCATGCCGCGTGCGTTTAAAGTGTATCTTCTATAAACATTACCTCCCAGTCGATGTCAACACCATCAAATCCAAGATCCGCCACCAGATCTTTAGCGGAGGAAGCGAAATTTGCACGGCCCGCCATAGTGCCGAGGGGCTTAGCAAAGTTAGCTGAGTAAGTCCAACCCCCGATAGACAGCAGGATCTTCAGATTTCGATTCTTCTTCTTAAGGAGAAAAAGCTGCTTCACACATCCATAAACATTGTTTCCAGTATCGCTCCAGGAATCAGTAGAATAATGCTTCTCTATGTCGGCCCAAGGATCTGAGATATACACTGTTCCGGTGTCCGGGTGTACATTAGCAAAAGCGTATAGTACATGCGTCAGTTTATCGGTCGGGAGGTCCTGAGGATTGAAGTTACGGCCATAGATTGCCTAAAGTGATGAAAAGTACATAGTTAAGTAAGTGGCTCTGGGTAACCAAGCGGGTGCTACTTCAGGAGAACTGACCCAGTTGACAAAGTAGGCAACAGAGCGATATCCATCCGTATGGCGGACTGCAAGCTCGGTATTACCAGAACTCTCAGATTCTAGGTTAGCACTAGCTCTGATAAGGCACGCTAGGCCTAGTATAAAAGGAGTGACAAGCTGCATGATGAACGATATGGAAATTGTTCTTATGAGGGATTCAGTAGAAGCAGCGACGGTGTAGTGGTAGAGCCCGGAGAGGAGGGAGAACATTATTTATAATCTCAAGGAATTCGGGTCTTACTTGCCTGTAGCCAGACCGAAAGGAGGCTGCCCCCAGTGTGACTGTGATAATCTGAAACATGACAGTGGGTGGGGTCTGCAAGTCATTGAGTTCACCAAAAAGGTGTCGCAGGCTTGCTGCTACCGCGGTTTCCCAACTCACCCAGACCAAGGCTACTATTATGCCCTCGCGATTATTTATGGAGTTATTTGGTCTGTTACTGAATAATACTGTAGGACAGCTTCACCCTGAAAGATGATCCATTCGAGAACACGCTACAGTACCTATGTTTCCGGGCACGATCCTCTAATGCTTATGCCCACTTCATGATAAGCCTGGCTTTCATCATAACACGTAAACTGCTCCATGAATGTCTCTGTAATTTGCACTTCGTCGGAACTGGTCGTTTTCCCTTTCTTGTGAGGATTCTCAATATTGGAAAATTCCTGTATATCTGATACCTCAGGGTGAGCTTGAGTGTTGTCTTCAGGGGCATATTCCGGTTCCGTTTGCCATTTTCTTTTTCGATTCACACAGTTAGACCGCGTTTCGTCAATGGAATGTGCGTCAAAGAAGTGGCGACGCAGATTTATAATGCTCCCATAATCCTTTGCTCGACAACAAGGATGTGGACAGAAGAAAGTCGTTGATGTTTTCAACATGTCGAAATGTTGGTCAATGTGATTGAGAAGAGTTGCCTTGGCCACCCACTGTTGGAATCTCTCGTCCGGTTTCTTGCCTTCATTTCCCAGGCAAAATGGGCAAAATCCAGGGGCAACAAGCGTATAACGGAATGTTAACATCCCACATCGAGGTTCAAGATTATTCAGGTGGTCTCGGCAGTGGCCAATCCAGGCTTGCTCATCACAGCAAATTTGCGCGCAGAGATAGCAGAACTGCACAAAGTTCCGCTGAACACGCCTGTGGGCCCGCTTCTCGTTCCGATAGCGTTGTTGGTATTGTGGACCACCTAGAGATTGTCTTCGACACTGTAAGATATGTTTTGCTCTCCCCTGATATGGGATTCTACTTTGGTTAGTCCTGAAGTCCAGAGCAAGCGACAGAATTTACCCACTGTGACATGAGCTTGGAACATATTGGACATCGATTGTCCTCAGGTAAAAGCCCGGGGTAGTAAACAACGCGTTCCGTGGATGTGCACAGCACGACCATGTCTTCTAGGCATTGCTGGCCGATAAAACTATCCAATGAGGTTTCCGCGAATAGCGATTCGCTGAGACGAGCGCGTTCTGGTAGGTATTTCTTATATATGTTGAATAAAGAAGTCATGTCGCGTTCTGTGAATTCGTTTCCGGATATGTATTCGTCGTATGCAGAAAGCCACCAATTCTGTATAAATTCCTTCTTCCAGACCTCTAGGCATTTGGATTTTCTGCTATATAGCTGTGTACGTTCGGCAGCAAGTTCCTCATGTAGCTGGGGCTTTCCAGCGATCTCTGAAGTCAGATAAGCAATCCTCTGGTTCATAGTTTTGATGTCGTCTCTCTCTTCAAATGCTTGGATAGCAGCTGCGTCCAATCTCTGAGGCGCATTTGGGTCTCTGTGGTGAGCCATACTCTGCTCCATGTCCCGACATTCATAGTCAGGCTGCAAATCAAAGAATATGGCCTGGACGTCCAGAGATTTGAGCACAGATTGGTATTTAATATATGTGCTATGGCTTTGATGATCAAGAGCCTGGCTGCGAGTCGCTTCCGACGCCTTGGCTAAATAGAGTCAGCGGTAATTGTCTATGAGAACCGAAATGACTTACGGTCAATGCAATTTGCAACGGCACCACGAATCCCATGTACACGAAGAGGGTCCTTGAAGCACTCGCGCTGAGCTAGACGCGTGAAGTTCCAGTGCATGGAAGAAAATGATAATGCTTTCTCTCGCTGGGGTCCTTCTGGAGTCACCATCCTAAAGAAAGGGAGCTCCTTTGCATTCTCACTCCACTCAAGTGTATACGATTCTCTCCCCTTTGGGGGTCTCACGGAAACAACGTCCGCCACTGTACTGAGCCCCTTGAAAGCGCCATCAGCTACGCCGTGCACTATCACCCAGAATACGAAACTCTTCCCGAGAATTGGATGTTCTCTGAACCAGTTCCTCGGTCTTGGTTACTCTGAAATCAGCTTTCAAATTCCACAAGTGCCTTGTTGCAGCCTCACATATTTTTGTCGTCGCGATAGCGGCATCCTTTCAGAAACTCGGGATCAATCGTCACCCAGCGTTTTAATTGGCCTTGGTCGCTCCATTTCATATTGAAGGTAAGATGCTTTGAAACTTCGATTAGTTTGATTGGTCTCTACGGATAGAAGGAATGGGGAGGGGTGAGATCGAGACATACCTTATAATAGAGACACTCGTTGGTGTGAAGATAGGCGCTCGATTCCACCACAGCACCGGCCCTACTACCCGAGCCAGCAAAAAGTGCAAGAGCACTCCCAGTTTGTACCCGTGCTCTCTCGTGTTTGTAATCGTGCCGATCGTCTCCGAAAAGACCCCGAAGAAGGTAGTCAATGTCCTTTGCCGTGACCAGGAAACGCTCTCGTGGCTTCGTGCGCATACGATATTTGACGGTAAGATCCTGCCGAATATACTTCAACTTGTAAGGAGGAATAGTTCTGAGGAGATTAAGTGGTCTTACGTTCAGAACATCGTCCTTGACATGCCTCGGCAGAGAACGCAATGTCTCTCTTTCCCATCTTGACGTGAAGTTTATCAAGTTCTGACATGCCGACTGCTGCGAAGGTATTTTTTTTCTTGTCGCGATGTAGTCTTCGGCAAAAGATTTCAAAATTTCCGGGGTGGGATCAGGTTCGTTCTTGGAAAAATTGGCATCAATAGTTTCGTTCCGGGAAAGTCTCCATCTACTGAAATTAGCGTCGCAACCGGTTGTTGTAAACAACATTACATACAATGCCCAATTTTTGACTGTGTCCTCATATTTCTGGAGAGTAGCTGGAGTGAGTTGTTTAAGGCATATGGTGTTGCTTTCTTGTTCCCGTTTGTTCTGATATTCGAGGGTGAAGCCACGTGACGCAGCACGTGCAGCTCTTTCCTCAAGCTCCTTTTGGAAGTCTTTCGGAAGCATCATCTTTGAAATGGCTGAATGCTGAGAAAATAAGAACAGAAGGCTAGACAGTCACCCGGGTCTCATATTTATGTGGTGGACTCCAGTAAAAGAAGGCCTATAGGTGATCCTGAGTGGAGATCCTCACCCGTTCTCACCCTATTCTCACCCTCTCTCACCCCGTTCTCACCTCTATCACCCCAGTCTCGAGACTTCTCACCCATATCACCCACACCCACGCTAGGATAAAATTCGACGCCATTTTAAGGCCCAGGGCGTTTTGAGAATTAACCGCATACTATAGATGGCTTAAGTACGGCTGAGCGGACGGGAAGCCCTGTTCTCCACACCCTATGGTCGTATGTGCTAGAAGTGACATCTTCAAGGCTCAAATAGGGAGCAAATCCACTTGATAGGACGGAATTCAGGGATGGTAGGCGATGGTGGCTGACAGGAGTGAACTTGCATCACAGTTACGGCCCGGGGCAACAATAATAGCGCAATACACATCGTCGTCATAACGTATAAAATTGCGAGCAAAACGAGGCACAGAATTCAATATTACCTTCATATACGAGAAGTAAAAGGCCAAGATAGCCCAATTGTTGCATCATTTCTTGGGCTTCGAGGGTCAGCCACTGTGCGCCGGGCATTCCCCAAGCCACTCCGATGAAGATCTGTCCGATCAAGCCACAATACACCAATTTATCCAGGATAGAGTTGGCGAAATTGAGAACTAGAAGGAATCCCGATTGGATCAGAATCGTCCGGATTCCCGGCTCTTCATAGGATAGTGCCGATTGGGAGGTCATGGTGATTGTCTAGTGAGTTGAGTTTAGGTTGATGTTCCCAGACATCCGCTTGAGACGAGATTATCGCAACATGGAAGAGACTGTTTGACAAAATGCCTGGCTGTCAGACTAATTATATGCAGGGCATGTTGTTATTTCGAAGTCGCGACTCGCAACGTCTGTTGGGCCGGCTAATTGCCTCAGGTTGGGTCACATGAGTTTATTGCCTGAGGCATATATCAATGAGTACTGTAGTGAGTACCTTAGTGTCCATCCACACTGTGGGTGTCGGATGACTTGCCTTTGTGGGGATGGGAAGAACTAACAAGAACTAGGGACGGAGATCCCGGTGAGCCGGAAAATCACTTAGCTCATTGATACCCATCTACGCAAGTGTCTTCTTCCACGCGACTTGGCTGAATCAGCCAAGACACCTAGGTAAATGGGTGAGCGTTTACATGAAAACAGTTGATGTCTCAAAATGCAATTCATTCAGACGCTAAAATCGATTCCAAAGTCGATCATGATAAAAGATAAAAAAAGCCCCAGCATCCGTCTATGTACCAATGTCTAAATCTATACAAAAAATCTATATGTGCTTAATGCAATGTCGTGTCATATCGCTTCAAGGCTCATCCGAGGAGGAGTCTTGGTTCTCTCGGTGCACAGCAGCACCGTCCTTAACATCGAAACGGAACTGCTCTTCCTCTGCAGCCAGCTCAGCCTTGAGCTTCTTGTTCGCATGCCAGATGGGCTTCATCTTGAAGAGGCGCTCGACCTTCTCCAGCGGAATACCGCTGGTCTCGGGAATGAGGAAGAAGGCAAAGAAGAAGGCGAGGAAGGACAGGGAGGCGAAGAAGAAGTAGACTCCGTAGCCCATGGTCGCGAACATCTGTTCGGTGAATCGCGACACGAGGAAGTTGAACAGCCAGTTGCTGGCAGTGGTGCAGGCCTGAGCCAGCGAGCGGAAGTTGGGGTCGAAGAATTCCTTTTCATGATTGTTAGTTGAGGCCAGATGTCAGCGGAAGTATGGTGACTTACAGAGTTGATGACCCAGGGGGTACCGTTCCAGGTGGGAGTGTAAACGGCAGTCCACAGGTAGAAGAAGAAGATAGCGGCGATACCACTACCGGTCAAGCTCTCGCTGGGATTTTCGGTGGGATCCACGACGTAGATGTAGGCACCAATAACCCACATACAGATAGAACCAGTGACAGCACCGATGAGAAGAAGCTTGCGTCGACCCAGCTGATCAACCAAGAAGAGCAGCCAGACGAAGGTCATGACAGCCTTGACAACTCCGAAGATACCAGTCATGACGCTAACAGTGTCATCCGCAACGCCAATGCTCTGTGAAAACGTTAGAAATGGTCTTTTTTTCAATCCTCATTTTCGAAAGATATAGACTTACAGTGAAGATAGTAGGTGAGTAGTAGTTGATGGCGTTGATACCAGAACCGTTCTGCCAGAAGAAGAGCATACATCCCAGGAACAAGCGCCACATCATGTTCGGGCGCTTGCTAAGGGCCTGGAAAGGCTTCCAGAAGCCGAGACCAACGATAGCCTTCTGCTCCTCGTGGGCCTGGTCAATAGCGGCAACTTCTTCCGTGATATAGAGATCAGAGGCAGTAAGCTGGCGGATCCAGCAGAGGTTCTCCATAGCCTGCTTTCGTTCGTCGTGGAGGAAGAGCCAACGGGGGGATTCCCGAATCCACAGCGAACCCATGAAAAGCATACCGGCCGGAATGAGCTGGATGGCAAAAGGAATGAGCCACTGCTTGTGGCTAGGGGCGATATGTTGCTCAACACCATACTAATCAAATAAAAGCCAGCAGTTAGCTTTGAGGGAAAAAATTTTTCAATCAAAGGAGAAAGTTCGGTATCATGACTTACGTTAATCCAGAAGCCAACCAGGCCACCAATCTGCCATCCCAACTCGTAGAGACCGACAAGCCGACCTCGAATAGCAGGGGGAGACAGCTCCGACAGGTAGATGGGAATGATGTTGGATGCGATACCAGTACCGAGTCCGGACAGAACACGACCAGCATACAGAATACCCAGACCACGAGCGTGGTTGGCACCGCACTGAAGGCCAGCACCCAAAGAGAACATGGCGGAGGAGATAGCCAGACACCACTTGCGTCCAATCCAGTGGCTAAGTCCGTATGTGAGAAGAGCGCCGAAGAAGGCACCGGCGATGAAAAGAGAAACGATGTTTTCACTGATCAGGTCTCGGTCGGCCTTGGACATGTTCACAAGACCGAACTCTTCCTTGAAGGATGTGAGAGTGACAGTGGTACCGATGAAGGCACTCGTATAACCGATCATGTTGGAGCCGCATGATGCAATCAGGGCAAGTACATAGACTCGCCAGTTGTAGACCGAAGGAGGAGTTGGCCGATCCTCGACGAGGTGCAGAATGCCACCCATGGCTGCTAAGTCGAAACAGCTAGAGGGGATGGGAGAGTGCGGGTTGGGTCAGGAAAAATTTTTCTGATGGATGGAAATATAGTTGGGAGAGAAAAAGAAGGAGTCTGGGACGGAAGGGGCCCCTCTAAGTAATGTTTCAGTCCCCAGTGGTTGTGTGGGAGTGGAAATTCTTCTCAACGAGCCATCTCCACAAGTTACGTCGCGTCGAACCCCAGAGCGATGGGGCAGTATGGGGTTTGAACGTGAAGCTGCGAGTGGTATGGAGATTTCGCTACAAAGAGTCCCACGGGGTGCAGCGTTTTGGGCCGGGGTAGCGTTTTCCCCGGTTGAAACATTCAGCCGGGGCCAGCAAATGACCTCTGGTATATATCTAACTCGGAATCCTACTTCCTGGAATGGAATCTGTGTGGATCCTGGATGCCAATTACCTATAGGTAATCCCAAGCTTTTTGTGTAAACCTTGCCTCTCGATTGGCAAGTCTGGCGAGAGGCAATTGCATTGTCACGAACGACTGGCATTTTGGGCCAATTCCGTTGGGTATGATTTGGACTATCGAAAAGGGATCGCCGGATTAATACACGAGTCGCCACAATGCGCGTAATTCATCCACCTAGGGACATCTCTTCTCCCCGGATCACACCGGAACTCGCGTGTGGGGAGAATGCAGGAGAACGGCGAGTTTTATGCAAATGGCCAGTATCTTATTCGTAGATACAAGTGATAGATGCAGGAGAACTCGCTCTGTCCCACGGGGGAGAACCCTTAACCATAGTGGAGAAGGCGGACGATTCCCGAGGAGGCGAAGAAAGAATGAAAAGGCTGCGGTCACGTGGACGGGCCGAACGGCGAGGGATGATCTTAAAATGCACTCGCCGAGTTCTCCATTGGTTGGGGGCCGGGGAACCGGGGGGGCGGTAGTTCAACTCGGCCATTGAAACTGCTGGCCGAGTGTAAAACCTTGACGATCATTAGGATTGACTTTTTCATACAAAAATCAACCATTGTTCATCATTCCGTAACAGAGTTTCAGTGGCTGAATGGCTTCGAGCTCTGGGAAAAACACCATGCCGCGATGCAGTCCGAAGTATCTTCCCGAAGTTCTACCTTTTCAACAGCCAAGACGGCCCGGAGGAGTGCCCAGCTCTTGGACGCGCGGGTTTCTAAGCAGACCAGGGAGAGTCCAAGTGGAGACCCAATTGCCGACCGTCTATTATTGTCACCGGTGAAGAAGTCTGTATAAACATGGCGTTCTTCTCTCTAGGCGAAGGCGTTCTTTTGAAAAGAATTTTCTTCTAGCTCTTCGCCTAGTCTGCTGCAAGCTGATGGTAAGCAATATGAGTTTGGACAAGCTTAGTTCTCGGGCCGCTTTCGGCATGCCTTTATTGCGTTCACGGCCCGAGTATGCTTAAAACCGAGCAGGACAATCTCGTATGAAAAGGAGGTGCTACAATATCGTATACTTCCTCGGTATCAATTTATAGTTATCAATCAAAATCTACATCTCATTATTGGCAGTCAATTCGCCATGTCTCATCAGCCAAGTCCCACTCCAGGTGTGACAAAACGCCTGTGTTCGTGGATCCATGCCCTATCCCTGGACGACGTGCCTGAGGCGGTCAAAACCCGAGCCAAGTACTTGATACTCGATGGTCTCTGCTGTGCACTAGTCGGAGCTCACCTTCCTTGGGTCGAGAAGGCTGCAAAAGCTGTCTTTGCGATGGAACCCGAGGGAAACTGTACTGTGTGGGGATACAATAAGGTGCCAGCACCTTCTACATCTTCTATAGACATTCTTTGATAACCGACGAGTGGAGATGGCTGACGTGAAATTACGAATAGAAACTCGGCGCACTAGCCGCCACGCTCCTAAATAGTACCGAGATTCAGTCCTTCGAGCTTGATGATTGGCATGCGCTAGCTCCAGTTCATTCTAACTCAATCTTGCTGCCGCCGCTCCTTGCGGCCGCCGGTCAAAAGAAGGCCAGCACGACAGCCAAGTTTGACGGCAAATCGCTTCTCCTCTCCACAATTGTGGGTTATGAGACGGGCCCACGTGTTGGCCTATGCCTTTATGGCGGGCATATGCTAACGCGAGGGTGGCACTCTGGCACTACATTCGGCCACGCAGCCTCGGCAGCCGCAGTGTGCAAGCTGCTGGAGCTTCCAGTGGATGCTATTGAGGATGCGCTGGGCATGGCTTGTACGCAGGCATGCGGGCTAATGTCAGCTCAGTTTGGAAGTGATGTGAAACGCATGCAGCACGGATTCGCTGCGCGAAACGGTCTCTTCGCGGCACTGATGGCAGAAAGCGGCTACGTCGGGATTAAGAATGTTTTTGAGGAACCATACGGTGGGTTCCTGTCGACCTTTGGGCAGAATTCGGGTAAGGAGCCGCCATACCTGGTGGATGAACTTACCAAGGGTCTGGGAGAGGTCTGGCAGTCCGATAATATCCGGGTCAAATCGCATGCCTCCATGGCAGGTACACATTGCACCATTGACACGGTCGCACAACTGCAAAATGAGTACCCCGACAAACTGTCCAGCTTGGAGAACATCAGTAGTATCGGGATTGAGATGTCCGAGGCTGCTTTCAAGCACGGCGGATGGAAGGCACAGCGGCCGCTCTCGGCGCTAGGGGCACAAATGTCCTGCGCTTATGTTGCCGCCGTCCAGCTCATCGACCGTCAGGTCTCACCACAAGAGTTCCACCATGACTTGCTTGATAGGGATCATTTATGGGACCTGATTGACAAAACCGAGTGTTTCCACACGCCAGAATTGGGCGAGAAATACGAACAACGCGTCACGATCGCATTCAAGGACGGAAGCACGGTCGCAAAAACTTTGGCTGCACCGTGGGACGTCAACCCTGGGTTATCGAATGAAGAGATCCTGGAGAAGTTCAGGCGATTCACGGACGGAATTGTGGAAGCTCAGAGGCGAGACGCGATTGAGAGGCTGGTGTTGGGTCTCGAAAAGGTCGAGGACATCACGGTTCTAGAAGAGCTACTGGCTAGACCCACTAGAAACCCGATAGATTAGAAAACAGAACTTGTATAAACAATTGGAGTGAACATACCTCAAAGACCGAATCAATAGCATGTTGCTGGTCTTTAGTTGATTTGGAGGGGACGATGAGCGGGAGTTCAGATGGGCGGCACCGTCACGTGGCTATGGCCGTGGAGGGCTGCCTCGCAATCATCAACACATTTATTCCTCTCTACAGTCGCTGGCTGCAGAATAGCGGCAAGATTTATACAAGTAGGACGTCATATGTGAGATCCCAAACACCTGGGACGTGGTTTCTCTACAGTGGGGACAATCATCGTCTCAGAGAGCCTTATCTGCGTGTTTATGACATGCCCCTCTCACTTTGTTGATCAGTAGATCATCTCAACAGCTGGTAAAGTCTTGTGATTATCTGCCAGATCAAACCTGTGGTAGGAAGAGATTGCTAATAGATGCACAGAGCAAAGGCTATCTTGAATCTGAGTACGAGATGGACACCCCTGCATCTCCTGCAGCCATCCAGAAAGGCATTTGGGACGGGCGAATTCCCTTGGAAATTGTCCTTGCCCCATCTGAGAGCCGGAGCTATGACAAGACGGATGCCTATCTTGTAATTACTGCGCATCCCCATATGAGTTGCATGTGACCCTGATTAACATGCGCCATCTAGATCTCATACCCACGCGTCTCATATCTTCCCTCGTTGCTTCCAAAGCTTCGAGCCTTTTTCTCTCCATATCTGATTGAGCCTGGGTCTCGGCACCACGATGGATGGTTTGCTTTCGAGGGTGTCCCACTGAAATGGCACTACCCAGTCGGTCTCCTGTTCGACTTGTATGCTGGAGCAGACCCTGCCACCAAGACCGGGTTCGGCAGCGATGTCTCCCAGGAGAACGGATCACCTTTTCCCTGGCGACTGACAGTCCATTTCAGTGACTGGCCTGTCGAAGATCTCGTTCGACTCGACGAGAATGGCATGGTCATGAACGATGCATTCATCAACAGCGTCAAAGAGGCTGATTTCCTTCGAAACGGGACCGCAAAGGGCATCATGAGCCTTTCCAAGGAGGACTCATCGGGTCTTTGGAAGGCAGTAGAAAATGGTAAGCTCTGCACGCGTCAAAATTATTTTGAATATACGAAACTGACTAAAGATCGTTCCCCAGTGGACCTTCCATCTTTCCAGCGTATTTCTCACATTCTGCTACCTCCCCTGTCGCAGCCATTCCGCAACGTGCCTATTCGCATCTTTTTACCGCTGCCACCTGATGAAGGATCCGGGTCGCTCAAAGTAGTGCAGTCACCTCTTCCCCCTTCCATACCCACTCCGGGTGTCCAGCCCAGTCAATCTATCAGTCCCCGATCGAGCCCAGGTATGCAGCATCAAACCATAGGGGGCGTTTTGCATACATTGCTCCCAAATCTATTCCCTAGTCGGAGGACTCCTGTTCTTGCAAAGCCGGTTTTACATGGCGCTGTGCTTCCTATGTCTGCCCCCATCGAAGAGGTCGTAAGGTGCTCGGCTTATGGAGACGGATGGGCTTATGTTGTTGTGCGGATGATGGGATGACCAAATTAGGCTTGATCGATTTGATCAATGAGTACGTTGGTACTGATGTGTGGTTGCTGTAAAGCATAAATACAAAGCCCTCAAATGCTAACAAGCCCCGTAAATTTCCTCCGAAGGCCAGCTCCATGGCCGGCAATACAAAGTCTCGCTAATCGAAGGTGAAAGAACGAATTTCTCCTAACAACACGATGTGGAGAATTGTAAAATAAAAAGACAAGAAGCTGTGAATTGCGCAGTGCTCCCCAGAGTGATTCTACTCAGAGGGCTGGGTATCGTCGCTTGGAAATGTCCAAAAACTCCCTAATTCAACGCTTGATATCCCTTTCAAACCACGATGTAATGCTGCTCACTTCCTACCAACGTCGACTCCCCCGTCTCCGATTCATACATGTCCGATTCTATGTCGTCAATGATGGTTGACGAGCTGTTTGGGCGGCTTCTCGATGATCTCGGGTGCAATTTCCCATCTTCGTCAAAGAGAAGTACGGCGAATGGCCTTTGTTTTGCTAAATCGATCGCGGTTATTGGGGTTTCCTTGTCTCCTTTCTCGGAAAATTTGTCGGTTGGGACCTTTATTGAAAGATCAGCACCGGCCTCGAGTAGAAGGCGCAAAATTGACTCTCGCCCACGCTCTGCAGCGAGATGAATGGCAGTTTTCCCATCGCCAGTGACCGAATTGACATCAGCGCCTCGCTGTATGAGCAACCCAACGAGGGTCGGTCTGGGGATTGGAGCAATGGCTGCCAGATGAAGAGGTGTTTGGGCTAAAGATGAGAGGGAACGGTCATTTATCGAACCCCCTCGATTCAAAAGCAATTGGATGTATTCTGCCGTTTTATCGGATGTGAGATCAGGGGAGCCTGTCCCAGTATAGACAGTCTGATGAAGGGGTGTCCAGCCTGAACTTGAAGTTGCTTTGACGTTGATACCTTCATTTAGAACAACCTTCAGTATGTCCAGACAGTCTTGATTGGCAGGTGGAGTAATGTGAAGAAGTGTTTCCCCTTTTGCGGTCTCGACGTCTACTTTGGCACCTCTCTTTAGTAGAAACTGGAACATAGTCTTGTTTCCCATCATCGCGGCACATTGAATGGGTGTGTAGCCCTGTGACGTACGAGCCTCGATGTTTGCTCCTTGGTCCAATAATTTCGAAGCAATAGAAACTGCTGAGCCGTATCGAGCTTGCTCATGGAGTAGGGTCTCCCCTTGTTTGTTCCATGTATTGATATCGGCTCCGCCAATGAGAAGGAGGTCAAAGGCGACCCAGTTTCCCTTCCACGCAGCATACTGCAGGGCAGTTGGTCCAGCTAAAGAACGAGCCTCTACTTGAGCGCATTGTTGTAATAGCAAAGTGATTGCCTCACAATTGTCAATTGTTGCTGCCAGTTGGAGCGGTGTGAGCCCATCATTGTTAGCAATGTCAATGGCTGCGCCTTTCTCCAGAAGAAATAGGATGATCCGAGGCCGCCTCCATTCCACTGCAAGATGTAGAGCAGTATTTCCAGTCTGGGCGTTTTGAATGTTCACGTCCGCTTTGTTTTTGACCAGAAGTGGAACCGTTGCTTCATCGGTGGCTGTTCCTACAGCCATGTGAAGACTAGTTGCTCCGTTTTTATCCGCGATCTGAGTGTCCACACGTCTTAAACAGAGAGTTCGCATGGATTTTCGATGGCCGTTCTGAGTTGCTAGGTGTAAAGCCGTTTGTCCATCCTTGGTGGCTACGTTGCGATCGGCTCCGCTCTCCAAAAGAAAATCAACCATTTCATCATTGCCTTGGTAAGCTGCGCAGTGCAATGGAGCTATTGAAAGGGAGTTGTGGTGACTGTTGATGTCAGCACCCTGTTCTAGAAGGCGTCTTGCTTTACCAACGATTCCGAAGAACGAAAGTAAATGTAGACCGCTCCAGTCGGGTGGATATTTTCCAATGCCCAGTCGTGAGGGTATGCTCGTATTTTGTCCCATGTCAAAGTCAAGGGGTGGTCGTCTCCACAGAAGCTTATTCAGAAATGTTTTTATCAACACCTGTATTGTCTGTTCTTCGTCCGCGACCTCTTTGGCGTGATAACCCCAGTATGTGGCTGCATAATCGAGGAATCCTTTCTTTGACGCTCGAGATGTACCAGTGCTGTTGATATAACACTCGTCAACCACATCGTCAGGGGTAATGACTGTCAAACAAGCCTCGGCAATTTCCTTTTGTGCCCCAGGAAAGAAGACACGAGAAGCAGAGCCTGCCAGGTACTCCTTCGCTGTTCTATGAACAAAGCGTACAGTCCCGGACACCCCATCGACAGTCAGAAGCCCGGCACTCTGCGCTTGAAGCGAATGTTCAAAAGAAGTCGACTCTTGGTCCTCTGCCGGTTCACACGCCCCGATAGCACTCCTGAGTTCAGCAACAGAAAGAGGCCTGAGGGCGTAGAGAGCCCAATAAATGTAACGGTTCGCACTTGAGCTTCTGCTAATTACCTGTTTCATAGCTTCCCCGTAGGCTTCACTGAGACTTCCAGGGAGATGCATTAGGGCTCGTTCAAGAAGACTGCGGTCCGTGTATTGCGATAGAAGATCAAGGTGGAGTTTTGCAAGCAGAAATCTGGATAATGGTTAGAGGGGACTGATTTATCAAATTATGGATAAGGGTATGGAAGTTACTTACATCCCGTAGGACCTTTGAACTACTGAATGGACAATATTGTCCTCTAAGCCAAGATCGGGAGAGTTCCCCCCAAGAACGAGACGAAGGCCATGGTCTGTACGTGTTCTTTCAAGTGTATAGAGGCCAATATCCTCCGGTGGCGCAATGACGCTCACATAGCCCAAGTTGTTTGATGGTTTTGCATCACTCATTTCTCGAAGAGTAATCAAAAGTTGGGCCTGCTCTGGAAGCTTTTGGAGCCGACCCAAAAGCCGATCTTTGTCTGATAGCATGTCAAGGCCGTCGATAATGAATAAGACTTTAGAGAAACGGTTGATTTCTGCCCGAATCGCATTTTGGTAGGCTTTGGGGGAAGCGCTACCCTCGATCAGTGCCTCTGATTGATAGAGAGACGATGTGACGTAGGACAAGCTTCGCTTGCGATACACAAGCTGCGCCAATATATCCTTCAAGAGATCTAGTGACGTTCGCTCTTTGCCATTTTCTTCCTGACAGAAGACAAAAATTGTTGCAACGTCGGGAGATGTGAAAGTCCTTTGCAAGAAGTCGATAATGACGCAGCTGAGAAGATGGTTAGGCCGATGTTTGATGAGGAAATGTCTGTTGTTAAACTTACGAAAGAAATGTTTTGCCCACGCCAGCTATTGAATCTGTCAGTCCTTCGGCAATCTCAAGAAATGGAGGTCAGCCAAGACTCACCCGGTCCAACACAATAAATCGTTCTCATAGACCCAAGAAGCCACTGCTTAAAATGCGAGTTTTCAAAAATCCAAGCGCACGATCCCTTCTGCCGTCGATTACAAAGGTCTGCCAGTGCAATAAAGTGTTCAGAGCAACGCCGACCAACCATGCCAAGGGTTTCCTCCTCGAATTGTAAGTCGGCGTTGAGATTGACTGCGTGATAACCCTTTGGTTAGCAATGGATAGCTATGGCAAGCTTGCAAATTCGACATACCGGCCTCGACATCTCGATGTTTCCGTAACTGATCTCTTATCTCATTGTCTAGACGTGATCTCTCCCTAAGAAAAGGTCAGTGCCAGAATTCCCAACCAACTATCCAAGCTCTTGAAAGAGGGTCTCACTCTGAATCGGGCTGGAGGGCCAGTAGAAACATAATTTTGAACTGTTCCAACTTGGGGATGTAGGTCTGCTCTAGGAGATGTTTCCTGAAGTAGAAAACCCCAACTCCCCCTGGCTGGAAGTAATGCTCGATTGATTTCATGTTCAACCGAAGCCACCCGAGCAGCTCCCCAAGGGCCCTGAGGCGACCCACTGCGACAAACCATTTCTCCTCTGACCAGCTGATCTCGTCTTTTATCCGATAAAGCAGGTCCAAAATGTCGACCAACAATGAGAGAGCCCGGAGAGAAGAATCATGAGAGTCTTTACCACCGTTCAAGCATCGCATAGCCACACGTGTGGACTGCGAGACTTGAGCGAGACTTTCGCGAACCGTTGACACGTCCAGCATGATGTATACAGGCGGGGCCGGCGATAAAGCATCGATGCGACGACCAAACGTTCAGGGGACGGTGGTATGGGGTACAGGAGTAAGGAACAAGGTCAGTAGTTGAAGACAAAAAAGAATGAGAAGTAAGAAATATACGCTAGGATGCTCTCGTGCAATAATAGTCAGCTCAATGAACTGTTCCCCATACAAAGGCTACTCTATTGTGCGAGGCTCACCCCCGCCAGCGGCTAACAAGAATACATCTAACGTGGAATGGGCCGATCGGTACCCCAGCCCCCGCCATACCGCCCTAAAAACTCTCGTGCAATCTCAGGATTTGGTGGCGGCGGCTACACCTCTTTCTCGGTGCGAATTCATGAGCCTGAACTTTAGCCAAGGTCTTGACTCGTTTACTGGGACGGGTTTCCCAATCACAAAATCAGCCCAAAGCGGTCCAATTATTCCCCAGATTTCCAGGCTGAGAATAATAATGCACAAGGAGTTTTTGGTGGCCCCATGATGTGTATGTACTAGCGGGCGGACAGTTGTAAGCCAAACCAACACTATTGAGGACAAATTTAATTGGATGCCTGCCATATGCATCTGGTCACAGCCATGCTGCCGCCCAGGGAACATTTTCCCCATGCATGCTCCAGTCCTATTGAGGCTTTACGCGCCGAAGCTGGGTGCCTTGCGTCCAAGCACCCAATAATATCCGACAACGTTAAGATGGCGCGTGATACAGGGCACTCAATCTCACCCTACTCGTGGCACCTGAAACACACCGTATCGAGGTCTGTTGGTTAGCCTAGCGTTCCTGATCGCTTTTTACGAGCTGGATTAGGCATATCTGGGCCGATCACATTTGACAACTCAGCATCACATCATATATCATTCAAGGCTTTGACTGGCTACATATCCTGTTATCAATTAATTAGTTATGGTCGCAATATACATATTATAATACGGGTAAGATGATGTATAGAAATGGGTAATTCATGAGAATTGACTCTAGCAAATGGTGTGAGCCTGCACTCGCTAAATACATGTGTCTAAGTCCTTTTCGGCCTGACCCTGAACACCGTTCGAAGTAAATGCAAACAATAAAGAGATTCGTCGATTCATAAACATCATGGGCATGCAAGTAGGTGGTTTGAGAAATGAAAATGAAGTACAGTGGGAGGAAAGTCGGCGTGGGCCAGATATCTGCAAAATGCTAGGATATAAAGCGAGTAAACCGCTGAAAGTCGTTGAAAAAAAAAGCCGCTATAATCATGTGTTCCCATGTATGCGTTTAGATAGGGTTGCCATTCACTTTGATGGCAGCACCGCTATCAATCCCTCTTTTGAGAGCTCGGGCAATCATGACCTCGCGCATCCAGCCAATGCGCTCGTCGCGAGTCTTCACAGCGAAATGGTGAGACTTTCCGCCAGCAGTGAAGAGAGACTTTCGGTCAATGCCGGAAGAGCCATTGCTGGGCGATGGGATGAGAGAGAATGCAAAAGCAGTATCTCCACGGGTATCGTCCTTGCGCTTCAGAACTGTTTTCTTGAACGCCGCAGTGAGCTTTGAGCTTGATGCGAGCGATGAGCAAGCAACAGCGTAGTCATCGACGTCAATGTGCTCCAATGCTTTGGAGTTACGGCGAGTGTCCTCCTCGTCGGAGTACATTGAAAGCTGGGTGCCTCGTAGAGCGAAGTGGTGTTCTTCCCACTCATGACGAAGGAGCCGAGTAGTCTTGCGCTTCTTCATCCACCCACTATGGCTGATGTCGCTAGATGGCTTTCCAGACCGGTCAAATGGGTGCACACGACCGGGCCCAGCGCGAGGGGTACGCTCGAGATCTTCCGGGGTTTCAATTGGTCGTAGTGCCTGGCCCTCGTCTAGACGAGTCAGAGCAGGCTGAGAGCTGTTGTGGCGTCGGTGATTCTCAACCTTTGTAGAAGTCGGGCGTGGGATTGGGTCTTCCTGATTATTTCCAAACCGCATGTCGGGAGGAACTGATTGAGATAACATTCGCTCGACAGGGCCGACGGGGATCGCGGTGAGAGGAACATCCATTTCGGACAATGGTGTCGACTGTCCATAGCGAGGATCTTGACGATAGAAGTCTGCAGGGGAGAAGGCAGTAGAGAGCTCGTTTTGGACCCGGTCCGGAATGCAGTTCGGGAATGATGGTTTGTTTCGGGCAATGGACGGCGTAACTGTTCGCTGTGCCGACAAATTGGGAGAAAGGTTTGAGCTTCGCCACGAAGCATGGGTGCTAGGAATTCGAAGCTTGGGAAGATGGCGCAGATTTTCCGCCAAAGTCCCAGGGGAATCCGCCTCTGGAGAAGGGAAGGTTTCTCTCGGTGGAGTTGCAGGGTCGTTTGCAGGCTGCAGACGACTCAATCGTTGGAAATTGAGGAAGTGGCGAACATTTTCCTGAGGATCCCGTGGCTGGACACCATGAAGCATCTCCTTGGACAAGGGAATATCGGTGCTTGGATTTTGGCCTAGGGCATCCGAGGATGCAATAAGGGAAGGGGTGATTTCTGACTTGGGACTCTTCACCAGGTTGCGAGCAGTGGTGGCATTGCCTGGATCGCCGGTCACAATCACAGAGCCTCCAAATGATTCAACTGGAAGGTCTTTGGCAAGACGGGCGAGCTTGGCTTGCTGCTTTTGCCACTTGCGGCAATCCTCACCCTTCGAACACATATGGAGCTTTGGCATTACCTGCTCAATGCCAACAATGGAGACCGAATCCTCAGGGACGATGAGCTCCCGAGGGCGGCGACGGTGACGGCGGCGGCTGTGTTCCTTTGACTTCCGCCCAGACTTCTCCTCGTCGGTCTCAGAGCTAGGGCAGCTTGTGCCGACATCAGCCATTGTGGTGTGCGGCGTTGCTTCCCGAGATACCGGATCCGACTGCACGGGAATTTGCACGTCGGCGGGGCGAATATCGACGCTATTGCGTAACTGGCGGATGGAGCTCATCAACTGATGGCGTTTGCCGAATGATTGAACACCAAGCTCTTTCAGGTCCTCTGATTGGAGCTCCAAAAGAATTGCCCCGGAAATGTCGTTGATGAAGAACTTCTCAACAAGTTCGCTGTCGAAACTTAGATTCTGCATCCATGCCACAACATCCTGTGGAGTCCAGCTTGCAATGTTTGCATTTGAAGCTTCTTTCGCCTGATTTCCAATAGTAGACTGAGACTTGCTTTTTCGCAAGGGTAGACTGTGTCCAGGGACAGGAGTGTCCCTCCTGTCAGGACCAAGCTTCGATGCGGACGTGTACAAGGGAGTTGTGGCACTGATAGGAGTATCTTGAAAGACCAAGTCAACTTCGAAGGAAGATCTGAGATCTATGGAGTCCTTTGAGAGGCGGAAAAGATGAGGACCCATTGGACCAGCAATGGGCTTCTCATTCTCGTCGATGTGAAAGTGGAAGGCATTGAGCCCAGTTGAATCAGGTGTCTTTACATCATCTGGCGTGGAGGCAGTAGTGACACTTGCAGTCCCAAACTAGCGGTAGCAGTATTAGCATCAGTCATTGACAAAGATGTAAATCAAATAACATACCGATCGAAGACTCCTTCGGGGCGAATTGTCGATGTATCCTTCTGTTGAATCTGAGTCGAAATCGGTGTCCATGATCTCTGTCGTGTCGGACGAAGGCCGTGGGAAGGTGGTTCGAGGAGCCTTATACAGCATCTCCTGATCCTTTGATTGGAGGTACTGTAGGGTATTGGAGAATACCTCCTGCGTCGCCTAGTAGAAAGTCAGATAAAGCCTTGAAATTGCTGGGGCATCTTATCGCACCATTTTGACGTTATAGTCAAGCGCCAAGTTTTAGTAAGACACACTGGGTAATAGAGCGAAGCAAAATATACTAGGGAGGCTAGGGTAATAAACCTTCCTCAAGCTAGGACAGGAAGATAGGTGAACATTCAATTCAACAGTCGCACAGCGAAGTTAATAGAATTTGAGTGTATACGTATTGAGGGGAGGTTGCGATCGGGAAACTGATCCATTATATGTACACCCCCTCTTGTTCTGTCAAGTGGAGAAATGAGCAGACACCCTTGGCCAAAAAAGCCAGAGTCAAAAATAACCACAGTGTGGATTCCCAGCCAGTGGTAACGATGTGACGGATTGAGCGTGCAGTTGCATGAGTTCTCCAACGGCGGAGGTTGCTGGAGCGAGGACCGAAGCAAAGCTACCCCGGCTCATCACAGGGTTATGGTTGGCTAGCTAAAACAGGCCCGTTCTCTCTGCTACCTCCCTGTTGGGCAAACGAGTAAGTAATGTCGCTGAGACTAATCACCCACATGGGATGAAGATGCAGGTGGAGGACGGGAAGAAGCAACGAGAGGCTGGTAGGAATCGCGCTACTGCAGTGATAGCCCCTTGGCACTGTTCGATAGGCTATCACAACCTGAGCAATTCAAACTGGGTGGGCAGTCGAAGTTCTGACACCCAATCGTCATGGTGCTGGTCACATTGGCGCTAAGGTAGCCGGCCGCGGTTGATCACACACGGGATCTTCCCCCTCTATCCCAGAAAGGCCGCAATCATGGTTAATTTTAGCAAATTAATAATAGAAACACATATCAAACTTCGATTAACTCGCCATGTAAAGCGCCTAAATATTTCCTGAAATAGAGAGTATATGTATCAAGTATAATGTATTGACCGCCTTCATCTACGTACCCTGATCGGGATAGGAAGGTCGGACAATCTTTAGCCAACTTCCAGGGGAAATTGTTGTCCGACCGTGCCTGTCCTTATGTTTGGGCAGCAAGAAGCGTCGCGAAAAATGAACAACCAGATATCTGTTTATAATGTTGCAGAACGGTCCAGTCCAGAAGGCCTGGTGACCATGCTGGCTATCTTTCACCAACATCAGAAACTGTACCTAACTCACGGTCTAGCCTTCTATTGATCTCTTGAGGTTCTATTGAGCCTCCTGAACCTTGTTGTCTGCGCTTGGTAAAGCTGTATCCACTAATATATTATATGATTTGTTTCAAGATATATTGGGAATGTCAATTACCCATTTTGTCATAAGGCGACTCCACAGAACGCAGATCGACTTGATTGTCTTGGACCCACAAGGCTAGGTTTTGAACAATATTGAGTTGTACATAATACCATACGGACATGAAGGCCATTATAGTCTATTCATCCATTGAGCCAATTTGAAGATGGCTAGTAACATGCACAAAACATTCCTACTGATAGCTTCGAGAATCATCAAAATTGACCTGGTGTCTTTTCAATCACTGCATGAAAACGAGGACTTGACACAATCCGCGGATCGGTTTTTTTTAGCTGAAACTCCGATTACCATGTTGGAAACAATTTATTTTAAAGTAGTACAATGAGTTCTTAGATGTCACAGCTCCGTGCGCCCACGTCAATTCAATCGCCGAGTTTCTAAAACAAGAGTTCTTCCTCGCGATGCGTACAGCGCAAAGCTTGTACCAAAACCTCAGAGACTTGAGATTTGAAGAGCTTTACACGAGTACAACTTTAGGACAAGTATTTTTGGACCCAAAATGCAGCCCCTTGGACTCAAGTATCGGGATGTGGCAGCGATATCACTATTGGCAACTTAGCCACAACGATTGGTGACTAAACGTTGCAAATGTAGGTCTTTGTACAGGGCATAAGATTAAATGCAACTTGGTGGTGCATTGGGAGATCATTTAGAAGGCCCCTTCTACCTGCAGGTCCCCAACCCTGACTTGAAAGGTACTTGGGTCTAGGTTGGGTGGTTGGCGAACCGATGAGAGACTCATCGTTATTTGGTCAGTCTGACTGGAAATGGATAGAGAGTTGGTTAATTGAAGCTAATTTGAGTAATTTTAATCCAGAAATAGAATGTGTTGTCAAATACCCATAATTAGAATCACTTAGCTTGCATTATGTGAACCTAATAGAGAACAAATGATGGTTATTAATAGTAAATGAGACCTAAGTAGGCGGGATTAGCTAAAGTTAGAAATAGAAAACTAGGAAATTTCTATGGAAACGGCTACGAAGGTCGAGTTTCTTTTTTGTAGATTGGCGGTAAATTATTGCTAATTAGGATCGAAGCATGCAGGTGCGCTTCGACGGAGCAACGTGATAGTTCCCCCGCTTCTACATCGTCGCACGATTGGCTGTGGATTCTCGTCATGGACTCGGCCCATCCCCCGAACTTGAGGAGACGAAACCAATCAACGCGCAGAAGTGGAAGCTTGGCATGCACCAGCTGCCGCCCTGTCACGATTCGACCCCACTTTATGCATCTCTGATCACCAAATGTGACCACAGACAAAATCAGACCAAACGCAAGAAGCGGTCGCTATTCTGCTAGAATTTGGGTAGAAACATACAGCAAGATAGAAGAACTTGGAGGGTTGTTCAAGAATCGCGTTTTGATACCCGTAGGTCCAGCGTTTTGAGTGATAATAAGGCTTGTTTTTGGAGAGAAAAGCCGGACTCGTGGGAGGCTGGGGTATGGTGGAGCTGATAGAGCAGGCACGCACAGACGATGTGATTGCAAGGAATCAAGCTAAAAAGAACTTTGTGACAGCGTCTCTCATCCTATCAACGACCCTAGCTGTCCTCTATCCCTGGCCAATCGACCCCAGCAGTCATCACACTTTCGGTCTGCGTCGATGCCCTCAACAAGGGAAATGGCCCCACCAGGGACATGTAAATCCACACATGCATGTTAATGAGCAAAAACTTATCCCTGCTGGAAATGATCCCAAATTTAGTGCAAATTAGTGTCATTTGTCAAGCCCGCAGATCTCCACCCGATGTTCATGCTCCTCGGATTACGATCGCCCCCATGCCCATGTACCAAGTCAAAAAATAGAAGCAGTGAGAGCTGCAGACTCAACCTATTAGTCTTTAAAGTCATCATCGTCCTGTTGTTTCAAAGTTTGACGCTCCGCCCCAGGTCATTCTATCGTTTGCTTCCAGTATCTGGTTGTGGATTGTATTCTATCTCTGTGAGATAGATCGAAGAGCAAGGCCTCTTCCCTTCCACCTTTCCTTCTTGCTCGCCCCACTACACTGCTAGCGAGGATCCGAGTTCCGCTGCCGGCCAGCCTTTAATTCAAATTTGCGACTTTCGCCGTCTGTTGACCAGACTTATCTGTTTCTTAATACTCTCGTTATCATATACGCGATCTCTTTCTCTCAGCATGCCCGGTTCGAAGCCTACCCCAACGTTGGCAGCGGCGACGAAGACGACGCGTGCGCCAACCGTCACTTCCACCCATAGCGAGAATGCGAGCAAGACGGCCAACAAATTACACAAGCGATCGCGCTCAGGTGAGGAACTATCTACGCGAGCATTGTGACTATCACATCTTGATTGTGCTATAAATCTAACTCAATGATACCAATAGGCTGCTTTACATGTCGTTTGAGAAGGAAAAAGTGCGATGAAGGCCACCCCTCATGCAAAGCTTGTATCAACCTCAATTTGAAATGCGAGTATAAGCGACCAATGTGGTGGGCCAGTGCGGAGCAGCGGCGGATGCAAAAGGAGCGAGTCAAGAACAAAATCAAACACACCAAGACCCTGGAGAGGCGCGGGTCACAAGGTATGCGTAAAAATAGTCTAGGTCAAGTCATGTATCTGACTTATCCTTTGCACTCAGAAAATGGTGAGCATGCTCATCTTTCACAAACCTCTCCATCGCTCTCTGGGGAAGGTGACTTTATCCATCCGTCGTTTGTCGAGCCTTACGATCCCTTCATCAACAATATGCCAACGACCGCATTTCCAACCCATGCTTACCCAGCCCATTACGCTCCTTACGAAATTGACGTTCGCACTGAGCGCCAAACGTTTGTTAATGATGTCCCTCTGCGACACGACTCTTCTGTCTCTACATATAGTGCGATGGGCCCACCACAGCTTCACGCTACGCTCCCTACCTTCCATGGAGACGAATGGTTGAAAGAGGAGTGTTTTAATCAAGCTGGGGTATACGGGCCCCTGGATCCCTCGATTGTCCAGCACAACAGTTATTCCATGGCACCACATATAGACACTGCAGCTATTCCTGTCGATGAGCATGATCGCGCATTCCTTGATCACTTCGTCGAGAACGTCCTACGAATGATTTTTCCAATTATCGAGGTTCACCAACTCGGTGCCGCTCGCGCGAGATCAATTTTGCATTCGCTTGAAACGAACAAATCTTACCTCCATTGTTGTCTGAGTGTTTCGGCAATTCACCTGAAAACCACAGTGGGCCTAAGTGCAGAGCAGATTGATCATGATATTATGCGACATCGATACGAAGCGATTGCCCAGTTGTGCCAGGCTCTCAATCATGACACCGAACATGAGCAGATTCTAGATGCGACTCTCGCCATGATTTTCTTCCATTGCTCAGTCGGAGCACCTGATGACTGTTTGCCAGACATTCCATGGGACGATCATTTCCAAGCGGCTTCAAATTTGGTGAACCGGCTAGAGCTGCCAAGCTCCTCCGTTCGCACGGCTGATTCTGGCGTAATTACGCCTTTCAGTATGACAATGACTACTTGGATTGACATCCTCGGTGCAACTATTCTCGGGAAAACACCACAGTTTGCTCATTCTTACCGGTCCAAGCACCTCACTGGTACTCCGTCTGGCCTGCGCGAGTTGATGGGATGTGATGACAGGATAATGTATCTCATATCTGAGATTGCCTGCTTGGATTCATTGAAGCTTGAAGGGCGTATAAATGAGCTTACTCTCTGCCAACATGTTTCTGCGCTTGGCGCACAACTCGAGCATACCGAGCCCGCCGATCCAGCACTTGGGCACCCATACACGCCTAATGGTGCTTTCCGGCCTGATATCTTGACAAAGTCTATGAGCACAATATTCCGCATTGCGGCCCGGATTTATCTGTGCAGCCTTGTTCCTGGCTTCGATCGAAATCAGCCCAGCAATGTGAACCTTGTTCTAGCTCTTACAAGCGCGCTCCAGTTCATTCCAGCTGGCCCCTACGGTTTCGACAGGTCGCTGGTATGGCCCTTGCTTATGGCAGGTGCATTTTCAACCCCCGAAAGCTCGTTTCGCAGCGTTCTCGAAGAGAGAGCAGCAGCTTTAGGAGAAATTGGGGACTTTGGTAGCTTTGGCCGAATGTATCGTGTGTTGCACGAAGTATGGCGCCTGTCGGACGACTGCTCCACTTCTGAGCCTGTGGCAACGGAGCAAACCCATGCGAGCGGCTTGGGCTTCAAGCAAGAAAGCTCCACTTCTCCAGAGCTGGGAAGTCCAGGAATGCGCTCCATCAAAAAGCAGAACGTGCATTGGCGAGATATTATGCACCGCAACGGCTGGAGATATCTGTTACTGTAAGCTGGAGATTTTATCGTATGAGACTTGCTCGACCCGGTGCAGTTATCCTCTGGATTTGCAGATTGCCTATCTCACGCAAGAGGGTGTTCATGGTTATGGGTCTTTTTTTGCGCTTATTCTATTCAACTTGTTTTTATCCGCTCGTTTGGGAGTTTGTCTTTTTGTAGGGTTTGGCCTGCTCAAATTCAGTGATGGCTTGCTAACAATGAAGAGCAACATTGTCATGCGGCGTGTAGTTTGAGTCTATGCATTATACCACTATCGTTTTTACCTATTACAGGATTCATAGATGCAAATCGATGCTTGACATGGATGTCTTTCTTCGAAATATTTAAGATAAGATTGGGCTATTGAGTAGAAGACAGTCACCTATAATCCAATGATTCACGTCGTGGGACCTCATATGACGTTAGTCAGTTACCGCTGGAAAACCACAGAAATATAATCCTCCTCTTCCGGGCCCAGCCATCAACTGCTACTCATGGCTATGCTATACACTATGATGGGATAGCTGGGTCGGGTTGCCTGCTATCGATACCTGTATCACTATCGCATATCTCGGTTATCCGCTGTCTTGACCAATTTTGTTGCTTTTGCTTCATTTGAGCTTCGTCTCGTCCATTTATGCTAGACTGTCGTCTACTTACAAACTTCCAAGCGTCATCAAAGTATTAGCTGCAAAGGCCTTGTCGAAACTCTTTAAAATGACAGGCGAATGTGGAATCTGTCTGTCGAACTTTAGGCTTGAATCATTGCCGTTACCTTCCAGTGCCTATTCTTAATGACAATTCTCGAAAATGAAGAGTCATTAGTATGCCGTAGTAGCATAAAAAGGAGCAAAAACTCAACATGTTGTGTGAATAGTGGCACGGAAGAAATCAAGAGTTTGTCAAGCGTACGAAAATATTGACAACACATAATCTCATACCAATACCAGACAGGAGATCTTAGATAGATCCACGGTCTCTAGAGAGGCAAATTTGCTTCAAATTGAAAACTTCCCGATGTGCTATTTTCATTTATAAAAGTATCTCTTACTCATCATTCAACACGTAATTATGTACCATGGAAGACCATATCTAGGACCAGGGCCACCAAAGGCAAGTGCATGTAAACCGCTCATCCTTACTAGTCAAGGAGCAAAATCACTTTGGCTGTCAAATATATTTCTTATATGAAATAGGACTGCATTGCTGGATGCACAATATAGAGCAGGTATCAGTAAAAGATCAACTCCCTGAAACTTCGAGGGGTAGATTGGCGCCGAGGAAGTTCCGTTCCGGAATAAAGACTATTTTAAGACTTCAGGGGGGGTATAAGGGTCGAGCTTTGAATAAGACTCTGGAAAAGGAGTGCTAATCCCTGGTTCAATTCGAGAGAAACGGCTCTTCTGTGTCGAGCTTGACGCCCAAGGGTCTATACTGAAAGCCCCCACTGGCTCTGAGAATCCGACTATTGGACCTTAGAGCAAGTCAAGAGGCGCCCAGAACCCGCACCTATGTTAGCCTGCACCTTTGATCTAAACCTAGATATTTGAGCTTGGTTCCCCTGGGAACGGATGGGGATAATTGCTAGAACGCGAAACCGTAGCAGCTCCTCTGACTGGTCTAGTAGCAGAAGAGAGAGGTTAGTTTCCCCTTGTAAAAATCGAAGCCCATCGCAACCAGTGCCGCAAACAAATTTTGAGCAACGTAGTAAGCCTGACCTATAATGAAAAAAAATTTTCAAAGCGTTGTCTATTGTAGTCAAAATCAGTAAAAGCAAATCTCACCTATCGGCAAGTTGTATCACAGCTAGGGCTCTTCCTACCAAGCCTGCAGAGGAGACGGAATCCAGCACTTTAATTTTCGGAGATTTGAGTACATGATACAATCAACAAGAGCCTATATGCACTTCTGGACACAGGGTCGACTGTTTACCGCTGAATATACCCTGAGTAGTTCGGGTGTGGATGGAACCGCTGAGTTTTTGAAGAGCAACCGCGCGCTTTAGTCAGAGCGAACCACAATAAGTGAGTAAGCCAATGTAGCTTTAGGCGGTGATCAAGATGAAACGTTCTAGTTGCCATGTCTATTGTCTCATGGGCCAGGGCGGGAGTTCCAAGCTGCAAGGGTTGTGTCAGATGGCGCCCGACAAGTGCAATTAAACGCCGATCAGACTCCTGTCTCCAAGCCACGCGGCTGGAAGGGGAATGAAGGAATGATTTAAGACTCAGGAAGAGACCCATTCGCAGCTCAACAGACATTCATTCCCTCACGGACCACACGAGGCTCGCAATCATCAGCTGGACTGGTTCTTGCACCCTTGGCTTGCCTACCTTTCAATATACAAAGCCCTTCACTCGTTCCTTTCATACTAAAGGTATTCGTGAGATTCTACCGATCGAATATTATTCAAAGCAGGTTCGTTGATGTCTCTCTCCCATGCAATGCTTGAAACCCGAAGCACTGCCCCCTTCCCACCGGTGTGTCAGCTCAGCGATAGGCATACAGACTAACTCTTTTCTCCCTAGCCAGCCTTTTTCAAGATCACATTACATACCTCGTTTCGTATCGATACCGTCTGGCACGGCGATACTGTATTTTACACGTCGTCTGTTCCATACATTACCTGCCTTCATCGTTGTTGCCTTACTCCGCTCTCTTGATCAATCCTGGTCCGTGAGGTCGCTCGCTGCGCCCAAGTTGGGGGCCCTCTGTCTTGTGCCACGACTAGTCTGTTCGACTCTTTGAGTAGCTAGTCAAAACTCTACTCTTTCCTATTTACTTTCCGCTCTTATAACCCCTCAGCCCTCTCATTACACCTCCCGTTCTCTATTGCACTCGTTCTTGTTCCCAGGTTTTGCGCACACGCTCCCCACCTGTTGCATTACCTTGATTGTTCCCCTGCACACCATTCTTCCGAAAGCTATTCTTGCAGTTTCATTCAAAACTGCCCACTTCATCTTTTGTCCCTGGCAGTATGGCGCCGCAGAAACCGTTCCTCTATCCTCTCAAGACGCCGAAGTCACACACGTTCCCATCTGAATTATACGACGATCTTCCAAGCAGCCGATCGGATTCCATTAAGCGGGAAGATGGAAGCGCAACACCCATGACGCCTCTTTCATATACACAGTTCCTTGAAAAGCATGCGTCCGCGGCATATAGCCCATCGAGCGCTGGGGCGGAATTTCCAAAGTTCAATTTCGAGAAACGGCGTCCATCGCCAATTTCGGTTCCTTCGAGTGCCAGCACCAACGCCCCTCTTTCCGCATACGAAGGACCCAAGACCACAAGTGCCACCATGCCATCTCCCTCTCCAATCGCTGCTAGCCCACGATCTGCAAGACTCCCAAATACTTTACGACGTCTACGAATTCCTACCACTTGCGTTTACTCACCCATCACCGACTCGCCTCGAAGTGCCCGCACCATACATTCTCCATTTTCCCCGTCAGACTGGAAAATTCGATGCATCGAAACTCCTCGAAGTGCTGGAGGGAAATCTGTTAGCGTAAGGCAAGTTGTGACGCGAACTGTGACATATAAGCGCACGCACCTGGAGCCTCCTCCCAAAGGCAAGAGGAGAAAATCAAACGATTCACAAGAGGCTTCGGATGGGCCTAAGCCTTCAAAGTCCCCTCGGCACTGAGGAACATATTTCTTTCCTTATTCTTGTTCTTCGGACAGCGTCTACCGCATTTCATCGTCTAGCTTACGTCTTGCTCTTACAATCTTGAGCTGCTCCGTGATATTTTGTCACATGCTATTGTTAGATTGATCTGCATGGTTTATTATGACGATTCTTGGTGCGGGAATCAATCTGCAGCTCCATTCTTAATCTTGTTTTCTTTGCAAGCGGTTTCCTGCTAGGCGAATTGGCTCGGTCTTTGGCTCGGTCTGGAGGAAACGGAGTTTTTTTGAATTTAGGTTGATTTTACCAAAGTTACGTTCTGCTTTCTGAATAGCGGCGAACACACCAAATATATCTGCCCTCTTACTTGCGAGGGAAGTTTATATGCTTGACTTTTCTCTATGACTGGCCTTCACCTTCCCTTTTTTTCTATTAGAGATGGGGTCATATATAATCATTCTACACCAAACTCTTTCTTACACTTCCATTGAGGCTTGTCCAGGTGCAGGTCATGGTATTGAGGCCATTTCAAATTCTAGGAAAACCAACACCGATATTGTGACACGGACCCGTGATAGAAGACCGCTGCAGGCCAATCTAGTGCGGGTTCAACTAGCCCGGGTCTAAGAATCTCTAAGAAAGTCGTGCTTGCATAGCGCAGTGACCACTCTGAAGGTGGCCCTATTTCAGACCCCAACGTCCAGAGCAGACCCGAGCGGACGGTTCCTTCGGAGCCTCCCCACGTGTAAGCCGCATTAGATGTTGGAGGCACTACCGTAAATGTTAAAAAACCAACAATAACTCAAAGCAGGAAGAATTCTATTCGTAGTGTCATTCGAGCTAATGCACATGTGTCCGTATATTCCGAGAGGCTCAGGTAGTGGGCTGGACCTATTGTTCGAGGCAGTTTTGCTCTCTTGCTTTTCGCCCCAATTGAAGGATCAATTCCACCCAAGCCAGCATGAGCCAAACACCGCGGGGAGGACTATTATGGCTCATACCTCCCCCAGGATTGGAACTACTACGCGCTGGATCTTTGGGAGAAAAAACTACTTTCGCTCTAGATGGCAGTCCCCTTCTCATAGGCTGGTAGATACCGCGGACCCAGAATTTGGGAACCGGAACGCGTTTAGATTGCTCCTATCAAGTCGCATAGGGCAGGCTTTCACGTTCCCAGGCTTCAAGTCCCGGCACCTCCTAGGTGAACAAAATATCACAGGGCATACAATGCCGCAAATAAGGAACAGAGGGCTGTGCTGTGTACAAAGCTCTGTCTCGGCAGCTTCAAGGCCAGTAGCATCGGGGCAATGAGTCGTGGGACCGAATCATGGCGCCTATGTGGTGCGCCACATATCTACAATCGTGTCTACCTTAGGCAACATACCTAATATATAACAATTTTGCACGCTGGCATAGTTTCCGTTATGGAGCCGCGCGACTCTCATTTTGGGACCAACCGGAGAAAAACGTGTAAAAATGGCTAAAATCCTTCGAGAGAAATTGATGCATCTACTACTTTCAGATGAGAGAAAGTAAAGGCACGGACCTAAGAGCGCATGATAATGGGCCACCACTGTGGTCAGCTTGCCTAGATCATATGAGTCTAACAATACTTGTAACACCAAGAAGACATGCATTCGTAAATACGTGGTCGCGATCCGACTAAGGTGTTTTATGCGGTAGTTTGAGTCGGCGTATTAGCATGGAGTCAACACGCCAAGTCAAACAACGATCGGGTGTACTCAGTTTTCCTCTATGATCAAACATGAGAGATAAACAGATACATGGAATTTCAATGATGACCCAAATTTCTGCATCGTATCTATCGGTCGAGGCGAGTACTGTATAATAGCTTATACTAATCACCATGTGCCTGGATAGACCATCCTGCAGATTGTATTGTAATGTGGGGACGGGGAACCGTAATATTTCATACCCTTTACCGTGTATGTAAAGGCAAGACCGAGCCATATAAACGTGATTCGAGGTAAACCCCTCCAATAGACCCGAAATTCTCATCTCACCTTCATTTATCCTAATTTATCATAGCATGGTATGCCTTGTGACTACCAGACAACCTTTCCTCCTGACAACGAATCCTGAAGTGAAAAAAGGAGCTCAATGGTAAGAGCGACAAAAAAACCAAACAAGCCCCACCTATATGCTATACCCAATCATCAATCACATACTCGTGGTCCGCATGAACAACCCGCTCATCAATCTCATTTAAGCGCCGGCGCTATTCCTAATCATATCTAGTGTGCGTGCTGGGAAGCAACATAGCGACTCTGCAAAACCATTGGCGGTGTGAGGTGGGGCTATCACTAGGAGATCAGCCTGTTGAAGTAGTGCTTCAGCTCTCATCTCTCCTGAAGAGACTATTTGCCTATGAGCGCATTCCACTTGTTCCCACACGGATCAAATGCTATTTTTGGGCAGTAACACGAATTTCGTCTTCGCTAGTGTGACAGACACCGTGATTTCTCTGCTCTATGTGCTTCCCATCCCAATTCTGACCAATGACTGCTCAATGGCCTTTAAGTCGGGAATCGACTCACGAATTCCGGTGGTCAAGGCTCACAGTGGAACTGTTGAAAATGACTAGTTCTAGGCATGATAATGCTTTAGTGATATTTACACAGGATGATCTTCGTTGACGCCTATCCTATAGAGACACAATGGTCTTGTAGTGGGGGGTCACCGGATACCTAGTATCGGTCTAAGGTATGTAGCCGAATTGACCTGCTAAATGTACCTAATGCATACTATGGTTTCAACCCACTATATTGACTCCGCGCGGTAATTGGAATGCATATATGGACTGCATACGGAGTATAGGTCTTTCTTTCAATTACTCTATTCCCTGAATACACTGTATCTTATCTTTCGAATATGATCTGGAGGCGCGATCTAGTAGTAGCCCCTGTAAAAAGCAAACCTAGGTCCTTCACACACGTGCGCTTGAAACAGTACCGTGCTCATGTCCACATTTAAAAACGTGATATCGTACATTGTGTTACTTTTGAGATATCATGAGCTGTGTGGTTGTCTCCATGATGCCACGAGAGGCGACAGACGCGAATATATAAGCAAATCACGCAGTATATCTCTTCCTGCTTGATGAGCCCCACAGACCGGAGATGGTACAATTCATACTTTAGATACTTCGCTCCTCCTCTAAAATAGTCGGTCAAGTGTGACTCTGTCAGACATCCGCTCTTGAGAGAACATAGGGTAAACATTACCATACCACTAAGCGTGGGGGTTAACCCTGCATCATATCATCCCTTGCCTAGGAGCCTTTTTTTCGAACTAATGCATGTCCCCTACCTCGTCGGCCCACGAAACAGAATAAAGGTTCTTCAGACTGTGCCGTGAATCCGATTGGTCTAGCTTCAACCATGTGTGACTTTCTAAGAAGACCACGTCCACTCGATATCCTAGTTTCTTCCGGTAGTCACGGATCAAATCTAGAAATGGTCAACCTTCTACTCCAAGCTCACTATTCTTAGGATCTGATGGACACTCTGGTTTTATTTATAGATTTTGCTACCCGCTTTTCATGCAGTATGCTCTCGTATGTCTGCTCTCTCCGCTACTTAATCTTCGTGATATACTTCGTTCCGCCACCCGCCCCCGCCGGGATGATATTCCCAGGATGAACTACAACCACTTGATCACACTGAAGCAGGCTGATCGGCCATCCAGCCAACCTTTGTCTCGAGGAATCTTCGTGTCATTTTACACAGGTATGTCTCGTTCTGAAACCCTGATTTGATTTCCAAGCCGTCTGAGGTATCATACAGTATCATACCATGACGATGACTATCTTCTTCCTGGATTTCAACCCCTGAAGCTGGTTCTAATATTGGATATTACTATGGATACCTATTATTATCACTCCCAGGCTGACTGTCATAATAGTTAACTTTGGCATGTTCCGTGTCTCGAATGAAGACCGCTTCTGTAGGCTACGAACAACACGCCTCTAAGACCTACACAATCCAAGTGAAATACATAGCCTTGATTGGAGGTTCTGGAGACTGCAAATTTGTGGCCAGAGTTGCTAAATTCGATTTATTACCCAAATAGAGATCATGGGCCGAACCATGCCTTGCAAGCAATAAAGCTCTCTGCCTTCTCATTCCTAACATAGAGCACAATGATACCCATGATCATTATATCTAAGCAAGCGCACATATTCGCCATTTACATAGACATGAATTACAAACCTTTCATATGGCTGAGTAGCTCTATCTGCTGAAATAGCCATTGGCCCTCTCAGTCTACAATTTGTGTACACGAAAGCCGAAGTCCTTGAGACCACGTTCTTTGAGGGTCCAGGGATTCCAGGGGCTTCTCCACAGATATCAAATTTTAGACCAAGCGATGCGGACGGGCTTGCATGTAGGTCACATCATATCACACTGCATCTGCCAAAAATAGACCCTTCGAACTGGTGCGGGGTCAAGGGTTATTTCGAAATCGAACCATGGATGAGTATAAGCCCAAAGTAAAGACACAGATTTTACATTGATAGAAGACTGAGTAGGAATGAGGAAGAGTCTGATTCCTTCAGTTCATTCATTTCAAATGAAAGACTAAGTAGCTGGGGGATACAGAATGAAGAAAGAATGGCACCGCTGTGGATACTATATTTAGAGGCGGGGCAGAGAGCCACGATAGAGCTGGATCGTGTTGCCCCTGCAAAGATGGACGAATAACATTGTCGAGATCATGCTAGGCCTTCCCCCAAATAGACTAGGGTGGAATCCCAGCCGCCCTCGCCCTTCATTGAAGGCGCATAGAGAGAGAAAGAGACATTCCTACAGTAGAATCCCGTGATCGGCCCGCCCGCTACTCTTCCCTCACGCTCTCTCACCGCGAGAGCCCGTTGCACCTCCCCATCCAACTCAGCCAGGTTGTCACTTGCGTGTACCGCTCCTATCTGTCCAGCGGTGCGTCATCCTAAGCCTGTTGCCGAGTCCCCCGAATCCGTGTTCCGTGCGCACCTCCCCCCAAGCCTCGAGAGCCTCCAGTTCTGTTTTCGATGTCTTGCTCCACCATGGCTCAAGCACCGCCCATCTTCACCCCAGATAGCGAGTTCGCCGATCTGGAGACGCCACGCGGTCCCAATAGCAGCAGCCTGTCTATATCTGCACTAGCACGATTCGAGTTCGAGGCAGGCAAGGGTAATGAGGGCACAAAGATCTTGATGATCGAGTGGGAGGATGACGACCTGACTAGATCTGCGGCGGAGGGGTCGTGGCATGTCTCATGGACGGGCAAGACCACCGTCCTGCCCGCTGATGATCGGCCTAGTGATAGCCTTCGCCGGTTCTACTTCTTGCTTCCTCCCCAGGTCACCATCCCACCAGTCGTCACGCTCACCTATGAACCTCGGCCCTCAGACAAGACTGAGAACGCGTCAATTCCCCCTCCAAACCCTCGTGATACCTTCCAATTGAACCCCCTGCCGGCGATCTTCCCCCCAGAACTGGGTGCGACGGGTCGCTCAGCCGGAAAGAAAGGAGTCCTACATACAATCTGGGCGAAGAAGCGCCTGCGCGTCTTGGATCAAGAGATCCGTGATGAATGTTTGAACAATGCCGAGGGAGTTGCATTGCACATGGCAGTCAAAGAAAAGGAATGGATAGAGACAAATTTCGGCGTCACGGCGCGCACCGTCGACGCCGTTGCCAGCAGCCACGACTCGTCAACCTCGAATTCCATCTATCCCACTGGGCCAGCTACACCGGTGTCGCCCATCAGCGGGAGGAAATTGTCCGATAAACTGAAAGGACTGAAACTGCAGACCAGCGAGAAAGATTTATCTGCAAATGATAGTGAGTCTTCTGCTGTCACTGGCTCCTCGAATCCAGAACTGACATCAGCAGACTCGGGCCCAAACTCAGCGCACCTTCTCTCTCCACAGTCGCCTGATGTCGCCGTTTCTTCATTCAGTTCATTTAGCAATATCGCCAATGTCCCGGCAAACTCCATCCCAACTCCAGTGACTAATCCTACCCCGACTCCAAACTCACGTACCAACCCTGCGGGTTCTGAGTTGCCCAAGGCTGTTGCTCTGCATCCCCCCGAGTCCCTGCAGGAAGTTCAGCAAAATAGTAGCCCTGGAGGATTTGCCGCAATTGGTTCCATGACAAGCATTGCCCGCACCTCAAGCACCGACTCTGGCGAGGATCTCTTCGCCAAAGCGCTGAGCCCGCGGTCTCCCGATCTACCTCGGAGCCCATTCTCACTTGCTTGACATTGTCACATATTTCCCTTGCTTCCCTCATTGTTATGCCCTCCCCATCATTATAACCGTCACGATTTGCCTTACCTTATGATTCCCCCTCTGCGGTGTGACGACATATACCATCATTCCACTCATCGTCTCCATGATCTTCGAGATACATTTACGGTTGCGGTCCATCCCCTTATGTCCATATCCACGAACCCCTTTTCTGCGTCCATTTTCTCTAGCATCTTCATTCATATCATTCGTACAAAAATGCTATCATACTGTGCTGTGCCATCATGGACCTGTCTGTGTACATAGAACAATCTCGAATCCATCCGTCTTCGAGACATTACTTTTCTCATTGCTTGTATACCAACCAAGCGAACATTTTCTCCTTTTGCTACGGATTCCGTATTTGTATAAACTCCTTTGCCGTGGGCGGGAATAAAACATCCATACGCACCCACACGAGACAAAGTAAAAACCGCCAACCACCATCCCCCAATAAACCCAAGATTGTTTCGAAAACAAAAACAAGAGTGAAACAAGAGAACAAGAAAAAAAAACAAAAAGAGTACTAGAAACTTCTAGTTACCCTTCTTGCGCTGGCTAGCCTGTCGACCAGGCTTACCAGCCGACGAACCAGAAGTAGTCGCCGAAGCCGCAGCCTCACCCTCATTCTTCTTCTTCCCCGCCGCAAGCGACTCATACTCCTGCGCATCCTTCCGCTCCGCATACCACTGGCCAGCCTGCAGAACCAAAATGCCGACCAACACCAGCGCCAGAATCGTATTACTAGCAGCAAGGACCTTAAGCGAGTCCTCGCGGCCCAGAATCTGATCCTTGTCCTCGGGGGTAGTCGCCAGCTCGGCGCCGTACTGGCCGGCGGAAGCGAGACGCAGACCCTTGACGATGTTGGCGATGTAGACGGTGATACCGCACATGTACAGGACGAGCGAGGCGCCGTCGAAGAGCATGTTTGATTCAGAGGGGCGGTAGAGCTTGGTTATTAGGCCTGCGAGGCCGAGGAAGATTACGATGTGGAGGATGCGCGGGATGAGAGGGGGTGAGGCGTGGAGGAAGCGGAGGTGGGCTTCGAAGTAATCAAAGTGTGAGGCTGGGGTTGGGGTTGTCGACCACAGGATTGGGTAGTCGTAGGGGAACATGGAGAAGATGATGCCCAGGAAGAAGCATGTTGCTGGAAGGTTGGACTGTTAGTGAATGGGGGTCTTGTTCTCTTGTGTCTGGGGAGTGCTCGTGAGCGCGCTGAGTTGAGGCCTTGGTGGCCTCAGCGCAATTGGGAGGGGTGTAGGACGGGAGCTTACGGCATAGGATGAGGAAGGTCGCGAACGACCCGCTCTTGAAGGCCATTGTGAAGGATGAGAGGAGGATCTGATCGGAGCGAACGGAATGAGGGAGAAAACAGGAAAGAAGGAAACAGGGGGAACCCGTGAGGAGAAGGACGTGAAGGTTATCGCTAAGCGGTTGCCAAGGCGCCCCGGAAAGTACGGGTGGTCCGAGATAAGGCTAGACACGGAGAAGGGCGATAACCAAGAGAGTTACAGAGTTTAGCTTATAGTTTTAGTTATGTCAACGCTTCCACGCTGATAGGTAGATTTCTGAAAAAAGTAACATCGGCACGAGAGAAAGTTTTATGGTACATTTGAGGCTCTCAACGCCGTAGTCTTCAACCAGCGCCATGTGACTGTGTAAAATATGCGAATAGTGGTATCTTCCAGAAATATCCCGGCCCCAAAATGCAGAATGTACAAGAAATAAAATAGATGGAATGAGAATCGCCGAATGAAATGATCCCGTCATCATCGCTGATACCGAGGTAGAGACTCGTCCGCATGCGCCGTGCCGCCCACCAATTGGTCATCTTCATCAAAGTTGGGTGCCGTAGGGGCAGATGGTGCCTCGCTAGGCTCGCCATTTTCTTCTTCGGGAGGAGCACTAGGGGCACTGGTCTGTTGCATAAGCCGTTGTCGCTCGAGCTCCTGCTTGTCGTCTGCGGCCGTCGGGGGTTCACTGGGGCCTGCGACATGACCATTGGCAACGACAACCGTCTGTAACGATTCAGCAGACCGCACGACATGCGGCACGCCATTGGCAACCGGTGACGGTAGATGCTCGTAGTCTTGCAGGTGGTGGTCGTCAGGCAAGACTGGCGCGGTCGGCACAGCTACTGCCGCATTGGATGGCCCTGCCTCTTCTTCCTCTGGTGGTTGGCTGGGCAGAAGAGCTTCTTCATGGCGTCGTAACCTGGCTTTTTCATCTGCAGGCTCGTCCACCTCCGGATGCGCCGTCATTGGGCCGTTCGGTTGGAACGATTGTGAGTAATCCTCAGGATACTCTGACCAATAGCCCTCTTGGGGGAAACCGTAGTCGTAATCTTCTTGGCCGCCATAGTCAGCATGGGAGGTTGGCATTGGGCTTGCTTCGGGCCACTCTTCTCCATCAATGGGATTGACTAATGCAGAATGAGCTTGAGGTGTCGGATGTGATGCGGTCGAGTCGGCAGCCATGGATGGCGTGCGTTCAATAGTAGCTTGGCGACGCTGAGTATCGCGTGTTCCAACAACAACTTCAAATGCCATTGAAACGACACCTTTCTCTCGGCGAATCTGGTCCGTGTCTAGGATATTACCAGCCCAGTTGGCCGTGATGCCACTTCCGTTGGCATCTGCCGGGTTAAGGATTTGACCGCTGGGCGAGAACGTGCTCCCACCAGAGACCATATTGAACCGCGGGATAAACCGATCGGGGGAAGTGATTTTGCCTCGCAGGTCTACCACGACCTCGACATAATATCGAAAGTTGATCATTGCACCGGGCACGCGAGTGATAGTGGGGAACGCGTCTTCGGGGATTCGAATGGATGTTTTGACAATTGCGGTCATGTTGCTCGGGTCCACGATCAGCGGTGCAAATGTCTGCGACAGATCCTTACGGAACGTGCTGCTGGTTCGACTTGTGCCAAGAGTCAATCCACCCAGGCCAGTCCTTGAGCGTGGATAGCAGTCCTCATAAACAGGTTTCTTCCCGGCGGCTGTATTACCGATAGGAATCGCTGGGTGCATATCAATACGGCCCTGCCGGTAGAGAGTAACGATGATGCCGTGCGCGCTGCGCACTTGCTTGCAATGGTTGATCGTAACTTTAATGGGCAAAGTATCACCCGGTAGCACGCCTGCGCGCAAAACCTCGGCCTTTGCGGTAATCGTCTTATCTGATATTGAAGGGGTCGCACTGCGACCTTCACTATTTCGGCCTCCGGTGCTTGTCGAGGAGCCCGGGTCGCTCACAATCTGAAAGCTTTGGCTGCTCTCACTCGGACGGCTGGAGGAGCTGACATTGCTTGGGGAGGGACTGAGAGGCGGACGATTATCCACCGACCCAGCCGCACCGCTGACGGGGGTATCTATAGAGGCGGAATCCGGTGCTGCAGTCGCGTCGGAGTTTATTGACTTGGCTTTTGCCTTGGATTTGGAGCGCTTCGAAATCGGTTCAAGCGTGACAACGCGGGCTTTGGGCGCGGGAAAGGGTGCAATATCAATATTTTCGAGGAAATTGACCCGTCTTCGGCAGGATATTGTAGGGTTCATGGTTGTCGGTCGGGTGAGGGTTGATGTTAAAGCATATCCAATGGTACCTCGTTCAAACTAGATGGACACGTTAGTAGTGGTCAGGTTTGATCAAACGGGAGAGGAAAGGGAACGCACGTTGAGACTGCTGGGCAGGGCATATGGAGGCAGCCCCATTTCAAAGCGGAACTTGTAGATTCCCTCTTTGAGACGGCCATCGCCACAGAGAACAACTTCATCTTCGAACAAGGTGGCCAGGCCATTGCCCATATATTCAGCACCTCGCCGGCCACGGCCCGGTCCAAGAAATCCCAAATCGGGAGCCACTTCGCCGGCCGGGACCGCGTTCTTGAAAACCTTCACGTATCCATGCAAACAGACCACGATATGTGTAATGCGAACCGGCCGCACAACCGTCACAATGACAGTGCCTTTAATCACATCTCCGGGAAAATATGAGCGCCACGGGTCATCGGGATCGATATAGAAGTCGGTGATGCTGCGATTGCGATTGCCAAGTGGGGAACGGAACTTGGAGAGAAAGGAGCTGCGATTCCGACTGACCGGCGACGGAGAGGTCTTGATGGGAGGGAGAGAGGACATGACACACTGCCGCTATCCTGCTTCATCCATACAATGTGGCGGAGAAAGGAGGGAGAGAGGGGGAGATCGGAGGTGGGAGGATCGGATGGGGGGTCGCAGATCGACCGATACAACGATAAAGGCCCCTGGCGCAGTATGCGAGTATGGCGATATAATATTCACACAGGGCGGGCCGGAAATGCCGTGAGCGAGTCCAATCGAGTGGCCGGGACTCTTTTTTTCTTCGAGTCGTCCTTATCGTCGAGGGGGAATCTGGGCTTCAAGACAGAGCGTCTACTGTACAGGGCACGGTCCGATTCCAAACGCCACGGTATGTGTCCGTGTTCCACGGCACGCAAGAGATTCCCCGAATCCAAAGAACGGAATGGGAATTATGACCAAGAGCCCGCGGGCCACATTGTTTCGCGGCGACGAAGCGCAGAGCCGGGGATCGAGAGTCCACCCCCACTAGGCACGCGCGCGTGGGAGGTTCTATAGAGGGCAAAGGTCGCGGAGTCGATTGAGGACCGAAATCACCGAGATCGTGTTTTGGGGGGAAGAGCGGGGAGGGAGAGCTAGAATGCGAGTCGTGGCGTGAAGGGCGAGACGGTCGAGTATCTCACGAGGGTAGGTCGAGGTCGAGGCGCGACAGGAGATGGAATGTGGGTCTTGGGAGTGTGGCGCAAGGTCCCGGGTTGAGAGGAGAGGAGGAACGAGAGGTGGTGAGCGTGGCAGTGGTGGGTGGGGGGAGTAATAGGGTGTATTGGATGGTGGTAGTAAGAAGGCAGGAGGAGAGGGGAGAATGATCACGAAGGGATGGGAGAGGAGAGAGAGGGAAGAGTGAATAACGGAGCAAGATTAGGCAGAGAAGGTCGGTCGAGGCCCAGAGTAGGAAGAATAATGGTAGGAGTCACAAGTTCCGACTAGTGAGTGAACTACTAGCGTAGTCCAGGACTTAAGGGAGAATGAGAGGGAGAGTTTGAAGATAAGCCAGCGTCTTCCCCCCGGGCGGAGAACGGAGACTGGGCCGGATGGGCTTCCATTCGCGTGTCGCACGGTCAAGCTTCTCTTGGTGGCTCAGGAGTCAGACTAGTTCCCTTTCCGGGCAATTCGGAGGGATTATCATGATTATCATGGGTAATCACCCTGATTATCAACCCTGATTCTACGCTTTCGGTACCCGATTATATCCCGTGGACTTGGACAAGGCTCAATTTCTGGGTTTCATCCTGGAACACTATCCATGCTAAGCTTTTCGCTCATACCCGAGGGACCCGGAGGAACCGGCTATCATGAAGAGAGCCTCTCTCTCGTACTCGCTCCTCGTTTCTTCTTCCCAAAGCCAATTACTACTCGCTGGCAGCCGGGTGGCTTGTCCATTATTACACACACACACGTTCGTTCAGCCTCACAACTCTTGTAGGCCCTCGCCGTCCACGTATTCGACTCCGTAACATTCGCGCAGAATCGATTCAACAACTTCCCGGTCTCCACCGGCCAATCTGCGCAGATACTCCTCCAGCACGTAAATATTATCGGTCCACTGAAGCGCCTCCTGCCGGAACCCCGCTAGCTCCGTCTGCAGCTGCTGCACGCCCTTGTTGTTCACCGAGTCAGTCGCAGAGGTCTCTGCAGCCCGGAGTCGGCGAATTTCGTCTTCAAGGTCGGCTTTCTTGCCTTGCAGGGTCTCTCGCTCTGCATCGCAGCTGGTATCGTCGACTTCCCGTTGACGCTGCATCATTTCAGCGGCCAGGCCCGCCTCAGTATCGGTGCAGGATTTCCGGGCTTTCTCCACATCCGTCTTTACCCGGGCCAACTGGCGCTCGCGGTCGTGCTTTTCATCACTTCCGAAGCTCCAGTACCAATTCCCGCTGCCGATCTTTTCGACTCGTAGTTTGTTTTCATCGGTGAGTGCCTGGATGTATTCTTTGACTTGGATGCTGTTGATCGAGGCCACACTGGGAAGCACTTTTTCCAGATCTTTCAGCGTATGACAGGTGCCAGTAGCGCGTAGGTGAGTCAGAATCAGATCCTGCTTGTCACTTTTGGAAAGCTTGGGCGGCTGGATTGGGCCAAGGACGCGTCAGTAGTCTTGGAGTTGGTGTAGTGGGTGTCTTTAGTCCCCAAGAACTTCCCCCCAATCACTCATCAAGCATCCCAGGCAAGAGACCTCGTAGTGGGGGGTTACGTACCATGATGTCGTCCCGCTGGGGACTCGTGGTCCACAAGGCTTCTTAACGAGATCAGCCTTTCCGTGGTTCAAAGTCACTGAAGCTTAATCAACCGCGGACTTTTCCCGATGAGGTAGATCTGAGAAGGCCAAGCATTCGACAGTGGAGGCTTGGAGGAAAGCCAAGTTGGACGGCGTCGAACCTCATCACCTGCCGTTCAGTCACGACTCACGACTTGACCACTTTAGTTGACACCCCCGGCTTTGTGTTGATTACAGAAGTGGGCTAGGCTCTGCTCCGCCATAAAAATTACTACATTTGGAAATTTTTAAAATCACAGTTATGCATCTGCCTGCTGGACCAATTTGGTCTAGAAAGTGTACCAATGGTTGGACTGGTATCAACGCGTACATTCGAATCCCTTGGTGATAAGCCGGGGCATAATAATAGACACTTGAGAATATAAGGCTATCATAAGAAGTTTCTCGTCGAAAGATCTTCATCTTAGAAGAAAATCCAGTAGCTACAACCCTCGGGACACTCCTTTGCCTGCAGGTTGAAGCAGCGTACCCCCGATGTCGCCGGTGAAGGCGCGTGAAGGTTGAAACTATCGACGCCACATCAACTCGCAGGGCGCCAACGAATCGACAGGGCGAACACGCTGCATTGATTGCCGCAGTCGAGTCATCAACATTGCAAATGAGTAGGGCACCGTTCGGATCCTAGCGTCTCAGAGCCCGTCGGTCGGACAAGCTTCTTTCCGCTGACGTGAGACACTGAGTGATCTCGCCTCATACCGCCCAACAGGGTCAAATGATGCGCCTTTACCCCGGGATATCTTGCGCGGGTAGTGTGATGGGCATGGGATTTTGATGGCGCCATTGCTGCAAGTTGAAGGTGGCTGTGTGGGAACAGCACAGCGTTTATGCGTAGGCCAGATCACCCGGTCGCATTTGCAATGGCACTTGACGAACCATCTATTAGCGCACGTATAATTTGATGATCGATGTGCAATGGCAGGCGCCAACGCACTAAGCACCAGCCTCAGTAAATCATCGTTCATCAAGTTCCGTATCCGCGTCCGTAGTGGAAGCCCCGCGCTTCAATTTTCGGCGCTTGAATTTTTGCCGCACGCCCTTGAGATTGTCTTGCGAGCTAACCATGCTACTACCGCCGGTGTGCGCTCTCTTCCTCCTCCGAGCACGGTCTCTGGACTGAGAAGCGTTGGTGGTGTCGGTTTCTGCACCCGTCTCGTCGGCACCGTTGGGTAGCTCTTCGCCTTCCACGAGCACTAGGTCTCCCGTCTCCCCTAGGGCCTCTCTGGCCATCTCCTCCACTAGGATTCCCATTGCAATGAGGGCCGTCTCGTCCATGCTGTGGTGGTCGTGAAGTCCGTGATCCTCCGTTGCGAACTCGTAAAAATCAGCGGCGTAGGCGTGGATAGCCTCGAGTATCTCGGAGCTTGGCAGCGCATTGTCAGGTCGTATATTCTCATTTGCGAAATAATTTTCCTCTTCCAAGGGGTCTGTCACGGTGTTTTGTGTCCGGAATAGAACCTCCTCTGGTCGGAGCGTGCGGGCCCCGGACGAGGCAGTGTCGCGGTAGCGAGAGGCGAAAGCCTCGGATGGGTGGTGCCCTTTGCGGTTGACTCGACCTGGAACTTGTCAGACAGATCCTTCAACAGTGAGGTGCCTCGTCTCCCAACACTTACCAGCAACGGCATCGTAAACATTAGTGGTGCGCCTGGTCTGACGGTAAGAATACTCGCTTTCCGGGGCGTCAACCTCGGGTTCAGGAGGCGCTGGAAATGTATTTTGGCTCAAATTGAGCGATTTGCCATAGGACATCCTCCCTTGCTGCCAGCAGCATGTAGTGAGGCCTCGGCGAATCCTCGAAAATGTAAACGTGACTCGAAGACTCGACTTGTCCAAAATTAATTGCGCCGGCACAACCTTAATCCGATGAGGTCACCCACCCGCAGCTACCCCGTTGAAGTGTCTCTCGTGTCTTCGTATCTCAGAACTACCTTTCCAGCAGCGCTGATGTATGAATGAATTCCTATCTTCTTAACAGAGCCCTTGGGTCTCTCTCTCCAAATGTCTTCCATGTCGCACAAACCACAAGGCTAGTGCACAACCTGGAGCCTGCGTTGGGGATTCGATTCTCCAGCCGCAGAGCCGCATCCGAGGACCAGAGTCGAGGTGACGCGACGACACCTTTGGATCAAGAGGATCCTACGATAACGGAGGATGTGGTCGCCCATAAATCAGGTGTGAATTGCCTGGCGATTGATCAATTTGATGGCCGATAGTACGTGCAATAACAGCTATTGTTCTCCACGAACGTGTTTCTAACTAGTATAGCATGATATCCGGCGGCGCAGATCCATCTATTCACCTGTGGGACCTTGAGAGTCGAGGATCGGGGCTTGATCATATCCATCGCGCCCGTGCGACTGTCAGGAAATCATCACATAAAGACGCGCATACCCACGCCATTACCTCCCTCTCCATCTACCCGTTCGACCCAGTCCCGTCCACCATCTTCTCGACATCCCATGATGGCACATTGAAGCTCTCTGCGCTGCAGTCGCCCGAAATCACTCCGGTACATACATTCAATCTCGATTGTACACCATATTCCCACTCTTTCTCCTCTCAACCAGGGTCTACCCTACTTGTCGCGGTCGCTACATCTGAACAATCAGTTCGACTAGTCGACCTTCGATCGGGGTTAGCAACTCATGGCCTGCCAGGCCACAATGGCGCCGTATTATCAGTTTCGTGGGCTCCCCATCGGCCGCACTTGCTAGCGTCAGGCTCCGTCGACAATCGAGTCATAATCTTCGATGTCCGCCGTGGCGGCCACAACTCTGCAATCGCAACCTTGGACATGGACGATCCGGTAGGCCTGGTACTTCCAGGGTCAGGGCCAGTACCGGCATCTTTCGAGAGCCGGCCAGCATTCTCCCGCCATGCACGTGCTCATAACGGCCCTGTCACTGGCGTGCGCTGGACTTCGAATGGCAGCCATATAGTGACGACGGGGCAAGACTCACGTATCCGGGTGTGGGATTCAGGAACTGGTGCAAACACATTGGTCCATTTCGGCCCGAGGGTTCGAAATAGCTCAACCTCCCACTTGGCAGAGCGTGCTCCGCTTCTGATACCCAAGGGCTTCACGGGCCCCGGGCAGGAGACACTTCTGTGGCCTAATTTCAACGAGCAAGATGACCGGGGTGAAATCTTCATGTTTGAGCTTCGTGAGGGGACGTTTATCAAGCGTCTTCGGGTTCCAGGGCTTATGGGTGGATCACAGGTGGCGCGTGGCCGGGCGAGTGCCCTCAGTGCTGCACGCATCAATGATTTGATCTGGCGTGGAAACGGTGCGTCCGGAGAAGGTCTTGAACTGTTCTCTGCTCATGGCGATGGAACCATCCGCACTTGGGTTTCCCGAGAGCCTGATGGCGAACCCGACGAGAAAGAGGAGGCAGAGATAGCCGACCGCAAGAGGAAGCGAGAGGTACTAGACGAGCTATACAAGGGCTTCGTCGGACCCGACGCTGGACTCCATACTTGATCTACAAATATCACAATTACTTACTTAGGTCACGAAATATCAAGCATCAATTTCAAACAATTCAACATTCTAGATGCACCCCAAACCAAACCACCATCACTCATTCCGCAAGCTATGCTCCCCAATATTCCCCCCAGCATCCTCAACCTCCTTAACATACCGATCAAACCGACTCCGATTATGTTTATGATGCTTCACCCCCCCTGGGCTCCCCACTCCCGCCCGGGATATTCGTCCCCATAAACGTACGCTTCGACTCAATACTCGCCGGCATACTATCACCAGTCCCACTAAGCACTTCCCCCGTCTGTCCGACATCCCGCGTCGACCGGGGCAAGTCGGTGGCGTTGTCCGCTGCGAAGGCAGTTGAGGGCTGGGCGAGGCCGGAGTTCTCGTAGGCTAGGTTTTCGGCGCGTTGGTCTGGGCGTGGGACCGAGCGGATGGTGTTCATTTTGCCGGCGTCGTTGGGGATTGAGGTGCCGTTTTGGGCGAAGTCGGAGAGGGTGCCTCCTTGGTGGGGGTCTTGGGTTTGGCGGACCATTTTGGATGGGATTGGTTTGATAAATTTATAGGAATGGGAAATGGGGAGGTTGTGTTTGGGTAGATGGGTAACGAGGATGGCGTTCGCGGTATAATTCACTGCAAATTGCCCCCAGGCTGATAGTAGGTGGGTAGGTGGTCGTTGCCAGCTTCGGCTTTGATAGAACTACTTATATGCCCAAAGTCAATCTTAGTTAATGCGATTCTATGATTTTGACTGGTTGATGTCACTGCGCTGCAGGATCGTCGGGATGATGGAGAGATGATATCACACGAGGACTTGCCATGACTGGATACGAGTTTCCATGAATGAGAGAGGGCAATGCTTTGATATGAAATCTACCAGATCAGACATCTTACAGGGTGTGGTTACTGAAAGTTGGTAAATCTGGGGCAGTTGATGGGCAATGAGACGAGGTTGTCAATGCCGAGCCCTAATCGGACTGGTAAGACCGCTATCCGCCGTGGAAAGCGACTAGAGACAATGATGCCGACCTTTGGCCTAGACACATATTATTTCATCGGTCTAGAAGCTATAGTGCATAATATGAATTGAAGTGATTGCGTGGGAGGGAAAAGCAAGTTCATATTTCAAGTAAATACTCGTGACACCTCATTCGAGACAGGCATTCAACATTAAACGGCACAATCAGCGCAGAAGTCCACAAGGCTATACGAAAATACACATGAGAGAGAAAGAGAAAAGAAAAAGAAGAAAGGATACAAATACTTCCCCATCACTCTGACAAGCAGTCCCGTAATCGGAGATATTATTACAGCACGAAGGCAAGAACACCGACGACAGCAGCAGCAACCGAGGCAATTCCGCCAGAGACACGAGCGGCGCTGCCTTGGAACATGACGGCAGACGGCTTGGCAGAGGTGGAAGGACGCTGCAGGGCATCGGCACCGATAGGCAGGCCGTGGCTGCTGGAGGGGGTAGCCACGGACAGCATCACGTTGCTAGACGAGGGAGTGGCCACAGGGACATGCACGGGGATCATGGAGTAGGCAACGCTGGAGCTCATGGGGCTCTGGGAGTTGTAGATGTGATAGGGGATGGAGGAGGAAGGTGCAACGGGCGCGGAGTAGACGACCTTGGGGTCAACGTACGTCTCCTCGGGGGTAGCAGACATGTGCACGGCGGCGGTGGTCTGGAGGACAGCATGAGACACGACGGGGGTCGCGTAGACGGTCAGAGTGGGGTGGACCTCTTTATACTGGGTCTTGGTCACGGTACGAACAACCTCGTGGGTCTGGGCAGCGCACTGGGGGACCTGCTCTTGGTTGTCTTGGTCCTCGCGAGGAGTGGAGGGAGATGCAGCCTGCTCCTCGTGAACCTCGGAGATGGGGGCTGAAGGGGTAGCTGGAGGAGCGGGAGTCGCCTCGATAGTCTCAGCCTCAGGGACAGCAACGGGGCCAGGGTGCTCAACGGTGGCCTCCTGGTAAGGCATCCAGGGCATGTGAGGGACGGCCGCAGCGGGAGGGTGGACGTGGGTAGTATCCACCTTGATGGAGTGGTCGTCCTCAGAGTGCTCATTCACGTTGCTGTCCACACCAACGGAGGTAGGATTACTGAAGCTGACGCCACCGTCCTCGCCGGAAGGACCACCCATGGCAGTACCCCCAGAAACGAAAGGACCGTCTAATCCATGGGGAGCGTCGTCGTTGTCGTCGCCGTCGCCGCCGCTGGGACCACCCATGGCAGTGCCACCGTCGGCAACACGGTCAGGAGAGCGGTAGGCACGGCGGAAAGGAGCACCGCCGTGAGGAATGACGGGACCGGGACCGCCAGCAATGGCGAAGGAAGGAGGAGAGTAGACGTCCTCGTGCTGGAGATCAATGGAGTGATCATCCTCGTAATGCTCGTGAACACCGGTCGTGACATCAACGGTGATAGGAGCGGAGAAAGTTTGACCACCGTCATCGCCAGAGGGACCGCCCATGGCAGTACCACCCAGTTCGGGCTCCCAGCCACGCTTGTGGTGACCACCGAAGGGAACGAAGGGATGTGGGTAAATGTCCTTGTTCTTGATGTCAACGGAGTGATCATCCTTGCTGTACTCGTTCACGTTGTTGTGAACATCAACAAAGGTCGGGTTGCTGAAGCTGATACCATCGTCATCGCCGGAAGGACCACCCATGGCAGTACCTCCAGAAACGAAGGGACCGTCGAATCCACGAGGAGCGTCGTCGTTGTCGTCGCCGTCGCCGCCGCTGGGACCACCCATGGCAGTGCCACCGTGCTCCTCGGGGCCCCAGCGCTTCTCGAACGCGGCAGCCGGGACATGGTAGTGGTCACCGGTAGGGTTGGCAGTCTGACGGAAACCAGGAGCGGGGCCTCCAAACCCTGCAGGAGAGCCGCTGAAGCCATGAGCCGAGTGAGGAGGACCCGTGGGAACGAAGACGGGAGGTCGGTGAACGTCGGTGTCCTTGACCTTGACGGAGTGATCGTCCTTGGCGTACTCGTCCACGGTGGTCTGGACATTGGCGGTAATTGGCATATCGAAGGTCTGGCCCTCATCGTTGCCGGACGGTCCACCAATACCGGTGCCTCCATAGTGAGGGTACAGGCTGCGCTTGGGGAAGGGACCCTCGCCAGGTCCAAAGACAGGGCGAAGGGGTGGGTAAACATCGGTGTCCTTGATCTTCACCGAGTGGTCGTCCTTGCTGTACTCATCCACATCGGTCTTGGTGTTCACATTGGTGCTGAAACCAGTGAAGCCACCATCGGCATCATTGCCGGATGGCCCGCCCATGGCAGTGCCGCCGACATGTGGGTAGTGGCTGTGAGTCTGCATGCCCTGGGTATTTTGCTATTACAGCTGTCAGTCTCTAGCTGGCGTCTTCTCTCTTCGGCAACTCATTCGATTTGAACTTACAGTGCCATGCTCCATGGCCTGCGCGGCCGCGGCCAGCAGGGCAATAGGAATTCCACCAACAAAGCCCTTCATGATGATGGATGTAGTATAAGATTGGGATTTACTGAAGAAACCGGGAGAGCTGTCTGTCGTTAAAAGGAATGACTGTAAGTAAATGCTGCGGGAGCACGTAAAAAGAATGGCAGAGTTAGGTCCAAAAAGACTCCCAATCACGTCGCAACAACCAAATTCCATACCTGCGGGAGCTCATTAGTGCTTTAGTACTTGGTTAGCATTCATGATCACCGGAGATCTCGGAAGATGGAATGTGAGTCTCCGGCAAGAGAGGGGATGTCAAGACCTGGCCAAGGCAAGTAAATCCCATGAGAATGCCACTGGGAATGGGAAACAACATCCCCATCGACGTGCAAGCCCCCTAGAGCCATGAACAAAATGCCGGATCATTTCCTGCGTAGGTGTTGTTGCTACATTCCCCAGCGCGTGGAGAGGGTTGGGTCACCAGGTGATTGTTGGTATTCACGAGGGCGAGAGACTAGCCTGCCAGGGAAGGGGCTTATTCCTTGATCAAGATTGATCTGATCGTCCTTGAACCACGCCGTGATTGCTAGGCAGGGCCTTGTATGACGGGGTAGCCCTTCGATTCGAGTTAAGCCGCGAGCCAAGGGTTGACCCACGATCCGTAGCTGCCACAGGGTGATGAGATTTTACAATGAAACATCATCCAATGCGATGACCACGATGGTCCATCTAGAATTCCAGGTGATGTCAATCAAGAAGCATTGGCTATGCATTGATGCCATTTGTGGTTGCATACACAGCATGCTGGTATGGTTGGAGATGGATGGAAAGAAATAAAGTCTGACCTCCGGCGGCTCCCAGGGCCCTTAACGGAACGCCATCTCGAACCACGTCCAGTCGCACACACAAGTGGGCGATATCCGACCTGATTTTAATGGCGCTGAGGCTCACCACAGTCCCAATTGCTACTCGAGTTCTACGATAAATGATCTAGTCTGCAGCAGGGCTTCTACCGAGACTCTAATTAAATCATCTTGTGGATTAAGAGATGTATCCCGTCTTCGACATTCCCCTCCCATCGCCCTCACTGAAGAAGACCCAACGGGAGGCGAACTTCCTATCGGGGAAGTTACTCTACAGAGCCGATCAGCCCCGTAGGGCCGAAGGCAACCCATCGCCGTGAAAAGTGTCACGAAGACAGAGCGAGGGTCGTGGCAGGCTCTGATGCTTTTTTGATGAGGAAAGAAAAGAAGAAGGCTGAGAATTTTCTCGTCGTTTTTGTAGGTGCGGGTGGGGTCACGTGGTCGGGCCGTTATTGTTCCCATAGTGGAGTCTCTCTTTTTTAGTTTCTCAACAAACTTGGTTTAGCGACGAGGTTCCAGTTACTTTTACGAAGAACAACACTCGATAGACCAGGGACACGCGACGGAGTAAAAATAGTGGTTTGGCATTTCTGTCTTCGCCTTTGTAAAACACCACATAAGAATAAACTCAAGCCAGCGCAGGGAATATACAATGCAGCGGCTTTCTATCTCCCAATGAGACAAGGAACGAACGGGATAAACTCGCGTCCGGCCAGAAAAGAACCTTTCGCCTAAACGCCATGCAATCTTGGCTTCTGCCAATAGAACCAAGAGAACCAAATGAGATCAAAAAAAGGAAGAATAATCGCGACGAGAGCCAGGGGAAAGACATGAGCAAGTACAGGGAACTCGACAGACTTCTGGCACGGATAATCAGCAACTGCCATTGCCATCATGACTTTCAGTCGACTTTCAGGGGCTCACCTAATCATCCGCCCATGGCCGTCTGCTTCGCACTGGATTTCCAACTTGCTCCACCCACCGCCGCCGTAATCCCCAAGGCGATGGCAATCATTGTGCCCACCGTGACCACCGCCACAACCGCCTTCAACGCCATACGTTGCCGTGAAGTCAACGATTGCATACATGACCGGGGCTGCTTCTCGCCCTCCCACAGCTTCGACCGTCGCTGACTGTCATTTCGCGTCACCAAGTACGATTCCGCACTCTCAATATCCCTCAATCCACTGCGCTCACGACTGGCCGTCTTGGTCTCCAAGGTGAGTTGCTCATAGGAGGAGATGGTCGGTGATCCATGACGGTAGAAAGGAGAGTAAGGCTTTGCGCCAACGTGCGGGTCAAAGTCCGGATTGCGGCGCTCGTGGATGGACGGCGTTGACTGCACGGAGGCTGAGGGGGACTGGATCATCGGTGTCGAGGTGTGTTTCTCATCGTTGCTCTTGATTGACACGGCGACTTGCGCCCCAATCACCCCGAGTCCGTGCAAGCTCATCGTGCGGCTTGCAAGGTAGAAAGAGAGAGAGGGGGGGGGGTGGTTTGAGTAGAGGATCCGGGGAAGGGGATATCAGAAGATCTGAGAGAGAGAGAGACTGTCGGAATTCTTTGCTAGAGGGCAGGGATCGCTTCAAACTCGGGCGCTTGGCTGTGACTGTAGGTTTTGGCGGTCGATTTGGTGGTCTGTGGTGGATGCTGGGTGATTTCCTTGATGGGAATGACTACGGTTGGGACACCCCCGTACATAAACAAGGTTGAGTCCACCTGGAATGCGTTGCACGTCCAGGAGCAGGAGACCCGAGACTGTTTCATCGCTTAATGACGAAAACGGTCGGGGGGAAAGGGGAGGAGTGGCAAACTAGCTCGAGCGCTAGTTCTGCATATTAAACCGATCCAAACTTATTGTTTGAGGTAAAGAAGGCACGCCAGTCACGCTTGCCATTTGTAAAACTCGAACGCCATTTTCTCCTCCTCGGCAATCATCTCCTTAACTTACGGCTTGGCTGAGGGGAAAATTCAAATTAAAAGAGTTACAATGCCCTATGGACTGACAGGGTGTCCCTACAACACGCTCTCTTCTCTGATATGCAAGGTACTGTCTGCCGTTGTTTTCATCCCTAGATTTGAGTATCCGGAGCCACCTTCGAATAACATTCCAATATCTCAATAGAGAGGAAAGGATTGTCTGTCATGGAAAAAAAGAAAGATACATAATTGGCAGCTTGAAGCCTCGGGCGCATTCCAGAGGATCAATTCGGTCGCCCACTTTTTTACACGGCTGCATTCGTGGCCAGATGGTTTCCCCCCCCCCTTTTCCCTTTCCCAGGCACGACAGTTAGCTCGGCTAGTCTAAACCTTCTCTCAACCAAGGTAAGGCTATGAATTAAGTTGTGGGTCAAAGCCCCAGTTTCAGTCCCACTTCCACTTCACTATTGGTTTGTTAGTTTAACAGACTATCATGCGCCTGAGACATGAATTGGCACGATCAAACAAAAGAGCCATCGCGACCTTTGAATCCTGTTGTGCATTACAATCGTATGTAGAGAGTACATACGCAGTGTCACCCACAGTCCGGTCAAGGGTATGATCTATCCGCTCTTTTCAAACACAAACAGGTCGATCCACAACCCTGGAAACTTAACCCGTAATTGGCTAGCGCGTGTTGAGGAAAAAGCAATATGGACAGTAAGGCAGCGCCCGAGGTGGACATGATTAGATTTACTCCGCTACGCACATTTCATAGCCAGATAAATTCAATTAATTGAACAAGTAGTCTCTTTTTCAAGTCCAATATTTCATTCGTTTTTGTTTCTGTGAATTAGCAACGACTACCACATGCTGCTAGCACTCGCACGTTGGGATCCTCGGGCCCACCGCGGGAGTCTATCCATAATCCTTAAACCAGCAATCAGTCGCCTAAAATGACCTTATCAACTTAACGTTGTATCAATGGTAATGGCTACTGATGATTTTTAACTTTCAAATGTATTCCACTGGCCCAGATGAAATTTAGCGTAGTGTGGTGGGGTCATCTAGAGTCCCAGGTACGGAGTACTTGGCTCCGAAATATATATCTCGACGCCCCAAAACCTACCCCGCAGAAGCCCGCCGATAACAATCCCGGATGTCAGAGACAATAATGCAATTATCTTCTCAATCCCCAGTATCTCTGGTGAACTCATACGCAAAAAGATTCGTAGTCGCTTTTCTCTAACTTAAATTGGTTGAAACAGGGGTCTTTCTAGCCTGAGATACACCGGGCAACTACCGATAGCTAATGCGGTAAAGGTTTACCTATTCACTCGGACCAGACCATAATCGCTGACAAGAAGGCTCTAGATAACACGATATCCCCGCACTTACTCCAATCTCTTATCTACTGTGGACATCATCCATAGAAGCGGGGAAGATCTCATCGACTTAAAGACCTATTCATCTCTGCTTCGAATTACACAGCAGTATCACATACAACGATCAGCAGACTACGCAAATTAGTAAAATCTCGCATCGAGCGGTTGATCAAGTACTTACTTCCAATAACCCCATTGACAGGTATATCAATAGAGGTTGTGTAGCTCGCAGCATCACTCAGCAGATACACATATGCGCCGCCAAGTTCCTGAACCTCAGCTAGACGCGGGAATCCGCCATAGTACTTCAACTGCTGCTCCCAATCGGGCTGTTGTGGCACCCAATATGTCATAGCTGTGTTGACCAAACCCGGGGAAACACTGTTCACCCGGATGCCATGGGATGCCCACTCCATGGCCAGCGTATGAGTCATGTTTCGGATACCGGCCTTTGATGCTCCATAGGGGGTTGATGGTACGCGCTGCGAATTATTAGACTCATGACTCGGTATCGCTAATTCTCATAATAACACGAACGGACCTTGTTTGGACGATAGGAGGCCATTGAAGCCGTAAACACGATCGACCCCTTGATTCCGAGCTTGATGAATGCTCTCGCGGCGCACCTAGCCGTGTAGAATGCGCCAAATAGCTGATCCATTCCTGACTGTCAGTTGAGAACAGGCGGGTAGTCAAAACTCTATAATGACCCACGTTCACGGAAAAGAGTGCCTGTATTTCCTCGGTCGTAAAGTCCAACGCTGCTTTGTGGTTCGTTCGTCCCGCGTTGACAACCATTCCATGCAGTGCCCCAGCCTCCTCGACAATCTTGTCCACCGCCCCCGAGATACTGTCTTCCTGTGTCACATCGGCCTGGATGGCGAAAAGTTGGTTGGGGAAGCGTTTGGACAGGGCCTCGAAGTCATCGCCGACGTCGCCTATGTCGATGGAATAGATCTTGGCTGCGCCGTTGATCAAACAGCATTCGGCGATGCCCAGTCCGATTCCGCGGTTTGCACCGGTTACTAAACAGCAAAGACTTTATTAATGGAACTTTATAAGGCGGAAGTCGTGTGCACAGACTAGCAATGACTTTTGCCTCGAGTGCAACTTTAGTTTGGGGCTCGCAAGGAGCTGACTGTGCCGGGATAGAAGCAGACATAATGCAAATTATTGATTGAAGCAATTAAAAACAGCTATATCTCTAAAGAGTCATATATCCCACCCAGGTGCTGCTTTTGTATCTCCCGATGAGTGCGGGGGTGATTATGTCGGGGTTGCGTCTGGGCGAGAGTGTCATCGTCTCGGGGATGCCAAATTGCGTGTCGGGGCACAAATGTGGGAATTTGTGCCAATCATCACAATTTCCGAGTTGTATTGACACAGCGCATGAGAACCTGATCCCTTGACATCGTCGTTGTAAAGCAAAGGTGGATCGGTTCGTTTGTGCCTCGATGCGAGGACACTACCCCGCACTGTTGAATAGATGGTGGCCCCAGAGATTGGTCAAGCAGTATAAGACATTTTGGAGATTAGGACCCGCAATGAAATCTCAAATTGATAAAAGAACTCCTTCGCTGAATGAATATGGATGTAATAAAAAGCCAAACAATCGCTATAATCATGTCGCCATTCTGTCGGCCGCAAGTTGTCGCTGGCCTCGCCTGATAAGTAGGAGAACGGCAGGAAGCTGCGCAGCCGCAAATCCAATCATGACTCTCAACTGCGTGCTGTAACTATCGGCAAAGAATCCCTTGACTTTTTCCTGTAGTTCTGGCGAAAAGTTTGTGATATATTTCACGTTCTCGAGGACTAGATGTAGTTCGTGGGATGAGAGAACACCCTGCAAATGATGGGTCAGGTGGCCGTTGAGGATATTCGAGGCAATGGCGAGGCCAATAGCGCCGCCCAAAAATCGGAATTGTACTACACTGCCAGTGGCGATTGCTGTAAAAGATGGCGGCAAACCGGTCAGTCACGAAACAGGCTCCTTTTGAACGGGAGTTACACGGAGCACATACCAAGATCTCTGTCCTCGACAATGTATGGCGTTGCCAGCATCAGAACACCCAAAATTATCCCCATCCCAATACCAGCTATGACTCCATAGACAACGTCCGTGGCGTGGAATCCTTTGGAAGTGGCAATGGTGGACAGGAGCCCAATACCGACAGTGTGAATTACACAGCCCACGAGAAGAGAATAAACAAAGGGTATACGACCCTTGGAGCTGACAATATTGACAAGAGCCGCAGCTGCTGCTGCGACAGCGGTGTATCCAATAAGGTAAATTCCCGAGTCAAGAGGCGACTTGTCGAGCAGTATTTGGGCTTGCTGTGGGACATACACCAAGACGACGTTGAATGGAGCGCCGGTCACGAATGAGGTACTGAAGAAACATGTTAGAGAGTCATGATATAAGAGCAACTTTCGAGTCAACTCACATGAGAATACCCATCCATGGACGATCAAAGAACCAACGCTTAGGGAAGATCGGATCTTTTCCAGGAATGCCCGAGATGTACCACTCCCAGGCAAAGAAAGCAATCCAGGAAACACCCGTTAAAACAAGAAGCGCAATCGCACCTCCTGAGGACCATGAAAATGCGAGATTTGTTTCGTTCAGCACCGTGACGATCAGGAAAGAACCGATGATGATGAGTACAGATCCCACGAGGTCGAGATTTGCGAAGGAACGGTAAGATGCTCTTGTTCTGAATGACGGGGTATGTTGATCAAGACCGAAGTTTTTGGGCATCGCAATCATAATGATGGCGATTGCGATAGTACATAGTGGAGCACTGTAGCACTGTTAGCGTTATCTTTGACATGAAATCGCGATTGTGGGCATACTTGATCAGAAATACCCATCTCCAGGCCGAGTCACCCGCAAGGGCACCTCCGATAATCGGTCCAATCAGGCAAGCAAGAGCCAGACAACATGACATGAGACCACTGTAGGTTGGAAGTTTCGATTTTGGAGCAATCTCGTAGATGCATAGAATTGCAAGCGCATATGCGCCGGCGCCCCCGATTCCTTGAAGTGCTCGGAATATAATCCTAGGCCAGCATTGTGAGATTTTGAACAGCTTGGAAGTAGTCCCATTGCATCTTACAGTTGATCCACAGTCTGGGCGCAACCACACGCAATTGAGAATGCGAGCAGAATGACAAGAGCAGCAATCGTTGTCTGTTTCCGCCCAATTATGTCGCTGGCTTTGGTCCATATTGCCATGAAACCTGGAGTGATTGCGAGGTTAGCATGAAGAGTCGATGCGATGGTGCATTCCAAGGTGCAGACACATCGAGTGACGTGTTTATCAATGAGATACGAGCCAAGGAAATTTCAATGTTGAGGTTGCATAAGAAATTCATACCCGTGTAAGTGGCTAGATATCCGGTAATAATCCAGCTTCTCTTGTCGAACCCATCTAAACTATCGGTGATGTTGGTGAGTGACGAGCTCACAATCGTTACGTCCAGATTGGATAAGAAGAAGCCAATCAGAAGCCTGTCTCCAAATCACTCGTCAGCCTTCTTGGCAAGAAATCTCGGTGCCATAAAAACAAGGTACCCTATGGTAGTGAGGATGAGCCTCCATCCTGTCAGATAAACAATTTCACTGCCTGGAGACAGTGTCCTCTGGGTCGACCCCTTTTCGGTACTCGTGGAGCTATCCTTCGTGTCTATCCGACACGGTCGGATTTCCTTTTTCTTTGAGCAAGGCTCTGCAAACTGGATATGGCTAGGCATGGCTGTTATTCGGGGCCGTCAAGAATCCTGGGTGTGTGTGTGTCAAGTGTAGGTGATGAGTGAGTTGGTGGCCATCGCTGCATGAGAAGAAGAAAAATTCTGAACAGGACTACTCGCAGCGTAGGACCAAGCCCCGCATATATTCATCCCAGGGGGCCCTTCAATTGGAACACGGGCGACGCGTGATGACAGAATGTGGAATATTTATGGGAAGAGTGATCGGCGCCGATCATTGAACCTAGAGCTTGGCCTGGGTGGCTTGGCGCGAATCTGCCAAAAGGCTGAAACTATTACGAGGGCACATGACGAAACAAAATTTGGAGACCTTATCGCATCGAAAATGCTAGGATTGCTGCTGTTTGATGGCTCTCTGTGGCTGGAAATGCGGGAAAAGGGGTGAATGGCCACTCCCTTTTCTAGGGGTTGCATCATACCATTGGCGATGGTAGTACTCCGTATGTATGTATTCTTGATTTTCCAAGTCCATTACCTCGATCATCACAGTCCGTATCTATCTCCTTACTCGATTTCCTTATCTGCCCCCTGAAACATGCAGACGAGGCTTAAGCTTGGTTGATTCAACGTCCGGAAGTAAGGGCTACGCACTGTCACTAGCCATGTTAGGGAATGTATTGTTGCATAATTTGAGACATTAATATTCATAAAGAGCTTTCTTTATGTTTCTTCCGATGATAGCGGAGGGTTGCTTGATCATTGGCAAATGAGAACATTTAACAGCAAAGAGGTTGCAACAGCAGTGAAATTGATTGGCTTGTCTAGCGGCTCGATAAATCTGTCACTAGTCGGGTGATCTGCACGTTAGTGTCTGAACTCGGGTAATGGTGTACCCACGACCCTCGATATCCCTGGGAACAGATCTGGAAACTTGAATGAATTAAAAATAGCAAGGCTTATATCTAGTGAGTGTTGTGGATATCTATTCAGAATCATTGACTGTAGATGGGGGTGACCGGTATATTGGGATGCAATCCAAAAGTAAAATACGGAGAGGCCTCACAGATGATCATGCGGTGGCTTATCAACCGTGAAGGCTTGGCAGAGAGATCGGTGACAAATTTTGGGTCAATCTATGCCCAATTGCCGATTTCGGTTCTCAAGTACATACATGCCTAATATGTCGGTCGCCTGCAGAAGGTCGAGTTCTGTCTGGATCAAGAGCTGAAGTTTTTCTTGTTCCACACCCAGATTTATTGGACTAAATCATATGAGTCTCCTCATGTCACTCCCCATCCATGTCACAATCGTCATCATTGTCATAGTCACCCCAGAGGTCTTTGAGGTCTTCCACTCGCCATGCAGTAGCCCAGCCGGTTTCTCGCTCGATCCTAATCAATGTCTCTACAATGGCCATGTGTTCAGAGTAGTGCGACATGACTTTACCAGCAATCCATAGGGGTTGGAGAGCATTTGTCCAACAACCACTGGAAGAATTACTTAGCTGTCTTTTCGCTAGAGTAAACATAAATTTCAACAACTTACTGGTGCGTATTAGAGGCTGAGATAGCACAAATTTGTCGAGCATGCCAAAGGACGGATTTCTAACTATATTTCAGTGGTGACTCTCGACCCGTGGGGAGGCAAACTAACCGGCTTCTTGAAAAGCGACAGTGTTTTGGGCTTTCGTTGAAGTAACAATAGGGCGCAAACGTGGTACAGTTGATTTCCTGAGACTTGGTGGTTTTAGTCTGGGTAGGTGAATCACAATCAAAATTTTGTGAAACGTACTGGCTGCTCCATTGCCGTATAACACCATTGGAAATGGTTGGTCTACCCCCGAGCAACCGGGCTGGGCGACAGTGAAGATGGACTTCATTTGACTTGGGCGACTCTCATACCACTGTTCGACCTTTCCAAAGAGCTCTCTCCAGCGATGGATATATGAATTGACGTCCTCTTCCGGGACGGATTGGGTTGGACTACATGGGTGCGCAGTGTTGGAGGAAGGTCCGAAGAGAACACCTAGAGTTTGAGCGCAGAGATACACGGTATAGTTGGCGTAAGCGTCGAAATCGCTTCTTGAGGATGAGAGGAAGAGTTGTGATGCTTGGTTACCGCTCATGTCTCGGGGTCTCCAGTTATGGAGTGGGATGATAGTTTCTTCTTCCGATATGAGACCACCGCAGACATCTATAATTCATGAGCATGAGCGCAACTTCAAGCATGGGATTACCTACCCATTCGCGCAAAACACCAGAATAGCGCTTGCTCTTCCTTCCCAGAGAATCCGTTAATACCAGCTGCTTGTATAAGATATGCGCATCCATCCAGATGTCGTCGCCACTCTTTGGGATTACCTGTTGCGCATTAATTATTGAGTCTATGGGGGAACAGAAAGAGAATTCGTACAGCTTAACATCTCCAGGACGCACAGGATAACACAAGAAGCAATGACTGGAGTGGTTTTGCTCTCCAATTCCGGCAATAAGAGGTGGATCGCTTCTTGATAGAGGGATAAACTTTCCGATTGAGATTTAGCATTTTGCTGTCGTTCAAGTTGACGCGCAGATAATGCCAGACAGGAATATCGTAAGTGAGGTGCGGTTTTTGCCATCTGTGGGAATGTAGAAGCAAAATGATGATTGTTATCAAACATATCGAGCTGTCAGGGTCAGCCAAGTGTGTTTTTCAGTTGCAGTCACTGAGAACCTACCCATGAGCATATCTCAGTTAGGTAATTTTGCCACAGAATGTGTTCCCTTTCAATGGATAACTGGAAGAACCTTCCAGTCTTAGGCTCCCTTTCCGTCCGAGAAAATGAGCCCGAGTCACTATACCCTGTTGGCGTACGGGCATGCGAGAGTGAGCCTTGAGAGCTGGCACGACTTGGGCCATCAGGTCTTGCTGTCCATAACTGCCGATTTCGCAAGGTTGTATGTAACGCTTCATAGGTTGATCCAGGTAAAAAGACATCATTTGTGAAGTCTGCCGGATCAGAGAAGACACTATTGTCAAAAAGGGGAGAGGGGCCGTTGTGATATGAGTCTGTTACCGACGCGTTGAATTGTGTGTGGTGAGTAAAACCCCTCAAGGCCGCAAGATCATCAACCAAAAACTCCGAGCCGGTGTTAACATAGACATGCGAAGATACATCATCCGCAGCAGAATTGTGTCGGATATCATATTGATGGGTTGAGTGGTGCGGACTAGCCCTTTCGTCCGATGGGGAATTATTGGCTGTCGCCTCACTGCGCTCATGGTGACAAGATGCAGGGCTTTGGTGGTGCAACACATCAGTCGGCGCGTCCCTGGAAGACGCGGTAAACGGCACTTGATGAACTTCCGGTGAGGATCCAGAATGCTGCGTTGCCGACTGCGATGGATCTTTCAAGCGAGTTTCAGCAATGGCCGCAGTTGTCGGTGCTGTGCCAGGAGAAGAGCGGTGCAGCTCTACCTCTAGTCGGTCACAAGTGGCCTCATATGGCCGCTTAGATGAGCCTCTCGTGCGAGGCGTATTTGGCAAAGCATTCAAAATTTTGAATTTGCTCGGTCGCTTGTTCTTATTGGTGTTTACTCCCTGGCTCATAGAGGGATGGTCTGATCCCAGCACCTTGATATTGGCTTCTCGAAAAGATCCAAGCATGCGCCATTGACAATCATCACCCCGTCGCTTGCAGCCTGTACAGGTCGGTTTTGCCTCGTCGCATTTGCGTCGCCGGCGACTGCAGTTGAGACATCCCGTTCGTGTACGTTTCTTCCGCTCCACGGGCTCTGCGCCTGGCGCGTTTTGCTGTGGCAACGTCTGTGAGCTGCACAGATCATCATCAATACCCTCCATGGGGCTATTCAGAATATTTCTCGTCATTTTTGCCCATGAAAATGATCACCTGGGGAAATTTCTGGGGTACGTACCTGGTCTGGGGATTTCCAGATGACTGAGAAGCAGATGGGCTATTATTACCGGAAAAGGAGCGTTTAAGCGCTCTGCCCGAAATGCCTCAGGGCCCACTCGGTTCCTTGCTGTTGGTCGGGGTGCCGAGTCGAGCCGAAATCTTCCTGTGCCGTGTGGAGATATTTCGCGGGGTTCTCCCGGGCGAAATCAGCCACGTCGTAATAGCAACAGGGCAGAAACAGGCCGGATAAGTTAGTATGCGTTGCCGAATCATGCCATGAAATAATTGAGAGGAGCATAATGAGAGCAGAGAGAAACAGTCTGTAAAAGCCAAATCCTATCACTTTAACATATCTACGGCTATTCATCAAATCTAGCAAAAGAATCTTTGTTTGACAATTAAACCACCCGAAAATAGATAATCCTACTCAACATGCTGAGCATTCACGCTCTCGAGGTCCTTGCCGTGAGCAATCCGTGCATTGACATCTCCGGCCATGCCCATGGACGGATGCCAGTACAGTTTGACCTTTTCTCCAGTGAAGAGATGGTCAATCTGCTCCAGAGTAAGGTTCCGTGCCTCCGGGTAGAAGAAGTAAATTAGAGGAAGGAAGCAGAAATTGAAGACTGCCAAACAAAGTTAAAATGGGATGCGTCTAGATATGCATGAAGGGGAACATACCGGCAAAGTAAATGTATGTTCGATAGCCGATGTTAGAAATGCTGACGGGGGTGATTTCGACAACGAGGAAAGTGAAAATCCCTAGAAGATATTTGTTAGCATTTTTTTTGAAAGATCAAGGAGTTTCTGAGTCAGAGCTCCCTACAATTAGTTGCAGTCGCGAGAGCAGCTGATCGGGTTCGAATCGCGAGTGGAGAGTACTCTGCGGGCACTGTAAAAGCAGATTAGGTTAGCCAAGATGTTGATCTCTGGGAATGCCGCGGGAATACATACACAGCCAGGGAATAGCAAGAAGGCCAACTGCGAAGAAGAAGTTGAACAAGAATAGCATGACCGTTGCCACTAAGCCGGCCGCATGCCCGCCATTCCAGACTGTTCCCGCCAGGATCGCCATGCAGGCGCCTTGACCAGTCACGGCAAACATCATTAGCTTACGGCGACCGAGTCTGTACCCCATTAGTCGCTACCTTAGAAATCCTAGACGCTGCACAACTCACCTGTCAATGACCCAGATGGGAATCAAAGAGGAGAAGAAATATGCCACCCCATTAAATCCAGCGAGCAGGAGCGCCGTGTTGTGATCCATTCCCACGGACTCTTCGAAAATCACAGTTGCATACTAATCCCGGTCAGGTCAAATTTTTTTGAGCCATGTCGTAAAGACTTACATATGTGATCAGGTTGATTCCGGAGACTTGTTGCATCATTTGGCCGCCCATGCCCAAAAGTGTTCTGTAGAAGAAGCGCTGTTGCCCATTCTGGAAGATGAGCTTGAACGATCCCTCGCTCGAGGCAGCTTGCTCGTCTCTAATGGCCTGGGAAATTTCCTGGACTTCAACACTGACAACAGCATCATTCTCCTCGATCTCTTTGGCATTGTCCTGCAAACTCCAGATGATGTGGCGAGCCTTGTCTTCGTTTCCATGTTTGATGAGCTACGTCCTAAGTTAGCTCACATCGGAATGAAGGTGGTTTGTGACGTACCCATCGTGGAGATTCGGGCAGGAATACAACACCGATGAAGGTAAGGATGGCAAAGACGATCTGCAGGGCAATAGGGAAGCGGAACTGGGCTTCACTCTTGTTGTATGAGAATCCGTAGTCTAAGTCGAATTTGTGGTTAGTAAAATATGCAGGAAGGAAGCAGGCTAGGTATACTGACCAACCCAATATGAAAGCATAACACCGAAAATGTTGATGGCTAGCTCGATAGCCAACTGTAGTCACCGTCAGTGTGGAAGTTCCATGTGTCTACAAAGATGAACGTACCCCCTTTCCACGACTCGCGGCCTTGCTCAGCTCCGAGTGCCAGACAGCTAATATAACGGTTAGCGAATGCTCATGATGTGGCCTTTATATGAAGACTAACGGATAGTACTCGTGTTGAGACCGTTTCCGATTCCAGCAATGATACGACCAACAATAAGATGAGGAATGCTGTAGGCACTGCACTGAAGAGCGGCTCCGATACTCAGAATCACACATCCAGCCATGATGCACTTGCGACGACCAAGCCTTTCACCAATAAACAAGGACATGATAGCACCGAGGAAACATCCCTAGATTTATTAGTCTCTGGTGCACGACTCTCGTGTCTCTGCAACTTACAATTTCGTAGATAGCAACCCTACCGAAAAAGGCCAAGTTAGTATCATATCTGGGGGAACACTGGTGGAATTTTTGTCTTACACTGTTCCCTGGAGCGATGAGCTTCCATGCCCGGTCTTGGTCGTATTAATCTCCGGAAATCTTGCGGTGAATGCATCTCCCGTCAATAGACCGGACATAACACCTTGATCATAGCCAAATCTGCGTACGAGAAGCATGAGTACACTGTATATGTTTCTGTGGAAAGGAATTGCTCACAGCAAGAAACCACTGCCAGCAGTGGTTGTGATGGCCCAAGCCAGATGCTTTCCCACAAGGAATGTCATGACTTGGTTTGTGAATCCGAATATCCTCCGGTCGAACTTTCAGGCAAGAGCCGGTATTCGACTGATAGGGAAATTAAAGAAAAATGTAGCTGTACATGCCATATCATTACAGTGGGGCATCTGCCCCTTTTATAGAACCTTCTGTCACGACCTCATCGTCAAAATCGCCGTTAATCGGGTGGCGCTATTCAAGGTCCTCGGAATCCATGGCGTAATTTCTAGGCTGGGGACCCCGAATGCCCCAGAGTTTCTTGCCATGTTTCAAAAGTGGGCAAACTCCGTGATTTGCGGGGTGCATAAAGGAATCCATAGCAAGTAAAATGGCTCGTCTACGTACCTGGATCGAACAAAAGGGCAGTAGTGGGCCGAACCGGGTTGTCTACCGGAACATGCCACGGCACGGCGTAGTTTCGGTGGTCTCGGCTAAATCCTTAAAAGGCTGAATGCGCAACTCCTTACTAAAGTAGGGAATTACCATATCGGGAAGCATTAAGCACCCTGACTTGATCTGTATCTATTGTTCTGCGATATGTGCTACAATTATTCTCAGTCTCTCTGCCGGCTCTGCACCGAGTTGCCGTGGACTTTTCATCGGGCTTAGCTATTGTGCAATCGTGCGATAATCGTGTCAGACCCTTCTCATCTCCGCTAGCGACCCGCAGGGCCTCATTCTCGCTGGTCTTCATCTTGTGCCCCGCAACGTCCTAGTTCTCACTAATCTACTTACTTTAAAGCGTAGGCCTTTGCACCCCATGTTTGTTCATCTGGCCCTGCGAGAATCGGCGTATTCTGTTAGTCAATGTACGTAGAAGAAAAATTGAAACTTGGGCAAAGATGATTGCTTCAGTCCAAGTTCCACTGTGGTTCTTCGAGCTCCCAATCTCTTAATTCGGCCCTCTGTGGTCATGGTGGAACCAACTGCTGTGGACACGCTGCAGGATATTTCCCCTATAAAGTGCAACTCCTCATCTAATGCGCTGGGGTCTTGCTGAATCTTTTCATCCTTGAATACCCCAACGTCTACGCCCGATTCTTTATTCACCAAGATGGCCCCTTCTATTAGCCTCGATCATACTACTCCTGCGGTCGTCCCGGAGTCAAATGAGACCCCGGCTGCGTTCGCACCCACCAGCGACCTTTTCTCTCTAGCTGGTCGTACTGTGGTAATTACCGGAGGTGGTCGAGGTCTTGGAATGACCTTGACTACCGCCGTCCTTGAAGCTGGCGGCGAAGTCGCCTGTCTGGACCTTCTCCCCGAGCCTAGTCCCGAGGAGTGGATTGCTGTTCAGAAACTTGCCACGTCCCGTGGCCTCAAAGCCACCTATACCAAGTGCGACATTACCGATGAGGAGATAACCAAGGGTCTTCTAGAAAATATTGCAGCCGATGCTCTGAGCCGGAATAAGCCCTTGCGCGGGCTCATTACCTGTGCTGGAATTCAGCAAATGGTACCGGCCTTGGAATATCCTATTGAGGGTTACCGAAAGATGCTGGACGTGAAGTGAGCAATTACTGCATCGTGTGGATCTACGAATAAGTTGCTGATGTGTATTCCACAGTGTCCTTGGGACATTTATTCCCGCTAAGCACTGCGCTCGCATCTTCGTGGAGCAGAAGACGCCGGGAAGCATTGTTATGATCGCATCCATGTCAGGCCAGATTGCTAACCGGGTGAGTGCAATATACTACGAGGGACCGACGATGAACTAACAATTTTCTACTGTTTAGGGGTTGACTTGTACAGCCTACAATTCTTCCAAGGCCGCCGTGCACCAGATGTGCCGATCGGTCGCTCAGGAATGGGGACAGCACAATATTCGTGTCAACACACTTTCTGCCGGGGTGAGAATTCGTTAAAAATTTACCTGCATACTGATAGATCTCGCTAACTCATACTTTCAGTATATTCGTACTGCCATGACCGACGCCTTATTGAAGGAAAAGCCCGAAGTTGAGGAGACATGGATGCGCGGCGCCCTCCTCGGTCGCCTGGGTGCGCCCGAGGACTTCAAGGGGCCGACCGTGTATATGCTCGCTGATAGCAGTGCCTGGATGACTGGTGCCGATCTCCGCGTTGATGGCGGTCACTGTGCATCTGCATAGACCGGTCAAAGTTACATCAGGATGAAATAGAGATAGAGGTGGCATGTTTCTGGCGTTTTGGTCTCGGTAAGACAATGTTATAGAATGATTCTCCACAATAAATGAATTATCAATCAATATTTTGATAGAACAGTCAATGGTGCCGTGCTTGATTCTGATTTATTCACTATTTCAAGGGAAAATCAGATAGCCGAGGGTAGTTCACAGATACACCGAGCATCTCATCCACACTGTGTATCTGTGTTTAATTAGTGACGAGGCTGGCTGACGGATCTTAGGTTGGACTTGCCATGTCTAACAGCCCTGGTTGAATACCATCATACGAGAAAGGAGAATCAATGCTATGCTCTGTATTTGAGGTATGCCAATCGCTTGATCCAATGACATTGCAAGGTCGATTTCAGGGCCAGCGGATTGAAGGGGCCGAAACGGTTTATCATTTCACGTCAAAAGCCATGGATCTCATGTGGCCCTGAATGGGTCGAATGTCACAATACCTTCTATCTGACGTTGGCTAGGTGTTACGTCTGACAAGGCGCCAGTTTTGAAGGCGAGAGCTGAGAAGTCAAATTATACATAGACTAAGAATTTTGACCTTGTATTGAAACTGATAGCCTTGCTCTTAGTTTGAAATAGGAACAAAAGAATCATAAGCTGTAGACTACAGCGTATCTGTGACATGGACCACTCTCACAATTCACCACCAAGCCCGAGTTCCCGTCATCTCACCTTTCTGCTCCTACTATGCCCGCTAAGTCTTAGCCTTGAAACATATATGTTCTCAGGTACAGTGAAGCTCGCCTCCTTCGTGGGTATGGCAGTTCTGTGGAAATTAGTCTTCTATCTTAATGGAAAATATTGGTTGGCTCACTCACAGCGGGCACATCGGCTGTAGTAGAGGAAGCTTCGCCCGTCGTTGATGTAGCTGTGGGCTGACTTCCACCTGAATTTGCGACATCCGTTTCATCATCTTCGTGTTTATGCTCATGCTGTTCTCCCGGGCAGCCAATACCTGGGATTGAAATATCATGTGCATAAACTTCCAAGGCGAAGTATTGGAGAGTTTCTGAATCATGTGTCGACAGAGTTGCATTCTCGATTGCGAGGTCAATTACTTCCTCGAATCCATCCGCATAATGGTCGACCCAGCTCTGACCGATGGAAGGGAGATGATACAATCGGTGCAACAGATCAGAGGCCCAAAAAGTATTGGTTTCCGACCCCGAGACTGTGTAGCCCATTCCGCACATTGTTGAAAGAGAACGGCGAGTTTCGTAGCTCAGATCGCAAATGACAGTTTCTTTCGTACCATTTTCGCCTCGCCAATGCCCAGCATAACCTTAAAGACAAGATTCATAAATTCAGCACACCGAGCCAAGCATCATCACGTACGTCAAGGATTTACCTTCAAGATCACAGTTCCCGTCGGGGTTATCGCAGCGGAATAGAACATCATTTTTGTCACCACTAACGACCACTTCGAAAGCTCCAATAGCTTCCATCGAGGGGCTATTGCCGAAGTACTTTCTGTAAATCTCACTTTCATTTCTCCAGCGCGAAATGTGATCTCTAGCATGAGCTGCAAGGTCGACAGCTTCAGCCAGTCCTAGCTCGATTTGGCGACGCTGCGTTGCATTGCAACTAGCATGAATCGGAAACTGTGTCGTTCCACCTGCGTTCCAGGGGGTAATGTCGGTCATCTCAAATGGCCTTGACAGGTTTCCAGAGCCTAGAGCGGGCAAAGCCGCGGTAGTAGCCACCGAGATCATTAAGATTTTGATAAAGATTGCCATGATAAATGCTTTTTTCTGTGCAAACTTCTGTGTATCCCTGACTGGAAAATGAGGAAGAGATATTCCTTTTATAATTTTGCTACCGCCTCTATTTAGTTCTACTAATTGGATAAGTTCATTGCCGAAGTATAGCTTCTCATGCTGTACTGAGCTTTCTGGGTTCACAATATTCCCAAAAATGCCGCAATGATTACTTGGCTCAACCTTGTGGAATGACCCTGAGAGCTGCGGACTGCGAATTGAATATGTGCAAAGCGAGTACCTTGAGAGCTTTTTTCTATGCCCTGGCCTTCCATTCTGGTGGGGTGGTAAAAAGGGTCCTCCAATGCCAAGAACCAAGGCCAGCGGAGTCCTGCCAAGGAGCTTGGAACAGGGGACCTTGATAGAACAAGCGTGATGAAAACCAGTCTCTCCAAGAAAAGTCTCACTCGTTAGCAGATGCCTATGCTTGGCGGTACTCGGGACGATATTCCTCTTCTTGGCGACCGGGAATTTGGCCAAGGAAACTGTCAAGGTACCCATTGAGGTTTTAAAGCGAGACCTTTCATAGAGAGCCAGTCCCCCGGAATATTTTCAAGGAGGCATTCTCAATCGATATTGCTTTTTCCATCTCGGGTACATTTTATATCAAAATGTACGTTCTCAAGGCCTTTGTCATATCTTTGAGTGCAGTCAAGGCATTTGCGGCCACCTCTACTACGGATGCCGCCGCGAGCTCCATCACTGGATGTCATACTCACGGGTCAGAAATATTCTGCTTTGATAATGATGGACACGAGGTTCTGGTGTCGGCAACTACAACACCCACGAGTGGAACACCGGCGCAGTACACTGGCTGTCATTCTCATGGAAACGAGTCGTAAGTTCCGCAGTATAAATTTACGGTCAATTTTCTAATATTTTATTTTCTCAAAGATATTGCATGGATCAAGACGGAAATGATGTCTTGGTACAAGAGCAAGAGACTGATGATGAAGAATCAGACGAACACGACCATAACCATGAAGAGTCTGAAGAATCCGAGTCGACAGAGAAAACTAACTGCCATTTCCATGCTGGTGTAGAGTAAGTTTAAGTATTAAGTCTGTTCCCCACAATCGCTGACTTGATGGTTTTTGTGATGCAGGCATTGTGTCAGCGCAGGGGAGTCCGAGGAGAGTAGCCATCAGTCCTGTGGCATTCAAACAAGAGACTACAATGTACCCCTAAGGATTGGAACACTATTCGTTGTTCTCATCACCAGTGCGATCGGTGTCTTCGCCCCTATTATTTTGTCTAAGCTTCCATTTGCATCCATGAATTCCGTGGTATCAACGATCCTAAAACAATTCGGCACGGGCATCATTATCGCGACAGCATTTGTTCATGTAAGTCGAACTCATCGAACCACTGATATGTTCAAGACTGAGAAATTTATAGCTATACACACATGCCTCTCTTATGTTCACTAATGAATGTCTGGGCGAACTGGATTACGAAGCAACTACTTCTGCGGTGGTCATGGCTGGTATATTTCTGGCATTCTTGTTTGAATATATCGGCCACCGAGTTACCACTGCAAGGGCCGCAAAAGCAGGCACATCACCTTCGGAGCCTTCAAGCTCCCAAGAATCTTCTCGCAAAGAGGATGTCCCACCTCACCAGCAGGTGACACTAGCACATGTTGGGCATACCCATGGGCCACCTCTCGATCTGACCAAACCGATCACAAAATTTTCGGTACTTGTGATGGAAGCTGGGATACTGTTTCACAGTATCCTAATTGGTCTCACGCTAGTCGTTGCTGGAGACTCTTTCTATAAAACTCTTCTGGTGGTTATTGTTTTTCATCAATTCTTCGAGGGTCTAGCGCTTGGGGCTCGCATTGCGATGCTCCCGGGGGCAATCTTTCCTTCGAAAGCCATTATGGCCGGAGTGTTTGCCATTATCACTCCTATCGGGATGGCCATCGGCCTGGGCGTACTGCACTCTTTCAACGGGAACGAGAAGAGCACCCTAATTGCGCTCGGAACATTAGATGCCCTTTCTGCTGGTATTCTTGTGTGGGTAGGCGTTGTAGATATGTGGGCTCGAGACTGGGTGATCGAAGGAGGTGAAATGTTCAATGCACCTCTGACGAGAGTGCTAACAGGTGGATTGGCTTTGGTGACTGGGCTCGTTCTGATGGGGCTGTTAGGTAAATGGGCTTAAGCGGCCAAACTGCAGGCCGCTGTCTGCAGACTAGCGGTAGTTTCCGCCCAGCTGTTTATCGGATCTACTTCCACCTCGAAGTCACTAAGATCCAACATGGCTTCTAAAAATAAAATTAAACTCTATCCGCCATGTGGACTAGATCTATGAGCTACTGTACTATTGTAATAATACCCATTCTATAGGCGTAGAAGCGTTTGAACTATGAACTGAGGCTGCATCGCTCACGATCCCCAGTTGTCTGCCGATAAGACCAGTAAGGAGCCCCACTTACTGGGGCCGCACAGCCAATGATTAAGTGTCTCCGCAACAACCTGCCCGATTGCGAATAGCCTCTCCACCTTCGCCAACACAAGCCGTGAAAACGCCGACCCCCGCGTTTGAGCGAGAGGAGGGAGAGGTTGGTCAACAGACATTACTTTGATAAGTTTCTTTTAAACCTACTGAGCCCTTGGCGTGCAGACTACCTTGGTTTTGGTTGGTCTACGCTTACTATCGGGATCAGAGCGGTATCCTTATAGGCATCGAGAGATGTTGTGCGACACATCTACCTGTGGTCATCCGTATCTGTGCCGGGTGGAGCTTCCTGAATTGGTTAGTGAGACGCCAGCTGAGGGGACAGCAGATAAGAGGAGTGGTAAACAGCGGAACAGAGCAAGATGGGGACCAGCTATATGAGCCCCTTCCCTAACCCCCTTGTAGTTCTTGGAATAACTTCAGTTTCGATTCACTACTATACCACCTACCTGCTACTGGCCCGTCGCAATATACCTAGATTTGACTCTCCCATTTTCCTCACCTGCCTACCATCAACCAGTGGACTGCACCACGACAATCCAAATTAGATGGCGGTTTTGTCTCTCTATCCATTACGGCTCCACTCACATTCCTATACCATATCGCTGTCCCAGCCCCTCCGCAGAGCCAGTAGAAACAATACTCAAAAATCTAAACCGGTGATCTAAGCCAACAGTCATCGCGATTTTGTGAGGCAATAGTGGCAAGACCAGAAAATATGGCAATCGAAATTGTCCCTTTGACCAAGGCCGATATACCATCGGCCGTAGAGTGCGTTCAGAAAGCTTTTTCCGATGACCCTTACTTCCGTTGGGCATTCAATGATCCTTCTAAGGTATGAAATATCATTTTTTAAGGGTAAACCCCGGGTCTCTCTTTTCTGTGGTGTTGAGAAAGAGAAAGCAACATTTTTTGATCAAATTGTGCAATAGAAATGAATTAACACTTTCAAACTCTCTAGTTCAACACTCAGCGAAACGCAGCGTCTTTAGCGGCACACTTTCAGTATGGCCTTAGCTGCGACTGCCCTATCTCGGTTGCCAAAGTAACCTGCTCTATAAGCGACCAAAAGGTTGACCGTGACTTCAACCTAGCACCAGGCAGCGTTGTCGGTGTTGGCTGGTGGTACTCACCTCAGGCAGCACGCGCATCTCAAACTTGGTCCATCTGGGCGCAGGAGTGGCTCCTTTCTTTTCGACAGCTCCTGAATAATATTCGCTTCCTAGGCCGAGGCGGCCTAAATGTGCCTCGATACTGGATCTGGAAGCAGGTCCAAATGGAGGCACATAATACTCTCTGGACAGATCCTCGTGGTTACTACTTCTGTAACATGGTGGGTGTCAGTTCTCAGGCTCGTGGAATGGGCGTGGGGAAACGATTGATGGAAAGTGTTATGGAGAAGGCAGATCGAGAAGGTATGCCGTGCTACTTGGAAAGTAGTAAAGGCCACCCGAATATTACCATCTATGAAAAGATGGGGTTCGAGCTGATCAAAGAGATTCAATGTGTCGAAGGCGGAGACGTCTGCAAGGTAAGCTAAACCCAGCTTTAAATCCCGATCAATGACTGACCTGGAAACCCGCAAGCTATATTGCATGATCCGAAACCCGAAGGCCAAGTCTTAACGAACTAGCTATTATGGAAAAAAAGTAGTGGCGCTGCATATCTCATCAACACGTTATGAATGGCAGATTTCGTGGGGTCCTCCACAATAGAATCACCCTGTCATGATTCATGGGAATGTTGACAACCTTAGATAAGTCCGGGCGGTCGACGAATACCGTATAGGAAGACGCTTCGAAAAAGTGTAACTCGACTAGATATGATTACTAGCCACCAAAATATTTTCATGCTTCGAGTCCTGTCGTATCCGTTTCGAATTTGACTCAGGGCTAGATGCAAGGCAAACTCGATGAGGGGTAGTAGCACTAGGGGTCTCGCTGCGGACCGGGGGACTAGGGGTCAAAGAGTCCCCACTCAACAAATCGGAGACCTGTTTGGGGAAGGACCATTCGACGCTACTGCTTACCCGTCGGCCAATCAAATTGGTAAAGTAGCCTTATCGAGGCTGAGTCTTGCAGAGCCTCAATCATGCTGTTACTTTGTGAGTCAACCTATAAAACCAGCTCATTGTACACTTTACGAATTCAAGACCAGCTAAGCAAACAATCGCATTGCATGGAATATTAAACTATTAAACTCACCAACATCCCCCAATCCTTTACTGAGATCTACCACCACGAGACCAAGATCACCAACACAGTTTCCCCTTGTCAACCAGGTTAATCGATCAAATGTCAATTCACGGCTGTTTCTACCGGATCCCAGGAAACCGTCGTACAGTCAACGAGTACCTCCCACAGGTAGGGTTGGACGTGCACGCAACCCTTCTGTCGACCACGTCCAGAGCCCTCCTCACTCAGACTTTCGTGAATCCATCATCAACAGAGCCTATTCCAGAAGTCCTCTATACTTTTCCCCTCTACGACGGAGCCAGTGTTGTCAATTTTACCTGCCGTGTAGGAGACGACGTTATTCGGGGCAAAGTGGAACCAAAGAAAAAGGCCGATGAGATCTACCAGAAAGCCAAGGCCAAAGGACAGACAGCTGCAATCTTTGACCAATCATACAACGCGGGCGATATTTTCAAGACCAGGGTGGGCAATGTCCCAGCCGGCGGGAAAGTTGTTATTGAAATCACAATGGTGGAAGAACTGAAGCAAGACGCCCAAACAAATGGACCGCGGTATACAATACCCATGGCCATTGCTCCACGATATGGGGAGCGACACGAGGTATCAACTGGCCCCGAGGGAACAGTTGTCAAGACAACCATCAAGGTTGATGTCATAATGGAAAAGGGCTGCACGATTCGTAATGTCCGGTCGCCAAGTCACCCCATTGAGTTGAACCTAGGACGGGCGTCCTACATGTCAGAATCTACTTTTGAGCCTTGCTACGCCTCGGTCAGGCTGCAGAAGAATGCGGTCATGAGAGAGGATTTTGTTCTCACGGTGAACTCTGATAACCAAGATAACCCTGTCGCCTTCCTGGAAACGCACCCCACTCTGCCCAACCAGCAATCATTGATGGTCTCTCTGGTCCCGAAATTCAGCCTACCGCCAGATCCCTCGGAGATTATCTTCGTGATCGACCGAAGTGGCAGCATGCAAGACAAGATCGTGACTCTCAAGTCTGCCCTGGAGGTATTCCTAAAGTCGCTACCACTCGGCGTGCCATTCAACATTGTCTCATTTGGCAGTCACTGCAGCACGCTATGGCCTCGCAGCAGGGTCAGTGACAAAGCAAGTCTCGTTGATGCACTTGAATTCACGAAGACCATCGATGCGGACATGGGAGGGACAGAGATTCTGGCTGCACTCAAAGCTGCAATGAAAAACCACTACAAGGATAAGATCCCCGAGGTCCTGCTCCTTACTGATGGGCAGGTCTGGAACCAGTCGGACATCTTCAAGTTCGTGGATGAGGCTGTACAGAAAAGCTGTGCGCGTTTCTTCAGTCTGGGTATCGGAAACGCTGCTTCCCACTCTCTCATCAACGGAATTGCTCGAGCAGGGCGAGGCTTCTCCCAGTCAGTCCTGAAGTATGAGGAGCTAGATAAAAAGGTCATCCGCATGCTCAAAGGGGCTTTGATGCCACGCCTGGAAGACTGCCGATTGGACCTGGGACTATCTGTTCTGGTGGATGATTTTGTGGAGATTGAACCAGAGACAAGTAAACAACCATCCCTGGAAGTAACCACGAAGCCAATCTCCTTCTTTGAAGAAAGTCACGATGATTCGGGAATTCTGGAAGTGTCGGGGCAGGCTTTGCCAAAACTCTCTGTTCCAACATTCATTCATGCACCTACTGAGCTCCCTTATCTTTATCCCTCCATTCGATCAACGGTGTTTGTTCTCTTTTCAAACGAGACCTGTTCTCTTCCTGGCAAAGTCACGCTTCGCGCTAACAGCCGCCATGGCCCACTCGAGCTGGAGATACCTGTTCAAGATGTTGGTAGTGGAGAAACCATTCACCAGCTAGCAGCCAAAAGGGCCATGACCGAGCTTGAGGAATCTCGAGGCTGGATCCAGGATGCAAAGACCGATCGTGGCGAATCAATCAAGGAGAAATTTGAAAGTCGAATGGATGAGCTCGTACAAAACGAGTGCGAACGACTGGGTGTTCGATTCCAGATCGCCGGCAAGCACTGCTCGTTTGTGGCTGTTAGAGAAACTAAACCCGATTCCGAACCTGCGGCAGAAAATGCGGAAATTCTAGAAGTTGAAGCGTCTGGTATGACTGGCAGTGAGATTGAGAGTGAAATTAACTTAGATATAACAGACCACAGTGCCATGAAGTTTCTACGTGATGTCAGTGACTCTAATGGTGCGATCATTAGCTGTGCTCCTGCATCGGCATCCGCTCCATCTGCTTCTTCTGGACTTTTCGAGGCATATTCGGAAGACGAGGACCAGGACGAGGACGAAGATATGGGCTTCGCACTTTTTGATGATGATACTCCTCCACCAGCCCCTCAATTCAAGGATTTGTGCAAGAAGAGAGCCTTCCCCATCATGCGGTCTACAACTGCAGGAAAGCGTTGTCGAATGTCAATTCCTGAGAGCGACGATGAAAGCTCCAAAGCTCGTGGTGTGGAATCGAAATTGCAGCGAATCGTCCAGCTGCAGGCATTTGAGGGTTACTGGGACTGGTGCGACGAGCTTCATCAGATACTTAGCCTTGATCAAAAAGCTCTTCGTGCGCAATTGCTTGGTCGATACAAAGCGCTTACAGGCAACGAAACTGATATTCTGGACCACTCTGACTGGAAAGAGATTCTTGCTACTAGCCTTGTGGGTCGTTATCTAGAGAACCGGGCCTCGGAATCCAGAGACGTCTGGGAATTGCTCAAGGAGAAGGCAGACAAATGGGTGAATGATGCGATTGAGTCCATGAGTCAAGAACATCGAACAGTTGTGAGAGAGCTAATTGCTGAGCTGAGATCTTCTTTCTGAGCCTGCTGAGTGGTTGGTGTAATGTGAAGCTGTGATTTGCTCTTTGAGACCAAGAACCTTTATGACCCAATAGCTACATAGCTTAAATTGATCATATATGCGTTCAGCTATCTTATCCTCGTATTTTGGCCCAAGTTTTCCTTGTCGTGTCATATGTGGCTCGGTATAGCCATCTTAAGCAAAAGCCTAGGTATCTGAATCAACAAATCCAGTAGTCTAAGCCTTTACCAACTCTCCGTGAGACCCTTGAAGCTAACGCCCGCTGAGGATGCATTTTGATTTCTGGGTAGAATATCTCGTCAATAATATATGGCGGGTGCCTAGTCTCGCTACAGCCATCGATCCTTCATCCAAAGAAACTCAGAGTAAAGTGGATCCCTAGAGTACAGTCGATTTTGCCTCACAGTGGTCATATCTAGGTTGTGGACTTGTTGCCAAAGAGGCCATTACGGCCCCAAAAATGACAGAGTCATTGAAAGTGCCTTTTTGCACAGTGGCTGAGGATGTCCCTCATATTAAAAGTGTAGCACTGTCCAAAAATTTGCTTCTTTCAGCCGTCGGCTTCATGTTGATCTGTTGATCATCCGTAGGCAAGGGATGGGTTTTGCCTCTCCTCGCGGCCCCTCACCCTGCCTTTAAGCGTGATATCTTTTTTTTAAACAGGCACGTCACCGTTTACTCAATTCCTCAGTATTCTGAAAGCCTGTTCCTCTTATTTCGCCTCCCGTCGAGACTTCTGGCAATCAACGCTCTGCTTCATTCATTGACACTTTGGCCCTACCTGAAACAACCCCACTCACACGCAGCCCGAATGACAACGCGAGAGCCAATTGGCGTAGGCCCCGCATCAAGCTTTGTACTAATTCGCGAGCAAAGACTGGAACCACGCCTGAAATCTGCGTCAGCACTACTATTTTCAGGCTGCAAAGTCCCACTTATCTCCATTTCGATCGAGCGGTTCTCTGTCGAAACACACTGAGGAAAAAAAAAACTAACGGCGTGTATCATCACTCCGTCTGCACTTGCAGATCATCGGACTCCGTTACTTGCCTTTCCAAACACAAAGTTTGTTGCAAAGTAGACACTGTACGCCATGCTATACTTGGTTTTCACTAACCCAACAATAGCTAAAAATGGTCACACTGGCGGTATCCGCCCCGATCCGCCAATGCGATCTGTGAGGGACGATACACGATGGGCAACATGGCCAATGATAATAAACCCAAACCCCCAGTGTCCATCAACATGGTCGGCTCGAAGGGCCCAGAAATGAGCCATGATCAGCCAATGGTGATCCGGTCGTTCCGCGGTAGGCACAGATCAGATTGCGAAATATGAGGCATCACCCCCGAAGACTGGCGTAAGCCGAATGTCTTTATGCTGTGCTGTGCATTGTCCTCGGTACATGTACTTCGTCGCATCCCTGCCAAATCTTTTATTTTCCATCTGTCCCCCCTCTTCTCCTCTTTGTTCGACCCATTTCGCTTTCCCGTCGCTTTTATAGCTTGATTGTCACCCACGACCCTCAATCTACTACTTCCAACCCACCGTGGATCAACCCCAGACCCTCAAACCCGCCATGCACTGACCAACGCCTAACGGCTACAACTATACATTAAAAACGCCACCAGACTCGTATTCTGCCCATATCGTGACAGCTATTACTCGTTTAGTTTGATCTTTTCTCATCGCACCATGGGTCTCACTACACCTGCCATCATTGTGATCGTGCTGGTCGGCTGCCTAGCCATCACTGCTCTCGGCGCCGCCCTCTTCCGCCACTACCGACCGCTCGAAGAAGAAGCGCGATACAGTGCCTCCTACGAGCAAGGACAATACATGCGTACAGTGCGAATGCGCAACTATGGCCACTTAAAGCAAGAATCGCTAGGCGCAGTAAAGGATCTTGAGTCACGATGTACGCTTTCCCTCCGGTCGCTCCAGTTTGCGATCGCATTTCATGCGGCTAACCGTTAAACTACTCGAGTAGATACTGCAGACGAGGTTTCGAGCCACTACAACCCCCACCAATACACACCTCACGCGCCGCAAGAGTAAATCAGCTTGCATTTACCCACTCTATCTCTCTACGAATTATCGATGACCACGAATTACCACGATGAAAGAATTTTATATGGCAGGATTTTTGAAGGGCCATTCTCTGGATCTATACGGCGCACAATGGCGTCGCAATGGGAATGACTGAATGGATGGATGAATTGGCAGAGGCCGAATTTGTTTTCAGCGATCTATCATACCTTCTATCGATAACTAGGCACATCTTAGCCTAGGGTCGCTTGGAAGATGCAATCTGGGATTTCTTGGGGCTTTTGAGCGCAATTTTTGCATTTGTCGATTTCCATATACAACACCGCGGAAGAGTTATTACCATCCAAATGTTTTCTACCAGCATCTCATCTCTGAATACTAAGAAAATAAAAATAAAAATAAAGTAAAAGCCTTACCTAACCGGCTCCCACTTGATATTTTCCATTTGACCTATCGTAGAGCATGAATCACATTTACAGATCAGGTTGGTAAAGGAGATTCTATTACCCATGATGTCTCTCCTGCTCTATACTGCTGTTAGTTTACATGCCCAGACTTAACCAATAATGGACAAAAAGGGTCCGGAATGCTGCCTTAGTTCGATCCATATCAAACGTGCGCGTCTGGTCGACTAGATTACCCGATCGATGAGGTGTGTCTCGCACTCTTCGCCTATTTAGGCATCCCATACGCCAGCTCGAACTTCAACCACGAAGATTCAGCACTTGCCTATCGCAATCCTGACCCCATTCGATCGCCCAATTGATATCTGCTGCGGGGGAGGCGATATTTGACTGTTCATCAATATATTTATTCGCGACTTTGGTCTGCGCCTACAAGCCTCCGCTCCTCTCGTGGCAAGTTTTCGAGCTGAGCCCACGCCAAAGCCTCGCTACGTCCTATTAGCAAAGCGCATTCGTGCTCCAACTTCCGAACCATGGGCACCATTGTCAGCGGATCAGCTAAGCTTCGTATTGATTAAGCAATATTCTGACTGCGACTGCTTTCATAATATCTATTGAAAATCTCAGCTCATTTCCAAGCATGTCGACCTGGAGACCTGAATAGTTTTCATTGCTAATTTACCCCACCCTTTCGCGGACACGGATACTCCACGGAGATTCCACGGAGCCTTGACGGGGATCAGAGATGTTTAAGTGGTATCGCATTATCCACTCAACGGGGATTATTATTGAATGGATAGGAAATTTCTAGCATAGCTCCGATCACTCCTGCACCTTACATCATAAGCGCAGCTGTAATCACACCTAAGCCCGAATTCCCCTTTAGCACTAGTCAGTATCTCGTGGACTTCTACTGGATGGCGATTGCCCGTAAGCCATGGACGGATGAGGCTGTAACCAGCGCTGCCTCGGTTGATCGACATGAGACTACCAATGACCGCACTTTCGGCCCTACAGGGCGCAGACCGACCGTCCAGCTCTCTGGGGCTTGGCCTCCAGTCGGCCTTGGGCCCGTCGGGCGCAGGATTCGGTCTGTTAGTCGTCTACATTGAGCTTTAGCTGCTCATTTAGCTGAAATCATCATAGATGATTTCCTACGTGATTGCAGGATCCGCCCCCAAAACCCCACGTGTGACGATGAAAGAAACGTTCGGGATCGCACAGCTTTCTCGATGCGGTTATTCCCGTTTGCCTAGCCACGCTGGCCTGGTTTGAGGTATTGACAGAAGAACCAATAGCGATTCCATGGATGCTATCTAACTATCCAACTAAGTTTGACTCGCATTCTCGTATCTGAATTTCCAGGCAGCCAAAAACGACACTGCCTTTTTGGGCAATACGGCGTATTCGCGGAACCCCTAAGCCCTTCTTCCAGACTCCCCCACATGGTTCGTGCGCTACGGCCGTAGAAATGGATACGAGTACGGCTGGGTCAGGCCAAGATCGAACTAACTATTTATTGACTCGAGGCCTCGATGTGTCGGTGTGAGAAAAAAAAGTTCCCATCTTCGTGCACACAATTAAACAACTCACCATCAAATTTAAACTTCTCGAAACTGCAGCCGGCAGATCAGTCGTCATGATCTTCATGCGGCATGAACCAACTATGAGCACCCTCTCAGTCAACTACGAAAGTGACACGGCCAGCGATGAGCGGTATGTACTATTTTTGTTTTGGTTTTTTATTTCCCGCGACAAATAGATCTAATCTCAAAAATCTAGACCAGTTTCACAACCCTCGCGAACCAAAATCCAAGCAAATTTTCAAATCGCCCGCCCACCACCAAAATCATCACTCCGGCTCTCCGCAAAGTTATTACTGCAAATCCAACAACTCTCGCACAACCACCGTCCAGTCCCCGTTCTAGAAATATGGCAACCGCCATTGCGCAAATCAAAATTGACTCGCGAGTTTCCTCAACGACCAAAGCTACGGGCGGGCGATATCTACGCGACTCTCGATGAACCATACATTCCCAGCGCACCCTCGGTACGGAAGGACTCTACGAGATCTGACTCGCAAGAGAGCACGAACAGCAATCTTCAAAATAAGGATATAGTGTCAGCCATCTGTCAATCATCGAGTGGCGAAGCCAAGACCTCAATTATACACTTTCGCGACGCTCAGTGCAGCTGGCAGGCCAGCGTGGGCACTGCAGGCCCTGAGAAAACACTATGCTACCGATTTACTATCAACGATGAAAACAGAGACAAGAGCGACCCGGGCCGAATGATTATGCAATGGGAAAAGCGCGGCCTTGCTGGCAAGGACGAGAATTCTTCGCACTCATTCAATTCAGACCAATTTGTTCTAGTTTTGATTGATCGCCAGGCACGGCGGAAGAGTCGCATAGCAACCATGACCCCTGGCGGGCTGGAAATCATGGTCCGGAAAACCTCTATCATGGAGCACCTGCAGATGTGTTTGGACTTGACAAATCCTATATCGACAGCAACGAGTGGCGATCTGGACGCCCACGAGAACTTAGAAATGTGGCTATATACGCACGTTCTTACCTTAGGTATATGGGTGGCCCAGCAAGAAGGTTGGCTTGGTTGAGTGACGAGAAATATGAATAAATGATAAGAATGACATGCTAGTGTTTATATCGAATCAAAGCTAGTACGAAGCAATGCCCTCCTCCAGTGCCTTAATCTGTAGTGCCAGCAGACGAGAATAGTATCTGCACAGGGCCAGATTGCCACCCATGAACCAGAAGCCTGGGTAGCCACTGCGACGCCAGATAGTTCGCATCTCGCCCTCCGAGTCAAGCCCCCATACGTCACCAACCCGATCGGCAATCTCATCGCCAAAGATAAGGCGCGCTTGCGTGCGCATGTTCTGGTATCCCGTCGCAAAAATAATTTCATCCGCCTCCAACTCCGAGCCGTCGGCAAATCGGAGTCCATTGGGGAGCACTTCGCTGATCTCCTGCCCCTGCTTCACCTTGATCTTCCCGTCGATGACCAACTGGCTACCACCAACGTCGATATAGTACCCACCCCCACGCTGGAAGTACTTGACTAGAAGACCTGCATCCATGGGGCCACGGTCGGTCTTGAATCCAGCTTTCTCCAGCCCATCAAGGGTCTTTGCATCGTTCTTGGCAATCAACTCGAACACTTTGAGCTGCTGGGCCTTGAAAAGTTCGGGAGGGATACTCCACAGGTATGCGTCCGAGTCCTCGGTTGGGGGACCAGCCTCCTCGTACAGACCTTTCAGTCCAATATTGACAATAGAGTCCGAGGTCACAACGCAAGTAGAGCTTCGCTGCACCATAGTGACTTCGTAGCCTTTTTCCACGTAGTCCTGGGCGATATCGTGGCCGGAGTTACAAGAGCCGACGACAATCGCCTTCCTGCCTTGGGAGCCAGGTTTCACACCCTTGAACTCGGAGCTGTGGCAGATCAGGTCGCCCTTGAAGTTTTCAGCTCCTTTAAAAGTAGGCATGTTCTTTTTACCTGAGTGGCCAGTAGCTTGGATGACATGGTGGGGATGCAGAGTGCGCGTTTCAGTGGTGCCGTCTTCGGACTTGCGCTCGAGGATGACAGTCCACTGCCTCTTGCCCTCGTCATAGGAGGCAGACTTGAGTTCGGTCCGGGTCCAGACGTTCAATTCTAGAAGCTTGGCATAGGACTCGAAGAACTCGGCCAGCTTGTCTTTGGGTGTGAAAATTGGCCAGTTTGATGGGAAGTTCAGGTAAGGTAGGTGGTCGTACCACACGGGATCGTGGAGAACGAGTTGATGATACCGCCGACGCCAGCTGTCTCCAATTCTGTCTTCTTGGTCGACGATCAAGGTGTCGACGTTGAGCATTTTCAGTCGAGCCGCGGCGGTAAGACCACCTTGGCCGGCACCTGCATATAAATAGTCAGCCTCACATTTCCGTTAATAGTGGCCTCGACCTTTTGAATTTGATCAGTCATACCGAGGATGAGTACAGCGGGATCTTTGTCCACATAATTACTGTCGGCATTGCGTCTATCCTGCCAGTTCTGACGTCCTTGCTGCTCTCCGTGTTTCACTCCAATTGGTCTGCGGGCATGCGTTGCCTCTTCGTGGCCTGTCAGTTCAAGTAGAGTAGTAGAAATGGTGAAAATCTTCCACTCGCTCCCTTGCTGTGCCAATCGTACGACACCCTGTCCATTTCCAAAGTTGGTGGTAACCTTGATGAAGAATTCAACTCCATGGACTTCACCAAAAGCATCGATGGGACCGTTGTGCGGCGCTTTGAATGCAGATGAACGGTCGACTTCAACCTTGACGGATGACAGGCTTTCCGTCGCGAACTTGGCGACTGCTTCGCGTCCCTTGATGGTTCGGAAATCCCAGGACAGACAGAGGTGGTCGCGCCAGTAGCTGTTCTCCAAGAATGTTTGAGACACAGCATTGGCCTCCTTCTTCTCAAGAGCGTTGTTCAATTGCTCGACAACTTCGGTTGCAATCTGGTCGGGATTCTCTGGAGCGGCTGTGTTTGTTTCGGGGAATTGGCCGAATGGGATATTGTGGGAGCCAGGCTCTACTCGTTCGCGTGATGGGAGACTCAGCTGGTCTGCCATAGGAGATTCAACGTCAACAGCTGCCATCTTGAATGGGGTTGTTATGTTGAGAGTGAAATAGAAATAGTAGGACTGGAACCGCCGGTCGGAGCAAGCCCGACTGGATTTAAATGCTACTGCCAATGCCTGGAACCCCGCATCGCTGCTGACTTTACCACAACCCAAGCAACTTCCAAAATGGTGGGGAGATCTCCACCGAAAACGCTCAGCTGAGTGACAATCAAAGTAGTCTACACTAGTTTAGCCTGGTGTCTACGGGCCCCGCTGTGATCTAGGGTCCCCTGATGGATTCGTCAGTGTTTTCCCACACATGAGTCCTCCACATTATTCAAGGGCTCTGATAATGCTAATGAGACTACAGTGCCTACCTCGGTCACGTCAAATTGCCATGCTTCAAGCGCTGGTTGTATTTTTCTGCGCTCTCGTCGGTTTTTTGCGCATGTGACGGCCTCTACTCAGTCGGGTCCAGTAGTATGCAGCATCCTTGTTGCACGAAAATAGCTGCACAAGTAGCTTGGACTCGGCATGCCATCCAATCCCTCGTAAGGTGACTCGGTGAGTTGTAACGAGCTAGGTTTCAAGGTGGCGTTCAATCATGGATTAAATTCAGAGCCATGCAAGCTTGAGAAAGTAAAGGTTATTATCTCCTGGGTATGTTCGATTTCTCCTTGGTCTTCATCTCTGTCCGCCGACACCGGCGGACTGCGGGGCGAGAACAGTAGTAGCGCAGGCTAGGCCGTCCCTCAACCAAGTCGCGCGGGCGGGTAGTATCCGATTCGATTGGTATTAATTGCAAGGAAGAGAAATGTTGCATGTTCGCACAGTATGTCCGTTGGCATACTAGGTATGTGTGGCCGTGTTACCTCCTGGTTCCAAACTTCTCTCAAACTCCCCACCTACAATGCACTAGATGCCGTCATAGCGTCGCGAAATATATATTAAGATCGAGACACACAATGGAAGGCACCCTTAAGGAGGGTTATTTATCAGGAACATGGATAAAATTAAACTATCCATATGAACTGGAATGCTAGGCAATCCTTCCCTTAAGAGTTTCGAGTAATATAAAACTCAATAACTAGTGAACATGCGAGAAGGACAAAGATGGTTGAAGAATGCATTGCTGTGCCGTGAACAAACGGCATGAAAGGACAAATAGATCATGATCGCAATTCTGAGGCATCTTATATCAACGAGCATCATTGGTCTAGTGGTAGAATTCGTCGTTGCCATCGACGAGGCCCGTGTTCGATTCACGGATGATGCACAGCATTTCTTTTTTGTATTTCTCCCTGATTGAATTTTTGGGGGGCCCACCTTTTTAAGATAAGCGAAAGGGAGCCTTCCTGAAAGATGTGGTCAATAGACGATGAATTGGTCAACTAGCTAGTAAAGACTCCAAATTGAATAGAACTATCAATAGTATATGGAGTACTACTTCCTGACTAGCGGGTAGCCGTAGTGCAGTCGCACAACTATTCTTTGCATTGCGCCGAACAGCCTGCCACCGTCTATCGACTAATACCTACTTAGATTATCCCCCCCCCTTCCGCCCCTGACCGGACTATGTAATACGCGGCGGAAGTGGAGATGCTGTCGTGTCTTCACATACAGTAAACCCGACTCAATTGCCAGCATTTCTTTATCTATCATCTCTTTCAGGGGGGCACTGTTCTAAGGCTCTTTCGTTTGTAAAAGAGCTTCTTTGAGTATCAATGAATAGGAAGCTTATCCTTACTGAAATGTGAACAGCAGGAAGCCAAGTCACTACCTGAAACCCCGGCTAGAGAGTCTAGACCACAACGACCATGCATGAAAAACTCCGGCGTGGATGCCCAGACCACTCAAGCCACTCCGTGCAATACAAGACCAGCGGAAGCGTCGTAAGCCCGCATCGTATTTGTTCGCTGGCCGGAACGACGCGTTCGCGGAGCCACTTGCATTGAATTGGAGACAAGCTCCTATCCATGATCAAACTATTGAGTGAAATTTATTCTTGGTCGCACTCTTGGCAGGGCTGATGAGGAGGTCCAACATGGGGTTTAATTGCCTAGACCTCCGCTCGTCTCCTGGTCGCGCCGTGACCTGCTTCTCCTGTCTTTCCTACTTCCCCCCTCCCTCTCGATTATACAGGTGCCATTGCATTCTCTACGCCGATCGTAGCTTCGCATATGAAAATGCTGGAGCCAGAAGCTACGGCGTAAAAGCTGAAGTCAATCCCTTTCCAATATGAGTCGGATTAGACGCCAATACCTGGGATGCTTCCTCGCTATCCTAGTGGTATTTTTGCTGTACAATCGCAGCCGATCATGGCAAAAGGTCGAAACTGAGAATAACCCGCCGGCGATCGTGCCCCCCGCCAATCCCGAACCGTTGGACGATCACCCGCAGAACGAACCCAGACCAGACTCGATATGGTCAACATTACCTATACGATTCCCTGCCGCCTCAATCCAATCGATACCGGAAGGAAACCCACAGAAACTCCCTAAAATCCAATCCGCCTCCTCAAGAGTGTCCAGAATCACCCTATGGTATCAGACTGGCCGACAGTCCGCTGTGAAGGAGGCATTCAGCCGGTGTTGGAAGTCGTACAAGTCCAAAGCATGGCAGGCAGACGAGCTCGCACCGATAAGTCGAACGTCACGAAATGGTCTTGGAGGCTGGGGTGCGACGATATTCGACAATCTTGATACACTGTGGATCATGGGCATGCATGATGAGTTTGAAAATGCAGTTACCGCCATCTCTCAGATGAGCTTTGCGGATACTTCCTCGCCTGAGATCAATACACACGAGATCAATGCACACCTCCTCGGCGGCCTACTGGCTGCATATGATCTGAGTTCTGACAACAGATTGCTGCAAAAGGCAATCGAGGTCGGCGATATGCTCTATGCTGCCTTTGATACCCCTAACCGCATGCCTATCATACATTGGGATCTCCACAGGGCCCTGCGACAAGAGGAGCAAATTGCCGAAGAAGTAGTATCTGCCTCGGAACTTGGATCATTTGCCCTAGAATTCACACGACTGTCTCAGATTACTGGCGATCAGAAGTATTTCGATGCAGCGCAGCATGTTATGACGACACTTGATCGACAGCAGGACTTCACCAAATTGGCTGGCATGTGGCCCGTTGTTCTCAACGCCCGGACGGAGGTTTTCGACGGGGACCTCTATTCCATGGGCGCTGAAGTTGACTCCCTGTACAAGTCATTGCCGAAGGCATACGCATTGCTGGGAGGCCAAGAACCTATGTATCGCAAGATGTACGAGAAATTCACGCGCACAGCTGCAGGCCACAGCCTGTTTCGACCGATGAATGCCGAAGGAAAAGATGTTCTAGTCTCTGGCTCAGTTCATGTCATGATGACCGAGAACGGGAAGCCGCGCACGCACTTGGATCCTCAAGTTCATAGTCGCGCGTGCTCTGCAGGGGGGATGTTTGCCATTGGTGGCGCTCTCTTCAATATCCCGACGCATCGACAGATTGCCCACAAATTAGTGGACGGCTGTATATGGGCTCACAATGCTATTCCTCTAGGTATTATGCCTGAAATATACGAAGCCATTCCATGTGCGTCGCAAAAGACCTGCCCGTGGAACGAGTGGCATTGGAAGCAAGAAGTCTACAAATGGACTGCCAACCAACCGAACCCAAACTCCAACTTGGATGTTGACAAGTACATTGGGGAACATCATATTCCCAAGGGGTTTATTGCCATTCCCGACACTCGCTACAATTTACGACCGGAGACTATTGAGAGCATATTTATTCTTTACCGACTCACCGGCCGAGAAGACCTTCTTGATATTGCGTGGGAACTGTTCCAGAAAATTCAAAATGCCACTAAGACCTCCGATGCCAACGCAGCCATCGTGGATGTCACAACAAATGGCGAGCCAATGCTTGATGACTCCATGGAGAGTCATTGGATGGCCCAGGCCCTCAAGTACTTCTACCTCATTTTCAGTCCACCAGATGTGTTGAGTTTAGATGAGTATGTGTTTAACTCTGGTGGACACCCTCTAAAGATCCCCGAACATACGGAGACAGGGGTTGAATTCCAGTGACGAGGGAATTGAATTCCTGTACGGTGAATTTGATGCTCAGTTGAGTCTTGCATATCCTGGCGATTATCTGTGAAGAAGCAGATGATGTTTTTTTCTTTGTAATAATACATGTACATAGCGTGGGCGTCGCCGTCAATTTAACACAATTCATATGACCTTCATGTATAGCCCAAAATTAAGGAAGATAAAAAAGTGAGGCCACATATTGTTTGACCTCGACGCAGAAAAGACAACCTTGGAGCCTCGCGACTCCTAAGGTGTCCAGTCATTGCTCAAAATATCGGTGGTCACCAAGCAGCCGCAATCAAGGCAGCAGCAGCACCTCCCAAGACAACGCGAGGGCTACCAGTGACTCGAGACAAACCGCCAGTGCTAGTGTGAGAGGCGACAGCTGCGGATGATGTTGCCGAGGCGGACGAGGCAGTGCTTCCGGAAGCATTCGTCTTGCTAGATGTGAGGGCCGAGCTGGTCGTATCAGTGGCGGTGGATGCAGAGTTTGTGCTAGTAGGACCAGCGGTGACGGTGACTGGGAAGAATGTTATATCGCTCTGGGCCAGGGTGGATGACGATGTTCCAGGGAAGTTGGCCCCAGTACCGCTCATGATATCGGTACAGGTGGCAGTTGTCGTGCCGCCCATAGAGCAGACCACGCGGCCCCAGCTGTCAGTCATTGTTAGCTCAAGGTTCAAGCAATATCTGACGCGAAAGGGGAGAAAAGGGAGAGGGAGCGTACAATCCTTCCTCAGGCTCACTCATTGACCATTCAACGGTCTTAGGAGCTGAGGTATACCACATGCCCGGTCCCATTCCACAATCCGAGCCATCAGTACCAGGAGGACAGTTAATGCTATAGGTTGTAGTACCGGAGCCCTACGTTGAATTGATCAGCTCAATTAAGTTCGAAGATCTCCGCCCGTGAGTACGAACCTCTGCCACGATCGAGGCGGCCAGCGGTTGTGAGTCAATGTCTGGGATAAATATCGAGACAACGCTGGTCTGCGCAGTTGCTAAGCCCAGAGTTGCCAGAACTGTAATGCAAGTCTTCAAGGCCATGATGAGATGTGGAGATTGATTATGAGGAAGACGAAGAAGAAGTGTAAGATTTCCTGGGGGTGGCAGAAGACCCTTTTTCTTCTCTGGCGCGGAGTTGATCCGGCCCGCGACTTCGGTTCAGGGACTAGTGGAGATTGGAACTAACCAAAAATAGAAACGAACCAGATTAAGGCTCGCGTACGGCGGACTAGAGGGGACACTTTGCCATAACTCTAAATTCTGCTAAGTACAGTATCTTCACTGCTTCTTCTTCCGCCTGTATCCACTATTTACCCTTATGCCCTTATGCCTAATTAGTTATGTAGTACCCTACTTAAGGATACGTTATATAATATAGGCTTATCACATCTAGTAGTGTGATTACTAGGACCTAGTATTCGACTGAGAGATATTCTTTTATAGTTCCTAGATCGTGTTAACCTTCATATCCTAGTTCTAGCTATTCTTCCATATCTCTATTAAGGCTACTACCTATAGAACTCGCTAATCTTACTTTACGTATTTATTTAATCTTAGATATGCTGACCGGATATCGTTCTTCCTTCTAAGGACCTTCAAACGGCTATCAAAGTTACATATTAGTGAGTCTCGTCGTACTGCTACTAAGATATAGGGCTAATATTAAGAGGATATAAGCATTCGATAAAGCAGACTCATATAAGGATATACCCCGATAAAGATCTTCGGGATATAGTTACGATTTGCGAGAAACCTTAATGACTGCCTTTGTCTAACATTTTCTTCTGCGGTGAGATGGTATGTCGTCGTGTGGTCCATTAGTACCGGTCTTCTCACCAGGCATACGGCAAGACCCCCGTTTGATTATCATCCCCTATGGGAGATTAGAGAAAGTGACCCTGCGAGTCATGTTGTGAACAAGGTGTAGTTTCCGGGTTCATTCAAGCCATACGAATGTGACTTTTGAATTAGGTATTACACGGATATATAAATTGCTAACTCATAATTTCATCGATGCACAATCTATCCAAACCCCCACGGTCAAGGCCGCATCATGTCCGATTTCCTCCGTCCAGCTCATGCACCTTGGCCACATTGCTGTCCAACTCCTGTATTGGCTCTGATTTTTGTGCTCCATGCACACCGAGCCCGTAGTTCTGGCCTGGCGCCCATTTCTGCTGCAACATATCCTCGCTCCCGGTATTCGAGTACAATTCTGGAATTGACCGTCCGGTTTCTGAGGGTAGTCCGGGAGAGAGCGAGGGCAGGCTGATGCCTGCTGAGGAAGTTGACATGTATTTTGGGTTCTTTCCTGCCCCAGTTGTCGTGCCGGAGGGGCTGGAGTATTGCGAGTCTAAGCAAAGGCAATAAATGTTAGCCAATGGACTTGGATAGATCCAGTCCGGAAGGAGACTGGTACATACCATGGTACGGCGACATCGGGGATGGATGCTGATATCCATATTCGCCTGGATACATCCTCTGCTGCTCGCCCTCGACAACAGATGGCGTGCGCCCGTGTCCACTCATCGCAGCAGCCTTCTTGTTCCTTCTCCGCATGAAAAGCCAGAGGAGAGCTCCGACAATCACCAGCGCTGCAATAGCCCCAACCACGATTCCCGCGATCGCACCGCCGGATAGCCCACCCCCTCCGCCACTACCTTTATCATTGTCATCGCCTGTGCCCTCGTCCTGGAATAGGGTGAATTGACCCTGACGGGACGAGCTCCACGCAGCGGCAAGTAAATCATCGGCCGGGCACCCCCCGGTCTGGTCGCAAGCACGACTCGAGCAGCAGCCGAGGAAGGGCGGGTGCGTCGAGTTGCAGGTATACCAGTTGGTGTTCGCGGAGCCGATGCACAAGTTGGGCAAGAGCTTATCGAATATAGAGCCGTCAAAGGAGGCGGGATAGAGGTCGGGGCATGGCGCGGTGCTGTTTGCGTCGACGTTTGTGCATGGATCCGAGGAGCAGCAGCCGACGAAGTACGGCGCGTCCGGGCACACGTACCAGGTACCGCCTGACGGGCAGGTGAAATGATTCGAGCTCGAGTTCGACATTATGGCTACCGTTGTATTCTGTCTTGATAAAGACTACTGCCGGCGAGAAAAAAGAGAATGGAGAATGGAAGAAGCCTGAAAACTGCGCGTCAGGAACGTTCCACCGAGCCAGGACCCTTACATTTCGAAAAAAAACCCAGCAGACCTAACGCTGTGGGGAGTTCTTAATATCAGGCTGACCATTGCCCAGCAGATCTGACTGAGGCTGAGAGCTTGGCTGGAGGTTGCGCGACTGGCATTGGTGCTACTGCAGGCTGGCCGAGGCTAGCGAATTTTGCGCGTCTTTGATTGGCGGCTCCAGCGAAGGATGCTAAGAACCCTACTGCATAGTGCGAGATGCGTTGTGAGCACAGAGACAGGCTTGGGGGCCGAATCTCCTGCTGTTACGCCGATGGGAGAACGGGAATTGAGGGCAAGACCAGCACCCAACGGCAGTCGCTTGTATGTATACATAGATATACATAGATTCAACCCTATACTAAGTAAATGCCGTATGATAAGTAAATAATATCCCTCTGCTGCGTTCGTGTTTCAACTTTCAACCCCCAACTTCTAGGGATCTTAGTCCCAGCCCAAAGGCCAACGAAGCGGGGCTAAAACGACGCCTTGGCTGCATTTGTGGAGGCTCATGGCACGGATTGGCACAACACTAGTCCTAATTAAGCATATCATTTCGGGTGATGCGGGGGTGATTGCTTAATTAGAACTGGTGGGATGCCAATCCGCGTGCCATGAGCCTCGCCCTTTGTGGATATCGCAAGGTTAAGATAATTCTCAACCAAGTTAACTAGGTTATATTTTGATTCTACCTGTGGCTTTGACCACCCGGGTGGTCAAAGCCACGGGTAGTACTATAGTTAGTCAGCTAATCCAATCAATTTTAAGGGGAAACTCGCCTTTCTACGGGGTATAGTCCGTATGGGAAGTAGAAAGATTATATAGTAGATTGCGTGGGAGATTATATGGTAAAATGTATGATAGGTATAGCCGAAATTGAGATTCTGCCACATTAAATTGGCTTACTAAGGATTTGGCGCGATCCCGTTGTTTTTGGGTTTCTACACTTCTGAAACAGACGTCATGCGTATTATCATTATTTCCTTCGCAGTTTTTTTGGGAATATAGATTCAGCAGTAAATTAGTAGTTGTCTTACAAGACCACACAGAGCTCAAGTTTCATCTTTGGTAATTCCAATATAATCAGAACGTGCCGACAGCAAATACGAGCGAGCGCCAGAGGGAATACTTCAAGACCTGAAAAATTAGGAAAGTACCTTTACAGATCGGAAGTCTTCATTCCTAAACCACAATAGAGCCGATGCAAAGATTCTTAAGGGGTTTGTGGCTGCACACTGGTCTCAGCCCAGACCTCTCGCTGGACTTGACGACGAAGATCCTCCTCCTCAGCTTGCAAGTTATCTCCAAAAACTGCTGCCACTTGTTCCAAAGTTCTGTTGGAGGTTTCTCGCACAAAGAAAAACGAGAATACACTCGCGATCAAGCACCACACTCCGAAGAAAAGGAATGTACCCCAGCCAATGGATACAAGCATTTGGGGAACGACCGTGCCGATGATGAAATTGGCCAACCAGTTAGTCGCTGTCGCAATACCCACTCCTTTAGCCCGTCGAGAGCTAGGGAATACCTCAGCAGGCAAGACCCAAGCAAGAGGGCCATATGAAAGTGCATAGGCAAGGACATAGATATCTGGCGTGTGTGAGCTGGGGGATCTTCGCAGGAAATGAAATGAAGTGGAGCCACTGACAGACTAGAGCGACACCGAACCACCCAACAGCTGGATGACTTTCCCAACTTGAGCTGAACTTGCTAACCACACCTGCCATAATCAAATGGGGAATAGCCATACCGAGGGCTCCGTAAATTCCAATTCTTCGTCTGCCGATCTTGTCCATGTAAAGCAGAATGGGAATGTTACCGACAAGCTGGCAAATGTTTACCATTCCAGATAGAATAAGTGACATATTATAATCTTGGCCAAGCTCTGTGAAGAACGTAGGAGCGTAGTAGACAAACGCGTTAATACCAGAGAACTATTATGAACATCGAATTAGCTTCAAAATTCCACACAAAGATTATATCAGTGAGATTTTCTACCTGTTGGAAGAATGGAATTGCGATGGCCACACATGTGCGTTTAAAGTATTTTGGCCGGAAGAGATCAAGCCACTGTTTAATCTCCATCATCAACGGCCCAGTATTAGGATGTTGGTTTCGGAGGATTTGCTTCTGGAATCGATCTTCGGTCAGAATCCCTCGCCACTCAAGTTGAACTGTTTCATCCGTCGTGGGTAGTCTGCGAAGCTTTGAAAGTGCCTGTAGACTTTCTTGGTTCCTGTCTCTGAGGGCCAGCCATCGAGGGGAAAATGGGAAAAAATGAATGCCGAGCCCAACTACCAAGCCGGGAATTATTTGCAAGAGGAAAGGGAGTCGGTAAGCCCAATCTCCGCTCATTGCTCTATACGCCCCCCAAAAACATCAATTTGCGCCCTGGATGATTTTTGAGAGTCAAATGAAACTCACCTTGTCCCATATGTAATCCAGTATGCGACAATTGCACCGATAACGATGCTGATTGATTCGAGGACCATTAAAGACCCTCGCAGATTGGGAGGCGCAATCTCAGAGATGTAAAGAGGAGCTCCCAAAGCCAAGGTACCGACACCAATGCCTCCAATGAAACGACCTGCAACGAGAGAGTCATAGTTCTGGGCGGATGTTTGGATGATAGCGCCGATAGTAAAGAACGCAGTGGCAATACTGATGCCCCATTTGCGAGAAATTCGATCAGCCAGGTAAGGGAAGAGGAGACACCCAACGAAGGCGCCCAGCTCCAGCATGCCCGTCAGAAAACCTTTGTTGAAACCATAGTTTGGAGCATTTTCGCCGACCTGTGGAAACTGATCGACGAACTGCGGCATCACCAGGATCAGAGAAATAACGCCTTGGTCTGGAGCCAGCTGTCAGAACGAGAGCACTGATTAATTCTAGCAACTAACGTACCGTAGCCGAAAGAAAACCCGCCAAAAGATGCCAACAGAGCTGCACCAAAGACGTAGGGAGAATTAAGAATTCCTCTAACTCCATTGCTATCGTAGTTGATGTCAATAGATGGCATCTCTGGGGACTCATCATCACTCCTATTCTCATCATGTTCGAAGGATGTTATTTTCTCAGCTGCCGCCCCCGATGTGTCCTTGAGTTCCGCCATGTGTCAAAGTGAAATATTGAAGAGTGGAGACTGAGACTGGAATGGTTACTCCCGGGTGAGATGGATCGTGAAGTATCAGAACATCGATGAGCTTATATAGTTTCACTGCCGCTAGATGCAGATCCGGGGTCATATCCATCTGTCTAGACTGAGAGATATTTCCCGGGGTAGACTGGAACTAAGGTGGAGATTTACCCCGTGGGGTGCGGAAATTTTAGCCCAAAATGGGTGAAGTGGAGACTCGTTGAAGGCAAAACGAGCAAGGATCGGCTGGCAGCCCCATTCTAATGATTCGAGGCGTTGGAGTCTGGGAGTCGCCCTGATTCATCATTTTTCCTGCATCTTTTCTGCCCATGATTGGCTTTCTTCTCCACTCACATTCCGCTGCAGCTTCCCAGCTGCAGCAGTTGCAATACCCAACCCCATATTATTTCCCCGCCACGGAGTACACAATCCCGTTCATATTGAAGATATTGGAAATACATGACGTACGCAGATGTCAGTGCTTCAATTTGAAAAAAAATTAGTTTATATCTCATGCGGAAAATCTGTCTACGAATGTTTAAATATGTGAGCACAATTAACTTGAAGAAGAGAGGCTGCTACCATACAGCTCGCGAGCCCCAATCCTTTGAGAAGTATACACAGTGGAAGAGCAATAACACATTTAATAGTTCTTGGGAATTAGAGGTTTGTTTGCGATGACATTGGTAAGTGTTCTAGAGGAAGGAACGGTTGTCCAAAGGCAGCTCGAACCCTGGATTCTTGAAACAGTAGCATAAATAACATCTCACATATTACGATACTTTTGTCTATCACTAAGCCGGAATCTCCCTTTTCCATAGTTTGATAGGCATATCACCCATCAAGAGATTGAAAGCCTCGAATCTCTGCAACTTCCACTCGGGACTTGCCAGCGCAAACTCATACCGATGCACCAGAGAGGCAAGCACAACAGTCTGTTCCAAATAAGAGATATTCCGTCCAATGCATCCTCTGGCTCCCGTAGAAAACGGAATAAAGTACGGCTCCATCCTTTTTCTCTCTTCGACATCCATCCACCGATGCGGCTGGAACTCATCGGGATTCGGAAAGACATTTGGATCGTGATGCGCAGTGTAGATTGTCATGGAGACACTTGTATCCCCAGGAATCCACTCCCCTAGAATTCTAGCTCCCTCTGGCGGCGTCCTGCGAGGCAGACCTGCAGATGTAGGTGGAATAATGCGTAGAGCCTCATCGATGCAAGCACGGAGGAAAGGGAGATATTTGACCTTGCCGTAGGGTGCGACGATGTCATCCGGAGAGAGCACACTATCCACTTCTTCTCGCAGCGTCGCAAGATGCTGGGGGTGACGAATAAGCAGCTCCAGAATTTGGGTCAATGCTATAGCGGTTGTGTCTGCGCCCGCATCAATGATCGCTGCAATTTCCCCAATAATTTCGCCCCACTCAGAGTTATGGGGCTTGCCAGTCTTATCATCCATGAGCGCAGTGAAGAAGTCGTCAAGATGCTCTCCCTTATTGTATCGTTCAAGTCGAGTAACAGCTTGGTGATGGATGATATCTTTGAATGGCTCTGCGGTCTTCCAAACCTTTCGCCACTGCGGGAAAAGCTTAGATAGACGCACGAAAAGTTGGAAGTTGTTGTAATCCCAAACAAAATGGGAGGTCGCATAAGCAGCCTGGTTCTGGGAGATGCGATATCTAGCTTGGTAGGTGGTGCCGTCCATTCTCTGCGCCGTGACTAGATCGTTTCCTTTTTCCAGAATGCCCAAGTCAGAAGACAAAGCAATGCTATTGATAGCTTCAATAGTGAAGAGATTGACCCAGAGATTAAAATTGACAGTCAAGTCCGATGGTTCTGGCACGGAGTCACCTGAAAGTGGCTCAGTGCATAGTTTGTCGAAGGCCGCCAAGAGTCGCTCGGTGGTGCGTGCAACTTTGAACTCCCAGAGTTCAAGATTCTTGATGGCAAATGCAGCAGAAAGCCTCTTTCTCTTCACGGCATGATTCGGCTTATCAACAACATCGAATAGATTGGGATGGGTGCCTGCCGTGATCGAATACTTCAGGTCTTTGACACAGGACGTGGAATGACCATATATATCTCTAATTGCATCGGTGCCACTGAAAGACAGGCTGTTCGGACCGATGCGCAAGATCGCTGATTTCTCGTGCAGTTTTGTGAGATCTCGTGACCGGAAGCCGCGAGCACTGAGGTAACAGTACGGGATATCTGTGATCCCCGAAAGAAATGAATGATTGGGATATTTGCGAAGACCTTTAGGATCATGAAAATATTTGAAAACAGGCAGTATCAACCAAGTGATAGTGAAGTAGATGGCTGTCACCGAGAGCACAGCAGTCGACAGCATTTTTGAGGTATGATAATGATGGAGGGACTGAATGGCCCTCGAGTTTACAGGGTCCTTTAATGTTTTTATATTTTACATTATCCGGCTCAGAATATCGGAGATAGCTAGTAATAGCTCAAAGAAGCAAAAAAAAGTTCCATTTCACTATATTGGCTTGAAGTTGATATTGGGGCTCACCTGTAAAGCCGGAAGTTTACCTACCTTTGAGGGTGGTCTATAGGCTCACCAAAAACGGATAATTTCCCGGTTAGTACGAAGCTATTTATTGCACCCAAACTGATCTTCAACAGCGTCAGCGAATTATAAACCCCGACAACTGAGGTTGAGTGCGGGGGCGGGGACTCGACGCTAGGTGCATTGCGGAAATTGTTGCCCAATCGGTCCTGTCTCGGCAAACATGGATGCCCCTCGAAAAAAGCTTACACAAGGTTCATCATAGATACGGCGAAGCTCCGATCTGTCGATTAGGTGCACTAAATCATCCTAGGCCCATATGATAATACTCTCGGGCCGTTACCGATATTCTGCAATCAAGTAGCGAGGACACAGCTAGTACAAATCTCGTTTCCTTCTAATATGCTACGAGTGGATTCCAAGAAAGGGCATATAGCGAATCTCTCATCTCTCAACTCTTAACTCTTAACTCTCAAGAGACAGTGCGCTAGACCTAATGGAGATTGTCCTCAAGAGGCGGAATTTTTAGGTCTAGATTGTTTAAGAGCTGTAGGTTCCCACTTGAAAGCCTATCATAGATCGGCCCTGGGGTTCCTGGTTCCTTCCGTCTTTCTCATAAGACTTTTCAAGATAGATCTAAATATTGTTTTCTCGAGACTTGCTTCCTGCAATTTCTTTCCTTAGAGGCCGAATTCTCTGATAGGGTAAGCAGCTGTCAAAGCCTCCCGCATTGAATCTCACGACAGAGCCCTTGTTTGCCAAGCTTCGTTGAGCGCAGTTGCTGTAGCAGCCGTTGGCCACCCATGTTGAAACTCTAGGTTGGCCAAAAATTCGAGAATCGCATTCTGCTCTGCAGGGTCCGTAAGGTACTCTCCACAAACAGATATACCAACCGCAGCATCGACAAAAAGCGACGGGCATTTCGAATTCGATAGTGCCAACCCAACGAGGCGGCGAATGATGCACCTCAATTCCTCTTCTAGCGCAAGATTTGCTTGACGGGCGGCCAAGCCAAGACGGGAGAGCTTCGGGTCAGAAACTGCGAGTAGGATACGAGATAATTCGATGTGCTGTGATCCAACGGCTTGGCAGGCATTTTGGTGCCAGATGACTGGAAAGAACTTCCCAGACGAAGGATCCGCTTCTTCGAAATATAATGGCTTGAATTCGAGTGGCTTGTTGGATTCCCACTTCAAATCAAATGCCTTCAAGGCTGACCACCGTTTCATCTTTTCAGCAAAGGGTAAAGACTTGCCCTCGCCGAAACAGAACTTCAGAATATCTGCACACCATACGAGAATCCGATTTGTCCAAGTGAAGTCATTGACATGGTCAAATTGAGTATAGTCGTTTGTCGGGCACACTGGCAAACGGAAGGTTCGTTGGTTGAGGAAGCCACTCCAGATTTCCTGACGGAGGGCGATCAAGCAGGCAGAATGACGGAGTGATGTTGATGGAATGGCGTGGATGTCTCGGTTTCTCCGTGGACCATGAATGGTATCATATGCGTAGAATGATTCGTTTTGCTGGGAGCTCACGATAAATTGAACGGTACTTAGATATGCCTCCGAGTCCATTCCAATCGATGGGGCTACTCTCAGTTAGCCAGATTTTGGATACTATTTCATACAGAGAGTCGGATACTTGCCGTCTATCTGCTCATAAAACCGCAGTATTGTGGCGGCGGTGAGAACATCCTCATTGTACTGCTCATTTGGATCCTTCGACAGATCCAATAAGTATGAGATACAGGTATCATGATAGTGAACAACTGCATCCACATTAATTCGGGGAAGTTTGATTCCATTAATCGTCACGCCGTTTGAGTCTCCCTGGCAAGACGCCATGCGTATTAGATGACCGGCAGAGGCAGTCAAAATCGCATACCGCAAGACAGGGCAGAACATGGCTCGTTGAGGAACATGAAGCTCAAAATGCCGGTCCCTATCACATGTGTCGAACTATATTGATAACCTTTAGTTAGAACCGGGGCGATATATGTGGCATTAAGCGACCTACCCATGGAGCTAAATCTTCTGTAAAGTGTCGTATCAAACAAGCTTCCTCTAGGTTCGCGTAAGAACTACCAGAGCAACCTTCAGGAAGCCCCTTCAAAGGCCCAATCGGATATTTCCCCCTCTGTGCTGGAAATGCAGAGACTGAAGAATGATGCGACTCAAGGTCTTGACTTTGTATCGTCGGTGGATCTGACGCTAGAAACGATCTTGACTCCGTAGGATCATAAGAAGGCTGCATTTCAGATGTCGAGGCGTAGTAGGCAGAAAACTCCTCTCGATTTGGGCTTTCATTGCCTATAAAGCCGGAAGGTTGATGTTCGTCTTCTTCTACAAGACCTCTCTCGGGGGAAATCTTCGAACTGCTCAGCAGGCTGGGCACTGTGACAGCGGGACCGACGGCTTCAAACTCCATAGGCGTTTCACCTGTCGCTGGGGATGATTCTCCTTCTACCTCTAGACCAGAGCTCTGCGTTGCATGCACATAAGAAAGGCGCCCTTAAATTTCGAAAGTCAGCCACGTGAAGGACTATGGTTGTGTCAATTGCTACTCACCTGTTGGGTTATAATCGACCCATTTTTGATTGGGAGAAAAGTCAAAACTCTGACGTCGCCTACAGCCATTCTTGAATTTGAAACTTGTTCCTGACGCCTCGCATGGTATCTTCGACTTGACACAATGCGAGCATGGCCTTTTGCTGTCACCTGAAAACGGACATTAGCCTTGGTATGCCATCGGTGGGCTAGAAATCTTGCATTTTCGGTGACGAGCTGTTGGTTATATGTCAGATAAATATAGACTATATTTGAAGGAGCACATACATCTGCACGTGTCACAAGGGTTTGAGGTATATCGCTGACGCGACGTCATTCGTCGTCGCTCGATCGTAGCGAAAGGTGTCACGAGAGTGGATGCCCTGGTGTAGGCTTTTTGAGACCCCGACGTCCGAGTATAATAATTAGTCTCAAAGGGCTAAGGCGATTAATATGACATTAAATGGCAGTAGAAGAAGCGCAGAGTTGCGAAAGACGCTTTTTCGCTCGTGCGGGGAAGACGAGCCCGCGTGTGGAGAAAAGTCGCCTGAATATTCAGGCAATAAACTTCATACTGGACTACGGCAAGGGACTATTTAATTTAATCGTGAACAGGCTCAGTAGTGGGGCTTCAGCAATAATAATCATAGCAGAATGTCTAGGCAGAGTGGTAAGATATGGTATACTCTCTAAATCATGTCTTGCCGATATTGCGATGCCGCAATTATCTCAGCGTTCAGAAAGCCAGGAATATTCCAAAAGTTTACATCATCAAAACTGAGATCTGGAATCTGTATATACGTCAGTACCTTCATCTAAATCTCATTTATTAGTAAAAAACACTTACCATAAATTCCGACTCTAGGCTTGACCCAATCGCGCTCTCGGGCGTGAACTCACAGACTCCGTCAGCCGGCGTAAGTATCGTGCCATCCGTCATTGTGGCCGGAGGCTCATTCGACATATGGTGTTGTAGGAGCTTACGACACGTTTTCATGCTTTCTATGAAAGCTTCTCGGATATGAGTCCACTCTGCTTGTTCTCCACGAGGTACAGCTTGGATTTGTGCAAGGATACCAACGAGTAGACAGTACCGCTTCATACTCGGGATTCCTGCGTCCAAGCCTTGATAGAGTTGGCCCTTGATCCGCTCGAGCGCGTGAATGAAATGCTTGTGAGCTGCGCTCACCCTTGGATCCACTGCCTCCGGTGGGAGTGAGACAGGACCGCTGGGTAGTGTAATGACTTCCTCTTCCAGCTGGGTGATGAGTTCTAGGCTGATGACGATGATTATATCTAGAGAAAGGCAACCCTTGAACACACCAGCTCCGGAGAGACACAATCGTTGAAAATCCTGATATGGAGTTTCATCAGCATCGAAGGAGGCAGAAGGATCCGCGTAGGATGCCAAGATGAGAGCGGAGTCGAGACTCAGTTTTCGAGACAGATAAAATCGAGGATCTTGAGCGGACCGGGTTGTGAAAGGGCGGTACAGATTAAGCAAAAAGCGCCGTAATATCGTGTCCATAAGCTGGTGGTGAAACTGGGTTGGCCGAATCATGCTTTTACCAGTCCGCGAGAGCCATATGTGAAAGAGCGCTGCCATTTCCTTGCAAGCGGTGGTTATATCAGCCCCCAAACGTAACGCGTTCTCGTAAGATTGCTCATTATTGCAATCGTTGAGGGCTCGTAGTATGCGCAGCCGTACTGGGAGGGACTGGCAGAGGAGACTCTGCAAGGATGATGTGGTGTAATATTTCTTGGGCTGTGGCGGAGGTATATCAGTTGTTGACTGATCGAAGTCATCATCGCCTAGATTTGCTGGTGGACATGTATCGTAGTCCTCTGGAGTCAGCAGTGGAGGCATAGCCGCATCGATTGAAAACTGGACGTTGATCTCGAGAATAGAAGCCCATATACGGCGTCGCATCTCCGCATCGAATGGTGAAATCGCTGGGAAATGCTTGGGGTCGCGATGCAAGCCCTGGTGAATAGCTTGGCGCAACAATGTACCGGCAGCCGTCCAATTAGATTCCTTATCCATTGCATAGGCCTGCCGGCAGAGAAGGAGAAGGCAATGCACCTGCAAACCTTCTATACTCTCTCTTTCCTTTTCAAATGGACCAGAAATCCACCACTGTGCAGCATAAATCCACCGTCGGATCGGTAGACCAAGCTCGTTAGATGGACCTGGCTTGCAATAAAATACGGATCCAATCGCTAGCATCAGGAGAAGCTTTCTTACAAAGCCCGTTGATGCAGAGAGTGAGTTCTCCCAGAAGCGTTCATATTCCTGATAGAATGATGGGATGTGCATGACTTGATATATCAAGCCCAGGGTCCGGAAGTAGTTGCGAACAAGCTCGTCGCAGACGTCCCTTGAAGGTAGATCGTTGAGTAGATTTGGGGCTGGATCTGCCAATTGCGGAGCCTGTCGGCTTTTAATGATTCTCCTCAAGCCTCGAACTTCCCCGAGAAGCCTGCTAATGTCATTTTGATTGCCATCAGTATAATTGGCTGTGTTACGTACTTGTCGCAACAGGCGAAGCTAGCACAGATGGTTAGTTCCTTAACATAGCCCCGGTAAGATGTCGTATCTCGTACCTGGTGAAATATAAGGGCCCAATGGGTAGTGCCAAATAACCTAGTTCGTTCGCCAATACTCTTGAGTCGAGGGGCCAAAGGAGGAATCGTAGTCTGTGGTGGATCTGATTCCCCGGATTTACCGGGTGGTGATAACCGTTCCAGCTCGGCAATGCGCTCGTTGAGCCCGTTCAAGTTGTGCATTGAACTTGAGTTACCATGTGATGATAGGTGGCCGTTCTCTGAGCCTTTAACTTGGGTCTCAAGGCTCGATAGACGATCATGAAGAGCCCGAACACTGCTCTCCAACTTTGCAATTCGAGCTGCATCACCCAGCGCATCCACAGAAGTACCATTTCCAGAGGCGAGATTAGATCCAACAGGAGAAGTTGGCGATCCATACACACTTCCCCTGGATGTCTCAAGTCTCGCATCCAAAGCTGCTTTGCCCTCATGGACATATGAGCATTTCGTACATCCATGGGCTTTAGTACACGGTCCGCACGGCATCTCTTTATCGCATTTGATCTTGCGCGCGCGACATTGTTGGCAAGAGAGTGCCGGGCGGCGGCGTTTGCGGGGATTTGACGGGGGAGATTGATGCTGGTCTGTGCCATTCATTGTAAACAGATTCTTTGAACGAAGAATTCGTGAATTGAATTTCTGAAGTTGTCGGGAAAGGAGAGCCTTGTGAACGCTTTGCGTCACCCTCGCTGAATTCCGGCAAATTCCGGGGATTTGGCGGACAATTAGTCAGCACATAACTGGGCATTTCAAGAATCCATGGAGAGCTATTACTTTAGAAACTACAATCAGTATTTGGAATCTAATATAGAGATGATTAGTGGAAGAGTAGTTTGAGGTGAGTCGTCAAGGCTCACGTGGACCAAGGATTGCTTACAAGACATTATCTGGGTGCAGATTGCACTAAATTGCTCTACTGATATCGCGAAACTATTCCAGTCAAGTAAAAACGGGGTATCTATTCAAGTGTTTCCAGCCAAAGATAATACATCCGAGTCCTCACGTAACCCAGCCCAGTCCAGTCCAATGGAAAAAAAGTCAGCACCAATTTCACACCACTCCAAACCAAGAGAGATGTCAAGCCCTGAATCCGGAGAAACACCGTCTATAAATCACAGGAAGGTAAATATAAGTGAAGAAGGAAAAAAAAGTATAATAAGAATGAAGGAAAAGAGGCCAAAGGTCTAGCCACTGAAAGACATCGCACGTTGTCGGGACGCCCTCTTTCGCAAATCATTTTCGCGACTCTTACGGCCCATGCGGCCGAGAGCTAATGTTTCGAGGGTGTATGGTTTGCCGCCCCAGATCAGGTTTGAGCCCTTCTTTTGTTGCAAGGGTGGAATCCAGAAGTGGGTAACTGCTGCGCCGATGATCATGCATGCACTGAAAACGAAAAGAATGATGCCGTGACGGCGTGTTGAAGTGGCATCCGCGCCGCCGAAGCGGTAGTATGTTGAGAATATTTGAACGAGAATAGAGCCGAGTTTGCCGGCGCCAGCGCTGATTCCGTGGCAAGTGCCGCGGTAACGGGTAGGAAAGATTTCAGCAGGGATCATGTAAGTTGTTGCGTTGGGGCCTGGAAGATTGTTAGTTGGCGATATCGATGTCGCATTTTATTGCCAGGAACATACCAAAGTTGAAAACAATTTGGCCGATGATGTACAGAGTGACAACGGCAGGTGGGCCGGAATAAAGATTGATGAACATGCTGCCCAGAGCAATAAACAGAGCTGCCAGAGCCAGGAACATGTACTTTTGAAGAGCGACGCGATCGATGCGGTGGGAGAAAAGAATGAAAAGGAGACCCCCGACGAAGCTGCCAATATTCAAAATGACAAGACCGCGGACAGAGGTATCGAAGAGTTGATTGTAGACCGTGGCGCCGGGTCGGCTATCGGTCTCCCAAAAGGGTGCCGAGCCGGTAATGTGTAGAGCACCCCATGTTCTAGCCAAGAACTGTGGGCTGGAGAGCCCGATACCATAATAACCAAAGTCGAGAAGTAGCCAGGCAAGAGAGGTGCCGGCTAAGCTGCGCCAGTTACCTTCGGTCCAGAAGTATCGGGTGATATCTGTACGTGCAAGGCGCCAGTGAGAGTTGAGAGTCGCGGGTGGCAGGCGACTCCATTCCTCGTCCTCATCGATGGAGTCACTGGTAAGTGATGACATGGGTGGTAATTGGATAGCACTGCCAGTTCCCGTTGCAAAGCTAGATTGGTCAAAAGCAGGGCTCGAGGGTTGGTCGCTGAATAGAGTGGTTGCGTCAAACTGGGCAGTAACAGGGTCGTCTTCAATCTCAACAAGATAACGCGGACTCTCAGGAATGGCAAATCGGAAGAGAGTTGCAATAGCACCTGGCACGACGCCGATACCAAGGACCCAACGCCACATAATGTCAACAGTGCGTGTGAGGTCGTCAGCGCCCTTGCTACGAGCAATAGCAATGACGATCAGTGCCACCAAGTTTCCCGCAATCTGTCCTAGCGGCTGCATGAAGAAGACGCTAGCCATCATACGGGCTCGATGTTTCGTAGGGGCGAATCTATGAATGTTAGCTCCAATCTCTTCAAAAGCACATGTTGAGAAATAATGTGTCCATACTCGGAGGTGATCACAGCAGATAATGGGTAATCTGCACCCACACCGATTCCCACGCAGACTCTCCACCAGATCAGCCAGGCGTAGATATTCATACTGCCATTCTCGCCGGTCGACGACATGACCACGCCCAGCGTAGACGTAATCAAAAGAACCAGCTCTACACCGTACATCTTCTTTCGGCCGTTCTTGTCTGCCAAAAACCCAAAGATCACCATACCGAATAGCGTACCGGCCAAAGTTGCGATGTTGATGCAAGTCACTCGTAGCGACGAGACTTCGTCTCTCCAATAAACGTAGGATATCATGGGTAGAGCCATGTTACTGGCAAAGAGCTATTGTGGGGGTTCGTTAGCCATCCGTCATCGCTTGCTTGAAGTTCCGTTTGTTCGCCGACTCACTGTATAACCATCAAGGAAGAAACCGAGACCAGCGACCAGCACGACAATCCATTGATAGCCCTGCCGGTCGATAGTCTCGTATATCTGGCGCATGCGGACATATCGATCCTATCGTTCCATGACTCCACGTTAGCTATCTCTAGAGCCCCCTCACTTGAAAAAGACAGACCCCACGAGGGAGGCGTTGAAGCGGGATAGTAGCCCACCTGTTCATGATCGAAGTCCCGCGCACGGTCGGTTTTGTATAGTCGGGCGTGAAACCTCCCCATGGTCGCTTCAGCGGAATCCCTCGACCGTTGAACGATGTTTCATGCCGGTGCCCGGAAGGATTAAAAGGCAAAGGCCTCGGGAGATCGCAGGTGAGATATAGTCAGACCCAGCGTTCGGGTCTCGGGACCATTCCCCTCGTTAAGAGCGCTTTCACTTTCCACCAGCGAAAAGGCCCAGGACTGGGCCATGGCCACCCACGCGAGGAGCACGGCGTGGGGCCAATAACTGTAGCACGTTGAGCCTCGCTGGTGACCCAAGATGATCCCTGCTCGCGCTACTGCAGCCCACCCTGGGTAGCTTCGGCGCGCATAGCGCTGGTTCGGTTGAATGGGATTGAATGAACCGAGTGGAGTGGGCACATTGAGTACTGTTCGAGTTACAATGAGTGGAGACAAAGTTTGTCACTCAAAGCAAAGGACTGGACAATAAGAATCCAGACAGCCATCTGTAGGACAGAGTATTAAGGCGGAGAAGAGTCCCCGTACGATCAAATAAGCAAAAGAGGCACACCCGAGTCCCAAAGCCACTAAGAACGAGACTAAACCCCAAAATAGTTAAACGCCCCCCACACGGACGAGCCAAACCGAACGATCGCTTCCCACACGTGCGGGCATCCAAGTGCTTGAATCGCTCGGCGTGCGCCCCACTCGACTTAAATATGCTTTGCACCACGCCTCTTTTGACCACGTTGATTCGAGCATGGAGCTTGACAGGAGAACGTTGTCATAGCAGATGCTAGCAATGTTGCCCTACCGTATCTTATGATCCCTATGACGAGGCTTACGATTACTACTATCTTACCACTAACAGCGTCTTGGCAAGTCATACAAAAGTCCGCCAAGGGGGTTTTACGCGATCAGGAGAAATTAATGTTTCAATAAGAGTGCTTGCATCATATGGTATCACACGGTAATCACACTCCGAAAAACTCCGCCATGCAAAGTGGGAAATCGGTGGAAAAGTTAACAATGGATGAAGAAGAAAAAGTCAAAAGCCAAAAAAAGCCAAAAAAGAAAAGGAAAAAAAAGGTACCCAAGACCATAGATCTGGGAATTAATCTATTCATCCAATCGTAAGGTCCATTGATAGCAGCTGGCAAAAGCTCTTGGAATCTAAACAATATTGTAAGCGATGTGCTCGGACTTCCGTCACCTCCATCAAATCCATGCGGCTTGAGAGAGCACTGACCATCATCATTCAGAAATGTGATCTGAAGGTTTCGCATTTGCGATAAGATCTCAAAGTTCGGATTGAGCTCGATGAGGACCGGTCGTCCGGCTTTCTTGGGTGGTTTCACGCTCCCCACGCAGTTGACTGTGGCTGGTTTTAGATAGATATTCCGGAAGTAAAGTTTTTGTTTTAAAATTGCAGGGCGATCATGGGTCTTGCGCAGGCGTTTCGGCAACGGAGTACACAGAATATGTAGGAAATGGGATAAAAAATGAATAGAGATGGAACTCACGAGGTATGGAGACGTATCGTTTCAGCGCACCACGCTGAGAATTGGCAAAGAAGAGCATGACTCTTTTACCATTATGCCCACGAAGGATTCGGAGATTCTGGCTGATACACTCTTCTCCACGGCCCTTGGACTTGGCCTCGGCCATGCCGCCCAAGAAGACCAGTTTGGAGCATAAGAGAAGTTCTTGAAATTGTACACAATCTATTCACGATCAGCATGATCCAGACAGATCACCAAAGTTGTACGGTCGCATACCTTGCCAGTTTTCAAATTTATATGATAATTGCGTCATGAAGACTACATGCGCGGTTTGGACGGTTTGTTGATCGAGGAAGGAGATGCGGAGAGGGTATTGTTCATTGTCTTTAGGATGTTCGATGTGTGGGACAGGTAGTTTTGTGTTGTGGACTATTTTTGATGTCAATATTTCTGTATCTTCAACCCAACACCGGTCATAGTTTTGTCTTTCGATCATCACTTACAGGCGTGGACAAAGGGCGCTTGCTGGCCGAGACCTCCCCCGAGCTCAAGACATTTCAAGGCCCCCGTTGAATCTTTACATACGTCGATATAAGTATATCGTAGTTTGAATAGTTGACCATTCTTGACAAAAGAACTGTAATAGGCGCGTTAGCGATGTCGAGACACAAGATATCATCACGGCCGCGCTACTGCGACAGTCCACAAACGCACATGGTCATAGAAGGGTTAAGTTGGAGCCGCACTACATCGTCGTACAGCTGCCATGACTGCTTCCGCGAGCTTGTCCCGGGGGAGGTTGCGGGGCTCTGGAAGAGAATGCTGGTGGAGGCGGACGACACGGTGGAGGTTGAGACCGTGCTTTCACGGCGAGAAGAAATGCTTTCCCACTCGTGGAAATCTGGTGAATAAGGGAACTGATGGCTCATGGCCGCGATCTCGGGGGGACGAGGTCCCGAGACTGTTATTTTAATAGCGACAGGTGGCGGGGAGCAGGCGCATTTGAGAGGGACAAGGCGGGTTCAAGGCGGATCTCCATCCAGAGATCGACCGGCAAGAACCATGACATGAGCTGATGGGAATGGCTGAGAAGGTAGGTTTCGTAAGAGAAGCCTGGGAGAGAAAATGAATATATGGCGCCCGTGATAAGCGCCGGAGTGTCAACATAGCGAGCTGAACCGGTTGTACCAGGCCCAGGGACTACGCAAGTGGGCAAAGAGCGAACCAGTTGAGACCGCAGAACGGTGCAGGCAATTACAGAAACAGAAATTCTGGAAATTCCGAGTGAACCGAATAGAATAATCGTATAATAATAAAAATGGACCCCAAAAGCTGGCCGATGTGGAGCGCCCGCGGCAAAACGTGCCCAAATGGCTGGTCAACAGATCGTCCCGCCAGGCGGGTCTTACTCCCCTTTTACTTACACAAGTCACTTCCATCCCCCCCCATCGCCTGTTCCTCTTTCCCATGTGGCATTGGGCCCCTCATCCTCGATTTTCGATAATACTAAGTTACTAGGAGACTAGTTCTGACATGCCGGTCATTGCCTAGTGATGGCCCTAACTATACTCGGTAGCTAATTCAACAATTCACACACGAATCAACCACTAGGATACTACTGCTGCATCGTACTTATCCTTAGGTCACACTCAGCCCACGTCTAGACTCGGTAATGTCTACCTGCCTTGCCATATGGGTGTTGTGACTGTCGTCAATTGTATACTTCCGTATACTCCGTATATTTTGACCTGATATCACCCAAGGTTAACCAGCCACGGCTTTCTTAACTCCATCTGAAGAGAAAAAACTCTGTCATTATCAACATTCCAGATCGATTCCACAACTGTTTCCTTCCTAATTCATCCGGATTTGGGTTCTTAGCTCCCTTGGATCTTCTCCCGGACCTGAAAAAGCTAATCCTAAGTCGGAAGTACTCCGAATGTTTCGAGAAATGATCTGGAATCCTAGATCGACTGGTGTGGTCATAGCTCCGGACCACTGCATGCCCCAGGGGGCAATTACTCGCTTCGTCATCGGACTGAGAAAGATAGACAGTCGAGGCGGAGCTGGAGGGCTATGTCTCTGGGGCATGACCCTTTTTATGGGATTGGGGCGTGCACAGAGACATACAACACTCACCATAGGCCATTTTTAGCTATACTTCTCGTACAATCTCAATTTCGTTCATGTCAGCAGATGCGCTTCGTGACTTGCTCTACTTACCAAATGCCGCCTTGTCCCTTTCGCTATTTCCGCCGGACCCCGGCACAGGGATTCTCGGGCTTATTGTTGTACTATGGCGTAACGTGATCCTAAGCCAAACAGCCACCACAATCGCAGCCGCGTCTGGATCAAACGCCTCTCCATCATTGTATCGTGTCCACTAACGCACGTGCGCAGACCCATTGTATTAAAAGGCTGAACGATATCCAACTTTCTGCCAAGGTCTTGGGGCTAAAGGCCCGGGACAAACTCGGCGGTCCAGTGAAACGCCTCTGAATGTTGAAAGACCGATAACCGTATACAACCTCCCCGGCCCCCCCCTCTCGATTTCCCAGGAACAGCGTAGCCACTCACCGAAACGAGGTGGTCTGTCCGTTCCACATCAAATCGGTGGATCAAGGGCCTAAGACCCGTGGACTCGTTCAATATCATATTGACCAGTGGTATCTGAGCGACGACCTTCTTGAAGTCAATCTCTTCATATCGCAAAAAACGTGGGCGCCCTTTTGCGCCGTCGGTGTCTCGTAGATTCTTCAATTTGAACTTCCAGCCAAGGCTCGGTAGAGCCACGCTCAGCGCCATGGCGACCACGTCGCCGCCGTGCTCTGGTGACTGTGGTGGTGCTGTAGCTTTCGCCGAGGAACTCATGCAAAGTCCGTCACGAGGCTCGGATATTAGTGCTTTCATTTCCTCTGCCCCCGTTAGCGACCCTTCTCAAAGCATCATTGCTTTTCTTTCCGAGTCCCTCGTTCTAGACTGCTGCCTGATGGTTCGCTCTCGGGTAGGAATACCTACACATTCGGCCGATGACTCGGAAAACTTTGATAGTGAAGGACGGTCCATTGCAGGAAGCATAGGACTACAACACAGGAGCTATACCGGTAGACCTCAGAAATATATCGAGCCGTGAATGGCATGAAAAAGAGCCCTGTTGACATATGGAGATACTGCGAAAACGGGTGATCGTCCCCAGATGACGCTTTGTCGGTGGGATGCCATGTGGCACGCCACGGTTGAAGAGAGATGTTGATCCTTTCCCATTTTCTGATTTCTCTTCAGCGATCCTTTCCACAACCGGGCCCACTAATGCCATGATGATTTGTGACTCCTATTTAGCTAGTGCCATGCTGGAGAAGGGATGGTTCATGAGTTTATTTTTCTGCTGGCCCTGGGGGCCTTAGATCCTGCTGACGTACGAACTGGTGAGACCTAGTATTTGTAGTGAAAAGTCGCTTCTTTCTGAAAGGTTGTATTTTGTGGCAGTTTTCAGGCTTGTGAATAAGTGAAGGCAACTGCCAGAGCACGAAATAAGTTGCGAACATACGTACATTGATGCTCAAGCAAACCACTCTCGCGGCTGGAGTTGGCGAAGATGAACGCAGTACCAGAAATCCGGGACCTCGTCTCCATCTCAAAACAGTTTGAGACCAAGGAAGGCTAGCATGAAGAGCAACTCACAAGTTGCCATTCCTAGGCCGAATGAACTTCACTGATCATCCACTTATGATCTGCAGGGTCTGTGAGGACCGCGAACACATCATAATACCATTGATCCACACTGTCAACGGAATCGAAAATTATGCTTGATAAAGATGCAGGCTGCGCAGATCATTGGTATACTTTTGGAGTTGTCACTTAAAGTGCACAGTTGGGAACGCTACTCAATGATATGTCACTGTCATTGTAGATGAAGCTTCATCACTACTGAATGCCTTGACGGACGAGATCTCACAATCAATTGAATTGAACGATTAGAGACTCGTCCGGCGAGCTGTTTGATACCATAATGATCGCATCATTCGACGTATACGTCCATCTAGCATCGCCCACGAAGCCCTTTCCGTTATCCGCAGTGACCACACCACCCGATATAGTTGCATTGGACTTTAGGGTGCACATGGTAGCATTCCTGACTTTCGTGATGAAGGAATATGAGGGTTTCTCTCATGAAGCACGCGATCTGTCTCTTCATGGGAAAATATCGACCCCCTTTTCGTCAAAAAATTGTTGGGTTAGCAGATTGTGGGGTGCATTGAAGATGGCGGAGTTAAGCGGACCTAAGATGCGGACTCGGCATCCCTAGAGACCGAACACCTGCCAACTGTTATTTTCTTCGCAAGGGCAATTGACTTGGAAAACCTCGTTGCTTTGTTTCCTTTAGCCTTGTATTTACAAAATTGTTGAGTATTTACAATATAATTGCTCATTGTCAATGCCTTCGCTAGCCGGGAAGCCGATCAGCCAGAATGGCCTAGGTCTTATGCGTTCGTTCTTTCCATACATTGTTGGATAATGGTATACAATAGCTAACGATGGTGCAGGCCTGACCTGGAAAGATGATGTCACACCCGACGAAAAAGCTTTCAAGATTCTCAAGGCTGCCCTCGCCGCCGGCGTCAATGTCTGGAATGGAGCCGACTTCTACGGCACGCCTGACAACAACTCTCTACACCTTATGAACCGTTATTTTACCGCCTATCCTGAGGACGCTGAAAAGGTCGTTCTTACAATCAAAAGTGGCATCAAGGATATGCGAACTTTCACTATGGACTGTTCCCCCGAGGCAATCCGGGAGTTTGTGAAGCGCGCAAACGCCATCCTCGACGGAAAGAAGAAAATCGACATCTTCGGTTGTGGACGGGTCGACAAGAACGTGCCAATTGAGGATACCGTCAACGCACTAGCGGAACTCGTGAAAGAGGGCAAAATAGGTGGCATCCAGCTGAGCGAAGTCAGTGCCAATACCATTCGGCGCGCGGCAAAGGTAGCTAAGATCGACATGGTCGAGGCGGAGATCAGTCTGTGGGCAACTGATGTCTTTGGAAATGGCGTTGCTGAGACCTGTGGTGAATTGGGAATTCCGATGGTGGCTCATACTCCTCTTGGTGCTGGTATGCTTACGGGTCAGATCAAGAGTCTGGATGATATGCCCGCGAATGACCACCACCGATTCTTCCCGCGCTTTCAGCCCGAGAATTTCCAGACTAACTTGCGTCTGGTGGCAAAGATAAATGAAATGGCAGGGAAAAAATCTTGTACATCTGCCCAGCTTGCCCTTTCGTGGATTAAGGCTCAGAGTCGGCGCGAAGGAATGCCGGTCTTTGTGCCTGTTGCCGGCGCCAGATCTGAACAGAGAGTTGTGGAGAACGCGACGGATATTCCATTGTCAGAGGCCGATATGGCTGAGATCGAGGCTATCCTAGACCAATTCCCAGTTGCGGGAGATCGGTACCCCCCTGCCGCTGCAAAGCTCACGGAGTACTAAATTCACTTTGGGTTCTTGTGTGTGGGTTGACCGTGAAGGAGATCTTTGCATATCGAATTGTATATATTGTCATTGTGTATCTTACACAGTGAAACCTTCAACTCGGAGACATATCTAAAGTTCTCGAGAAATGAATTCCTTGACCAACATCTTATTAAAAGCCAAGTAGAAACGACGGAATACTGCTGTGGTCCTAATCTAAAAATTCTGTACCATTATGAAAGGCGAACCTCTTCGCAACTAGCGTACATAAAGGAAAAAGCTAAGTGATGGGTTTAACAAAGAGCATGCAGTTACATGGCTACGTGCTTCTAGAGAAGACTTGAAGCCACTCGTGGCATCACAGCGGAAAGGACCATTACAGAAAGCCAAGCAACATATCAAGCGGTTAGAAAGATTGGTATGTCTATTGATATCTCCTTTCAGAGAGAAGCTTGGCTTGCTTCACAGCTGACTTAGAAATCACCGAAAAGTGTTCACTTGGCTAGCTCGATTTGTCTGAAACAAAACCACCGGATGTTAGGTCTAGAAGACAGAACCACGCAGGCCAGAAATTTTTCAAGTACGTTCTTTGGCATCCGACTTGGACCGAGTACTTTCTATAACCAGACATTTAATTGGGCGCCGAGCTCTATTTTATGGTCTCAAAAGTGGTAGTCTTCAGCGTCAAGCCCATAGGTCCTCCTATTCGATGTAGGAACTATCATGCAAGGTACTTCAATTCAGCAGTCACAGAATGTCTATAGCCTGTATGAGGCAAGACATACCTGGCCCTACCAATAATAAACGGGCTGTACAGGTTTCTCTTTGACCTGAATTTCAAAAGGCAGATTGTTCCCCAACAAGCCTACAAATTCATCTACCTCAACCGCCCAATCGAATTGGACCACATAATTCGGAAATTTGACTGCCGTCATCAGCTTCAGAAGATGTATCACCGCATCCCGCGGTGGGTACTCATCGTCAACACGCCCATCAGTGAACTCAACCCGAAGGCTCTGCAACGACTCCATCTCGGCGAGGATTTTCCAGGTAGACTCCCAGAAGAAAGGTATGTCGAAAGGATAGATATGTTCAATTTCCTCCAGGCGTGTGCCGTACCAGTGCAGTTGGAGCAGAAAGTACAGATTCATAGATCGAACGCTGTGCAAGCGCTGGGGGATAATGGTGCGCTGGAAATCCACGATAGTTCGCGTTTGACGGAAGCTGAGAGTGTTTTGAGAGTATAGAATATCAATGGACTCCGAGTATCTAGTTCTGATTAGTGGAATTGTCTCTTGTTTAGACGTGGGAAATTCTAGCAACATACGCCTGTCGGCACGAGCGCAATAATCCTAGTCTCATGGGGTAGGGAGAATCATCCTCGGGCTCGTATCCCCCCATGTTCTGATTCCGGGCCGTTGTGCCGTCTTGCTTGTAGTGACGGCCCCAACAGCGGTGCTCTAGCCCCGGGACATCCCGGTTCTCATTAATGCAGCGCCGACTGAGCAGTCGTTGGTCTGCACTGGCGACATGGAGCTCCGGATTATCTCCTGGAGCCAGGACCTCTCGATAAATCAGATACCGGATCTCTTCTGGGAATTTGGCGAAAAAGGGAGATTGCTGCTGATCGCAGGTTCTTTGATGACGATTATTTTGGACGAAGTCCTTGTTGGTAGGTGGGAATGGTAGCGTCAGGGTCCGTTCACGGACAGCTGGCAGGGGGCCAGGACGGTCGCTTCTGCGCCTGCGCCTCTCAGCAAGCCTTCTTTCCTCTTGGCGTCGAGCAGAAAAACTCCATGACCATTTCATGATGATGTCTTCGTAATGAATCGTGGTGGTTGATGGGGCGAGGAGATGAGGAGGAATACTCAACCTTTTATGTTAGGCTGCGAGGCGGAGTAGGTCTCGGCATCAGCCCTGGCGATCGACGGGGAATAACTCAACCTGCTTGCTTGGGGGCCAATGAGGGGTTTGTTCTACTGATTTGAGTTGAACCCGTGTATTATTCTATTTTTATTGTTTGCTATGTAACATGAATATACCCGAATAGCCCAATTTCCTATATAGTATCCAATACCTTGAGCTAACATCCCCGAATCCAGCCGGTCCCTGATATGATATAGAGAGTAGAGAGCAATTGAAAGCTTACTGAGTTACTCGTAATTCTGCATAAATACAAATACTCAGTAAAAGTGTGACAGTAAGGTAAAAAAACAACATAGCTCCCACCAGTTATACACCACAGTCAACTCTAACCCAACAAATCACAACCGATCCTTACCTCTACTCTACGTCCCCATTCTCCTTCACCTCCTTCCCCTCATTGATGAATCTGATAGCTATTGGCTTGTCAGTATCTTGTTCCAAATCCAGAAAAAGGGGCTAACATACCAGACCCAGCAAGCGCAATCGTATCTGCATTGACCTGCGATTGCCGGTCATGGTCGGTGCTTCCCTCCTGCGCCAACTTCCGGCACCTATTCCATCCATACCTAACCTTCAAAAAGCTAGGACCGTCCACATCCTCCGACTGGCCCCCAGGACGTGTATGTGTGAGCTCGTGCAAAATTACCTTGTCGAGCAACGAGTCCACATCAATAGGGGTAAGCAAGGTGTGCATCTTCGACAGCGCTTTGCTGACTGTCTCATAAAACCGAGCTTTCTTTTGGGCATCCTTTAAGGTATTGGTGTCGACGGATTTCATCCAGTTGATGAACCATGGGCAGAGCTGAACTTGTGACGGCTTGTTCCTGTCATCGGGTACCCAAGTGTAGGCTACGTTAGGTGCGAGGCCTTTGCATGTCTCGAATGACTGGTCCTTCTCGAGAACCTCCTCGATATCTATATAAATGTTAGATTCAATAGGGAGGTGGTGAGTTTTTGTTGACTTAAGGACCTACCCTCATCGAACCAGCCGTCAGACCTTTTTTCGAAGCGATCGAAGCCACAGTAAATCACGATCTGCTCAAGTATCAGCGATCTGAATCCGGTTTACACATAACCTAGCCCTGACTCGGCTGTATTAGAAGTCTTACCGTATTGCCGTCTGGAGTCTGGTTATCCTGACGATTATTTGCCCTGGCGAGGGTCCCCATACGTGCTGTTACAGTCAGCAAATTGCATCAAGGGCGAAGACATAAGAGTAGGCGGAAATACTTTTCAGTAAAGTCAGTCGTTCTCTATTTGGCTCTTCTCCGTCTTTCATAAACATCCACTTGATCACATTGCGGAGGTTGGCACTGTGCTGGCCGAGGTCCTGATTGGAGAGGATCTTGTTGAGTACATCGTACTCATTGCTCGCCATGTGGAATGCACTGTCCACGGCAGTAGAGACCATGTCACCAAGTTCTGCAGAAAGTTGTTATTGGAAGGTCAATAGGAATATCTTGTCCAGCTTACCATCTGTTCGGCATGACTGATCAAGCTTCCATGACAGAGCATTAGCACTGGCCAGGAGGCCAAAGGCACAAAATAGGCCTTGAAGGAATTTCATCGTCGAGTATCAGACAAGAGCAACGAAGGAGATAAGGTGAAGTAACTTGGGGAAAAGGACTGACAAAGTAAACCAGCAGTGTCATCGCACAGCGCGAATGGTAGTATTTTATATCTTCACCAATATAAAGCGGCATCCGGTGATCCTCGACCGAGTGCAGAACATCCACCCAACAACCTGAACTGCATTACCGCGATGTTTCATCTATGCGAGGGGCGGTGCATCTACAGACGGGATGAATATCGATTGCTAAATTTGTCGTGTTGGTTCTCCCGTATGAAAATTATCGCCCCTGGGTGGTAGCGGTTCACTTCTCTGCAACCGGCCTATAGAATCTCCCCGCAGAATTATTTAGTGTTGATATCGGAATATGCAGGGTCCAGTAAAGGCATCGTTTTGCGCATATTTCAGCAGAGCCAAGAGAATTTATTGGGCGCCTTACCAGGCCCTGATCCTTCGCTGAAGCCCCCACTGTTTAAAGACCCCAAATCTTATGCCCCCAATTTTGAAGCATCCAATGCCGATGGCCCTAACGATAAAGCCCCAAAGTAAAAATAAAGGTACCAGGGCTAATGATGGCTGTGTCACTCTGTTGGACACCCTAAGCATAGGCCAAGACCCTGCAGCGGGTGGCTTGGGATAAACATAATGAGACTGTGACGATGTGGGGTCCAATGTATAAGGAAGGGTCTGAGCGTACTTCTATTAGTAGTATTGTATCATCACTTATTGTCGATCTGACTTCATTCTGTATGTCAATGTATGTCATCAAAATCCCTCAGATGGGGCTAAAGGGCCAAATTGTGCAGATACGATGTTGTGTTGGATGCAGCTGCTGTTCAGGTTGATACTACTCGGGCAACCAGCGAGAAGGTCAACAAAGAAGATCTCGAGCAGTGTTGGACTCAGCCTCGGGCTTGTTTTGTGAAGTTATCGTCTTCCTCCGATGATGAGGGGCTGCGTAAGGAAGACCGGAAGTATAAAGTATATCGTGTCCTCCGCTGTAGTCGTTGAAAGAGCCAAGTGACAATCTCTCAGATTCCCCGATAGCCATGAAGTCTCTTCTTATAACACCTTTTTTGATTTCGGCAGCCTTCGCCTGGCCGGTCGAAGTACCACCTCTGGAGACTGAGGCTCCAACCCGCGTCGAAGAGAGAGGGGTCGGCCAGGTAGCCGCGATTATACCTACAACCTCTGGGCAGATTGGAATCAACCCTGTTCTTGTGGATCCAGTGTTCGTCATATTTTTGTCTATGCTTTCTTTAACATGTTAGTGCTTGTGCTAATGAACCCTAGTGAGACAGGAGGACCATACAATAAATTCTTCTCGGACTATGTTGACGACAAGGGCAACGTAAGCGTATCATCACACTAATTTGTAGTCATCCTCGCTGATAATTTCCAGTGGAAAGCAAAAGACACAGAGCACATTACCCAAGTTCAAGTCACAACTAAAGACAATAAGCCCACAACAAAAACCGTGACAGCCCCGGTAGCCATTATGACAGGACCTAACGGTGACCTAGACGTCCTCATGGCGCCCAAGCTCCAAAATAAGCTGGGCGATATGATGGGCAAGGTCCCTGCATGCTCGAACAAGCGAGAAGCAGCGTGTGGAATCACCAAGTTCCTCGAGGACTTCAAAGCTGACAATTCCGATGTCATCAAAGCCCTAAACGATGCCGTTAAAGAAATTCAATTCCTTAGTCAGGACGTGCTCAAGGCTCTGGGTACTTCTGCCACCGCACAGGAGGCCCAGATGGTTGCGACTGGATTCGGTGGCATCAGCTTGGTCTGGATGGCTTTCCATGTCTACGCAAAGAACCATCTCCCACTCGCCTTTGGGATCAAAGACCCGCCGAATAACCACCTACCCACCACAGAGTCTCCTCCTGAGGAGCCCAAGAAGTGTCCGTCAGATGCGCCGAAGGGAAAGGATGCTCCACTCTGCAAGGACTGCAAGGGTGACAATCATGTTTGCCAGGATGTATGTCTCTCGTCGTCTCCCCATTTATTTCTGGTGATAAATCCTAATTATCTGACTCATATAGGGTAAATACAAATATTGTAAATGTCTCGACGTAATGAAGCCGGTCTTCTACCCGTACGACAAGGGGTGGTTCGACGACCAGGCCGAGGCAATCAAGTACGCGCTTGCGCATGTGGACGACAAGCCTAAAGTGACCTGCTCCGACACTGGGTACGACAAGGCTGTCGCTGTCGATGTTTCTTTCCTCAACAGCCTGTCCGATAAATTCTGCAAAGGCGACTCGAAGAAGGAGCGCCACATGACGCTTGCCGGTAACGACATTTCATCCGATGCGTATAAGAAATACACATTTGACTTTTCATACACCCCACCTAAGGACGTGAACGAGAAGTGTGATACGGATTGTCCGGGGGCCATCAAAGCCATGGCGGCTGGCTGTAAGTTTCCCCAAATATTAGAGAGTGACGCTCTACTAAGTATTTGGAATAATAGGCGAGGGACTGGACAGCCATAGCGTGCAGAGAGGAGCAAACGTGACTCTTCCATGCGGCGCGGAGTATAGCTACAAGATCAACATCCCTGACCACCCAGACCAAGCGGACATTACTTGTGCCAATAAAGGAGTATGTGCTCTGTCTGTATGATGATCTCAAGGTCCCCGCTAATGTGTGTTTCAAATTCAGGACTACAGCAAGGCTATCGATGTCGACGTCTCCTTCTTCAAACGCATGTCCGAGAATTTCTGTGGCAGGGACCTCACCAAAAACCCTAAGCAGGACCTGACCAGCGCCGACATCAAATCCACTGCCTACAAAGGTTATACTTTCCACTTTGAAACTGATGGGAGAACTGATTGCCTGCCCGACTGCAAGGCTACTTTCGAGAAGATTGCTCCAAAGTGTAAGCCCAACCCCCACTCTGACCTACTCAACCCTCTAGACACTAATGAAGCAATACAGGCCAAGGTCTCAACAGCCACTCAATCCAGCCATCTGGGGATGCCAAGTTTGCCTGCGGTACCAGCTTCAGCTACAAGATCGAGAAGTCTGACCAGAACCCACCGACATCGACACCAGGAGACAAGCTCGGCTCGGTCAAATGCCATGGCGCCGACGACTTCGGCCAGCACGCGGACATCTCCCCCGACTGGCAGAACTCGTATACCGGGTGGGCGTGTGCGGGCACTGCTCTTCCTGATAAAATGATGGACGAAAAGAGCGATCCCATTGTGTGGCAGACGAAAACAAATGATGCCCCATACTATTACTCGATCTCATGGGTCAATGGTTGCAGGGGGTCAAAGCAGAGCCCTTGGGCCCCGTTGGGAGATCAGAAGTTCCCGGATAGCAGTGACCAAATTACCTGTCAGAGGATGCTGAGGAAGGATTTCACAGATTGCAACAATGGGGGTGTTGGTGGATATAGGGATGCCGGGTGTTTGCGGTATGAGTTCAAGGCACAGTATACCAAGTAAGGCGAAGGATGGTGGTTGGGAGGGAAGAGACTTCGAGTATATAGGCGTGGTAGGATTTTTTTCAATATTGATTTGTTTTGTTAATCGAAGAGGCCCACGCGAAGCGATGTCCTGCACCAATATTAGTGGTTAGCCGTAGCTTTGAAAGGGGGATTAGGGACACTTGTAAAAGAAAGCCGATTCCACCCACCGAGGCAGAGAAAATGGCAGTTATTCAGTTATTCAGTCAGTAAACTGACCAATATAATTCGTCTCGCTTCATCGTCCCAAGCTAACTAGTGATATAGCTGATAAATACCGCCAGCAGTGGCTTGGCCACATTTCTTTGTCGCCCATCTTAGGAAAAGCTACGATTAGTCCGAGAACAAATTCCTTCCATAATCTCGCTACACCAAGATCACGGGCCTTATCCATGAGGAGAAGAGTGGTTCTGATTTGCTTAGATTATGGGTACAAATTTACGAATCGGGGTGTCAATAAGTTAAGGTTTTGCCATGGCGCTGCAGGGTCAACTACTTGGCTCCGATTTGGTTTCTATTCAACACCACTTTGGGCTAGTGATTAACGACAGTACTCACTACTACTGGCTGAGGAATAAGTGTCGCTTCTAACTTCAACTGACCCTTCTGCCTGGTCGCCCTCGAGGATTGCCAGTTCGGCAGGGACCCTGAATCTCAAGTTCTTTGTTTGCTCATTCCTACATGAGGACGCTACTTTCAGCTCCAACATGCTTTTGATTTTAGCTGTTTTTTCCCATGAGTTGAGGAATGTACGGCCATTTCTATCTCCCTGTGCATGAAAACCACCTTCCTTCGCGAACCTTTTCAGATAGGATGGACATGGGATTTTCAAAGAAGTATCTGCCCGTGCCTGAAGCAGAACCAGATGATGATACTAGCAGCGATGCGACTGTGACGAACCGCCGACGGCGTCACTCAACCTCGCTATTTTTCAAGCAAAACCTAGCCGCAATCACCGTCAGCAGCCTCCTTCTCATCTTAATCCTGCTAGTCTTCACCATCATCGCTATCCTCACATTCGAGCCTCTCCGTGAGATTCTCATCGTCAAATCGCCCCAATTCAACTCAGGCGATCTGCGCGGCCAGAGACAATGTCTCCCAACAACCCCTCGAACAACACTCTCCTGCGGCAATTCTACGGCTGAAGCTGAATCCCTAGGCTGCAAGTACGACCCGCTGTCCGCGTGTTGGCTTCATCGAGAGTGTCCGCACTACTATTCTAAGGAGTTTGAGACGTTCAATGCTGGCAAGCCATTCATTTATTACTACGATGAAGCTATGACCCGCCAGATGAAAGATTTTGATGAAGTTGGACACAATACTCAGGGGTTCTATTGGACTTCTTTGCGCGAGCATCTGGTACATTGTCTGTATCTTCTGAGACGTGGACATGATGTTCATATGCGTGGAGATCGACTTGATGATATGCTTGCTAAAATGGAGCATGTGGATCATTGTACGAATTTCTTGGCTAATTGGTTTCGGCGACCGGATCCTGCGTTGGATTATCCGGTTGGTACGCAGGGGACGACAAATTGTTTCATGTCTTGTAGTTGAGGGAGAGGGGGGGGGTCTGTGGAGTGGATCTTTTCTTGAGAAGCAAACTCAAATTGGAAATGCGAGGTTGTGCTATAGCTTGCCAGATTCTGTATCGTTTGACAGTATATTCAAACCTTGATGTTTTGATTTGGAATAGGAGCTGAGAGAAGGCGAAGCTGAAAATGGCTACCTATATCTAGAGAAATTGCATCTATGAATGAGCATGTTGAGAAATGAATTTCGGGATATTGTACTGGTATCAAGCAGACGCTATCCAAAAAGGTTGAAGAATTAAATACAGTGACAGCAGAATTGTACAAGATCAAGCGATGGGCATAATAATCCCTCCAAGTTCCGAGGAATCTTCAAAATAAGAGTCCGGCCCACGCAATCATTCATCATGGTATACAGGCACAACAACGTCTCCCACCATGACTGTCCGATGGTCTGGTTGTGACTCAAAGCCCTCTGTCTCTTCCGGGGCAAGTGCTGCATATTTGCCGAAACAGACCTTGCCATTTACATTTCTTGTTTTCGCAAGTGTAGAAAACGGCTCCTCACTTCGAATACCTGTAAATTGGTCGATGCATACCATTTGGCATCTTTGACAAGCATCCAAAACATCGACTCGGAGCTGATCTGGGCCGATGCGAATAGATGACCAGTGGTCCTCGGCATAGGGCTGTTCCACATCTCCGAGTTGGGCAAGCCGTTCGGCAACGACGATATTCCCTCGGAAAACGTCTGCGGCAACGGCCTTGCTTCCACCAGTGCCGTGTTTGTTGTTGGCCTTGATCCTTTCGTTGAGGCGGTTGACGGACGAGCGTGAGACGACTAGAATTGGCATCTCATTGGAAAGCAGAAGAGGGTTTGTATTCGTCTCACGAACAGGAGGTGGAAGTTCGGGCGGGAATGAGCCGGGCATGATGAGCTTTCGGAATCTGTTTTTCCATGTACCAGTCATGCGAGGCGGTCGTGAGTATCGGTTGGCAGTTTGAGGTGGGAATCTGGCGAGGGTGCAAGGGACACCCAGGTAGTCGGAGAAGAATGCAGATACTACTGGTGAAGAATAAGCATGTAGGGAGATTTGATCGCCGCAGACCATAGATGGCCGTTTGCTGTTTGTGCATAGAGATGTGGAAATGAGACTGGTGTCTTCCCAACCAAGTGAGATCTCGAGGCTCACTTGGTCGGTCATCACACCGCAGGTGATACGCAGGATACCCCGGTCAAGATCGATAGCAGGACGAATGAGAGCCATGCGTGGGTACCTCTTTTGGTTTAGAGCTGCACCAGTTCCCTGGTGAATCAGACACCATTCTCGGTCCCAAGCCAGTCCTTCTCTTTTGACTTCCCAGCGCTTACCCTCTGGAACTTTGAAGGCACCACAGCTTTTGATGGGGAAGACAGAGAGACTTTCAATGTAGAAGTGACGTCCAACCATGTCAGTCTCCTCGAGGGGTGGATTCAAAGCAACGACAGGAGGAATCCTCTCCACATAGAACTCTTCAATAAAGTCAACGACAGAGTCGATATCCTTCATATTTGTCATTGCGCCAAGACTGACACGCAGGACACCCGTTGGTCTTCCACCGATGATATCATGAGCATCTCCACAACGTAGACCGGTAGAGTAATGGCGACGCAAATCTGCGCCCGTCCAGCCAAGAGCGCCTGCAGTACCTCCAGGGTTGCAAACCGACCCAGTTCGTATTTGAATATTCTGGACGGTTGCTAACTTCTCCACCTCAGTCTTGGGAATGAATTCACCCTGGCTATTTCGTATATTGAAGGCAACTATGGGCCCTTGGGTCTTAGTACATCCATAGACAGCGTTTGTCTGATAAATCTGGCACACGTTTGTCTGATTCCAGTGAGTCAAGACAGAGATTCGGTCAAAGAGTCGCTTGGCGAGGAAGGCAGTGTGCGTGGAAATATTTGCCATCGAGCCATAAAGACGTTTGTGGGTATCGAGGGCGGCGTCGAGAGCCACAATGCTGTGGAAAGGCAAAGTACCATCTTCAAGGCGATCATGGATAGAAGACTCCTTCTTTGCATGCCATTGTGCACCTGCTGCAATGACCATGTCGACGGTGCCTCCGCCAAAGTATCTGCGCCTCTCGAATACACGTGCAGCACTCTTTTTGACGATCAAAGCTCCCAAGTCTGGGAATCCGAAGATCTTATAGAAGCTGAGTGCGGTAAAGTCGGGCGCCACTGCGCCGATATCAAGCGGAGCCGTCGACACGAACGAAGCAGCGTCAAGTAGTGTGTATACATTGCTACCGCTTTGCCGGGCTGCCGAACGCACTTCCTTGCACCATCTGAGAGGAAGGCGACGGCCGTTCAAATTTGACTGGCCCGGGAATGCGATGAGCTTGGGCGCCTTTGTCTGAATGTCGGGGAGTTCAGAGATCCAAGAATCTACTTCTGTGTCGCTCTGAAAACATTGGTGTCCCATTTCTGCCAGCTCACGTACACCCACAAGGCTAGTGTGGGCATCGGCATGGTAGCCATACCAAAAGCCGCGATGGTCAGAGTCCCGCAGAGAATCGGCGAGTAGTTTGATGGCCGCCGTAGCATTAGCCACAAAGACGAGATCATACTCTTCGGGATCTGCGTTGAAAAATTGGAGAATTCTGAGGCGAACATCATCTGTCCGCTGAGTAGAAAGCTGCGATGATAGAGACATTGAGTGGGGGTTGCCGAATATGTTTGATGTCATTTGTCGAGAGAACTCCTCGATCATAGACTTGGCATATAGCGTTGTGCCAGCATGATCAAGGTATGTCGTCTCTACAAGGCACACGGTCATTATGAGGGTCATTAGAATGAGGTAAGGTATTCATACCATTCAACAAGGGATACTCCTGTTCACGGATGGTATCCACATCCGCAGAATAACCGTAGCTATAGCCAGCCGGGGAACGTTCTGTGCTTGAGGGCTCCATGGTCATGGAAGAAAATGGAAAATGGAAGAAACAACGGGTGCTGTATGTGCTTTAAATCCTGGAAATGCACCCTGCAGATCCCTGCACGGGCAAAGAGTGGAAATCAATGTGGTGGTCTTGAGCAAAGCGGCCCCAAAGAGGTTGCTAGACGATCGCTTTATAGCCCCCACAAGCAGGGCATGAGTCTGAGGCTGACAATCTGTTAGTCTCACAGTTGATGAAAGTATTGCATACAAGTATCAAAATAGGCATCCAGGAATAGCCTGCATATTTGTGCAACAATGGAATAATGGATAACGGGTTTCGAGGGAACTGAGGGGGTGTACAGCAGATAAGGCGGATAACTATAAACGATCGGAGCTTACCGACAAGGATGATCAAGCGCGTGAGTAGGGGTGTGAACCTCTCTTTTTCAGGCATCCAGATCCTCTTTCAGGAAATAATAGAAGCATCCATCGGGAGCAGCCATTGTCTTTATAAAGAAATGGGGTTGGCAAGAGGGGCGGAGGTCGAGCAAGGCGGATGAAATGATCAGCTCCCCCGCATACACCAGTGGCAAGTCCAGGAACTGGGTCATGTGACATGGACCCTGCCGTTGAGGCATTGTCCGCAAAGGGAATGAGGTTAATTTACTCTTCCTGGCATGTCCACCCACGAATCGGGCATTTGAATCCATGAACTTCATGAATATCAATTCAGTTTGGCAGAGCTGAGGTAGCATGGGGCCGCAAATCACCGGTGGGGCCGCGAATCGCCGCTAGCCCCCATATCTGACAGCCTGAGTTCCCGTCTATTTCAGACTGGACATGAATTTTAGCTACATCTTCCCCTGCAGGATTGTATGTCCGAACAGCGACCCACCAACCACGATCCTACTCCACAAAGCCATTAACCACGAGCCGGTAGATATCACCCTGTATCACATCGCATCGATTCACTTCTCTCAAGGCCCGGAGATTTGGAATCAGGAACCCCCGCGCACGGGGCGCTCTCGACTAGGTGTTCTCCTGAGCCTGGATGTCAGCTTACACAGGATCTAACTTACAGAGCCGCCTGACAATGGAGTAGTACAATATTCGAGACGGGTGGAGACCTAGAAGGTTGGGAGCCGCGGCGGCTCATCGATAGTAAGCATCTAAGTTGAAGGTCAGAAAAAGCACATCTTCGTCAAGAGCACAACAATGGCATTGTTGAACTTGACGAAGACCGTGACATAAAGGAATCAGATAACTAAGTTAATCTTGCAAGGATCCGGGATGTTGACAAATACAAATTTAGTCCTTGGCCCCCCAAATGCTAGTGTTAAGGAGATGCTGCTATATCAAGAACAAGGGCCGGGGTTTGGGGGCCATCACATCCAAGACTAGACTATAGGTTCCGTAGGTGTTCGGTTCAGCTCTAGTCAAGTAGTCAACCGGTCCAATATCACGCCGGCTGGGAATGGCCTCCACTTGCATAGAGTTTCTTCAAAAAGCTAACGCCTCTCGGCTAAGGTAGAATGAAATGAACCTCAATGTTGATTTCCTGGTGACTTTATATGCACACAGTAGCGAGATGGCTTGAGCTTAGCCTCCCGAGTATCATCGGGCGAAATGCCCACGCTGTATATTGTACAAGTGTTGAAAACAAAAAAAAGAAATAGCGCAAATCAAAGAAAAACTCCCATCCCAAACCCCTGCAATGATTCATACAAATGCTTCTGCCGAGGGGATTCCACACGTGATGGAATTGATCGATGGCGCGGACAGATATGGCAAGAGTGGACCAGCGAGAAATGATCGAAAGAAATAAAGCAATATTTTCACATGGAGCGTCCCATTTACCGCTTCGGCCACTGTCTCCAGCCACGACCATGACCTCTCTACAAGAGAAAGTTAGCTCTGTTCCTGTGACCCGAATGCTTCGAAAGATACGCACCTGCTTCCACAACCGGATCATCTCCGGCATTTCGACCATCGCCTTGCGACGCTCCTCGAGTCTCGCCTCCATTGTCCGCTCCCACTTGTGACCCTTGACCTTCTGGCCGATACCAGTACCCTTGATCCGGAGACCACGTTCCGCCAGCTTGGCAGCCTTGTATTCGGTGGACTTGGGTCCAGGGGGCAAGAGTGGCTCGACGTTGTACTTAATAGCCAGCTTGACTAGATCGGCCTGTTGTCGCAGCCCGTATCGGGGACCAATCCACTTCTTGGAGTTGAAGATCTTCCGCGGCAAGAATGGGTTCTGGTTCTTGGGGTCGTTGTACAAGAGCGCACGAGAGGCCGAGAAAGCCTCGGGGTCTGGTCGGTGAGCACCCTTCGCATCACGGTCGGGGGTGTAGGGCGAGGGAAGGGTCTGGTCGGCGGAGGCTTCGCCCTCCGGAGCAGTCGGACGCGGAGCGACCAGGGAGGAGTAGATCTGGGGAGGGTAGCGAGCGAAGAAGTTGCGTAGGCGGGTAGGCAGTGCGCCCACGTTCTGCGTGATGGAGGACATCGCGGTCGTCAAGGGGGGTTGATCAATTGAGGCCGGAGATGATCACGATGTTTTGGATGATGAGCAAACCGATAAAAGTTGAAGCCACTGGCCGCAACGCACTAAACCCCGACGGGCGGAGTTGTGGCCTTGTGGCCTCAGGCGGAGAGACTTCCCATCTCGTCTTTTCCTTTGGCGCCAGTTTTCCGTTGCTGGTTTCAGCCTCATCATCCCTTTACACCTCCCATTTTTATTGCCGGCACTGCTCTTATTTATTGTCGCTAGGCACTTTACCTCTATCTGATACACTTTATTTCCTGTGCGCATACCCAGAATCCCTGCCATCATGGCGGACTATCACTTTGGAGGCTCAGAGGAGGAGAACGCGGAGTTGAGGAAGCTCGAAACCGAACTGGTATGTCTGAAGCGTGCACACGCCCGTGCCTTGTGTTTCTGATATTTACTAACATTTGCGCATAGGTCGACGATCCAGATAACTTCGAGACCTGGGAGAAGCTTGTTCGCGGCGCCGAAGCTCTCGAGGGTGGAATCAATCGCAATTCCAACCCCCAGGCGATTACCACCGTGCGCAACGTTTACGATCGCTTCCTTGCCAAATTCCCTCTTCTGTTCGGATACTGGAAGAAATATGCCGACCTAGAATTCTCCATCACTGGCACTGAAGCCGCAGAGATGGTATGGACCCTTGCCCCAGCCCCCCGCTTTTTACAACTTCAATTCGCAAAGCGTCGCATTTACTGATAAGACGACCTATAGGTCTATGAAAGAGGTGTTGCCAGTATCTCCCCATCGGTGGATCTCTGGACCAATTACTGCTCCTTCAAAGCCGAAACTTCGCACGATGCCGATATCATTCGAGAGTAAGTAGAGAAAAGCTGGTTTCCTTCCCTTTCCCTGTAACCCTTACCAATACAGCTCCCGAAAGCCTGTATGATGCCGATTGTGTTTGAAAGATGGATTTATGCCGGAAGAAACCACTGCGGTTCCATTGATGATGGGTGAGAGAAATCATCACCTTACCACCCAGACTCAACTGGTGTTTACTTCTCACCCATGGCTCAGTCAGGCTGCTTTCCTTCTCCACATGAACAAAAGACCTTCTTCCTCATACCTGGACAACACACAAGGAACAATTTCGTTCGATGGCCCCCTTTTTGACCTTTTGCGCAAAGCACTGGCTGCTTTTCCCATGGCTTGCTCACCCTCGTTACTTTTCGGGCCTGTCATACCGTGACAGAGTGATCACCCAGTTTGCCCCATCATTTCTTCCTCACCCATACCTCCCACTCCTCCCATGTTCCAGCAGTGATTTTGATCTTTCATACTAACTGTAACTTCATAGTCTTTTCGAACGTGGCGCTAGCTGTGTGGGCCTGGATTTCTTGGCTCATCCCTTCTGGGACAAGTATATCGAGTTTGAAGAACGAGTCGAAGCCCAGGACAAGATCTTTGCCATTCTTGGCCGGATCATTCACGTCCCGATGCACCAGTATGCCCGGTACTTTGAGCGTTATCGCCAGCTCGCCCAGACTCGCCCTCTGGCTGAGCTAGCACCCACAGAGACCATGTCCGAGTTCCGATCAGAAATCGAGGCTGCGTCCTCTCACGTTCCCCCAGGTGCCAAGGCTGAAGCTGAGATTGAGCGCGATCTTCGACTGCGTGTTGACAACTACCATTTGGAGGTGTTCTCAAAGACGCAGACCGAGACTACCAAGCGCTGGACCTACGAGTCGGAGATCAAGCGGCCATACTTCCATGTGACAGAACTGGATGAAGGTCAGCTCACAAACTGGAAGAAGTATCTTGATTTCGAGGAGTCCGAAGGTTCGTTCAGCCGCATTCAGTTCTTGTACGAGCGCTGCCTCGTGACATGCGCCCACTATGATGAGTTCTGGCTCCGTTATGCACGATGGATGGCTGCTCAGTCGGGCAAAGAGGAAGAGGTGCGAATTATCTACCAGCGCGCCAGCTACCTCTATGTCCCCATCGCAAATGCCACGGTTCGACTGCACTATGCGTACTTTGAGGAGCTGTCAGGCCGGACAGATGTCGCCAAGGATATCCATGGGGCTATTCTCATGAACCTCCCCAGCCACGTTGAGACCATCATCTCTCTGGCCAATCTTTGTCGGCGTCACGGTGGCCTTGAGGCAGCTATTGAGGTATACAAGACCCAGCTGAACTCCCCGCAGTGTGAAATGGCCACCAAGGCTGCGCTCGTTGCTGAATGGGCGCGTCTGTTGTGGAAGATCAAGGGAGCCCCCGATGATGCTCGTAAGGTGTTCCAAGATAACCAGCAGTACTACCTTGATAGCCGGCCCTTCTGGACTAGCTATCTCATGTTCGAGATTGAGCAGCCCACGAGTGCTGAGATCGAATCGACTCAGTACGAGCGCATCAAGCAGGTTGTCTCTGATGTGCGCTCGAAGAGTACCCTTCTTCCCGAGACTGTCAAGGAGCTAGTGCAAATCTATATGGCATACCTCCTCGAACGAGGCACCAAGGATACTGCCAAGGAGTACATGACCCTGGATCGTGAGGTACATGGCCCGGCCTCTGTTGCTGCTGCTCGGACTGGAGGCACTTTTGCTGCTCCTCCAGTAGCCCCTGCTGATGCACAGCCCGCCGTCCCTCCCCCAGGCCAACAACCCACTCCAGACCAAGCCGCTGCTACTGCCCAAGCCTATGCTGCTTGGCAGCAGCACCAGAGCCCTGTCAACGGCGCATCAGCCTAGGCTCATGGCTTCCAGCCAATTCTGATGCTTTATAATGGCCTCAGCCCTCCTCATGTCTCTCTATGAATACTTTCATCCCCCGACGGTCCCCTTACCCTGCCGTCTGCTTTTGTCTTTTTTTTGCTTGGTGTTCAACACCTTCTCAAACTGGGTGGGTGACTTCCTTTCCATGTAGCATCATGTTCTTGCCAATTCCAGGCATCGTTCTCGTTTCCCTCAGGTTTGTTAGCGATTTTGGTGCGCCGAAGAGGCCCTCATTCCCCCCTAAGTGGTCTTACACACGGCCACTACTTTCCCCTTTTTCCTTACCGGTACCCCCTTTGTGATTGGAGCAAGATAGGTGGTCCCATCCGGATCAATTGTACTTTAGTTACCCATTCAATGTGATTTCGCTCGTGTTTCGAGTATCCATCCTTGCATGCCAAATATCTAGATCCTGTACGGTAGGGGCTTGAAGCGAATGATCAGCATAAGTTGAGGGAGCTGTTGCTCGTCATTGTCTTAATCCCTTTAGCAAGTCTTCTGATTCCTTTCTTTTCCCCTGTATTCTCGATCATCTTTTACGATATACCCTCGTGAGTGCTTAATACCAGTTTGGTTGCACGTGACCACGCGTTTGGCCCATCCCGACCGCCGTAGAAATTCGAGATGGAGATGCGTTCATCGCTCATCTCGCCGCCCGTTCCTCATCGCATCATTTTGCTCTCGCTTCTGGGCAAATATGGAAGGCATAGTGACCAACGGCTCAGCCGATGGCCCCCCTGGGCCTTCCCCAGACCTTATCGAGCGCCCACCAACTCCGCCTCCACCTCCTCCTGAGGACGTGGGTGCTCCGCCGCCACCTCCAGATACTGGAGTTCCTCCCCCTCCACCAGAAGATGCGCCGCCCGCGCCTCCCATCGAAGTCAAGAAGAAGAAGCTGGGATGGGGGGCGAAGAAGCCAGCCGCAGCTCCACTGAGTGTGGAAGACCTCATCAAGAAGAAGAAAGATGCGGACGCGGCAGCTGCCAAGGTATGTCTGCTCTACGAATTTATCATAGCAATCGCGAACCCCAGATTCATCTGCTAACCTTTGATTTGTATTCCTACAGCCGAAATTCTTGTCTAAAGCACAACGTGAGAAACTTGCACTCGAGAAACGAGCAAAAGAAGTAGAAGCTGAACGGCAAGCTAAGGCGTCCTCCAACGGTGCCACTCGCAATGGTGTTCCATCCGAGTCGCGGCCAGTGAGACCAGTTGAATCGCAACATGATCACCGAGATTCAGCTGGACGAGTCCCCACCGGGCCACGCGCCATGCGCGGCGACATCCCCACAGGACCGGCTGCGTCACGAAATGGACAGCCACAACGGAACCGCGACATGGAACCACCGTCTCATCCGAGGTCGAAGAATCCCAAGGGGGAGAAGCGGCCGACGGAGGAAGATGAGGCTACGGCACAAGCAGCACTCTTAAAACAACGATACATGGGGACGGAACAGACCTCGAACTTCTCGGCACAAAAGAAGCGCAAGCGCACCACAGACCGGAAATTCAATTTTGAATGGAATGCCGAGGAAGATACTAGCGGCGACTACAACCCACTATACCAGAGCCGACACGAGGCAAACTTCTTTGGTCGTGGCCGCTTGGCAGGATTTGGAGATGACGTTGCGGATAACATGGTGCGCAAGTATGCGCAAGCACTGGAGACCCGGGATCAGGAGTCCGGTAGCATGCGAGCCAAGGAGATCTTGGAGATGGAGCGTCGACGCCGTGAGGAGAGCACGCGGAATCAACTCGATAAGCACTGGAGCGAGAAGCGACTGGAACACATGCGCGAGCGTGATTGGCGTATCTTCAAGGAAGATTTTAACATTGCTACCAAGGGTGGAAGTGTGCCTAATCCCATGCGCTCATGGGAGGAGAGCCAGTTGCCGAAGCGTTTGCTGGAGCTCATCGATCGTGTTGGTTATAAAGAGCCCACCCCCATTCAGCGCGCGGCTATTCCAATTGCCCTTCAATCGCGCGATCTCATTGGTGTCGCTGTGACTGGTTCCGGTAAAACAGCTTCATTCCTGCTCCCACTCCTGGTTTACATCTCAGAGCTTCCACGGCTTGACGAGTTCGAATGGCGCAAGAACGACGGACCATATGCGATTGTCCTAGCGCCTACTCGTGAATTGGCCCAGCAGATCGAGATTGAGGCTAAGAAGTTCACACAGCCACTGGGCTTCAACGTCGTCAGTATTGTCGGTGGTCATTCGCTCGAGGAACAAGCGTTCAGCCTGCGCGACGGTGCGGAAATCATCATCGCCACTCCTGGTCGTCTCGTCGACTGTATTGAGCGCCGAATGCTCGTGCTCAGCCAATGTTGCTACGTGATTATGGATGAAGCCGATCGTATGATTGATCTCGGTTTCGAGGAACCCGTCAACAAGATCCTCGACGCTCTTCCAGTCACAAACGAAAAGCCCGACACGGAAGAAGCCGAGAATCCACGCGCCATGAAACAGCACCTCGGCGGACGAGACCGGTACCGCCAAACAATGATGTACACAGCCACCATGCCCGTGGCCGTCGAGCGCATCGCGCGAAAATACCTCCGTCGTCCGGCTATCATCACAATCGGCGGCGTCGGCGAAGCAGTAGACACAGTCGAGCAGCGCGTCGAGATGATTCCCGGCGAAGACAAGCGGAAGAAGCGACTCGCCGAGATTCTGTCCTCCGGCGACTTCCGACCCCCGATCATTGTCTTTGTCAATATCAAGCGTAACTGCGATGCTATCGCTCGCGAAATCAAACAAATGGGCTTCTCGTCCGTTACTTTGCATGGTTCCAAGACGCAAGAGCAGCGTGAAGCCGCACTGGCCTCCGTTCGGAGCGGTGCTACCGACGTTCTGGTCGCCACTGACCTCGCTGGTAGAGGTATTGATGTGCCAGACGTCTCACTTGTCATCAACTTCAACATGGCTACCTCTATCGAGAGCTACACCCACCGTATCGGTCGTACCGGTCGTGCCGGAAAGAGTGGTGTTGCTATTACCTTCTTGGGTAATGAGGATTCTGATGTCATGTACGTTATTTACTCCCCTTCATACCCCCCCTTGTTTTGGTCAGTCAGTCAACTAACTCTGTTTACAGGTACGATCTCAAGCAAATGCTTATTAAATCCCCGATCTCTCGTGTACCCGAGGAATTGCGGAAGCACGAGGCAGCACAGTCTAAACCAACGCGCGGTCAAGGCAAGAAGATCGAGGATAGCTCTGGGTTTGGAGGGAAGGGTGGATGGGCATAAATGCTCCTGGAGACATTTGTATTATTTGAATCTATACCATCCCCTGACTGCTTCGAGCCGTCGGGGTTTTAACGATGTTCTTGATGAAATCGAGCGGGCTTGTCCTATTCCATTTGTTCCGCCTATTCTAAGACTGTAGGGCGGTAGGAATCAGCTTTACGATAGAAATGCCTTGTAAAGCAAGAGAACATCATACATAGTGCTGTACGAAGTGTGTCCAAAGTAGAAAATTATCCATAATATTCATTCTAGCTCTAGTTAAACTTTTCCCAGTAATGGTAGTAGGTGATTCTATGCCAGTCAATAAGTTGAGTAGAGTGTGGAGATAGCAAATGAGAGCGCTAGAGGCGTAAAAGAACACAACCCGTGTGCCAGTGCCTAGTATTGCTTGAACCTAATTTCGAAAAGAATCAAACACCCCCGAAAACCAAAGACCGCCCCCGGCGCGCCAAGAGAACCAAATTACAGCTTGCTCTGGAAGTACTGGTTGTTCTTCAACCAGGACTCGACATCCTCGCGGTCACGCTGCAGCCAGTTGACCTTGGCGCGGATGGCGTCCAAGCTCTGGGAGACGGCACGGTCGTAACCCTGTATGTTTGTTAGATGATTGCATATACGGGTGAATAATGAGTGTGGGGATGGAAACTTACCTTGGTGTCCTTGGCACTGAAGAACTCCTCGACCTCCTTCAACTGAGCCTCAGTACAGAAGGAGGAGGAAGAAAGCTGCACAACAGTGCCCAGCATGCCCAGCGAGGGAGGCAGACGCTTGTAGATCGCATCCCAGTTCTCCTTCAACCAGGCCCAGCGGGCTTCAATACCAGTAACGTGGTTACGGAGACCAGCCAGGGGCATGTAGATATCCTGGCTCCTGACCTCCTCGCTCATGGCAAGGGCAAGAGTGCGCTGAACGAGAGCCGGGTCCTCGGCAACACCGAGGCAGCGGAGGGCAGTAGTCTTCTCATCAGAGGTAGGGGCCTCACGGAAGCGCTTCAGAATAGCGTCGTACTCCTTGGCACCACCGTACTTCAGGACAATGCTGAAGACATTGCCACGGATGTTGGGGTGAATGGCAGAGTGGTCGCCGGCAGCGAAGCGGGCAAACATGTCCTGCGCAGCCTTGACGACAACAGGGTCACCGGCGGTACCGGCACAGCCGAACATGAGAGCCTTAAGCTGCTGGAGGATGTGACCATCCTTATCGGAGAACTCCCAGCCGAGTTCGTGGGTCTTGGAAGAGACCAGCTCACGCTGGAAGGCAGTGAGGGCATCCTTGATCTGCTTGTCCTCAAAGACCCAGGAAGCGCGGAGAACACCAATGCGGGTGAGCATCTCGTTCCACACGATGAACTCGGTCTCGGTGTCGAGGCCCTTGAGCAGGGAGAGCAGACCGGAGGTCTTCTGGTAACCGGAGGAAGCCAGAGCACCGGAGTCGGCAATCATACCAGCACGATCCTCGGTGGTCAGCAGCCCGTCCTTGGCAGCCTGACCGAGCTTAGCGAGGCGCTCGGGGGAGTAAGAGGTACGGTAAAGACCAGAGTGGTCAGCATTGACCTTGAAGAAGTCAAGGTCGGGAACCTTGAACTCAGCCTCACGGTCAGTCAACATAGTGTTCTCATCAACGCCCTCCTTGGTACGCAGGCCAAGCATGCAAGGGTAGAGAGTCTGGTCCTCCTCGGGGCGAACATCGCCGGTACGCAGGAAGCGGTTCTGCTTCAGGCTAATGGAAGAGGAAGCAGGGTTCTCGGTCACACTGATGACAGGGAAACCGACGTTCTTGGTCCAAATGTCCATAACAGACTCGACGGGCTTACCACTGGCGGCAGCCAGAGCGGACCACAGGTCACCAGTCTCGGTGTTGCCGTAGGCGTGCTTCTTGATGTAAGCACGAACACCCTGGAGGAAGACATCCTCACCAAGGTACTTCGAGATCATGCGCAGCACGGAGGAGCCCTTGGAGTAAGAGATGGCATCGAAGATTTGGTTGACCTCATCGGCACGCTTAACGGGGACCTCGATAGGGTGAGAAGAACGCAGCGAGTCAAGAGACAAGGCACTCTGCAGGTTGTCAATGACATAGGTCTGCCAGACCTTCCACTCGGGGTAGAAGGCGTTGCAGGAGTACCAGGACATCCAGGTTGCGAAACCCTCATTGAGCCACAGACCATCCCAGAAGTCCATGGTCACCAGGTTACCGAACCACTGGTGGGCCAATTCGTGCTGGACAGTCTCGGCAATGCGCTCCTTACGAGAAGCACCGCTAGTCTTCTCATCGAGCAGGAGATCGACAATGCGGTAGGTAATGAGACCCCAGTTCTCCATGGCACCGGCGCTGAAATCGGGCACGGCCACCATGTCCATCTTGGGCAGAGGGAAATCACTATCAAAGGCCTTCTCGTAGAAAGCCAGGGTCTTGGCAGCAAGCTCGAGGGAGAAACTACCGTGCTCAATATCCTGATCCGGGGTAGCGTAGACACGGATGGGGACGCGGAAGTTCTTGGTCTCGATATAGTTCAGGCGACCCACAATGAAAGCAACCAGATAGGTGGACATGACGGGAGAGGTATTAAACTTGACGGCCTTCTTAGCACCATCCTTGACATCAGTCTCGGAAGCAACATCCATGTTGCTCAGACAGGTCATATCCTTATCGGCAATCAGGGTCACCGTGAACTTGGCCTTGAGAGCGGGCTCATCAAAGCAAGGGAAGGCACGGCGGCAGTCGGTGGGTTCCATCTGAGTTGACGCGATGTACTCGGTCTTGCCATCCTTCTTGTATGAAGACCGGTAGAAACCAGCCATGTTGTCATTCAAAATACCAGTGAAGGTGAGGGTCAGCTGGGCATCGGCACCGGTGGCGAGAGCCTGCTTGAACTGGACGGTAGCGACCTGGGTATCCTTGTTGACAATGATCTCGGGCTTTGACTCGATGACAGAGCCATTGGAGCGAATGGTAGCACTGTGGATTTCGATCTCGTTGGAGTTAAGAGAGACAAAGTCGGTGTCCTCATTGACCTGGAGGCTGTAGATACGTGTCAGCATATACTCCAAAGCTTCAGCCTGCTCGGGAATTACTCACTCGATGGTGACAGTTCCATTATATTTGAAGGTCTCAAAGTCCGGCTCCAAGGTCAAGTCGTAGTGCACTGGCTTGACATTGGTAGGCAGGACCTCGCGGCCGTGGATATTGGTCGAGCCGGAGGGCTCGTCACGTCGAGAGCTGCACATTCTTCGGTAGGAGCAGTAGCGTTTGGAGGTTTGGGAGAGCGGTGATCGGGATGAGCGTAATTGAGAGGAACGAGGGCGAGAGATTAGACTTGAAGCTGGAGCTGAGCGAGGGGCGGAGAGAAAGAGGGGTCTGGCGGATAGAAGCGGTGGCTTTGCTTGAAGCAACGCACGCGAGGAGAAACGACGCATCGGTAAGATCCACAACCCCGTCAATTGAGGGGACAAAGACAGACAAACGAGAATATTATACACAGGGCCCAAGCACCCAATAATATACAGAACCGTAGAATTGAACAAAGAAAGATTGCAGCCACCCAACGCGCCGAGAGAACAATCGAATTCCCCAAATGAAAAGAATCACGCGGCAGAACATCCCAAGGCGGTGAATGGCTTGGCCGCGCACTCCGCCTTTTTCTTTTTTTTTCTCTTTTTCCTTTTCCTTCTTTCTTAACCTCACGCAAGTTTCAAACCAGCGCATGCCCCGATTTCTTCCACGGCAGTCGACTGTGGAGTAGCTTCCGAGCTGCTCCTCCTTGCAAGACTATGCACCAGTCAGTTTGAGGGGTCTATGACACACAGCTCTTGCTGTTTTCCTGAATAGGCTTCCATAGAGGATTGGGACATCTACTTCTGACAATTAACCTTGGAAGAATCTCTTTGGAAGAATCTCTAGCAGTGGGAATCTATTTCTTTACTGCTCTGGCCTATCACTGCTCATTGGGCAGACTACCGTGGCTTGTGCTAATATGCAGCCACATCAACGCCAAGATATATCCAGAAGCTACTATTCCAATTCATATATAAAAGGTTCAATCGTGAAATTATGCATATGTCCAAATCCATGTATGTTCAGTAAACCCATCTAGGTACGCCCTGTAGAACTCTGTGGAATCCGTGTAAACACGCTACGCGACCATCCATCGGCATCCACCACCGATTCCTTAACAAGCACATAACCACCCCATCGAGGTAGAAGTACTGCCCAGACAACATAGTATAGAGCTCCGAATGCAAACAAGCCCAGAGCAACAACGCAGTGCAGGTAGTATGGTAGCTGCTCGTAGACATTCTGGCCTGCATCGGGAGGCACGTAGGGAGCGATCACCAGGTATATATTCGACAGCAGGAAGAAGATGGTCACTGGGAGGGTTGCACGGATCCCAGGGTTCCAGTTGGGATATTTGGTGCTCCTGTTCAGATAGATATAGATGAGGCCGCCAGAAACAAAGACGTTGATGATCGAGAGCGGGTATGAGATGAGACTAGAAGATTGATTAGATCAAGGTCAAAGATATTCCTAGGACCCAGGCTCACTTGAGAAGGAAATTATATGCGTCACCAGGTGGAGGGGCGAGCAAAATGATCGCAGACACAATGTAATGTTCGAGTAAACCAGCAGCTGGTGAATGGAATGGCCAGTTACTAGCAAAGAACTTGGAAAAGGGCAAAACACCCTCTCGCCCGAGCTCTTGGACAACTGTAAGCCTTGTCAGCCTATAGAACCAATTGAATATGGAATGCACGCATACTTCGACCTTGCGAGAACAGCACCGACAAAACATTGCCAAAGGCCGATAGAGCAACAAAGACCGACATCACCTTCTCGGCCTGCTTGCCGAACATATTTCCAAAGAACACGGCAGCAACCACAGTGCCCGACTCCAACATTTCCTCCTTCGAGACAGCTGCAAAATAGGCAATGTTGACAAACATGTACAGAATACCGACAGAGCCAATTGCAAGTGGTGCCGCGATTTTCAAGGTGCGGACTGGATTCTTCGTCTCGCTCAGGGCCTGCACCATGTTAGCCTCGAGTCTCCAATACGGCATATTCAACTGACATAGTTAGCATTCGAATATCCAATGAAGGACCAAATGACATTATACAGCGCCATAACAATGCTGTACCCACTGCCTTTAGTTCCTTCAAAGGCATTCCGGAAGTTATGAGGCGTCTCGGCCTTGGTGTGTCCAGCCAGGGCAACCCAACCTGCCACGACAATAAACAAAATGATAATCAATTTGATGATGCCGAGTAAATTCTGCAGACGAATTCCCCACTTGAGAGCGATCGAGTGCACGAGGAATGCAGCCGAGAGACAGGCCAACCCGATACCACGCTGATTCCATCGATCGACCTCGATCTCAGCTGCGTTGAGGATATACTGGCCAAAGACCACGCTGTTGCTGGCAGCCCAGCCTAGGAGGAAGGCGTAGGCAGCGAACATGGCCGTGGCGAGGAATTTGGGTTTTCGGTAAACATATTCCAGGTAGTTCTTCTCGCCTCCGTTTCTGGGGAGATCAATCAGGATTGGTGCTTTCTTGCGAAATGTTAAAAAAAGACATACTTGGGAATCGCCGTGCCCCATTCCATATAGACTGCAGTGCCAGCCATGGCAATAAACGTGCCAATCACCCACATGAAAAGTGAGAGACCAACACTTCCAGAGAGCGATAGAATAGTCCCCGGCGTCGCAAAAATACCAGTTCCAATAACACGATTGAAGATTAGCAGAGTCGCGCTGAATACACCCAACTGTCGACGATTCTCAGGCGACGCTTCAAAGACATTTCCTTCGTCTAGAAAAAAAAGTTAGAAATGTGAATATTTCCAGACCAACTCTCAAGACAAATACTAACACAAGCCCGTAATTCCATCCGCCGGTCTAGGACCATTCTCAACCTCCGCAGGTTTCGCATCATATCTAACAGATGTGGCAGCTTTAATCGGCGTCCTCTCCGTAGCAGACGATACCGACGAATCCGCCATCTTGAATTTGAAAAAAGTTTCAACCCGTTGCTAAACAATAAAATAAACGGTCAAATTTCGAGACTGAACTGCTTATAATATTACATGGCAAACGGCTAGCAACGGCATCAGCTATAGATGATGTGCTAGCACGAAAAGTGATGCAATACAATCCCGCCTGGGCAGGATACTACCTCAGAAAACCCGAGCACGGTGTGAACATCGCCCGGCTGAATCGCTCCCGAAAACCCATGTACTTTGATTCGTGGGGCGTTTCCAGAATGTTTAGAGCGCGGCGTCACCCCATGATCCACTTTCCGGTTTTTTCTCATGGAAGGGTTCGAGAAGGGATGGTTGTGAATGTGGGTTGATAGCGCGCACGCTATACTTGGCCGGGCCGAGTTTAGTTCTAGTCGGCTTTGCAGATGTAAAAAGCAACATCCTAGAATCCGTCGAACTGCACTATGGAAATGGCTACATGAGAGACAGGTAGAGGGTCATTTGATATTTCACGCCGAGACTCGCTCGTCATTCTCTCACTTTCTTTGCAAGTTTCGTTCTCATCAGAGCCTCGGCGACTGCCAGAATTCATGTTTCGGGCACAGCCGAGAACAGGCAAAAATCCTGGGCCGAGCTTGGACCTTCGGGATGGATGCGGGAAGGGGCTTTGTCGGAGAAGGAATGCAGCATACAACTAAAATAGCCTTGAAAATCTCAAGAGTCTATATTGCCTACATACTGCTAGAGAACGAATCATGTCCAAACTATTGCAAAAGTATCGAATATCTCACAATGATCTCTAGATATTATCCTTCTTCTGTAATCCATCTCGACATTCCCGCGCCTAGACCCAGCCAAGAACATAGTGAAACCCTGACACATGGAAATCGATCACGCCATTGCGCGAACCCTTGGCTCAAATTGATCAAGTCAATCTTTACTATAAGTTATTCGACGACATGTATCTGACTCTAATGTGACTGAGGTGACATTGATTGCGTCAAATCGCCTCATTGTCTAGACCGGAGTCGCTGATTGAGTTTCAATATCGAGGTACAATTCTGACGTAGAGGGTTGGAACTCGGTTGACATCACGGGAGAAGTTTTGAACAGGAACCTAATAGCTTTGAGAGCCTCAAGGGAACCCTAATTGGCATCAAAGCAGTATGTAGGGAACGTCTTAGTTTCAATGAAGATCATTGCTTCGGGAATCGTCCTATAGTTTCGAGTGCTCTGGGCGTATTTACATCCATAAGTATCCTACAGTAGGACTCATTCGCCCTCAGCATACATCATTAGATTAGGAGAGTTTCATTGAAACAATGTCAATTTCATCCAAGATCAAGGGCATCTCATCTAAATCTGCATCACATGCAACCCAATATCATCCTCCCATTCCATGACCAGAATGCCCCCCAAAAAACTCCCTGATCTTGTGCAGTCCAAAAGATTCGCGCAAAAAAAGTATCAAAAGTGAAGTACCAGTCTGTATACCACCGCAACCCCACATAGAAAAACGCCGATGGAAGCAACCCCATCAAAAAGGAAGAAAACAAAAACAAGTAAAAAAGGAGACAAGGCAAAAAGGAATCAAAAAGAGAAAAAAAAAAAGAAAACTCCGCTTCCCCCTCGTGCAGTGGGATATATGGCAGGGCACTGAAAATTTGGACAGGAATCAACGACATGAACATGAAAAGAATTAGCATCTCCTCATCCGGGGGAGATGAAAATGAGTTAACATAAAAAGGGACGAATGCGTGATAAAAGGACGCGGTTTATATATGGCTTGGCAGTCAAAAGGCTGGAGAAACGAGAATGCACGGGACATGAGCGGATGGAATGGGTATTGCCAGGGTTCATCGAGGTGGCGTTGCGCCTGTCGCATGCGTTACGGGAACTAGATTGGACGATGGCATTCGACCACTGTTCATGGTTGGGGTAGTACGCTTTGCCAAAAGTGCCAGCTTCTTCCTAAGAGAGGCAAGGCGACCGCGCATGCTAGACACCACTATTGCAAATGTTAGTGACTAAAATTGGCATAGAACGATAGAAGTAAATACTCACACTTGACCACCACCTGACGATCCTCCCTTTGCAGGCCATCCACCGACCCCTTGTCGCCGTGAGAAGATTGTTGCTGATGACCAGATTGGCCCGAAGACGAGTGCAAGCTATCATCTTCCAGCACTGCCTCCAACATACGGATGGCCGTAACGTAGGCGATTTCACATCCGGCAAGATCATCGCTGGTCAACTCATTGATAGCCGCAGTTCGACTCATCTCCAATGCGCGGTCGTACATTAGCTTCTCGGCCGTGACGCCAGCACTGACTACTACGTCGGCCGATCCACTCGAGGCAACTGTAGACCCGACCGAGTGGTTATCCGGATGACTAGGATGGTCGAGAGGTAGTCGCTTCTGACTCTCGATAAGCTTCAGACGGACAAACTCAGCCTTCTCCAGAACTTCGTTGAACCGGCTTCGGACCCATTGCACCACGTTATTAATCCGAGCGCCGGCGAGTACGCTGTTATCAGCGCGATGTGATGAGTCTCCATAGGTATCCTCCCGGTTCTTGCGCGTCCACCAAGCACCTGCGATATCCATGGACTTGGCGAGTAGAGACAGAGCCTTGACGTATAAGACTAGGGCTTCCTCAGAAAGGGTCACAATGGCGTCGACCGTTAGTCCATCATCGGTGGAGTCATTAGGATCCTCAGCTCCACCAAGGCTGTGTCGTGCAGACGGGTCTGTCGAGGCTGATGGAGCCAGTGGTATAAGTTGTTTGTATTTGACCTCAGCAAACCCATAGACGACATCACTACGGGTAGCGCATTCTTCGATGATCTGAACCGTCCTGCAGTCCTCATCGACAGTGGCATTGGTCTTGGCTCCATCGCCCATAAGCAGCAAACTAGCTTGTGCGGCTGGATAGGCTGGGAAAGGGTTGTAGGATAGAGGTGGAGACCGTCCGCCCTTGGTGATAGCCAAGGGAGGCGAGAAGCCCATTCCAAACAGCCGACCGCTGGCCATATTAAGAGCCTTGGAGATCGCAGATGTAGCTGACGTTGGGCTTTGTCCATAGCGTCGCTCATATGAATGTTGGCGTTGGTGAAGGGAGTCAGCTCGCGCACGGCCAGGAATAACCTGCATAGCCTTGGAAGCGTTGTAATGCGGAGAAGTGGAGACCACAGAGGGAAGGCCCTGCGTAGTTGCACGACGAGGCGCAGAGCTTCCGGGGCCACGGGCAAAGCCGCCTTGAATCCGAGGGCTATGCGCCAACTCGTCTGCGAATGCATTAACTTCAACCGCCCGTTTCTCAACTACCACGTAGTCCCGCTCAAATGCCACCTCTTGAGCAGCCCGCTCACGCTCCTCCACCGTTCGATCATCCTGAATGGGCTTTGACGTTCCGGAATACGTTTTCCGGCTCCTCTGTCGTTCCATAGCCGCCGTTGGCGTGTTCTTATCAACAAGCTCCTGCCGACCGGGTGCCGTTGCGTGAGTGATTGCAGTAGGTCGCTGCGGCGGCGTTCCACCCCGTGCAGTCTCTCTCACAGCACCAGTTGAAGGCCGGTCGGCGCTTCCTATCCGACGCATAGGTGAGGCACTCGGTGGGGTATCGGACTTTTCCCGTGTGGGCTTTGGCCGGTGCGGAGGCGGATATGTTATACGTTCCTCCTGGTCGGTGGTATAAGGCGAATCCCTCTCAGCATTGGGATCAATTTGACTGGGTCGAGAGTCGGTCCGATACGGCAATGGTCCTCGTCCGAGCTCCCCAGAGGTACGCCGGCGGTCTCGGGGCAAGTCATCAGCGATTAAACCAGGGATTGGTTCTGTGATGACATTGCTGTTGAAGAATTCGGGGAAATTCAACCGTTCCGCGGGGTTTCGCTTCAACAGTCCTCGAATTAGCTTCTTCATATCATCCGATGCCGGGTTCTCCTCAGGAAATCGTATTCGATCTTCCCCCTTCTCAATCTTCCGAAGTAGTTCGACATGATTCGTAGCCCGGAAAGGTGGTCGTCCCACCACCATTTCGTAAAGTACTGTGCCAACAGACCAGAGATCAGCCTCGGCACCATATTTTTCGTATCGCAAAATCTCGGGTGCCATGTACAATGGCGAGCCGCAGAGCGTCTCCGCTAATGAAGTGGCAGGTAAAGATCGAGCGAATCCAAAATCTGCAATCTTGAGCATCGGTAGCGTCTCCAACCCCGTCGTCGGCTCGTAAAAATTATCGCTGCCTTTGTACGGAGCGAACTGGGACGATCCACTGCGGTATGAGGCTGGCGCTGGACAAAGCAAGAGATTTTGAGGCTTAATGTCTCGATGAATGAGGTCTCGCTCACGCAGGAAGTGAAGGGCGCTCGAGAGCTGTTTGAGGAAATGTCGAACAACGACCTCGTTGAGGGCTCCGCCGGGTGGATTTGGGTATTTCGCAATCATGTCTCGGGTAGATGAATGGTCATACAGAGTGTCTCGCTTCTTGATGAAAGCCGAGAGGTCCCCGAGAGCACAGAACTCCATGACCAAGTGGATATGTGATGTAGACTCATGGCAATCGATGAGAGCGACAATATGTGGGTGGTGGAGACCTTTCAGGATATCGATTTCGGAGGAAAGGTTATCCTTCAACTTCTTGTTCAGCTTCGACAGGTTGACGGACTTGATGGCTACAAAGGTGCGGGTTTTCTAATCATCAGAAGAGCGCGACTATTAGCACTGCACTCTCAAGGTACGCAGATCATCTCAAAACTCGATGACTCACCGTATGTACACCTTGGTAGACCGTCGCGAAGCTTCCTTGTCCGATCTTGTTATGCCGAGTGTAGGGACCGATGGTCATTTCTGGGCGGGTGGTCTCGCGTGACCTCCGCGAATGTTGAGATGCCATGGCTGTCGCCGAGTGGCTCCGCCACTTGGGGTTCTAATCTCCCGCAGACGAAGCTCCGAAATCCAACGGACACAACCGCGCTCTGTCAACCACAACTACCGCAGCAAGAATAGAGACGTTGGACTCAGCGAGAGGCCCATCAGGGGAGCCGAGACGAGCGATGATCGTACAAGTGAGGAGCACGGAAGAATAAGGGAACCGTCAGGGCGACGAGTCTGGGCTCAGGCTAGAAGGAGAGCCGTGGAACGAAGCTGGTCGAATGAGTCGAGTTGTCGAGTGAAGCGAGTCCGTGTCCAGCAAGGGTATAAAAGGATGATGATAGTTCGATGGATAGTTCAGGAAATGATTTGTTCGCACGACAGCCGTTGTCCCAAGCACGTCGTGGAAAGCGGTGAAGTGATGATGTATAGTTGCAGGGTAGGAATGTTCGGGTGTAGCGAGTATAAAGGAGGGGGACCGTGAACCAAAGTTTGGGGGTGGGAAAGGGAGGGAAAGGGAAAATATGCAGGAAGGGGGCGGGTAGAGCTGGTCTAATGGGGGAAGAAGATGATGTGATGTTTGAAAGGGCGGGAAAGTTGGACCCAGAGACGTCAAGGACGGCGGTGGGTGGTGAAGGCTGGTGATTGGGGAGGGGTGTGACCTGCTCTGATGGCCGATAACGAGTGACAGGCGATGATCTGCTGGAAGGCGGTCAGTAGAGCGGTGGGTCGGGGGGACTTCGTAGATGGTACCTTATGTATGTCCAGGAGGACCTTGGGAGATGTCAAAATACAAGAGAGGGGGAGAGGAGAAAAGTAAAGAGGAAGAAGAAGGATTTGTAGATTCGAGTTTAGTAGCGCAGCAAGAGTCAAGAAGCAGAGACCGGAAAAGGGGGAGCAGGCAGGAGTGCCATGCAGGTGCCCAGCTTCAGGTGGTTATCGATTAGATAAGGCCGAGATCGTGACCTATCGCGAGTCACGAGTCTCCTTCCGGGGATTAATGATTCATTGCAAGATGCTATTTATACTGGGGTTACGTGCTGGTTTTACATTATATCAGATGAAACACTACGAACGTATACTGGCCATATATTATAAATCAGATCAAACCATACATGTTGCACAACCCCCGAGATACTGCCAAAGCAATCATATCTCCCCCATACTTGAGGATCCACCACTGATTTGCCTCCCCCGATCCGAGATCGGCAGCCCCAAGGGTGCTGGGCAACGATAACCCGCCAAAAGCTTATCGGTCCAGGCAGAAACTGGTTTTCTAGCCCATTGCATTAATTCCCCGATCGGAATCCTTTTGACTCATGACGATTTAAAATATGGGGCGTCGAATTGTTAAAGGTATATATGGTACAAAATTATCTACAAGGCAGCCATTATTTGACCCCAAATCCATCCCTGAGTCATCCACCTATACGCAAGCCCACCCCCTTCCCATCTGCACGATCAAACGCCCAGACCCCGCACTAACAACCACAATACAACTGGCACGACAACGTTATCATTACAGCCAGTGAGGATCGCCTCGGTCGCGCTAGTCCCGCTAGCCGCTAATATCGCCTTGCATGCCGTCCAGAACCAAAAGCGAACGGTGGAGGCCTCCACCCCGGCTGATTCGGTCCCTGTCACGGCCCACCCGCCGACCATTAACCATGCACGTACAGCAAGCAATCCGCACGAGACGGCCACCACGAAAGCCACGCTGCCTTCGAGCGACTTGCCCCCGCCCCAGAACCATTTCAGCCGACCGTATCGACGACCGATGAGTGAGGCCGCTGCATCACCCATGCCAACACAGATGACACCACTGACCATGCTAACATCCCGAGTGGGCACCTCCCAACCTGCCCAGGGACCTTCACCACTCCGATCGAGGTCGGAGAGAGATAGCCATAGGGGAATTGAGCAGCCGATTAGCAGGAAAATGTGTGAAATGATGACTGGTCCACGGTGGTCGCGCCCGTCCACATACGGTGCGAGGAAGTAGGTTAAGGGTCGTGAGATTGGGGGTAGTTGAGATGCACGGAACAGATCCAGAAGCAAAAAGACTGAGAGTACCAGGGCCAGTGCCAGGGCACAAAATGCTGGATCCACAAACACGGTTGGTAGGAACATGAGCACCATCATGCCGTGGAAAACCTTGCGCCGAGTGTCCACCTCTGCAACGGAACTGAGCTGGAACACGATTGCCAACCCGGTCACCAGAACCACAACGCAGTAGGCGCTCATTAGGATGCGAGTATTGGCAGGTCCAAAGTCTGTCTGGCGGACATGCTCAACCCACCCCAGCCAGCAGGAGGGATCTCGGAAAGCGGCATCAGGCCGGGCGGGTAATTGGATCCAATATTCGAGGTTCAGCATAAGCACCCAGAATCGGACCCCTGACAAATTACCCAGAAGGTACCCAACGGCCCACCCGAAAGGATCCTGTCCTTGGAGAGCTCGTTCTGCAATATACTTTCGGATAGGGCCCATGATAATCGCCAGGGAAATCGCGTAGACATAAATCGCATACAGCCATTTGCGGACCTGCGCCTGGGCGGCAGTCATGGAAAGGAACGAGGCAAGTCCCGGTCCCATCATTTTCTTGCGGCGGCCACCGGGTGTAGTACGCACGCGTTCCTCTTGAACTGCTTCCTCAAACGTTGAAATAGTATGTCGTCGCCGCCGGTTTTGAGAGCGAGCATGTTGTTCAAAGGCTTGTTCTGCAGTCACATTGTCCACCGCTGAGACAGGGTCATGAGATTCCCGCCTTGTCTTCGTCTTGCGAGGTCGGGGCACTCCACCTGGCCCATCACTGTCTGAAGTAGGTTCATCCGAGACCCCAGCCCGACTCAGCTTCTGGCATAGCCGGTGGTCCATCATATTAAAGAACTTTCGCGGAGAGAACGAGCCGCTCAGTGAACGGCGGAATTTCCAACTGGGAATCCGAGCTAGAGCCACCTCCCAGCGGAGGATGTGTCGACAACTAGCAAAAAGGCACATTCCACCAAGCCATAGCAAGGCCTTTAGAATCTCCGCCTGGGGAGAGGCCGCAAACAAGTACAAATTGATTAGCGCTGTCGTCAAAAGCTGCAATTCGGCGGGGAGAATGCTGGTCGTCAACAAAAAGTCTAGAGTGGGTATCAACGCTTGATGTAAAGGAAAAAGAAGAATCAACGATTCCGCATCATGCCCGCGAAGCGACAGCGGCTTGGGGATTGTATAGTCGAAAGAGAGATGTTCTGAGGCGAGTATCGGCACCAGGGTCACCATCCAGTGTGTCACACTGAAGCCATTGACCCAGCTCTGTAGGGGGATGGCAGGGGCCGGAAGAGACGAGAGACTCAGAATGAGGTTGGGTATAAGCAAGGTCGGATGATGGTTTGTCAAGGATAGGGAGACGAAAACCGGAATGAGAATTGGGTAGAGTAGCGGCGCCGGGTCGAAACTCGCGGGTATAGAGAAGAACGGGCGTTTGGACTTGGAGGGCCATATGCGCCACCGCCGGCCCCTCGAGGCTCGAAGCAGCACGGGGTAAGTAGCATAGAGGGTAATGAGCGTAATACCATGCGTGGCGAGCTCTGTAGTATCGTTAGCAAATACAGATTCATACCTCGGGCATTATCCAAATAGAAGGCATCTCACCTTTCCTCCAAGCCCAGGCAATTGAACGAGCATCTTCTTGCACCAGGACGACAGCACCGACAGACAACAGCAGCGCAGTCTCCACCAGTCGCCGCAGTATCTCAACTCGCCTCTGCCGACGAATATGTTTCCTCTCCGCAAACCTATCCTCACTCTCCTCCTCCGAACTTCGCCTCGACGCCCGGGATGATTGGCGCACGAATGACGGCCACGGTTGTAATGTAGGCAGCCACGCATCGGTATCGAGCGTCCCATTCACACCCGAGCGCAATCCCTTTTGCGGGCGAACCGGCGGCGCCGGCAGACCTCTCAAAATACCAGTGCTCTCATCATCAGCCTCGGTGCCACTGTCGCTCGGTGTCCGGGATGATTTCGGGTATGCGGATAACGGCTGTAGGCGATCGCCGTGTTCGGAGGGTGTTCGCGACCCGAGACGCCCGTTTGTGCGGTGGTATGGATGGGGAGAGCGTGTAAATTGTCGCAGATCTTCGATGATCGCATCGGAGGTTGATGCAGGCGTGCTGCTGCGAGGGATCGCCTCTTGTTCCTCGTGGCCCCGCGGAGAACTCATGACACCATTCCTATGTCGATGAGCACGTCATGCCGGGGTAGGGGGAGAGAGTGGTAGGGGAACAAAGAGATCGTAGGATCGTAGGATTAGAAAGTCGAGAAGGCGAAAAAAAAAAAACGCAATACTTGTCAGAAAAGGCAATCGGTGAGATCGTGGGAGAGCGGGTTGTTGTTATCTTTCCTGAACGCGGAAGGGAGCCTGCTTATCACATGTTCCGACCAGCTGGGGCGATCCACCATATGACTTTGGTTGGGATTTAGTATACAATCTACAATCTCGCCATACAACACCTGATCAGACTAAAGGAGTGAGTTTCCGACCCCGTTACTACTAGGAACCCTATTTTAGTATTCATAGGCAAGTCTTCAAATACGCTTTCAAAATCCGGTTCAATAATGATATCTGCTTCCACATGACCAACTTGGGACCATTTGGTGATTAGGTCCCACGATGTATCTATCATTTAGGGTATTTACACTTCCACTCCACACTCCTCCTGCAAGACCGCAGCAGCAATCAAGCGTCGTCCTTCCCGTCCCCAAACCGATCGGCATGGGATAATCTGGCCTGGCCAGACGCCCTCCGGTACCGGCAGGCTGGTGTATAGAATTGCCTGAGACAGGCCGGACGTCTGGCAGTGAGATGTGACCAACGAACGAAGCCTCTCTTCAAATAACACTTCGGAGCTTCCAGAGTCAAGCTCCAGGGAGCGGTAGCTGTATCGTTCATCCGCAATTGTAGACGTACCATCTTCCAAGCTCAGCAACTTGGCCTGCTGGCACCGACCACCAAGTCCCTGCCACTCAATGTCACTTCCCCGAGGAAGCTCATCGACCTCAACCGCCAGGAAAGGCGCAACAGTTGATTGGCAATCCTCGTCAAGTACGGAGAACTTAGGTAGACTAGACTCTACCGCTTGAGGCATCAGTTCCTCTGCTCTCCGTCCGTACTTGATATCCCAAGCATCAAGCTGCGGGCCTTCATCTTCATCTTCATCGCCTTCAGGCCGGGAATGCATCTTCTTCCACAGTTCCCATGCAATACGCACCTGTGCCTCGACACGATCAACACCCGTCATGAAAGCCACGGCACCGAGCCACCAATCAATTTGCATAGCCTCGCCAATCCTCCACAGATGTTGGAGTGCAAGCACAGCCCTCAAGGAATACCCCTCAACCCAGGGCTTATCCTGCGCAGCAACCTCCATAGAAGCTGGTTCTAGCGGAATCTGACCCGCAATGTAAACGATTCTCCCCTCATCTTGCAATGGGATAGACATTGCCTGTGAGTATGGGCCAATATTCGCCGGTGCCCAGTACGACCGCGACTGGACGTGCAGGCCCTGGCGCCGGTCTCGAGCGCCCCGGTCGAGCACAAACGAGACCATGACCCTCACATTAGCCGGAAGGGCATCGCCACAGGCGACTGTAACGCGGGCTGGTGGGTTTGGCTTTTTGAAAAGGGAGACGTAGACGTTGTTCATGAGGGCAAAGTCAGACATGGATCGTAGGAGGACAGTGGCGAAGACAATATCCTCTGTAGAGCGAGGAGTTGAGATAGAATCCGGAGGAGACGATAGCGCATTCTGGACTTTGGTGACAATAGCATTCATCTGTTCGCCCGCACTGGGACCTGCCTCTGGCGCGACCAGGTTTGAAATAGTCCATGTCGACGGAGACAAACGGTGATTCGGTTCGTCGATAGACCATTCCAGCGACGACACAGACTCACCAGAGCCCGTTGACTCCATCTGATGCACCGACAGCGAGGATATCCCATCCAAAGCCGTAGAAAACGTCCCATCCAACAAAACCGGCCTCCTCACATCCTGCGGCGTATACTCCAACCCATCAGACTTAGGAACACACCTCGCCCCCTTCAACTTAACGAACGCAACACCCCCCTCTCCAACCTTGACATCCCTCCTCTCAACCTCAATCCTCATCTTCCACAAAAAGCCCGGCCCATCAAGCGCAAGCGTCTCATACTCCCCACCCTCCCCCAAAACCGCCCCCCCAATATCCTCCGCCGCCGCAAACCGACTCATCCCCTTAATAAGCCGTCTCCGCAGCCCCCGCCCCGCAGCCAAAGACCCAGACACATTCTCCCACAAATACCCATCATCAAGCCCGCCCGAGGCAACCTTGATAATGCGCGCATCGCACCCACACCCCGCCATATCCTCAAGCAGCCCCGCCGCCGCGACAGCCGCGGGATCCGCGTCTCGCTCGGCCGGCGCGGGGAGCGAGGGGTACATCCACAGCCAGGCTAGCGGGACGAGACCAAGTCGGCCGGCGACGTTCTCGATGCGGGTGCGCTGGTATGTGGATAGGATTGCGCCGGCCGAGACGGCGTTGGCTTCTGGGTGGGACTGCATGATGCGGCGGAGCAGGGGGACGAGGGACTCTGTTTCGTCTTCCGTGCCCGGTTCTATGTTTGAAACAGGCTCGGCTGCCTGGTCCGCTGCATCGTGTCTGTATATCCGCGCCGTATCGACTGCGCCGCCTGTAATGGGTGCGCGATACAGCGGGATGCCCAGTGCGGACTCGTAGAGCGGGATCACGCTGTGGCCGATGGTTTGGTACATGAAGCTATCGATGTCTTCTTCCATGTCGCCGGTGCCATTTTGGCCATCTTCCTGATTGGATTGATTATCCGATGGCGTGGTTTTTTGTTCCGGGTGTAGGTTTGCTAGGGCGACTACTTTGTGTCCGTTGCGGATGCAGTGGAGGATTGAGTAGAGAGAGTCCTTGCCGCCCGAGATCAGGGCTATCACGTTGAGGCCTGGTGATGGGGGAGAGTGTGGAGGGGGCATGTTGGAGTTTGAAAGGGCCATTGGTTCTTTTCAATGCCCCGTTGCCCTGGCTGTTTTTTTGCTTTTGGTTGTATGTGGTTTGAAGATGTCATGGTGGGCGGTCTTTTTTGTGTTCCCCACTTCGAGGGCTTATCGATAGCGCGATAAGCTGGGGTTATGCCAAGTCTCGAGGACTTCTCGAATGGATGTGTTGATGACAAGATTGTTTTTAATAACATACCTACAATGCTGGAGCAAATGTCAGAGAATTGCCAGGGCTCTCCCTAAGCTAAATCCAATCTCGCTACTGGTGGATTCTAGAATTGCAAGAAAGCCTACTAGCTGAAAAGATGGAAAAATTATACTTGTAATTGAAATACTAAAGATCCACTGGGGACCTCCATAAACCTGATACCAAAACGACAGGACAGGCAAGAAATGCAATACAAGAAAGGGGTATGATGTGACAAAAAAGGGTGTAGGTGAAAAGAAAGGGGTAGTGGTCAAATTAACTTATACACGAATGTGACCAGCACAAGAAACAGAGTGGGAGAGAGCACAAGATAAAGAAGAACAAGAGCTCAAAAAAAGGATATTACATCGAAGTAGGGCAAATGAGGTGTGAAAGAACTGGACAAGAATCCAAAAAAAGACCAAAAAGATGAACCAAGAAAGGAATCAAGAAGAAAAAGATCACAGAGAGAAAACGGGGATCAAAAAGGTGATCAAACGAAAGGCTTGGGTCTTGCTGATTCGGGTCTGCGGACAGTCAAGAAGAGAGAAAGAGGGTGGGAGAGAGACAAAACAAAAGAAACAAGGAAATAAAAATCAATGACAAAGGAAATCAACACCATATCCCACTACCTGTAAACCATAGAGACAGATGCCATCGCTCTATTTTTCTTTTTTGGTTTCCTCTTCATGCTCATGGACTCCGAAAATATAATAGAGACCACCCATGAAAAGATGGGACCCGTCTTCCCCGCCAAAAGAAGCCCAAGCCCAAGGCCCAAGAAAAAAAAAAGTCATGAGGGTGAAGGAAAAGAGACAAAAAGAAGACTCCTTTTCCCGTATTCGCCTCATGCTGTATCCCCGTTTCCCCTTCTGTGATGTAAGGTGGAAGAAAACCAAAAAGTTGCCGTACACCGATGATCCACCGACACCAGTGTAAAATGCCCGGACGCCAAACCCAATCAAGACCGCAACGGTGACCAGACTCCCTGTAGATGAGAGGAAGGCCAACCGAAGATGTGTATGTATTATATATGCAGTAGGAGAATCTCCTGGTCTCATAGAAATCATCAAACGCAGCAGTGAATCAAGCCCAAGAGAAGAAGAAAAATGTTTAGGCCAAGTCACGCTTGCGCTTCTTCGCCGCCCGACGGTCGGAGGCAGGGGAGTCTTCGACTTCGGCAGACTGAGCAGCCTCGTACATCACCTGGCCAAGGGCACCGGCGTCGTGCTGATCATCGAACGACATCCCAGCCTCACTGGCATCCAGGACACCCATGACGATGGAACCACCGCCGTGGGTACGGGCGTGTTGGGCGAGGTTGTCGCTGCGGGAGAACTTCTTGCCGCACTCGTTGCACTCGAAGGGCTTATCCTGGGTGTGCAGGGAGCGGTAGTGACGCTTGAGGTGCTCCTGGCGACGGAAGCGGCGGGAGCACAGGGTGCAGACGAAGGTCTTGGACGGGTCATCCGTCAGCGACTGCTTACGGCCGCGACGGTTAACGGAGACGGGAGCGGGCTCGGAGTCGGTGCAGGGGGAGCCTACAGATGGAGCACTGCATTCGGAGTGAGCCACGGCAATCTTCTTGACGGGCTCATCCTCCATTTCCACATTGGAGTTCTTCCGCGAAGACTTGCGGCTGCTGCGCTTCTTGGACTTGATCTCCTCCTCCTCCTGGGCGATATCCTCGGTCTCCTCCATTTGGGGCTGGGTCGACTCGGTCCACTCGAATGAGGGAAGGCCGTCGTGCAGGAAACCCTCGTGGTCGTCCGCGTCCTCCAGGCTGTGCTCACTCAAGAATCCATCATCTTCGACAATGTACTGGTTCACACGCTGGCGCTTGCCACCGAGGTAGACGGCGTTGGCGCCCGGGTGGAACTCAACCAGGCGGTTCAGCTCATCGTCGGAGTCGAGGTCAGAGAAGCTGTCGAAAGTGGGCAAGGAGCTCAGAGGATCCTGGGTTGAAGCGGTGAAAGAAGGAGAAGGGTTCTCATTCACGGGCAGGGTCACAGACGCACTGCCCAGAACCGCGCGAGGGGCCTCCTCGTCACATGTGAGGGTTGGCAGAGGAGGGAGATCCTGGGGAGTGTGAACATTGACGGAGGGCTCGACGGTCAGCTGGCGGGGGTCGCAGAAGTCCGAACCAACGGAGCTAACGGACTCGGCGGTCAAAGCCTGAGAATGAGCGAGGAACTCGGAGGGCACTGGAGATGGTGAGGGGGAAAGCGAGGGGCAGGAGGTCGCAGAAAGGAGATCCGACGTGTGGCTGGCGGTGAGTGACGGCGGGTGGATGAACACTGGAAGGGAAATTAGCCTTCTTGTTTGATCATCATCCATCCCTTGCATGAGGGATTCATCATCTGCATGTGCATGGTCGATTTTCAAGATATGACATCTCTACTCGTTTCATCAGAACTTACCAGGTGTCATAGGTGGGGAGTCGCAGCGAGACCAGTCCGGGTTGGCCAGGATCTCGGTGTGCACGTCCGTCTCGCAGCCTTCCTTGACGCCTTCGACCTTCTCAAAGGCGAAGAAGCCGTCGTTGATTGGCGTGTGCAGAGTGCCGTTGGCAGACGGGGGGCTACTGATGGAGCTTCCCGACGAAGACAAAGGCGGCGTTGAAGGGAAAGCGTACAGGTCAGCATTAATGAAGCGAGTGTCGATAGGCATCAACGCTGGAGAGCCTTGCTGCACAAAGATGGCGGGCTTCATCTGGGATGGTTGAGGCGAGGCAATGGGAGTCATGCTCATGGCAGCACCGCGGAAGGCGTTGGTGGTGGCCATCTGGTGCATGTTCATGACGGGCTGGGCCGAGTAGATGGGCTGCTCGCATTGCTGGCCGGGATACTGCATCTGTCCATAGTAGGGGACGTCTTGTGGCTGGCTGGTGTAGTGGCCCTGTGATGTTGAGTCGGGATAATATGCAAACGAAGGTTGACTTTGGACCGGAGTCGAGGTCACTGTGTATGAGTCCATTGTGGTAGATCTGAATGGTTGTGGTTGAGTTAGTTGTCCAGATTCATTTTGATAATTGTTATATCCAAGTCATATTCATTGAATGAATTGAACGAAACATTGGATCAATCACAAACACACCTGTGGAAATTATCGCCAATTCAAAACCGCGTAGAATATTAGGATGTATAGATTGTATAGAGGTCGAGAGAGTAGTTGTAGTTTGTTGATGGTCAAGTCCGGTTATCCTCAAAAAAGACCGAGACGTAGGGGGAGACAAATGAGTGTGTAGACCAAAAAGGTGATTAGGGTATAGAGGTAGAGATGATGAAGAGGAGGATGAGAGGGAACACTTGTTAAAGGAAGGACAGGAATCCTTAGCGAAGCTCAAGGAACCGGAGGAAGTGATTGGGGAAAGAAGAGGAAATATCACAAGTTGCAAAAGCCTCCCAAACCCAAAACAGTCAAACAAGTAAATACTAGTGGGAAAGTATATAGAAATTGAGAAATAAGGAAAGGTTTCGAAGAAAAAAAATAAAAAATAAAAGAGAGACAGGGCCGATAATAGGCAATCTGGGAAAAGATGGGAGAGAAGGAAGGGAACGAGATAGACCAGAAGGGTGTCGCAGTGGATAAAAGAGTGATCTGCTTGTGCTATTTTCTACTTGCCGGCTCACTAGTCATGGACCGAGTGGGACCAGGAACGGGGTGCATTGAGGGAAATCAAAAAGTAAAAAATAATAATTACTTGGGGGGGGGGGAATTATATTTTATTATTTATTTTACGATTTCATGGGAATTATATTATTATGGATAAAAATTTATGGATTTTATGGATTTTAATGGGGACTCTTGGGCTAAATGGGGAATTTATTTTAATTTTTGGCGTGTCTCACAGAGAGTCTCTTCTCCGCTTAGGTGTACGGAGTATGCGGTGTAAAATGGTGGTATCAGGCCCAGTCTGGGGCGAGATTGCACATCACCCAAGTGTTCAGTCCCGAACTCTCCAATCGCATTGAGCGAGCATGAGGGATCGGGTGTTAGCGTGGGCTAGCTACGAATTTAGCGTGGATTTGTTGGTGTTGGCCTGTTAGCCTGTTAGGTCCTTGGGAACCTCCGTATCTCCAGTATGTACCGAGTACTCCGTACTATAATCTGTTACAGTGCTACTATGAAAGGGCTCCGAGGTGGAGGGAAAAGACAAACCTCAAGGTGTAAACCTTCGTAGGTGGACCTCCCTATTTAAAAAAGAGAACTCCGTAGTGAAGAAAGCCTAGGATAGCAGGCTCAGAAAAAGGACGGTATGGGATCGTAACGAAGTACAGGACACTGGCCTCCTCTGTATCGGGCCAGGAAGAGATCCACATCGGTCGACGAGCCCAAAAAGAGAAGTGGAGCAGCACACGGTGTTACGCTGAAAATGCGGAGAGGCTGTGCTGACTGGAAAACCCGAAAAAAAAGGCCTACTGGTGTGATGTGGTACTCTGGGAATCTTCCTATCAGTCCTCCATGTCTGACTAGAGAAATGGTGGTGGTGGTGTTGGTAGTTTGTTAAAAGGTCATGTGTTTTGAATTTTGATTTTCAGCTCGAGTTGTCGTCATTCTGCTTCTTACCACCTACTCAACCATCCACACACCAACCACCTCTGCCAATCCATATAACCAACATTTTGGGAACTGGCCGTGTGGCCACGAGGTGCATGGCGATTGGATCAAGGCGATGGTGACAGCGGCAATCATTTGCACCTCTTATCAGCGCAGTGCGCATTGCGCTCCGGCGGGCAAATGGGCGTCAAGCGGGTGGGGAGGAGTGCCTTTTCCCAGCGAGTCCACCATCTCCAACAACCAACAAATCAGCATCTTCAAACCCATCAACCTGCCCCACGCCCATCCCGTCTCGTCATTTCTCTGCCAGGGCATCGACTGTCCATCGCCCCCGGCGCGCGAGGGATCGACATGCAATGATCTGACGGTCTGCTCCATTCTTCTTGCCTCCCCAAATCCTCTTCCTCGGAGGTCCCCATTATTACTAGTTTCCCCCGGGACGGATCCTCAGATAGCGATCTAAGACCTCCAAAGGAGCGATGTGCACTCGGGCGTTACCAGAAGTCCGGATGAAATGCACCTCGTTGCTTTCCCCTCGACGATCAGCATGTGGGAAACTTACTCAGTCCCAAGTTTCCCAGCTGGAGTAGTAAGCGCACAAAGGCCTATCCATTCCCTAATCGGGCATCAAGTCGCTCAGAACTTTCCTCTGCCGATCAGAAGGCTATCAACGGTGGCAACCACCGTGCTACCAAGCTGTTCTCGATCGTGAAACGGTCGGGCATTGGTCGCCATCATGCTAGTTGCTTTTTAATGCTTACAGTGCTGACTGAACCGCGGCGCCAGTCACCGTTCTTGCTGGGCAATCTCTGGGCTTTTTCACCTCCCCGGTCCGTTTCATATGATCCTGGCCAAAAGTACAACCGTCAAATCTGAGAATGTAAAGTAGTACCCTGTAACGGGAAAAAAAACCTTCCTCAAATCCTCGGTGATCGTCTACCGACGAGCATTAGCAATGCATTATCCAAGTAAGTACATGCCGAATATTTTGATAGCTAAAGCTTTGAGTTTTTTTTGATCGCGCAATTCTTTGTACATCGTGTATTGGTAAACAAAAAAAATCCCTCTGCGTTTTTGCCTTCTCATGATTCAATTGATGTCGCCACATATAATACATCGCAAGCCTTGTCTCTACTACAGCAAGTAGTGTGGGGAAACAGATTACAACATTCAATGAACAAAAAAAGCAAGGGTCGTCCGCGCGACACGTCAAAAGACATGATACAGCGCGCGACAGGGCTCTCGGCCCAGCTAAAAGACTCTCGGTGGCTTGTGATATTCCGTCAATCCAGTTGCGCGGCCTACTGCAGGAACCAAGCTGCGGAGGCACAGCCGCGAAGAACCACCGGAGCTGACAGACGCGCTGATTGGGTTTGTGCCATTGGGGAGGCAAGGCTCGACAGTCCAATTCCAGTTCCTCTTTGTTCATGCTTTCAACATGGTTTCAACTATCGAATGAGAAGGTGCCGAGCCTTCCCGGAGACGCGGTTCCGAGAGCCCTAACTCTGCTGATTGGAGGTAATGGTGGCCGCTTATGCAGGCTCCATGACATTGCGCCTGAAGGGAACCGCCTATCGTCACTTAGGACGGATGTACACACTGACTATAGTGGGACATTTTTTTTACATTCAGCCTTGACACTGGTTTATTTTTCATTCAAGGCGGGGAGGCCGGGTCCATCTGTGCATCGCTGTAAGCAGGCATCACATAGACTTTTTGAATGTTGGTGACGGATTCTGATACATCTGATTGGTTCCAGTTGTGTCAGCCATGTCGCAAAGAGATGTGCTCCGATTGCATGAACAGATGTGATGGGCACCACTGTTTCGTCTTACTCGGTAGATCCGGGGGAGAGGGCGTCAATGGGTTTCGGCAATGGTGTGAAGGTCTCAACCAATTCCATACAATAGATATATCTTTCTGGTTCAACTTACAACCACCACTCAAACGTGCAATTATATATCAGAGTAATCTCAGTAGTTTGTGCAGAGGTACATTATTTGTTGTACTCCTAGCCTAGACCAGCTTTTCATGCCTGTGATTCATCCAGCGACCGTACATGCAGACTTTTAGGGAAAACTCGACACATCCATCCAGGTCTTGGCTACCTAATCTCTCTAGTATTCTGTTGCCTGCCACCCACAGCAGAACTATGTATTTTCTATGATTTAATCCAACTGCTATCTTATGTCTACCGTTGGACGATCGTTGCGTCTACTCAGCCGCCACCACGCAAGCAAGGTCGGCCGTTTAAAGGATGATAGTAACGCAATGGTTGTGGCACACTCTGCTATCTGACCATTTACGCCCGTAAGGGTTCCCTCTCATTTCTCCAGCGCTGACTGCCTGCTAGCCCCCACCATGTTCCCACAGATAAGGGGAAAAAAAGAAAAGCACACACGATAAACAATGACAGAATACATCGACTGGATTCCGTAACTAGTTACGTGTTTTCTTTTCCTCTCTGGCCAGACCCTCGATCATCGTCTCTGCTACACAATTCCTCATTCCTGCAGCCTTTCGAGTCCAGAACATTCAAGCATCGAGTCGCGGGATTTCCATCACTGCCAATCCTTTCCTTTGGGGCCCGTCCGGAGTGAGCATCGCCTCTGCGCAATTGGCCGCTTCTAAAGATAGCGGCCTCCACTATTGGCCACCCCATGCCCTTGGTGGGAAAAGCGTCGGCGCGGGCGGGAACCCTGCCTTTTCTCCCGCCACCAATCATGTCGTGTTACCTACCCACTGCCCGGGAAATGGGGAAGACCGCGAAATGGGTTGATCACCTGTTAATTAACTAGCCCACCCTTCGGGTACGGAGTACGGAGTACACGGGGTATAGTACGGACACTATACTACGCGGAATACTGACTAAAGGCCTTGGAATGGAGACTCTAATGGAGAAAGCGCGTAGTGTGAACAGTTCTCCACTGCGTCTAGAAGGTTTACTAGAAAATCTAGCGTCGTGTATTCTTGTTCGACAAAGTACCTGCGCTAGGTGAGAGTCGAAAATGTCCACATTTCCTCAAGGTAGGCAGGAGAAGGAGTCCGGCCTCACGGTGATTGGATGTTTCACCTCGAGACTTTCCCAGCTTGGGTTAGCTTGAGACCCCCTGTCAAATCACCCTAAACTCACTAAGCTAAGTACAGTAAATTAACTAAACTCACCCAGTCGTTTGGTCCGAATTGGAGTGCAACTAACTTATGCATGGAAGGCTGTCAGTTTCTCTTCGAGAACCACATCCCCCAAGTTGCGCGGTCGCCCTTAGCTCTAACTACCGTAACTAATTACAGTAATATCTCCTATTAGCAGGCGTCTTAGGGGAAATCTTGCTTCGGGGTATGTGATCCGAAGTTTGTGGCCAACATGCAGCGTAAATCATGTGTTCAGTCTGCCTTTGTTGATAAATTATGCAGAT